AACGTAGCCCCCCACTGAAAACGACAATAGCAACTCATAGGTTCAGATATTTTTGTAACTGCGTAAACCCAAACTGGCTCGACCATCGAAGTGGCGTGAGTAAATCTCATCACGCTCAATTAGGAGGGAGCGGCTCCAAGACTCGACCATACTTCGGGGCGGCCAGCGCAGAAAGGTAACGTTGGTGAAAGTGAAAATTTTAAAGTGAGAATTTGGCTGACACCATATTGAATAACTTGTGCGGAAAGACCATACTAGGCTGGGTCCCATCGATACCTGGCTGAGATGAGGTGCTTGAAGTTGCTTGCCAGGGAAACTCGGTCCTCTTCCCGTTGACCGTTGCGGCGTCGATATTGGGTCGCATCCGAATCTCTTGGCAATGCCCTAGAAGTTTGTTGCCTTAACAGGGTAGAGCGAGCACGGCAATGTTAGCGACGACCCAGGGGACCAAAATTTCCTTGTCACTTCGTATCCGCCAAGGCGTCCTATCAATCCCAAACTCAATGTTACTGGCATTTGACCCGGCGGAATGGAGATTTCCGTTTCGTCGTGAGTTGCTTCGCAGTAGGCTTGCGGGGAACTGGAGCTCACCACTGCCGCTGATAGAACCACGTGGAGTGCGCATCAGACAAGATGCCGGAGCCTCCGCTTCGTAAAACCCAATAATTGTTTCCGAATGGTTCAAGAGTTTCCCAAAAACGATCTCATGTGCCCGGTGGCTACCGAACCTGGGTGGCGTCTGGGTAGATAGTTATGGTAGACTCGGTTGTTGGTGTGGCCGTAACCAGGTGACGTTACGAACAAATCGCCGTTGCCGAAAGGGAAATGTCCATCACCTGCCCCAACAAAATTGATGAAGTATTCCTCCTCTGATTTCCATATTGCCATGTTGGCGAACCGAGAACGTCAGACGCTGACATAACATAATGCCGTAGTGTTGTGCCATCTTTCACTGAGGACCTGAGGGCGTAGCACCAGATTGCTGGGCCATGAAATATGGACGGTTCCCGTGTGTGTGGTTGGGTGGTGGGTGGCAGGAGTTGGTTGGACATGGCCGAATAGGACAACACCATGGTCAGTGCGTGCTGCCTTTCATGACGGTCCCCATCCCATCCACCCGCCCGTTGTGATAGAGCGTTCTGCTTTCAACAACAGTCAAAATTTGACTGCGAAAGACTCATACATATGGTAGTTGGGCCACAAACATACTCGCGATTGGTTCGTGGATTTGGGGTTTCCTCATGCCGGAAACAAGATGCACTCAAATGCCACGAATGAGGGTTGAGGCCAGGTTCTCGACCTGTGTGAATGGGAGTTTCGGTCCGACCACCGCCATCAAGGCCAGGGAGCCACGCGAAAACAATGTTGGTGGCGCGCCAAACTCGATCCCATCTCCCACGGCCTTTGCATTGCGCGAACAAATGAAAGATGTGACTTGAAATAATGGCCCCAAAGATCCCAGTTGGTATTCGCTTGCTGGGCTTCCCAGCGGAATGCTTCGTCGCACTACAAGTTTGAATCACTGCTAAGCTCTGTGAGCGTGTAGGCTTCCGCCGGTATGAGCGTAGTGGTCTAAGAGAATCGCATGGCGTTGTGCTTTTGAGGTCTAGTCTGGCTTAGTAGAAACGCGATTCTAAATCGTGATAATTTGCAACGTCCCGGTAGTCTGTAGTCTGTCTACCCCAGAATCCAATATCACCATGTGGTATCGATAGGTCCAAGTTGCTCAGAACGCCGCGGTGGAACGACACATCCATGTGTGACCCACTATACTTCGTTGTGACATAGAAAATCTCGGGAAGTTCCGAGCTGAATCTTGAGGGGGATGTGACCTGATTCTCTATACTATGAATGGTAAATTCTGGAGCCAAGCAGAGATGACCGTGAAAATGGCCCGGAGTTGCGCAGTTAAGATGTGTATATAATACCCTAGGTTTGTCACTCGAGTTGGAGTTGGCTTCTGAGGGTGGGGTGCATCGGTCGGTACTTGGTTGTCAATGCCAAATTGCAACTCAACAATATAAGAGAGGCACGCTTTATCCGAAGTAACAAATACGACTGATGGAATTGCACAAACGTGGCCAGGCCCAAGTGGTAACCAAAGGAGGACACCGTGGTGCAATAGGGTGCGGAAGAGTTCCCTCGTTTCCAAAAAGTGACAACTGGGAACTGGTAGATGCTGGTAGATGGACGGAGAGCAAGACCAATTTCATGCGCCCGGTGGAGTATCGAATATGTTTGTTCTTTCGTCTCTCGACTTAATTTCTTTCCTCTTTGTTGCTTGGTTGGTTCGTTTCTATTTCGGCCGTTAACGCAATTTAATTAAGGCTGCTGCTGCCATGCTGCAGGCTGTGGCCGCCCTACTTTGCGCGTGGTAACACAGCGTTCTCAAGCTGCAGAAATGCTGTCCAACTCAACTGAAGCACAGCTGCCGGAGTCTTGCTGTCAGTAGCAGCGTTCCGTCATGCCGTCAGCACCACCCACATCAAGAGGTGCTGCAAGATCCAACCCGGAGCCTCGCGTAATACCATGGACGAAGTAGGGGGCCAACGATCTAGCCTGAGTTGTCGCGATATGCAATGACACGATGGTTTCCATTGCATTGGGTTTGACGCCCTCAAACAATACTTGGCCATCCAAGCTGTCTGTCTTGCCTCGATTGAGAAGTTGTAATTCGCGGTAGCGTTTACTTGGATACGACGTTGCGTATTGGCGAGGATCAATTGGGACCGTCTTCACCGGACCGTCTTGTTTCAACTTTGAATAGCAAAAGGGCAGGAAACATCTTGCAAAAGCGTCACAGACTTTGGTTAATCGAAGAGAGATAACACAGATGTACTTGCTTTGGAAGTAGGTTCCCGTTGGATAGCGTGGGAAAACTTCCTGTCAGAAACTTTGGCCACTGTGGTTGATTATGACGCTGAAACAAGCAAGTGGAATGACCAGCGTGCAGCGTAACTTCCCCGCCTTTCCGACTCGAACACGTTTTCCCCCCCCTGCTTTCCCCTCTGACCAGCCCTCACGCTGCGGAATTCGCAAATTTAACATGAACATTCTAGCAAAAGACAAGCCTCCTTACATCCCCGTACCCAACGGCAGGACTCTGCGCCCTGCAGCTCATCTTTTTATGGCATATTCATGCTTGCTCGGACCGTTAACCTGGTATGAGTTTAATCTACCAGTGCACCAGTACCCATGGGGTTCAATTGATGGCAGTGCTCATCACGCCCTCTCGCCTGTCTGCACTAATCCCCATCGATGATAGGGTTCATAAGTAATGGGACTCAAAGAGAACTATTCGACGCCGCCCGAGGGCTCTTCTCTGCAACATGCGATGAAGAAGTAGCTAATAAACTCGGGGGGCTGTCAAAGCTCCGTCCGTCTCCTCCGCTGGGGAACGCATAGGCGACGCTATAGTCACGGCACTTATCATTTTATTTTCTTCTGGGATTTTGTTCTGCCATGGCAAATTACAACGGCGTGTTCAGGTGCGTAGTCTTAACAAGAATTCTCGTGGCGGCGGGAAACGATGTGTCGCAGGCATTGCCTACAGGGGCCTGTGCCACTGCTATGGCTCGGCGACACTCAGACCGAACATGCAGAATCGGCCTGTCTTCCAGAAGATCAAGGGTAGACCGACATGCTGCCATGAATTGCTGGGGCCGGCGCAGTCCATTGACAGATGGGCATTGATTGTTGGCGCTTTACATCCACGACCCGCCTCGGGCAACCCAGCACCATCTTCTTCGAATGATGAGCCGTGTGTAAGTAAATATGCGACATGGATCGGAACTGCTCTGAAGGCACCGTTGAGCGGGTGTTGCAAGTCGCAAAGTGACGACATCGTCTTATATCATGTGGAACTATTGTCGAGAGCAACTCGGCTGGAATACCTTTGGACCACCCCGTCCTTGGTGTTTTCATAATATCTGATGTAAGATTGTGAGAACTCGTGGGTGGAAGGGCAGCAGCTCCACACAATGCCTTGTGCCAATCCGAATTCTCCAGAACTCCACTGGCAACCCAAGACAGGCTCCCCCAATGTGCAGCTCACCCATCATTCATCCCTGCGCCCTCGCAACCCCTCGGGCTTTTGACCCCATGGGCCCATGCCACTCTTGAGGAGACAGACAATGTGGGCCATATATCAGTTAAGCCCGAGTTGACTCCCCCAGACAACTACCAGAAACTTCACGCATCATATCCCCACTCGTCACTATCCTGTTTTCCCCGTTCGCCGTTCTATATTGTGTCTTCAATATACTAGCTTGACTCGATATTGCCCTCGTGAGGAGGGTTCTCTCCCCTTATCCAATTGGATATGGCCTAGCCAACAGAAGTTTAACAGGAACATCCTCTTGTACATGCATGCCAAGCCCGCAGACATTGTCTGCCTGCGCCGTGCAGGGACTCAGGAGGGAGTCTTTAGACTACCAGACATTATTTTGACCCGATCGGGACGGTTCTCTACTTCCTTTGGTCCTTGAGCTCACCTTGCTTCCGGACGGGCCACTCTCCATCCCCTGCTATAAGTTCAGAATTATAGCTTCCAGCCTGGGGAAGTCAGTGGCAAGTCTGGTTCACTCAAGGTTGCTTCGAGGAGCGTGGCAGGTCCCCTGGTACGTTCGTCTGCAATCTTCCCCATCCCTGTACCCTTCCCGTCCCCCAGTCACAAGTCTTACACCCATTCATGACCCCGCCACCCTTCTGCTTCCTCTGCCCAGAGCTGTGCCGTCCTTTCACAAAGGCGTTGATCAGTCTGCACTCTTTTGACGTCTATCATGCCTTCTCAGCCCAGCATAATGCTCATTCCCTTGTTTTGCGCAGGAAAGGCTTCCGGCCCATCCAAGTACCGTTGTACAAAGTAGCTGCCCCCGACTGTGAAGACCAGATATAGCTACACCTCCGGCAACCATATAGCTTTGAGCTACCTCGCCATCGGTTGACTTTTCGAACATATCTTACCGTCAATACGTAATCATACTTCAACCAACTGGTCTCGCTCGTTCGAATTTACGCATCAGTCATGATCATTGAGATCCAGGAAATCTCATGAATTCATAGCTCAATATCCATATCACTTACACGACAGCCCGTGTGTCATGATGCTGTCCAACCCACTGCAACGATTTTCACCGTACCATTCAATCCCCTCCACCACTCTTCTCTCCAACTCGCATGTTCCCGCGAGCCACCTTCACGGGGGAGGACTCGACTCTTTTGGTCATGCTTCCCAGTATGGTCTTCAACACTTGCAGCAACATGTCGGTATGCACGCGCCCCATCTCGCTCGTGCTCCTCCACCGAAGCACCGGCATCATCCATACGGAGGACCAACGACACGGGCAACAGGATCGGCAGGCCCAATACGGAGGAGAATTAGCAGAGCTTGCGATCAATGCAACCAATTACGAACCAAGTGCGATGGACAGCACCCTTGCGCACACTGTATAGGTATATATATCTAGGCATCAGGCGAGCCATCTCTTGTACTAAACATGTGCAGAATTCGGACTCGGTTGCGAGTACATTCGCGAGAGGAAGAAGCGAGGGAAGGCATCGCGGAAGGATCTTGCCCAGCAAGCAGCAGCACAAGCTGCAGCGGCAGCCCAGAGCGGTCAACAGTCGCCAAGTCACAGTGGTGATAACAGCTCCACTGGGGATCACAGAACCGAGACCTCCTCCTCAGTCAGGCAAGAACAGCAGTCGAACGCCAGCGAGAAAGCCCTCAACGACCTTAGTGAAGATGCTATGCAACGCAGCCAAAGGACAAGCAGCCTCGACAGCCTGGCCGAGTTGAGCTCACATCAATCCCATTTGCCCATGGACAGAGACCACCTTGACAGCCCGACCTCGTTGGACCTGAATGCCTACGCGAGTCTTCAGAACCCATATGATCGGCAAGGCATTAGCGCACACATGATGACGGGCGCTGCCCACAATCCGTACGGAGCGGGCCAAACCAATATGTCTAACTATCCCGAAATACCTTATCCGCTACAGACCCGGAGCGCCGCGACCTACCCAGCAAATGCGGCGGCATTTCGAATTGGAACCAGCCCTCTGGATGCCTATGCTATGGCCGGAGAACCCACATCGCCAGACTGGATGTCCATGTCGTCACACATACCGCAGAACAACTACCATCAACAGCTACGATACCCAGTCCTGGATCCTTTGATGCCACATCTGGGAAACATCATCCCTGCCTACTTGGCGTGCGATCTAATCGACCTGTACTTTGCGAGCTCCTCGTCGGCTCATGCCCACCCAATGTCGCCCTATGTTCTGGGTTTCGTATTTCGAAAGCGGTCTTTCTTGCACCCCAGCAAGCCAAGACAATGCCAACCCGCCTTGCTAGCGAGCATCCTGTGGGTGGCAGCACAAACGAGCGATGCCCCCTTCCTCGCCAGCATTCCGTCGGCGAGGGGCAAGATCTGTCAAAAGTTGCTGGAGCTTACCGTCACCCTGCTCAAGCCGCTGATCCATACTCAATCGGGAGAAGCTTCACCTATTTCTAGTCCTGTTATCGATGGCGTGGCCTTGGGCGGTCTCGGCGTTGCGTTACCCGGATCTACGAGCCTGGAGAACTTGACAGGAGAGTCTGGTGCATTCGGTGCCGCGGGAACCCTCGACGACGTAATAACGTACATCCACCTGGCTACTGTGGTTTCCGCGAGCGAGTACAAGGGGGCTAGCCTTAGGTGGTGGAATGCGGCGTGGTCGCTCGCTCGAGAACTGAAGCTGGGTCGCGAATTGCCCAAGAGTACGTCCGCTCCGGGACAAAGGAATGAAGAGGGCAATGGGATTGACGGTGACGGTGAAACCGAAGATTCGGATTCGGGCGTCGCCACAGAAGAAGAACGCGAAGAGCGAAGGCGCATCTGGTGGCTCACCTACATTGTCGACCGACACCTAGCGTTGTGCTACAACCGCCCGCTTTTCCTCCTCGATATTGAATGCGAAGGGCTCTTGCAGCCCATGGACGACACCGAATGGCAAAACGGAAACTTTCGCCCCGGCACCACTGACCCAGCCCTCTCGGGGGTTAGAGTACGAGGGCCTCACTTTGAATGTTCCGGCCACAGCATCTTTGGGTACTTTCTCCCCCTAATGACTATTCTAGGCGAGATAGTCGATCTTCACCACGCCCGTAATCATCCGCGATTTGGCGTGGGCTTCCGTTCCGGACGCGAATGGGATGATCAGACCGCAGAAATCACCCGCCATTTGGAGGCATACGAGCGGAGCCTGAAAATGTTCGAGCAACAGCACTTCCACGTCGAAGATAAGAACAATCAGTCAGGAAGCTTGGAGATGCCAGGGGACTTGGACCACATCAACTCGCCGTCTGTGCGCTCGGTCCATACGAGCTCCTCGCGGATGACGGAATCCGATATCCAGACTCGAATCGTTGTGGCATACGGGACGCACGTCATGCACGTACTGCACATTCTTCTCACTGGAAAATGGGACCCGATCAACCTCCTGGATGACAACGACCTCTGGATTTCATCACAGGGCTTCATTACGGCGACTGGACATGCCGTGTCTGCTGCCGAGGCAATCAACAACATACTTGAGTACGACCCCGGTTTGGAATTCATGCCCTTCTTCTTCGGCATATATCTTCTCCAGGGCTCGTTCTTGCTTCTGCTCATTGCCGACAAGCTGCAGCTCGAGGCATCGGCTAGTGTGGTTAGAGCTTGCGAGACCATTATTCGTGCTCACGAGGCATGTGTGGTCACGCTAAACACGGAGTACCAGGTAAGCCCGACAATATCTACTATTGTCTGGACAAGTCGCTAATGAATGAATAGCGCAACTTTAGCAAGGTCATGCGGAGTGCACTGGCTCAAGTCCGGGGTCGCGTACCCGAAGACCTTGGGGAACAACACCAGCGGCGTCGGGAACTTTTGTCGTTGTACCGCTGGACTGGGGATGGGACAGGACTGGCACTATAAGCTCTCTCAACGTTCAACACGGGGATAATTGGTCGTTACAACAGCCGTGGCTCGGTAAGCCTGACTGACGTTGAAGGCGATTTGCCATGTATAGGGCTATGGGTTCTTGTTTTGCGCTCGGGTGTTTAAAACAAAAATGGCTAGGAAGGCCCTGCCGGGGATCTCGGTACGGTGGTGGTCCTGTCTATTACTATGATTGGTTCTCTCTGAAAGATCTCAGACGGTGTTTTTGGATTTTCGGATTGATTGCGATGACGGATACGAACGGAGTTAAAGTCTTGTTGGAAAATTTGATGTTGGGTGACGAAGTGTTGGCATACAGACATACATATCGGCGATTGGTTGTGTGATGGGAGGCTTCTTGTCGTTCGTTTCCCTCCTCAGAGTTCTGAGTAGCTTCTACAATGGTTCAGGTCGTCAGCGCGAGACGCTGAGACTTGCTGCGCGAGGAGGCAGACAGAGGTTGGTGTGGGATTTGTTGCGAATAGTGGAATCGTGAGTGGATGAATGTGCTTGTAGATGCAAAGAGAGAATACAGATACACTCGAATTTGAAGGAAATGTCAAATCAGTTCCATGTCATTGTGTCATTGTTCGATGTCCGATCTGCTCATAGACACAACCTCGCTGTCTACCAACATGTGGCCTGCTGATTCTCGCAAATAGTGCCTTGGCTTCCCATTGAACCAAATGCTGCCAGTCGGCACTATTCCCAAATACAGGACTACCTATTCTACAAGGATTTTGGCTTGGCTGCCAGCCAGATCAAGGTTACTCGACCGTCAAATCAAGCCTGCAAGGTCTAAGCCGGGCGTACCTCACACTGGGGTGTTTGGCAACATCGGTATGTCTGTTGCCATGACGTTTTCGGCGACAATGGACATGATACGAAAGGTGGAAAGGCTAGTTGGGTACTTAGGCAACTGGGCGTAGAGAAAGTGGGTGTTCTAGTCGTATTGACACCGATATTATCCATGCAAATATCCGACTGGAAACACTGCCTACGTGCTGTCCCCATCATATATACCTTTGAGCAATGGCAGAAGCCACACGGGGCGCTTGTAACCTCGTGCCGGAACCAGTGGACGCAGTAACACCAAGTAACAGAGAGCCGGAGCGAAAGTAGGTAGAACGCACGAGTTTCACTGACAGCTTCATTAATGTCATCACGTGCCTATAAATATATACATCGGCCGTGGTGGGGAAAGAGCTCGTCCACAAAGGACCATCTATTGAGTTACGCAGAAAAGAGCAACCGCCGAACGCCAGAACCGCTCGCTGAGTGTCCATCCGAAACTACCAGAGACCTTGATCATGCAGAGTCCGAAAACAGGTATTTAGAGCCGGTGAAGTGGGGCCAAACAACTTTATGAAAAGGCAGGAGGAGCCATAGTACAGGTGAGGTACCATTACTATGCGAAAGGCCGTCAGGTAGGTTTGGTTTATATGCCTCGGAGTATTGTGACTTCATGTTGAGTTTTTCATAGTCGCAGGGACGCTTCCGAAACATGCTTCTTATGCTGCCTTAGTAGTCTCCTTGGTGTCGACCTTCTTGGCTTGAGGTCCATCGTTGGTGTCTTCTTCCCGGGGACGCTTTGCGTTCGCCTTGGGAGAGCCATTGCTTGCGTCTGCCTTCTTGGCATCGCTGGAAATTTGGATGACGGGACGTCCAGCATCGCGGGAGTCAATGGCCTTCTTCTCAACAACCTCTTCCCGGTCACGGTAACCATCGCGGTCCTCGCGGCCACGGTTGTTGCCTCCCCGTCCACGGCCACGGCCTCGGCCCCGACCCCGACCGCGCTGGTCACGCCCATTGCGACGATCGCCGTCAAAGCCATTCTTCTGGTCCTCCTCTCTGCGCTTCTTCCAATCATTGGAGTCGACGTCGCTGTTTCCTCCTCGACCACGGCCCCGAAAGTTCCCACCACGACCCCGGCCACGGAAGCTGCCCTTCTGGGGGTCAATCTGGCCATCGCGAATCAGCTCGTTCTTGGCCTTCATGTAGTCCAGCTTCCAAAGTATCAGTAGATCGTGCCCCTTCCACTGGGGCTTCGGGTCCAATGCCATGAACTTCTCGGCAGTCTCCTTGTCGGCCCACTCGACGAACACGGATCCTTTGAAACCCTTGTTGTCACCACGACGGAGTCGAACCGAGTTGAACTCTCCATGCTGGGCAAAGAAGGCCTCAATGTCGAATTGCGTCGAGGCTTCCTCGGTGCCGAAGCCCTTGGCGTAGATGCTCTGCTCATCAGCCTTTTTGCGCTTCTCGTTGTCGGGATCAAAGGGCTTCTGTCGCCGGATGGTCTCCTGGCCTTCCTCTCCTTCTATGACGAGCACCTTGCTCTCCTTGAGGGCGGCCACTACCGCAGAGTACGGCTGAAAGCGGCGCATGCGCTTGAAGGAAGTGATCTTGGACAGGGCGACGGGCTTGTTCTCGGCGCCGCCAGTGAGCTCCATCATGTAGTTATCAGTGGGAAGGTTGGTATCGCCGAAGTAGAATTGAACCTGCAATGGGGGTGCAATTAGAACGATGCTGGTAGGCCACAGCATAATCTGCATCACGTACCTGAGTGCGGATCTCGTGAGGATCGGAAGACTCGCCCTTCACAGTAGGGTCGAACTTGCTGGCTCGCTTCTCGAATTTGGAATCTCCGCGTTGTACTCTGAGCATGTTCTGGGGAGGGTTCAGAACGGACTGGGCCTTCTTCTCGTCCCCATCGTCCTTCTTCCCGTCCTTGGCTTCGTCCTTGGCCTCATCCTTGGTCTCTTCCATGACCTGGTCCTTGTCCTTGGCCTCGTCTGCAGCCTTGGTCTCGGTCACTGCAGCAGCAGCAGCGGGAGCATCTGTCATCTGGACAGCGGCTGTGGTTACAGTCTCAGCTTCTGGGGCTGGCTTGACCTTGGGAGCCTCGCCTTGGGCCGCGATGCCTTCAGCAGGCTTGGTATCTTCTGCGCTCATCTTGGCGGGCTGTTGACGCGAACGTGAGAACGTGGAATGGCGGGGCAGAGGAAAGTAGCGAAGACTGTTTGCGGTGATCAAAATACAGTTACTCACCACTTGATTGTGTCACGACAAGAAATAAACGTTGGTTCGAGCAGGCAGAAAACTTCTGCGCAAAATCACTCTTCTTGTTTCTGGCAATGTTGAAGGAGTGAGCAATTGTGAAAAGACATGAATGTTCCAAAAGTCAATGGAGCTCTCGCGAAAAAGGCTGGTAAACGGTCTGCATTTCTGCGCGCCAATTGAAGGGTTTTTCTGCTAGCCCACCCCGCAGTTTTCCAGGGTGCTGCGTGGTGGAGAAAGCTTTGTTGCATACAACCCGTGCATACAACCCGTGCATACTTACCCCTAAGGATCTCAAGTCAAGCCTGGTCGGCAAGAGCGTAGATGTCAACATGTACAAAGTAGGTTAAGACTGTACAATGGGAGGTGCGAGTGTGCCGTGAATTTTCGAGTTGGGACAAGCCTTGGAACGGCTTGATGGTTTTTATTTCCAAGTACTTATTCTCTATTTGCACCTCGGTCTCACTCAAAGCTCCCAGAGCCGGCCTGTCGAGTCATCTTTGCTCATGTGAGCAATTCCATTCAAACTTCTCGATATTGAGTAGGACCGGGTATTCGACGTAATTTTTGGGTTTCCTCGGTGATCTGCCACAAAAGTGGGCACGAAAGTGTCTCTGAGCTGCGAAGTTAGTTTGATTTTATGCTTGTGTTAGACCCATTGTGATTTGACCCACTTGCTAATTCACTCGCAGCTCGGCTTTGGCTTGTATCCTTCTCCTCCTCGAGCACTGAACATCATGTTGTGTATGTGAAATCAGTCTTGGCGAGAGCTGAAGCATAAGATACGAGACAATTGCGCCCGGCCCATGATAGCACTTGACGAGCGTACCGCTTCCGATATACCAGCCTTTTGGTTTTGTTATCCATCCCCACTGTGGGGTTACAGCAGCTTGGCCAAACTAATATAATACTATAGCGATAGTAGGCAGACTAGCTGTCACGGCTTCAACTGACAAGTCGACGTCTCTTATCTAGTTATCATGGGCTTGCCATCCGAAATCAAGGGGATTGGATCCGATGCGCCGAATGCTGGCTATCTATATAATGAGATCCTCCCGCTTTCCCACCCTTGGGAAATTGTGCTACAAGAGTTCTACGTACGATTTCTGGTTAGCAAATGCCTCTGATCTACGATGGCGAACTCCAAGATCATCTTGCTTTTAGGCGCAATTGCCTCTTGTGCTGCACATTTCACTGTCCCCAATGACGACCAGGATATGAGCGGGCTCACCGTCAACTCTCTCCCATGGGATAAGAGAGTGGAGTACATGCGCAAAACAAACCAGGCTCTATACAGCCAGAGTGGCCCGTAAGTAAACCTCTGCAACCCAGACGTCATGGCCACAGCTGGCTGAGCGTTTCATTGACTGCGTTAGATGTCCATTTGCTGCCTTTGGAGCAATAATTGTAAACCACACAGCCGATGAGGTAGTTTGCGAGGGGGCCAATTTTCGAACTGGGGATCCCACGAGTATGTTCACTTATTGCATTTGGCAGGTGGGAATCGAATCTCGGCTCACAAGAACTGCAGTCCATGGCGAAATTTCGGCCATCAATGCTTGCACTGCCAAGTTTACTGCAATGGGAATGACTCCGACGTAAGTGAGGTGTAGGGCCGGTAATGCCAGCCTTCTCCATATTAATGACGGCGGTACAGACAGATATATGCTGCTTGGGGTGAACTGTCCCTTTACACGAATGCTGAATCGTGTCCTATGGTGTGTTACAGACGTTCACGATTTAACCTACGACTTGCTGACGATGTTGCGTAATAGTGCGCAAGTGCAATCAGATGGGCAGGCTTCAAAGGTAACCACATCCCGCAACCCGCTTGACTTCGAAGGAGATTAACGTTGAGATATTGCAGAGTACATCTATGGGACCACAATTCAACATAACTACAACGTGGGATGGGGAGTTATGACACTCAGCAGCTATGACGTATTCCAACAGTCACGCCAATTGCCTGGATACCAGACCGTGATGCTTGGACAGATCCTCACGAACGAAACCGATCCTCTTTTCTCGTGGCAGTACAATGCATCCGCACCATGCCCAAATGGATGCTTCCGTATCCCAAGTGTAGCAAGGGGCGGCAGCACCTGCTCAAATACAACCGCCACAGCATGAAGGACGTAGATGCATTGAATGATACAGCAGAACATGGTTCACCTTCCCTAGCAGCAGGCTCACCCTATCACCCAGTTACATCTTCCGCGAAATTATACAAGACATATCAGAATTGTCGAAAAAGGAGGTAACAAGTCGGGGTACTTGGTCGATCTGAAGGGGAGGGGTTATCTGACCTGTCCACTCAGACAAGGTGTCGACCTTGTAACATTTCGCTGCTGTATTTGTTTCATTGAAACTCATCAAGGTAGAGAGAGGGGAGAGCAGGGGTTGGGTGGGCCGGAGACCGGAAGGGGCACTACATACCTACGCGTATTTCGCGATGGTCTGGGATTATTTGAATTAGTATACTATTGAAGATGGTTAAATTATTTGACTCAAACTGAGGATTAGAAGGTTTTCAAATCGACCAAGTTACCTGTTATTTGCCATTGTGGGAAACTCATTCAATTGTGCATTATATGGACAAGGTGAAGGCCTTGCCTGGCAACCGCCCCTGACCCGTGGTTCTGGGTTGGACCACCTGAGGCATCCATTACCAATTGCAAACGGAATCAAATAATAGTCAATTCCGACTTCTCAAGCTGTCCCAGACACAATTTGCCGGTGTTTGAAGAAGCAATATCCTGTTCTACTCCAAGCTTCTTCGTCTCCAATGTCATTATATGCCCACATCAGTGTCGGACGACATCTCACTGCAGGCCCATGGCCCTTCACACCCATGTTTCGTCAACAACGTATACCACTTCTTAGCATGTGCGAGCAAGCATCTAACGCACTACGTGTCAGGCGTCTCTTGGTCTTGCGTCTTTGAAGTGAGGAGGCCATCTGCTCTAGCACGAACTCATAACCAGCCCGACGGCTCTCCCGTCAAGCTGAGCTCCAATTGAACCCAGCGAGCTCCTGTTGGTAGGTTTCTGCTCTTACCCCACCGAGAGGTATAGTGTTGTTTGTGCTGATCACTTCAGACAGGTCCAACAAGCCTTTCCATCGACCCAACACGAATGAGCCAAGCTATGCCTAGAAGAAGATGTCCAGAGATCCAGGGCTGCCATCCCACTCTTGTTTTGCCGCCCATGTGGCTACATCACTCAACCAACTGGCCTTTTGACACCATCATAGGTCTGCTCAGCACCTCTCATGTTACCAGTGCGTTCGAAAGCACACAGTAACAGCCACCACCCATTGCCGTACTCGAAGAGGTCCGGGGAAGAACTTGGGAGCCATTCCTGTAGCCCATCTCATCATGTGTGCTCTCCTTAGGCAATGCCAAATTGGGAGCCCCGCATCATACAGCTTACATTCATCCTATGTGTGCCTAACATAGGACTTGAGGCTTGATCACGGCTATATGCAATACTGGCTTCAGGGGTGATTCAAAAGATTCATGCCCATTGAAACTAACCCAAGATCCAGACCAGGATCATTCAGAACCCGACAACCGCCTGCACTGTAGCCCATAGCAACCACACGCCAAACAGCGTCAACACAGCAGACGACGCGAACCACTAATTCCTCATAATCCAACACCCGGCGCTTTCGTCCGGTCTCCGTCCCCGGGACCGAAGGCATATACTCCTTTCCATACGCCTCAAGACTACTGCTCGGATACTTGTCAACCAGGGATCTCATGGCATCCCTGCAACTAACCGCACTTAGAATTCACGGATGATCAAGCGCTGAGGCTAGGCGGGGATGTATTTCTGCCGGTACCGCAGCCTCTCGAGCCATAAAGCCGAAGCCGACATTTCTATGCACTGTGTTAAGTTAGACATGTAGCAGGAAACGTTTACACAGTTATGGATGGCGACTTACACTTCGCAAAGCTTGAGCCGTTTGTCAAAATCCTCCACCGGCGCCGCTGGTGGGAAGCATCGCAGGTACGCCTGGATATACTCTTCGGTGTGATGATAGCGTTCGATACGCCAGTACCAAGGTCGTCTTACCTGAATCAGTCCTTGCATGAAAAATAGCGGGCCGCATGTCACTTGAATTCGTTACGTCTATAAGAACACCCAGCATAGAAATAACAGGCCCCCGGTCTTCGCATCTGTAGCACAGTTGTCACACCACATATTCCCGTGAATTAGGGCAGGTCTGGTGGACCTGAGCCAGGTCAGAAGCCGAGGAAGTCCTTGACATTGTTGAAGATAGATGCCGTCAGGTTGCTGAACTCACCGCTTGCTGTGCGGGTCTTGAGCGTACTGGCAAGAAGCTCCTCCCAAGTGTCCCGCCACCTATTGTCCATTTGGCTGGCGCCAACGAGGGCGTCGATGGAGAACCGATATTTCACATTTGTCGACGTGTTATTTTGGTGAAGCTCGGCCAGCTGCATGGTATACTCTTCCATGTCCGGGAGCCGCCCATCGACCAGATCGCTTGCAGGCAGCCAAGAGTCAACAGCGGGCCTATGTTTTCATTTCATCCTGCCCTAGAACTTGCTGGAAATCACAGGGAAAGCAGTGCGTGTTTTATGTATTTTGGAAAGGTTTCTATGCAATCGGTCTTGGGATGAAATCGGACTCGGCAAGTTAGAGCGTCTTCATGCTGATGAACTCGGCTCTGGCCATGTCGCATTGAAACCAACTACTGTACAAATGCCGTTGTTCGGTGCTATGACGATCTGATTTGCCAACATCCATACGGAAGTGGTGAACCTGGGAGGTATGACCAACAATGCCGAGAAAACAAAGAACAGACGACCATCCTGGAGTAGCTAACACTCGTTGGCTCTGGTCGATGTCCAAAAGCGTCTGTTAGGATTGTGTTGGTTCTAGACGACGCTGGGAAAATGCAATGGAGAACTTTGAATCTGAATAATATACAAACCCGAAACCATACAGAGAGCGTGATGTCGAATCAGACAGCAGCTGGTGTCATAGAAACATTGGGACAAGCCGAAGCCAGGCGTTCGGAATGGGTTAACTAAGTGACGTTGGAGTTTCCCCCGTCTTGTGGCTTGCACGTGGCTGACGCGACAATGCAACAATTGAAGCAAGACCAATTGAATTTCAAGGCCCTAGTTGCCAATTGGACTTGCTCGGCATCTTCCATTAACACAACTTTAGAACTCCTTCTGGGCTCTAGCTGATCGGTCTGAGCCAAGAGCAGCTGGCAGCAGCTGAACGTGCAACGTCACTGGAAATTTTCTGGTAGACGGCCCTCCTCGTCGCCGAAGCTCTTGGACAGGCGAAGCTGCGATTGGGCACCTCTTCAAAAGCAGCCGACACCATGAGGGGAAAGAGATTGCACGCCCTCAAACGGCCGGTGAGCAATGCCTACTACCAATACCGAATTGCTGCACCCAATTGCTGACAAGTCAACGGCCAGAAACTCCGGCAGAGCTGGAACAAGTACAACTTGTACAACTTCTGGCGCCAACGCGACCCCAAGATCGGCCTCAAGGATGACGAAACCTTCTTCCAGCAGAAATGGCGCGCCAAGGGTCTGCTGCGATCCTATCACGGTGAACATGTGCGCGAGCGCGACTGGGAGCGCATGTTCAGCCGCCGGTTGCTCTCCGTCGCCAACATGGATGCCCGCTACATGGCCGAGTGGGACGGATCTGAGCAGGCGGCCGGGCGCGGAAGCGGCCAGGACAAGCGGCCCAACTGGAACGCCCCCGACGTCAAGCCCATGACCCTGACGCCCTACATGAACATGGCATTTGCGCCGCTCGAACGACGCCTCGACGTGGCCGTCTTCCGCGCCCTGTTCGCCAGCAGTGCGCGCCAGGCACGCGGTATGTGTGTCCATGGCCACGTCAAGGTCAACGGCAAGGTGACGCCCCATCCGACGTACAAGCTCAACCCCGGCGACATGATCAGTGTCAACCCGGACATTGTCATGTTCGCCACGGGCCGTCCCAAGGGCAAAGCCTACGTTGAACCGACACCCAGCGGCACTGCCAGTGCTGCTAAGAACAAAAAGCTGCGAGAATTGTACGAGAGAGGGGTGTGTTACGCTTGCAGGAAGCCAGGGCATTTAGCCGCCCACTGCCCAGGAGCGGGAGCATCAGAGCAGGAGCTGTCAGTCGCCGAAGCCGAGTCAGACGCGACCGTGTCGGCACAACAAGCAGCAGCAGAGCAAGATCCCGACACAACCGACGCGCCTGAGGCCCCGGTAGAAGATATGAAGCCCACCCGCGAAGCCATCCAATCCCTCATGTCCCAAGCCAAGTTGGTCCTGGCTGCCGAGGCACCCACCCTCAAAGTCAAGCAAAAGCGCGACCTGCGCTCCTTCATCAAACAAGCCAAGCCCCTTTTGTCCAGAGCCGGTCGCCCCTCCGCCACCCCCAGCGACATCGCCTCAGAGCTGACCAAGATGGTGTCGGAACTCAACCTAGTCGACATCTCTAACGACACCCAAGAAGCCGCTGCTCAAGAAGCCGCCTCGTCATCCGAGACACGCGAGCCCCCCAAGTCGATAGACGACCTGACGACCGACGAGCGCAAGGCGCTTGAGCGCCTCATTCGCGAGGAAGAGGAGAACCCCATCGACCCTTCTAAGCCGTATGCCACGCCATGGCGGCCTCGGTCTTATATGGCGCCTTTTGCCTTTATTCCCAAATACCTTGAGGTGAACCAGAACGTGTGCTCGGCTGTGTACCTGCGGCACCCCGTGGCGAGGGTTGGCAGGGCCGAGGTACCGACCCCGTATGGTTACCGCATCAACCAACTGGCTTTCAACTGGTACTTGAGGAGACGTTAAGGGGGCCCCTTTGTGTTTCAAGATGAAGCAGCAGGAGGGAGGGGCAAGGAGTCGGTGGCGGTGTCGGTGGCGGTGTATCAAAGTACCAAGAAAAGTGCTTGTACTATGCCATGTTAGGCCATCTACTTTGCGTATAGGCAGAAAGGGGGCCTTGAGGATGTGTCGCAGTCAAGCGAAGCCAAGCGCGGCAAGAGCTGGTCCAAGGAACGAACACCTAACCAAAATGAAATGTGTATAGAGATGTATATTACAAGAACAATATGTATCACCACCACTACCACCAGTGTTTGTCCCTACGGCTCTTCATTCACAATGGCGTAAACTCTTCTCCCTAAACTACAGTCCCGCACTTGCAAATCCTCAAGCCCCCGATTTTATGAGTTGGCTCAGTGGATGCGTCGACACTGTAGGGTTCTAACCTTGAGTCCTCAACTGCCATCTCACCCTTGATAATGCGCAGTATTTACTCTCAGGCGTGCAATTAGAATCACCCAATGTCAAAGCAAGTCAAATCATTTGCAAATGCAATGGTGAAACACAATGGTCGCGAGCGGAACGCCTCAGAGAGTCTAAAAACATCATCCTTTTGATTCAGACGACCTAAACTAGAAAAACACATCGAGCTGAAAACGAAGCAAGGAAAATCAGACGTTTTGTCGACGTAAGGAAACCAGAGTGCGGACCACAGTTCGTGGCCAGATGTGAGTATGATGCGAAACCCCCCCCCCAATCGTCAGATGGCGCGAGCCAGCTGAGACTCGTTGGACCATGTTCCACCGCGTCAAAGATACCACCCTCTCCTAAAGTACATGCATCTCGTTGACTTGGGAGGGGGGCTCTGGGCGATTCCCTACAGACGTGACCCTTTACTTCCAGCACAAACATGCCGAGCATTATTGTCCCCACTCCAATTTCGGGTATACGGCCGTAATGAACAAAGAGGAAAACGAATGGTTGGGCGGTGGAGTCCGAGTGCTGCGTGATGCGAAGTATGCCGTCGAAGCCTGGAGTTTTCACCCATCAGGGTATTATATGCCTCTTGTGCCTATTCGCCAAATGTCATGCCTGCACCTTCTCTCCAAATCTCTTAGGATGTCGGGGTAGTGTGATGGACCATGAGATGGCAATATAGTATGGGATGTTGGGGGAAGGGGATGGATGCAGCTTGTCAAAACCCGGAAAACCAAGCATGTGTCGTGCATGTGTTCAAGACAATGAAGCCTGCTTCTTGGAGCGTTGCCCTTGGCCACGGAGACGAAGACCACCGTGTGACAGTGTCCCGCTTGCGACCGAACTGAGAGCCGACAACCTTTGCACCGGCCGAGGACTGTCTTGAGAGTAGTGGTGTGTATATTAGAGTGATTAAAAGAAGAGAGTGTAAATAGGCAGAGCAAGAAGCGAAGGAACGCGGCAGGCTGGTATTGTGTGGGCATCATCAAGGCTCGGGCATGAGTCGTAGAGAAGGGAGATGAGGGAACAAGGCATTCGTGACTGCTTAACGCAGCGAGAATCCCTTTCGCTTGCCCTCCTTCTCGATTGGCCGTCCGCTTTCGACTCTGGCCTTCTTCTCCTCGAGCTCTAACCGTTGTCGCTCCAGTTGCTCCTTCATCTCGCGATGGCGGGCGTACAGCTCTTCTTCACTCTGCTTCAGCTTGCTCTCCTTCTCGGCAACCTTCTGCTGGAAGACCATCTTCATCTCGGCCTCCATCTTGGCGAGCTTCTGCTCATGCAAGGTGCGCTCCTCCTCTTGCTTGACAGCGGGGTTGACCTCCTTGAAGACGCTTGGGTCCTGGGCAACGCCCATAGCAGTGAGCTTGTCGGTTCTGTAGTTCTCGTACAGCAGATTGTTGGTGTGCTCCTTGAGTTCCTCCATGTGGGTTCGGATAAGCATCTGTCGAAGCTTGACGAAATCGCAGTGTTCCTCGTTGTCAACTTCAATCACACCCCAAGGGTAGCGGCGGCCACGGACTTTGCGTCCATCGGCGTTGGTAATTTCGTTAGTGGCACCAACAACGGCGAAGGGAACCTTGGACATGATCTCGTTGTTCTCGGCAATGGTTTCCTCATCGTCGAGCTCGTAACGAGGGCCCTCGAAGATCTGGATACCATGGTGCTTGATGTCGGCAAGGATCTGGGTGGCATGTCAGTGTACTGCAAGTTGATTACGATCTCAGTGGAGTACGTACTCTGGCTTTGAAGCTGGCAATTTCTTCGTCGGTGAGAGTATCGGACTTGGCAATGACAGGGATCAAGTTGACCTTGGTGTGGAGACGTCTCATGACCTCAATATCGAGAGGCTTGAGAGCATGGCCAGTGGGCTGAATAAAAAAGACACAAGCATGGATGCGGTTGTCGACAATGTTCATGCGGTTCACCTTGTTCTCAGCATCTAAGTAGGCGTCATATCGCTGCTCGATGTTGTCAACAATGGGTCTCCACGACTCGTCGTTGTTCACAAAATCGCCGAAGCCAGGAGTGTCAACCACAGTCAGGCGTAGACGAACACCCGCCTCCTCAATGTCTGCACTGATGGACTGGATGGTAACCGTCTTGGGAATGATGTCGAGGCTAGGGCCCTTGCGCTCCTTGGGCGGGTACAATGATGTGTTGAAGAGGGTGTTGACAAGAGTCGATTTACCCAAGCCGGATTCACCTGCGAGCAGAGTCGTCAGTCAGGTGGGTTGATTAGTCTGGAATGCAGAGTTCACGTACCGACAACCATCACGTTGAAGTTGAAGCCTTTACGAACACTCTTTCGGTGCCATTGATTCGGCAGGTTAGCAAAGCCGACATAGCCAGTCAGCTTCCTTCGAACGATGTTTTTGCTTTCGTTCACTGATGAAGTCAACCCGGCTGACGCTGTAGCTCTCGAGTCAGACGTAGTCGGTGGAGGAGACGTTGGCAGCGGCGTTTGATCGCCGTTGGCCGGAGCAGGGGACCCACTGGCCGGGGGAGAAGCACTACCGTTCGTAGCTGGGAAAGAGATAGGTCAGCATATGAAATCCATAAGAACAGTCAATTTGGATTAGCAAGGTAGTAAGTAGTAAGATGCTGAGGAGCAAGCGGGTGCAAGAGACGCCTGGATTGTTGGCTACCATTGGACAGAGGTTGAGGCTCTCCCTGCGAGTACTCTCTCGGTGGTTGAGCATAGAGGCCTTCGTAGTCCATAGGTTTGAGAGGTGCAATGGAGGGAGCATCAACAACAAGCATGCTTCGGTAATGCCGAATAGCCTGGGCCTGGTTCTCCTGCTGCTCGGGCAAGCTGCTGTGCCTGGACGATGGTACCGGAGGTGTACAAACGGATTCCCGTGACTTCAGCGCCTCAGCAGCCACGGCGTCCGCGGCAAGGGACCTGTCCAGTTGCACACTACGGGCTCGTGCTTTAGAGTGTTTGCCAGAGAACATGTTGTTGTAGTTGTGAGATTTTGTGGTGTTCTGTACTTCTGGTGGTGTGGCAAGGGAGGCGGATGTTCCTAACAATGGCCAAATATTCCAAAGAACCAAAAAAGGAGCAGACCCAAGAAGTGATAGATCAACCAAAAACGAGCGTCGGGGGATGGTAACGAGCGAAAGTGGTGATGTGATGTTGTGGCGATGAGTTGGAGGAGAGGCGAGGACAAGAGTCGGGTTGGGCCAGGTAAAACACGTCGATACGGGGTCGAAACGTTGTGGACAACGAGGAAGGTGCGCCGGGTCGTTGGTATACATTCGTGGCAACAACAGCCCAGGCGTCTCTCGCACTCGCACTTGCTCTTGCTTGTTCTCTTGCAGTGCTTGCTCCTCGGAGCCGTCGACAGCGATGACGGTATCGACGAAGATGGTACTTACCCATGTTGAATGTTTCAAGATATTGCAGTATCTATGAAGGTGAGATGCCGAATCGAAAGAGGAAAGCCCGAGTCTGCCAATGTGGAAAGGTTAGTCGCGAACTTTGAATGCGATGCCCGTCAAATCGTCGTGGAGAGCGCGAAGATGTACCCGAAGGGAGCACTCCTGAGCCCAATCCAATGATGCAGCCGAGGTGGAGAGTCAACGTGTTGTAGATGCTACTGGCAACGCGATTGGAAGGGAGGGCAGGAAGCTTAAACTTGTCTAGACGGCTGAAGAAGAAAAAAAAAAGTCGGTCGTAAAGATGGAATCAGGGGGTCAGGTGTCGGCAAGCAGTGGTCAAGGAGATTCCAATGTTCTGTTCACATACCCAAAGTCGCTTTCTTGCGGAGCAGAACTTGATCTTCGAAGTCGCGTGTCAATAGGGTCGCAGGACTGGCCGTGATTGATGATGAGATAGTGACTGGGGGCGGCGCAACAACAAAGTAACTGGGTGAAGGTCTAGCGAATGCACGATCAGAAGAAGAGACGACAGAGAAACGGGGCTGATGTTGATGCCAGCGGAAGGTTTGATGATGCGGGACCGTAATGAAAGATTAAAACTGTGTGACCCGGCCTGCCATTTACTTTTTTTTGGGGTGCTCTCAATTTTGGCTGGGCATGGAGAAGCAAAAGGGGCTCGTCCTAAATTTTGGGCTGGTGGCATTACAGGCAAATACGCATGGGGGAGCGAGCACAGCGCAGATTGATGTGCGGGTGGTGGGTAGAAGTGCCAACGTGTGGTCGGGCCAGCCAGGAGAGCAGTACAGAAGGGAGGTGCTAGACAGGGGGTCTTAGAGTGCTAACGGGACAAAACGGCAGGGGGTTTATGCCCAGTGGAGCTTCTGATTGGCTGGGTGCTTTCCAATTGGCAGGGGACATGATCAAAATGACGCTTGACCTCAAGTTACCTGCTTGTTTGCCATCTCTCCCCAAATTGTTGTTGCTTGACGTCGCGCGACTGGAAGCTGGCAACACCAGACTCTGACCAATTCAAACATGCTCGAACTCTTATCGCTGGTCTCGAGAGATTCATTCAAGAATGCCAAGAGGCTTGCATGGATGAATCCGTTGATTTCAGTTGCCCAATTCCACGACTTGCGCAGCCACCTCATCAGCTTCTATCACGTTGTCTGCCGTTGGGCTCCACTGCTTCAAATTATGGGCAAGTAGCGGCCCGGCTAGAGCCTGGAGACTACGCCAATTGGCACTCTGATGCATTGACAACAAGTTGAGACCCTGAGTTTCAACATCGATAAAACAACGGATGATGTCTGTTTCTTTCGACGGCTGACCATGAAAGGTGATGAGACGTCACGATGCGCGATAGGCTCAATGGAAAGCGCAGAAGGACGTCGTGCTGCTATGCGAGCTCCAACACTCCACATGGCCAAAAATTAAGGGGTCTCGTGTTGGCAAGATGCAAATGCAACTTGTTGAACTTGCAGCTTTCCAGACGTGCTTCCATCAAGTCGCATCCAGAGCAAGCACGTCGCCCAAGCAGGCATAGTGCCTGTGGCTGTTGTGGGGAAACCCCCAATGTGCCTGCAGCCAATTTGGCCGGGGACCTGTTCCTAATTTTCCGTGGTCCTGGCCAATCAACTCGAGTTTGGAGCCCAATGGCCTTTCCTTTCGACTCCATGGCTTTTACTGAAGCGGATGAAGTCAAGCATCAAGTAGACAATGAGGTCGCCGTGATGTTCAGGTTGGGGTCTGAGGGATATTAGGCCTTTCACGATGGACTCATATGAACAAATTCTCATCCACAGAGCCGCAAGAGGCAGTTTTTGCTGCTCAATCAAGATCTCGTGTTTACGAAGTGGCAGCAAGCGATCAAAACTTCGCTGATGCCTCAGGGGTAAAACAACACGGTGACTAAGCTTTGCCATACCATGTCGACACCAGGGCACGCCCATTGCCTCTGGGTCCTGCGATGTATCGAATGAAACGATGAGGTCGCTGATATTTACTAGCATTGAATGTCAACAAGCGTGATAGTGTGGGCCGCTTCGGATCGAGGTGCATCAGTGCCAAGCTTGATATGTATAGACAGAACACGGTGAAACATAGCACCGCTTTCCGTCTCACCCAACGGTCTGATATGTTCACTTTGAACCGGATCCATTCACAGTACTGTCTCAGAGGCTTGCAACATCGCATGTTGAGACCTGGAGGCTCGTGAGATATATGCTGCTTTCCGCGGTGCAACGGGATCTCGTGGGTGATTTCATGTGCCCCATGTTGTGCACTCGGCTTGTGACAATAGCATAATATCCATGCCAAATTTTTACGCAACAGAAGTCATCAGGACATTATCCTCCTTAACTGGCCAAGAAATGTGAATCCGGGCAGACTATATACCTGATTATCCCGAATCTCTAGGAGCTTGAATAAGATGACTTGGCGTGGCTGACCAAGTCTCAGGAGATTGGAAACGAGTTTCCTCACATGGTCTCAGAGTTACAACATCGTGTCCTCATCAAGTCGATGACGGCTTTGCCGTGATGTCCAAATCATATGAAAACCGACGTCAGCGGCTGAAGACTTGGGCTTTGTCCAGCCTTCGAGTTGATTGCAGCATTAGGTAGCTTCGGGCCAACAACAACCATAGAAAGCCCATCAGTGTGCCTTTCTTGAACTTGCCGAATGCTGCTGTCAGAAGCATCAAACACAACACTTCGTGGCCTCAAGCCCCTGGGTGAGATTGCAAATAGATACGTCACGTACATTTCGCAACTGCTTAGATGGGGCATGTGGAACGAAGGAAGCTCGTCAATATCAGACGACTGGGTGGCACTTTTGTGTAAGATGGAGCCAAATGTACAAACGTTAGATAATTGGGTTGACTGTTTGCAGTTTTGTCTTTCATGAGGTGTGATATGAGGTGCGCAGCTCATCTTGAATCTGAAAGCTAACGCCTGCGGCACACCTTTGCCTACAATAAACCCCACAAAGTCACTACACAAACAAGCAAGTACTTATGTTCAGTACAGAGCACCCAGAGAAACAAAGTTCTGTGATGTAATCCTAATACTAAGTACCTTGATTGCTCAATGGTCTGAATCGACAATTCCCTCCGTAGAATAACATTGCTACTCCAATTTAATGCATATATCTCTCGGAGTGGTACATGATCAAAGATACACAGGCGGTCCTTGAAGAATAACACTGTTGGCTATCGATCAAAATCTGGCATCGCAGTGTCTTTAGTAGTCTTTTCGTCATCTTTGATTAGTCCTTCTCCCTTGAACTGCGACTCCAACCACGCTAACTCAATAACTTCATAGAAATTTTCTGTTTGTCAAGCTGACGATAGATCACCGAGAGACTTCTGGTTGTAACCATGTGTTCAAAATGTGCGTCTGATGAGTTTCTTTGGTCCAGCACCTCTGAATAGCTTGAATACAGAGTCCAGAACTCCTGTCTTTCGAAAGGCTCGGCCGAGGTTGCTCAACGCTGATAAAGTGCCCATTTCCAAGCATCCTCTTCCGATGAGCCGAAACTTCGTAAAACCGCTCTCAAGCGTCAACGAAACACTCTTGATGGTAATGTCCGGTGGCAATACTGCTCAATATTAGGAGCGTTGTATAAGTCTCATATCCAACTAGTTCCATGCTAATCAAAATTTCGTAGAATATGCTCTCTGCTTCGGAGAGCAGGCCAGTGTCGGCCAATAAAGCCGCAATGTTCTGACCAAGATGGTCTCTTGAGCCTTATTGCTGAGCATACGTATCATCGACGTTACTTACAAGCCTGGTTCCTTGGACCGCTAACTAACCAAGTTATCTCTAACCCCTAGCGGTAGTATGTTACCTAGAAGTCCTGCGCTCAGGATTGAGTCGCTAAATTCCGTAGTTCTCGGAAGATAACTGTGGAGTATTATAATCTAGTTGCGCTTATGATTAAAGAACAGTGGGAATTTCTCGTTATAAGGAGTGTATACATCGGGGTAGTTCCTATGATAGAGTATTCGTAGCTTCGTCGATCTAAAGACTGATATCGGTGTGTAAACGTTTAAAAGAGGAAGATAGTTCTACGGAGATAGTGTTACTAGCGACATAATACTCCGTAAACAAGGCCCTAACTAAGTTAATACGTCGGCGAAGATAATAACCTATCTTCGGAATAAACCATGTTGAGACCTGGTTTACCGGAGAGTCTAGGCTTTAGTTAGATAAGAAGGTGCACGAGGTGTTTAGGGCGACGATTACTATTTAGGCCCCTAGAGGTTTAGGGGCTATTGATTAGCGTACTATTGGTATTCCTGGAATCTATTATCATTGGTAATACTGTGTAAGCTTCTAGCGGTAGGTCGTTACATTCTTGAGTTCTTCCTAGTAGCTAATAGCTAGTAGGTAGTCTTTCTATTTAATATGGTACGCTCTTTAGCTATCCAGATTCTATAATTCTTCAACTTCATTCTCGCATTAGTCTATATACACGAGCGATGTCTATAGTGAACTACGTTTAGGTTGTCCCAACATCCTTTATCGTTTCCGGCGGCCCTTCTTCCACAAGTATATACTGCAATGACATCGCTATAACCCTCTTCAAGGACAAGTTTGGCTGGCTTGCGGCGGCATTAGTTTACATGTCTACTGTCCTGGCAGCGATGCAGATTGGCCTAGCGACGTCTCTGGGGGCCAATGGTGCCTTCCAGCCTACATCCTTGGAATTTGCTGTTTTATCAATGTTTTCCCCTTTCATTGTTATAGAACCTCGCTTTCTTATATTCTTTAGTTTTTTTTCAGTAATCACATCTCAACTATGGCTTACAAAAAGAGGGAACATCATTGATAAAGAGGTTCAGGGAAATCACAATCTCTACATGACACGATTGCTCGACAAAGGTTATTGCCTTTACTATAAACAAGTAGTCCTAGAACTTCCATTCCAAATTCGCACTTTCACTTTTGAATGACAGTGATAACCTACCGTTTCCAGCAATTGGTGTAGCAGGCGCGTTATATAACCTTTATCCATTGCCACTAATTTCGAGACGTTATAAATTTAAAATCTATGTGTTTCTCCATATTAAGTAATTAAACTAAGGATTACTTGATACTCTTCATTACGTGTAATACGTATCGGTTACAGATAGCAAGACATTACGTGACCTTGTAGAACCATGCCACATATCTTACATAAATCTATAACGCACATTTACTAACTTAGTCGTTAGAACATGTAACTCAGGCGAAAATAAGACTTCCTATGATATACATATAAGTCCCTTTTCAACCAAATATCAACCCCACTACCTTCCTGCGTGTCTCGTAAGCGAGGAACTGGAATTTCCTTAATAGTTGTTCGCGGAGTAGCTGCCTCACGGCATTGAGCCAAGTAGCGGATTTCTATTCTCTTAATGATTCCATCGTTGAGGGCCAAGTTGATGTCAGAATTGAGAGGCTGGCGTACCAGTTCTCGCAATAAACGCAGTAATGATAGTTGCGCTTCCCAGCACCGACTTGACTAGGGCTTGACTTGTTCAACTCGACTCCCCTACTTTTCGAGGGCGGGCTTGTTGACTGCGGCCGAAGGGATCAAGCTGATCGGTTCGATGAGATCGAATTTGGTGTGGACTCGGCAACGACCCTTCTGCAATCTACTCGGCAGAAACAGCAAACTTACTCATGCTCCTTAACCTAGCCCCAGTAAAATACAGAATCCAGATACCAACAATGCCAATAGTGCTCAAGCCTCCCAGCAAACTAGTTCCTCTAGCCACGCCAAGGTTATCAAACAGAGGCTTGGCAAACAAGATGCTAGCAAAAGCAAGGGCACTGCGGAAGAAATCGTTACCGGCAAACAGGCTGGCGGCGTATTGAGGGTAGCTAAGAGGCACGTATACAAAGATACACTGCATTACGACGAACACCGTGGCACCGTAGATGGTGATACCGATAGTGGGAGCAATCCAGTGGATATCAGGCCGTGCCGTCCATGCGAAGATGAAGAGGCCGATGGTTGGACCGAAAGCGGCGCCAAGTGCAGGGATCAGTCGGGTCTCCTGGATGGGGAATCCTTTGGCAACGATTCGGGGGTTCATGTAGAAGTACAAATACGACACATAAACAACGACTCCGATCAGACACGCCACAAGGACACAGAGGAAAACGAGGCCAACTTGACCATATCCCATGCCGTAGTATACGGGGTAGACAAGCGGGAAGACCTCAAAAAAGCTGTAATAGATGCCGTAAATTATAGCGGTATAAAGCTGGACGAAGAGGATAGCAGGGTCCTTGATAGTGATCTCCAGCGGCTTGATGAGGGCGTCCACGATGACGGCTCGGCGATCAAGGTCCCGCTGGTCGATCTCGGACTGCGACATGAAGCGGTTTGAACCCGTGAGCTTGCGCAGACGCTCGGCCCGGCGGAGGAGAAGGTTAGGGGTTGATGTCTCGGGGAGGAAAAGAAACATGACGATGAAGATAGGGATTGATGCCCACAGCACCTCGAGAAGAGACCATCGCCAGCCCTTAACAGGCACCGAGAATCCGGAAAGCAAAGGACCCAAGGCAGGGCCATTGTATGCGGCAGTAACCCAGCTCACAAGCGCGTAGGGAAGGCTCATCATCGAGTACATATCCCCCAACGAGGCTGCCCCATTCGCCAGACAGGGAGAGCCAAACAGCCCCTGAAGGAAGCGTAAGACCATGAGCCCGGGGAAGTTGGTCGCCAGCGCCGCAGGGATCGAAACGATAACAAAGAGAAACATGGTGTAAATATAGATCGGGTTCCTTCCCACGCTGGGCAACTCACTCAGGGGACTGAAGAGCAACGGCCCGATACCATAACCCAGTACGAAAAGCGCCAAGCCGAGCGAGGCCTGTGTGAGACCCACCCCGAACTCTTTCATCACGCCTTCCACGGACGTGACGTAGATAGCCGACGATGTGTACACGACGAACGTGTACAGACAGATAATCAGTGCCACCATGCCCCGGCGCAGATTGGACCAATTATGCGGGTTCTCGGGGTCGTCGGTGTAGTACCAGTCAACTAGAATGGCCCCGTCTTTGGTTCGGCGCGGAACGACGGGGATGGATCTCGTCTTTTCTATTTCGTGCTGCTGGTCGCCTTCATACCGGTCTGATGTGTTGGGAAGGGTCTCGGCGCGGCTGCGGGTCCGGGTTAGGGAGATGCCGTAGGTGGATGGGTCGGCGATGGTTTCTCTCTTTTGGCTTTCCTCGTCCTTTGGACCACCTGTATCTGAGGACTTCGAGGAGGCGGCGCCTTCTGCTTCTAGGATTGTGGAGTCCGTGGGCTCGTCTAGGTTGAGCATACGCTGCCATGGCTCCGGCAGTTGGAACTCGGGCTTCTCTTCCGGGTATTGCAGCATGCGGTTTCGGGTGACGAAGCGGATTATAGCCCCTACCGGAGCATCGCGAATGATATGGGACATTATGTTGAGTGTTGGGGGATTTTTGGAGTGGTTGACGAGTTAGGATTGAGATGAGTGGTATGGGATTTATTAGATGATGTATACAGACTGAACTTTGCAATCTTCCACTAGCAGTTCGAAGGCGATAGAAGAAGCTCTTCTTCAGTCCTGTACACTGTCACTACTTTATACTGAACCAAATGGTGATCATCAAACCTGGATGTCATGTCAACTTATACATCTCACACCCAGAACTTCCTTCCGCGTCAATACGGAATTAGTAGCTTGTCTCCTTGTTTACATCCACCTAGCAAGCCACTATATCATTTATTACTCAACACGCACATTAAAAATCCAGCCAATATGTTTCAGAGTTTCACGGGAAGGCCCAAATCTCAAATCGGGGATTACCAAGCACGGAAGTTGAACCTGCAAGGAATCATGGAAAAGAGTCATGTATCATACCTACTACGCGCGGGTGCCGGAATTTAGATGTGTGAATCTTGCAGTAGGTGCTCGATCCGGCGTTATGTTGCCATAGCCACTGGCTATGCACATGGTGAGATTTTGGTCAACGGGCATAAGTACCGAGAATGAGACGAGGAGATACCGATGTACCCCTTGGTAGTCGATGTTAACAGAAAATCGGTCTCATCCAGCAGTTTTGACCAAGAGTCTAATCATTGACCATCTGATCCTATCACCAGAAACCCATGAACTCCATTTTAAGCCCCTATCAGAGCAGAGGATGAACAGTCAGCAAATAGCGGCTGCCAAGACTGTCCCTGTTTGGTCCGAAGTTTATCTAGAGGCTCAACTAGCCTTTCCTGGGGCCAGCAGGATTTATCAGCGATATCTCCTTTTTCCTTTTCTTTAGAGTGCCAGAATTGTCTTCACCAATGAAGGTTAATATCTTCTCGTAGCATCATGCTTGGGCTATCTGGGAAATCTGTCTTCCCATTGTGACGCAATTCATCCGCGCTTATAAATACGGGTTGTCCTACAGAGACAATTTGCATAAATGGGGAATACAGCTGGAACTCATTCTTCGAGCTTTGAGCTAAGGGCCATGTACAAGTAGTAAATGACACACGTCATACTAAATGGTTTATTTTAAGATCCGCAAAATTGTGATAGCACTCATCATTGAGATTCGTCATACTAGCTACAAGAGTGATTGTCGTTGTCGCATTTAGATGACCAAAATCCCTGATACGGGCGGTCTTCCTCAGCTGAGAATAATTACGAATACCGGCGGACGTCCCCGATAACTCGGGCGATGGACTCGTGCCAATAGCCAAGGCCGGCAGATCCAGAAATGACTGTCATGTGTCTGATGTGCGACTGAGCGAAACGGTCCATACTATGTGGATGATGGCGAAGGCAGCATGCGCGAACAAAACCGTGGAGGTTAAATAGGCAGCACGCGAGTTTGTGGCATAAACTCGTCCAGAGATGAAGATGTCCCAGCGAAGCTAAGTAAGGAGGCCGTTAGCCGTGGTGGATACAGCTACAAGTGACGGCAAGACAAGTTGGACGGCCAGGATGGCATCGAATTGTCCCAGACCTTTGCGGACGGACGAGACGGCTGAAACGAGGCCATAATATCGTAATCCACGGGGTTACCTCCGTGTTCAACGTAGCCGGTATGGGCCATACCGTCGGCCACAGTCGCCGCCACCGCACCCTCTACCACGGTGCTCACGTCGGACCAATTTACTACTCGGCCGGTACCATTATCGACGCGCAAAGTGTGGAGGATCCACGCTAGATTGGTAAATTCTGGAACGCCTTCGCCGTCCCGCACCGGGTCCAGGGCGTGCATCCAGTCGAGGTCGAGCATTATGCTCTGTTCGAGGCCGGGGCACGCTGGAGACTGGGAGCCGAGCCGGGGAATTCGAAGCCGCCAGCCTTGGCAGTTGTGGTGTACAATCGTTTTCCGAGCCACTGTCCTAGATTGGCTCCGGCAGTCGTGCCAGTGGCCCACCTGGCACCTATCGAGCAGCCCAGAAGAACTCCGGCCGTCGAGGGGTTGGGTTAAGGAACTTGCATGTTAATATACCCACCGGAGACCCCATGGAGACCCCCTAATATGTCCTGGGCCGTGTCTATGATCTCGTTTTCCGGGACTGCGGGTGCTTCTTTGAGATGGATGGGCCATAGGGTGCCGTCATCTGCAACTAGGTGGAAAGTTGCCCCTCCCGCCGGCCAATCCGCGAAGTTCTGTGGTAACAAGAGCAAGGCGGAGGACAGGCCAGAGAATATGGCTATAATCTTGGCTCGTTAAGCCAGCCCCAAGAGTCCCGCTTGGCCAAACCAGAAGTCGGGAGAAACCAGAACGAGACCTCTGGGTACCGGATTGTGGCGGAGAGAAGGCCCAGTGGCAAGCCTTCAGACCCAAACAAGAGTTCACTGCGGAGAATATCCTAGACTATGACGGTTACAGATGCTACAATAACCAGCTCCTATTTCGCAGATTATGCCAATTAGAAAACACAAGGCTCGGGGGTTGGAGAGTAGCTAAGTAGGCTTTCTCACGGATAGCTTGGCCACGATTTGTAGTAGAAGTAGGTCGATAGACTGAGTCGTTGGGTCACTCAACCCTATATACTGGACGCCGATGAAGTATTCTCGGAGGGTGAGGGCTACCTGCACGCTGGTTGCGCACAAAGGTACGATGTGGACAGTAGTTTGCTCAGTGCTGCCGACAACTCTTCTCTCAAAACAGCGCTGCCTTTGGTCTTGTTATGCTTGTCTAGTAGCCACGTATATGTTTGAACGACCGATCGAGTCGCAGAAGAGCTACACGATTTGATCCGCACACGGACTGTGTGCAGCTTCCACTTCCAGCCCTGCAGCTTCCTTTGCCATCGTTCACCGAGAGTAATTCGATGTCTCCTCGCGGCTGAATTTGACATCAGCCGTCCTGATTCATGGATGGATATTTTGTAAGATAGACCCTTGTGGTAGTACGAAATCTGGATTCTAAATAAAAGGGCGATTTATTCGTCTCGGGTCTGGGAATCGGAAACAAAGACAATGATTTCGTGCCATGGGGCTTTAAAAGCATCTCATATGCTGACGATGAGGCTTCCCATAAAATTTCTACCTTTACAGTATAGCCTGAACTTCAGCTTTCGGCCACGGTGGTGGCGCAGCCTCATGATGGTCTCGTGGGGGCCGTGTTATTGCAGGTCCGTACAGGCTATAGTGCAGATAAAGCTCCACCTACGAACTGGCGCTCATAATAAGCAGCATCACAAGCAGCAGGCTGATGAGCTCACTAAATGCCGTTTTGCCAAAATTCCTTTTTCATCTCTGGGAGCCTGGGGACTTAGCTCAAGCAAATGCAGTGCGCAAGCACCGTTGAAACGGTCAGGATACATACACATGGTGTCGAGCAAGCCGAAAACGAAAACGGCCTGGAGCGATGCCCATGTGTTCGATTGCAGCCGTTTCACATACACTCCAGAACGCGAGGAGGAGGTATGAACCGCTTTTCACATGCGCCCTATTGTTGGGCAACGTTTATCTGCACAACTTGTGCATAAATAGGATTCCGAAGTCCGCTATCTGCCACTAGGCTGAGTAGCACATGATTAAGTTGATGCCCCTACTTCGCAGACCGGATCTTGCTTGCGCCATGTAAAGAGGAAATCGTGGAAGTCTCTCATGGGTATCGAATTCTACCTAAAACGCGGATGGTCCGGCTGAACGCAGTTGCGCAGCGCCAATAAAGATTTGTTATACAGTCAGATGTGACGTTATCCCGATCCCCACCACCTTCGAAGCTATGCTGGGTTACACCCAGAGCCCATGAAGATTTGATCAGGAATAGCTGCCCCCGCCGTGGCTCGAAGCAAAGGAATCATTACTCATTTGGCAGCCCTACCCATACATCGACTCAAGGTCTTCAAAAGAGTTTGTAGAGCTCGGAATGGGAGGTTCCACAGAGCGATCCACCCAGGGTTCCACCAACGGTCTTACCTGAGGCTTTGACTTGGGCTCACTTGGAGGCGCGGCTTTGTCAACTATAGCCGCTTTGTGTTGTTCCTCTTGAACTGCTTTCTTGGCTTTGTCGCTTTGCAGTTTCGCTGCGATCAGGACTCGAACTTCTTCGTCGACGTCCAGGCCTCTCTTCTTGCAGCCATCGAGAAGAATTTGGACCCGAGCATCTTCAGCAAAGATGCAGCCCCTAATGAATGCCAACGCTGTGCCTTTGTTTAACCACCACCCTCCTGATTCTGCTGCCGGGTCGTTCTGCATTTGTTCGAGGTATGAGAATGCATGATCGCGTAGCTTTTGCAGAAAGCAGACCCTTATGGCGTGGTCGTAAGTGGACTGATTCATCTTGATGGATAAAGTCTGCATCTCGGCCATAACGAATTTCAGGGACTTGTATACTGAGCAATGACTCAATAGTAAGTTGAATGTTGTGGTGTCTGGTCCGGCTGTACAGATCCTGCGCACGCTGCGATAGACATCTAGCCCATGTTTGAAGCCGTGTTGTTGGAGAGCTGCCTCGAGCACAACGTTGAATGCAGCAACGGGGACCCGATGTTCCAGCTGGAGGTTGCGTAGGCAAAACAAGGCGGGTTCTATCTCTGAGGGCGACTCCCGTAGCAATCGGTAGATGACACGAGTACTGGATAAGTCCGGCTGTAGGCCAGCTTTGTCGATGAGGCAAAGAGTGATGAAGGCTTTGCGTAGGTCGCCTTGCCCGGCGTGAATTTCCAGCAGAGGTTCGAAGTGATGCAGGTCTAACTTTCGTCCGCGCATCGAAAATATCTTCAGGGCACTCGAGGCCATGACGACATCCCCATTCCGTGAAGCAATGTTCAGCACGTTGAGAACAACACCATCTGAAGGAGTAAGCTTTCCTGGCCCCACCATTCGAGTCCAGATATAATGGACGCCTTCATAGAATGAATCTCTGCTGAAGGAGTCTAATAGAACGAGCCAGAGGTTCTCTCCCGTGTCGCTGGCTTCTGGATCCCTGAGCCTATGTTGCATGATCATGAGGGCTTCTTCACTGAAGCCCAGCTCGCCGAACGTATAGATGAACGTGTCGTAAGCCCATATTGGAATGGGAACACCACTTTGATACATTTCTTCCAGCTTTTCGAGCGCCATCTCATACTGTCCATCTCTTAGGAGGCCGATGGCAACGGATACGTGGGCGTTGAAGGTCGGTGTCAGCCAAGCTTGTCTCATGTCCTTGAGCACCTTGTTTCGAAGAACGTAATCTGGGTGTATAGCGAGAACCTTGGCTCGTCAGTGACTATAGGCAACGCGACTTCCAAGATTCAAAACTGACATCCAAAATAGCATTGTAGACACCAGCAGTGGGCAATACGCCTGTTGTCTCCATCTCCTTCAGTAAATCGGCAACGATCTGGGCGGAACCATGTTTGTAGTCCGTGTTGGCCCTGATGATGCACTCGTATAAGAAGGCGGTGGGCTTCTCACGGCGCTTTGTAATGAGATAATGGACAATCTTGGCAATGGAGTGGTACTGCTGCTCGAGAGTCTGTAGCTCTCGAAGGGTATCGAGCATGGTCTGAGTGCCGATGGAGTCAAGCATAGCATCGTCGAAGTTGTGCGCGCCTCTGAAGAGTGTGCGAGGAAGTTCACGGTTACGCTTCCATGCGCGGTGCATATATTGAGAGAACTCATCTTCGCCACTTGCTTTGTGCCGTTTGTTAAGTATGAATGAGCCGGATGGAGTGGCATTTACATGTCGAAAGACTAGCCCGCATTTCTCTAGAATGTGTGCCTTTCCGTTGTCTTGAGATGCTGCAGTCGAGACCGAGGGCGAGCGTGCCATCGCAGGCGCAGAGGTGGTATATCTACGTCGGCATGGCAGGTGCAAATGTCGTGGCCGCCGTAGAGGAGTGGTGGGCTTTTGCAGCGCCCTGGAGAGGGTAATTGCGTCCAAGGAAGGGCATAAGCAACGCCAGAGGCCATCTATCACAATGCACTCCCCAGGCATTGGCGTTGACGGCAAATTTGCGTCTCTACGTGTTATCGCATCGTGATATCCTTTATAGTAGATGGGTAACATTACTTGGCTCCGATAAAGTAGCTTTTGAAGCTCGGTCGGGTCGTTGGGTCCAGCCGACGCGGTTTCATCATCACGTGATCTGGCTACAACAGCGACTTCGGTCACGGGGAAAACACGGATAAAGGGACAGAATCACATATTTGTGCGGAAATTCGTAGAGTCAGATTATTTATGTAGGCTATCCCCTTCTTCGCTGGCTTCTCCTCCTGTGGGAGCTGTTGCCACAGCTGCCGACTGCAAGGACCAAACCTCTCCCGGTCTGGTGTCCCGGGTCTGTGTTTGGGACTCCAACACACCTCCAAGTCCTAGCCAAGCTGGATATCCTTGGGTATCTTCTCTTTATCTCAGTGATGCCTCATGCCGAATATGTCGTTCGAAAGTCCTGTCGACGTCTGACTGTTAGCCTCATTATGAGACAAACGCCATGTCTCGTGTCCTGAATCTCTCTTAGCATACCACAACCCCATCTTCATTCTCTACTCATGCACCGCGGCCTCGGCCTCTTCCCCTGCCCTGGCCACGTCCACGACCACCTCTGTCTCCCCGTCCACTGTGGTCTCCACGCTGGCCACCGCGTCCGCCTCTGAAGTTGCCTTGCTGTCCATGTTGCTGGTCTTTCACTTGGTCGATGATATCGTCGGGCACTCTTAGATATTTGATCTGGAGGACACGTTAGCCTCTGTCGCCCATTCCCATGTTGGTGATTCCTGGTGGCAACCCACGTTGTTGCCTTTGACGTAGACTTCGGGCAGACGGACGAACTTATCCGCTTCCTGCATCATTTCTCAGCCATTTGTGATCCCTAAATTGGTGTCCGAAGCGCCTCTCATACCGGATTCGATTGAACGACCTCCTTTAATGTCAAATTCATCCATGTGTCGCATTGTATCAGATGCCCGTTGAGCGTCTCTCCATTCTTGAGTTCCACCAGCATAGGATGGCCTTGCGCCGCGTTCAAGAGGCCGAGGGGCAACTGCGACGAGACTCGTTAGTGTCGGTAAATTTTGCAATACGATCAGTCGGTGCCTTGCCATCCTGTACAGCTAGTGCTAGTTGCCGGGTCAGTGTCAATGAAATATACGCAAGAGCGCACTTGCGAACGAGGATTTCGTAGCTGATGCCAACCTTAAAGCTCGGGTTCCAGTCAACGTAACGTGGGGCAGTGAGGCTCGTACTCTGTTTTCGGAGCGCAAGCTGAGCCACACAAACCGAGTCCTGTGTGCACAGACCAGGTCAAATAGAAAAGATGAATATGTCAAACTTGCATACAGTATTGGACAATTCGACTTCGCATCGAGAAATGGCTTCCATGGTTACACCCTGAATGCTAGGTAAATCCCATTTGTTACCGAACATACTTTTGGCTTTGAGGTACTCGCGCATCTGGCACTTATCAATCAATATGTCACGCATCTCTGCAATCTCTGCAACTCGAGCTGCGATTAAAAGACTGCGCAGCCTTTCGCTTGGAGCTTGGGAGCAGTCCCATCTTCAGGCTCTTAGCAATGCCGGAAGATTTGAAGCAACCCAATAACTCTCTATCAATTCGTTTATTTTAATAGGTATACGAGTTTCTCAGGGCTCAAGGATATCGCTGCGACAAAAGCGCAACTTACGGTGTAACCTCTGGTTGATGTCTATCGACGAAGCAAACCCGTTTCGAAGAACGTCACATGGGTCCTGGCTTCCCGTGCGGCGTCGGGGCCCTCGACTCAGCCCACTTCCAGATGGGTTAGAGGACTCGTCAGCTCGTTGACCTTCATTGGTCAGTTCCCGTTATTACCCTGGTTCTTGCTGGAGATGGGCTTGCGCAGCGTCAGGACAGCGGGTTCTCATTTCTGTCGCTTCATGAATCGAGTGATTTCATGAATTTCCTGTTTAATTGTGTTTCTATCCTTTGAACACCTCGGTCGACGAATTGCCCTTGCTCAATCGCAAGTGGATTGGCGGATTTACAGTAATTTCGAACGGGGCTGTTAGTCCACGTAACGCACCCCACGAATCGCGCATACATAGGACTCGGCCGCAACTGTTAATGACCCCCCCTTCCCGCACACTTTAGGCAGCCGTTTTGTTATACTTTTTTCTTACCTGTCAACCACACTTTCACTTTGCCATCATCAAACCAGTTTCTAGGTAGTCGTTGGCTGCCTATGCGATGATGCGCGGCCTTCTGAAGGCTGCGCTGTGGCTGACGCCGGCGCTTGCGAGAGCTTTCCAAGACAACCCACCTTCTGCCTTTATCCGACTTGACCTTGCCACTAAAGAGGATGATTCTCCAAGGGAAACCGTAGGTCATCTGAGCCGCCCCAATTCAATCCAGTCAATTTAACTTTGGCATCTAGTCACTTCGACTGAGTGTACTCGAGTCGGCAGAATCATGTGGTTACGGAAATGTTACTCTTAATGGCCACTCTTTGATCCAGGATGACGCCGGAATCGGCTCGGGATCTATCACAACGGATCAAGGTAACATCATTGTTGCCAGCTGGACATTTTCCTGCGTAGACTCGGAGACGAACCATCAAGAGCAGGCGTTGAGCCTCAAAGTGGACTTCATCGATAGCAAGCAAGTCGAAGGATTGGGATTTACCGTCCAGTTCCAGCAAACGAGTCCCACTTGGGTCACATATATCGAGGGAGCTGAGTCGGTCATCAAAGCTCCGAAGCTCGTTTTCCCATCCAAGGACTTTAAGAACAAGGACGTCAACAATGACCTGGAGAACGAGATTGCTGAACTTGAGTACATGAAGATGCAACTTGTCGAACTGGAGCAGGCGATATTCATGAAGGAACAGTTTTTGGCTGAGGCTTTTGGCTTCCATGACAAGATTTCCAAGGTCACCGACTGCGATAATCTCAAGTGTATTTTCCTGTCCGTCTACGACAGTGTGAAGGGCGCCGCCAGTAAGGTATACGGAGAAGGATTCGACTTTGGCGACCGACATCACAGGCATCACGGCCCGTACAGAGGTTTCGGTAAGGGGAAGCATGGCAAGAAGCCTCACGGGTTCTCTCAGGATCATAATAACCGCATGCACGGGAACGAAACCTCCCCGCATCCTCCGCACCACGGCAAGGCTCCCCCGTTCTGCCACTGCCCGCCACCACCGCATCACGGGTTTGAACACGGTGGACCGCCTTTTGACCATCATCATGGACCTCCAGACGAGAGATTCCCATTCCATCATCCTCATCATGGCCCGCCGGGTGAAGAACCCCCCTTCGGTCACCCTCATCATGGCCCGCCGGGCGAAGAACCCCCCTTCGATCACCCTCACCATGGCCCGCCGGGTGAAGAATCGCCCTTCGGCCACCCTCACCATGGTCCGCCAGGTGAAGAACCGCCCTTCGGTCACCCTCACCATGACCCGCCAGGTGAAGAGCCTCCATTCGACCACCAAGGCCCGCCAGGCGGGGAACCTGATTTCAACCATCCCCCGCCGGCGGATTACGAAGCAAGACCAGAGGGTCCTTATGGCAACATACCCCCACCGCCTCCGCCAAGAGAGAGTGAAAGGGAGCACCCGTTGCACCTCACTCAAGCAGGTGACCATCCTCCTCCTCCGCCTCCACCTGGCGGCGAACACCCGCCGCCTCCGCCCCCGCCAGATGGACGACATGGGCCTCCTCACCATGTTCATGGGCACCCCCACGGCCCTCCACCCGTAAGTACCATCTGATCCCTGTCCCTGAAACCTTCTAACCGATGCCAGCCATTTGACCTCCACCAATTCGCTGCGAGCGTCTCGGTCTTCCGAGTCCTCGCGACAGTAATAGTCCTCGGTTTCCTCCTCAGCATCCTGCACACCCGCTGCATTACGAGCAGAAGAAATTGTGCCCGCCGCCAAGAACGCTATGAACAGCGCATCGTACAGAAGACGAGGCTGATGAAGCTACTAAAGAGCCTCAAGAACTTGCTTGCAGGCCGCAACGCCGAAGATGAAGAGAAAGACGCCATCATGCGCCAAATCGGCCAGGAGAGCGACGAGGACAGCTTGCCCACAACTATGGAGGAGGAAATCGCCCAGTTCAGGAGTGCGGCCGGAGTGGTCGGCGACATGGTTGCCGCCGAGGAAGGCCGCGCCAGAGAAATGTTGCAGTGCCAACGCCAACATGCCATGCCCAGGGCCATTCCTTCGAGCCCCATATCCCCATTTCTGGACTACATGTCGGTCGATGAAGCGCTCCCAGCATACGATGACACAACGGAGGACTCGAGTTATGTGGCAGATGGCATGCGGGGTGGCTCCAGGTATACGCCGAGCGACAGTTCCGTTGCTGGGTCGCTGGATGATGTCCTGGGCCGAAAGGATTAAATTTAATATGATAGACACATGTGAGGAAAGAGGCAGAGCTCCCCGAGATGTTGGGATGAGATTACACGAACGCCGTGTACCAAATTTTCTTATGTTCCGAGTTCATTAACTTTGGGTCTGACCAGTCTAGCACGCCGTCGCAAGTAGACAGACGGTACTATCATTGGGTTGCGGGAGAGACCATACATGCTGTTGGCAATAATGTCTTCCCACCACTGTCGGGTTCTTTGGCGGTTTCTACATGTAGCGTTTAATACTACGCAACGTTGAAGCACTTTTCCTATGATGTGACATTGTAACCTTGCAACACTCTGAAATTTGCCCATTACTCCGTGGTTTATTTCAATTTTGAGTCAAGGAAGAATAATATTGTCCAATTACTCACCGCGTCCCCCGAGTATTTTATGGGGGTCGAGGTCCATCTTTTTCTGGTCTACATATATAGTTGCATCTGCAGTTGCATCTGTTCCTGCGGTAAATGTTAATCAAATGTTATTTTGATATGGTTGCAGTGTTGGCGGAACCATGCTATTTTGTACACGTGTAGTACTTGCAAATCCCAATGCTTTGACGACGCATGCCAGGCCAAACTAGTATAAGAATCCAACCCACGAATCCCCACATTCTCTCAGACCGAAAATCTCACGATAATCGTCTGACTATTATGAGATAACTTGAACACTGCCGAAAGGGCATAGTGTGGCCCACAATCCATTTACATTTACGATATATCTGTCAACTAAACCGGATTTTCACCAAGCGGGTTTAACTCAGTTGGGAGAGTGTCAGACTGAAGTCAAACTTCATCATGTAAATCTGAAAGTCGTGTGTTCAATCCACACAAGCCGCAATCTTTTGCCGATCTACCAGACAAGCTTCAATTTTGCGAGTTGGTTGGGGGTGCCCAGGTGACCGAAGCTCGGCTTGAGAATTGAGATCATAAATAAGAACGTCATGTTCTTATATTCTGTGTTGATTTTTCCCTCACGAAGTACAGGAATGATTTGTCCCCTTTGCATGTGTCCATCGAAGGAGTTTTTGGTCATTTAGGCAAGGTCTCACGATCATAAGACACAGAATGAAGTTAAATAGCACTACGCTGCAACAAGATGATGACTGAACAACATGATTTAACAAGAATAGATTCGACCATATCTCACTCCAGCACGTGTCTCCCACTCTCGGACATATTTATGTATGTACAATTTCAAGGCACTGTTACTACAAGGGGCTTCGAGCATGACATGTGCATGCATGCTGTGGTTGTGGATCTATCAGTTTGCTGTGTGCATGCACCTTCGATCACAACCGGATATGTAGATAAATAAAGCAAAGTACCTAAGGATCAGCGAACTACCTTTACTTTGACCTTTAGCTCTTGGGAGGGAAATAGAAAAAAACCTGCGTTCTCTGGGATATCCTGACCTGAAAAGCTGATAGAATGATGGAAGGGCGCGAGTCTGCGCCTCCCCCATTCCCCCCGACTGTCCTACATTGAGGCGCAACATAAAGGTCTTGCTTGGACCAGGATACCGAGTTTGCTCAGCCTAATTGAGACCGGTATATATTTGTACTACGTGCTATGGCAGGATATATTGTGTGTGACTGCATTGACAGTTCTGCCCCCATTTGGCGACTTTCGGGTTTCTGGTACGTTTAACTGAGCAAGGGTTCATCGTCTGTTCCATTCAGGCCTCAATAATCCTGACTTTCTCGGAGAGTTTTTGTCAAATTCTACAATGCGTCGTTCCATATTAGCTCCCTGTCCTTACCGAAGCTGCCTTACAATAATTGATGACAGGTCCTCATTGGGCGTCAGCATTTGTGCGCCCCAGGTGCGACAGTTAGGCAGTAAGCAATGTGCCAAATTTCGCAGAGATAACTTCATTTGTGTTGGAGGTTGAGATGAACCAGAGATACAGATATCCAAACCTCGGTAATCCACTGCATGTGGTCAATTATAAGGCTAACAACTGACGAAGCCCGTATATCTACGACACGGAGGCGCTTGCAAAGCCTCCAGTCCCAAAGGGCAAAGCATAAAACAGCATACGTCAGTTCAGGATAACATGCCGTACGTAAATACTAAAATAAAGATCAAGTAGCGTTTCTACAAGATAATCGAAGGTGTTGGCCAGTACCATCCAGCGGGACTTCAACAGTTAATCAACACAGGTGCTCAAGCGATGTTACTTGTTCTAATATAACTAAACTTTCGACGTTCAGTTTCAATGTTGGAAGTAAAATACATTCTTCGTTTCAATCAAGAAGTTCAAAACTAACCGATGCAGAAAAATAGCCCAGAGACAAACACCCGCTCCGGTCCCAACGCCAGGAGAATGGTGGATACGCAACATCGCCCAAACCAGCACACCTAGCGCACAAAGGAAAAACCAAAGATCTCAAATCGCCACTCCATCGCTATTTAGGAACTGCCAGAGAGCTCAGTGAAAGACCAGGAATTATTATATTGCTGTCGGCTGGTGTAGTTGGTCACTTCGCTGGTAGATAAGTCCCGATTTGAGCCTCGCCCACTTGGGTCGGTGACGAGTCGCGGGTTCGAATCCCGCAGCTGACACACAAGGGGGTTTAGTCAACCCTTACGGCGCGCTGCCCACCTTGTTGACTTCGCCTACCTAGCGATAATAGGGAGATTGGTGCAGTTTAGGATTACGAGCATCCTAGCCAGTCGACCGTCAAGCACTACGTCGGCGGAATATAACTCGACAGCCGGTCCAGAATTCGAATCGTTAATCCGACCCCTTATCGGACCTCGCCTATCCGACAACGCTCGTCGGCGAACCCGTCCCCTCACGATAGAAGGCGCGCAGCACGCCCCCTCGCCGCGATTCTTGCGAGCGTCTAGACCACGTTACGGTCTATCCACTTGAGCGTATGGTTGAGATGTATACGCTCGACGAGAACCCCAATTAGCAGATACTACGACTTGTCGCGACAAAAAAATAGTCGAGCATCTTCTGCACATCAGCAGCATCCCACCCCTGAGAACGAATTTAAGTGCCACATTACCACACTTATCGGTAGTTCAGGCAGGGGTTGTAGCACAGACTTAGGGAGGGACAGGAGGTTTAGTAGTCGTTTGGCTACAAGTTTACCTGTATAACCGCCCGACGCGGCTTAAGGGCTCGCTATATCATCTATAGCCCCTTAAGGGAGTACTTGTAGAGGTACCGAGGGTTAACACCTACGGCGTATTTAATATTTTTTTTATTATATTGCTATCTCTCAATGAAACTGATGCTGGTTTCAATGGTGCAATCATCTGGCTGGCACTCAGAAGCCAGCGACCTGTGTGGGGGGAAACCTGGGTTTGGGTCATCCAATTCAACGGGAAATTAATGTGATACTAAAAATGATGAGGCCTTGAAGATTTGGGAAGAGGATAAAGCCAACTTCTGCTAGGTACTGTAGCTCGCCTCGTCTTTGTTGACATTTGCACTTGTTGCTGCGCCAGTGCTCCTTGAGGTAAGTACTGGGATGACATACATGCTCGGGCGTAGAGATTCAGATAATTCACTGCTTCACCGAAAAGGACAATCGGCCTCGTCTAGCCAGCTAATAAACCCAGATTCGCATATCCTCTATTTATAGAAGTCCTCAGAAGATCTTATAAGTACATGCCAAAGCGCGTAATTCACGGGGGTTACACAACCCCGACCATGTCCCGATAAAAGTTTTGATCCACAAATTTAACAGAGTTACAATACTCGCGCTTGCCTTGCCAAGGTTGCGCCTAGGGTTTACGCTGATGAGTCCTTGTCCATCTAAGCTCTGTCATGACTGAGGCCAATGCTATTCTCGGATCGGTGGATGATCAAATTTCAGAGCAGGATAGCAAAATGCGTCCGATCTGCTAATGTTCCCAAAGATATAGAGTACTATGCTTTGCAGTAAGATGTGTCCCTCAATTCCGAGGTCATAAGGAGCGAGCATTTGAAATACTAGAACCTCTCGCTTGCGGTTGGCGATTGTTTGACCATCAACTTCCCTCCGAGTCAACCATACTGCCTTATCGAGTCTTTTTGTTATGTTCATTTCCATTACCACTGCTGGCTCATATGCTCGTGAGAACTATGACGTGGATTATGACGTGGATTATGACGTGGATAAAACACACGACAAGAGTGTCTTTGATAGTCTCCTACATGCGCTGTATGGGCAAGCTCATGCTTAAAACTCCCCGAGCCTTGATACGGCCAGTTCTGGCGGCGACACCACTACATGTGAGTAGGTTTCACAACCTCTTGGTGGTCAGAGTCGGCCCCATTATACCGTAGGTATCTTGAATGCCTTAAGGTGGCCATGGGCCTTTTCGTTGGTGGCGCTCACTTCCCTAATTATGCCTCGAAAGGGCAGCTTTTCGTTGATCATGCCAGCCACAGGAACGACGATGCCAGGAGGTTGTCTCCCGCCGGCCCGCCGAGTTGCTGAACGTATTGCCAAGTTCGTGACAACTTGCGTCGATTGTAAGCATCTTCAAACTTAGTTGCCTTCACTCGGTAGCATATTGAATCATCCCCTATTAAGTTGGTGGTCAATTACATTACAATTTCAAAGCGTAGGCATCAGGAGGTTACTTTCATACTCTCAGAACTTCAACAAGAGTGAATAACGGCTGGGACGCTAGATTTGTCTTCGAGCACGCAGGCAAAAACCTAGCTCGCCCAACCCGGTCCCTGGTATTTTTCTCGTCATACTGTAAATGCCAGCCTCGCCCATTCTTGTCACTCCGGCTCCACCTCCATTTGCTTTTTTGTCGCCTACGTGACGCATACCAGACCGCTCAGTTGATTTATTCCTCCAAGCAGAAGATACCACGAGTACTAGTATTAATAATGACAGCGCATTACAAGGAGAAGTGCCCGTACAGGTCTCTATATTTAGTATCCACGTTTCCGCCTAGCTTAGCCCCTTTCTTCTCTTAGCCGGATTCGGTCCTGAATTGCGATCTACCACTCACTTGTACATGTGGACTGTCAGGCATGTTGCCTGCAGTGGAATGAGGGTGTTATTTGGGCCGTGCATCTGTTGTACATGGTTTCTGAAGCGAATTGTTGAAGCCAACGTCACTATATACAACTTCTGGTTTTTGCAATCAATGCACTTTGTGACAGTTATTGTGGTTTGGCGTTAGGTTCGAATATAATATGACCTTGAAGAAGATGAGAACACTACTGGGGAGGAAATTCGGGTTGCGTTCGCTGCGCTACTGACAGATGTGCTGAATCTTCGAAAAGAAGTGAACAAACTCTGGAAACATATGAGGCGGGGACGTTTGGACTGCCGCTTGTGGCAATATTTCCAACAACACAGAGGCTCATGGGCCACGTTGCAGGGTCAGCATCACCCTGCCGATACTTCTGTGTGTCTGTACTACTCACAAGCTTTGCAACCCGTATCCGGTCATGCAATTGTAGAGTTCTCCTCCCGCCTAGCAGATGTGGCTTGTATTTTTAAAGTTCATCTCGGGATATGGTTTGATATCGTGGATGAATCTGACCGCGTCTGGTGCGCCCATTGCATTATTTACACGGAATCATTCAGAGACCAGTATGGACAGGCTGTGGGAAGGACTATATACGGAGGCTATGAGGGAAGTGCCCAGCAATCCGGAAAAGCCGGGGAGGAGGAAATGGAGACCATGAGCCACCACGCCAATCCGCTCATACGTCTTAGGAATTTGTCTGGCAGCTATTATCGCAATCAGTCCGGCCATAATTTGGCTTGATTGTCGCTGTATTTCTTAATTTCTCAATTTCAAAGTCTGAGGCGACAGTGCCATCTTCTTACCCATGCAAAAAATTGGCCCCTGAACGCCGTATTATCAACGGCGGGAAACTATCCTACAAGAGTTGTCATTATATTCTCCTTCGTTAATCTCGAATGCTACCGGCTCTTAAGCATGGCAGTCAGCACAGCTTTTATATATGGGTTCCTTTACACCTACAAGGAGGGCTTAACAGTACCCTTAAGTGTACATTTGAAGGTCATGTTGATTGACGCCATATTGATCTTCAGCTGCAGAGCGGTGGCCGAGGATGATGAGGGATATTAGGAGTGCGCAGAATGCTTTGATGGATCTTTCAGAGTGATCACGCAGTCTCGCTTTCCGATGAGAAACAAATCAGCGATGATGCCCACGATAAATCTAAGAACATGCCACCAGGGTCAGAATTATCAGCAGATGAAGGTAATGAAAGCGCTGGTGTTATTTTCTGCGTGCTTTCCCGATATTCGAGAAATGCTTTGTGATGGACGGCACCCCCGTATAAATATATGTTTTATTTGAAAGATATAATGACGTCTTACGATGCCGAATGTTACCATACGATGGGTCCAATTAGAGATGCCCTCCTCAATGTCATGTCAACACGTAGTAGCCCAGGAGCAACTAACCAAGTAAAATTATCATTGAGAGGTCATAGGTTGAAGCCTGACGCTCATTCGAGATCATTGTGGCCGAACCGCGATTTATTTTGAGGAACTGTCGGCAGATTCGGATCGTGAAGCCGGCATTTTCTCAAAATAAATCGGGGCAGCCAATACGGAATGGGAAGTATGAAAGAAGTTAAGGAATCTAGCTTGGATCGTTGAGCCAAATTTGGAGGGGTAGGCGTTGGTGGGGAGAGTAAGATGGTGTAGCGACTGCTTTGGCAGGAAATGGAATAGTCTTACTGCAAAATGAGGGTTTGAATCTAGACCTCTAGAATCAACTTCACTGGTATCCCGGCTGTAGCATGAGAGGCGAACCGATTCTAGATAAACAGTACTGAAATTATTGGAAATACAACTAGGCAGGTGTAATTCCCGGTGACCTCACTCACAAGGAACTCAAGGATTGTTTCCAAATACAAACCATTTCCAGTTCTTTGCCAATTTTCCAATGCCATCTCGCAATTCCCATCCTTTGATGCTGCAAATTTTCCGACAAACATCCTCAAGAGCCTGATCCATTTGCTCACCTGCGATGTGCAGATCACTCTCGATCAGTATCCTATCGTCAGGGACTGCGCGTATGACATCTTTTAACTTGTCGGAGCTACTGTTCCAGTTAACAGCGGTAGAGAAGGAAAAGTAGACCTGTGCCGGCACCGAAGGGTGAGTATACTGTTTTAGTATATTCACTGGGCCACTGAATGAGTGAAGACATATCCGGGGCGGATATGGTCTTTTTTTATCATGGGTGCCTGAATTTGAGGGGCCAGACTTGATTGGTTTTTGTTGAGTTGCCTCTCTCAATTCATCACCCTCTTCATCTGACATATCTGAAAAATCCTCAGCGTTCTTAGCAATGCGTCTTTTCTCTCGTCGAGACAAGACCTCTTTCTCGTGACCTTTCCAACAATCTGCGATAGCATTATACAAAGCTCCATGAACCTGAACACCATGCACACTGACTGCACGGTTCATCTCACCCGCAAGACGGAGCTGAGCTTGAAGTATTATCGTCTGATGTTCGGTTGATATACGAAACGGGCTCAGACGTCGGTCTTCTCGTCCACCTGGAGTAAGCCCATGGTCTCGTTTACTCTGCTCGACGGGAGCCCAATTGACCGGGAGTTTGAAGGCTTTATCGAGACCGATCTCGCCTACGAGAGCAAGTGAGTGCTTCTCCAGACGTTTTCGGGTCTCGTTGATGAACTCCGACAGCGGTCGGGGCTCCTCAAGGCCGGCACTAAAAGATGGGTCTCTCGAAGAAGGAGTCGGTGCTAAGACCTTGTCGTAATGTGCCTGTTTGCTTGCCTCTGAGCCATCATATGCAGCGGTCGAATCGTCGTAAAGCTGATGCGAGAACCAAGGATGCCACCCAAAGGAAGGGATGATGCGTTGGTTTGAAGAAGCCTGAGGTGAAAATAAGGTGTCACCATCCTTGACCCCGAGGTCCTGCGCGATACTAGAGACCAGGTCCTGGTCTTGTGAACGAGTGGACATGACGGTTAACGCGCGGACATTCATGCCAGGGACCAAGGCTATGGAGCCCATAGTGTCGGTTGGGTGACAGTGGGCATCAAAAACACCTGCGTCCCAGGGGAAAGGCTGAGTGTCTGAAACACTCTGGACGCCTCGAGCATGTGGAGGGAACTCCGCTGGTCCCTCGGAGTGATGCTGTTGACACATTGTGGAGTGCAGAATGTGAGGGCACATGGAAGTTCAGGGGCTCAAACTCTCTTGGTCGTTAGGCGCAACTATGGGAGGCTCTGAGCGCTGCTTGAGGTCGAAATGATGTCGGAGCCCAATGTCACAAGCCACCCTGTCAAACTGCGCAACTACCAAATGTTCGTAAGTCTACAGTGGGTTGTAGAGTGTTCCTCTGATAATGCGACTGGATCAACAGCGGTCGGTTTCGGACAGTAATTCCAACGTCCTAACAGTCAGACAATTGCTTCTAAGCAAGGAGCTTTTGCGTAATTGCCAATGACAAGACAGAGTATCCCAGTCTAGTCGTCTGGGCTTTTCGTTGCGCCGGTCCCCCAAGGTTCAACGCGGCGACACGCCGTCTGCGGACTATTAACTCTCAGCCTCTACAATGGCAACCTGATCATTACCAATGAGCCACGTTCTATTGATCTGGACACTATGATCAGCACTCGAATTTGAGTGGGCTAGAGGTTAAGTGGCGCTGTTCAGGAACCGTTCCATTCGGTTGCCAATACTGCCAAATGCTGAAGGCTTGTAAGGATTGTAGAAGAGTCCGATGAAGACAGAAGTCAAACCAGTCAGCATGTAGAGTATGTTTGGCGAATACGAACAAAACGCGTCAACAGAGTGTTGAAGAGGATGCAACTTAATATGTGCTTGGTAACAATTGCGTGACTCAACCGGCCAGGTTGATGTCTCCGGATCAACGTTGCGTTGCATGCAGCCTGAAAATTCCGATTGTTCAAACCATTCTTTCCCGGAATTGACCGCAAGCGCGCCGGGGTGGCAATGAGAGCACCTCTACCTGGCTGTCCAAGGGAGATGATCCAATCACCCAACGCCCTGGCAACTACGAGCTCAAGGTGCTACTTGAGTCCAAGCTGTCCAGGCTTGGCGATCCCCGCCTCTAGCCGCATTGCTAGTCCCAGATTAACCCCAGCTTTTGCTGAACCCTTCTTGCCTTCCACCAACAATGTTGCATGTCCCAGTCGACTGCCAATCGGGGGTGGGGGGAACGGAGAGAGGGGGACGGACGCCAAAACGCACGATGACTGCGCAACCAAACGCAGACGCCGCGTCGACATGTGAAAACTTACTTGGCTTCCACGGCCCACGCCAGCAAAATCTCAAGTACAGCTTTTACATATTTGTGCAGCCCTCCTTGAACTCTACACGGTAGGCATAGCAGGATCAAAAGATCTCTAAATGGAAGAGGCTATGGAAGGTTGAAGTTTGCTCACCACCATCGCGATCTTGACGGCATCTACGCATCCACACCACCCTCCATCTTCTGGAAGCATTCACCCATCATGCATTAAGCTTCGAGTCTCCCACGTCTACGGGAAAGCGTCACTGTTTATTCTTTTCCTCCATGCACCTATCTTGCTCTCATTTCTCCGCTTTGGTGTCACGCTTGGCGTAAACTGCCTATTTTCATCGGCCGATCCTATCTTTTCTTTACTCGCAATTTTCTTTGGACAATACTCTTCCTCAACTGAGACATTCGATGGTTTCGACAACGATGTGTGAAAGTTCGATCTGAACAACCTGTATCACATCAATTCCTCAACCGTTTCTACGCCTCGGGTTTACTCTCTTCGAACGATACCACTCGAGGCGTCCGGCTGTTAGGCACAATGGCACTCGTCAATCCACTCCAGATATTCATCTTGCCCTTCGTTTTCTTGGTCGCCTTACCACTCGCACTCTGCGCTGGTTTTACCACTATCCTCGCCTTTCTCGTTTTGTTCTTGCGGCTTTTCTTGGTCTATTTCGATGTAGGGCTCGAATGGCTTCGGTTTGTGGTCCTAGGCCAGGGCCATGGCCGTTACATACAGTCACCATCCGTCAGCCGTCGGCACAGCCCGTTAATATCTCCGGTCTCATCACCTCCATCGTCACCTGAAGCATCCTCATCCCGGAGTAAGAGGAGGAGAAAACGCGCGGGCAGTCAAGGTAGTGGGTCTACTACGCCATTAGGTGGACTTGATGGCCTTGCTCTGACGCCCAGCCGCTCACTCGATCGCGACTTCGAGGGAATCGGTGGTTGGAGGTTGGGGGATAGCACAGACACGACCGAGGAAAAGGCGTGGGAAAGTTTGAATTCTAGGCTTGAAATGCCCGACCATCACCAACGCAACCATTTTCGCTCACACAGCGGCGGTACGGTTCTGTCGAGCACCGGCGGAGTGGGACTTCACATGAAACCGGGATCACGCGTTGGGTCAAGCAGTCCAGAAGGGCTACGTATTGCGAACAACTCAAGCCCGAAAAGTCCGAACACCTCGAGAAGTCGGACCCCGACACGGACACGATTTGAACCCTTCACGACTCTCGACTACGAGTCTTATTTTCCGCCGTTTACTGCTCAACCAAAGAAGATTGGAGCATAGACGAGAAATGTCATTCACCAACATCATTTCAATCTAATCGAAGCCAATGTATTTTTACTCTCTTTCATCCAGGTTCACCTCTTCAGTTTTACATCGTGCTTTGCGTCTATACAAGTTGATTTGTCACCATGATGCTCGCTCTTTAATGGAGCTGTTGGGCCCGGTACCTCTTTCAAGAAAAGGGTACTAAGACGGAATGTCATATTTATCCATCTGTACTATTTGTCAACATACAAAAGCTGGCGCACTTGGCTCAATAGAGAGATATGGTTAGGGATAGGTAGGGAAGTAACTGGGTTGGGGCATAAATTTGCGCACCATAACTATTCTAGTCCATTCAATGGATACTGAACGTATAGACAGCCTAGAAATCAAACTGCCACGACACTATAAAATAAATGCCCCCCGACGCCGTCTGAATGTCTTAAATCATAACCGTATGCACCGCTCCGCGTGTCCAACTGTCGACATCATATTGAGTTGCTGCCCTTATTTTCAAGTCCTCCACTACACTGTCTGCCAAAAGTAATTGGCATAAAAGAAACGCGAGAACTTTTTATCCATGTTTACTACATGTACGTCTCCCTTCCGATCATTCCGTATCACCGCTTTCGCAAACTCTCCATCCTTGCCATCCCTCTCGATATCAATCCCCAAACTCCGGTACACCTTCAACCGCAACAACACCTCATCCTCAACAGGATCACGCCGCCTGGCCGCCTCATCGGCGGGGCCCTCGACCCCTTGCATCTCGAGCTCCTGCAGCCGCGCTGCCAGGTCGGCCTGCGTGCTCCCCAGGCGCTCGGCCTCCATCTCGAGGTCGCTGCACGCCTTGGCGATACGAAATTTCTGAGTGTCGAGGCGCGAGATCTCGGACGCGTGCGTTGTGGACGAGTGGGAGGAGGCGAGTTCTTCGTGTTGCGATTGGATTGTGGAGAGGTGCCGGGAGAGTTTTTTCAGGGAGGACTCGGCGTCGCGGACCCGCAGGTCGCGCGCTTGGCTTAGGGTCGAGAGGGAGTCGTGGATGCGCGAGATTGCAGTTTTGTCTGGGGCGATGTTGAAGTTGTTTATGGTGTGGTGGATGAGCTAAGGCTGTTATGTTAGATGTGTGTGAAACATTGGGGCCTGGAGATAGATTGGGACGCATACCGTTGCGGGATCTTCGTCGAGCAGCATCTTGGTGATATGGCCTCAGGTCGGTGTTTTGAGTGGCTGTCTGGGGTGCTCTTGGTTGGATTTCAGTTGAATAGCATAACTATGGATGACTATGAGTATCTAGGGTGTCCTAGACTTGTTGCAAGTTGGATCGCAAAATTCTATAATATGTAAACGAAGTTTTACATCGAAGGTCGCGATCATCGTCTAGACGGGTATGCGCAAAACAGCCTGTATCACCGGGACGACTATCGTGGCTTATCAGCTGGAGCGGATTGATCTGTGTGGGAGTTTGCGTCATTGCCGCCACAAAGAAGGACCACATGCTCCAGCAGGCTGCAACCTTCCATGGACCCGCCTTGCAGCCGACAGCTTCCGCCACAATTTACCGATACCACCCGCAACACTGTGACTTGTATCCCGTCGTCACAAAGACATTTACAACCCGACATCTTCGACTCGTCGAGGCTTTATTGTACTTACGTTTCTACGACATTATACGAACAAACGAGCTGAGTTTTGATTTTCTCACGAAGTTACTAGCAAGAGTATCCCAATCCGTTTATTGCATAATACCAGCAGGATGACAGCCCTACCTCGTTAGTTCTCCACGACATCCAGCTGCCTACCCCACGAGGAGACGAAGAGAACAAGGCTAACACAACGATGGCTCCAGATGCTGTCGATGCGGAAACGCCACTCAAACCCTCCGAACTTGCAGTTCTACGAGCCCAGTATGAGAAAGAAGGCGAAATGGTCGGTGTGCAGACAAAATTTAATTACGCATGGGTCCGTCTTTCCCAGCTCTCTTTACTTCGGTCTTCTTGAGGGCATTTGTACTAACGCCGACCACAGGGCCTGGTAAAGTCCGACTCGCGCAACGAACAACAACTAGGCGTCCGCCTCCTCTCAGACATATTTCGCGTTTCCCCCGAGCGCCGCCGCGAATGTCTATACTACCTGGCGCTGGGTAATTACAAGCTTGGCAACTATGCCGAGGCACGAAGATACAATGACCTGCTGTTGGACAAGGAGCCCGCGAACCTCCAAGCGGCGGATCTGCGTAGGTTGATCGACGACAAGGTGGCCAAGGAGGGCTTGATGGGCGTTGCCATTATAAGTGGTGTTGCGATTGCCGCGGGAGTGGTAGGCGGTTTCTTGTTCAGAGGACGAAGGAGATGAGGTCTTTTTGGACGACTTGATGTGGTAATTGTTTGGATGGGTATGAAGTAATAATACGGTCCGTCGAGAGCCCACGATGCATGCTTTCTAAGAGAAGACCGGCGTTGGAGGCTGCTTGTGTATATTTCTTTCTGCAAGGTGCTCATTGTATGTACAGGCGGTCAGGGCACATTACAGCCGATGGACGGATTCATGATACTAACGTATCAAATCCTACTTCCATTCCGACTTCGCATACACTCGTAGATTCTTGCATATGCTGATTGGCACTACATACCTCACTCATCTAGTATGTGGAATACTGGGGGCGGGTAATTGAAATTTTTTCCTGTCCATCACTAAATGACTGGCCGCTCCGAAACAACTGCGATAACATATATTTGACTACTGTGTAATAGAAGCGCATGTGTTGGTTGATTTTTGTTGGGTGCGTAAACTTCATATTTCCTGCGACAATTTGTTTCGGCGTGGCGGTGCATAGCCGGTTGATATGACGGACGCTGCTGCTTGATTGGATCTCAATTCACCAGCTCAAAGATGACCCCGCGGAAACATGACGAAAGCAGTCGAACATCAAGCCGAAAAGCGCTTTGGTGACTTATGACCCAATGAATCATACAATTTTTACCATGGTTGGCTGCACCAAAAGGAATAATTTGTCTTCTTTCTCTACTTAGTGGCTAAATTTTGATTCCCTAGCGTTTTCTCGTGGCATTTAATGGAAATACACATCTCCCTGCTACCTGCACCTTGGTTAATGGTACAGTTTGGGGAAACAACACCAAGATCGATCCTTGCGTGGTGAGGTACGCCCAGTCCCACCGGCTCTGCTCCGAATCTAAGGACACCAAATCGGTAGATCGCTATTGATATTCAGCTGCGCCCATCCTAGGTAACCCTCTCCATTTGAATTGCCAGATATCCTTTCCTACTCTCGCCTTCGTGTTCCGGCACTGGGACAATTGCCACTAGCCAGTCATCTATGGCTGGAGTTATTTATTGCAGCCATCGTTGCTATCGGCTAGAAGCTGCACAGTCACTGACCACATCATGAAGGCAGAGTAAGTAACGCTGTTAAATCACTCCACAACCCGATGCGCTGTCTGACCGGTCGACGGCAACTTACACTTCCGTTACCCATCAAACCGCCGTCGTATTTTCCTTATCTACTCTAGAAGTCTCGGGTTGGCATTTCTCTACGAACAGAAATTTCATCGGTTTTTGTCTCCTGCTAGACGCAGCAGTACAATACACCGTGACTGCCCCGCCTGACGCAGTGACGCACCTCGATTGGCCCAAAGCCCCCGACCCTACCTACAGCAGCACGAGAGCGCTTCCCTTTGGTTGTTCGATTCAACAAAGGACCTCATTGACCAGGGTTCTGCAGCAATACACTCTACAGTTTATACTTAAAAAGAAACCGTCATTCTGGCTTCCCGCGCACTCCGTCTCGGCGGCCTAGCTCTTGGCCTCGGTCTTTCCGCCCTCGCCGCGACTCAACGACAAAGGCAGGGTCAAATGGAGTCGAATTCCTCCGATAGAGGCGGCCGTCACCTGGACGCCTCTGCTGACCGCGAGGTTGTTTACTGTCACCAGTGCGAACATGAGTGGTATCGCGATCAAGGTGGTTTGATCTGCCCTAACTGTGACGGCGAGGCCACCGAAATCGTACGTTGCGAATAGCTCTCTCTTTCTATGCAAGGCTCTAGGGCATGACTGACTAAGGTGCTGCAGGTAACTCCCGAGAATGATCCCCGCAATATGGAAGATGACTTCGCATTACCAGGCTTTGACCATCACCACCGCCACTTGCACGATACTGATTCGGATCCCGAGGAGGATGACATCGAGGAACACCTCGCACATGGCCCCGGCGGCTTCTTCGGTCGTCGCACTCTCTTCCGTGCTCCGGGAGATCCAGAAGCAGTTTACAGATCACGCGCGCACCCCGAGAACAGCGATGACATAATCAGAAGATTCACCGAGATGTTGGGAGACATTGGAGGTCCGAATTTGGGACCACCTGCTGTGACTGGTCGTTCTGGTCCGGCCACGCTCTTCAGTGGACCTGGTGGTCAAGGTGGACCTGGACTTGGCGAGCCCCGTGTCAGCTACACCACCTTCCATGGTCCTGGATTTACTGGCAATGTCAGTAGTTATACAATTACCAGTTCAAGCGGAGGCCAATCGAGAACGATCCGCGGTGGTAATCGGCTCGGTGGCGCTGAAGACCCCTTCCAATCGTACGACCCCCTTGCTTCCCCCGGTCGCGGTCCTCGCAGGCTCACCTTGTTATTACTGTCGTCCAACGCTAACCTCGATCACAGGATCTTTGGCAACATATTCGGCCATGTTGGTCCACCTCCCGGGGCAAGGAATGATCCGACGAGTCCCGATGCGCCTGGCGGTCCCGGAGCTCCTCAAGAAGGCCGTGTGGATCTTGCCGCAGCCTTGAATCAGCTCTTTGCGTCAGTACTTAACCCCACTGCCGTGCATGGTGACGCCGTATACTCTCAAGAGGCTTTGGATCGCATTATCACCAATCTCATGGAGGCGAACCCTCAGTCGAATGCACCTCCCCCAGCGTCACCCGAGACCATCGCCAAACTACCGAGAAAGAAGCTGGATGAGCAGATGCTAGGTCCCGAGTTAAAAGGTGAATGCACCATCTGTATCGATGAAATGCATGTCGAAGACGAGGTTATAGTGTTGCCTTGTAAGCACTGGTTTCACGAGGCCTGCGTAACGTTATGGCTTAAGGAACACAACACTTGTCCCATCTGCCGTACGGCTATCGATGGGTCTGTGGCTAGCGAATCTGGAGCTACGCCTTCCAGCGCCCGTCCCCAAGTATCATCTTCATCGTCGTCGAGGGTCAATATGAGTTCGGACCGATCAGAAAGGTTGAGATCAAATCTGCAACAACGAGGTGAAGCTAGATTAAATTCTATTCGTGACATGGCTTCGCCATATGATCGAGGAGGATCTTCCCGAGGCAACTCAAATTCCCCTCCCCTGAACTCGGCATTCGCGCAGAGCTCGCGAGATAGAAGCCCGTCGCCCGCGACGCGCCGATCGACACAGAGTGACCAAACCCGAGAATCTAGTGGATCTGGCAGCGGCGGCCCACTGCATTGGCTAAGAGATCAATTCAGTCGAGGGGAGAGAAGACGCTCTTAGCCAGGTCGTCGAAGCTCTTGATTAGGAAGGCGATGAGCCACGTTTGACGGTGGCTCAGCATCTACCGGGTAGATGCTGATAATTCGCCAAGTAGTCCACACACTGGCCAGGCTGATATCGCGATTATTATTCCACGAAAGCCTCAAGAAAGGAAGCTTGAAACGGTGAACTTTCTCATATCCAAGTTCCAAACCAGCTTTGGAACTTGGAACAACTGGAAAAACCCCACTACGCAATTAAATTGGAGGACGGGGTTCTTGCATGGATTAGTTTCGGTAGATGCGATGGCTTTCTACATGGATCGGCTCTCGAGAACACTGAGCCGACCACAAATGGGAAAAGGGGAAGGGCAAGTATTTTGGAGTCTGCATCCCTTGGGGTTGGGGAAGTAGCGAGCGAGTCGACAGATAGACATACGGCTTGACTTGAGACCGACGACTGCGATGAATTCATTAATTACGATATAATTCTTGTAACTTTGGTTGTGTTATCTTGTGAACGAGAGTAATTGCAAATTGCCGCATAGATACTGCGAACCTGCTCAATGTGAAGACTACCGCGGGTATCGCAGACGGAGTTTCCCTGCCCACCCCACCTATCTCTATTGCTGGAGTAGCTTCCGAGGTAGGAGGCCGAAACAAACCCCCGCCCCCGGTCTGCCAGTTACACGGGCCAGACCAGGTCCAGATACATAACTTTTGACCTGCTAGCTGCCAGTTCTCCAGGTACTGAATTTGGACCGGAGGGATTATCTCGGCCCATCGGACGTTGTAAACGAAGCAAGCTCTTCGATAAAACTATTTTACGCAGCTGTCCCGGCTTTACTTCTCTGGACATGGGTCTAGTTTGTATCTATAGTGGAGCGGGCGATTAGGAACGTCGTGGAGCTGGGTGGGGGGATGGGGAAGCTAGAGCCTAGCAGTCTAGAACCCGGGGTATCTCTGGACTTCCCGCGCCTTATTTCCAAGCGAATTCCGAATTTCCCTCAAGCCGTTTGTTTTCACTTCCCACCCGTTCGCCTCTCCATCTATTCCCGGTATTTCCAGCGCGCCAGACCCAACCAAACGGCCAAAACGCAAGAAATCAAGCTTAGTTACTGACCGAAACGAACGGCCTTTGCACCTTTATTCCCGGCGCCGTTGTCTCATTCGGCCTCGGCCTTTCTTCAATCGTCAATTCAACATCAGTCGCTCGGGTCATACTACAGCATTCCCTCCCTGTGTCCCGACGCGGGAAGCATGGCGTTATCTCAAGTCGGTGCGACGGCCGACCACAGACACGCGTCGGGGCCGTTCGCAGCAGCAGCAGCACCGCCGCCGCCGCCGCCGACGATGCCGAATCTGGCCGGTCGCAGTATCTTCTCGTCGTCCGAGGAGTTAACGATTAAGATTGAGCCTGGTGATGGCCGTGTGGACCCGGACTATGGAGGTAGAGGTAGTAGCAGCAGCAGCAGCGCTACCGCAACGAAGGAGCACGCCAGGAAGAAGCAGAAGCGCAATAAGCCTACGCTATCTTGTTTGGAGTGTGTTGAGCGCAAGACGAAAGTATAATTGCCCTTTTTCTTCTGGCTTATGCCTATTCTGCGTGTTGCGGGATGTTTAACCAGCATATTCATCATTGAATTTGAAGACGCAGCAACGGGTAGTACCTCCGTACCCCAGCTTGTTGGCACTTGTTTTTCCCGGCCTTTTTCATATCCTCATCTCACTGCTTTTATTGGTGCAACTCGGGATTTGCATCTATTAACCATTGTATTTGTGTACAGTGTGACAGAGGGAGACCGCATTGTCTTGCTTGTAAGCACGGCTTCTCACATAGAGACTGAGACGAGCAACGTATTCATGATCAATAGGCATAAAACGACAAACCGATTGCCGCTATGCCCACGTCGCCAATCTACTCGAGTAAGTTCTCTCCTAAACATGACGCAAAAATGACTAAAATCAGGGGTAGAGAGACGACTCGGTCCGCCACAAACGGTCGCAGGATGACCAAGCCGCCAAAGAAGCGGTTATCAACTGGGCCGACTGAGGCCAAGTCACCTGCAGCCAGTGTCGCAGACCGAGCCATTCTTACCTGCCGTGCCGCCTCTCGGGGGTCCATTGCCCTTTCAACCGGACTTCTCTCCCACGTCCCCTACTCCCTACCCACGGCCTCCAATGTTTTTGGCATAGGGGCTGAGCATCCATTTGCCAACTACTGGACTTGCCAAGGAGGACTGCCCGAGGTGAACGACGTGCTGCCAGACAAGCTCCAAGCCGACGTTCTGGTGAACCAGTACTTTGAGTGCGTCGACCCGGTTTATCCCATGATCCACCGCCAAACCTTCTTCGCCGACTACGAGCACTTCTGGTCACTGCCGAGGGAGGACAAGGATCGTACCGATGCTTCTCTGGTTGCCTTGATTTTCGTCATGTTGGCTTTGGGCACCCAGTTCGTCACGACGGCGGAGCCAAATAATGCAAAACGGGGTGCAGAGTTCTACGCCTCGGCCTCGAATCAATCCTTACGGGTCGGCTCGTATCTGAGCTCGGCCTCCGTAAGGTCTTTGCAGGCCATGGTGCTGATTGTTTACTTTCTCATTAATGACAACCATGCCTCGGATGGGTGGGCATTCGCTGGCATCCTCATCAGGCAAGCCTATGCTATGGGTTTGCATCGAGATCCAAATATCGGTAGGTCACCTCTGTGTCCCACTATCATATCGAGTATTGACATGACAACAGTGGCTCCTCATGCCAGCATCTTTGAGAAACAGCAACGGCGCAAATTGTGGCAAGCCGTGCTTCTACAGGACACCTTCATGGTCGTCCTGCTTTCCCTACCGCCGAGCGCAACCCATACCGACGTAAATGTCGACGACCTAACGGACGACTCGTCAAGCATAGCTTGTTCCGACCCCACCGACATGGCGTACATCCGCGGGTCGTGGACGCTCGCCAACTTAGTCCAAGAAACCATCTGCAGCCCGCGCTCCCTCGATATGCCCATCTGCTCCACCCAGCGCCAAAAATCAAAGCTCATCGCCGACTTCCGCGCCGTCTACCGCTCCTTCCCGGACATCTTCCGGTCTTGGGACACGGACAGTCTGACGCAACTAGCGGCTAACAACAAGCGTGTCGTCCGGCAGACGTTGTTTCTCACGAGCAATTATTATCATAACTTGATGCTGGTACATGCGTCTGAGAGCGCGGATGTGCCGATCAATATCAGGGGTGCGCTGGAGGCGGCGCATGAGGCTATAAGTGCCTTCTTCATGCTGAACATGTTATTTGAGCACGAGGCGAGGGTTTGGTGGGTATTTAATCACAGGGCGTTCCTAGAGGCGCTGTGTATTGGGAGTATATTGCGCGAGGCGCTCAAGGAGGCTCCTGAGGGGGAGTATGATAGGTTTGACCGGGATCCAGTTTTGGCGAGGGCGAAGAAGGACATTGGTAAGTTGGCTTTGCTCGGTTCTGCCACTCTCGTTTGGCTGGGAGAAAAATTTTGAAATTTGATCTCGATGCTGACGTATGTGGCATCAGCGAAAATGATTCAGATCCTGAGGGTCATGGGCGAAGGCGAACAAGGGTCTGAGGTCGCGAGGACGAGGGTCACGGTGTTGAGCGAGTTCCTATGATTCTATGGCACGGAGGGTGTTGGGGTGTATATAATAATGATGTACATCCGTGGGGATGGCTTCATGTGGCATAATGTGTGTGAATGGTGACTTAAGGTGAGTTGGGTGTCTCGAGAAAGTAAGGTCCACATACTAGACTCGGGGATGTTTACAAACTAGCGACCGCAACTAGCATAGAGGTTCTGAGATATTAACGTACCCCACAAGCAAGTTAGCCACTTTGTCTTGACACCGTACGAATAACTTCAATAACTTGACTATAATAAAAAATCAATTCAAACAATCGGAATCCTCTTCTTCTACGCATCTTTATCATTCTAACAAGTACGAGCATTATGTTCAGGCTCTCCGTAGATTCTATAGCGTTTTCGGCGCAGTTCGGCCGTTCTCGTACGACGACGACTTGCACGTAAATTATCCTATAGCTACTACTTAACCCCCCGTTAACACTAGAGGCCCTAAGCCTCTCGTAAACTAAGACATCCTCTATCTTATAGATATCGGGTTTTGGTGCTTCGACGACAGCTTAGCTCTTAATTAGCGTTTCGAAGTATAGTAACCTTACCCTTAAATAAACCAACCAGTATATAATAGCCGTCATACTACGGAAAAACTGGTTAATAGCCATAAGAATTGTGACGGGCTCACTGCGAAACTATACAGCTCAACATGGCCAAATACTGTTAATTATCTAACTGAGGAGGAAAGTAAAATAAGCGAGTTTTCCGAGAACACAAACTATGTTTTCATATGCCCTCGATGGTTCCTTTGTTGGATCTGGACGCAAGGTTCTTGCAGCTCCAGATCCCATTTCAGGCACAGCCTGTCACAAGAATAATCGTTAGGGAGCTATTATAATGCTCTATAATTCTGGGTTTAAAGTATTTAGACTAGGATTTTACCTTGATTAGGTTAGTTAGAGTCTTCACCTCTTAGATACTATGCTTCGTAATTATATTTCTGTAAGGGAATACAGAGCTATAAGCAGGGTTAAGCCTCAATCCTGTCACTAAGTGACAGGATTTTAGATCTTTTGGTCTATGTGACGTGATGGTCTAGGCTTGCTGTCACCTTACAATTTCGTACGAGCGTAAACTACGCGCGATACGCGTTAAGGTCTTCGTAGTAGGCTCGTTAGTAGTCGATTCTTCGATTAAAATACGTACGAAGGTCGAGGCCTAGTTAACGCCAACACGTCCAGCGCCACGGACGCGGAGCAGTCGGTTACGTCACCGAGCCGGGGAGGAAATAATCGCGAATCTAGGTCAAGTACTTATCGTGCAACCGCTAACTCTTCTAATTCCGTGAGCTTATACCTGGATTATCGAGTATCGCGTCGAGGTACTATTCCGGTTAGCTAGAGTTGTACGGGGGATATTGTAGGGTTAGGCAGCGCGTCGGATGAAGAAAGATGACTTTTGTGGAATGACGGTGCCAAGTGCTGACGGGGCGAGGACTGAGACATTAAGACAAAATTTAGTGAGTCATAAACCGTGGAACAATAATACTATTTTTTTGATATTCATTTCATCTGTTTATATTAAAAGCTCAAGGCTTTAATGTATCTCTTGTTTCTGTGTAAGTGTTGCCATAATCATTACTTCCCAGAAACGAACGCCAGATTGCATATACAGCTGAGCGAACGAGTGGAGGAAGAAACATCATCCATATCCGTTATGTAAAGAGCGAATGCGCCTCATGGATTTGTGCCAGTCAGTCCCAATAATTCATTTCCCCAATCCTGCACGTAGAATCTCTTTTCCAATATGGATGTCTAATCAAGTTGAATCCCGTCTATCCCAACACCTAAGCTAGAAATAAACATTATGTACTGCATCATTCCGTGTTCATAACATCTCGACCATACGATCCTTATTATCTTTTCTCCGGCGAGAGATGTGCGTGGGGTTTATCTACCACGCAAACACCATCAACGCAGGATTCAGCACGACCGGCAACAAAAAGTGGCACACGGTCGTCATCCCGAGGGGCCAGATGGACGCGAACGTCTTGATCTTCCACTCCTCGGGGAAAACAAAGAACCCACAAATCATGAGTGCCGTCATGAGCACAACAAAAATGAAGGTACCCTTGAAGCGACGAAACAGGCGCGGGATTTCCTCAACGAAGTTGACGTCCTCGAGTTCTTTCGCCGTAGCACCCCACGTCATGTCGATGGAGAGAAAATGGCAGAGCAGGGCCTGCGAGACGTGCAGAGAGATGCCGCCGAGGAAAATGGTCATCAAGGGGATCCATTGCATGTTGTTCCAGACTGTGTGTGTAGAATGTCAGTGATTCAGTAATGAAGGAATCCTAAAGTAGAGGGAGGGAATATTCTTCCCTCCTTGAAAAAGGAAGAGAAGAACAAAATACTTACGTGCAGCGAGGAGCGACTGCTGATTTAGACGATAACGCAAAATGGCGAGAGAGAAGTTTCCAAAGAGGGTAAATACAACGACGATGGACACGTAAATACCAAACGAATCGATATAGTACTTGTCGTACAGACCAAAGTACCAACCCGTGAGGAAGTAGTTCATGAGCACGAAACCCCAGGCGGCGCCAATGGCGTAGTAAGTTCCGATGTAAGTGCAGATAGTGATCTTCTTGGGTAGATGAATGCTTGAAGTCATGAACTTCCTGAACAGGGGGGTGATGGGGCCGCGGGTGAGCCAGTATCGGAGGGGATGGAACATCAGCTCATTGCAACCGTAAGCGTATTTTTCCCAGCGGGCCAACTCGTCGTAGACAGTGAGTGAGACACCCTCCTCGAACCCTTCGCCCGAGTACGAGGCAAAACGCAGGATGTAGCCGGCGCACTGGAGACGAAGGGCCATGTCGAAGTCTTCGGATACGTGGGACTCAGACCAGAACTTCTCGTAGCCGTCATCGTCGTGGTACGAGGCGGCGTCTTGGATGGCGGACCAGCGGAGGATAGCGTTGTGACCCACGAAGGGGCAAGCGTCACCGTTTGCTACAACGAAAGTAATAGCCGAGTAAATCAGGTTGGTGAACCAGGTAACGCCACCTTCAAAGAAAGATGTGGTGACGCGCATGACGCCCGACGTGTACTGCAGGATGGCCACTTCGGGAGACTGTTCCATTTCACTGACGGCGTCCAAAAGGCAGTCGACGGGCACACGCGTGTCCGAGTCGATGATGAGGATGTAGTCACCAATACGGATGTTGCCCTCGGCCCAGGTCCGGCCTTCATCCTCCTGCAACACCTCGGCAAGGCACTGCTCGTAGGCGCCGTACTCGTCCGCCTGGGTCCAGTTGGACGATCGAGGTACCTGCACAAGTTTGTCTTCGACGCGGTTGCTAACCATCATGGCGTAATTCATGTTCGACGCTTTCTTGAACTTGCCTCGACGCAGGAAAGGGCGCTCGCCATTTTCGGGCTTAGGATTATGCTTCGGACGCGAGACCCAGCCGATGTTGCTCTCTTCGTAGAATTCGCGACGGGCCTGCGAATCTTCCTCAGGAATCAACTGTATACCGTCATCGTTGACAAAAATGTTGGCAGACCCGCCCTGCATCTCATATGTCGAAATAGCTTGCTTCAATGAGTGGATTGTTGGCCGGATGACACCATTCAAGCCCTCCTTGTACACGGGCATCTGGATAGTGACGTGCGGAAGATTGTGGAAGTTCCGATCAAGGCGTTTCGGTGCCTTGCCAGAGTAGAACTTTGAGTTCTTGTCCACAGCGGAAATGGGACCAAGCACCTCGAAAATGTTGACGATGATGGTTTGGAAGAAGAACATGGCCACTAGGATTTGCGCGGGGATACACACCATAAGAGCCAGTCGCGTGTACGAACCGTCCGTCTTGACCTCGAAGGCAAGATTCCTCAGACCTAAGCCGGTACACGAAATGCATAAGGCCAACGTCAAGCCCACGGTCAGCGGACTCGTGAGTTTTGTTTTTCGTACTTCGCTTTGAAGAGCGGCTTCGAGGTCAACTACCGACACGCCTACCTCGATCACACCTTTCTCTCCGCTTTTCTCGTCTTCCTCGGTCTCCTCATCATCCTCTCCAGTTCCCCAGATCATTTTCATCAACTGTCGTTCCAGCATGTCGGCTCTAGCAAGCACCTTCTTGGGCTCATCGTCCCATACGACGAGAATCTGGGCATCCTGGATAAACGCAGCAAAGTGGTGTTTTTGGCAGTGAGGGAGCTCGCGCATGGTAGGTAGTACCTGCAGTCGCAAACCATCGGGGAGCGGGATGTACTCGTAAGTCGTCCTCCTTGAATTCAGGATGACATTAATTACTCTGGTATTGACTGTCATCGCGCACTAAGGCAACTGTTTCAGTCCATGTCAAAAGGCGAGCTTGTGAGTTGATACGTACTCTGACGTTCAGTTCCATTGCCATGTCGTACAGACTGTTTGGCATCTCTTGAAGTTGTGGCGGACAACAGGAATAATTGCCCTTTGCTTTCTTGAGCACCACGCCCTCCCCAGGCAGCATGCCAGTCGCATATTGTTTCTCTAGTTGCTGCTGGTACAGCCAACTGCACATGACATCTGCCTTCACATCGAGCAGACTTTCTTGGTGGTTTCGGAAGTCGCCGGTGGGATAAAACGATGCTCGGCGAGTCGAGTACATCGACGCCGGACGGGAAGCATTAGGATTTCCCGGTGCTGCTGAAGTAGACGCACCATTGGCCCCAGCGGGTATCGCTTTGCCGGCAGGTGTGAGGTTCTTGAGGGTTGTCTCGCTGACAACCGTCTTGGAGCCCTTCTTGCTGTGTCCTTTCTTCTCATCCACCGTCTCCTTGCCCGGAGCAAAGTACGATTTGAGCAAACCCATATTAGCAAGTGTTGTGGAGTATAACGAAAGACAACCACACTTGCGTGCAAGAATCCCCAAGCGTGGGGTTGGCAAAAGCGAAAGAATGGTTCACCAAGAAGATGGTGCAGAAAAGAAGGAAGGATGGGAAGCTCAAAGTACTGGGATCAACCCGAAGGAGCGAACAAGTTGACTTGCTGCAGTGTTTCCAGGATTAGAGCACCATGCCGCCCAGGTAGGATATCAGCCGCACAGCAGGTTTATTGACAAGCCTGATGAGCTGGCTGGCAATGGCGACAGTGGTCTAGACGAGGACAGAGGCTAGCGACATACGCATCCGGCTGCTGTGGCCGCGAAGAGGAAAGCAACACCATCACTCAAGCCACCTACTAATGTATGATAACGCATGGTGACCTGGGAAACGCACCATCCCATCCCGGCGTCAGACCAAAGAATTGAACCTAGGGTCTAAAGAACAATACTAACCCCACTTACGGAATGCTTGGGTTATTGATCACCTTCGTACTGGTACCAAAGATCCCAGGGGCCGGAGCGCTGGGTGAAAGTGCCAACGGCTTTTCCTTGGTTGGAATCGCATCACTGGATGTCACGGGACCTTGCCCCTGCACTCGAAGACTTGCCTTCCGGTCTGGGCACTACCAATAATGGAAAAATGTGCAAATTACATGGCGGCCCTACAGCTGGCTGCAACAAGCTGCAGCGCTTGGGAACCAGGGGCCCTGGGAGCCCTCTTCTAACTCAGTTGGTGAATAGGGAACGGACTAGGATGTTGGGAGATGATCTCAGAGCAGACGCTTACTCAAGAGCTTAGTTCAAGATACGACACTTCGTTCCGTACGAAGTTGAGTGTAATATTTGTCGATCACCAGTTGCCATGGCGTCAGGGTTTTACACAGGCGATGAAGAACATGAAGCTATGGGTAGAAGCCTAGTTCGTTTTGTCGTGACAGCAGGGCTGGGCAGCCAAGTCTTGGTGGGCTTTCTGGTACGAAGTATGCAGCAAGGGCCTGGCTCGCCACCGATGCGACTACAGCCTAGAGATCCAGCCATAATAGGCTGATTGTTAGGTAGTTCAGCTCCCGACAATCCAGCCCAGGCGGCCCACTCGTAAGTAGATACTTGCGATAATGACCATGGTCCACAGCAGTGAAACAGCCTGTGAAATAAAGGTTGACGATAAACTCGGGGCCAATCATTTGATGGCGAGGAAATAATCCCTGGTGGACTTGTGGAACGTCCTGGCTGTCAGAATCGCATTCAGGTATCAATATCGATAAACGTCCGAGATGTTCTCCTGCAATCGAGTTCGTTCAGGTGCCAGTGTCAATACGAGATTTGCGGCCGGGCTACGATCAATGAGCGATAAGCTTAAGGAAATCCCGCCGAACGAGGGTGTGTGGGCCATCTGTGTTCCTTGCTAGTACTCTGTAGCCAGCCCTAGCACATGTACGCCACGAAGCTAGCTTGCCTATGGTGTCCAATTGTAAAGAAAGCCGGCTAATGATCTCTGCAGCCATGATTGCCTGAGAAACAAGCCAGATCAGCGCTTCTTGGAATTGGGTTTGCGCCGTTGCTCTAAATGTCCTTTGGTGCTGACTCTGATGGGTCTCATCCAATGCTTCATCAAACTTTAGGATCAGTATTTACGGATAGCTCGCAAGGATCTCCCAACAACCGGCCTCACCGGTCTGTGTTCCTCGGTGGTTGGTGATGGTCTGGGCACAATTCCAAGGGCCGCTTATCTCCGTTCTATAGATTGTTGTAGTCTTCCAAAAGCCCACTGCATCAGTCTTGGGTGTCGGGACTTCCGGGATGGGACTGGAAAGATGGCGATGTGTACAGAGCTTGTGGACGCAGGGATGGGCTCGTCCAGCTTTGCTTTTCCTGAATATGCACATGTCGTGCATTACGTATTGCATCCAGCTTCCAGATTGGGAACCAATACTAGTCAATATATTCTTCGGGAACGGTTGCAAGCGAGCGTAACTTCGGTTCGAGTCAAGTTGGCTGCTGTCTATTTTGGGGTCCAGGCCTAGGCCCGCTTTGTCGGTTCAGGCTTCAGCTCGTCACCACACTCTTGTGGCCTAGTGGCTTTCTGTGGCTGGACATAGTATGAAGATTTGGGACCAATGCGTGGCTGTACAAGTAATCGAATGGAGGAGCTCGGAAACTCAATACTTTATACGATGTGAGATCTGCGGAAATTGTCTCTCGGCCCTAATAATAATACACTCAACCGGCGGCATAATCACTGATCATGATACCCAGATTAGGACTCTTGGATAACGCCAACCCCGAGTACCGGAACCAGATAAGCGCAGGCGTCCAAGTGAGATACTTATAGAGAGGCCGGATAGCTGGGTTATACATCGAGCGATCTGGTGCCCATCGGATACGGAATTATCCAAATAAACTGAGTAAGATCCAGACTCGAGTCCGTGGGATTCCATGTGGCCGATCCAGAGATTCCCACAATCGTCGTAGGACTGTGTTGTTGATTCGGACCTGGGCCGCTGCTTTCCAGATTTAAGGCTGATACCCAGTTATGATCATTTGATATGAATAACACCTCCGGCTTGTACAAAATGCCATGAATGTGTAGCATGGTGATCATTTGACACTGTCTGGAATGTTGACTTGCCTCCAGGATTAGCAGGGTCGAGTCTGACATGCTACAGTGCGGGAATCGCGGGGTAGGACGTTGCGTTTCGACATGTCGATTGCCTCGAGATGTCACACGGCTGCGGTGTCAGGTAGATTCAGGATATGCTTCCGAATTTCCGTACCAACATTCGTGCCTCAAACATATGTTGCCGGTCGTCCTTTCTCCGGACTCGTGAAAGTCGATGCAAATCAAACCCTGAGCAAGTCTTGTCTCAACGGCCCTGGTGGTGTTGAAGGGACAAAATGCGACCGTTAGATCGACTTCAAAATAGTTCCGCTCAAAGTGAGGTTACATATCATTGCCCACACTGTACATAGTTGGAAAAAAGAGCTTCGATATCTTTGACGAACCAAAATGATATGAGATGGATTTGAGAGTCTGATGCGAGTCAGGGGAACTTCGGTAAGCCCGCCTCCGTCGGTGAATCAACTTTGACAGATCATGAGCCCATATGATTGAATAATTGTTCAGAGCAATGTGGCAAGCCCCAAGATGTAAACGTAGCTGCATGATAATAAGTTGATGAGAAAGGTGATACACGAGCTATAATCAAGATAAGAATATGAGAAATAATGCCCCCTGCTTCGCACACTTGCAATGTGAATGCCAACCCCGCAATTAGCGACAATTGGTGGATGCGACCTGGGATGCAGCTACTCCTTCCTTCTCGAAGCTGCAAAACTCAATTTGATGATATCATCGCCTCGAATTGCGGGCTGCTACTACTATCTTGAGCTCAAAGGTAATTCCCCGAGAGCAATTGCATTCGACCACTTGTGAACAAGTCCTCGCAAACCTGACCGTCTCATCTTTACCACTTGAAGCGGCCTACATTACATCTGTGCCCCTGCTTGCCCTCCACAAAATCAAGGAAACAAGGGTCTCTCCCCTTAAGTACCTTATCGTGCCCCTCCGGCAGGCGGCACTAGGGTTGTTTCTGACCTTAGAAACATCTGTCAGCAATTGGCCTCTCAAGAGCTTCCTTTTCTCTGTATCTTATCAGAACCTATGTGTCTTTCGTGACAGCAACATCCCGCGGTCAAATATTGAGCAAGACCTGGAGACTGAGATGGGAGCTTCACCGCAAGTTGCAGTCTTATCATATCTCCCGACCTAACGAGCCCATTGCCTACCCACGACGAACGAAGTCCACACAGACAACCTCATTGAGTGCCTGCGTAAACAGCTCTGTGACCCAATATACGATTAAGAAGTCCTAGCTTTCACTGGGGGTGAGAGTTTACAACAACAGTCGAATAGACATAAACGATAAAAATTCTTTGCCGCGACGAGACTTCCTACTCGGGACTTTCTCATGGCAAGCTCAACAGACCCGGTGGCGGCGAGACCTCGCCAACAAGAAGGGAGCTTCGGTTCCAATGATGATCTTGGTATTTATGATGATGCAAAAACCTATTATACCTCAGACGAGCGGCACACGAACCGATTCCACAATCGCTCGCGTACATTCTCCCAGGCAAGCCAAACACTGCCCGGCTAGCAAAGCTGAGCACTAATATTGGTAAACAGAATGGCTTGGTTCAACAGTTCGAGCGCATGGGACTGGTAGAGCCGCATAGACGAGGGAGTCATGGTATGCAACCGAGAACTGCTGCAACAAGCCACATAGTATATCCTGCTGACCCCTTCTTTCGCCAGATGAGTCAAGCAGACCCCACTCACGCCAATTCCTCGTCGATGTGGACCACACGCTTGATAGTTTGGCAAAGCAGGAGGATACCGATGGAAACATGCAGATTACCATCGAGGATGCGGGCCCCAAGGTCATCTCGCTGCGAACAGCAGGGTCTGGTGGCTATAATCGTTTCGACATCCGGGGAACATACATGCTGTCGAACCTACTGCAAGAGCTATTCATGGCGAAGGAATTTGGCCGGAAACAAGTCATCCTTGATATTGGTCGACTAAACGAGAATCCCGTCAACAGGTTATCTCGCTTGATCAAGGACCAGTTCTGGGATGGGTTGACGAGACGGATTGATGCTTCTTCCATCGAGATCGCCGCAAAAGACCCCAAAGACTGGACTGATGATCCGCGTCCGAGAATCTATATTCCCCCTGGCGCTCCCGAGCAATTCGAGTTTTACCGGAAAGTGGCACAAGAGCGACCCGAGCTTCGATTGGATGTCCTTATGTTACCTGAGAAGATAACTCCCGAGATAGTAAGAAACATGAACGCCAAACCCGGACTTCTTGCTGTAGAGATGGAAGAGATCGTGGATCCCCAGACAGGCCAAAAGATACTCCGTGGGCTCCCTTTTGTAGTTCCAGGCGGCCGCTTCAATGAGCTTTACGGCTGGGACAGCTACATGGAGTCGTTGGGACTTCTTGTCAACGACAAAGTGCATCTAGCAAAGTCTATGGTCCGGAATTTCTGCTTCTGTATCAGGCACTACGGAAAGATTCTCAACGCAACGAGATCGTACTACCTTTGCCGATCACAGCCGCCTTTTCTGACTGATATGGCGTTGCGGGTTTACGAAAAGATTAAACACGAGCCAGGAGCATTGGAGTTTCTCCGCATCGCGTTCTTGGCAGCGATCAAGGAGTACTATTGCGTTTGGATGTCCGAGCCCAGGTTGGACCCGAAGACTGGGCTGTCCAGATACCGTCCTGAAGGACTAGGCGTGCCTCCTGAGACCGAAGCCTCTCATTTTGTCCACATCCTAGCACCTTATGCGAAGAAGCACGGCATGACCTTTGAGCAATTTGTGCGAGCTTACAATTATGGAGAGGTGAAAGAACCGGAGTTGGACGACTACTTTCTCCACGATCGTGGCGTCCGAGAATCCGGCCATGACACATCATACCGACTGGAAGGAGTCTGTGCCGATCTCGCTACCATCGACCTGAACTCCCTGGTCTACAAATACGAGATGGACATCTCCCGAACCATCCGCAACGTTTTTGGCGACAAACTGGAAATTCCGGCTGAGTGGTGTAGCGGGGCAATGAAACCAGGTCAGATTGAGACGTCAGCAATCTGGGACCGCCGCTGGAAGAGACGCCGGGCTGTCATACACAAATACATGTGGAATGAAGAGAAGGGCATGTACTTTGATTACAACACTGTTAAGCAACAACAGTGCATCTACGAAAGCTGTACCACGTTTTGGCCCCTTTGGGCTGGAGTTCCTGACCCGGAGAAGGCTGCCAGAGTTGTCAAGAAGGCCGTGCCTATGTTTGAGGCAGCTGGCGGACTCCTATCTGGTACTGAGGAATCTCGGGGTCAAACAAGTCTAGAAAGGCCCAACCGGCAGTGGGATTATCCATACGGCTGGGCGCCTCAACAGATGCTTGCTTGGACCGGTCTCTACCGCTACGGCTACCAGGATCTCGCCCAGAGGCTAGCATACCGGTGGCTTTTTATGGTCACAAAGGCCTTCTTTGACTTCAACGGGGTTGTAGTCGAGAAATACGACGTGACACGTCCTGTCGACCCGCACCGAGTGGACGCTGAGTACGGAAATCAGGGGCTTGATTTTAAGGGCGTCGCCAAGGAAGGGTAAGTGCTGTTTTTCTTGATAATATCAGTGAGCGGAACTAATTTTACAACCGTAGTTTTGGTTGGGTCAATGCCAGTTATGTGTATGGCCTCCAATTTGTCAATACTGAGATGAAACGAGCCCTGGGCACGTTGACCCCATGGGAGACATTTGAGAAAGCACAACAGCTTAAGGAGGACAAGTTTCTCCAGAGCCTGGCATAGATTCTCTGACGCACAACTTCATGGTACTGCGTCACAGATGGCCACTGGTAGTTTTCGCTGTTTGGGCCGTTAGTATGCCCCTCACAGGTTTGTAGTCACGATCCAGCCGGGACCAAGCGCAACGCAGGAACTCCAAGGCCGACCGTTGCGGGCTGGTACTTCCGAGAAAAAGAAAGCTTTGAGGATAACATCGGAGCTGCGTGAAGTTGGCGTCAACTTGCTAACATTATTGGCCCTGGTTCAACAAAATTGGCAGCATGCGAAGTTCTTTCAGGGGGGGGGGGGGATAACATACAACTCACTAAATGACGGAGGTTATGAATGTGTAAAAGGTTGGGTTCTTCTAGGATTCCAATCGACATTACATTCTAGGCAAGATGGCAGCATGGCTTCGTCTGTTTGATGTAAAAGTAAACCACCCTTGGATTCTGATCAGGCCTGATCAGACCATCAACTGGAAGCAATGCTACATCTCTAGGTTAGAGCTGGCTTTCAAATACCTAGACTACACATGTATATGTTGGAATAACTCACCGAAGTTGCCTATAGACTTTAAGCCGCGTCATGTGACAGTAACTTGACCAAACAGCAGACCCGGAGCCGAGGCATAGCGGCATCCAATGACGAACTAGAATCATCGCCATACTGTAAGGCGCACTGATGAAGGCCAACGACGCTAATGCGATGTCGAGGTGTCAAAGACTGTCTCGTGATCCAAATACTGTGAACCGATCATCTTCACATGTCAAGGTTTGGCGATGTCACAGAGTAGATCAGACCACATGCAACGACGTGACGACCGGACGGAGTCAATTCTCATACCCTCAGTATTACAAAAGATCAACTGCTCGGCTATCCTCAACTAGATCATCAGATAAAGTAGTGTCCACCCGAATTGGTCCATAGGAAAGGCAGGCGAGGTAATTGTGTCGAAGAGCCGACCTACAAGGAACGGAATTCCATTCAGCAGCACGCGTCATTGTCAAATGTCAATACGAAAGTCAATGCCATGCACGTTCATCCTTGCCTCTGTGGGCCTCGACTTATCCCCCAATGCGGGGGAGTGGGTGGCATGTAAGTTTTTTGTTCGGCAACTCGGCCAATGACGGCATTCGCTAGCGCTCCAACTACACCCTTTGAACCGAATCCGGGTCCCCGTAACACCTCCACCACAGAGATGCCGCCTCGGCGCGGCGGTTACTTGAGTCAAAGGTTCTGCCATGGCAAGCTGGGCAGGGAGAGGTTAGCGGACTTTGTCACAAGTTTGGTGGACCAGGGTGTAACTTGGTCGATAAACTACCCAGAGCCGCTCGACCGATCGTTCCCGAGAAGCATAGCTCCCGCCAGGCTTCTGGTGTAAGTGAAACTTGTACTTGTTAGTCCGGGATCTCTGTTTCTTTCACCTTTCCACAACTTTCCAGGTTCTCTTTTCCTGTTCTCATCTGATTTTTTTTTCGTGTACTTGGTTTGTACAAAGTGTCGAAACAAACCAGCACGCCAACTAGTGTCCGGGTTTACATTCCTCTGAGCCATACCTAGTTTCAGATTCCTCGAGCGCACATCATTACCTCTCACTGGTATCTAACGAGTTGCCCAATATGGCGTTCAACAACATGATCAACAACGGGGTGGATCCGAATATCGAAGATGACTTGTTCGCCAAAGAGGTCGAGGAGGTCAAGAAGTGGTGGAGTGACTCGAGATGGAGATACACCAAGAGGCCCTTCACGGCCGAGCAAATCGTTTCCAAGCGGGGACATCTAAAGGTCGAATACCCGAGCAATGCCCAGTCGAAGAAGCTGTGGAAGATCCTCGAGGGTCGATTCAAGGTAGGTAACCCCTTGTATATACAGAGCCGGAGGATTGAAGGTGCTGAACGGACAACAGAGTCGTGATGCTAGTTACACTTATGGCTGCCTAGAACCGACCATGGTGACGCAAATGGCCAAGTATTTGGACACTGTCTACGTTTCTGGCTGGCAATCATCGTCGACTGCCTCTTCATCCGACGAGCCCGGTCCCGATCTGGCAGATTACCCATACGTGAGTTCTGTTTGCTCCAAGTATCAGCTAGCAAACCCGAGACTAACACGGAGCAGACCACGGTCCCGAATAAAGTGAAGCATCTCTTCATGGCACAACTTTTCCACGACCGCAAGCAAAGAAACGAACGTCTGAGCGTGCCCAAATCAGCCCGAGCCAAAATGCAGAACATTGACTACCTCCGCCCCATCATCGCCGACGCCGACACGGGCCATGGCGGCCTGACGGCCGTCATGAAGCTGACCAAGCTCTTTATTGAGCACGGCGCGGCGGGCATCCATATCGAAGACCAAGCCCCCGGAACGAAGAAATGCGGACACATGGCGGGCAAAGTGCTGGTGCCCATCAGTGAGCACATCAACCGACTGGTGGCAATCCGGGCACAGGCAGACATCATGGGCACCGACCTGGTGGCCGTGGCCAGAACCGACGCCGAGGCGGCTACCCTCATTACCACCACCATCGACCCCCGCGACCATGCCTTCATTATGGGCAGCACCAATCCTAAGCTACAGCCCCTCAACGACCTCATGGTGGCAGCGGAGGGAGCAGGCAAGTCCGGCGAGGAATTGCAGACCGTCGAGGATGCATGGTTGAAGGACGCCGGGCTCAAGCGTTTTCACGATGCCGTCATCGAGACCATCAACGCGGGTTCGTACGCCAACAAGAAGGAGTTAGTGAGCCAGTACCTGGCCCAATCCAAGGGTAAGAGTCACACAGAGGCGAAGGCCATTGCGCATGGCATCACCAAGGTCGATATCTTCTTTGACTGGGATGCGCCCCGGACTCGCGAGGGGTACTACAGGTTGAAGGGCGGGTGCGATTGTGCTATCAACCGTGCCGTTGCGTATGCACCGTACTGTGACGCCATATGGATGGAGAGCAAGCTGCCGGACTTCAAGCAGGCGCAGGAGTTTGCTAGTGGGGTTCACGCGGTTTGGCCGGAGCAGAAGTGAGTTTTACCCCCCTTTCCCTCCGGAAGTCGAACAACAAACCAATTCGATTCAACCCTCATTCAAAGAACTTGAGCAATTACTGACAACCTACTAAAGACTGGCTTACAATCTATCCCCCTCCTTCAATTGGAAAGCCGCCATGCCCCGCAACGAGCAGGAGACGTACATCCAGCGCCTGGCAAGGCTGGGCTACTGCTGGCAGTTCATCACTTTGGCCGGCCTGCACACCACGGCCCTCATCAGCGACCAATTCGCCCGGGCCTACACCGCCCAGGGCATGCGCGCTTATGGCGAACTGGTTCAGGAGCCAGAGATGGATGGTGAGGTGGATGTCGTCAAGCACCAGAAGTGGTCCGGCGCCACGTATAGTGATGAGATGCTTAAGATGGTTACTGGCGGGATCTCTAGTACGAGTGCGATGGGGAAGGGAGTTACCGAGGATCAGTTTCACTAGGTCGTGGCTGGGGACTAAGTGTACAAGAAAGTATACTCGGTAATGAGACCGTATGTTGAAACACTAGTTTCTTGATATATTGAGTTGCTTGTGGCTGTTTTGTGCTCGTGCCAGATCTCCCAAATCAACGGAGGCAATAGACCCGCGTTGAAATCAAAATCCAAGGTGATTCGCAGCAAATAGGTTCGATATGTCCATACGACGGAGTCATACACGAAGTGGTGCAGCGTCAGCGGATCATTCCAGATGTCCTCGCGAAGACAACGGGCAATCGGTCCCTGCTTGTAGCCTTTCATCATGAGTTTGATGGACCAATAGTTAGCGAAGTTCCAGGTAAATGTGCGTGCATGAGAGAAACTATATTGTGTAAGAATAATACGGTGTTCAGGTTTAACAGGGATACAGTTCTCAACCTGTAAGTACAACACAACGAGCTGTTAAGATAGGTAACTTGAAGTCATGTCATTCCTTGCCATATGACGGGAAAGTACTATCGTACGGTTGTATACCATGGCATACTCCTTTAGAAATTATGTCTTAAGTATTACGTATCATAATTTCCAAGTTGAGTGCCAACTCAATGCTCACCCTGGAACCAGTAACGACGGCAAAACATTTAGAAATAACTTTCCCTTTACTATGAACATCCTGGAAGACTTGGTTTTGATTCGTCACATGCCTAATAAGACAATAGAATACGAAATTCTCGCGAGGGATCTTCAATGGTTACTATGTTCCAATGTGACTGGATCATGGTCAAAGTAATTGCGGCTCAGAAAAACCAGAAAGTCTTTATTCTCCGTACCGAAGTCGTCAAAGGTGAGCTGATGACAGCGGTGAGAAGGTAGTGGGTCCAGACACTCTCCACTGGAATGAGGACGAGCCGTGTATGAGGAACTGGGACATTTTTTCTTTCTTGGTTACGAAAGCGAAGACTCGGGAACAGTGCTATTTCGTCCTTTCATTACTGCAAAGCGTAATACAGTACAATAGACATTGTAGATAGTATTGCTCAGATGCCGGTGGTGTTTCGAAGAGGCCTATATTTAAGGCAACTCCATTGACTCTATTGGAATTGCGGGAAGGAGTCTTGTCTTTATACATGGGAAACTGGTATGTAGGGAAGTCCGCAAGTAGGAAACCTGCCATGGATATGTGGTACTCCAATGCAGTCTAGAGGTTCCCATGCCAACGAAGCCTCTTGCGTGGTTTGTTGGTTAGCATTGTTCTAAAAACATGCGATATCCTGGCAGAAGCTTCCGTGGCCCCAGTCGACTGACTATGCCTGTGTAAATGACCGGTGCTCTCATGATGTACCATGAGACTCCAAGTGTGTGGAGTGTTACTCAGCTTGACACCGAGACAACCACACGAGGTTTATTCCTTGTTTGGACACGCATAATACCCCATACCCAGACGTATCTGGACCTACTGGCCGTCGGCCATGAGGCTCTACTGTGCATACATCATAAATGAAGCTCATCTGGGCAGGGGGAAAGCACGATCAAATTGCAACTCGACCCCGTCTTCTCCCCAAATTCCCCGCATAAGCTCAACCCATCCAACTCCAACCCCCGGATTTGCACGTCTTTCGGGCCTATCTACTAGGGATACTACTAGTTCCCATTGGAGCGCGTATAGAAACCCTGTCCGGGGAGCATTGGCAATCGCCAATTCCACCAATGGAACCTCGGCCAGAACGGCAAAGTCGTAAACTTCTCCAACACTTTTGATCTCTCTAGAAATTCCATATGACCTTAGCGTCTCAAGGTGAAGGAATGGGTCGATGCAGCATAGGCAGCATCGACCATGGGACTGGGCCCTCGGTGGTTCTCGATCCCGGGCTGCCGACTCCTAACCATATAACACGCTGTTGCTCTGCTCTGCGTGGTGGTTTCTGAGCCAAGCATACTTATTTTGTTTTACTCTGCACTGCACCAGTGCTGCTTCAGCCAAGATGCCGCTCAACCCGCATACGTACCAGGTACGTAACTCAAAGTCCAGGGTGGAAGCAGGCTACTCTTTACAGCAACGGAAGACTAACAAGAGACGCCCAGTTCCTCGTAGGCGTGTTTGCATCCTTCGGGTCGGTCCTCTATGGCTACGACCTGGGTGTTATCGCCGGCGTGGTGGGGAGCTCGTCCTACCACGAACTCTTCAAACCGCTGGCGGCGCAAAACGGGGCCGTCGTGTCGCTCTTTACAGGCGGTGCTTTCTTCGGCGCCGCGTTCGCGGGACCCGCAGGCGACTACCTGGGCCGCCGGAAAACCATCCTCACCGGTGCCTTACTATTCCTCCTGGGAGGTGCCCTTCAGACTGCCGCGCAAAGCATCAACTATCTGTACGCCGGCCGCGCCATTGCGGGACTGGGAGTCGGGTTCCTGACTATGATTATCCCCGTGTATCAGGGTGAGATCGCCCACCCATCCATCCGTGGCCGTGTGACGGGGTTGCAGCAGTTCATGTTAGGCATTGGAGCCCTGATGGCAGGGTGGATTTCGTGGGGTTGTTTCACCAACTATACCGACTCCAGACAGTGGCGCATTCCACTCGGGATCCAGATGATGCCGGCTGTGATACTCGCTGCGCTTATTCTGTTGTTCCCCGAGAGTCCGCGTTGGTTAATCGACCACGATCGCGTCGAGGATGGGTTGCGGACCCTGGCTAGTCTGCATGCGCACGGAAATACGCAGGACCCTTGGGTTCAGGCTGAGTTCTCTCTGATTCAGGTAAGCCCTTCGTTCATCTTATCGTGCCAATAGGCAATGAGATGCGTATACTGACATCGAGGTCAAAAATAGGAAACCATTGCCTTCGAGCACCAGCACGAGGCCAAGAGCTACCAGGAGCTCTTCACCAGCCGCTCCTCCTTCCGCCGCCTCTTCCTCGCCTGCGCCCTTCAGGCCTCGATCCAGATGACGGGCGTCTCCGCCATCCAGTACTTCTCCGTCAATATCTTCGCCCAGATCGGCATTTCCGCCGACGATGCCCTGAAATACCAAGCTATCAACTCCATCTTGGCTCTGATCGCCCAGGCCATCTGTATCCTGACCATCGACAAGTTCGGCCGTCGCTGGCCCCTCATCATCGGCAACCTGGTCAACTGCGTTACCTTCATCATTGTCAGCATCCTGATTGGTTCGTAACCCGCTCGTCTCTCCCTATTCAATCTGAACCAAAGCCAAATGACCCCCCAAACTGACGTATATTCTTTCTCGCAGCCAAGTTCCCCCCTTCGGAAAACGCCTCGGGCACCGCTGGCTGGGGCTTCATCATCGTCACCTGGCTCTTCAATATCTCCTTCTCGTATGCCTGCGGGCCCCTATCCTGGATCATCCCCGCCGAGATCTTCGACACCCACACGCGGTCCAAGGGCGTCTCCATCGCCACTATGATCTCCTTCGCCTTCAATACTATGATCGGCCAGGTGACGGACCCTGCCATTGAAGGCGTGGGGTGGCGCTACTTCCTCGTATTTGTCGTCTGCAATTTCACCAATGCCATCTTTTTCTGGGCCTTGCTTCCGGAGACTAAGCAGTTACCGCTGGAGGAGATGAATTACTTGTTCTCCAATGCGCCTTGGATTGTACCGGGCAGTGACAAAAGTACGTACAGGGCGAACTTGGGTGTCGATCTTGAGAGGAGAGCCGCCGAGGTTAGGGAGAAAGGGGCGGTCGGAGGACATCATGAGAGGATGAGTGAGTCGAAGGAGACTGCTGCCTGATTGCAAGTGGATGCTGGGTGGCTCAGCCTTCTGACGGAGTGTTCTGTTGAAGTCGAATCACCAATTTGTGACTGGAGTAGTCCGATTTGAACAAGGCATGTACTAGATGTTGCTTGGTTCAAGAGGCCTACATCGTTGAGTGTCTATACTCTTGATACTAAGATTACAATTCTCACCGAATATTTTGCCATAGTAATGAAGAGCGATAATTGCAACTAGTCGATGGTGATCATTAGAAAAGCTAGTCATGCACGCGGTGTGCTATGTTCTTAAACACCGCAGAAATTGGCGTAGTTAGAGTAGGAACGTGGAAATGGGCTTCACATGAGTTTTGAGGAGGCGTAGTTACGTGTCAGACATATTCGGTCTCGGCCAGTATAAGTCAAACTTCAGATGAATATCGTTAACTCGGTAGTTTTCACAATTTCCGCACACCTGGTGTTGAAGATTGTAAGGTTCTGCTTTTGATATTGTACAGCAGTGATGCGAAGCCGAATGCAAATGTCCACGTCAACTGACCTACTTTACAGTGACATGTTGGTTGTAAATATGCACCATTAGTGACGACGTCTTGCAAAATGATGCAAGGAAGAACACTGTGACTTGTAGACTAGGGCCCACCTGGCACAAGTTTCTCTGGGCTGACAAATGCTACCCTAACCCCAGCTTCACCCTTAAACCCTTATCCTAACGCTGTCTAGACTGCTACGTCATTAAAATCTGAACAGCGCGAATCCTCAATCTTCTCCGGCCACGAAGCATCATTCATTCTATTAAATGACAAGCATGGCTCTCTGATAGTGCGATCGCGCAAATGCTGCACCAGTTTCAAACAATTCAATGATGTGGTGCTGGGCTACATATTGAGTGGTTCGTTCCTGCCCAGGTGTGACAGTCAACCTACCATGATCATGCGGGAGGGGCAGGTGACTGCACGATAAGATGGTACTTCTATGATGCCGCTGACAGTGGCCAGAATAATGTACCTGCTAACAAGCAGTTTACGACGTACCTGACTATCCCTCCCCACCGCCGCCCTCGGAGCTGACACCGTCGCAACGATGCATTCCCATTTGCGCTAGAATTCCAGACCTTGCACTTTCTAGCCCAGATGGCGCAACCATGACTTGATTCTAGACCTCCTCCTCTCTTATTCTCTTCAAGATTTGCTTCATTCCCTTCTACCATGCATATGCATTCCTGGCTGCGAAGTCCCTCCTTTGCCGCTCTTAACATTTTGAAATCTGATCTAGTCGTTCACGACGCTCCTTAGACAGGGTCTGCTGACCGTTCCGCAACTGAGACCGCTCTTTTGTACTGCCTCGAAAACCATCGCTATCAATGTACCACGTTCGCCGCCTCGCCTCCGCTGTCGCCTCGATCGCAGCCGTCGTCTTCCTCCTCTGGTTCCTGCCCCGCGTCCTCAACCCTACGCCGCCGAACAAGGAACAGCGCGAGGCCAACAAGCGCTGGGTCGACACCTCGCCGTACTGGCTCGACCGGCAGTCGTGTCGCTGGCTCGGTCTGTGTGGTGTTTTCCATCTCCGGTCGGATCCGCCGGCACGCCAGGACGAAGACGATGACAATGAGGGAGACTTGAAAAGGTTGGAGTTGCGGTCGTGGGAGGCGCATACGGAAAACAAATGGGATAATGCCGCAGAAGGCGATAAGGCGGATGGGAAGAGACAGCTGAGGGAGATACCGGACTATGTGCTCAAGTTTGCACCGCTGGTCCATCTCTATTCGGGCGAAAACTTCTGGCCCACCGACATCGCCGATCACATTAGACACATGTCGCCCTATGCAGATGATGAGAAAATCAACGCTTCAGCACCGTTGGCTCTGCAAAACCTCCACTGGCTGGACTCCGAGGCTGGCTCTGTATACTTGAAGAGTAACGATGACGTAGAGTTGCGGCCCGAATGGCTCCATAGCCATTTCAACGTCCCATCACCCTTCCCAGAAAGCGATGACCCCATTAAGGCGCCCGCACCAGACAGCGGTGATGAAGAACCCTTGTTGAGCGAAGACACGACCTGGTACGAGGTCGATAGAGAACACCCTTTGCACAGGATAGCCGATCCCCGGAAGCGTCCTGGTGGCGGGTCATATCCCGAGGATCGCAGACGGAAGAGGCGCTCGTCCGAGGCCCAATATCCCATCGTTGAGACGCCTCATTACAAGCCCGACAATTCCGGGTATTCTAAAGCTCCAGCGACCCTGGTCCTCGTGGACAAGGGCTCGGGCATCGTCGACGCCTTCTGGTTCTTCTTCTACGCTTACAACCTGGGGCAGACCGTATTGGGGATCCGCTTTGGCAACCACGTCGGTGACTGGGAGCACTGCATGATCCGCTTCGAAGTTGGCATCCCGCGTGCCGTCTTCTTCAGCGAGCACGAGGGCGGGCAAGCGTACGCCTGGCGTGCCGTGGAGAAGCGTGGCAACGACACGCTGACCCAGCGGCCGGTTATCTACAGCGCCGTCGGCAGTCACGCCATGTACGCCGCGCCGGGGTATCACCCGTATGTGCTGCCCTTCAAGATGCTGAAGGACGTGACGGACCGGGGCCCGCTCTGGGACCCGGCTAAGAATTTGAGGGGGTATTGGTATGATTACATGTCCACAGGCGATGCGGGCGGGCTTGAGCCGGTAAGGGAAAATCCGGACGAGCCGACAGACTGGTTTCATTACGAGGGGCCTTGGGGAGACAGGCTGTACGGTCTAGACGATCGGAGGCAGTGGAGGTTGTTTGGACAGTATCATTATGTTACGGGTCCTGTAGGACCTAAGTTCAAGAACCTGGGGAGGGAGAGGGTGTGCCAGACTTGGAGGTGCAGGATTTTGCATAGCATCGCGGAGGGCAAGAAGGGTAGTTGGAATTCCTGATCGTATACGCAATAGAACAGATAAGAAATATAAAGACGATTTCCAGTTCACATGATTGAACATAGTGGGTATCTGTTGTAGAGAAGTAGGCATTACTGGCACCGGCAATCGCTTCCAGTTGAAGGGGGCGGGAGACATCACATCACCGAGAAGTCCAGAAAACTTGTTTTCTTTGGCTGACGACAACCAACCAAGTTGACCCAATCTAGACATGACCATGCTCAAGGCCGGCTGTCCAGCTTGCTACCAAAGTGCGATCCAACGCACAACCGACAGGCCGATGAGACTCGGATTACACTTAATAGGTACTTGAGGATCCAATGGATTTTGAACGTATCCCATGAGATCAGAACAGGTCGTCGATACTCTTATCGGCATCCTTCTTGATCAAATCCACCATGCCCTATTCAACCCAGTTAATTCAGCCTTTCCACAAGGTCACTACGATGAAGTACACTGCTTGAAGAGAAAACAGAGCTTACCTCGGGCATAATGGGCTTCCCATCATCCCCCTTGACATAGCGGAATGGCATTTGCGTGCTCTCGTGCTCATTGAACTTGAGCTCGGGCATGTCAAGGTAAGGGATCATGCTGAGGGTGTCTTGTAGATGTAATTAGTAAGGCGTACGTATCAAGCGGCTTTAGCATTCCGGCTTATTCCATATTCCTGCTACACGGGCAGGTGGATAACTCACATTGCTCGTCCACTACCATGCGCGTCACCCGGACAGCTGTGTCGGTCGTCATCTGTACGGGGCCCAGCCTGCGCCCCTGGAAGCCTTTGTTGCGCAGCTCTGAGGTGCGGTCTGCGTCGTCTACTTTTCAGCTACCTTGCTTTATAGAAAATCGACAACTGAAAATCTATGACTGGCAAGTGAGAATCGGCTTCACGTACCTCGCGGCGGATCATCCCCTATAACGAGTTCAGTCAGCATTTGGCCCTTCCTCGCGCATATCTTCCCGTTTTCTCTCCCATTCTCCCCTTATCGCTTCTCTGCCCCTTACCTCATCCCCCCTAACCCAACACAGCACATCTGTAAACTTACCCAAGATCCCCCCAAACAGAAAAACATCAAACTCCCTCTTATCCTCAGGATTTAAATCCTTCTCTGCGGACGGGTCCAGCAAACACACCCTCTCCTTCCCGTTGCCCGCAGGATACATTTCCTCGACGCCCCTCTGCTCGGCCTTGAACGCCGGCTCCTCGGCCAGCTTCGCAGGTACCTGGAAACCCGACGGCAGCGACGAGAGCACGAATGCCCCACCTGCTTGTTGCGTTTCTTTCGCGATGGTGAGATACTCGAGCTCGGACCAGGGGCCTAGCTCGGGGTCGAGGTGCTCGACTATGTAGGTTTTGCGCTCGGGCATGGTGTGGGTGGATGGGGGGAGAATGAGTGACTGATCAGGGTGAGGAGGGCAAGAAAGGAAGGAAGAAAAAATTGATGATATTTTTGCCTATTCGCTTAATGATAGGTAAGCGAAAATTAATTGACGAAGGGAGGAGGGAGGTAAGTTGCCTAAGGATTAGATCAAGTGTGTTAGCTGAGGTAGTGAGGGGGTAAAAGAGCCTGAGTCGCCCACCACAATGATTTTGAATTAGGCAAGTGCTTTTGTTTTGCCAATATATACAAATAGACGACCACTTTCCGGTACATATGACCATAGGCTGCAGAGAACTCGGGATCCCGTCCGCTCTCCCATAGATAAGCTGCAAACCGCTAGATTAGTAGTTGGGTGGGTGACCACCAGCGAATCCCTGGTGTTGTATGTTTTTGACTTCTTCACTTTTGAACTTATCAGTTGAACCTAGTATATAATACTCTTTTACACCAGTCACTATCACATTCGATCATACGCTGCAGAGAACTCGGGATCCCGTCCGCTCTCCCATAGATAAGCTGTAAACCAGAGGTTTGGCTAGAAGGGAGCCCCAGTACCCCTGGTCCGGCACCAAAAATGGAGATTCGCCCTACCGTTCCCGACCTTAGCTTACCATTCCACGCGACCGTTCTGTACTCCGTAAACGGCCTATCTATCCGTCCATCCCTCCTAGCGCATCTCAACCGGTCCAACATCGAGTGATCGGAAAAGGGCTTAGAAGTTGCGAGCTCGCAGTAAGCCCACGAGGCGTTATTATCGATGAGTACAGTCTTGACAAGGAGAACCTTATGAAATTGTCGGATCGCCTACAGTCTTTAGTTATCTCCATTTCCTTTGACACTTGAATTGGCCGGTATCCTACGTCAGATTCAGGACAGGGGATTGGTAAAAAAAAAAAAAAAAAAAAAAAAAAAGGCCAAGAAGCTGGCGGGTCCCTCCGCGACATAATCTGACAACTCGATCCAAAGAGCACACCCCAAGTGGACTTGATGGGCTGCTCTACATTCCAAGAGGTACTGCAGCAAAAGCGAATGTCTACGGGGCTGCAGCCGGTACGTACTTCCGTTAGATCCCACCTCTGGATGAGGGGATGCAGCAGATAAAGGCATTGTTTGGACCGGACGCAAGTCATCGAGAAAGGAACTGGTAAAATGGCTTCGTCCAGCCGTTTGTGTGGTTTGTTCCGACTCTGAAGATGGCGGCGAATTAGGAATATATAAGACATATAGGAGCGGTATTTGCAGAAGTTGCATCTCTTTATATCGGCAAAACCATATTAACGGAAACTGTAATAGTCCTATTCTATTAACGCTAAGTGCAAGCCAATCACATTGTCCTCATATTAATCGTAGGGAAAGCTGATTGGCTAGTATAGAGAAGCTAACGTGAATGTACACCGAGCTGGCCACCCTTACATAACCTCGCATAGAAATTTTACGATAGTAAAACCACAACGCCGTAAATCAATTGAAACTACTCTGAATCTTCCTCTCCAGAAGATGGCAATGCGATGTTACAAGTTCGCGCATTATGCCCAGTCCCGTTGCAAATACCACAGCGCCTCGGGCGCGTTTTTACGCGTTTGGAGGGTGCTTCGGGGGACTTGGTACGTTTTTGCCGCTTGTCGGAGACTAAGTTTTGGTCATTTTTGAGAGCTTGAAGGGCTAGCATTAAGTCTGCTTCGTTGTATGACTTTGCCATAATTGGTTGTTGAGAAAATCAAACATTAAGTTGGCCGGTCGCGTTGGCGCATGAAAGTGGCCAGCTCGGTGTCATGGCCAGCTCGGTGTACATTCACGTTATACATACATACATATAAATAATTGCAACACACCTTACCACTTCAACCCCATTACAACACTTTTAAGGAAACCTAGAATAATTACATCTTGGACTGAAAGAGCGATCTAAGGAAAATGGTATTCCAACATGCCTCACCATTGACTTATAGGCATAAGCATGCATAGATCGGCACTACAATAACCGCAAGCCTTGAAATGTTCGAAATTAAGCGTAGCGAGACGACAAATACCTTCCGAGAGCTATACGTGTGGCTTATGCGATACAAGCGAAATTTTCGAAGTGATCCAGGCGGATTTAGGACGCCGAGCAAAATCTGAAGCTGAATTGGGAGGAGAACGTAATATGCTTATATAGATAGATAGATTTAAACCGGTTTACAAAATATGTCTCCTTGCCTCTGGAAGCTCTGATTGTCGTCGGTCTTGCCGTCACAGCCTCTGAATTGAAAATACCTTAGATTCACACAAAGGGAGCAATGTCAAACATCCATCGAACCTGATGACTTCCGACATTTCCTGCGAATTTCATCATTATACAGGTTTGTTGCTCTTCATTGTAGGCGGTGAAAATAAAGAATTGGTTATAAAAAGAGAACTCCCTGTTGTGGGGGTGGAAAACGAGTCTGATACGAACTGTCCCTTTAGGCACGATTGGGTACGAGATTGCGTAGGCATTCATGTTAGCTATAGCCAAATGGAAGAACAAGTAATGCTCCTGAAGTGGGAATTGTGAGAGCGCAGCTTCCAATTCTCAGCGAGCGGTACTAAGATGAGACCCTCATCCACGGCACCATCATCCATGGCCTCTTCCTAGACGGGGTTCTCTATGATTGACTTGAAAAAGTATTTCACGATGTTAGCAGGCCCACCAACTTCTGAAACAGTGATAAGTGACAAAAAGACCAATAACTTGCCTCCGGTCGCCCTTAATGCCTTACTACACACATAAACTCATATAGCGATCTCTTTCTAAAGCCCAAGCAACTGGACCATACCATGGATAGTACGGAGGTTCATATGATATAATAAATATGTCCAGATCAATTCAATCGTAGCTTCGGCGAAATTTAATAAAGGACGAAGATCCAGAGATACACTAAGCCATAAGCCATAAACGGAAACCCCATAATTTATTTTTACCGTAAAAGTCGGTTCGTTACGCCAGTTATTTGTGCATAATTCCTTTATGTATACTTGTCTGTTTTTGGATGCGTTCATTGGGGGCCAAGCTCAGGCCAAGCTCCGACCAGGCTCAGGCTTAAAGCAGCACGGCTCAGGTCCCGATGTGGCACCCAGACCCCCCCCATGGACATTCTACTTGTGCGGTAGCTTGCTCGCGGCATTTGGCGGCGCGGATTTTTAACATCTCCGATCATGCTTTTACACAGTCAAATGCATTTACCGGACACTGAGTCAATTCAAAAAATTCCCACGGCCATGGAGGGGCACCAGCTTCACACCCCCCAAGCACCCCGCTAAACTGCTCACCTACTGAACAAGTAGGTCAATCGTAGCCAAACTGTCAATCCATAGTCTCGCCCGCCCTGCTTTGAGGAGCATTTCATTTTTACGCTCCGTCGCAATGGCTGCCATCTCGTCCCAGAAGTACTCGTCGATCGAGGAGACCGAGATCCAGCAATGGATCACCACCTCGGACCGCCTCAAGTCCTCGCCCGCTGACTCGTCTATTCTGGAAGCGCTGAACTCTCACCTCTCCACCCGAACAACCCTACTCGGTACCAAGCCATCCAAGGCTGATATCTCAATTTACGAGACCCTCGCACCTGTTGTCGCAAAATGGACCTCCGAGCAGCGAACGGGCCAGCAAGGCCACCCTTACATTGTGCGCCATCTCGACTTCGTCCAGAACTCGGCCGTCTTCGGCCTCGATGTCAAGGATACCGAGAAGATTAAGGTCGACTCGGAGGAGATTCTCTACGTCACCCCGCCCGTCGATGCGAAAGCCGAGAAGGAGCGGTTGAAGAAGGAAAAGGCTGCTGCAGCCGCAGCAGCGGCTGGAGGAAGTGGTGCTGATGCCACGCTGGCTGACCGCACCAAGGCGGCCGCTGAGACGGTCATGAAGAAGGCAGTTGATGCTAAGGATGCCGTCGTCGCAGCTGGTGGGGCCGGCGGCGAGGCAAAGCCAAAGAAAGAGAAGAAGGAGAAGGCCCCCAAGCAACCCAAACCCCCTGCCGCCACGGCTGCGGCACCGACGCCTGCCCTTATTGATCTCAGGGTTGGCCACATATTGAAGGCTATCAAGCACCCCGAAGCCGACAGCTTGTATGTATCTACCGTTGCCATGGGTGACAAGGAGGTTACGGAGGATTACACCGAGTACGAGGGCCAGATCTGCCGTACCGTCTGCTCAGGGCTCAATGGACTGATCCCATTGGAGGAGATGCAAGGACGCAAAGTCGTCGTGGTCGCCAACTTGAAGCCCGTGAAGATGCGCGGTGTCAAGTCCTGCGCCATGGTCTTGGCTGCATCGCCGAAACTGAAGGAGGGTGAGGTTGACGACCACAAGGGTCCGATTGAACTGGTTTCACCTCCCGCCGACGCGAAAGCAGGCGAGCGAGTCAACTTCGAGGGATGGGAAGGCGAGCCCGAGGGTGTCCTCAACCCTAAGAAGAAGGTCTGGGAAATGTTCCAGCCTGGTTTCACCACAAACGACTCGTTCGAAGTTGTCTTTGATGCAGGTGAGGTTAAGGAGACGGGCAAGCAAGGCTTGGGCAAGCTTGTCACCAAGAGCGGGGGGCATTGCATTGTGAAGTCGTTGAAGGGAGCTACTGTGCGATAATCATATGGCCATTTGACGGGGTCGAGAATACCAAAACTATAGACGAGACAAATGGCAATAGATTTGGAACCTGATACGAACTCCTTTTATCTCTGCGTCTAGCCCCAGTCCGAGTCGCATTGCGACGCACTTTCATATCTTGTTTACTCACTCCAACATCCTCCGAAGTGCTCAAGGCTTTGCAGAAGGAGCACAGCCCGTGGTCGAGGTTATGTATTCCGTAGAGACCGGGCATGGCACACTCGTCGAGCAAGAGGCCTCGGTGACGTACGTCGTGCCTGTCGTCGGGCAACAGTCTGTCGCGCAAGGGACGTCGATTGTGGATACTTGGATGTACAACGGGCAGATGGCCGAAGGATCCCGGGAGTAGGTTGGACACGACGCTATTTTACCATCATCAGTACTCCGTTACTCTCTCGGTTGGGAAGACTCTCATGAGGTCAGTGTACGTACAGGCCTGTGTGGTTGAAGTGTATGTATAGCAACTGTGCGTGGTCACCCAGCCGGTCATGTGCTCGAAGTCGTCAATGGTGGTCGAGCAGTGAGCGGGCTGGGTGGGCGTAGGCGCGTCGGTTTCTGCTAATTGGGCGGTGCTGATGTCGTGGTTAGCTTTCATTACCGACACAATATGCGCATAAGTGGGAGTTATACTCACCAGGACCAGATGGCCAAGAAGCCAACGGCCAATGACGGGATAGACTTGGTTGAGAACAACATCGTGAAGTTTCGGTCTGCGTTACTAATTACCTTTGCTTGGTGGTAGTTGAGGGTCTGAAAATTGGAACAATGTCTCTGGATGGAGTTGCAGCTCTAAGAAACAAGGCGAGAGTCAAGGGCAGGTTAATATACCGACATACACACATGAACCTCCCTTTAGTATCCATCACACCAAGCAGCCTCCCGCTCGTTGAATCCTTCGAAAAGTATCCACTCTTCTGGAAGTCGCTTGCATTGTGGTGCAAGCTACCGTACATACATGGTGCAGCAAACCAAGGCTGGGCGGCAGCGGGCTTGCTCATTACAGTTTAATGAGAATGGTGATGGACATACACACCAAGCCAATTCGTAAAATGTAAAAGATTATCCGAGACCTCACTTCCCCCTTCGGAAGTTGAATGTTTCGGACAGGCTAGGAACCGTCCTTCCGTCCAGTAACACTGAAATCGTCTAATCCCAATGTCCAGCCAATAATGCGAAATGGCCACTTACAGCCAAGGTTGACGTCTGTGGTGGAACTTGATTCAGCTACCTTGCGTCAGATCATAGCGAGAAGCTCGGGACGTTGTACAAACGTGGCTGCAGGGTGGTTGAGCAGACAGGACGTCATCCACAGCTGAAAGCCATGCGATACGTACAGTCATCCTTACTATTCTCATCAACATCTGACGTTCTCAATAACGACAGCAACAACGCAGACAGGCAAAATCTGTTGCTCACAATGGATGATTTTAACCCGACTTCTCTGCAACCCCCATCGAAAAATATAACTGCAACCAAGGTATTTGACCAATATAGCCGGCCTGTTCCGGTCAAATATTTTCTTTGATGTACTTCCCCTCCAAACTAATCAATGCCAACGTGGCAAATACCCTTCTTAATCCATCCGAACAGCTAAGCGGATTCCGGGATGCACAAACAACCAGACTAAAGGAAGAACATGGTTATATCGGTTCGGCTACAGTAGTATTGACGGGGATCTGCACGGCCCATCCGCTTAATAGAATAGTCTGAAGTTGGAACTTACTATGTTAGTTGAAGGGGTCAGACTGGGCTGGAATGATTAGTATGGCCTCTCTATCCCCTCAAAGATTCTCATAATCACAACGTATTACTCTTGGGCTGGCGAAGATGATCATTTGTTCAAGTGATCATCAATTCCGTCTTGGCGTTTGTCAAAGAATCTCTGCAAGGAGACGTCTCAAATCAGCACTTATGTGTGTAAGCAACGAAGTCTTGTCCACTGGTCGCAACGGTCTTCTCAAGAACGCCTAGATGATGCCTCGTATTGACTAACAAGTGGCGTTAGTGGCTTTGCTGACAGGACTGGCTCTGGTCGAAGTTACTCATGGATTTTCCACCAAACATGTCGATCGACGCCAGAGCTGTGGAGTAGGTACAAAAATGAGCTTGAATAAAAGTGGTTTTGTCTTCTTGTCTGATATGTGCATAGATGGAGAGGGTTCGTCTTCCTGTCTAATATAGTACAGTTATACACGATCCCAAATTTGCGCCCGACAAAGATTCTAGCCCACCCCCTATCTGCCCATGAGGACCTCCAGGCTGTAATATACATTGCTTGTGTACAAATCTCTCCCACATTTACCATACACCCCACCTTTTTGTCCTTTGAACCGCCCATGTCCTATATGAAAACGCCAGCTATGCAGATGCCTTTTAGTGTCGTCAATCGGATTCTATTTATTTTTTTGGGGGGAAGGATGTTGTGTGTTTTCGTTCATGTTCTTCCGCAACTGAGCGAAAAAGCGTTGCGGCTTCTGCCGTCTATGCTTATGAGAAGAAATATTGGCTGTCCTTCAGCCTCGTAACATCCCAGTCACCCTGCGACTTCATTAGTACCCTTCTTCATCTCTAGGAGGGTTAGAATTACTGACCTTTTTCGGTAGCTCTGGGAAAGTTAGGGGGAGCCAAACATAGCTCGCCCTCGCACCTGTCGGAACCGTAGCTTTTTTCCCCTTCATGAGTGATTCAAAGGCCGTCATACCCATAAGCTCTCTGACGTGCGCGGCCTCGTCAGGGATATCGGAATTTGGCGGCAAGGCTTTGGACTTTGCTGCTTTACGCTTTGGCTTGGGTTCTGTTTCGTATGTTTCCTCGTCGCCGTCGTGGTTGGATGCCGCATCCGCCATGGCGATTGCTTCGGAAGAAGGAATATGCCCTAGACCTATCTCGGCCATATCTTCGTCGATATCACCAGAAGCACTATGGGATCCAGCATAGGCCTGGGCAATGGTGGTAGGAGTTTCCATCTCTCGTCCCCTCTGCACCTCTTTTGGATCTTGTGATTTCAAAAGTCGCAGCCTTTCTGTCTCCTGTACCAACTCGTCTTTCATGTTTTGTTTGGACTTCTTCCGGTATTGTTGCAGGATGTTTTCAAGCTCACCTCCGGACTCCAGTTTAGCTAGGTAGTACGAGCCTTTGTGTCGCGCCTCGAACTCGGTCGCTAACCGTTTGATGACGTCTTCCTTGTGTATGCGAATAAAAGAGTCACGCAGGACTCGATTCATGACATCGATGTCGGCTGCGTGGGTCCAGAAAGAGTCATGTACAGCGGCAAAGTCTAACCCCAGGTCGCTGCATTCAAGCGCTGACAAAAGCATGTGACTGGCATCTAGAGAGTGGATGAAGTTCGGGGGGAACGCTTGCAACTGCTTTCTCCTGTCTACAGGATCGAATCGGTCGGGAACCCTAAGGTTCAACTCTTGCAAACAAGTCTGTATTTGACGGATGGCTGCCTGGCGATACGGCTGCACGACCGGCATGCGGAGTGGTGTCGTCCACACAATGGTCGACCTAAACTGGGCATTGACTTGGTCCATGGCTTTCTTCCTTCTCTGCTGGGCTGTCTCTTTGGGCTCCTTGGACTCCTTGGGCCCGCTCAGCTGGGTGCGGGATCTCTTTCCGGTCTTCCTTTCCTGTAGATCGGCAGAGCTATTTATTTGTTCGAGCTGCTCTGCCGTCAGCGCCCGGCAAACCCGGCCTGCACATTCACCGAGCCAGTATTGGATGTCATGGGCGCCACGAAACATGGTACCGAGAGCTTTAAAGATCTTGCCGGCAACATATTGAGCAAGCAGTCGTGACGGAATACCGGTCTCCTCCATAATATGGGGATACGCAGCGTCAAGCTGCTTCTGAACTTGTGCGCGAGCTCCGATGAACGTAACTCCGTACACATTGGTCATGACAGTTTGCTTAACCACCTTGCGGCTGATCTTGCCATCTACCGCTTTGGCGAGAAAACTGTCCTCTTTGAGATCCGCTGCAACGCTTTCCTTAACCAGCTCCGCGACGGCCGAATACACATCTGCAGGGCGGTCTCCAGGTTCCAGGTTGACTTGCTGGGCGCCCCATAGATCACCTCCGAGCGCGGCATAATGTTGGAGACCATTACAGGTCCCGTCTTGGTGAACGGGCAAGTGCGATACGTACTTTGTCGGGTCCGGTGATTGCAATGCTGCCTTCACCTCAAAGCAGGCTGCTAAGCACTGCCAAGGATCTTCTGCTGTTAACCACCACCGTTTGCCGTGCAGCGGATTGTCGGTTGAGTCGAATATGTTGTCAAGGTTGTTCATGGTGAAAGCCTCTCTTTCCTTCAGGCTGGCCTTGTCATATCCGAACACATTGGCCAAATGCACCTTCAGCCACCGAAGACCGCTCTCACCGAGCTCCTTACCCTTTGCGAATATAAGAATCGCACGTGCATGGTCGGCGCCCATGTGGTTGAGATAGGTTGGAATTGGATAGGCGCGGCCCCGGAAGTCCATGTTGTGAGGAAAGTAGAAGACCTGGTCCTTGAATGCTCGCCCAATCTCAAGTTGGAAATTCATGAAACACCTCTCCGAATGGAGGCCCGACTTCTCGTTCTCGATGGCTTTGACCTCTTTAAGCCACTGCCGTCGTTCGGTTGGATCTCCGCAGGACTCCGGCTCTGCGGGGATGGTGAGGCTGGGGTTTGCAGGCGGAATATTTGCTATCTCCTCCCCGGTGTTCCAGGCCTCGAGCAGAACCTGAAACACAGGCTGGTTGATCCTCCACGCAGTTCGCCCAAGTACGTCGAGCCCTTTGCTGACTTGCTCCATGTCGCCCCTGCCCACAGCCGCCTCGGTGTATATCTTCTGGTCCTTCTCTCCGTTCTTGATTCGGACAAGACTAGCAGGAAACTCGATGAATCCCCCTTTGTCGAATTTGGTCCAGGGTTGTGGCACTACAAGCATGGGCAAATGTCGCGCCAGGAAATCCGCACGGGGCTCGGTTTTGATGAGGTCTACCAAGTACTTGTTCGGCATAATCATTCCGATTTTCTTGCCTTTCTTGGTCACATTGGTATGGGCGAACGCAGGCTGAACTTGCGTGATGTGTTCTTGGGTGTCGGGGTGCTCGCGGCCTACCACAACCTTGGCTGTGTCTATGAACGCGGATAGAAGCGTAGCGCCAATTTTAGTCCTGATCAGAACAGGCCAGGTCTTTGGGTCAAATTGCGTAACTTCAACCACGTTGCTGCTTGCCTCAGAAAGAATCGCGTCAGGAGGAGTGACGGAGCTTGATGGCGTCTCCATGGCCTGACGAGTGCGGGTTTTCCATGCGGCCTTGCGCGCGGCAGATTCCTCATCTCTGGCTTGGGTCTTCACGTCCTCCTCCACTGCCCGTGCCAAGTAGTTGAGGCAGGTCGACAGGGCGACGCCATTATCCACGCCGTGTTGTGTCAGAGTGTTCAGCACACTCATGACGGTAACAGCGGCAAGCCGGTCAGGCTTACTCTGCCTCATGAACGGGGCCACAAGGCATCGGTCCTGATCCTCTGCCGTCTTGGAAGTTCGCTCTTCCGATTCCTCGAAGAGGTCGAACTCTTCCTTGATTTTGGTCTCCAAGGTGCAATGCCACTCATAAAGCTGAGCATTCAGAGCAGGAGCAGAAATCGCCGCATTCTTGCCGATCTTCTTCAGTGCTTCGTTCTCCTCCCTCCAACGACGTATTGCCGCATCTACACAGTCACGTTCGAGCTGGGACTGGAATTCGCGGCGTTCGGATAGAGACAGTTTCGAAAGATCTTGACCCTGAAGTTCGGAAAAAAAAGACAGAACGCTGCGCAGGGTATTAAGACCAAAGCCCTTCTGGTTGACGGCCCTGACCTCGGGCATGTCTGGCAAAGCTGTGGTATTGGTCGCAGACTCGAGTAGGGATTCATCGGTGCTCTCCAGTGGCTGACAATCGACGGCTTCAGATTCATCAAAGGTAATCTTGTACTCGGGGCAAAACTCGGTGATTTTGGAGACATCTTGAGGCGTCAATATGACGTTCATGTACTGTTGAAGCATCTCGGTGCCAGCATCAGGCACCATCTCCATGTATCGATGCACGAGGCGCTCCAGCCTGTCGGATTCGTTGGTAGATAACAATGCGATCTTCAACATGCAAGCGATGGTCTCAGTCGTTTCGGGAAGGCGCGGGCCTCGGATGCGACATTCGTACCATCTCTGCATTGAGTCGGCCCATTTGATGCTGGGTTGACCGATGAATCTATCGATGTTGGCGCGCAGATAACGGTTGTGAAGGGTAAGCATGTCATCTGGCAGCAACCCATGCTGCAGAGCCTCCAGTCTTTTGAGGACTATCGCTGCCCTCTCGAGCTGGTCGACTTGCAAGCAAGCATCGAAGACGGAGAGGGCTGCCTCGACGTCACCAGGGACAGCGTTGGGCGTCATTCTCGTCCGAGGAAGCGGATCTTGTTTGTATTTAATCAGTAGAGGAGCCGACGGGTCGAAGTATCGTATGTCGAAGGATCGAGGGGGAACCATCGGCGGCAGCGTTGACGAATATGGGTACAGGGTCTCGTCCATGGCGGTGGCCAGAGATCTCTCGTGTAAAGGACCATGACCGGCGAGTGCACTCGTCCTCTGCCGTGGCCGCGCCTCTGATCGTGTGACGAGTAACCTCCGAGTCGCTTGGAACGAAGGGCATCTCGAGGGTAGCTGATGTCGCGTCAAGCTGTTCTCCCTGGGGAAAGCCAGGGGGAGGCTCCGTCGAGCCGCCGGTCGTATCAACATGACCACAAGTCGACACTGGGCGCAAGCCCGAATGAGGCAGGAGGAATAAATATAGTGATGAGGTTCTCAACAGATCAACTTGCTGCTAGGGAGAGTAAAAGTAATTAACACATTAAATACGATATAAATCACGGGAAGAGCTTAGAACACAATCTGATAGATCCAAAGCAAGTTCTGCGACTGCTGCTTGGCTCCGTTGGAGGCGATATAACAAAATGGGTGCATGGAGAATTTCGAAGTCAATCGATAGCAGGCTCAAAGTAATGACGGGGCCAAATTTTTACAGCTCCAGCTCCATCTATAGATTTTGCCTTACCAAACGGCAGCCCTGCCACGGGTAAGCTTTCCCATTGGTTCGGCCTCTTTTCGCTTTGACCCGAGCGACGTGTGGCGCACCAGTGGTGCACGTCCTAGCGTGCTAGCGATGCATGAGCTCCAACAGTTTTTCCACCTGACGTCTCTTGTGTCTTTGAGCTCATTGTTTGAAGTACCTGTATAAAGTATTGACAATAACTCACCTCGAGTCAACTCAGGTCCACCATGCTCGTGTCCAGGTCCAATTGAAGACAATATGGTAGCGAGACGGGCAATATCAGCAGCGGGCTGCACCCACTGCCGTTTGGCTGTTCTCAAGCTTTTCGTCGCATCCTCCACCCCCACCCCATTCATTCGCGCCCGGTCATCTGCATCATGGCATCCCACCCTCGCAAGTCGGACGTCGCGCGCCTTTTCATCTGCGCCCAAACCCATCGATGTCAACGAGGCCAAAGATGCCGCCCATGACTCCCAATTGCAGCTTGAGGACCAGCTTCTTACGCCAGACAGCCAAGACGTTGTCGAGCAGCCTCCGCAGTCAAATGATGGGGATACTCCCTGGTATCTCCAGGTCGAGCCTCCGCGACACACAGCAGCCACCGAACCGCCACCGCTTCCGGATATCCCCCCAAACTCACCAGCCCTCTTGGATCCGCTGGTCAAGTATGCGTCAGAAGAGATGGGACTCGACGAGCTAACTCTTCTTGACCTAAGAGAGCTTAACCCCCCGCCCGCACTAGGCGCCAACCTATTCATGTTGTTTGGCACTGCCCGCAGCGAGCGTCACCTAAACGTATCTGCTGGCCGTCTCGTTCGGTGGCTGCGAGTGCAACATCGTGTATATGCCGACGCCGACGGCCTGCTGGGCCCCAACGAGCGTAAGACGAAGCTGAGGCGGAAGGCCAAGAAGGCGAAATTGCTAGGTACAATGGGCACCGATGATGCCGACGACGGCATCACGACCGGTTGGATATGTGTCAACCTTGGTTCCATAGATCGCGGTGGCGAACAGGCCGCCGTTGTCAGCGATGATGGTCGCGTCGCCGGGTTTGGAGTATCCCAGAAGGGCTATACCGTCGTTTTCCAAATAATGACGGAATCTCGCCGGGCTGAACTGGGGCTGGAGACCCTATGGCAACGAACCCTTTTGCGCCAGTTAAACAAGTCTGACCCGGCAGAACACTCAGAGATGAGCGTCGAGAGCGAAGTGCACCCTCTGGAGCAAGCCATCCACTCTAAAGCCCCTAGCCATCAATCTATTGATCCTAGGGACAATAATGGGTGTCCAGGCCAGTCGCGATCTTTCTCTACTTCTACGCGTTTGGCTTCCTCTGCGTATATGCAGAATATCTTCAGGGACGACAAATTACTGGACCCTCTGCTCTTGGACCCTGTCGCTCTGTCGCAGACACTCTTGTACGACGGACATGCTAAGTTACGTCTCACTAAGATCTTGCGTGTTTATCTCGAGAATCTTCCTGCTAGGGAGGCTTTGAGGACGCTAAAATCTGAGGTATTTCAGAAGTTATCTTCCCTAGCTACTAGGAACCTCCTCGCAGAGCACACTTGGGCGTTTCGGCTTGCGTCCGAGGCAGTCAAGGCCCGTCAGTTTGCTACAATGGATCTCTCAGATGGGCATCTGTTACTTGGAAACACACGACAATTGATCAGTGAAATGCGCATTCATGGCATTTCGCCGTCTCGACAACAATATCTTCAGCTCATCTCATGCATTTATTCACCACTTGGACCCCCACTCAACGAGCAGACCAACCTAGCTCTTGAACTGTTGGAGTCGCTACACTTGCGGGGCGAGCCAATCATTGCCAACGACATTGTCGTTACAATAATAGAGGCTATTTCCCGGTGTAACAAGCCACGCGAGGAGGCCGAGGATCTTCAGCAGAGGTTGGAGGAACTGATGGTGCAAGTCAAGCTACCCTGCATGGATGAACCCCTACTCGTACGACTGATGGATGCGTATGCCCGCCAGGAGAACTGGGGCAAGTTTTGGGAAACGTGGCGCATACCTGCTCGGTTTCTTCGCCCACGCTCCGCAGCCATGTACATCCACATCTACCGACTAATGGCAGCTACGAAGTCACGTTCGTTGTGCATAGATGCCCTGCGACGGTGTTTCCAAGAGATGGTCATCGAGAACCCTCCAGTTCGTCCCATTGGTAACGTTCGCGATGCCATGCTCGATTGCATTCGTGTGGCGGACCCCCGCGCTGAGGAAGATGCGGAGAGGATACCGGCCAACGCCGTCGGGCCTATGCAACGAGTCGCAAACCGGGAGTTTGTCAAGTTGGTCAGAACTATCAAGAGTCTGGGTTAGTCTTGCACTGCGATGGACGGAATCGGCTAAGCTATTGTCGCTGTTGAAAGTCAGCTGCTTAACGTGTTCCTGGATGACCCTACACCAGTATGGCGGTCCTCGACAGAATCCGGCGTGGGGCTTCGGAAGCTGAGTGAGTGCTGCACACCAAACTTACAGTGCCATATGTACATTATTACGCGTGAAGAGGCGTATTTGCTGTTTTTGTGTACAAATCAGCTGCGAGAGTATCAGTAGCCACTGTACTATACTGAAAAAATTCATCGAATAATAGCGTGAGACCTTGAACGCTTACACGGTCAATCATAGGCACTGGCGATACCTCCCTTTTCGGGCAGACCACCGGCGTGAAAAGCTATTGTGACATTGCACATAATATATATGCTAATTCTAACGCGGAGGTTTGGAATGGATGAGGATGATAGACTCCGACCAGTCTTTGCAGTTTACCTTCCGAGGTCGTCATCCAGAATTTCTAGATCGTTATCATGGCCTGGTTTGGAGCCGATACTTCGAGCTTAACCTAAGCCACGGGTTCGAATTCTATCAAATATACCCACCCTAGCCTATCGCTCTTCAGCTTATTGGTCTTTTGACATTTCAATTTAGAGTAGCTACTTCGAGAAAACCTTATAGTCTTTTAGAAACTACTTCAGATAGTAATCAACAAGTTATGCAACCCGAAAGTCGCTGAAGGATAATCTATACGAAGACCGATAAAGGTAACTTAGTTATCGTACTCGAAAGAGAGAAAAAGGCTTGAACGCTGTTTTCCATAGCTATGTTATCAAAGGTCTTTATCAAATATACTTGAAGGTACTAAAAATATCACCTCTTATTAGTATATATATAACCTCTCCCCTAAGACACTCCTCTGCAAAGTGAATAAAAATAATAGTGTATAAACGATACCAAGATTTCGCCTAACCATAATCCCGAACCTATCCTCATGAAAAACGCATAATACTAACCCTGCCTGAACCACACCCAATAGCCACGGTCGACTGAAATATAAAAAATAATATTAAATACGCCGTAGGTGTTAACCCTCGGTACCTCTACAAGTACTCCCTTAAGGGGCTATAGATGATATAGCGGGCCCTTAAGCCGCGTCGGGCGGTTATACAGGTAAACTTGTAGCCAAACGACTACTAAACCTCCTGTCCCTCCCTAAGTCTGTGCTACAACCCCTGCCTGAACTACCGATAAGTGTGGTAATGTGGCACTTAAATTCGTCCTCAGGGGTGGGATGCTGCTGATGTGCAGAAGATGCTCGACTATTTTTTTGTCGCGACAAGTCGTAGTATCTGCTAATTAGGGTTCTCGTCGAGCGTATACATCTCAACCATACGCTCAAGTGGATAGACCGTAACGTGGTCAGACGCTCGCAAGAATCGCGGCGAGAGGGCGTGCTGCGCGCCTTCTATCGTGAGGGGACGGGTTCGCCGACGAGCGTTATCGGAAAGGCGAGGTCCGATAAGGGGTCGGATTAACGATTCGAATTCTGGACCGGCTGTCGAGTTATATTCCGCCGACGTAGTGCTTGACGGTCGACTGGCTAGGATGCTCGTAATCCTAAACTGCACCAATCTCCCTATTATCGCTAGGTAGGCGAAGTCAACAAGGTGGGCAGCGCGCCGTAAGGGTTGACTAAACCCCCTTGTGTGTCAGCTGCGGGATTCGAACCCGCGACTCGTCACCGACCCAAGTGGGCGAGGCTCAAATCGGGACTTATCTACCAGCGAAGTGACCAACTACACCAGCCGACTGAGGGGCTACATTGGAGGATTTTGGGGGACAGGGGGGAGCACTGAAATATACATGAGCATAATGGCCGGAAGTCTGGTGCCAGCCAGAGAATCCTCTGTCCATGGAGTGTGATCCAGATCTGGTCTGTACTGAGACCATATCCGAGGCGGTGGCCTTGAATAGAATGAGGTAAAACCTCGTTCAGTGGAGATGAGTTAGTAATATCACTAATCAAACCAGACTCTTGCGAGGCGTAAACAGCGAAGGCACCAACTTCAGTGAAGACATACTGGCTATTGCTATCGAATGCGAGAGTTCGTGATGCAGAACCCATATCGACTGTTTTCTGTAGCGCGCCCGTGTCGGCCGCCCAGAGCTTGACCGTGTTGTCGTCCGAGCCCGAGGCCACGAGCCGGTCGTCGGGCGAGAAGGCCACCGACCAGACCGTACCGCTATGGCCCTCGAGCGTCTGCTGCAGCGCGCCCGTGTCGGCCGCCCAGAGCTTGACCGTGTTGTCGTCCGAGCCCGAGGCCACGAGCCGGCCGTCGGGCGAGAAGGCCACCGAGCTGACCGTACCGCTATGGCCCTCGAGCGTCTGTAAACAGGCACTCCAATAATCTTCCACTATTGGTTTTCTGATTATCCATTTGGGCTCTTCCCCTCGAAATGAATTCCGTACAACACTACAGTTGGGGCTGAGAACCAGTGCCGACACATATACTTGGAGTGGGTTGCCAGTAATCACAACGCTGTGAGATTGGATGAATCGTAGCGCATCATATACTACTTCAGCTAACCCTGCTGCGCTCTCTTTACCCTAAACTCTATTAGAGTTCGAAATGGTATATTGCGAGTAAGTACGTACCTTAAGTAAGCGCCGTAGTTTGGACATAGAAGAGACCCCTTTCGGTATATCTCTAAGGAGACCGAGAGACTCTAACCAATGTAGATAGCTTTTTTCGAAGAACTTTTGGATTGCGCCACCGTCTTGAACGTATTCTTCGAATTGTAGGTTCGCAGAGCCCCCTTCGGCTAGATGATCGACCCAATAGATACAAGAGTATCGTAAAGGGGATAACGGATCGGGATTTGGAACTTGAATTTGGTCGACAGAGATGCCGTCCTCACGTAGATCGTATATATCACGTCGAAGGCCCTTGGATAGAGCGTCAGTCGATCTTGAAAAGATGGAGGAGTGTTTCCGGCCGACACCATCAGGGAAAATTGTATGGGCCGCATTTGTGACTAGAAAGTCTTTCGCCGACTGATCCACCCAGAAGTATTGGAGGCCATCGCAGACAGCCTGCTCGCCGCAAAACAAGATCTTCTCGTAGCCAATCTTATTCCTTCCAGTACCCTCCATAATATCCTTGAAGGTCACCTCTTCGTTATCGTCCCCCCAGGTATGTGAAAGGACGGCGTATCGGGGAATGTTACGGATGAAGTTGGTAAGAGTCAACTCGCCACCAGCCGAGAGCTGAAGGAGACGCATCGTCGGGATGGGAAAATTTGGAACACTATTAAGGTCGATCAGTTTGCATCACATCTGACAGGCTCGAACAGGACTGTTGGCTTCTTACCATTGTCGAACGACGAGGCTGGGCTAATCACGAGACCTGCAAGTCCCCCCAATCATATGTAATAGATAGCCGGCGCCGCCTTAGGACGCGGGGTCGTCGACGTACTGGTAAACTTGACGCCATTTTACGGCTGCCTTCTTTGCGCTGTTTGAGGTCGCTGGTAATCATCAATATTTGGGATTCGGTTTTGACGGATTGGGTACATGAACAGCAAGTTCCGAAGAAGAGTTTGGGAAGGATCAGGACTGACAGGTGGGGCTTTAGCGTCAAAACACGCCTTTTATTAACGATGCTAACGCTCATATTACGTGATAATACCCAGTTTAGCATAATTCTATATAAGGACCATTGCCGCAAGTTGATCGTTATCGACAAATGATAATTCTACAATCTATTTCGCGTCTACTTGTCAACGGGTCCAATAAGGATTCAATAGAGGTGGACACCTAAACTCGGCCACGAAGGCAGTTTTGAGAATACAGTCCGCAGGGACCGTACGGTCTAGCCTTACGACGTTTATCCATCACCGCTATTGGGACAGTCATGAGTTGATAAGCAATAAACGGCGCGGCATTATAAGCATCAGAGCCAACCTGATCTTTTCCTCCGATTAGACCTTGATCGGTTTGCCGAGCAACTCTCAAACAGCATCACACTGTCTTTGGCACGGAAAAACAACCGGCGAGATCGCCTTATCGTAGAGAGCAGCACTCAACAGCCCATCAGTCCGAATTCCAAGAATATGGAAACCTCTCCCCCTCCTACGCCGCCGTCACGTGCTCCAAATGATCACGAATGGCGATTTAAACAGATGACCTCGCCTTGTGAATGGATCGAGGATTATCGGCCGGGAGGCTACCACCCGGTTCATCTGGGTGACCTTTTCAAAAATGGCGAGTACAAGATCCTGCGGAAGCTTGGCGAGGGCTCCTACTCAACGGTTTGGCTGGCCCGAGATCTGAGGTAAATTGATTTCCGTTTGCGATCTGCCGGTGACACTGTCGATCCACTTTGCTAAAGCCCCTAAGGAATAGTAAATACGTCGCAATAAAGATATTGGTCGGAAGCTCGGAAACGACTTCAGAGCTGCAAATCTTGCGCCACATCACGCAAAATGCACCAACAGACGGTGCCCGATACATCACACAGCTTTTAGATCATTTTGAACACCACGGTCCTAATGGCGTCCATAAATGTCTGGTGTTCGAGCCTATGGGTCCAAGTGTGAATACTATGGTCGAAGAGCTGCCTCAGTTCAAACCTCGCAAGTGGGGAATGAAGATACGCTACCCGCCCCAGATGGCAAAGAACATCCTCAAGCAATCTCTTCAGGCCCTGAAATTTTTACATGAGCATGGTATAGCTCATGGAGATTTCCAGCCGGGGAACATATTCTTCGCTCTTGACAATATTGACTCGAAGCCTGAAGTTGAGTTGCGGCAGAAAGAAGATGTACAAGCCAAGTCAATCTCTGCGCCCGTACAAAGACTGGATGGTAAGCAAGACCGATGGGCTCCTCGGTATCTCTGCATCGCGGAACCCTTAGTGCCTTCCGCGCCTTGCGACGAAGGTTTTAAGATTAAACTCGCCGATATGGGTGGAGGTTAGTATATCCCGGTGCGAGCACTTTACGTAAATGTCTTCATAGTATGTTTACTTACGTCTGTTTCGAATAGCGTTTTTCTTCACTGACCTTCCGAAGAAGCTGGTCACTCCACTCGGGCTTCGACCTCCTGAGTTGGTTCTGACCGGAGAGGTTCACAAAACCATTGATATATGGAGTTTCGGTTGCCTCACTTTCCAGCTTATTACCGGACAGCCCCTTATTTGCGTACCGTGGTATGAATCGGAATCCGACCAAGATGACGATCACCTGCTTTCCCTCACAGCCTGTCTTGGTGCCCTCCCCAACAAACTCTATCGGGAGTGGAAGAATTCATCATTGTACTTCACCCCCGAAGGGAAACATTTCAATTGTGCGCTCGGAGGGGTGGCAGAAGGGGCAGAGCCATTTATGGTTGAGCAGATGTCAATGGAGGAGTTGTTTGATCAGGCTGGTCCAGATCTAGGAGAGCAAGAAGCTTGCCAAGTAAAGACACTTATTCGATGGATCTTACAGTACGATCCTGCGGAGAGACCCACGCCTACGGAAGTTCTGCTACATCCGTGGTTCTCTCAGGACGAGACGAAGAGTGGTACATTCAAATAACAGTCTCTATATTGTCTTAGGCATCCACTGTGGCCTTAGGCCACAACACCTGTACCTAGAGTGATTCCATAGATCTGGGAGCTCACAAGCTCCCCACCTTAATACATCACACTTCTCACAAAGTCCACCTGAGAGATATTGTACTGCCAATGGATGAGCACAGAGGATCGCCGTAAAGGAAGTCACAAAATAGGAGGAGTAAGAAGTATATCGAGGCTGGAGAGATCTCATATGATGATGGAGATCAGTTGGTCAATAATGGGAGAAAACATGAGGTCCAAGAACCATACAAGAAATGCAACTTGTACAAGTGAGATCAAATTAAAAACTGCGCCGATATACTACGTGCTCCTTGGAGCTTTTCTTTCCTATCGCCAAATCCATTCATTATTACTGTTTCCTAGGGTAATTTAGTTGTCCAAAATGTACGCCCAGATTTGGGACTTTGCCAGTAAAAGCATCGAGCACCACCACCCAGTCCTTGCTCTACCCAGGCTTCCCGGTCAGTTTTGACTTCTTGCTCCTGCAGATTCTTGAAGCAGATACGAGTTTTACATCGATAGGTTTCTATTCAGAGAGACTCGCCTGCTTCCGTTTGTTGAGAGCTTGTGCCGGGCAGGGACTCATCTTCGGCTCTTTCGAAGGTGTTAGGAGGCACTCTACTTTTTCCTGATTGGCCCTGCCTTGGGCGAGTCTTTAGAGTCGGAAATATATGCAGGAAAGGCTAGAAGCCTCGTTGCAACACATGGGCAGCATTTCATTCTCGGCACAGGTGTATGGCTTGCTATCCTCGATAGCTGGCTTGGAAAGAATGGTCGGCCACCGATCACGACAGGTCAAACGTAGGTCCATACAACGGAATAATCATTTCAAATCCTACTTATTTTATGCATAGTAGACTGCATCACCATCTGTCCGTCGATGCCCAATCTTTTCAGTGCCTTATCATCGCGCCCATAACACGTCAGTCGACCTCGCAAGGAAGCTATCTCTGATGTCGCCATATCCAGTATTTCTGATCTGGTAACTGTTTTGGCGTCCTCCTCAGAGCTGTCCGTGCCGTCTGAGAGAATATTGTACAGTCTTTCGAATGCTTTAGTCAACCTATCTCGGTACTTCATCTCGGCTTGATGATGGACCTTTCGCTTCTTGCGCTCTTCTTCGTTTGCAGCTGGCTTTGCATTCTTAGACTGTCGGGAGGCGGATCGTAATCTGGAGACCGTCGGTAATAGCCGCGCTGATGGGTTGTCTGGCTGAATAAGACCGATATGCTGAGGACTGACGCTCATATCTGTTGAGCTCCATGGGTAGTCCCACGGTCGATCGGGCTCTGGCGGAAAGCACCCCGGCGTTGCAGTCGGCCACGACGACATAAAGGTAATAGAGTCTCGAGCTACGGTTGGTTGAACAAACTCGGAAAGATTGACCTAAACAGTGTAAATAGGTTAGTATAGGACTCTCCAGAGTGAAACTGTAGATAAACAAGGTAAATGTACCATATGAGAGTGCGGTATGGTCTCGGCGGAATCCAAGCTGCTGTGCGCCATCTCGACGGCATGTAATTGTGTGATATCGACTGACCGACCTCAAGTTTAATGTTTCCCTCTTATTCTAGACTCCCAACGCCCAAGTCAGCCTCACGGATGCCCGACGGTTCCCAGTGGAATCACCTTGCAGGCCTCAGTGTGAAAGCATCAGTCACCAAAGTCGCATTAGCCGCTATATATGGCGCAGTTGCCCTCAGATATGCCGAAACAGGGATGGCCACTTGTTCATGCGGTCGTTGCCCAGAACTCAGGCACGGCCACGCAGGGTCTTAAGGACCATGCATCAATTAGATGCAAGGCTAATGTGCAGTCACAGGCGTATCACTAGGCTCACCTCGGACTTGATCCAATCGTTTTTCACTCTGATATGACATGATCTTTAGCTAGAACATGGGGAGTATAACTACGCGATTTGGTACGAGGCTGTGGCAGACGAGACCGCCAGAGTAACCCCCTGGAATGGCCTTGACTATGATGTTCGCAGGCGAGGAGACCTGATAGTTCGTTGGCCGCCAGCATAAGACAACCAATAACTCAAGATGAATCATAAAAGTCACCGATTTAATGGCACTAGACACTGCTCCACCATAACCACAATAAGTCAAGAAGATCAGCAGGTTTGGGCTAGCTAAGAAACACGACCACAATTTACACACATGTATTTACTTAATCCTTGTCCATTCTTCATAGTTTGATTCTGAAGCAACTGGTGAACCAAGACCATATTGAGTCGTCGTTGGCATGCTCCCCATCTCGGGATCTTTCCTTCACGAAGAACCTGATGGTGACTAGTGACGGACGCATGCTTGAATGGGGTGGTCCAGCGGGACGTTGTGCGAGCAGGCGAGTCTCGATGGTAGGAGGAATGGTTGAATAGGGAGGCGGGCCAGTGGTGGATCTTCCAGGGAGCCGAGGCTGTCTATCCGCCCAACTGATCCAAGACTTGATGAAATGGTTGCTATACTCCGTTCGCTTCTGAGCAACCGAGTAGCCTAATTGGCATGTATATCTTGCAAGAAGATAGATGATCCAAAAGCGCTCTTGCTCTCCCGGGCAATCGTGAGGATATTCAACAGACGTGAGTTGTCTAAGGAGGCGGTCAAGCTGGCCTAGAGTCGGCTCTTCCTCCTCCAGCTGTTCTCGGAAGTCGGCCGCTTTATGGGAAACTCGGTCAAGAAGCATGTCGCTGCGATCACGCAAGTTGTTGACAGTGGGCTCATCCTCTAGATTCTCCGGTCGTATATCCAATGGGCGTTCAAGATCTTGGACGCGTGCGTTGATGTCCAGAAGGTGACGTAACGTCTTTGGTCGCGGTATATCGTTGATATGATGGAGTGCACCAAGATTAGATATGAGTTGATCCATTATGGCCGTGATGCGGATGGTGAGTGAGTTCGAAATTCCAAGCTTTGAGTCTCTATTTAAGTAAGAGGCCTTACCAATCATGCAAGGGGCCCCATTCCTAGCGCCTGAACAGCGTTGAATAGGGGATCAGGTACCCGAAATGTGGCATCGGCGATCTCTAGGGATGAAGGCGTGACCATAACCTATGGCTGGCCTTTCTTTGGACCGCTGACCTCCCGGTCTCCAGTTACATGAGGTTGTATTTTCCGTCCCACCTCATAGAGGTTAGGGTTCATCCTGACAGCCGATACGGAGAGACTTGGTCTATACAAGTTGCCAATAGTCTCGTGATAATGCTTTCATGTACCACGCCGCGTTACAACGCATTAGGGGCGATGGAGAATGGTCGCCACCGCTGCCAATATTAGCAAGGATAATGCAGAATGGTATTCCACTTATCATGCCTTGCGCTTGAATCGACAGAAGGCTGAGGCTCCATGTAATCTTCTGTCTCTGTACATCCAGCAAACCCCGCATTGTTTTGCTATTCATGTCCAAATACCTTTCAGGACTATTGTTACATTCTGACCTTCGTGTTTCCAAAGCGTTATGTCGAACCTAGATGTGACCATGATACAGAGTCTTAAGGACCACGCAGAAACCAGATGCCAGGTCAATCTCTGGTTACAGGCATATCCACAGGCTTACCACATACTTGAACCAATCATTCTACGCTCTATGAAAGAAGCCGAAACACAGTTCAGCGTTTAGATTATTAACTACGCGAGGTGGGGTGACGTTGTGGCTGACCAAGCACTTGGAGTCGCCCCTGAATCGGCCCCTAACCGCAGCATGTGAGGAAAGGGTGTGTCGATCACGAGGATATTCTCCAGCAAGTTCATTGTGTGTTATTTTATCTGGGCTACAATCACGCTTCTGCATTCTTCGTTTGCGATAAAAGCGTATTCTAACGCATCAAAAGCATCACAGCTGGTCAGAAAGACGAGAATGAATACAATGCGTATCGGTCATATGTTATCAGCTTCAGTTAAAGAGTCCAGTAAGGACAGTGTTCCTCTGGCCTTAACCCTGTACGTGGAAGATGCCTTCCCAGCTGTTTTCTAGTGCTGAATATTCCCAGACCTGAGCCGGTATATGGACCGACAAATAGCGTCGGTGTCGAATTGAATCGACTATGGGCTTTGCGAACGCTTCACAATGCTTCAGCACTACGGCCACGAGGGACGACTGACCTTATCTTACCCTCGGAGTACCAGACTGGTCAGAAAAGACGAGCTTTATTGCCACCTGAAGAAAGGCCTTCTCCAGCATCGAAATATATGAAGGCTCTCCAGGACTCTACTTCTCCCGCCTCGTTATCCGGCTGTATTGGTGTATCTGAAGACAGAGCCAAGAGCAAAAGCTCCATCGATGGCGAGTCTTTCGAAGGCTTTCCGTCTGGTGTTGCGTCAAGTACATCCGTCATTGCACAACCCATCAAAGCCGACAGGAAGCAAGAGCTGCTTTGCATATGTTGTAGCAAGACTAGAAGATTTGATACAGAGGAGAAGCTCAAGTAAGTTGTCGCATTTAACCCAACCAGGATGTTTCATATTAACAAGCGGACTTAGCGAACATATCGCAGAAAGACCATATCATTGCACATTTTGCGACCTCAGGTTCACGAGCAGAAACGACGCACGAAGGCATAAGGATAGCATACATGTCCGAAAAGTCAGCTGGTCATGTTCGGCTCTCTCCAATGACTTAGTCGCGTTCCGTGAGACTCATCCAGGAAGATTTCAGTGCGGCTATTGCGGGCTAGAATTAGAGTTGGTCTATGACGGCACTGATGGCAGCCTTCAATTGACCGAACAGCACATTTCCAACCTGCTACAACACCTCAAGGACACCCACCGACATCGACTTTGCCCTCTCAACAAGAATTTTTTTCGGCTAGATCACTTTCAACAACATATCAAGCACAGCCATGCCGCGAAACCTGGGAATTGGTTATACACCGTTGAGAGAGCTTGTCTAGTACCCCCTGAATGAGGAAACATCTAGCAAGAGTGAGAATCGAGGGAGCTGGAGTTGTCAGTGGAAGGTCGACTTGTGGCGTTCAGCCGCATGAACGGTTGTCCACATAGTAGGGGTTCTGTCGGTATCTAGCATCTCTCCACCTCCGAAAGTATCCTAGGCTTTGCACCCTGATCTCTTTACATCCAGTAATGAGTACGTGGATAAGCCTTAGACCGCCAGAATTGAGGGCCATTTCTGGGCTCAATTCGGGCCTGCTTGACTCTGGCAAAAGGTTACCGCTTTGGTTATTGTGCAGCATGGGCATACCCAAGTCCTGGGCAGTGAGGATATCCGCCGGTCCATGCATACATTCCCGATGGGTGAGACCGGCTCGGGCTTGAAAAACCGTTCACAAAATATGATAAAGCAAAACGTCAGGACCAACTGACAATATAAGTACCCTCACGCCTCGACGTAGCTGGCAAATATAACGATGTTACACTTAGGTCTTAATTACAAGCCACAAGAAAGTCTTTGTCAAGTGGTAACCCTCGGATAAATCATAATGAACCACGTCCAAAGTCATCGGACTGCTGTACCCCTCCTCCATTGAGCTTAGCCTTGTAAAACCACGACGACTCAATCTTACACAGTGTTTTCTCAACCGACATTTCATCCGTTAAGTCCAGCCGTTCTTCTTCGGTCGTGTCAAGTGCGTGGGTGACGAATCAGCTTCGGCTTTCAGGGGGGGTGATATCGCCAAGTCGATCTTTCGACTCTACATGGTGATGGAGATAGGGAATCGGAACGTCGTCAATATATGTGTGGGTTGCCATGTTGAGAATGGTTTAAAGGATTTGAAACTATTTTGTGAAGAATGTTCATAGAATAATTCGATATCCGCTATAACGAAGTGTGGTTTAATGAGTAGAACGTGATGGGTTGAACACACTCGTATTATTATATACTTACAGTTTGGCCATTGGGAACGGGCTCTATTGAGTGCCGCAATATGTCCAAATCGTTATTTATAGATTGATAACAGCAGACTCTTTTCGTCCTGCTCTGTATCTCTCTAGTGTGACTCGGTATGCCGAAATTAGCCTGTTATATTGACGGCTGGCGGGGCTTCCGGCACTGGAAGCGACGTTGTGAGCCGACTACAGTAAGGCAGTGCTTTTGGGTTTTAATGTGCCTTATACTCGATGTAATAACGGCCTAGTCATGCGGATGCTCCATCCACAGCCACATGTTAGGAGCTTGAGGCAGTTTATATTTACCATTCTTATTAGTATATAAGTGGCTATTTACAATCAACCCAAAATGGTTTATATTTATCACTTTAAATGACTCCTCGCTATTTAGAAAGTTTTAGCAAGATTTATATGCTTTTCTCGATATTAAAATAATAATTAAGGGTGGCCTACACCAAAATTTCAGTATTTCTTATAAGTCTCGATGATGAGCAGGTTCAACAGGATCCCAGTCACCGAGACAACGTGGATAAAAACCCCTTAAGGTTAGATACTCTCTAAAAATCCGGCATAAGCCCAGACACGAGGCGGACACTTGCCCTGGGGGTTAATCGCTTTTATAAGTCACAAGGTTGATGCTAACATCCGATATAAGTTATTGCTGCCAATACTTATTAAGACATAATTTCTTAGATTCTGAAGAAAAGAGTATGATAAAGGTCTAGATCACCTGACCTCCAGTAGTAGATAGGTTGATTAACATTTCCTAGCTAGCAGCCAGGACACAACACTTTTATATCACTTTTAAGATGTCCATCAGAGTGAGCTTGGCCGCTTACGACACCATAAGAAATCCAAGGTCTATCTTGTGTTTATTATCCACTATATGTCATGCCATTCCAAACATAACTATAATCAGAGTGAATACCTCAGGACCATAACTCTTATAAATTGCTTAACAGTATAGCACCAGCGCACAGCTTTGGGGCCCAATTAGATTTACCAATCCCCTTAAATGATCTTAATCATATCATATTATCTGCTACGCTCCTCGGCTTCGTCGTCTGAATCCCAGTTATCTTCAAGATAACAGTCAGGTTCTCCGTCCGATAAATCTGAGTAGGAGCTAGACGAATCATGCGCAACTTGAGAGCGTTAGTCTGTTCCGGTTAAGTCGACGGTACTGACTCACTATTGAAGCCGTTAAAAGCACTTTCCAACACGTTTATATTGTTATTTGCGGGATTGACTGTCGCGGACCCTGCCGAGACAGTGTTCTAATTGACTAGCATCGAAGCGTCTTCAGTGAATTGCCTGTAAGCGGGCATAATAATCGTCTGAAACCAAACATTATTATTGGAAAGATCATTCCGAACAATGTCGGCCGATGTCACTTTCCACAGGCAAACTAAATGGTTTCCGTTGAAAAAAGGCCTCAGTAAGCCTTGGGGGCCATACGCGCTCCAGCCTCCACACCTAATGCAGGAATAACAGCTCCTCGCCATCTGATTGGATCAATAGTTTCCGGCTGCCTGAAGCGCTAATTGAGTTCCTGCATTGTAGTCAGTCTCTCTCCATCGTGGACCTCCCTCTCACACTCTTCCTTCGATACACCCCTTTTTGCTTTCCACACGTCAGGCCTACATTCGCTATCTTGACCAGTCTTGATTTACTGCCGGGTTGATCTGGCCTTGGGACCGAAGTGTCTCGTCCAAGTGTCATTCTTAAGCTGTAGCCTACGATTGATCTACCCCCCCACGTGTTATCCATCCTCTTCCGATATCTACAAGCCAGACTCATGTCCGGTGCCGAAGCCACAGCCGTTCTAGGTGTCATATCTTCGGTGATTGCAATTGTCGAAGGGATCAAAAAAGTCTACGATGCAGCTTCGAGTGCAAATGGCCTTCCGGAGGCCTTCCGCGAGGTCGCAGGACGTCTCCCAATAATCACGGGTATTCTCGAGTCCGCAGAACAACATATACGTGATGGACAATTGGATACAGCCTTGTATGAGAAGACGAAGCTTCTGATTGAGAAGTGCAAAGAGAGAGCGATGATACTGGATGGCATTTTCCAAAAGGTCCTCCCAGCAGGTGATGCCTCACGTTGGGCTCGGTACATTGGTGCTGTAAAGGCACTAGGCAAAGAAGGGAAAGTGGAAACGTTGATGAAAGGATTATTGGATGATTTGCTACTCCTAGCGAGCAGGAATGGACTGGAAACCGCCACGGCTGACCAGGTCGATCAGCTCGGGAAGGCTATCGAGGATTTATCAGGCATCGAACCCTCGATCCCCGATTCTGAGTTTCGGGAGACCGCATTCGCGAACAACAATTTTGGCACAGGGCCTATGACAGCCAACAATGTCGTGGGGAATCAAAAGTTCCAGGCCAACTACGGAACTGGAAAACAATTCCAAGCCGAAACCCAAACCTTCCACATGGGTAAGGACGATTAGATAGTCCAAAAAACGTGTACAATTGTTAATACAAGGTAGAAAATCAACGTGTCGACCGTCAAGCATTCGAATCAAATGTGCAGAATTTTATCTCCCAATCCTTTGCTCTGAGTAAGTCCCTAAGAAGCGTCATTCCCGCCGTCTTCCGACCAATACGCTAATACCGGGTTCAACCCAGAACGACCAGAAACCCCACCAAACCCATCAGCCATCATCCCCTTCGGCCGCGACCTAGACTTCGTCCAGCGAGGAAAATTCCTTGATCAGATCCACCAAGCATGTACCGAACCAGATTCGCGGATAGCGCTCGTCGGCTTGGGTGGTGTCGGGTACCTATCAACGTGCACCCTGACAAACAAGAATAAGGAGCTGATTACCAAGCAGCAAGTCACAAATCGCTATCGAATACGCGTATCAAGTCCGAGAGCGATCGCCCGAGACGTGGGTCTTCTGGGTCCACGCAAGCAACGCAGCCCGTTATGAGCAGAGTTTCCGCGAAATTGCAGACTACCTAAAAATACCCGGGAGGCAGAAGCCCAAGAGTAATATCTTCCAACTTCTGGGCAGCTGGTTACGTAACGAGGCGAAGGGCAAGTGGATTCTCGTTCTTGATAATGTCGATGAGCCCAGCTTCCTTCTCGAGGATCCAACCGCGGCCCAGAATGGCCAAGCGAGTGGCCTGGATAGTCGGAATGCACAACCACTTCTGTCGTATCTTCCACACTGCCCAAACGGATCCATTCTTATCACAACCCGAAGCCGAGATGCCGCGCTTAAGCTCGTCGAATCGCGGGACATAATCGCAGTTGAGCCTATGGACCAGGCAGATGCCTCGGCACTTGCCCGAAAAAAGCTTGAGAAGGACGAGGATAAGGAGGGTGCAACAGCGCTCGCTGTAGCGCTCGAATGTATGCCGCTTGCTATTGTTCAAGCAACGGCTTACATCTCCCAGAGGGCGCCACGTTGTACCGTGCAAGATTACCTCGAAAAGTTTCAGAACAGCGATCATAAAAAAGCTAGTCTTCTCAAATATGAAGGCGGACAGATCCGGCGAGATTACGAGGCAAAGAATTCGATCATCATTACGTGGCAGATATCTTTTGACCATATCCGTCAATTCAGACCGTCAGCAGCTGACCTGCTATCACTGATGAGCTTTTTTGATCGTCAGGGCATTCCAGAATCTCTACTTCGAAGTCGTAGCGAGGAGAGGCGTGTTGTGCACGATCACGACAGTCCCAGTACGGATGACACAGATATCGAAGATATCGAATCAAATTCCAGTGACGGAGATGGATTTGAAAACGATGTGGTTACATTGCGAGACTACTCGTTCATTTCTATCAATAAGGACAAAACCAGCTTTGAAATGCACAGCTTGGTACAAATAGCTACGCGAATATGCCGGTGGGAGGCGGCCGAGAAATTATTTATAAAAGTAATAAAAAGGAACAAACAAAAGCTGGGCGCGGACCATCCAGATACACTGACCAGCATGGCCAACCTAGCATCGACATATCAGAAACAAGGCCGTTGGAAGGAGGCTGAAAAGCTGGAGGTGGAAGTGATGGAGACTCGCAAACAGAAGCTGGGCGCGGATCATCCCTCTACGCTGACCAGCATGAATAACCTTGCATTGACGTTACATGGTCTCGGTCAGCACGCAAAAGCAATATCACTCATGAAGCGTTGCCTACAGATAGGAACACAAAACTTTGGGGATCAACACCCAAATATGTCGTCTTCTACCAGGATATTAGCCCGATGGGAGGCTGAGGCTAGTTTGAATGATATTGGTCTTGGTATGGACGAGTAAAAATGATTTTGGCAGATTGCAGAGAATCGCCAGAATCAAGTATTGCCTGGAGGCTCGTTGGAGACGGGTTTTTACTGTTGTGTATAATATGACGATCATTGTTCATCCGTATAATTAAAATCATCTTTCAATTTAGCCTCTATCATAACGTTTACGGATATCCCTCACTATACAATGCGTGCGGTCAGTCCTATATAAAACGATCCAAGCTAAGAGCTGATTACGACCTATTGTTAAGGGTTCCATTGAAGCATTGCTAGGGTAAGATATGTCAGAAGCCTGCTCCTAAGTTAAAGAAAAGACTATGATTATGGAACTACGTAATTGATCTATGGCATCTTATTGGCAAGCATCTGCTCCTGAATGCCAGCGAAGTTCAAATCCTGACCATTTTCGAATAATACCATTCCATTTTGAATGCCTGGCTGAATCTGAATATCTATACAAGTCGTATAAACCTCCATACGGCCCTGAGGGACCATACCAGTCGGGATAGTCGGCCATTCCCAAACCCAGTAGAGCGTATAGTTATCATGTATGTTGGTGGGGAGTCGCAAATCGTTCTGGCACCACAGATCGGCCCCTTGAGGGTCCGTGGGAACCTTGCTATAGATCTTCTGGCGAGCCAAAGAGATCGACCCGTTGTTGATCTGATAGCATTGGCCATCATCGAAAGACCGGGTGGCCAATAGAACCCCCCTTTGATCCCCTCCAGTTCCACATGCGTTCCAGACGCGGTGGATAGAAAGAAGACGATCATCCTTAGAAGGCGATGAAGTACCGTAAATGAATATGGTAGAGTTCCTAGGTTTGTGTGGCGTGTTCTCAGGAAGAGTAACATGCCCGTTCTCCTGATACTGCAGGGCGATAAAATCACCGGGCGACGCCTGTAATGGGGGGAAGATTGCGTTGGATTGCCCGGCCATCTGTTGGGAGTCCCGGCAAATAGGATCAGAAGCCAGGATTCCTAGGTTGGCATCCCGGCCAGGAGGCGGGAGTAGGTATTGTTGTTTTAGGTCATTGAATGCTGGGTCAAGTCGGGACATGGCGCCACGGATGAACCCCGGATCTCCGACCATGGTCCCGTGCAGACCGAGACGCCTCACTCGTTCAACCCACGAATGGGCGATCGCAAGCGGTAGAACCAAGAAAAGTGATTTCACAAGCATGGTTAAATATGCTTTCTTACGACGCTACTCTACCTTACGAATATTTTCAAGATCATTCACTTTATATATGCGCTGGACAATAGAAGAAGCAGGCCGGATCTAGACGAAGCCAAAAGCTGCACTGTTCAATTATGTCTGTTGAGCAAGCCACATTAGTCGGGGCTGCACTCATACCGTTTTTCCCTCCGTTTTCTCTGCATAACTGTTCATAATTTCTTACGACTCCGACTGATCGGGGCACGTGCCTGACAATTGACTGAGCCGAGCCTGAGTAAAAGCGGCATCGGCGCTAGGCCCGATCTGGCCGAAAAAAGCTGCCATGGACATTCAACTACCAGATTGAAACCGCAAGCTGCCTGCTCGTTACATCGCGTACTACGGAGTATTTCCTTGAGCTTCCCAGCTACACAAAAGCAGCCAACTCTCCTCGAACCACCTCCACAACTTCACAGGCCAATCCGTCAAGATGGGTGGCTTTACTTATGGCGTCGGAAGCGCCACGACAGCTTTATTGATCGTTGCACTTTGTAAGCCATTCTGGAGGCTTCTTGAGGAAGAAGAAGAGCAAGGGAATGCCGATGATTGACTGACTGCCAATAGACATGCTCTTTACCGGCAGTGGTGAAGCCTTCAATGTACGTCGCGACTATATCTCGATGCCCATTTTCCGAATACGCATCTGATTATTGTCCAGGTTGGAGCTTTCCTCGAGTCAGTATCACCATACGCTTGGGCAGATCTCGGTATCGCCCTTTGCATTGGTCTCTCAGTCGTCGGAGCAGCATGGTACGGATCAATCGAATCCGATCTTCGCCAGCTATTCATTCTAATAATATTGTCACAGGGGGATCTTTATCACCGGCTCGTCCATTCTTGGCGCAGGTGTCAAGGCGCCACGAATCCGAACCAAGAATTTGATTTCCATCATCTTCTGCGAAGTCGTCGCCATCTATGGTGTCATCATGGCCATCGTCTTCTCGAGTAAAGTCAGCTACGTTGACCAGGCCGGACTTGCCCACGGCGATAGCTTCTACACCGGCTTCGCGCTGTTCTGGGCAGGCTTGACTGTAGGAGGATGCAACTTGATATGTGGTGTTGCTGTTGGTATTAACGGCAGTGGTGCTGCTTTAGCAGATGCCGCCGACGCCTCGCTGTAAGTTGCATGAATAAGGGGTTCTAAGCGCAATTCCATATCCTGACATGCACGCAGCTTCGTCAAAATCCTCGTTATCGAAATCTTCAGCTCTGTGCTGGGCCTGTTCGGCTTGATCATCGGCCTTCTTGTCTCGGGCAAGGCACTCGAATTCGGCCACGCGTAAGGAACCTTCGAACCGAAAACTCGAATAAATGGGAAAGGGCACCCGCTGTAGGTACTTATGCATACAAATCCAACTGGGATTTCTTGGCGTTCGGAAGAGGTTCAACGAATCGGACAGTGCATTGTACCGGGGTAATATATCATGGCCGCTGTATCAATGTATCAATATGACGACAGTTCAAATTCCAGAAAGTTGTCTTGGTTATTTGGACTGCAGGAGGTGATAGCGAAAGCCTACAATACAAGTTGTCCTAGTTCAAGTATACTGTGAACCGGCAATTCTGTCATTGACGTGTTTAGACACTCCCCTATTTCCATGCCCATCTTTAGAGATGAGTCGCATGCACTCCATCGCTCGGCCTTATTTATAGTGAATCAGTCCTTGTCTACAACACCAACAGTTCCTTCTTGTAATATCTGATGAGAAACACAAAGCCCATGCGGCTTATTGCAACACAATGGTCATATCCAACAGTCATATTATTTCTACTATCAGTCCCTGTACTCTAGTCCTACCAATCTTATCCAACCACAGTTCCCATTATCTGACATATCAACTTTGACTCGCATGCCTCAAACTAAAGTTTCCACAGCATCGCCACAAAAGCAAAATCTTACGAAGCATACTTCCCTAGTGCCACGTCTCTACCACCCTCTTCCTACGGCAGAGCTAGCTGGCTCAGACATCAAGTACTGGAATAACTGATCAACCTTCCAACGGAGGGTACCAAAGGCCGTGTAGTGTATGGTATGCACGCCCGATGGCTTCCATGTCAAGTTGCTGCAGGTTCAGAGCCGTGCCTCTTGGTCATGATGACAGCCGCGGGAGGTGGCGGGTTCGAATCTCGCCATGGCTAGCACAATATATATACCCTTTCCCTTTTGTATTTGTTTTCAGTTGTTACAAATTACTTTTCTTCGTCTTCAACCTCTCTATACGGTAGAAGTGAAATATTTTTGTGTTGTATGTATGTAGCACATGGGTATCTAAGTTATAAGTTGTTGTTTTTCACTGTTTTACCCAACCAACTCTAGGCGGAATCGCCCTCGAGGTGTTGAAAATATTGAGTCATCCATATGATGTTATATTGTATTATTATTATTATTAAATACGCCGTAGGCTCGAAGCCCCCGGTACCTCTACTAGTACTCCCGTATGTCAAACCGTGCCCTAATGGCTGGACTAAATACATACGCTGCGTCGTCGGTTCGCCCTATTGGCGACTGCGTTGCGTTCACTACCATACTACGTTGGTTCTCAACCTACCAACAAAGTCCCCCCTGAGAAGATCGATGCTATCTGGGCCTTGAAGCTGTCCGACCCGTCCCTAGCAGCCATCTTACAATAGTCCCACTAACTACTGGTTCTCCTGTTGCCGTTGCGAGGTCTCTGCGAGAGTATAGTGGCCGTGGTGCGATGGCGGCCCGTAATCGTTCCCTCGGTCCTTCCAACAGCCCGCAAAAGAGGATTACGTGCTCTGCCGTCTCAGGGGCATCGCCACAGCGGCATAGCGGCGAGTACACGCCAAAAGCCCCTGTCTTGAATAAGAAGGCTGCTAGTCCTATTTTTTCCGTCCTGATCTGGCACAGCGTAGACGCCTCCAGTCGGTTCAGGCCGAAATACTTGCCCCCTTTCGGTATCTGCATCGAAGGGCCCTCCGGTTCCTCAGCGATAGCGCGTCGCTGGCGATCGTGATGCTCTGCTCCGGTGAGCCATCTCTTCCTCCAGTGGTCGAGGAGGGCAGCCGGGACCTCCTTTTCCTCACTCATCCACTCGGAGCCCCGGGCCTCCTTCTCCATAGTGTACCCTGCCGGTCGGAGTAGCTGCGACGCCTGCTTCCTCTTCGCCGGCCTATCCTGCCGGAGTATATGTGACGCTTTAGCGCTCGCGCTGCGAAGCAGATTTCTCTTCCCGCTAAGCCGTAGCCGTTCTTCAAACTTAGCAGCCCGGGCACTAAGATAGAGGTCTAGTGGCGGGATTGCTGCTTCTGCTTCCAGGTGGCGAACCGGCGTCGCTTTGTGGGCACCACAGACTACCCGGAGGCACTCGTTCTGTATCCCCATCAGGCTCTTAGCTGGCCCTGCCGGTTCCTCACTTATAGTATGCCACGCAGTCGCCCCGAAGGCGATTGCGCTACGGACAACCACCGTATATAACAGCCTCGCCCGTATAAGATCGCAGCCCCACGACATATTGACTAGCTTTGTCAGGGCTAGCTTTTGAGTTGCCATTTTTGTTTTAACACGCTCAACATGGGCGTGCCACGTCAGTTTGCGGTCGAACCAGACTCCTAGGAACCTGGCTGAGACTACCGGCGACACTGTGGCGTCCCCAAGGCGAATACTTTGCGGCAAGGGCTCTCGGGCCCTAGTAAAGTGCATTAGCTCACTCTTGTCAGGAGCGAACTCCATCCCGTGCCTCACTGCCCACCGCTGACACGTAGCCCATGCGCTCTCCAACCGGCGGCAGGTCGTGTCTGGATCGGTGCCGACGCTTAGCAGGTTCGTGTCGTCCGCGAACCCGACTACTAAAAGTAGTGGATGCTGCTCCGCTAGCTCCTCGTACAGCGTTGAAATGTATAATATAAACAGTATCGGGGATAGCGGTGACCCCTGGGGGACGCCAGCTCGTAGGGGGATTGGCTCTGACTCCTTGCCATCGAACCGGAGGCGTACCGTTCTATCCTCCACGAAGCTGCGTACCCACTCCTGAACCCACTCCGGGTAGCCTTTCCGGGCTAATATGGAAATCAGCCGTCTGTAATTGACCGTATCGAATGCCCCCTTGATGTCTAGCTGTAGCAGCGAGGCGATGCCCCCGCGTCTCCACGCCGTATAGACCACGTCCTCAACTATACGTATTGCCAGTTCGGTGGACCTCCCAGCGCGGTTACCCATTTGGCCGTTTGGTAGTAGGCCGGCCGCCTCAGCTACTTTGGTGATACGCTGGCTCATCGCCGTCTCTATTACCTTCCCTACCGTGCTAAGCAGGGCAATGGGGCGCCAGCCGCCAGGGGTCTGCTTCTGAGCTGTCGTTTTATTAGGCTTAGGGATAATAACCACCCTCGCTGAGCGGAAGCGCTCCGGGTAGTACCCCAGCCTAAAGCTAGCTGTTGCCAGATCCGCTAGGATCTCCCATAGGGGTTCACCGCAGGCCTTTAGCAGGCCAGTGGGGATCAGGTCGTCGCCGGGAGCCTTCCGAGCAGCCGTTCCTTTGATGATAGACTCGATATCCATTGTGGTCACCTCCCTAGGGACGTTCAGCTCTGGTCTCGTCTGTAATAGGCCGCGATCGAGGTCCGATAGATCTATATACGGGTCTGGGAAGAACCTCTCAGCTAGTAATTTTGCCTTCTCATCATGTGTACGTGCTGTAAGCGTGTCGCCGGCGTCCCTCCGGAGATCTGGCAAGCCGTGGGCCTCAGGGGGGGCCCAGCTCCGTAGCCTAGCCCACCTCTGCAGTGCCCACAGGCTTTTGTGATCCTTCGCCGTCCCCTCGAGCTTCTCGTGCCAGCTACGCGTCTGCGCTTCGCTGATTTCGAGCCGTTGTTTTTGGCCGGCTCTTGTATATTCGTCCCAGTTGGTATGCGACCTTGCCTGGAGGTAGTCCCGCCGTCGTCTCTTCGTCTCAGCGCAAGCCTTGCTAACCTGCGGGCACCACCACGGGACCCCAGCGCCTCGGCCAACGGTGCGTCTCGGGACCGCCACGTCGGCGATCTCTTGGAGGTTCCGGATAACCCAGTCAACAGCCTGGTCCAACTCCGTTATCGTCTCAACCGGCAAATAATTCATAAATCTCTGGCTTGATTCGGCTACGATGAGCCACTTATCCGCCATCGCCCAGTTCCACCCTTCGACACTGCGGCGGCCCTCCTTGACTGCTTCCCCGTTGGATATTACCCTAATCACTTGCGCTCTGTGGTCTGAGCCCTCTAGGCCCGGGTCCCCATCGTAATCAATCCTAGCCCCTTTCGTCACCCAGGCTAGGTCGATAGTTGAGTCTCGTTGTTTGTGCCTTTGCCGTGTGATTTCCCCGAACGGCGTAACGAGCTCTAATCGCCAGCGTCGCGCAAACTCCACTACGTTGTCGCTGCCCCGTGACGACCGTCCGTGGACGTCCCACAGCGGGTGATGTGTATTGAAGTCCCCTACGAGGACCTGTGTCCCCTCCGGCGCCCCATTAGGGAGGTCTTGGAGCGGGCTGACCCAGCGGCTCCCGGTTTGGTTTGGTGAATAGATAGACCAGATTGTAAGGGCGTCCGGGCCTGCCCCGAACGTAATACTGCTCCAGTCCATCCCGGTACGGGGTCGCAACGTAGCCACGTCGTATCGTTTATGGACGTATAGCGCAGCTCTGCCGCTGCTGTACACTACTTCGTACCTGGACGACTTCGGGCAATAAATCGCCTTCGTCCGCCGGTTGATCCATGGCTCTTGAACCGCTATTATATCATAGTCACCCCCCTTATCCAGCGCTAGCGTTGCGTTCGCCTTTGAATCTGCGATATTCCAGTAGAGAATAGAGACTACCATTAAGCTGTCGATGGTATATCTTCGTTCGTACGTCCCTTAGTGAGGAAGCTACGCATTGCTGACGCAGACCGTTCGGTTCGCTCCTGCTCCACTCGCGATCCGCCCAGGGGGCGGCCCCGGGGTCGTACAACTGTAAACCCGTCGCTGGTCAATGAGCTAGGTGGTGTGAGCCTGCCCTCACTAGATAACCCGTCCGAGTAGCTGCGGACCTCAAATTGTCGGGGGCGGTGAGCGTACGCCTCGCGTACGCGTAGCCGCTGCTGTTCTGCCGTAGGGCAGTCCCTGTCCCACGCCGTGTGCTTCCCTTTGCAGTTCACACAACGTTTTTTGCCGCTAGGTGCCTTCTCGGGGCAGTCTTTTTCACCCCCTGGGTGTGCCGTTGCAGCGCAGACGCCGCAACGCGCCGTCTTCTTGCAGTGTTTCGCGATATGGCCGTATTCGTAGCACTGGTAGCACTGCCGAACCCGAAGATTGCCGTCGTACGGCTCGCAATCGAATATCTGGGCCTCCCAAATAAGCCCTTCGGAGCATAGTTCCATCGCCGCCTCCACGCTATCCACGTGTAGTATCAGGGCCGCATACGGTGCTTGCGGCGCCCGGGGGAGGTTTCTTTTAGCCTTAGAGAGGTGCTTTGTATTGTCCCGCTTCAGGTCTTTAAGTAGCTGGCTCTCGTCGTGGACCTCTCGCAGCCGTTTCGCAGGCAGCCCCTTCGCGATCACTGCAACTTCTCTGCGGTTGAGAAGTGCCTTATCGCCGAAGGCACTACGCACCCACCTGCTGTCCGTGGTCGCCGCTGAGGCCGACTGCTTAAACGTCACTACGGTATCGCCACTGCGCAGCCTGCGGGCCGCCACTGCATCGGTGCTGCCGCGTGCACTGTTCACCGCTTTTACGACCTCAGCCGCCGATCTGTTCTTCATATTAGGGTCCTCTGTCCCCCGGATCACTACCTCTCTCTCCCTTCGCTGGGGCACTACAACCCGCTGCTGCCACACTGGGGCTTCACCGGGTCCCCGTCCCTGGGCCGATCCTGAGGCGATTGAGGCCCAGGATCGAGTTGTAGGCAAGGCCACGTTCTTCACCGTATCCTGCATGGTCTTCTCAACCATCGTCTGGATCGCCGCAGGAATTTCGGCAAGGGCCAGAGTCACTGCCAGTACGTCGGCATGTGTGGCGGGTCTGTCGCCCCCCTCCTCCAGCGTCCTGCCGGCTAGTTTCAACCCCAGCCAACGCTCCATCAAACCCCCCATGACCTCAATCTTCTCACGTGGGACCAAGTCGGCAATCTCTTGTTCTACCTTTTGTAGTTCTCTTCCGATCCCTTCCCTCTCTGCGTTCTTTCTGCTGGTGCGCTCCACGTTCGGTGCGTGGGCACTTTCGTTGGCGTGGGGGTGGTGAAAACTCTGTTCGAGTCCCGCCCGTCCCCCGTCGATCACCATCGGCGCCGCCATCGCTTGCGTCCTCGCTTCGCGTGCGATGCGAGGTCACTGTCCGACGTAAACGGTCGTTAGGAATCGAATGCCGCAATCGGTTTGATGATTTGACGCTGTTCGAAGAAGTTATCGATGAAAGTCAGAAATCTCTTCTTATTAATTGTTCTCTGTTATATTGATATAGCTGGAAGAATGGAGGTATATAACCTCATATCATAATGAGGTGCCTATTCTTTGAGTGTGGCAGTACCAATCTGATTTCACCTTCAGTGATTTCGAACAGCCAGCCAGCTGTTCAGAGAGACTCCGCCTCCTGTTGAGTTGATTCACCTAAAACACCTCAATCCACTTGATGACTTCCATCCCGAGCAGGTCTAGAGTTATGTAAATGACGTCGGGCGAGAAGTCCAAGATAGTTATCGTTTGCCGCACTGATCCAAACGCCTCGGATGCTGTTGACCCCTTTTACTCGACGCGGATTGTCACTTCGACATACCGAGAAGGGTTGATACTTCAGCAACTCGGGCTCTGAATTCAAGAATTTGTGGTTGTATACCTATGTCTACGACTCGATAGCTGTAGGTGTTCTGTTTGTCGGTGAAGATAAGATGATGCTACTTGGTTATGCAGCTTCCTTCGACAACATAACTCCCGAGATCACTGTAGTTTTATTGAGTATAGATAAAGGGAGGATGTCTTGTCTGTTTGTTCTGTCTGTTTGTTCTGTGTGCTTACAATACCTGCCTAGTTCTCTAAGGCTCGATGATCAACTACCGGTATTCTCACTGGTAGGATACTTATAAATCCTCCAGCACCGCATAATCATACGTCGGCCAGTATCAAAGATCACATGTAGATCAATTTGGTGTTGACTGACTTTCCGTGGCTACTTTCATGATTATGTAGAATTCCGTATTTACCACGCAAGATGAAATGATACCTAGAAATTTCCACTTTGCCTTGCTTATTTTCTTGTTCAAGGTTTCATATTTTGGCTCCATTGACTCAATGAGTTGACCACTTTTGATAGTCGAAGTTATCTGACACAGGAACTAACACTGTACGCCATATCATCAGCATGGAAATGCTGGATATGCCCTGCCAAACAGTAAAAGCACAGGAAAATACCACGAGGAAATTTGATACCCAAAACTCTTGAACAGTGTTTATCATGCTGGTCTTTTCCGAGATTGGGCCTTGCCAGGGTCAGTTCAAAACCTCATGGCGAATTGTGTTTCTAGTTGGGAGATAACCCTGAATGAAGCTTGGTAATGAGTAACTGAACTGAGTGCCATGTTAAGTTGAAATGCAAGTTTACTGGGGACTTGGGAATCAGTTGATGATATTATGACTCGGATACGAAGACAAGTCACTAATTAATTTCGCATCTCTCACAAGGCTTGCATTGAACCGCATATTGCTGGCACCCCATAGCAGTTCGGCATAGTCTCTGCTGATCATTACCCCAGACTCCTCACCCCACCCATCAGCAGCGCATCAACCCTCTCCCCCTCCCTCAACGGTCCCGTCCCGGGCGGCATACACAACAAAGCATTTGCCCCCTTCAAACTCCCCACTTTTGAACTGCGCTGCCCGCCCGTACTCGCCGCTTCGAGCCTCCCATCCCTGGTCACGGAAACAATAGCACGATGATACTCTGGTCTGATCTTATCCAGACTGAAATCGTGCGCCAGCACAACCGAGACCTTCGTCAGCCCCACGGGAGAAACACCGCTCATCTTGTGCAACGAAGGCAGCACGAACAGGTGGAACGTGACGACGGCCGAGGCCGGGTTGCCAGGGAGCGAGAAGATGACCTTAGAAACGCGCTCGCCGGCGTTATTCTTGACGGGCACGGTGGCGAAGGTAGTAGGCTTGCCGGGCTTCATGGCCACGCGGCCGAAGTGGATGGTGCCGCCGAGGGATCTCTCGATGGTCGGTTTCAGGAGGTCGAGCTCGCCCATGGAGACGCCTCCCGTAGTGATGATAAGATCCACTTTGCGCAGGGCGTCCCTGAGGGTCTCCTCCAGGCTTCCCGGCTTGTCTGCTGCGATGCCCAGGTCCACGACGTCGTAGCCCCATTCCTTCGCTGCCGACATGAGGGTTATGCGATTGGTGTCGCGGACCTCGCCGAGTCGCAGGTCACCCGGTCGGTCGTGCTCGACGATCTCGTCTCCCGTGGATAAAACGCCGATAACGGGGCGGCGGTAGGTTTTCACTTCGCCCACGCCCACTGCTGCGAGAAGACCGATTTCGCCTCCAACGGCTGAGATATTCTCTCCTTTGCTGAGGATCTGAGTGTCAGCCTTGATATCGCTCCCAACTTCGCGGATGTTCTCCCCGTCCTTGACATTTTCAGCCAGAATCTCAACCTCTTTCTCCTCCTTTCCGTCGTCGGTCATTGTCTTTAACACCGTGTCTTCGACCATGATGACCGAGGTAGCGCCCAGCGGCAGTGGCGCACCGGTTGTGATTCTAGCGATCTCGCCTTCCTTTAAAGCCTTTGCTTCTCCAGGTGCGGCGTGAGACACTGAGACCACAGGGAAGACACCCTTCATGTTGCCATCCTTGGGCACCACAACGGCATATCCGTCGACAATACTGGCTCGGAAAGCCGGTACGTTTGCCTTGGCTTTCACATCCTCGGCTAGGACGGATCCGGGAAGGCTCCTATCGACTTTGGAGGTGGTTAATTCTGGATCAGGGGTATGCTCTTGAATTTGTGCGAGAGCGTCGTCGACCGAAAGCATCGGGTATGGCGACTCCCGATTCCTCCTGCTCGGCCCCAGACTTGGGTCGTTCGACATGGGGTTCGCACCAGGTGCTGTATGCCTTACGAGACCCCCGTGGCCGTGGGAGTGGCCATGATCATGGTTGTGATCGTGGGAGCGGGAGTGAGATCCGCCAGGGGTTTGTCCGGACTTGATCCCAGCATCGGCCTCGAGCTTCTTGACGCCGCCGGCATGCATAACTCTAGAATCCATGCCAGCAGCCTGGAGACATGCATGAGGCAACGTCTTGAGCACAGCCTGCAAGTTCTCTTTTGCGCCTTTAGGTGACCCTGGCAGGGTAATGATGACAGATTTGTTCCTTATCCCCGCTACTGGCCGAGACATCATGGCGACTGCCTCATATCAGTTTACACATCTTAGAGATATTGAAGTGTTGGTTACTCACAAGGCGTTACACCGAGGGACGCCGCTAGCATGCCGTGAACCAATCCGGGTGCTTGTTTATGAAGCAGTGCCGCGATGGCCTGCTTTCTGTCAGCTTGCCTAGCTGTCTGAAATAATATGAATCTTGAAACGTACCTCAGGGGTGTTATCCGAAGTTGCAAATCCAGTGCCACCAGTAGTCAGGATTAAGTGGATGTTCTCGGCCGCGAGATCGGCCCATAGCATGATCTGGCGTTGTATTTGGACAACGATGTCAGGCACGATCTTGGTGTCCACGAGTTGCCATTTTCCACCGCCTTCCTGCTCGAGCACGTCTCTCAGTATACTCTGTGAGGCATCTGTGCTGGGGTCCTTTGCTGCTGTCGTGGAGACGATGAGGAGGGCAACTCTTAGTGTCGACGAAGCCATCCTGGTTCGCTCTCGGCTGAATTTACTCGGAAAACAATCAGAACACCGATATTGATTTGATTTGTGAGATGAGACTCATAAAATGTCGCACGATAAGCTATCGAGGCTGTACTGATGAGACCAACAGGCTGTTGAATGACAAGGTTCATTCATGCAAGTTAGAGGGGTTTGTTCATCCACTGGAGGTTCTGGATAATACAATGCGGGGATAGCTAAACTAACAACGCATCTTGCTGACGACAGCGCCTGTTTCGAAGCCCATGTAATTTTCAAGTCAACCGACTGAGAGCGTATTTCAAAATAAAAGTACTCTGCTGTTACAGTGTACCCTTGGTTTGTCCATACATTCTTGTATTACTTGTGAGTTTGGAGCTGGGTTCTGATTCGAACTCCGCGGAAAGATGCGAGCCGGTACCAGGAAATACACTCTGGATTCTTCCACAACGATTGTTTCAACCAAAAGCTGTAGAAACATCCAAGATCTGCCCCTTCAACATATGATATCTTCAGCAAAACATATATGATGTGACCTGGTGGGATAAGCTTATAATTGGTGAGTCAGTCCAACCGGAACTGGACGTCCGGTCAGAATCCCATGAAGTAACGTGTTACTGCAGACTTACATAGCTCGTGCACACATGATGTGGCTTCTTGAGGATTACAGCAACACTTGAAGCTCGAAGCTCGAAGCCGCCATGAATGACATGTATTGATAAAAAGCGGACTTGTCGCGCGGCTCAGCTACGTACATAATGCCAAGAGTTTTGGCGATAAGATAAAGCTCCAATAGAATCTATCATGGAAATTTACCAAAGCCGCCCTGCTGCCCTGCGTCTCACCATTCCACCACATAACGTTGCAACGAGGTGCAGTCTATTGACAGTACACCTGCGATGACTGCCAATATTTGCTCACAATATACAATACCTCATTGACACATCCCTCTGCACGATAACTCAGCCCCTCACGGACGCACCGCGACACCATGGTCCGAATCAAAGAGCGTTACCTGCTCGTGAACATCCTCTACCCGAGCGATCTCGGCACCAAGCCCAATCTGCCGGACCTTGTCGTCCTCAACCCGCCAACGAGCGACAGCCTCAACCCGCAAACCCTTCTCCGGGCCTTGCGCGCTCAGATAGCCAGTCTGTTTGGCGATTACGGCTCTGGCGCATGTGCGGGTGGCGGTCTCATGGGTTAGTTCACGCCTTGGAGATCGGGATGGTGCAAACTGCTTTTGCAACGGATGCTGACCACGTTTTGGTACGACAGTAAAATACCTGTCCCAAGCGACCTCGACGTTCATATTGCGCATTTCGAGAGCTCATTTTCGACTCGTTTGGGCAGCGTTGACTACGATGGACCGAGTTCCCGTGAAAGACGGCAAGCCGTGCACATTTCGCGTCGTGCATGTCAGCGGGACCATCCGCAAGGCCGAGGAAGAGGCCATCCGTCGTGCTCGAGATATGATGCTGGCGGTCAAAGATCAGAAAGCAGTGAAGGGCAATCCGGCGTTGGAGAGCCTGCTGGGTAATGCGCCGCAGAGGCAAACCCGCGCCGCTGTCAATCCCGCCTTGGGTGTGGAGGACGAATCGGATCAGGACGAAGAGATGGAAGACATCAGCGACGGTTGAGTCGGGTATCATTGCTTCTTTCTCACTATCTTTATGCCACTGCCAGTCGCAGGCGGGGGAGGCATGCCGTCAAATTCGTCATCGTCGTCGGGTATCAAGTCAGGGGTTGCTGTCCCATCCGCACCCTCGCCGAATTTGGCCTGCTGCTGCGCATCTTCCTTGCTCTCCGCAGCATCGTACTCCTCTTTGGCATCAACCCAACGCTCCTGGATATCCTGGACTTCCATCATCGAGGTCTCATTCCGCATTGCTACCTGCCAGACAGAGTCGTTCGCGCCCTCCGCCCCTCCGAAGATGTACCCACCTGCTCGATCTATAACCCGGAGCAACTGCATCATACTTTTCTTGTTTTCCACGGCCAAGACCTCAAACCGGACGAGCGCGAAGTTCTCCACGAGGTCCGCGACCGCTTGGTTCAAGCGTGTGAACTTCCCATTCACCGAGGGTGACTCTTCGTCGAGATATGGCAGCAGGTACGACAGGTCCTGGACTTCTGTGTAGAATTCTAAGTTAAATGGTAGCGGATCATAGGATGTGACTTTATCGATCTTTGTAAGGACGTTGATATGTGGAAGGTCCATTTGGAGCATGGCTCGAAGTGTGAGGAGAAGGTTGGAGACGTATAAGGAAGGCTGCGTCAAGCAGAATGAATCGGAGAGGTGGACGACGACAAGCTATTTTTGGTCAGCCATTGTGCGACTTAGCATTCCCATGCGCACATACTCTGTAACCCATCTTCTGCAGCTTGAAGAATATATTTCGCAGCGAGTTATGATGCGTGTAGAGCTCGACTTGTCCCGGACAATCAAATATAACGTAGGACTCATCCAGCTTCTTCAGCCCCTTTTCCAACCATTCCATGTTTTGCTCCAGCTCCTCAAATGCGTAAAGAACCCCTCCGTTCGGACCGAGCTCGTCATCGGCCATGATATCTTCTAATGTGACAAGATCTCGTATATCTAGCGCTTTCGGGTAGTTCGTCTGGTCGTTGGCGGGGTCCAGGTTCACAACGGAGCACTCGCGCCCGATTGCGCTCATGAACTGATGCACTATAGCTCATCAGCCATCTAGATCCGGGAAGCTGGACGAGATGGTGGGGTAGCTTACTACCATCGCAGTAGGTGCTCTTGCCCGCACCGGGACTGCCAAGTACGAGCTGCGCGAAAGGCATCGAGGAGTCTGCAAATGGTGTAGTGTTACAGGCTAAGTCTCAGCAAGGAAAATTGGGATTCATCAATTTGGATGTCTCGGGGAACGGATCAGCTTGGATGGAGAACATCGACGCTCATCTCGCAGGTTGCCCCTCCATGTGCCAAGGCTGGGCCAAATTTAGGCGGTGACAACCGGCAGAGCCGTCTTAAGCTCCGGGTTGTTGTTTATCGATTCGACATCCATTGATTGAGCAATTGCGTCTTGATTAAACAGTCAAAATACAGTCGAAGAGAAACTAAAAGTCCTCGCTCAGCGCAAACTTCACAATGGCGCCAGGTAAGCTCCTCGTCACCCCTTCCGCACCAATCACCAAAATCACCACATCTAATCATGAAAGCAGCAACACAATTCGAGCTCGCGCAACCGCCTAACGACGCCATTTCGTCGCTCGTCTTCGCGCCGCAACGGTCAACACGGCTATTAGTCTCGTCCTGGGACAAAAATGTCTACCTGTACGACACGCACACCGATGGAGCCGACGGCCACGGCACACTGGTCAAATCGTACGAGTACCGCGCACCAGTCATGGACGTGTGCTTCGGCGCCGACGACAACGAGGCCTTCACGGCGGGCATGGACTGGCAGGTGTTGAGGGTTGATCTCGACAGCGGCGCACAGATGGTCATCAGCAAGCACAAGGCGCCCGTACGGAGGGTGGTCTACAGTCGAGAACATTGTGTGTTTTCCCCCATCATCCCCAACTCAACCGAAATTCGGAATCATAAACGCTAACAGAACCCAACCAAAAGCGCTCCTCATTTCCGCCTCCTGGGACAGCACCCTTCACGTCTGCAACCCCTCGCAGCCCTCCCTCAACCCCCTCATCATCACCCTCCCCGGCAAACCTCACGCTATGGCCGCCTCGCCCTCCAAAGTAATAATAGCCATGACCTCGCGCCTAGTGCACATCTACGACCTCTCGACCCTCGCCTCGTCACTATCCACCCAATCCTCCGAACCGCCGCAGCCCTGGCAGCAACGCGAGAGCTCCCTCAAATTCCTCACCCGCGCCGTGGCCGCCATGCCCTCCGACGCGGGTTACGCCACGTCATCTATCGAGGGCCGCGTGGCGGTGGAGTGGTTCGACGCCTCGGCCGAATCGCAGGCCCGCAAATACGCCTTCAAGTGCCACCGCCAGACCTCGGCCGACGGCACGGATGTCGTCTACCCTGTCAACGCGCTGGCATTCCACCCTACCTTCGGCACCTTCGCCAGCGGCGGCGGCGACACCACTGTTGCCTTGTGGGACGCCGAGGCCAAGCGCAGGATGAAGGTATACCAGAAGTTTGCCGACAGCGTTGCGGCGCTCGCGTTCTCGTCTGATGGGCGGTATTTGGCCGTGGGTGTGTGTCCTGGGTTCGAGACAGGTATGGAGGATTACAGTGGTGAGGGGAGGACCAAGATCATCATTAGGGAATTAGGCGAGACGGAGGCGAAGGGAAAGGGTCCGAAATAATTGGATGATTCTGGTACGAGCGAATGAAGCAAGATTAATCTCTGTATATCTTGGCGAATTGGCGTTGCTGGGTAAAAGTATACCGGGCCTGATTGAATGACATGCGGACAGTCATTTTACGGACCCTTTGTGCAATTCGTTAAGCGTACGCACTTCACCAGGTGAACAGATCCGTATATTGCCACTGCAGAGTACAGTTATGCCTCTAAGGATCTTGTGTGATAAATGTATTTTGTCTGTAATCAAGCAAATATAGTGCTAACTTTCCCCGTTCTATGTTTTCTAACAAAATCCCAGTTGGTAAGCTCCAGTTCCCCATTGTTTTAATAAACCTCTCAATCTTTGTTCCCAAGCAAATGTGAGCACCGTGGCAGCATATCTCATTAGATGTAATCCAGCAACATGAGTGCGCCCCTGCAATGATGACTAGCCCTGCGTGCTGAATGAAAGCCGCAGCTGTCACTCACACAGAGACTTGCCCTCAATCCACGTCCCATTCTCCTACCCCTCTTATTCCTCTTCGGAATCTTGTGAGAGACCGTCAAGTGCACTCTGGGAAAATTCCAGGTCTCCACGGAAGACATGGTTTCCATCCGCGTCCCACCACGAAGTGTCAGTAGAATTGAGGGAACTTGAACGTGACGTTCCCGATGAGTTCTCTGCAGCACCGACGGGCCCTTCGTCATCTGTAGTGCGACCAAAATCTGTTTCGGCGGCCTGGGACCCTTCATCTGAATATTCAGCCTCTTCCGCCTCGTCAGACTCTACGTTGCGCCATGCGCGGACGCGGGCGAGTTGCGCGATGATCTCATCATTTCCGCGTGAGAAGCCGAAATCCAGCACACCTCTTTCCCGTCTTCGTAGTGGGATGTACTTCATTGTGTTTATGGGTTCCAGCTGAGTCTCCTTTACCACTCGCCTTGAAAATACAACCGAGTTCCCATCATCGTTCTCTGCTCTGTTACTCAGGCGTTTCGCTCGATCCGGCAACGTGCTCTCAACGAAGTCATCGAGTGTCGGCCAAATATCTTTTTTCTCACCACGGCACACTCCTCGGCGTTGGTGCTGAGGGAACTCGTCAACTCTTCGGCGCTTCCCAAATGCGCGAATGCACGAGCTAGGCCTGGATGTTTCATTCATGCTCAAGGTCGGCATTCCTAGCATGAACTTGGATCTTCTCTTGCGTTTGTGTTTGCCAGTTACGAAGAAAATGAAGTCGGGGTTGGCCTCGTCACCCGAGAACCCATCACCAGCACGCCACGATGGCTCAGGCTGGCTCTGAAATTTGGGGAAGTTGAACTCACCCTCTTGATCTTTCTTGACGAGGAAAGCACCTTTAGCCACATACTCGGGCTTTCTTTCTCGACGCTCTTGATTCGTCTGCATATCAAGGGGAGTTTCGTCTAGTGGCGCAATGCTAGAGTACTGTGTCGCAGGTGACTCAATTTCTTCATGTCGGTGAACCCTAGATAGCCCCGAAACCCTGCTGATGCTCCTTTTCTCATGGCCAGTTGATGCTCTCGGATTGCTAATGTTCGATGTTACTCGTTTGACAGACCGACCCCGGGACTGGGATCGGTGACTGGAACCGCACGACTGTTGTGACGATTGACTTGATCCAAGAATCTCTACGGATTCTTCTATTTCTGGCTTCCGTGGAAGTTGAACAAGGGGCCCACTTATCAAATCGAGTGGCGGAAAGACATCTTCGCTGGCAGATTGCCTTGCGTCCATAGACCTGTTCAAGGTCAGATACTAGACCACAAGAGGTAGAATGAGAATCAAGTGGGTCTTCTTTGACGTTGAATACGCAGTCGAGGTTCCTTACTTTCGTCGCTGGGATTTACCAGTCCGGCCCCCTCGTCCAGCTGAGGCTGCAGAAGACCTCCGGCGCCGAGGCCTGGCCTGAGCGGCGTTGGCAGAATCGCTCCTATCATCAGCAGCTGTGTTTGGGTCAAGTCCATCTTCGCGGTTGACTTGGTTCCCATGCGACATAGACTTGCATTTGCGCAGCCTTGCGACAGTCCTTGGTTTGGGTGGCTGCGGGTTCACCGGCGAACTCGAATGGACGGGGTCCAGAAAAGGTGGGATGTTGGGAATACGAAGGATTGTACTCGACTTTGATCTTCGCAGGCCTGCAACAGGTCGTGGCCTGGGTTGTTGGGAATTCACTGGCAAAGTCGAGCATACAGGATCCAAAAACGACTGGATGTTGGGTATTTGGGCAATGGTATTTGACTTTGATCTTCGTGGTCTCGCAATGGGTCGTGACTTAGGCAACTGTGAATTTACCGGCGAACTCGAGGAGACAGGGTCCAGAGAAGGGGGGATGTTGGGAAGCTGGATGATCGGGTTTGATTTTGATCTTTCCATGTTTGCAGACTGACCTCCTTGAGGCTTGGGTGTGTCAACGAGTTCTCACGATGTTGAATAGAAGAGAATATGGGCATCTGTCACCACTACTTCAAGTACACATTTCAATCCTGAATGCTCAGATACGACGGTTTTCTTGTTAGTTTGAGGGATTGGGGCTGGTACTAACATTTAACCACGGAAAGAACTTGAGGGATTTGGCAGAAATGTACTTTACTCATGTCGGGAAGCCGCAACTCGCGGGTGTATAAGTACTCGAGTACTCGTGGAAGGCTCGTTGAAGCTGGGCTCGGTTCCAAGTTGCTCCTTCCAAATTTGGCTGAGCCAGCCAATCACAGTTGAAGTCTTGCCCAACCAACCAGGTAATCTTTTCCCAGCTCATGTGCCTGAAAACCGTTATGAAGGGATAAATTCATGAAGCTCATCTCATCTCATATGTTGACTGATTTATCTCGAATATTCGTGGTCTTGCTTTTCTGTGGCCGGGCTTTCCAATATCTCATGTATGAAACTGAAGAGAGGAAGCAAAGTCACTTCCTAGCTGTGCTCGCGAATTATAAGGCAGTCTAAATTCAATCAAAAAAAACCTATGTATTGTGTCATCAACGGTCTTTCGTAATCAAGCGACTTCGGCCGTTGAGAAGGATCGAAAGTCTGACTGACGCTACCAAATCACGGCACAAGGATGAACGTCAATGTACCTTGATCACTGCTGTAAATTCATGAGGATTACAAATGGGCAGCGGTGCTTTAGCAACGTGGTACGAATTTCATATGAACATATTTGGGTCCCGTAACGTCCATAGAAGAGCAGAGGCTCGGGGCAACGAGGGCAACGATGTTATCATAATGGAGAACAAGTGATACATGACTCTTCGTGATTCAGATCTGGGCTACTTCACGACCGCAAGCAATATCGGTGCCATAGACCGATGGAATTCCGATGTGAGACCTTATCGTGTCATTATGTCGCCCAATATAAGAAAATTTGGTTGGATATCACCATCACTTTATAACGTTTAAACGAGCAACATGCGCAAATTCTCTAGCACAGGAATGATGATGGACAGCAGTACGTTGTATGTCTGAGGAACATCACTAAGCTGAAACCTCTCGCCGCAAGGTTCGCCTCACAACGCTAGATTCACATCTTGAAAAAGCCCCTCTCTCCCCTAACCTTGCCGATCTCGTCACCAAAAGAGTTTACGTCAAATACTTGTATAGATCACATTATCAAGTTTCGAAATCGCCGTGATCACTCTTTTACCCAAGACTTATCATACGGAGGCATGATAACTAACTATGTTAAAGTGCACTATACCTCACCGTACTTGGTGTGTTTCGATACAACCGCTAGGTAGTCACCATGTCAGTCATATATGTCCGCAGTCACCCCGTCACCCCAGAACTCAGTACCCAGTTTGCTTCTTCCAATTGTGCGCGGCACTAGGTCCACGCTTCGTGTTGTACCACACCCATTGCCATCCTCTCGAGAAGCCCCGGCGGACCTACTCGCCGCCCCGAGGGGTAATAGGCTAAGTACGATCATGTTAGCTTTCATTCCCATGACATGTGAGGTTTCAGATGACTTGAGCAACTCAAATGACAAGTTTGGGTATAATGTCACAGGTAATGGAATAGGCTTACCTTGCTCGGAGCAACATAGTCGTAGTGACCACCCAGGTTCAGAAGCCAAACGTCCCCGGGGTGCTCAGGCTTTCCTTTCCAGAGGAAGTTGAGCGGGAACCCGATATCGAACGGCACGGCGCCCTCAATCTCATCAATATCCTCCTGCGACAGCGACAACGTCAGCGCCTCGATATTAGCCTTAAGGTGATCGATGTTCCGTCCGCCAATAATGGGAAACACGTAAGGCGCCTTGTGCATGACGTATGCCTGTGCGACCGAAGTAATAATAGTCCCCTTGCGGTTGGCAACAGTCTCGAGAGCCTGGCTGACTTTAATGTCCGTCTCTGAGGCCTCGACCTTTCGGCCTTCCTGCGCCTTGCGCTGCGCCTCCGTCTTAAATTTGCCGCCACCGAGCGCGCTCCAGGGCGCAAGGCCCATGCCCTCTTCCCGACACATGGGGAGGATCTCGCGCTCGAGGTCGCGGTTCGCGGCTGACCACTTGCCCTGGTAGACGCTGAACTGGCAGAAGCCGTGGTCGCGGGCGTACTGGTTTGCTTTGGACACGATGTAGGCGGGAGAGTCGCTGATGCCGAGGTAAAGGACCTTTCCCGACACCACGAGGGCATTTAGGGCTTGCATCAGCTCCGGGATCGAGGTGCTGAAGTCCCACCAGTGGATGTAGAGCTAAGTTGTATGTAAGTCGGGATTTGATCTCCAATAGTATCTGTCCAGCCAACTTACCAGGTCAATATAATCGGTCTTCAACTTGCGCAAGCTGGCCTCGACCGAAGTGCGGAGACTCTTTGATCCGTTGCCAGTCGAATTGGCCATGATCTCAGTCTCTCCTCTCCCAGCACGGAAGTTTGTAGTGTACTTGGTTGCGATGACTGATTTGTTCATTTAGCAGGTTGCACCTTCTTTCCACAATCAAGGCTTTCGCAGGATACGTCCATAGGGACTTACCCATCTGATCACGAATACCACGCTGCTTCATCCAATCTCCAATCCACTCCTCGGACTCCTCGGCCTGGCTGAACAATTACATTTAGTAATTGCTTCCTGGATCTGTATGACAAACCCTTTGCAATTCAATGCCACATGCACAAACATCATACGCAAACGATGCTCCGAGTGCAACGTACTTGGGCGTATTTGCCCTCATCGCGGGCCATGGACGAAGAAACAACGCTCACAGACTACTTACTAGTTGTTTGCAGTGTCGATGAAGTTACCACCCTGCTGGTAGTAGAAATCCAGAATGGCCTCCGTCGTAGGTTTGTCGCAAGCTCCCATCCACTGCTTCCACGCATCGCCGAAGTTCATTGCGCCCAGGCAGAGAGGACTGACGCGGACCGATGCCGTCGGCGAAAGCAGGCGGTAGCGAGCCAAGGGACTCTTGGGGGGAAGGGCCATAGGCAAAGCCATCTTAAATGATATTTACGAGGCAGCTGAAAAAAAAGAGCAGTGCAAGTGCAAGTTGAGGATTGCTAATATCCAAGTTCCTGCTTTGTGAAGTTAAGTTATTCCAGTGCTGTTCGTGACGTCAATGGCTCGAAAAGGGCAGTTGCAACGTAGACTGTAACCAATTTTATGTTAGCCATTATAAAGAGAAAGGTAGTATAAGGTAGTATGTATGGACACAGATAAGAATAGCCGGATGAAACAGTGAATCATTACTGGACAAACCCTAGTGGATAACTGGATGGAATAATGTTAGAATAATAAAATTCCGGGAATCGAAAGCGGGATTTTTTGGTTGGACTGTCAACAGGATAGATAGGCTTTGTTCAGTGTTCATAGGAAAGGAATTTAAACATGTTGCAAAGTGTTACTGAATGGAAAATTTCCCATGTTTCTTTCCCATGTTTCGAAGATAACTGTAGAGGCACTTGCATACACGTAAACTAAACTTCTAGTTGTCAATTTCAAGGAGTCTCGAATGCCGAGAAAACTGTCCGACGTTCGATGAACGCTGTCGAAATTGGCAACTATCTGACATTGGGAACACCATCAGACTCCCTGTGGGCATCACATGGGAAGCTCAAAATGGTATAGATATATGTGGGAAAATGCAATCGGAAAGTTTACCATACCTTCTTCACAGGCTATGCCTTCGCCAGCACTAAAATCAAAACCAAGAGAGTTGACTCACCTTGAGATTGCCGGGGCAGCAAAGGAAGGTACTGTGATGTTGTTAGTGTTGACGCGACAACCCGTATATAGGAGGATGTAGCACAAAGATGAACTCGTGGCGGTGGTTGGGGGAGTTGTATTGGGCAGATAGATATATTGGCTGGGGGAAGAGCAAGAATATGGCCGAGTTAGAGCTCATGTACCGTCTGGTTGGGCAGAAAGTAGTGACTAACAGACGTATTTCTTCCATCGACTCATGACTCATATGAAAACTTGTGTCAAAGTCAAAGAAGTACTTACAAGGGGGAATCGGTCAATTCGTGATGTGAAATCAAGTTGATAGCGACGTATATGATAAAATGCAAAGAAGCACTTACGTGTTTTTATAGCCAGATGCCAGCAGTGTGGGGTTGATGTAACTTCAGGCGCCGAGCAACCTCCTCCCCACTAGTGAGACGGAGCAGCTCGAGGTTGGAATCAAGATAGATAGGCGCACGCTTAATGATGCACTGGTAACCTGGGATGTTTGACAATGTAGCATCTCGTCATTGGTTGTCAGGAAGGTTATTTCCGATCAGACCTTGCATCCGCAGGCCTGGATGATCTCATCGATTTACTGTAGATTGATGTCGACGGGCAGAGCGGTAACAACCAACCGAGCTAGTCTTGGAGAGTCTCAAACTTGAGGAGTTAGAATGGGAACATTCTTCAATCAGGCCACTTTGGATAGTCTAAATTCCTAAGTCCGGATCTCCTCGAGTAAGTTACCAGCCAATGGGCCCTGCCTTGGAAGCCTTAACGTTGGTCCAAGTTCAAAGAAGACGCATAGGCAGGGGAGACACGGAAGCTGCGGGATCCACAAGGCCCGTTGAACTCAAGATGAGTCAAAAGTGGGATGCAGACGGGACTTGCACTGGTAACCAGCCTCCAGACAGCTCCGGGCGGATATACAGTCGCGTATCAACAGGAAGGGCCGAAAGCCACAGGGTCCACAGCTTCCATGAGACTGTCATGTAATTACTTAGAGGTAAATATAATTATACCATACTCTACTGGTGTGGGTATTTCCATATCAGGATCTTGGGACCACTAACAGTTGGCTTGTGCAACCGTGATGAAAATATGTGTGGCTCCTTGGATTACACCTACAGTCCGCAATATGCTTACGGTAGAGATACGCGCTAAACCTAGAACCCGGAATCGAGACTCATCTTCCAGGTGATTGGTTGGCAGATATTGCTTCATGCACAAGCATAGCGCAGACAGAGTTAGCAGACCAAGACACCCCGAAGCTATACATGTCTGACTGAACTCCCGTGCCTCTCTCTTTTGCCATCCCGTACGACAATCACCGACCGACTATGCCGAAACCACGTGCACCCCAGTACTGTGCTTCGTTCATACGTTTCATTCGTTGGATCTCTATATTTCTTTTGGTTGTTATACAAAGCCCAGTCACCTAGCAGGTCCACACACCGACTATGCCGTCTTGGCGTCCCTCCACCATGTACCCGTCCTTGATGCGGACGCGCTCGACAATAGCCGGAGTCTTGTTTTCCTCCGCCTCGGTGATGCCTGCGCCAACCTCCCATTGCCGTGACTCTAGCTTATCGTATACTTTGACCACGTCCTCCTGGGCGGCGCAGACGATGCGTCTGTCGTCAAACATCATGCTCGTGATGGGGTTATCATACGCGTATGCGTCGAAAATCGACCCTGTTCGTAGGTCCCATATCTGTGGTATGTTAGAATTATCGACACAGGTTGCGGGAGATGGCAGGAAGTGAATGAGCTGCTATAGTAACTCACCCGAATGCTTCGATCCAAGCTTCCCGTCACCAGATGCACATCGTCGAACTGAAGACAAGTCACAGGACCCGTATGGCCGACCAAACTCCGGTGGACCTGGCCACTGCGCAAATCCCATAATCGAACCATACCGTCAGCGGTACCGCAGGCAAGTGCAGAGTCAAAGACTTGCAAAGCACCAACAAAATCAGCTGACCCTGAGGACGATCGGCTTGTTTGTCTCCATTGTCCTTCAACAGAGCCCATCGACGCGGATGCTTGTGCGGCTGCCCACATTACATCCAGAGTCTGTACGCAACGGCCCTTCTCAAGATCCCAGTGTCGAAGGGTCTTATCGGCCGATCCAGACACAAGAACGTCGCCCCTGAAGTGCAGTGCAGTGATCTCATTCATGTGAGCTTCGAGAGTGAAAAGATGGCAGTCGGCCAGACTACCCTCCGGCGGGTCAACGGGTTGGTCATCGGGATTCTCAAACGCCATCCCATCTTCGTCCTCGTCGTCTCTTCCAAATTGGCCGCCTTGAGGGTCGTAGCGTGCTTTGCTCAGATCCCATAACCGGATAGTCGCATCCACGCCTCCTGTGGCAACGAAGTTGTCCTCGACCTGCAGTGCTCTCACTGATGCGGTGTGACCCTCAAGCGTACCTATGCAACGTCCTGCGTTAAGATCCCATACTTTAACCATGTCATCCATTCCCGACGTCACCATGGTTCCGAAGGGCACGTCGAAATCGTGCGAGTTAATAGTGTCCGCATGAGCCTTGATCTGACGTATCATGGTCCCGGGCTCGAAGTGTTCGTGTAAGATGGGCATGGATTTGCGACGAATGACCTTATGCCTCTTTGATCGTGAAGGGCCGTTTGAGGCAGGAGGCAGCTTCTCATAGACGGATTTTGACATGAACTCGTCGACATCCTGATCCGTAACTAGATCATCATCATCATCATCATCATCTCGTGTCGGCGTATCCGCTGCTATAGATTCGGCCTCGTCAACAAGCAGTTGAGCGTCATCTATACGGCCTTCCATGTCCACAACTGCTCCGGTTAGTTTTGAACTAGGCACAAATCCCGCGGGGGACCTTACTGTCGTGCTCTAGCAAAGCCTCTTCTTGTTCCAGACAAGCCAGCCTTTCGAGGATTATCCTGCGCATACCACTGAGGTTGGCGATTTTGTTATCGATCTCCCGTATCTCAACACTGGCCATGTTCTTGCGGATGCCAAGCATTTCGAGCTCGTGCATCAGCGATCCCCTTTCTTTCTTGAGTTTGAGCAAATGATGCGGACTGTCAGGCGTCGAGGGTGTCTCTTCTATCATCTTTCGCCCTCTCGAGACTCTTCTTCGATGTTTTTTGCCTTCTTCGGTCAACTCCGGGAAGCTCGCCTGAAAGCCTTGAAATAACGAGTACGTATTGTCATCCTCAGGTATATTTTGGAGCATGTCATCTGACAGGTACGATAAAGCGCGGTATTGGATCTCCGAAGTAGAGAACTTGGAACGGACGAGGTCGGTCGGGGTCGTTTTTGCCATGGAGAACATACTCCTCTGCACGCCTGGCCTTTTGAGCTGTTTGTGGACTTCGGCCATGGCGCTGTGATAATGATTGTTGGATCCCCCATCTGACCTTGGTCCAACCAAATGGGTTGCCGTCGTCGTAACCTTCCGCGTGAAGCCCCTCAATCCACCCGGCTAAAATATGCATCAGTTGCTTGGAACTGTTGACATTCAGAAGGACGGGAGCCAGTACTACCGATAGAATGGAGCCCTCGTCGTCCATGGGGGCTTCATCGTGGAAAGCATTGTGCAAATCCGAATCATCCATACGATAGCGGGGTATCTTGCGCTGCAAAGTCCTTGGAGTGGTCGGTACTCAAGTAATCAAGTCGGACGGCAAGCGTTGTCGTGGCGCATTGAAGCAGGGCAGAAATTTGGTCGCTATGGGTCGCTATGAAAGCTTCGCGATAATGAAGTCAAAAGTTCAAGCTTGTGTGCCAGGATTCCGCGACATGGAATTCCGTGGCACGAGCCACACGACCATCCCAGCGCTAGAAAGAAGCTGCACAGTTGCGACATCCTGCAGGGGTTTTGCTCGGATGTGACTATTCTGCGTCGTAATTCGTCAATTCCCAGCTTCCCCGGTGGCAGCCCATGGAAAGCCCAAGTACCGGCATCATCACAAACCAAATAAACAGGAAAGTCAGTTGCATCATTTCGCATTGTTCCTCTCGGGCTTGGCTGGTACAACATTGTTTACTAAGCTTATCCTGGAGAGGTTCGCTGTTATCACTCAGTGCTACGGCTATGTAAGTAAAGTACAGCTGGAGTAAGAGGGTCGTTTTCAGCCTAACTAGAGGGTACACCGATCGGGTCGGCCCCGAACCCCGGAAATCGGAAGCAGGGCCGCAACTAGACTGGCAACCGTAGCTGACTCTTGGTTTGCTCACGTCAACCCCGCCATGTTACTGATTTGCGATTGCGATGAAGCCAGATTGACTATCTCAAAACTCCAAGTCTCAAACCCCTTTGAGAATATCTCTTAACCTGACCCTACAGTCGAACGTCCACTGCCCGCCACATCGTCGCCCTTCTTCTCACTACGACGCGAGAACGAGACCATGGATACCATTATCGATCTCTCGGATGCCTCCAAGGCATTGGATCTCAACAATATCCGCTTCCAGCTGATGTAAGCACTGGATCGTCAGTCCGATTTAAATGGAATTGTGCCACCTTTGGGGCCAGAGGACACCCGTTTGCACATTGCTCTGCCATGACTGTCTCTGACTTACAACCTGGACAGCCGTTTAGAAGACACAATCACCTTCCACCTCATCGAACGCGTCCAGTTCCCGCTCAACAAATCCATCTACATCCCTGGTGCGGTACACATAGAGCCAGTCGAAGGCTCGGGCCTAAGCTTCATGGACTGGTACCTTCGCGAGCAAGAGAAGTTACAATCGCTGATCCGCCGCTTCGAATCCCCCGACGAGTATGCCTTCTTCCCGGACGCCCTGCCCAAGCCGATACTGAAGCCGCTGAACTACCCCCGAATCCTGCACGACAACACCGTCGTAGTCAACGATAAGATCAAGGCGTTCTTCATCAACGAGTTTCTGCCGGCCGTCTGCCCCGACTTTGGGCGCGAAGACCGCGGCGAATCGGCCGAGAACTACGGCTCGGCCGCGACTTGCGATATTGCCTGCCTCCAGGCCCTGTCGCGAAGAATCCACTTTGGCAAGTTCGTGGCTGAGAGCAAGTTTAGGTCGGATCCGGAGAAGTACACCAAACTGATCAAGGCTGGGGACCGTGAGGGGATTGCCGCCGCCATTACGAACACTGCGGTCGAGGAACAGGTGCTGAAGAGACTGGCCTTGAAGGTACAAACGTACGGCACCGATCCTTCGATGAATGGATCCTCCGAGAACGCGGGCAAAATCAACGTGGAAAAGGTGGTCTCCATGTACAAGGACTTTGTAATCCCGATAACGAAAGAGGTGGAGGTCGAATACCTTATGCAACGGTTGAGTTAAGTGTCTACACCGCATGTAAACGGTAAATCTAAGGAAGCAGTGAAGTGGTACTAAGGGGGGTTGTTGCTTGTGGCAGTTGGCGCCTCCATGGAAAGTCGGAAAGGGTCCAAAGATGGTCGTGATACCTTTCGCTCTTGATGGGATTGGACTGGTAGCCCAAGCCGCGGAGAAACCATCAAGTGGTGCGTATGAGTGGAATATTCAGGTCAAACTAGTGTTTATGCCTGCTTACTGTGTTGGGATACCAGGCAATCCAACACTGTTCCGCTCAGTGCGCCGTCATTTTGTCATTCGCCTGAGTCCAGCTGCATGGTGCTGGTTTACAGCGACTTCCGTGCCTCGTAGACAAGACATCTAGATTATTGCGTTAATGATCACCAGAGGATAGACTGAATATACAGCAGACCAACTGAAGCTGCATACACAATTCCCGCCGCCCCCAAGGAGTGCCTGTGGATTGCGTTGATTACATCTGCAGCATACATGATGTCACTAAATGATCCCAGGGTTGTTCCTCAAGCATTTGTATCATTTCTTTACCGCCTATGATGGCGGACTCAAATACTCCCCAACAGCCTTCGCCGCCTCCGCGAACTTGCTAGCCTCAATCAGAATCATAAACCCGCTCGGCATAACACCCAACTCCTGGAATGCCCGCTTGCTATCCGCCACAGCCTCATCATGATTCGTGAACGTGTAGCTCCCATACGCCACCGCATATTTCTGCAGCACCTCGTCCTCAGGGTGGAAATAGAACATGGCGGCCTCCTGCCTGCCCTTCTTCTTTTTCCGCTCGCCCATGTCGAGCGTCGACTCGACCTCTTGGTACGTCTTGGACAGGATCAGGTAGTGCGAGAACTCGTATGGCTCCTTGTCCTCGACGGCCGCCTCCACCTCGTCGATCAGCATCCCGTACATGGGCGGCGCGATCTCGGACGGCATGTTAATGAGTCGCTCTGAAAGAACAAGGCCCACGTGGTTCCCCGCCGAGAGCACGCCCGGTATTGATGAAAGTGACTCCGTCGTCTGAGCCTTTTGGGTCAGGTACTTGGTCAGGTCTGCGAGGGGTTTCTTCTTCCGGTGCTCCTGCAGGTTTAGCACCGTGAACATAGCGTAAGGGTCCGTTTCCTTCCCATCGACCTTGACGGTTGAGCCGATGGTCGGCTGGGAGAGAACCAGGTCCGCTAGGCCCGAGATGTCGAATAGGGAGTGGTCTACATCTAGTAGCTGGCGCAGCAGCGACTTGGTGCCGTGGAAGTCAATCTCGGGCTCGAAGTTGAACCACTCGAAATCGACGTTCACCATGTCGAAGTCCTAGAGTTTTTGGTTAATTCGTTCCAGTTTTGTGATGGCACGGGCGGCGACTAGTGCCAACCCGTCGTGTGAGTTGCTCACTCACCTCGTCGTCTGAGCTATCATCACCGTCCACGGCCATTTTGTCGGCCGCTTCTGTCGCACCGTCGGCTTCTCTCGCTCTCTTTTTTGCCATTTTGAAAAGCAGAAACGATGTGAGAAGAGTCTTCGATTTGGGTACTCGAAAGCGAACGCTGCCTTTCTTTAGATACCTTCAGGCGCACTGTAGTCCTCTGCTCTGATGAACCAAGGCCGAAATCCAACTTTTTTCGACAAGCCCCGCCGTCTTGTCTTATCGATAAGAAGTGGTTCGCGGGACAATTGAATTTATTTCGAATCTCACTCATCATTGTCAGTCATCCCAAACTGAGAACGGACGTTCGGATATGGCCTGATGTTTATGAAAATCACTGTCTCGAAGCTACCACAACTTGGAGAGGCTGCAGAAAGAATGGGAAAAACCACAGCATAAGCTCGAACACAAACCCCAAACCGGATATTCCTCCGGGCACCGTCCTACGTCAATGCAATGGCATACATTTTCTCCACGAAGACACTGCCCATGATAGTAAATCTATTGACAGAATCGAAATTCACCCCTGAGTAGGTACACAAGTACCCAGGTAACGCACATACGCAGAAGCCAAACTTGCTAGGAGAACCAAGCCCTTGCGATACACGGGTGTCTTCCGTCCGGAGATGGTGAACATCTCGCGAACAAGAAACATATTTTCACGCAATAGCTCGTCAAATCCAATATCGATGTCGCGATCCCCTGATGTATGATATATGACAAGAATTCCCCTCCTCCCGTTTATACGTACGCGTACGCAGGCATCATTCGTGAATACTACCTGTTCAGAGTGTTCCGGCAGTTGTTGTATGTTTGGTGAGGTCCGTCCGGCCCCCAAGTCTGAAGACACGACTTTTGTGTGGCCCGCCGCTGATGTGGTTCCGGTGTAAGTCAGACTTGGTTGAAGGCTTCACTACCTTATTTAGTCCAGACCTCCATCTAGAGCTGGGGCGAGAGCTTTATGGGTGTGTATCATTAGATTGCCTAGGTAGATTTGCGGGCGAGAAGCGATGTGACATGACAGGGGCAGCGATACTTCATTTCAGCCTGTTCAAGGGAAGATCCGGGGAAGCTTGCCGCGTAGTCATTCGTCAGGAGAGCGTCCCATCTGATCGGACAGGTATCGGCACGCCTGTGGGGATATTTTTGGAAGGTTGTCAGAGGCTTCAGGGTCTCGAACAATGAATACAATAAATATTACTTCTCGGTAGTGGGTATCCATAGAGTTATCGATTGCGTTCCGAAATCAAATGACCGCCCTTCCGAAGGAAACCAGTCCTGTCGTGACCTTGAGTACAACCATGAGTCCCCCCTTCCCAACCAACTCCCTTGATCCGACCCTTTCGGTAAAGCAAAAACCCTCTGGCTCAAAGATAAATGTGACCATAATCCGGACAATACAGATCCAACCGAGCGCCAAACGACCAACCGCTATGCAGATGACATTAAGAGACTAGCCTCCATGCGCAGTCATTAACATGGCTCAGCCATTTTGTACAATCAAGGGTGCCTGGCCTCGTTTGGCAAATGCAGGTAGTCTGGAGGCACGGCCCTGGCGGTGCTGAACGCCTCTCGAGTTTCCTGATCGTATTGGCCGGCCGTTAATTGAGACTTCGGCGTCTCTGCAGGTGTGAGCTGAAGACCCAAACCGACGACTGCTTCTCCGGAGCTCATCGGCCTGTTGCTGCAGAGCTCGTAGTCTCTTGCCTCGGGTGCCATCCCACTTGTTTCGTCCATCAGCTCTCGGCGAACGAGCTCAATATCATGGCGTACCTCCTTGATGATTTGAGCGTCCCATAGCGGTAGAATGCGATATCCCAGAGCCTCCATTATGCAGCGTTCGGTGAAGTTGATCTGCTCGCAAGACCAGATATCCATTCCCCACCTGCTCGCGTAATAACTTGTCGGCTCCTGCAGGTCGGCTACAAACTTGTCGGCAATCATCAGGGCTGCAAGAACTGCGACCTCGGGTAACACTGTATCGGCCTGTGCGTCATGTTCCAGCTGAATCGGAGTCGATGGGAGAGTGTGCCGCTTGCATACTGGCGAGGTCCGCCGCGACCTGGGATAGGACATACGCCAGCTGTGGCGGAATCTCGAGGGAAGGGCATCTAGAATGCAGGCTGCTAAGGCGATGAGATCCATGGGTAAATCGGCGTGGCTGAGCATAAACTGAACTGTAGCAGTAGATGGCTCTTCCCGTGAGAGTCCTGGGGGAATCATCTGAGTGAGATGGATTGCAGGGGCTGGATGACGGCATGTTAGCATGGTAAGGAAGTCGGAGGGGGAGGGACGACATACCTAGAAGGTCTGAGTTTGGAGTTTCGCCCTCGGCAAGAATGCGGGGACTCTGAGCGGCTGAAGAGTTTCGGGACGAAGGAGGAGGTGTTGGAAGATTTGATAACGGTTTGTAAAACCTTCTGAAGCATGCCTCGTCAAACTCAAAGCCATCATCCACCGAGAAGCTCTTGCTGTGGCCCATCTTGAACAGAATCAAAGAGAATTCAACCAAATACCGCAAGACGTTGAGGGGCTGTTGTTCATGGTCCAGCGGACGCAAGAAAAGGCGAGATCCGGGATCGTGTTATGAACTTGAGGGGTATCACGCAACCAGGTCCAAAGCGACAGTTAAATCTTAGGGGTCGTTCGATTTGAGGCGGTGGGGAAGACAGGACGGGTCCGGGTTATATACCTCGAGCTGGGAGGAGAAGCGAAGGACCCAAGCCAGCTGCAGCGTAGTAAATGGACTGATGAGCGAGTGCAATCAATTCTCGGAAGAGAGAATAATACAGATGAGTAGACGAGTGTGTGTGTGTGTGTGAGTATATCAGGATTGGCTACCGTCAGGAGCTTTATGCAGGTCGCACGGTTCAATAATAAGCAAGTAACCTGCAAAGACGCAACTAGAAGCTGCGACTCGTGTAGACTCCTTATTTAGTACTGCACCGCACACTACAGTAGATGTGCCAGAACAGCGTCCGCAATTGGAAGCAGTGCTGTAGCTCACAAAGTTGGGGTTAATCTGGACTGAAATGGAGATGCAGAGAAACTAGAACCGGTGAAGGGGGATATGAGGCTTTGAAGAAGGGTGGATGGAGAGTTGTTGGCGAACCCGTGCAACCTTTAAACGAGCAACCGCGCGAGACTGCTAGGATACAAGTAAGATGGATCCCTGTCCTTGAACAGAGCACGATTTCAGCAGGAGCCCAAGCAACGACCGAGTACTTAGGTACTTCTTTACACAAGTCTTTTTAGTGTCCACGCAGTAACTCATGCCCTGTGTCGTCCTGCATTTGACTTCAATTATGCAATTTGTGTCTTACAACTGCTTGTTTGTTTGGGTCAGGCACAAGAGACAGAAAGGTGGGACTAGGTTCTGGCCCCGTCGTCAGGCATCTCTCAAACGGGAAACTCGACATCCTAGAACCATCTACAGATAGTTGGAGACAACGGGGTCGTCAACCGGAGCATAATCAAGACAATGGCAACATCGTGCCATTTTGCCCCATCCGGCCATTTGGGCACATCTGGCAAGGCGTACGATGGCGAACAAGGGGCTTATGCTTCACTACCCTGCTTGTTAGTGGGTAGAATCTGGATTCACTGAGATTTTGGCGGTGGGGCAAGGGCCGGAGGCTCAGATGAAATCCGAAAGTAGCCCAAGCAGCCAAGCCGAAGCCGTCTGGCTAGCGGCGAGAGCCGTTGCCAGAATTCAGATGACGGAACTTTGCCCACGTTCACGCGGCAACACCAAGCTTTCGATAAGGTCGATAGCGGGCACACAAGGCTCGTAATCGGCGCCGTCCGAGCTTATTAAAGACCGTCTTTGGACTTGACGATAATAACCCCCTCGCATCAATGTGCCACTTGGCGGAATAGGGGCTTGAAGAACCAACTGTTTTTGGCACAGCCACAGATCCTCGTTCACCGCTTCCAGGGACCGCTGAATCCGCTGAGAAACGAGGACAGTGCTTAACGGGCCAAGTGACGTGTGGCCGCAGCGCTGGAACCACCAGACGAGCAATGCACACATACATTGATCGCCAGATCGTCCATCGTATTCTTGCCAGCACGGACGCTTTGGGTCACCAGCATCATGATCATTAGTGACATCGACGCTCCAACAAAACCACTTAGCCCTTGATTACCCTGAAACATTATTTTTAGTGGTTGTGCCCATTTTGCTGTCCGGCGCTTTCCCACTTGCATCGCCAATTCTGGCCTCACCATCTCCGATCTTCATACGAGTCCCGCTGAGGCCGAGTTGTATCACCCTGCCATTTTCAATTTCGCCCTCAAGCGGAAAACTTTTACCCATTCCATTGAACAGCAGCGCGACCACCGAACCGGCTCTGACGATGTGGTGCCACTTTTTTTCTTACATATAAAATGCTGAGCATGCATATATAGTCACACGTCACACAACGTGGGAAAACCTCTCGCGCTGGTCACGCAATATCGACTGGCTATAGCCGCCTGGACTGGATTGGTCCTTCAAGCAACGGAAAAGACAAAGCCGATCGTATATTGCTACGCCACATCACATAATAAAGCCATGCAAGCTATGCAATGTATGTAATCCATAACTTGATCCTTAACTTGCCAAGCCAACCCACCAACTCTTGGTGTGCACAGCCTCGGCAATGGAACCGGAGGCCGAGCTCATGTCAATGGAAATAGCACATAATAAAAAAACACATCAAGCACTTCTAACAAGAAAACAACTTAGGATAACTGAGTAAAACTTATAGCTTTGTATATGATTGGCTGCTCTCTGATGCTATGGTTTCTTTTTAGATGAAAAGGCTTTTGTTGTAGTATGAACGGCTATCACAGAGATGATATGAGATTCGGCCGGCCGTTGTATGCATTTCGTCTTGACATGGGCTGCTTCAGAGACAATAAACTTTCAATTGATCGTCACGGCCGTAATCGCAAGGCCCGAGAAATAGGTTATGTACTGCCGTCGATCTGGGGAGATAGATCTCGACGGGCATCAGACAACGGAATATCCCTCGGGAAGAAAACGACACAATATTTGTTCCTGCATAAACCTTTTGATTCATGGCCCACATAGTACACCGCTGATCCTTCACTGACGGGGCCATTACGAACCTTGTGGTAATGAGGCTCGGCAAATGTAACTTGCTTCAGGTGAAGCTTCTTCCGCTTTGCTGATAAAGAGTGATGACAATTCGAAGCCGTGAGACTCGCTCGACGAAGGTATTACAGAACCCCGTGTGCCTTTGGAAAGTTTCGGCACGGCGCGAGTGTCAATTTGCCCAGGTGCTTTGTTGGTTTGGTATTTTCTCCGTCACCTTGGAATCGACGGACTAAGCAGCTTGTTTAACCAACGACAAGAACCCGAACAACTTGGCACATATATGCAGATAAAAGTTTCCCTTGGCTTCAATGGAAGAAACCTAGTTGGGTACATTCAATGCGGTATGCAAGATGATCGGCATCTCCAGAGCGATCCGAACCCGTCAAAGCAGCAACATCCGCGTAATCCTTCGGTCTGTCGGTAGTCGTCTAATGTCACAATACGCTGCAGCCAAAAGCATCACCAGCAGTGATACTCAGAGTATCCTCGAGCGCGCATAGGTGGTTAGTCTCCGTATGCATTGACGTTAATATTGCTTTGTCTTTACGGTTTCTCGGCAGACTGATCTATTCAACTCAAAACGTAGAATGACACATCTAAGCCCTGTTGTTCGGAGTATACCAAACTATAATCCTCCCCTGCATTTGCTTTGGCTCCAAGTTGTGGATGACAAGAGCAGCTTCTGAATCCATAGGGATCAAGATAGAGAAGCCAGCCAGTCTCGTAAATACGACTCGTAAATACGACATGTGTCGAGGTTTCTAGATGAATATTCCGTGCTTGATTTCTGCTTGGAATGCTCAGGTCACACTGGTCATCCACTAAAATAACCGCTGAGTTACACGCTACTCGGGAGGCCCTACTGCTGACAGACAGCCCAACGCCTCAGCTCACCCAGCTCCCAAGGTCGAGTTATTTTTACCTCTCGGAGAGCTACTGAGGTGGCCATCAGAGCTGAATGGAGGCTGACGATTGAAACAGGTAGATGGGAATTCCTAGCAAATAAACTCCTACATGTTACTCTTGTGGGTTTCATGAAACGTTGTCTTGAAATTGGAAACTCCAAGACAACCACTCTTCACCCATCACATGTTTGCTTGTTGTGTTGAGAGAGCTAGACGAGGCGTCCAAGTTAGAGAGTTGCTCTCCTTGCTGCCGCATTTGAGTGAGACATGATATACTGCAGAACATAGCAGTTTCATTTCCGTTGTTGCCCTTCTGCGTGACGACTTTATCGTGTCTGTGACCAGGTATGCACTTTTGATGAAGCTTTCAGGATTGCAATATTTGGGCCTTTGCTGATGAATTGTACTTGGGCCCAAATTATGTTAACTCACATGTCGCGATCATACAGCCCTGCGTTGTAGTACAACCCGACATTATTGTGAAGATGTCCTTAATGGCAACCCCTTTGAAGTTGGGCATACCGGCCCTTGGATCGACCATGGAATTCAGCGGACATCTAATGAAGTAATTTTACTCGACACGTCTCAGATGAAGCCTAAGAGACTTTGTTTGGCATAAGAGATAGCCTCGAGCCACACTCAAGTGTATGTTGTCACTCAACCGTTGCCACTGGATATCTTTCAGTTGTACTAGAATGAGCATGAAACGTTTCACTCAGATTCATTTACGTCAAGATTCGATATGGATAGTCCAGCCGTTGACGGGTTGAGGAATATTCCACGACCACCATCTCATTGATTATCTTAGATTCACAGTTGCTTGGGTTTGATCAAATCCTGTCAGCGAGAAAATTGACCACTGGGAATCTCAGTAGATGGACCTAATCATATCTAGAACTTACGGTCATAGCGAGGGTAGACAACGTATGCCTGCCGTTGAAAACTTCCAATGGAGATGGCCAATGAATTCATCGTGGCCGACGCAACTCACCCTGACAACACATCAATAGTGCCAGTATTTGAGGAAGAAGCATAACGATCGATCATCATACCAGCCAGTTAAAAATGCGGTGGTCCCATGAAGAATCCAGTATACAAAGTACGCAACCCGTTTTCGGTGATGGTGATGTTGCAGGTTGCGCACACCAGCAGGATGATTGGTTACTTGTTTCCATAGAAGACTGCCGATCAAAACTTGACATTGACGTTTGGCAACATCGGGACAATTTGCTCCTATCTGCAGTTGAACTGGCGAATTGAATTTCGGCCTGTTGTCTTCAGCGAACGTTCGCTTACTGGCAAACGAAGGCGGTGTCGTCATCATGTGCTAACAAGCAGCAGAGGCTGCGTATGAGTTGTCGTACTTTCCCCAGTTGGCCCCCAACAAACGCGTTGCACGACCGATGACGCATGTTTCTGGATGTTATAAGAGGCCGATGAGAAATATCTTCAGCGCTCAGCTCAAATTTCCATCCCAGCTGTCTCACACCATCAACCACCACCGGCGAAGAAACTTTCAGTAACAAAGATGTCTGACGGAAACGGAAATACCAACTGCACTAATTGCAAGGACTGTGGGTTGAAATATCATTGTTTTTGAGGACAAACTGACGATTTTTGGTTTCCTAGGCAAGAACTGTTCGAACTGCACGAACTGTGAGATACCCTCAATTGACGAATTGGGTATTTTCAATGAGGTTCTAACAATTGTTCCCAGGTACCAGTTGCACTGATTGCTCTAATTGCAAGTTACGGAACCCCTTGCAGTCGTCGGATTTTCTAACAGATGTTCAGGCACTGATTGTGAGGACTGTTCCAGCTGTGAATCACTTCCCCATGCGCCTGTCTCAAGAGTACCGTGCTGACATGATCAGCTTCCAATTGCAAGGACTGCAACGACTGTAAGTTATTGGCTTCTCTGTTTATTAGCAGCGCCAGGAGTCCTCGGCTAACATTCGAACTAGGTTTGAACTGTAGTAATTGCACCGACTGTTCGGGCCTGAGCAATGCCTCGAACCAGCACGGCGTTCATCAGAAGGACGAGCTGAAATGAGCAAGGGCTCGTGGATCTCAGGTCATAAGGCTGTTGGAGAGAATCGAAATGGAAAGCGGGGATAATCCACATGACACGGCATAGGGCATATTGGTCCAAACCAGTAGCGTCTTCCTCTATTCCATACGGTCATTGCTCCTAGGGATCTCACTTGCGACTGATTCAGAGGGGATAACGTGCATAGTCTACAGCTTCCATGTTTTAGGTAAATGATAATACGGATTATAGTATCTTGACTAGGTCGTTTAGCAACATGGACGTGGCCGAAGTTAACGTCATTAACGACTCACCTTCAGCTATGGCAGGGCACCATCAATATGATTATCGGTAAAAGTGATATAATAAACGCCAGGATGTTCCAAAAGCTTACATCCCATACGACGATAATATATATGTGCGGTCAGTCATAAGAAAAAACATGAAGAACGCCAAGATTAGTATTATTGGGCAGATGGGAATTTGAAGATAGGTGATGTTCCTCATAGGCCAGCCACCTCTGCGTAGGGTTACACTGTTTCTCAAAGACGGTGATAATTCTTAATACAGACCCAATTTTCAACTAAGGCCTCCATTTTGGACACGAATCGCTGCTACTACCCAAACATCTCCCTCCTCCCCATGTCGTCCTTGGGAACGCATTTATAACAAACCCGCTGCGAAACAAATTTCATCAAATCAGCTCAACAATCTGATCAACACCGAGAAAAAGATTTCACCCGGATCTAGAGTCTAAGCTTGTGTCCAACAGACCCTGACATGCCAGGTGAACTGCTGGGCGTGAAGTCGTCCCAGCCTGCCGAATGGCCGGACACCAGGGACAACAGTTCATTGACAGACTAGGGAAAGAGGCAACCAAAATGTATCATGCGAAATATTGCACCCGAAGCGCAGCCTCAAGAGAATTTCGAGGGTTTAGGTTGGGGATAGTAGTTCAGAGTGGTGCGACGGAATAGGTATATGCAGACGAGATGCAGTGCGCAGACACACCTCCTGGGCACTGATCATTATAAACCCAAATCGTATTTGTTTATGAAGAATATGGACGGCATTCCTGTTTATAGTTTCATTTTACTGTCTCGCCTACTGACCTTTGTTAATACTACATGACGATATTATATTAGCGTGCTGATCACTTAAGTAAGGTATGTAATAAGCATGACCGTCAAAGTCCCATGATTGATGATGGCAAGCTACGCGTTAGACTCTACTGTGAGTGTGACGTGTCCTGTTGATTAATCCACGCATTGAAGCTGCAGGTTCAATCTCAGGGTTCTTACCTGTGGTCAAGCAGGGGGTGAAGTAAACGAAGCGCGATCTAACCTTGAGGATGTACGTCATAGACAGCACGAGACATCAAGACGCTGCACATGTGGCCCGACTGCGGCTCATGCGTACATGGGTATATTGGCCCCGGAAGCGAGCATATGCAAAATGCAAGATGCAAAGTGCCTTATTTTGGAACACCCTGTCTACGTAACTACAGCTGGAGCTTGAAGTGGGTTACCAAAGTCGTGAAACGCCCAATTGAGAAGTCGATGATCTCCAGGCAGTTTTTCCTACTTGAGCATTCATGCATAGCATCCACCTATTGTGACTGAAAACAACGCCGACAGTTTTGTTTCGAAGCTTTTGGATGAGGAGCATATCGCACTTCCCATCAAGACATTTAATGACTCCCTTCCATTCCACAGCAACAAGCCAGCCAATGTTCCTATCGCAGTCTCCTTCTCTCTGTCACCGACCGCCGGCAGCCCCAGAAAGATCACCACATCCATCCATCCGACCAAGACCCTTTCTACCAACCCTTATACGAATGAAGCGCGACAAAACGTACCCACCTACAGGTCCCTCTCCGTGGTCTCAACCTATCGATCCCAAACCGAGCCCTATACGCCGCAACGGTAGGCGCCGCGCAGTGAATCGGTAGGGCAGTGATTCCCTGTTGTGGGTAGAGTGAGGTAGAAAGAAAGTTTGGGGAAAGGGAACCAAAGTCTGAGAGATCTTGGATGACCCCCGGCATTTGGGGAATCTCGGCTGCCTCATTGCAAGTGCCGAGTGGAAACACATAATGAAGAAGCCACGAGCCGATATGCCAAATATCGGTCGTAGGAATATGTTCACGGAGTCAAGTATAAAGACGCACCTTGAAGGAAGGAAGTCGATAAAGCACAGTAAAAGTCCCCCTGCAGGAAGTATATCCACATGTTTCACAACCACAGATGTTCGAATTGGCACGGGAAAGAATGCGGGGTGGGTAAGGGTAGTTAGAAGCCGCCTGTCTTGCTAAGTTCGCATCGTGCCTTTCCCCAGCGCCTGGATCCGAATCCATTCCTTATAGTAAACTGATGTATTTACCGTCCGAGTTAACAAACGATGGCAGCTCGCGTCAAGTCATGATATGTCCCTCAGGAAGGTGGTTCGCCCACTGTCCATACCCTCGCGAGGTAGCAGACGATGTTGAGTTTGCTCATCCCGATTACGAGTATTGGAAACCCTGCATTGTATACCTTCACACATGGTATATTTGGAAATGAAGGATCATGATTCTAGGGTCCAAGCCCGGAGCCGCTAGTCATGGTTTGATGTATGTGATCAATCTCGCAGTGGCAGTGCTCTATACAACAATGCTGTCCATTCCCTGGTATCTAAGAAAGCATTCAAGTACGGTTGATGCTGCGTGGCCTGTTGAGACCGGTCATAATTAAGGCAGTCAACTCTGTCCCGTTTCTTATTTGAGCTTGCGAGTTATCTGTTGACCATGACCAGCGTAGAGTACTGTACAAGTCCTGTTGTACGTAGCGCAAACCACATAAATCAAGGTGGTATCATACACCATGCGCCGATGTTCATCGGAAGTCCCGACAGGCCAAAGGCGTGACCTATCAGGCTCTCCAGGGTAGAATCCCCTACCGCAAGCAAGTGAAAATCCGTCCATACAGCTGTGTCCATGACATAGAAAGTGACTGACTATCGAAGCCCACCTCGATTGACCAATAGCATCGTAACGTACGTGATGTCCAATTCCTCCTCTTCTCAGTTTTATTTAACTTTTGTGAGGTGACTTGGAGGAGTCCAATTTCAGCAGCCTCTCATGCAAGACATACTAAATGGTGCATCCAGGAGCAATGATCGAATTATTCCAGCGATTGATGGAAGGTCCCAGTGGTTGCTTGTGCTCCGCTTACCCCCAGTCCGGTTTGGGCAATCGCAGTCGGTCCTAATTGGTGGAGGGGATTCTTGCGGAAAAGCGGGCCGTCTAGCCTGGGGTACCACGATGTCCCGCCAACCACACGCTACCAATCTCCCCTTCGGGCCCTTCGGGTGCACCAAGCAGGTGGTGCAACCCCAGCTGCAAAGATCCTGCAGCAAAAATCACCGCAAGAAAGTGCACAAACTAGGCTTGGAGGCTTGCTTTCACCTTGCTTGCGTCCGGCCTGAGGGGATGAGTGACCACTGCCGCAATCAGACAATCAGGCAATACGGGATTCGATGAGGCTGAAAGGTCTCGGTTCGGAAGAATAACTGCAACCGAGAGCTGCGCAATCGTCATGGTTATGCCAGCGTGGGCTCTTTGGAATCGTATGGGTGTCAACGCAATGCGCACCTCCTCACTCGTCCTGTTTGGACGCCTGGCCATACCGTTTTCTCGTTACGCCGGTAGACTGTCTATAGGCATGAAAAGCAAGGGAGTGGAAAACGGGTGAGATGGCCTTGGAGTGAAATGACGTCACTAGATGCGTTCGGTGATGAGGAAGGACTCGGAATGAGAACCAGGAATGGTGGCGCCCAGGAACTAGGGGCTAGTGTTGCTGTTGGGTCAACCATGTTTTTGCGTGTAGCAGTCAGCCACTGAGGAAGGTGCGGCGTCTGACTTCAGCTTCCTTGATGATCTCAGCCGCCAAGCTTAGACTAGGGGCCAGTACTGCCATTCTCTCGATGTCCATAATCACGTCGTTGATAATCTGATCGATAGCCTCACGATGAGGCACGAGGGTGAGAAGAATGTTGGAAAGGGATGGTGACATGGTTGCGCCCATAATGAGGAGTGTTTGTGAGACGATGGATAATGCGCCTTGCCATAGGTAGGGGATGTGGCCCATGTGACTGCGGTCGATTTGTTAGGTAAAACGTGAACGTATAGACAAGAAAATAACCTGGGGGATGTCTACTTACTGTGCGGGTATATGCTCCAGCTGCCTGATGGAGGCCTCGAGACACTTGTGACAGCTTTCCCGTACTGAAGGATCTAGGGCGGCTTGTTCATTGTCAAGTACAGCTAAGATGTACGGGCGGTATATAATCGTTCGGCAGGCAAAGAAGCGCAATCGCAGCACCGTCTGAATCGGATCTGGTAGGGGCGCGCGAGTAAAAGGAAATTGTAATGCTGATGGTAGACTTTCATACCACTGAGTCAACTGGAAGTCAAGCTCAGCTACGACTGGTTCCAGGCTGGTTGTGGAGGCCATGGAATCTTTGGAGTAAATAAGCTGGCTGACGCGATTGAGCAACCTCCGGAGTGCGATTTCGGCTAGAAAATACCACAGGTCGTCTCGGCCGACGGCTTCCGACTCTTCGCCCTGGAAGCCTCCCGGAAGCCCAACGTTCTCTTCCAATTGTACGACGCCAGAATGCGGCAGATCCAACTCGGCCAGTAGATCACTTTCGAAAAGCAGCGCGTTCCAATATATTCTCTCAGACAACTCCCTCTGGTCCTCAGGTATCCGCGTCGGGGTCATGAGGAGAAGTTGCAGCTTACTACTTGTTGTGAAGAGCAAGTTCCAGGCTTCGAGAGGGCGCACGAGATAGAAGAGATATGCGGCGGCCAGAAGGTGGCACTGTGCGGCAAGAACACTGTTGGAAGTCATCATGCCGGGTAACAGAGACCAGGCAGCTGTGAAATACTGTAGACCTGGAGGATCCTCATGCGGCACAATGCGAGATATGCTTCCACGCAGACTCGCCTGCCCAAGCGCAAGGACTAGCAAAACGATGCAGCTCTCCGGACCCTCGCGGAAGCCGTTGGTGAGGGCAGTCCGGTAGTGGCTCCGCCAAGTGTAAGGATTAACACAGGCATACCAGATGTTGACTCGGTCAAAGTAGGCCTCGATGTAGGCGTTCGTGTTGGACAAATCGACGCACGGGGTTTTGGCGAGGGAAGGCAACGGTTCCCGAGCCATTTCGAGTTGGAGGAGGATTTGAGGGTCGTACGGCCGTTGAACGAGATCGCGGATCAGAGGCCACTGTAGTAGATGCAGTGCCGCATTCGTATGGACCTTGGGCATGGTCGATATGTTGGTTGGGCTCGTCCATGTGCCCAGACCGGCGCTGGGGATGATGGAGAGGAAGCTGCTTGCACCGTGAACCCCAGCTTGGCCCATCAGATTCTCACCGCTGAGGGCGGTTCCGTTGCTCATGGGCGGCGAGTCGCCCGATAGTTGCATCCCGTTTGGATGATTGCCGCTTAAACCCATCTGAAGAAGGCTTTCTATGCGGTTAAGTCTTTCGAGGATGAGCTTGTCGCCGGCGTCAAGCTTGATCCCAGGCTCTCGGTAGATGCATTCCGCTCCGAGTTCCGTGCAGAGCTTACACTTTGGTTTGGTGCCGTCGCAGCGAGATTTGCGAGACCGACATACTTCACACTAAGTCTTCTGGTCAGTAACCCACTCAAGCGTGGATCCGCTGAACGACCTACAGCTATCGTAGCCCTTCTCCGGGGATAGTCGACCGTTGCGTCCGTGTTGCGTCTCTTGAGCGGATTTGAGCTCTCGTCGCTCGACATCTTCTGCAGACCGTTGATTACCTGATCAGGACGGGCTTCGGACGACTGTGACAAGTTGCGCGTCTTCTGTGCTGATCCCAGTATACCGTCGCGGCTGAAACTGGTCCTCGGTGCTTTAAGAGAGATGGGAGACTTTATTGCGGAACCATTGGGAATCGAACTGAGCTGCGGAGACGACACTTCAATGGAGAAGTTCTCTCTGGAAGGAAGCGGGAATGCCCTGCCTGAGGTGCTCGCGCCTCCAACAGAAAGAGGGGAGTCGCCCGTCGAGGACGGTGACATGTCGTGGGTTTGCAGACCGACCGTACTCAACGCCGTGATGGGCACCCTTAGGATAGGAACAAGCCGGTCGAGATAGTAATCCTATGCGACGCCCAGCCGGAAGTAAATGGCCTCTGCTTCAGCAACGCATTTATCCACGACGTTCCACGTGGAAAAGCAACATCGAAGATATGACGAAGGGAAGGAAGCAGCGCCAGAAAAAGCGTGGCCTGCAAGGCACCTCGTTATGTTTAAACGGACTCTGAAAACCCGGAGCATTGCAGTCCACCTCCTTGAATTACAGATTTCTAGGGCGAGGCAGAGGCGGCACATAGCGCACCTCCCACCCTTGTAGACCCCAACTCGTCACCTGGGGCATGAGTTCGTCAAACCCCAGAATAACTTCCCATCCCGGTATGGATGCACCCACTTGAAGGTCACCGAGTACAGGGGCCCTCGAAAGTAACCTCGTCTAATTGGAGCTCCAGGTGCTGAGGACCAGCGGTCGATTCTGAAGACGTACGGGGGACTTGTGACGACAGTAGGTTGTACTTCCTACTCGAGACGAATTTTCTGCTCCTGTGAGTTTTTCATCAGCAGACCGGCGGTGACTTGTCAGATGGCCAGTACAAAGTACAAATTGGCGGTGGGTCAAGACTCCGTATGATGGAGTAGTAACTAGGTGGGGGAGGGGTTGGAAATCCTCGTACGAAGCGAAGATCCGTTAGCTTTGGGATAGCGGGGAAATCGTATTCGCGCGTGTATTCGCGAAGACACTGGGGATCTTTGCTGTGAGCTCTCACTAGAGAGCACGCTTCTGTCTTTGGGAGGGCGCAAGTAAAGGCTCTAGTCTCTGGATAAGCCGCTACTTCAAGCTGAATTAATTGAAGTCCCAGATACCACAGGCGGATAGGATGGATCTGCGGTTCCTCAAGGCAGGACGGACAGGCCCCCCGGCTTCCGGATGAAAGGTAATATGAATCGTATGGTTCAGAGGCGTTCCTCAATCCTCAATGAGGCTAGGGCGACACGGGAAGTGATTACGTGGTGGGTATCTGGGCATGCAAATTCCAGAAATGGTGGTTGAAGTTACAGCGAAACTGCATGTTGAGGATGTATGAGTACTCGAGCTCAGACCCTTGCTTCCGCAGCAAATCTTTTTCGTCTTTGTTTTTGGGACACACTATAACTGTGCTGCGGACGTGGATATTGCTGACCTTGCGAATCTAATAGTGCTGTTGAGGTGTATTGTGGCGGCCGTTTATGGGGCCTCGCTACCGCCCAGTTGTGTCGCTGACGCTCTATGTAGGTAAGAGCATGTACGTACGAGCAACGCAAGTAGACTGCTTTTGAGCGGGGTGCATTATTGGGATCGCATAGAATCATTTGACAAATTTGGAGGTGGTGGTGAACTTTGACGAAGTCTGCTCACAATGCTCACAAGAGCCAGCCGGCGATCCTAGAGCCGAGTCCAGGTCCCCCGCAACAAATTGCACCCAAGAACTTCACAGCGACCTGAGAAAGCGTGGGCTTCTGGTGGGGAGATCGGACGTGGCCTGGGCCGAAGAGATCCGAAATGAAGACATGCCTTGTTGGCGTCCAGCAGAGTGGAAGCGAGAGTGTAAGAGAGCAGCAATTTCAAATTTTCTATATCTTGTTTGGCATAGCAAGCATTTGATCGCAGCATGGTTTGTGTTGGGGCAGAATCTGGCACTTGCCATCCGAACTCTGCACCCCACGTAAGATGAGCACCTGTGCGTTGCGGCTTCCTCGTAGTTGCTCGTGGGTCTTCGATCTCCAGACCTTCCCCAGTCTGGGGTTAGTGAAAGGTGGATTTATTGGCACTCCGCTGCTCATCACATCAACTTGGTCTTGTGTTAGCGAGCCGAACCGGTTTATCTGATCCGTGATTGACTTGCGAGTGTTCATCTTTCGACACCTTCCCTCTGGGCTTCAATATATAAGCCGTCAATCTTTCTGTCGCTTACTTGTTCCACCTTCCTATCTTGATATGAAGAATTGATACCAAGTCCTCTTGTTGTCATCACAGAACGCAAGCTGATGACAAGACACTCCGCAGTATCGTGCTTAAGGCGTAGATATTACAAAAACGGGGCCAAGTGTCTCGGTCCTTTCTTTCAGTCAGCACCTTGCAAGCAATCAGAGAGCTCTTTACCCACAAAGTGAGCCCGTTCCACGTTTCCGGCATGCCAGTAAGATTCAAAGGGGTGAAATATCCAAAATACATCATGCAGGTTGTCAACTTCCAACTGGATCTACCAACGTTCTGGGTCAGAACGCGGTCAGAGGGTATTTGCATGAAAGGGGGTTCTAACGGGCCGAATACTGGGTGAATGTGATTCGAAAACGTGGCAGCCCTGTGCGTTGCCTGCGTTTTGTAGGCCCGTAACAGACACCACCATTATATGAACCGGTATTACTACTTTTCTTCTCCGATGATCGACCACGAAGATCGCTTCTCAAACGTCTTTCCGGCCTTAGCACCGTCCTTAGCACCGTCCTGAGCTGGGGAAGGCTTTTTCTGCAGGGAAAGCTGGACTTGTCAGAAGGTTAATGAAACCTACTTGTTGATTTCACAGGGTCCAATTGAATTCTTCTTTACTCCTACCGGAATGAAGAATGGGGTCCTCATTTCGGAAATCCTGACATGAGACTGATAATTGCTGGGTTTTAGCGCTGGTGCAAATGGCCTGATCAACACGAGATAGTTGGCTGCACTATTCTTCATTTCTGGAGGGATAGGTAGGTTGCATACCAACCTAATAACTCCATAATCACTCGAGACCAGAGTGGAACCTGCTTACCTTTTGGGTTGACGGCACGTTTAATTACTCGTCAATGCCGTTCCAAACTTACAAGTAATACGGCTTGTCTGACAATATTCTGTGCCGTCCCAAATGTTGCTATCCATAGGTAGTGGGAATCGAATCCCGCGGTAACTTATTAATAATCAGGCATTTGGTGACCGGCGGGTCCATTAAGGACCTCGCTACAGGTGTTTGGGCCTCTTCCTTCGCCAGAATGACTTTAATCCCTATCAGACGAAGCCCGAATACGGTCAATTTATCTAGTTTGTGCCATATCCGAGAACTGATCCTTATTCACACTATCCGGATGGTTGACCAAGAGACAGGACTTGTTGGCACCGAGCACATCCCCTTTGAAAAGCCTACACGGAATTATAACACCTGAGACAGCCCGTAAGGCTTTAGACACGGTGCCCCAGAAATTCAGGTCAGAGTTCAGACACTGGCACCGCGCCTCAAGAGAACCTAACTACGGTCGAACTCCACAACCAACAACAGGTAACACACTCCCTTATGGATCGTGACCAGAGTCAGTTAGCATAGTGAACTGATATATGACAAGATGACGGCCATTCATAGGTCCGCTTTGATCTGAAAGCGGCACAGCCGCGCTATACCCATCAAGGCCAGTCCCAGAAATCAAATATGCCCATGGCATGACCAAAGTCCACAGAAGCAGCAGCATACGAATAAAGGGATCCCTTTCTGGGACCGGCCGCGCGAGCTCCTTCTCTGTATGCGTAGCACTAAAGCAGCCTTGGTGGGTTTTCTCCCTTCCGTACCCTAGGATCCAGGGTTTCCACTAGCAGCAAAATGGCAACACGGCTCGTGGTTACTTGTCTCTAAGGGGACCAATATTGGCACTCGGTACTGGAGAGAAGACCCCCAGCGCTCAGCTCGTCAACAGGCAGTTAGCTGCTGTATCGGTCTGGCCGCCTGGAGCAAGCGACTATCTGATTGGGATGCTGAAATCCAGTAACTTGAACGAATAATATTGAGGCAACCTTACTCTTACGACAGTGCTTGACGTCAACAAGACCTTGGTTCCGTTCGAAGTTCTCGACATCATCACGCACTAAGAACATGACAAGAACAGGACGCAATATAAATTTTTGGCACAGTCCAGCGGCCGCAGTCGATCTCCCAATCCGCACGCTTCTGTTATGGGGCAGGCAACGACCAGCGCACGCAATACTGCCGTCACTACCCTACCATCAATCCTCACTCGCCCAACATTCGGGATGTTTTTTGGAAAATCATGCAGAAACTCGCATAGCGTAACCTGAGCTAGATCAGGAGTAGAAACTATGAATGCCGATGAATGGGATCTCGTACTGGGTTAGGCCAGACTGCAAAGCTTCTTTCTATATTGAACTAATTGGCCACTATTGAGCGGCAGATCAAGGTCACACTACGCTCCGTTTGTTTTCTGGCTTACGGACATATTCCATACATATCCACAAGGAGGAATTCGCCAATTGAACACGAACAAAAATACTCACTTCAGGTTACAGCATCCCATCTTCCCCGAGAAGAATTCTATTTTCGTCATATTAACTACGCTGTGGCACCTCTCCATATTGCGCCGCGCAGCTGTCATCCCTCTCTTCGGCCTATGAGAGCTTGATGCTGTGTTCCTCGCTTCTGCAAACAACATAATTCCTCTGCAATTTATATAGACAAGGCAATATCGCAGAACCCCGCAAGCATGACCAAACATCCCGTCGCAGGCTGAAGGGTTACCAAGATTTGCGCCAGCTGATCAGGTTGAGGCTCTGGGCGTTGGAGTCGTCAGGGTTGTGATTATGCAACAGGTCAAATGAGTATGTCTTGATATACGAGCCCGTCTCTGGAACTGTTTTCCTCAGGACCTCGCTCGCTTATCCAAAAATATGGACATGTGCAGCAAAATGCCCTTTCGTTATCTTGTTTTTCTGCGATGTCGCAGGCCGAATAAAAGGCCCCCACCCCCCCTCCCCCGGTCAGGTAATTGCAAGGGCTAAATACGTCGATTTTGGCCTGGCAGCTGCCAGGCTCACCGTGCTGAAGACTTGACAGTGGGTCATTTCATTTCCTTTCAGACCTTGCATTTTCATCTCAAGTCTAAAATATGGGGTACATAGGTCCAGAACTTGGTATCCTGGTTCTACTCATCGAAGATTACGGCAGTCACCTCCCCCGCAATGTCAGCACTGGCCAAGAAGTTGCCGAGCAACCCAGTTTGGACATCTCGCTTGACCACCACGACGCGGCCATCCGACTGCAGGCCAATGGCAACCATATCACCAGCCTTGTTGATGGAGAATTGGCGGGGAATCCGCCCTCCAGATGGTGCTGTCTGCACGTGGGTCAGCCCCCCCGTCGCATGATCTAATGAGAATGATATGATGGCATCTGAAATGATCTCTGTGCTGTTGGTGGGATCGAAGTTGGGAATGGTGAAGGAGTTTTCCCCGCGGGAAGACACAACGAGAAATTTCTCATCCGGCTGCAATGACTGGTTAGTAGAGCGGCCTACGCACGGGTCTGAGGGGATTCTTCTCGAGGTCACTCACTGATAACTCGATCTCGGCGGCGGTAGTGCCCTTGGGAACAGTTTCCCCTTCACCGTGTGTGTTGATGGCAAAAAGTTCAACAAAGCTCAAGGTCGAGTTGCTATTGTACACAACTTCGTAACCAGTGATGGTATTGGCCAGTTCACCGACAAGATACATGAACGTCTTCTCGTCCGTAGCAAGGAAAGCGGCATGTCTCGGTCCAGTTCCGGGAACTGTGACAAGGGGGTCGACCGATGTCCATTCGAGGCCGCCTTCCTCGACCTTGAAGATGCGGACAAGATCAGCCCCCAAGTCTGGTACCAAAATGTAGTCGCCGGTGGGGTCCAAAAGGGCTTCATGCGGATGGGAAGCCTCTTGGCGCGAGGGGTTAGACCCTGGTTGCGAAAGCTTGTACGTCTCGCTTTGCAATACAGTCAAAGCTGCTGCGTCCGCGATCGAGAGGGTGGTGAAGGAGGAGCCTCCACTAATCATATTAGTCAGATATGGTCAATCGTAGTGAATCCCCCTGAGAGTTGTTGACCGGTCTAGTTGAACATAGCCACAGATGTGTCAAATGTTCACCTAACCGCTATCTCGTGTAAGAGTAATCCCAGATGGTCAGCTCAGACTTACTATTGCGCCAAAGCCAATCCGTCTCCACCCTCGCCGTAAATAACAGCACTAACAGGGCCAGAAATCACGTCAATCTTGTCCAGCTGGACCAGACTTCCATCGTCACTGGTTTGGAAAGACGAGACGGTACCGTTGGGTGTCGTCAACCCCTCATCTGTGCAGTAAAGACGCGAGTTGGGGTAGTCGAGGGTGAGCCACGCGGGACTGGGGGCGCAGCCATCCGACGTTGAAATGGCTTCGAGTGTGGCAGACGATGCGTTGCCGCTAGGAATCGTCAGGCTTAGCGTGGTGATGGTACCGGCATAGGAAGACACGTAAAGGAGGGCGGCAGAGGACGGTACTACTGCCAAGGAGAGTGACAACAGCCCTACTGGGATCATGTCTTTCAACATCGTGACTCGATTACCAGACGACGGCAGAATAACACCTCGATGGAAAAAGATCGAAATAAGGAAGAGGAAGAAGAAGAGGCTCCCGGTGACAGTTGTTAAAACAAATCCCGCTGATCTATTTCGAAAGCCCAGAAACGCCATACTGAACTGCTTCTCCGTCGGCCGGGATCATGATCATCACAGTTTACTTGGCACCACTTTAGCAGACACTTGCCCAGCACCGAATTAGGAAAGCAGCTCCCCTAGTATGACTTTAACCGGTGTTGCGATGATTTGCTTCGCACCCTAGTCCGGTACTTTTCGAGAGATGTGGAGGGAGGCACTTGGAGCGATGTCGCTTGTTCAGCTTGCAGCTCTGCCAGGCGTGCTTTTTGATCCCTTCGTCTGATGTCAGTTTCTGCCGCTGATAGCGAAGGTGGTGAAGGGGGATTCTTTTCCTACAGCCCACTCCAGGCCATGTTCTGGCTCCGAGACCACGCTGTTAATCACGCAGGTGTGTAGCACCGTTGATTACACCTCCGATGATGGAGTGATTGGGCAGATGACGAGCTGTACCGTAGGAAAACGTTGGGTGGTGAAACAGTTGCAGATGCAAAATTGGCAGACGAGTTCCCATCCCAAGCAGTGAGGCGGGGTGGAAACGTTGGAGCTCTAGCTCGCGACGACAGGGGTGTGCAATTGGGGTACAGAATGCATAATCGCTTACCCTCTTTCATCATCAGTTGCCGTTCTTTTAATTTTTTTACGCCAAATGGTTGTGTCAGATACATACACTTCCAAGTATGCAAGTCTTGGCCACGGGAATAACTCCTCATTTGGTGCGAACTACTGATTCGGTGGGTATCAAGAACCTTTGCGACAATCGCACGCTCCGATACGGCGCCGAGATTCTCGCAACGAGGGAGCAAACCAGAGCGATAATTTGATGCTCAGGGGGTCACAGAACGGCGGGCCGAATCACCAACGTGCGTTCGTGCATACCATATTCGCACGTTCTGGTGTTGAGATCGCCTGCTACAAATCGAGGCCTCGGACCCGAAGGCACGTTGCGAGAAATTGATCATTTCGGGAAACCCATCTGTTGGAGCGCCGCTACTTAACCTCCGATGCTGGAGTCAACTGGCTTCACTAGCATTCTACTTCTGGGTTCAGTATATTCAAGATGGATTCACAGAATCCATCTTAAGAAGCAACTGAGCCTCATTTAGCCGAGGGACTAATGAAACCTTAGTCGTCTCTCCACTTAAAGGCATTATAAGTCGTATGGAAGAGTGACGAAAACATAATATCCACGTCTACTCCGACCAAAGCCAGTTCGACGAGCCCGTTTTTCTACCCCCAAATACCGTGTACTCGCGACTTGTGTACAGGATCACGCCCCCTCATTCATAATTACTCCAGTAGAAAAGAATAATTGTGATCCGGTCAGGAGTAGATTGCAACTTGACCGGATCACCAAGGTTAGAGTATTTCTCACACGTGGAGTGGAGACGTCTAACCGCATTGACCACCTTTTTGCATGCACCCCCATTTTGCAGGGAATTTCTACGCCTCAACAACACGACGTCTCTCAATTTACCTCGCAATTGCTCCCTATCTACGTACAAAATGGCTAATCCAGTGGAGAATAGTCTGGACGATTTTGAGCAGCGAATCGAACGCGCTAAAGAGCTTGTCCGTCAGGGCTCTTCCCAGGCCGTAGCAGCTCATCGGTACGGTATCAAGGGGACTACACTGTCCTACCGTATTCGTCACGGTAATTCGCATCGCGACGCCGCCTCCAGGCAACAAAAGTTGACTCCAGAGCAAGAGGAGGTTATCGTGAACTGGATCCTCACGAAGAAGTGTGTGTACGGGCTCCTAGCAAGCGTTATGTGGCCGACTTCGCTGCCGAAATCCTCCTTGCTCAAGGGGATAATACACTCGGCCAACACTGGGTGGATCACTTCGTTAGCCGCCATCCACAGATACGTACCAAAATTGGGCGCGTCATAGATGCTAGCCGAGTTAGAGCGTCCGATTCGAACAAGATCCGAGACTTCTACACCCTCCTCGAACGCTTACGTACGAAGTTAGATCAGGTTTTTCTCCCCGAGACGAAGCCTAGGGGTACCGAATGGCGACTCCTTATCCTCGACGGCCACCAGACATATATTCATGCCGAATTTATGTGGAAAGCCTACTCGAATAGAGTCGCCGTGCTGTATTTACCCTCACACTGCAGTGACGATCTCCAGCCGTGCGATGTCGGGCCGTTCTCACCTTTGAAGACCTACTACCGCCAAGAGCTCAGGGCTTACGCTTCCTACAAGGCTACAGCCCCAATTTACAAGCAACGTATGCTAGAAGCATATCTACGTGCCTCGGAGAGAGCCTTTACTACGGAAAATATTAAATTTGGCTGGCGGAAGACTGGTATATGGCCCCTAGGCTCCGAAGGACTAGTCGACATATCTTGTGATCCTCCGCCTCATATATCACCACCTTTAGTTGCTTTTACTCCTCAGAAAGCGCAGCAACTATCTAGCCAACTACAGTCGATAGAGAAAGCCGAGGGCGGGGTATCTCGTAAGATTCGTACCCTAGTAGGCAAGGCGGGCAAGGCCCTTACACTCCAGGCCGCCGAGAATGCCAAATTACGTATCGAAAACGAGCAACTATATAAGGAACTCGATAAATACGCTCCAGATATACGCCAGCCCGTCGAGCCAGACCCGAATAAAGTATTCGTTAACTTATCAGCGATCCGAACAGCCCAGGACAAGCGAAATAAGCGAATACGGCCTATTTTACCGGATAAGCAGTTAGAAATTGATACTTTTCTCGAAGGGAGGGTCCCTCCTAAAAAGAGAACTCGAAAGAATATATCTAAGTCTTCGGACACTTAAATTAAGTATGTTCTCTAAATAAATAATATGGACGAAGTATTTAGGTTGATTCAGTTAGACCCTGCAAAATGGGGGTGCATGCAAAAAGGTGGTCAATGCGGTTAGAATCTATGTGAGACCTCCTGACAACTCCTGCTTCTGCACGCCAACAAGTACCTGCACTCGAACCTGGCCTTCCTAGGAAACAAGGCTATTGTGTGAGCATCCTCTTTCAGTGTGCAACCGGGGCACCGCTCTTGTCTCTGCCATAAGCGTCCGCTATTCTCCTCGCGACTAATTCGCCACTCCAGTAGGCCCCGGTTGCCGTTCCCAATGCCACAAACGGCGCCGTATGTTCGCCCGCCATCCAGAGACCCCGGTCTGGAAGTCCTTCTCGCATCGTCTCAATGTCCTTGTCTCCTTCCTCTAGTCCGACTTGAAAATTACCATAACTCCCATTCCCGGCCAACTCGTCGTGTAACCAGTCGGTTGAGAAGCAACCGGTGGGCTGGCAGTCAGATGAAAATTCATCATAGTTTGGAAGGCGTGAGTAGTACGGTCGAAACCAGTCGTACAGAAAGGCGTCCTTCTTCTCCTTGGTAAGCAGCTTCGCAACCTCGTCAGTGAGGTAACGAGATTGGTCGCCGTAAATGTAGAAGAGCAAGGTAGGATGAGATACTGATGGATGCAGCGAAGCGAGTTCTACAATTTCCTGGTGCCATCCCTTAGGGTTTGACTGCGGGGCGTATTTGGGTGCAATCCATTGACAGAACCCCTGGATGGTGCGGTCCCGGGCATCCGGAACGGTCCAAAATGCCCTGGGGAAGCTGATGTAGACCTGGACACCATGAGAAAAAAAAACAAGAAAAAAGAAGAGGGCAGAATGGAATCATGAGATTGGCACCTACCTTCTCGAGACAGCCATAGCTAATGCTGTTGATTGCTTTGGTCAGCCTTGTTGTCAGCGGTGGACTGAATGCTTCGGGGTGCCGCTTCAGCCAGCCTAAAGGTGCTGTCATGACCACTTCATCAAACTCTAGTGTCTCGCCGCTATCGGTGAGGACCGTAAGTTTGTTATCATCGGCGGTGGCCTTGACCTTGTTGACCTTCGTTGAGTATTTGATGTTTGCGCTGTCAACTGCTGGTTTTGCGATCAATTGAAGGATTTTCTGGTATGTTCCGGCGCAAAAAAGATTCTCTAGGTAAGTCGATCAGTACATATTTGGCTGATGTTGAATATTGGGCAATTGTAGGCACTTTGGTGAATTGAGTACGGTGGGAGACCATCGCATCTAGATTTCAGCACTAAGATGCGCAGATGAAAACTGACCTCCTTCAATGCACTCCTCTAGCCAAAAGAACTTGAGGCTTTGGTTGCGAATCGGGCTGCCGACAAAAGCTCCCCACATTTCAGCCATCTGAAACACGACTTCGCGCTTCTTCTCGAAGTCCGGCTGGGTGCTTGGAATTCTCCCTGGGACTTCTCTTTGGAAGAAGTCCCAGAGACTCTCATCGGGGGATATTGTGGCACAGTTCTTGTTGCTGTGTCTGAAAGCATCCTGGACGACATTCCACATGATGGTCGAATGTGTCTCCGCTTCTGGCACGTCAAGGAGCCTCCCTGACTGATCGAAGACATCTGCCTTGTCGTCCCAGGTACCGACGACCGTATCGGTCTGTTTCGCAAGGTCCAAAATAGGATTATCATTCGTGCCATGAATCCAATTTGGGCCAACATCAATAAGATGACCTTAAGTCTCCAAGTCAGCAAGCTATCCCAACACTCATGCCTTCATTGGGCAACGATCTTCTGCGTCGATGATACGTTCCGGCGCTGATCTACCGTACGACCCCCAATTCGTCAAATGCGCTGATGCGCATGTGGTTTTGTGAATGGGTGCAATACCCGGAAACAGGCTTGGATAGGGAGGGCACTGACCACAAGGTAGCTTTTCTTGATGCACTCGGCCACCTAACCGATTCCTGGCCTCCAACAGCGTTACTATAAATCCGCGCTGGAGGAGCACGTCTGCACAGCGCAGCCCCGCGAGCCCTGCCCCGACAATGGCGACATGAGGTCTATGGCTGAAGTCTCTTGATCGGCACTATGATGTAGTCAGCACAGACGGATACTCGACTAAAGCCGCCAAAGAAACTGCTCGTTTGACCGATAAGGTCAAGATGAATATAAGGTGTCCCTCGGATTGAAACCGGTTACAAGTATGGCTTATCAAGCAAAGCGGCGGGGAGATAGTGGAGTCCATACCTTTCTAGGTGCCAAGCTGAGATGCCCGGACATTGAGTCAGAGTTCAACTCCACAACACTATGATGAAGTCGACAGCTCTTGAGGTCTTGCCATATGCGAGATGTACTGCGGTGCGAGGTGCTAACGGATATTGAGTAAGCGTCCATTCTGATGTTTTAGGTTTCTACGGTTCTCAAGGAATAGGTGGTAATTTCAAGCGTGTAAGCTATGGATAAAGTATGAATTCGGGAAATGAGCGTCTTATGGACAATGGCCAATGCTTCCGGGGTGTCTCTTGAGAGTAGTTTTGACAAATCAGATATCGCCCATGTGAGTAGTAGAATTGTGAATAGAGGATAACGAAGTGGCTCCAAGCCAAGGGTAATTATAAGTCGGGTGAAGTCGAATCAAGGTAATTTATCACCGGCACTTGTCAGGTGGACGGGGGTAAATGATCCAGATTACAAACAACGTCGGTTCGAGGAATAGCAACCAGTGAGTATAGGGAAGTGACGTTCTGATGATAAATGCCCATTGCTGCCGTCTTGATGAACATACATATACGGGATAGATCCGGACAGGGAATACAATAAAATGTAATAATAAAAAGAAAGGGCCGATGAACTCAGTTCCTCAGACTAGGAAGGTGTAAAGAGCATCTGGGCCGGATCCTGTGGAATGGGAAGCCTTACGTCTGTTGCGCCTGTCAGTTGGAGAGGCAATATGGACATGCCCAAGGTTCTGACCGATAAAGATAGCGCTGCTGCCACGAGACGAAATCATTGGTTGCGCACGATTCAGGCTCTCTCTCTTCAGTGACTCTCAGGTCTAGCCCCCCGCTGAGTGGAATGTGGGACACGAGCTTGAGCTAGAGCGATGTTCATGATATGGGAAATATTTCACTTACCACGAGTATGTTGTGCTGGTGACGAATAGGAAATTCCGAGGCATTAGACACGACACTGCCAAGAGCCAGCGTCGAGACAGTGAGAATAAGAGTCTCTACTCGGCCAAAGCCATTACACTTGGGGTAGGTAGTTTGCGTTATTGCAAGTCCTACCCCACTCCGAAGACACAATCGCACTACCCGTGCCACGCCCCACCTTTTTTGATTTCGCCGAAGCTCACCAACTAAAGTTGGTGCTGGACACCAAGTTCGCCAGGACACCAAGTACGCCAGATTTCGCAAACATCCATCATTACACTACCATTTAACCACCAAAACGACGAAATTTTCGAGCTCGCGATGGCTTCACGTCTGTACGATGCCGTTCAATACGCCCTAGAACATCCGGAAGCCCCAAAAACGAGGGTGGCAGCTGCTTTCAAAGTCAAACGCGAAACCCTCCGCGATCGCGTCAATCGCCCTACAGACACCAAACAGCACGGCGGCAACAACAAGACCTTTACCAAAGCCGAAGAAAAGGCTCTTTGCAACTACATTGATCGGCTTGATCGAATCAATCTGGCTGTTCGCCCGGAGTTTGTTACAGAAGCTGCCAATCTGATCCTTTTGAAGCGGCTTCGGGCAACGGATAGCGAAGGCCGGCCGATTGAAATCCCTACAGTCGGTACGAAATGGACCACGCGCTTTCTAAAGCGTCATGGATACTTCCATCGAACGCAAAAACAGCTTCAAGCTGAACGTCAATCTGCTGAGGACGTCGAGTCTATAACGCTCTATTACGAACGGCTTCGGACGGTTATTCTAGAAAACGGGATTGGCCCTAATGATACCTGGAATATGGATGGAACTGGGTTCCGGATCGGAGTAGGCAAGAATCAGCTAATCGTAACCAAGCGGAAACGCGCTCACTACTTCGGCTTGCCAGAAAATAGGGAATCTGCTACTATTATCGAAACTATCTCTGCTGGCGGCGCTTCTATCCCGGCATTTATCATCCTTCAAGCAACTGTTCATATGGCTCAATGGTACCAACAGCCTCCACCCCGAAACGAAGATATGCCCAGTCGATACTGGGTATCCAAATGATGAGGTCTGCTTAGAGTGGTTAAAGCATTTCGAATACCAATCCAGAAAGTCGCAAAAGGGCCGTCGCCGTTTATTAATTATAGATGGCCACGGTTCACATCATACGAAGCAATTCATCCAGTTCTGCGAAGATCACGATATTATCCCCTTTGGATTGCCACCTCACCTTACCCATCTTTTGCAACCGCTAGACGTAGTGGTTTTTCAACCGTACAAACACTACCACGCAAAAGCGCTAGATCTGCTGGTTCGTGATGGCGTTCAGAACATCTCCAAACTGGAGTTTTTGTCAATTATCGAAAACGTACGCAAGTCTACTTTCAAGAGAAGTACTATCGAATCGGCCTTCCGAAAAACTGGCATCTATCCATTCAATCCTACCCTAGTTTTGCAGGAGGTCTATGAACGGCAAGCCAAAACACCTACACCATCACCACCACCTCATTCTTCCTCTATCGATAATACTCCGACTACTCTACGACAAATTCACAAAGTAGCTGTACATATCGAGAACTCCCTTTCGGACCCTGAGCTTGGTCTTAGCCCCGAATTCGCCACCAAGCTAAATCGGTTTATCAAAGGGTCCCTGATCAACGCTACGGAGCTGGTCCAAGTTAAACGGGATCTTGGCCGCACCAAATACGCCGAACGAGTTGCAAAACAGCGCCGATCAATGAAGAACTATCAACTTCAATCCGGAGGAGTTTTATCTGTTTCAGAAGGCCGGGAAATGGTCAAAAAAAAGGTTGAAAGTGAAGTCGTCAAGGCACAACGGATTTTGGATAGCCATAACGAACGTATAAAAAAGACCGCCAAGAAGGCCTTTTCAGAAGCAGCCAAAAAGTCCAGGCAATGGCGAAAAGATGGCAATTTGAAGCCAGCAGAGATTGTAACTACAGGTGGTGTGGTTAAGCAGCTACGTCGATTTTAGTTAATAGCAGCTATTTTTGCGAAATCTGGCGTACTTGGTGTCCTGGCGAACTTGGTGTCCAGCACCAACTTTAGTTGGTGAGCTTCGGCGAAATCAAAAAAGGTGGGGCGTGGCACAGGTAAGCCAAATCGCGCTGAGGGCCCTTCGGGTGTTGCCGAGTGTGCCTTCTAGTTGCACAACTCGAACATTCATTATTTGAACCTATTCACACACAACACTTGCAAAATGGCTCCTTGCGAGTCTTCTCATCCTGTTGATGCGGGATTCCTTGGGCGCTTGTGGATGTTTAGATCCACATCACCAGATCCCCTGTCCAGATTCCCCGATCCCCAGATTCCCCGATCCCCAGATTCATGATGGACCGGAGTGCCGCGCTTGGCAGCCAAGGCCCATGGCGGCCACTGGAGAGCAACGACAGGTGTTTATCTCGACAAATACCTGTGACAGAATCTGGCATACTGCTGATTGTAACTGATATCTTCCGCTGTATGTGCAGTCCTGGCCAGGTGATCATGAATTCAGCGTGCGTTAGTAATATATGGATGCGGGACGATGTTGAGGACTTCAAGACGGAACAATCAACACCTGTTTTTCGAACCCCTTTCTACTAGTATACAAGCTCGATAGCACCCTTATCAATAAGTCACAGGCAACTTTTATAGGCAGACCTTCGAGCCTCGAAATGGGTTTCCAACTTTACTTAAAAGAGCGGATGCTTGCCCCTGTTTCCGGGGGCACGTGTCGTGTCCCCTTCCCAGAGCTTCACATGCGAAAGCCGTCACTCGAACCCAGCCAATCAGAGCGAATGACATGTAATCTAGTCCACTAGGGGGCTGGATTTCCCCACATCGACGAGCCGAGGCAACCACTGAAATCCACTGTAATTGGTGCTGACGGTATTGGGATGGTAACCCCAAGAGCCGGCTTTGAGCTCTCAAGCTCAAACAGGCTACCGGTGTACTTATTCTCCAGCATCTAATCCCGATGTTAGCTTACTCGTGTGTCACGCGCCAGTGTCGCAAGCTTCCACGGTTCCATAAGAGCTGATGTCTGCTGCTTTTGCTGAAGTAGCGGTTGTTTACCACTGTACTTCTCCATCGTGTAGTTCTTGACAGAGTAGAGGAGCTTCTGTTCGGTCTTTGTATTGACTAGCCTCTTGACGATCCGATACCAGTCCAAACACCAACTAAACAAGTACCGCTCTCTTCGTAAACATGACGCAGACGTTCTCCCGCGATGATGTCGCTAAGCATAACACTGAAGACTCTCTGTGGTTCGTCATCGATGCCAAGGTCTACGATGTCAGCGAGTTCGTTGACGCCCATCCCGGAGGAGAGGCGGTTCTTCGTCAAGTTGCTGGTAAGTGCTCACTAGTGACGTAAAGAGAAATCGAATCTCTATCCCCACATGGAAGATGGAAGATGGATGGTCGCTGAACCCGTAGCAAAGGCACCGATGCGACTGTTGCATTCTACAACCTCCACCGACACGAGGTCCTCACCAAATATGAAGACCTCTGCATAGGGACGCTCCAAGGCGAGAAGTCCCAGGTCATTACGCCGCAGCCCGGCGATCTCTCCACTGTCCCATACGCAGAGCCCCTGTGGCTTACACCCCCGTTCAAGAATCCGTACTACAACGACAGCCATCGTCGTCTGCAAAAGGCTATGCGCGTGTTCACGGACAAGTACATCACGCCCGAAGCTCAGGCTCGCGAGAAGGATGGCCAATACATCAGCCAGGAGCTCATCGACCGCATGTCAAAAGAGGGCATCCTGCATATGCGCATGGGGCCCGGCAAGCACCTCCACGGGGTCGAGTTGCTGGGTGACGCCGTGAAAGGAGAGGAGTTTGACTACTTCCATGACTTGATCATGGGCCAGGAGGGGGTACGAGCCAACGCTCGTGGTTTCCAAGACGGCAACATGGCAGGCATGGTCATAGGCTTGTCGGCGGTTATGAATTTTATGAAGGACCAAAAGCGGAAGAAGGCAATCATGGACGAGGTGTTTAGTGGCAAGAAGAAGATATGTTTGGCCATCACCGAGGCCTTTGCTGGCTCTGATGTGGCGGGTCTGCGAACAACGGCCACAAAAACCGCTGATGGCAAGCACTACATCGTCAACGGCACCAAAAAGGTACCCTGCTTCACTTCATTCTGAAAATTTGTCAATGGCATTACTAACTCACATGGATTTTCTTCAGTGGATCACGAACGGTGTCTTCAGCGATTACTTCGTCACTGGGGTCAAGACAGACAAGGGTCTCAGTGTGCTGCTCATTGAAAGGGGGGAAGGCGTCGAGACCAAGCCTATCAAGACCTCATACTCCCCGGCGGCCGGAACGACGTATATCACCTACGATAACGTTAAAGTACCTGTTGAAAACCTCCTGGGCGAAGAAAATCGCGGTATCTACGTTATCTTGTCGAACTTCAATCATGAGCGATGGACCATGGTTTGTAAGTTTTTGCCCGTCCTGTAATGCGGCCTGTTGCCATGCCCGGGTGCTGATAATTCATTGACAGGCGGAACCACGCGGATGATGAGAACTGTAGTTGAGGAGTGAGTTACTCTCTGAGTCCTATTTCCCCTTATTTGTCGTGTTTCAGGGGTAGTTCAACAACCTACGAAAGGCTGTCTCACCTCTTAAAATATGATGCTACCCTTCGAAGACGATACTCGAGTAGCAATTACTGACTCGGAGGGTTGAAAGGTGTCTGAAATGGTGCCACCAGCGTATAGTCTTCGGCAAGCGGCTTATTGACCAGCCCGTCATAAGACAGAAGCTGGCCAAGATGATTGCCCTCACTGAATCTCACCAGTCGTGGCTCGAGACCATCACATATCAAATGTGCAATATGGCATACAAGGATCAGGCCACCTACCTGGGCGGACCAATTGGCCTCCTGAAGATGAGCGCCACCCGGGCCGCTCATGAGGTTGCGGACGAGTCGGTGCAGATCTTTGGAGGTAGGGGACTGACCCAATCGGGTATGGGCAGTGTCATTGAGATGTTCCATCGCACGTACAAGTTTGACGCCATCCTTGGAGGCGCTGAGGAAGTCCTTGGCGATTTGGGGGTGAGACAGGCGATGAGGATGATGCCGAAGGCTATGTTGTAGAACCTGCGTGTAGAATCGTATGTACATGGAAATTCTGTATAGAAAGAATTGATGAAGTCCTCGGGATAGGTTCACACCAGCAACTAATGGCTCCTCATCTGACCCCAAGTGTTACCAAAATGGGGTTCTTGGATTTCTAGTTCAAGCGCTATGGGCTATGGGTGAAGATAAATGGCATGTCCGCATTCGTAAGTCATCCATATGAGGTATGCACTCGCAACGTTCATTGATTATCACCGATTATCAGAGACGGGAGCTCATACAGAGTAGGATAAATAACGCGCTCTGAGAAAAGGGAAATTGGGTTTTCCATATAACGTGGTTTAACACCGAGTCGCGCATATCACCGAGTCACGCACTTTTTCAACTTTTCCAACCTTTTGACTTCAACACTTATTTCCTCAACAACAACACCATGTCAGTTCAAACCCAAGAAGCCAAAATCAACCTTGCCATCGAAGCTATCCGATCGACCAAAAATATGAGCCAACATCGAGCAGCAAAGCTATACGGTGTACCCGAGTCCTCACTCCGTGACAGAATCCACGGTCGCACCCCACGTACCGAAATCTGGCCGAATAGCGCACTACTCGCCAAGATAGAGGAAAGAGCTATTGTTCAGCATGTACTTGACCTAGATTTTAGAGGGTTTCCTCCCCGGCTAGAGGGTGTGGAAGATATGGCCAATTCCATTCTTGCGACGCGGGGTACCCGACGCGTCGGCAAGCTCTGGGCGCATCGCTTTGTAAAGCGAACCCCAGAGTTACAGACGCGTTTTTCTCGCTCGTATGACTTCCAGAGGGCCCTCTGCGAGGATCCAAAGATTATTGAGGACTGGTTCTGGCTTGTATCGAATATGAGGGCCAAATACGGGATCCAGGACTGCGATATGTGGAACTTCGACGAGACGGGCTTTATGATGGGCGTTATTCAACGCTCGATGGTCGTTACCTCGTCTGAACGTAATGGTAGAGGCAAGAAGGTCCAGCCAGGTAACCGGGAATGGGCCACGACGATTACCTGTGTCCATTCGGAGGGTCGCGACATCCCGCCATTTCTGGTAATTCAAGGGAACTATCACCTTGCTAATTGGTATACTGAGGGGGACCTACCAGCCGATTGGGTAGTCAAACCGACCGAAAACGGGTGGACGAACAACTAGACTGGTCTAGACTGGATCAAACATTTCAACAAGCACACTATCTCGACCAAAAGAGGCGTGTATCGGCTGTTAGTATTGGACGGGCATGAGAGTCATACATCGGCCGATTTCGAGTCTTATTGCAAGTCTAACGGCATTATTACTATCAGTCTGCCCCCGCACTCGTCTCATCTAACCCAGCCACTTGATGTCGGGTGCTTTGGGGTCTTGAAACGTATATACGGTCGAGAGATTGATATATTTATCAAGTCCCATATTAACCACATTACTAAGGTCGAGTTCTTTATCGCCTTTAAGGAGGCTTATTTAAAGGCAATAACCGACAAAAACATCAAGGCAGGGTTTCGAGGGGCCGGCCTAGTCCCCCACGACCCTGAAGCCGTTATCTCGAAGCTGGATGTTAGGATTCGGTCGCCTACACCCGTTAGCCCCTCTCTTCTAGATGCTGACCCTTGGGTTTCGCAAACGCCAAATAACCCGACAGAGGCTCTCTCGCAGTCCTATTTTGTCAATCGCCGAATCGCCAGACATTAGGGAAGCTCTCCGACCCCAACTTTTGATGCTGTTGGCCACCTTGCGAAGGGTATAACTCGATTAGCCCATGAGAATACCCTCTTGAAGGCTGAGTGCTCCACCCTTCGCAAGGCAAATGAGGCACTAAGCAAGCGTCGGAGGGCAAAAAGATCGCGTGTCCGGCAAGGAGGTGCACTTACTGTCGAGGATGCCCTGGACATTTTGGCCCGGAAGGACGCGGAGGCCCAGGTAAAGGAGGACAAGCGCTCTAGGGGGGGTAAAGAAAAGGCTGGTCCGTCGACTGTACGACGATGTAGTAAGTGTAAGAAGACCGGACATAATGTAAATAATTGTCAGGTCGAACTATAATTGTCAGACGTATGTAGCTCTGAATAAATTTCAATAAACTTTAGTCTGTTGTGGCTTTTTAATTGAACTTGAAATTATAGTGTGGTAAAAGTGCGCGACTCGGTGATATGCGCGACTCGGTGTTAAACCACGTTATAGCTTTTTCATCATGACATAATTTGCAGGTCCGATGTCGTTACTCACTACGCGCCTTTTATTTCCATCGTCACTCAGAGCGCAAAGAATATCGAGCTACTCAAAAGCTGAGCTCTTGTATGGTTTCTATATAGAGAGTGATTCACACACCGTGTGTTCTCAGTGCTGATTATTTCTCAAACATAAAGAACCTGTGGCAAAGTAAATAGCAGCAAAATATCCATGTCGCTGAGAAATCAAGTAGCGAAACTGCAGTGTGCTCTGTTTACGACCGTATACTTTCAATATGATGTACTTGGGTTTATGGACTTTACGGTCCTTACAACTATGGAAGAGAGTGACGAGAACATTTTAAGCCTCCGGTTCTGACTTAGGTTGCTGATTCATGAGGTTTCGGGAGAGTGCACATTGCAGATGCCCACATTCGCAGTTAGTGGTGTAACTCGGTCCCAGCGTACTGGCGACGAGATGACTACCGTCAACTAGTAGTGGACTGATGATGAAGATCTGCACTGCTCATAAATATCAGAAATGCATAACCATTTGCGATTTTCCATAACCTAAATACATTATCAACCTGGGTACAATGTATAGCGCATCTTGGCTTATGTTGACGCATCCAGCAACCAATAGATACCACTACTCATCAATCCGTAAGAAAAAACGATCCCCCAATTCATGTAATGTGCCAAGACATCAATTCAAGACTTGCCAATAAGGGAAGGCTGTTGCAGGAATGAGCACCAAAAACTCTCCAGTCTAGAAACGAATCATTTAGACCCCTATATTCCGGTTCTTGACCAAAGGAAATCGACGTCGTCCATTCACGATCATATCATGATTCTGCTTTATCGGCATCTGGGGCACTCCGCACTCTATGTCGTTGAAGTATCGCGTCGGGTCTCCCACAGGGTGCGTATTTCGCCGACTCCCGCCACACTCCTCGCAAACAAACCAAACCACTTCTTCGGCTGGAGCTCGTGGACTTGGTCGTTTTGCAATTGGTGATCTGGATGCGGCTGTTGCATCCGATAACAGAGAAAACGATATGCCCTGTGTTCTTTCACTACCAGCCGCCATTGACCGGGGAGAAAGCGCGTCCACAATGGACCAACGCTTGCTCGGATGTCCGGGTCTGGCAGATGGGATTTGCTTGGTGTATCCTTGCTTGCCGATGCAGATCAATGGCGTAAGGAGCAGTGAAAAGCCAGCAAAAGCTGTTGTGGCTGTGAATGTCTTAGAGTATGCAAGCTCATATTGAGTATAAGAAGACCAAACTGCAGTGGTGATGGCCAATCCAAGAGGGATACCTAGCCGGGTCGTCTGTAGAAGCGATGCGCCGATCGAGTGATGTTTCAGTGGAAGGGCGGAGAGAATATAAAGCTGGCTAGTGTTGAGCGTCCAATCCATGCCAATGGCTGTTAAGAGGATCGATGGGAAGATCCAAGTAAAGTAACTGTTTCCTTGACGCAAGAATACGAGAAGGAGGTTGCCGGTGACAGAGCACAGGCCAGCGATACCAACCAGAACAGTTCCGGGAACTTTATGCATTATCAGACCGACAAGAGGGCTGATGAATAACCCAACCAGAGCCTGTGGTAGCAGTCGAACAGCAACATTGAAGGGTGAAAGATTCTCTATCTCCTGTAGAAACATAGAAACCCAGAAGATAGATGATGAGGATGCCATAGTACAGCTCAGTGTTCCGAGAAATATCTGGCCTTTGGGTTAGCATCGGCTCTGAAGTATCAGTGGATATGCTTTTGCTTACTAATGACACGGTGTAGTCTTCCCAGATGACGGGAGGTATCATTGGTGTCTTTGTGAAGTATTCCCAGAGAATGAAACACCCCAGTGATAGAAGTCCAATAGTCAGGAGAAGAATCACAACGGGAGTCTTCCAACTGGAATTATGAAGTCAGCACATGCTATACAAAGAAAAAGTTTATAGGATTCGTTTTCGAAGAGCAAAATCCAGTTGCACATAGAAACAGTAGAATTATAAACGACGCGCGAATGAGAAACATGGCGAGAGAAGTGACAACCCAAAGCTATCATGTCACGAAGGGGAGACGAGAGAAAAGGTACAGATTAGGGAAATGCTTACGGTAGATAACCCTCGGGTCCGATTGTCAAGGCGACGGTGAACAGTAGTACGCCAGCGAGTAGTAAGAAAAGTCCAGTCCAGTCGAAGCGCCAGAGTGCTCCTAAAAGAAGGAAAAAGGAGTGGCTCAACTCATCGGAATCTGTGCTCTTTTGGTCTTGTGGATGCGGCTCATTGGGAATGACTAGCCAGGCCAATACAGTAATAGAAGCATAAAGAAGTCCGAGGCATATGAAAGGTGCCTTCCAACTGTAGAGCGAGGCCAGCCCTCCTGAGCTGACGCCGCCGATGATGGTAGCTGCTGGGTTGCCCTAAAATAAGAGTTAGAACGCTGTTAGTGGTGAGATTTGCAAGGTTTCAGAAGAGAAGTGTCTTCATGAAAGTTCTAGATTGAGCTTGATGAAGGAGCGTGAATGCCCTCTGCAGATACCCATCTGTGGGACAATATTTTGCGCAACGGTGACCAACTCAGTTCTCCTTCAGGACAGAGTAAGAGGATGATACAGAATATTTCTTACCATCAAAAAAGATGAGAACACCAAGTTCTTCCTGCGAGAAGATACGGGGTATGCCAGACTCAAGATGCCCACCGCAATCGGGATGTTGGCCGCACAAGCAACACCTGCCAGGCCAGACATGATATCAACCACCACACCGCTTTGCGCGAATGAAGTGAACGTCACGAACAAGGAGAATGCCGTGAGGCTGAGCAGCAACAGAGTCTTGCGTGTCAGAATCGGTGGGCAAACATCCGCAACATGTCCAAAGGGGATCAGAAATGCCGCTGTTGTCAATCTGTGTAATGCTAGTACCGAGAGCGGCAGGATACCTCCTGAATCATATCATAGGTATTGGTTTTAGGGACTTACCCAGCAGCAGCAGTTTCCCAAGCGACCTCGGCTGGACTCATCACCAGGTCGTCGCCTATCTGCGCGGCAATGACCATGACGGATCGTTGCAGGAATATAGACGAAGCGGCCGAGAATGCGATGACGGCGACGAAGAGGCATTCATGGAGGGTGTTCTTGAGGACTTCAGGACGTTGGCCTACTGGGATAGGTGGCGTGGCCTTTCCGTCTGTCAGGCACACCTCCTCGAGGTCGATTGGTTGTTTCTCTAGCGCCATGGCAAGATATTGTGAGAGTTTCGAGGCTTCTACAACGTCAAGTGCTCAAATAGCGAACGACAAGTTTAGTTTGAAGGTTACAAGTCGTGAGGTTGGTTGGTCGTCTGAAACGGCCCCATTCAGAATCAAGCACAACACGGCTGACGTAGGTCGACTGAATGCAGGAAGGGGCAATCTTCCATAGAGTTGATCACAACATGATCTCTGTCTGGTAGGGAAGACTGAGAAACTAGCTCAGTTGCTTCAACCAGCGAAGGTGGAAAGGGGAAGGTGCTGCCTAACAGCCCGATGGTAACCTCAAAGTGCAATTACATACCCATGTACCTAAGTATTTAGATAAGTCGTTAGGTAATACACTGTACTGCAAGGTCAAACTAGCCGGAGGCATTGACTCAAGTCTATGCCCTAAATTTGTCATAGCCCTCAAGAATCAATATGAAGATGGAGATGGAGATAAAACTGACCACGAATATGGCGGAGCCAATTAATTATCAGGGAAAAGTTCAAATGATTTGCGGAAACCCATTGTATTTCTCAAAGTTATATACAGTAAGAACGTATTGTAAAACTGTTCGTCGAATGAGTGAAATTCCACCATAAGCGCAGCGTTCCTTTCCTTTCTATTTACACCAACGACCGCAGCGTGCGCAACCTCATGCCATGCTACCTTATGCAACCACCACCGTCACCATCACCCCGACCAACTATTCCTCAATTTTTCAGCCCGAGAAGACGGATGGATGAGGTAAGAAGGCAGACAGCTTAGAATGCTGGGCTAGCATTCTTAAGCAACATCTCGAAGTACGCCTGGTTCCACGTCCCGGCCTCAGGGGACGGCTTGAACGCATCATCCTTCCCACAGAACGAATCATATCGAGTAGCGCCCGTGTCACTAGTCCCATCTGACTCACCACCGGGCTTACCCCAAACGAAAGCATCAGCCTGGGGCTCTCCCGTGGTGGCAGTAGGGCGGACACCAAAGCCGGCACCGTCGACGTTGCACCAGTCGCCCCACTCAGCGCGGAGACCCGTGACGGCATTGCGGCCCGTGTCGACGATGGCGTAGTTGGGCATGCCCGCCGTTTTGAGTGCGGCGCTGAACTTCTGCACGTATATCTTCTCGTTCTGGCACGAGTTGTACTTGGCGTCGGATGCCGTGGAGAACTCGCCTGGCGACAGGTCCCAGGCGTTCCAGCCGGCGATGTTGGTCGAGAAGCCACGCACTTGCTTGGGGCTGTCGGCTGCCTTGTAGGCCTTGGCCAGTTCTTCGGCACCTTTTTGGAATCGTTAATAGGCTGTCCAAGGCTTTTTTGTCTCTTTTTGTTTGACAGGGGCTAAACTGATCTAGGGGTTGGTGTAAGAAGGGGGCTCACCTGGCTTGAGGTTGGCGTCCCAGCCGAGCCATCCGCCGTGGCCGGCATCGATGTACATGACGACGTTGGGAAGGTTGAGGCTCTTCAGGGCGTACGCAACACCGTCGCGGTAGCTGCTAGCGCTGTCCTTGCATGTCTGCAGGTCTGCGTTGGTGACCAGGTTGGGCAGAGAGTCGGGCTCGATCAATAGGGCAAAGGCAGTGTTTGGCGCGCCCTGTAGGAGCTTGACAATGGCTGCATTTCAACCTGTTAGCAACGCTATCTCTCATTCACATGAGCCTCGTAGGAGTCTTCTCACGGTCAATATACTGCGTCTTGTACTTGTCGAGCTCGTTGTACTTCAACTCGCCATTGGAGGCCTTGGCGGCGCAGTCACGGCCCGGCAAGTCGTAGATGACGAGGCCGAGGATATCACTGCAAGGGGTGTCGTCGATGGCGGGCTGCACCTTGGCGATGTTCTCAATGGTGTCACTGACGTTTTTATTAGCCATTTCGATCTTATCTTGACCCTTGCCATATAACACCACCAGACCGACTTACATCCACAGGAAGCTACCAACATCGGCAACCTTGGCTGCAGAGGCCTTCAGGCTTGAGTCGGAGATGGCATCGACGGCCTTGTTGACCTCATCACGGTAGAACGGGTTTGCGTGCAGCTTGTAATTCTGCCACACATTGGTCGACGCGTCAAGCGTAACCGCCGACGAGCAAGCAGCCGCAGGAGCACGGGGTGACTTTTCCGCCTTGGGAGCGGCCAGGGCGCTACCCGCGAGGGCTGCAATCGTGTAAGTGACCTTCATCTTCCTATGACTAACTCTTCAGTTTAGTGGTGAGTGAGTTGAGGTAGTAAGGAGCGGGCCAGACCAGCGGCGGAGACGACGCTTTTTATAACATCTTGACGACAGCGTGACCAGGCCCGGTGGCACCTCGAGATTAACGTTGCCTTCCTTCTGGAACCCCGTCTATCTTGCAATCAGGAACCCAGGCCCGCCCATCGCGAACGTACTCGGTAGCTAGACTCCGAGTAGGTCAGTGCCGACTGAGGCGGCAGAGGCAGACAGAATGCGGGGATCCTCTGGAGGTTGTGGTAACAATTCATGCGATACGTATAACAGCTCAACCACAAGTGGAGATCATAATTTGTGTATACAACCGCCCCTTCGGGCCTATTGCGGTAGGGTGGGGGATAACGTCTTGGGAGTAGCGTTAATATAAGCTTATACCTCACGCGTTCGTCGATACTGGTATCCAGGGTTTACCAAGGATCTAGCCCCGGAGCCTGACTCTTTCAGACAACTTTGGAGAATATGGGGTAGAAGTAGCTTGTAGTGTTAGCCCCTTGTACCACCTACAAGACACACATATTGGGAACCGATCGTATTCCACACCATCCGGTGTTCACCAGAAAAGCAAGCGTCTTGGGGCAGATCCCGATGGAGGGTCAACTTTGCTTTGACCTCACCGTTTGGGGTCATGTGGAGCATAGCATACCCTTCCCAATAGGAGCACGTAAAACCCTGAACGGTACTGAGACACACCTTGGCTAAGAACTGTAAGGTACCATTTGGCGGGGGAGACACCAAGGACAAAGCTGCGGTTTGGATAAACCCTTTGGAAACTTTAATCAGGTGAAATAAATCGTATAACGTGGCGAAGCAACAAGACGTCGATTTAGCCGCACGGGAACATTCTGGCGCAACAAATTAAGTCCTCGGCTAAATCTCCCAGCATCCCAGGAGTGCCACTATGGCTCCCATATTGGCATGCGAGTAGTGGTCAGGCGCGACGGGCATCTCGGAACGGGGAAGTAGATTCACATCTGCCGTAATTTGAGAGCCTCACCACTCAACGTCCACGCCAGGGTAGCGCTATTCGGAGCTATGCTCCGTGGTTTCGCAGAAAACCAGCTATCTAGGTCAGTTTTGTCTTATGCTTGAATATCACCCTGCCCATGCACAGCTTCCTCGTAGGACCAAAACAGGTCGGTCATAGGCCAAACTTCGGGTGATCATCCGATCCAACCAACTCTGATCACCATCCAGACCACCTTCGGTTCAGATGGATGGATGAGATGGGCCAACTGGTGGATATTCCCAGGCTCCTGGCTCGGTACAATCAAACATGAGGCCCATTGGTGATATCGAGACAGATCAAAACGAGGTCGTTGGGGTTTTTTATCATTTCGTTCTCTATCGGACCTTTTCCTCGTGACCTTCGCAGAGATCGCACGTACATCCCTGAGCCCCAACGTGTCGCCACACTTGGGTCTAATGATCTCCAGGCGATCCAATTGTCTTGTCTCTATAATGATGCCCTACCTTAAAGGCCAGACAAGGCTTCTCACATGAAGGGAGGCAGCGAGAAGGGGTACCCGCCATTCTTGACGCGGAAGATGGAGAGAAGCAACCCGTAAACGAGGAAAATGACGGCACTCCAGATGATAACGGTGACCTGCTGGAGCTTTGAATCGACTATCCTCGGAGCCTTGATGATGAGGGAGATCACAGCGAATGAGAGTATTCCATCTGACATTATTAGTAGTCTAGTATAATCGAAATTGGGATCATTCTTGACTGAGGACTTACAAACGCCGGCAACGATCTGAGTCTCCATGCCTAGTTGGTTTTGGAAACCACCAGAGAAGTAACTGATGCCTCCACGTCCATCGGAAGCGACATAGGGCACTTTGCGAATCACGTTGAACATCTGGCCACCAGTGAACAAAAGGATGGCCATCAGGCTGATGCCCGCCCAGACGTTGCGGTTTGTGATGACGGGGAGGATCCAGGGCCACAACTTGAAGAGGACACCAGCACCACCAAGCATGCTGACAATGGTGACCACCCATAGAACGTAGTTGACTGGGCGGCTGACTGCAGGGTGGGGTCTATCAGGGAGGTGACGCGCAACCCATGCATGCACCTGTTCTGCAACTTGGGGACTGAAACACTTATTAGCGTTAAACGAACGACAGATACGCGATTCTGGTTCGCTTACCCGTTGGTGAAGTCGTAGCGAATCGGTTCGGCCGAGGACACGGCATGAGGACCCGTGGTGGGCTGGAAGAGAAGGAGGACAGGAGCTGTTTGGAGACCCAACTACGAAAATCGCAAGTGATTAACAACGGCTGCCAGGCAAAGTGTAGATGGCGATCATGTTTCACTTACCGACATGAACGTGTCTCGTCCATCAGAGAAGTCCAATGTAGCGAAGACAGTTCGGGACTCGCCCTTCTTGTCGCCCTTGATCCAGCTCTTAGACAAGATATCCCATTCAGGCTGGAACTCGCGACACAGCTGACATCCGAATCGATTGTCCAGTGCGGTCAAGAGAACTGCTGCCGTGTAGTTTCGAGGGGTCGAGGTCAACTTCTTGTAGGAAGTATCGGACAGCTTCACTGGGTTCGAAACGAGCGCCTTGTTATGAAACTCGGTGAATCGGTCGACATCCAGCGACTTCTTGGCAGCGAGAGACCCCAATGGCAGGGCCAAAGACAGTAGAATCGAAAGCCAGCGCATTGTAAATGCGTTGATGAAATTGAACAGTCGAAAAGAGTGGTATGGTCCCACGGCAATTGAGAGGTGTGCTGTGTCTGCACACTTATAGTTAGCCGAAGAATTGAAATCGGCGTCCTGCGTTGAACATCGAGGCTATGATCTCGAAATGTCGTCGGGTCAAGATTCAAGGTGGCCTTAATAGAAGCTCCAGCTCTTGCCAGCTGGATCCACAGCTGCAGCTACTGAGTACTCTTGCCCAGACGCCATTACGTAGCAGGCGGCCCGACCAGAGCTCCGACACAGCCATTTGACCCTAGTCTATTTCTGGTAATCTGTTTTGTCGGAGCTGCAACCTCGAAACCGACCCGTGACTTCACTTGACACGATCTACACGGGTCATACCACACCGCAACTGGCACCAATATCCCAACTCTGAACTCGCTCAAAGTATGAGCTTTACACATTAAGTAGAGCTACTCTGCGTTTCTTCCTAAGACTTGATCGCGACTTCCCTAAATGGCTAGACCAGCAAAGCCCACCAAGGGCCGCGAAGAACATGTAAACATGGCCGCTGAAAAGGTACCCATTGATAGACTTCGGTCGCACATCGCATACGACTAATCTGGTATTCACAGCAAACCCAACTGCTCCACGAGCTTGAAATGAAGCACCAGCTCGGTGGAAGCCGATCCGACCTTCTGGTCAAAGATGAGGATGTTCGCCGACTGAAACTTCGCATCCTCATGCTGCGCGACGAGAACATCTCCCTCCGCGATGAGATCACTCAAAACACCGATGAGCATGCCAAACTCGCCGCCAAATGTGAAGGGCTGAGCTCACAGCTCGAGGCCAAGATTGAAGTGGTTCGCTTGCAGGAAAAGCAACTACGGAAACAGGAACGCGAGTTCTCCAGTGTAAAGGTAATGGCCACAACCACCGCCTGTTGCTCGCTTACTAGGATCAGTAATGCTAATCTCTTGGCATCCAACAGGCTGAACTCCAGCTCATGAATAACCTCAGCCAAGACTCAACCAACATCCTTTCCGAGAAACTAGCTCTGACGCGCGAGCTTGCCGTTCTCAAGCCAGAGCTCGAGCATCTCAGATCGCAACTGACACAACAACAAGCCACTCTAGCTGAGAAGCTGGCTTTAGAGCGCCAAGTCAACACGCTGGAAGTCGAACTCGCCAATGAGAAGAAAGTAATCAAGCGAGCAATGCAGAAGCGCGAAAGCAACGACCGTGTCGAAGATGAGTTGCGGCAGAAGCTTCGTGAGGTAGAGAAGAATTTGGCTGCTGAGCGATCACAGCGCGAACGTTTGGAAGACCAGCTTGCACAGGAGAAGCAGACACGTCAGTTAGCCCTGCAAGATCAGGACAGCATCCGGGAGCTGGAGTCTGACCTGCGCAAGAAGCTGAATGACGCACAAAAACAGCTTCGTGAGGAGAGGGAAGACAAGGAAAGACTAGAAGAGGAGCTCCGGGCTGAGAAGCAGTTAGCGAAGAAGGCGTTTAAGAAGCAAGCTTCCAACAGCGACGAGGAGGAGCTGCGCAACAGGCTGGATGAAGTTGAGAGCAAGCTGGCCGCCGAGCAAAATGAGAAAGAGAAGGTCCGCAATCAGGCACAAACCTCCCTTTCCGAGGCAGAAACCCGGAACGACTCGCTGGAGAAGAAACTCGAGAAACTGAAGACCAAGCTGCGGGAGACACAGGATCAGCTCAAGCAGTGCCAAGCAGATCTCAAAAAGGCTCAACAGACCAAACCCTCAGTGTCGGAAGAAGTGACCAAAAAGACGGTCGCCGGACGCCAGGTGTTTAAGAAACGCAAGGGTAGCGAATTCGCCACGGATGACATTACTCAGATCACCATTGGGACACCCGGCGCTGAGGAAAGACCGCGCCGGGGCGCCAAGAAGCGGTCCTTCGAGACTACGCTGGTTGGGGAGAAATCGACATTCTCCATTACCCCGTTCCTGAACCGCGGGAAGTTGGTTGGCGAGGAGACAGTGAACCCCGATGAATCCATGGAAGACTCAATACTTGGGCCCTCCGAGACAACCCGAGCGGTCGAGGTCACTACAACCACAGTGCTCACCGCTGCGGCAGATGACTCTACGAGCTCAAACGTACCGCCGTCAGAAATTAGCGGAACAGTCTCGCCAGATGAAGAACAGCCCGCAGCTGAGCCTAAGCCACAGCTGAAGAAGCCTCGCGGCCGACCGAAGAAGGTACTCGGCGACGCGCCATCAGCAAAGAAGAATGCCCAGCCAGCCCCCAAGGTGGCACTCAAGAAGAAGACTCCCAAAGCCAGCAGTACCCTGGACAAAGTGACCGAGGAGACCGAGGAGACCGAAGAGAACGAGCCGAATGAACCGTCGGGTAACGAAGAGAATAAGAACGAGAAGACGCAAATGGTCAAATCCAACTCCACTGCGCCACAGGACGACAACACCGTCTCGGCCACCTCCGCAAAGACCGAGGAGCCCAAGAAGAAGAAGCGCAAGGTGCTAGGCGTGGCCAAGCCGACGCTCTTCGAAGACGAGGAAGTCGAGCCGGCGCAGCCGATGCGCAAACCAGCGAAAACAGCAGTCAGCGGTGTAAAGCGAGCGGCCCTTGGAGGCAAGGGGACGTCGAATGCGTTCGTGGGCGGGGCGAGCTTCTCGCCGCTCAAAAAGGACCGTAGAGGGGTTGGAGCTAGCTTTCTTGCGTGAGTGATTGTTGCGGAATAACCAGCATTGGGAGAGTCATGGTATAAGTGAATATACATGGACGGGGTTATGCATTGTAGGCAGGCGTTGGGGCATTTCGGTTTGGTATGGTTCCAGGTTGGATGGCCTGGATGGGCTGCAGGATTAGGACTGGCTGCACTGTTGTAAAGTGCAAGTATGAAGCACTTGGTGGTGAAACCCATGATTCCTTTACTTGGCTGGTGACTTATGCGAGTAACTCCCTAGCCTAAAAACTTACAGATATATCATACCAATGTTCGTAAGATACTTCAGGAAAGTCTGACTGTCCTGCATGCAATGCCACTGGAGTGCAAGTATCGCTGAAGTTTTAAGCCTGACAATCTACTCCAGTAGACATTTGTTCACCCTCTCACTCTATGAATTCATGGTCTTCTTGTCAGTTGATGGGTCTTGTTGTGACCGTTTCTAATACCGGTATTTGCATAACCCCGGTACAACGGTCGCCACGATTTTCCGACTCGCCTAGGATCTTGGCCGGATCGAGCGCCGCATCTCAAGATCTCTGAGAAGTCGCAATCTGACACCACATACGTTCGTTTTTCTTAAACTGAACAGATGCGGGAGAGCGCAGATTCGCCAATCCCAAGAAGTATTTTGGATGAAGGGGCTGTCGAGGATAGCGGGTCCTCTCAATGGAGGGCTCTTGAGAGTTGCCTCATTCGCTGCTGCGGCTTGCTCAATTCCCATACCCGCAACCTACGTACAGGCGCGTTGGTCGTCGTCGAACTCGAGATGGAAGCAGCGACAGGGCAGCGACTTCTACGCCCGCGAGGCTAAAGTGCAGGGTTTGAAGAGCAGGGCGGCGTTCAAGCTGCTTGAGGTTGGTTCTTGATGATGGATGGACCTTGAGCGTGTCTCGTTCTTGGAACTGATGATGTACAACTGCAGATGGATTCAAAATACCACTTATTCAAGAAAGGCCAGACGGTGATCGACCTTGTAAGTTGTTGTTCTCATGCTAGTGGGATAGCACACTCATCTGCAACACAGGGATACGCGCCAGGAAGCTGGTCGCAGGTGAGACCTTGTATCTCACTGAGTCTGAACGGTGCAAAATACTGAAATCATAACCCGTAGGTCGCCCTAGAGCGCACCAAACCCACAGGACGCGTCGTCGGCATCGACATCATCCCCGCGCAGCCACCAAAGGGTGTGTCCACCATCCAAGGCAACTTCCTGTCTCCCAGCGTGCAAAACCTCGTCAAGGAATACCTACATGAATTTGCAAGTCAGAAGCCGGCCGCCCGCGCCACCGGTTACCGTATGTCCAAGGAGGACTTTGACGAGAATGATGACATTGCGGCCCTGATCCGGGAGAAAAGCTACATCGACACGGAACGCGCCGACTCGGCGCACGAGGATGATTGGGGGACTATGGCGGAGAAGGATGAGAGATTGGTAGATGTAAGACCTTGCATGAGCCTGGATCTGCTGCGCCTTGGTGTATGTTGTGATGTTGGGTATCTTGGCTAATTTCTTCGAGCAGGTGGTGTTGAGCGACATGTCAGCCCCCTGGAGCCAAACCGCTGGGTTTTCATGTAACACGTTGAGTAACCCGCATATTAGGATGATGAACACGAGCGGCATGAATGTCCGAGATCACATTGGAAGCATGGTAAGAGTCTTTCTCTAAATCTATTTAGCCCCGTTTTCTCCCGCTCCAACTCTACGATGCTAATAAAAGTATACTGACAGGACCTCTGTGCGGCCGCTCTTCAATTCGCCAGCGACACACTAGCCACTGGCGGTCATTTTGTGGCCAAATTCTATCAAGGATCCGAGGACAAACAGTTTGAGATGAAGCTCAAAAAGATGTTTGGAAGGGTGCACCGCGAGAAGCCTGAATCATCCCGAACCGTGAGTTCTCTCTATTTGATATTTCAGTGAAGTACGTATGCTTACTCTAGATAGGAATCGAGAGAAGCGTACTTTGTGGCGTTGAAAAGAAAAGGAAATGTCACGCTAGCAGATATCGAGAAGTAGTGGAATGGTGATACATAGGTTGTAATATGGACTATGCCGATTGTCCCGACCAAAGACATGATGAACGCAAATCATGGAGCATATGGCCGCAAAGATTAGTACCACAACTGTTTTCCCAACAAACCGAAATCATCGAGCCAGCGACGTACCGAAAACGACGCATTACCGGAAAATGCACGAACTTTCTGCCCTTCCCAGAATCGCCGAGGAACTCAATTAGAGGTGGCTCCCGTTCAACTAAGATTGCTATGTCCTCCTTGAAAGCGGCTTGGTTCTTATTTTCTTCAAGGAAGTGACATGAGAACAATGAGCTGCTCACCAAAATGAACATGAAGAGCCTTCCCCGCACCTTTAAGGTAGAACAATCTACCTGACATTGGATTGAATTTAATTTAGCGGATGTCCGACAAAATCATACTCATCCCCAACACGATACAAATGTGCCTCCCAACCCCCTTTAAGGGCAGTCGCCGCTATACCAGCGAACGTAAACACCGGCGCCGCATTCACGGTGCCCAGAGACGCCACGCGCAGCACCGAATCGATATCCCCCTCTCCCAAACAATAGCCCGTAAAACTGTCAATCCAGATCTGGCCTTCTTCCAAGACGATATCAGTTGCATTATTATTCGCAAATCTAGATGCCAGGCCGAACGCCCCCTCCGACCCGGTTTTGATGGGCAAGACCCACCGCCCGGCTGTCTCACACATGAACAAGTCGCCCAGCTCACCGGGGGTGGATGTGTACTTGCCACAAACGGTCAACCTCGTCTCGATGGAGCTGATGACCATGATGACCACCATGAACGCCATGAGGAGGAGCGTGTAGGCCTTGTACCACGGGGACGAGACGCATGGGATGATGGTCGTCGTCGTGCGGCCGCGGAGGAAGTAGTACGCGTAGAGCAGTACGCTGACGGTCAACCCGAATAGGTACAATAAACCCAAAGCGAAGGTCGATGTGGTATAAAAGTAGATGATGCTGGTCGTGGTTCTCCACGGTATCACGATCAGACCGCAGATGATCCAGATACCGATGCATGGAACAAGGTAGAGAATGCGGAACATTCTGCTAGGCCAGTACGAGATGGGCTTGAATGGACCTTGAGGGGGGACGTGGATGTGTTGAGAATCAACAAGGTCGTCTATCGATAACCAAGACCGATCCAACATACTTCTTCTCGCCATCGGGTTCAAGGGTACCGACACCGACACCGTCACCGTCTGCGAGGTGAAGTCTTTGGCCTCATACATATAATCATCCGTTAGCCAAGCGGCAGCGCATAACCGTAGAAGCCCGAGAACCGCCAGAGGAAAGAAGACCTGATCAAGTCCTATGTTTCCGCCCGGATTAAGTCTCCCAGCGACTGCTCCGAAGAGTGCATATACAGCCTGGGTACCCTGCAACGTAATGATGAGGGTCTTGATGGCTTCCGTGGAGAATATGCTGAAGTTTTCGGGCAGGCGAGTGCAGAACGGCAGGCTTGCCGTTACCATTTCCTCAGACCCATCCCACCCCTGGGAGGTCCAGAATACCGCGTTACTGGCTGCTCTTTCCGCGGGACCCCATGAGCGACAACGAATGCGTCGATCTGCTATAGCAATGTAGCGCCAGATGATAGATGTCGGATTGTAGAGACATATACGATCGAGCAGTCCAGGCCGGCTGGAAGTCAAATACGAAAGTCGAGGGGGCACACCAGACACAATGTGAATGATCAGGGGCGACAAACAAAGTGTGGATAGGGATACCCAATCAGAAAAGGAAAGATTCTGGCTTTGGTAAGAGAGCGGTAGAACGTTGGCGAACATCTCCCTAGACGGCAACGTGCCAGCAGTAGTCATGCTGCTTTATGCGGTGTAAGCGAAGTTTCTCAAGCGTCGGGCGCCTTTGACCGACGGCCACGATGTTGTTGCGAGTGAACGAGGCTGAAATGCAATCCATGATCCTTATCAATGTGGAATGGTCTGAACATAAAACCTGATGGGGTGAAGGACCCAAACCCTTGACTGTAGGTGGGCCAAGATCATTTCCAGTTAGAGGTATACTGAGATCAGCCTTACAGCTGTCAACCAGCTGAGGTGGATCCTGGCCCTGGCCTTTGCGGCTCTGAGTAGAATCAGACCACTTTCATCAACTGAACTTGATGAGGCTCTGCAAGGTCTGCTGGAATGTATTCCACAGCATAAGAGACTCCATTCCCCGTATAATTCGAAGACGCGCTTTGAGGAGCCAAGTCTCTGATGGGAGAGTGACTGGGTTGCCCCCCCAAAAGTCCATAAAGTCGCGTCCTTCACTAAAGTCAAGTCGCCATGACTCCCAGAGGGAACCTCACGCCGAAGGTAAGATTCCGGCCTCCACTCAACCCCCGGCAAGCAGATTACTGACCCATATGAACAGACGGTCATGGCTCCTTTGGCCGCCTTCTCGATGGCCTGCATTCTTTTCGCGTATGCGGCATACACTTCCGAAGGACTTGCTCAATGGAGTTAGGTGCTGACCTGACCAGATACACGCGGTCTTCGATCCAGGCGGCGCGGCGAAACGCGGTAGGTACTGACCACTTGTTTCCGTGGCCTCAACTCATAGAATGCAGAAATTAGAGCGCCAGAAGCGGACTGGCCAATTCCCACCTCGGAATGAAGGTCAGAAATGACCGGCGACTTGAGGCGTGGTTGCCAAAGACACGACCCTGGAAGTAATTCGGACTCGGCAAGCCGGTCAATAACTCGCATCGGAGGGAAGTCAAGGCCACAGATCCCATATTTCGTCATTTCGTCTTTGTGGCCTCGGGTAAACAACCTTGACTTGTCCCAGAGTCTCTTGTAGAACTCGGCAATTTTAGCTGTGAGTGGATGCATCAATGAGCTCTCGACAAAAACCCGACAACAGGGGATTCACAAGGGACCTTAAATGGTCTGGTGTGGGCAAAAACACGCCAATAACTCGACTTCGAGTCAGAGAATTCATAGAAAACAATCCCATCATTTCAAAGTTGACTAGATTTAGGTGTTTGCGCAAGTGAAGTCAAGAAGTGTTCAGTGTTGGCTCATAGCCGTGGGTACAGTCAGAAGTCGGTTCTAAAAGTTATCAAATATGAGAGGTACCAGCTGGCAGAGGGGACCCCTGCAACCCCAAATCCAGGGTCCAAATAAACACCTGTCCAACCGCGGCAGCCACGAAGTCGGATCCCGGAAAGTCGACGATCACTTCTACCATTCAGTCACTCGCTACATAGCACTTTCCTGTCTCTCGGCTTGTGCATTCCACCTACTCAACAATGATAGTGGCGGCCTATCTACCACTACCACAATAATGTCTAACAACCTCCTATCCCTAATAGGGTGGTCCTTCCTCCCCAGCGTACGCACATCTCTCCCGTTTCCCGTCCTAACTCTCAACTGAAGCATCGTAAAACTAACAACATCTCCAGCTCGTAACCGGTTGGGCACATACCATATACTACAGCCTCACCATCCGCGCTGGCCAGCCGAAACCCACTCCCGGCACACCACGCTTCCTCGAGCACCGCCGGCGCATCCACATTTTCGTGGTATCCCTCTACCTTCTCTACACCATCTACGAAGCCGACTACGAACTGCAACGCTCCTCCTCCTACTACGCCGACCTAGGCGTACCCTTCAGCGCCACCGCGTCCGAAATCAAGTCCCGCTTCCGACGTCTGGCCGCGCTGCACCACCCCGACAAGGCTGGTTCCGGTAACGGTGTTGACAATAATAATGGCGATTTCTTCATGCATCTCAAAACGGCTTCAGACGTCCTCATCGACCCAGCCAAACGGTTCGCGTACGAGCGCTTCGGGCCGGACGTGGTGGATTGGAGGCACTGCGTGACGATCCGCGACTTCGTGCTGCGCGGGTGGCAGATCCTCGTGCCGTACTATGGCATGGCCGCCGCCGTCATGTACGTCCTGGGGATGCTTGGATACCTCGAGTGGGGGCGGTACTGGCGGTGGCTGACGGTCGCGGCGCTTTGTCTGTTTGAGCTGCACACCGTCACGCGGCCAGGCTTCCCGGAGTTTCTGAGCAATATTGTGAATCCGATCTTGACTACGTTCACGAATCATGCGCCGTACTTGCCGTTTCAGGTCATTCTGCTAGCGAGGAAGTGCAGCGTAACGCTGTACATTGCGTTTAGCCAGATCGGGCCGCTGCTGCAGCCGCTGGGGCAGCTAGGGGCGAAGCCGGGAGATGCGTCGGAGAAGGCGCTTAGTCAGGGGCTGGAGAGGCTGGAGCAGACGGCAAGGGTCATGGATACGGATGCAAGTCGGCTGATGGAGCTAGAGATGGCGCCGTTCGCAGGGGATCCTGAGGTTTTGTCGACGATGCGGACGAAGCTCCAGGAGTGGTTGGTCCAGAATACGATTCGCTCGGATCCGATGGTGCGAGACGCGCTTGGCAGATCATTCAAGAAGAGGAGAGTGGATGCGCCTGCTGGTGCCAAGGGCAACAGATGATTGCAAATAGTTTAGAGCAAGAAAACAGACATAGACTATTATATACCCCAAGGATGTACCTGACCAGTTTGATGCAATCTTATAGCCCGACAGCCGTCCTGTTGTATGATCCCTTTCAGCCGTATGAAGTTGACGACGCTATGCATAACATACGAATTTGCAAGATCACTCCACGATATATCTTTGTATCAACCGAGACCTCCTTTCCCCTCTTTTACAAGCTCTGCCTACCCCTCGTCTCTATCGGCATCAAACACATCCCCACAAAAGCCGCAAATATCAACACGGCCGACAGATATATCGGCAGCTTGGTCCCATCACCCGGGATATTCGCCGCTAGCACGGGTGCGATCAACCCCGCGAACCTATTCAAGAAGCTAGCGACCCCCGTCCCCGCGCCTCGTACAGGAGCCGGGAATATCTCCGGCGTGAAGGCATACAAAACGCCATACATGATATTCTGCGTAAACGCCTCGATGCAGGTAAAGAACAGCTGCGAGTTAGGCGTGTTGCCAAAAGTGACGAAGAAGAAGAGGAAAACGGCCGATACCAGCGCCGAGATGGCCAGCGTCCCCTTGCGTCCGAGCCAGGGTGACTTGTGGTCCACTGTGTACGCGGCTACCAGACTGCCTGGCACGCCCACCATGGAGATGATGGCGTAGTTGCGGTAGGTTTCCGCTGTGGCGGCTTCTGCTGCTCTGGTGGCGATTCCGTCGGTGGCTTCGACGACAGAGCCGCCGTGCGACAGGTACTGCGGCAGGAAGGCATTGAAGAGCGGGTAGCCCATGCCGATGGTAGTCCAGCAAAACCACATGAGCATGGTTGCTTGCCCGAGTTTGCGGGTGCTGAAGAGAGGTTTGAGGTGAGCGACGGAGAAGGATGATAGATTCCGCTTAATGATGTTTGCTGTCGAGAGCCTCGTCATCGAATGTTGGACAATCTCTCCATCAACGACGGCGTCTAGAATTTCCTCCGTAAGCCAGGTCTTAGCGTGGTTGCGGTGGGCGATGCCATGTACGACGGCGACAGCTTCGGCTTGTCGGCCTTGTGACAAAAGGTACTTCGGAGACTCGAAGAGATGAAAGACGAAGAACCGTACGAGAAACATGATGAAGGTAGCTAAACCAATCGCCGTAATGAAAGACCGCCATCCTACTTCGACCGGTCGGGTTGTGATGAAGTACCATGCAGCGAGCGACGAGGCCAGTTGGCCGACCGGCCACCATACGGATAGCAGTGTCAGCAAGGCACTCGACGCATCCGGGAGGAACTCGAGAAAGAGAGCACCGTCGACTGGCAAGTTTCCCCCCACCCCAGTCCCCATGCACGCCAACAGGAAACAGACGCTGCCCCAGCTCCCTGCGTATGCGGCCGCTATTCCGAATATGCTCGTGATCAGCAGCGTCATATTGAAAGCAATGCGACGGCCAAGTATATCTGCCCCTATTCCCCAAAAGAAACTCCCTATGCACAAACCGACGTACACGGAGCTGGTCGTGTACCTGACGGTCTTTTCCGATATATCAAATTCTTGCGAGAGAGATGGAAGTATTAAAGAGAGGCCCTATCACAAGTCAGAGATGACCATCCCCAGACTGAATCCGATTCATCAGGTCGCGGCTTACCTGCATCCAAAGACTGCCGCCAGGTCAGTTTAAACGTTCCATTCTCGATGTCAGAGTGACTTACTTATCCGCAAACCATCCAAAACCACACAAAACAAACAACTGCCAGTTGTATCTCCCCATGCCAATATCCTGAATGGCCTTATTGATGAGTCTCGATTTCACTGTATGCCGAACGTCAGCCAGTCTTCCCCCACGTCTTCGGCTCACCCATCATATCACCAGCGAAAACTCACTCTCATACTCAGTCCACCCTTTCCCCCATATCTCCCCCGTCCTGATCTCCCTCCTCAACCCCTCAACCGTATACTCCGCCGCGCACATCTGCAGCATCCCCGTGTCCTCATTCTCGCCATCCTTGCCCGCCTCGGCCTCGCGCTCATCATCCAATGGATTCTCCTCCTCACGAATGCCGCCATCCCGGACCTCCTCAAATTCGCACCGCCCCGATCGCGCCGAATGGCTGTACAGATGTGCCTCCTCGAGCGGGACCAAGACGCCGACGTAATCGTGCACCGATTCGCCGCGCCCGAGTTTCCATGACAGCAGCTTCATCTCTGTAGGGCTCCTCCTGGCTGTGGTGAAATGGCTATCGCTCTCAATGACGAACAGTTCGCGTGAAACGCTCCTTCCCTCCAAATCCCGGGTTTATCTTGTGGCTGATTATCTCTCTCCGAGTTTTGTAATGGTTCATCAACTTCGAATGAAACTACAAAAGTAGGTCGGTTCTCTTTCTAGTTTATATAAAATCAACCTGAAAACGGCAAATGTTTAGGACTTCCCCACGTGATGGCTGAAGTGAGACAGCCTGGCCCTCGCGCCCCAGTGTCCCTCCTTTCCCCGGATTTCCAATGTCGCTTTGTCAGGGATTTGATTGCAGCTCGGCAAAGTACAAATTGCGGGGAGGCGATTGAAAGGACGGAGTACAGCGCCTTCCTCCAGTTTAACAGTTTCGAGAAACTGATCCGATTCTCTACATTGGTGTTATTTGAGAAAGTTGAGGTTGGAAAATTGGTCAGCAAAGTACTTGCCAGATGTTCCCATGTTTCGTAAAGTTTCGTGAAGACCAGGCCATAGCACGTCAGCCGTTAGTGCTAGCCTACTAGGCCACCTGTGCCCCCAAACATCGGATCCCTGGCGTCGTGATCATCTCTAATCCCAGTCACAGCTGTCACGGGCCGGCAACATGCACACCCTAGGATTCGTGGACTTGAGCAGTCATGCACTACGAAGTAGGTCTATAACATGACGATAGTCTGTTACCAGACAGCACCGCCCTGTTATACGCAGTGAAAACTGGCGTTGAATTCAACCAGCGATGGTGCAACATACGTATGTGTTGTTACTTAAGTTGGTGCTCGCCACAGAATGGGGTTTCTCCATGTACTCTTGTTGTTCGCTGCTGAGCTGCTGAGCAGTTATGTGTTGAGTGCATTAGCCTACTTCGTAAATCGCAATGCGTCACGTTGGCCCTTTCTAATACGCCTAGACAATTCCAATTCCAGAGTGTGCTCGGTTGACCTGCTACCCTGAACGTCATGATACGCCGATTGTTGAAAGCTGGCCGCATTGTGCGATGAGACCAAGAGATACCAAATGTTCATCATCTATCTTATCGTCTACTGCCATATATGCCCAAGTACGCAGAAAACCCTACAACCTAACACCACTAACCCCTGATGCTATTCGAGAGAAGAGAACACCTCGAGCAGGAAATCTCAAGCTCCACCGACCAATCACCCAAATCAACCCCTAGACACGCCTTTTCCCTTCCAAACTCCACCGTTCCACCTGCGCTCACAACTAAATGCTTTGATACTGCCCTCATTCAAGGAACCTCGTCTCCCGTTCGATGATGTAGCTAGCGTGGCCGAAAAATGAGAAAGGCAATTCATGAACTCCTAAATGATTACCGCCTCATCATCGCCACCGTTCTCGCCCTCTTCTTCTTCGTCCCAGTCCATTTCATCGTCTCGAGCATCACCTTGCCGCCGGACTTCAGCCAGGCCACTGAGTTCAGTGACATATTCTTTGTCCTCAAGCGCACGCTGCAAGAAGGTCCACCCGTCTGATTTGTACGCCGAAAGAATCGGGTTGCTGCAGGCACTACAGGATGAGTATGATTCACCCTTGATTATGATGTTCCTGAATTCGGCCAGGAAGCCACGGACTTGATGGGGCACTAAGCCTAGAGCATGGTCGGGTGGATCCCTCTCGTAGGATGCGCCGGACTTGCCAGTAGCCACTGGTGCTGGGGCATGCGCTTTGAGAGGGTGTTGCAGTAGGCTCACTAGGAGCTCGACAATCAGTGCAGATGCAATAGCAGCTATGCCGGGCCGTGTGACCGTACATTGCTGGTCAAGTGTCAAGTCTTTCTGTGACTGATCGATAGGTTAGCAAGCCATGCCGCAGCCAGATAGTCTTGGCACTTACATCGCCCGGTGCGAACACATCGTTGCAGAAATAGCAACCCAGGGTTTTCTCACTGCTATCCGTGGGTTCTACTCCATGTCTCATGACGACGTACGTATCGAAACCAAGTGCGGCATTCATGACGATCTTGCCTGCTGCCTTACCCATGACCGTGGGCAGCCACCTTGATTCTCGACTGTCCATGAGGAGGAATATAGCGTCGTGGTCGTCAATCAGCGCTTTGAGTCTCTCGAAATCGGCTTGTGTCTTATCCGAGACTGGGTGTCCGAGCATGGGCACTGATAGGACGTGACCCTCGCTCTCAACTCCCGGAAATATCTCCTTAAGTGCCTGCGCAGCTTGCGTAGCCTTTGGCGCACCTCCATTCAAGCAATCCTTGTATGTGAAGAGTGGCTGCCTCACCGGGTTCGAGAAGGATACTGCCCCATAATCCACGAATGTGATTTTGCGTACCCCCCACCCCATCAAATTTCTAGACACGTAGCTGCCAAGTGTACCGGCACCTAGGAGCAGGCACTTCGTGTCCTTGATGGCTTCAAGATTGAGGTCCGGTGCGATTCGCCATTTCATCAACTTCAAGTTCAGATCCACTGACTGGTCTGCTATGCGCGCCGGGTCCATGGACTCTGCTAGGCTGACAGATCTTGGGGAGAGCTTGCCTGCAGGGTTCCGTTCCCAGCCAACAACCTTGGGCATCTCTGATGTTTCGAGGTTGTCTACGGGGTCAATTGAAAGCGGTAGGATGATGCTACGCGCCTCATGTCTGCGCGCCTGTATCTCTCGGTAGCATAGAACCTGCACTTTGGTGAGATGAAATCGCTGTCTCACGAGAACGAGCAGATTCCTTAGAGGCCAGGCAGGATGCTCCTCGTACGTTGAAGGGTCTACGAATGCCACGTATCTGTCCTCATCAGGCACGCCATCGAAGAAGCCGGTTTCAAAATCTCGGAGCGATCCAACATCCCACCTGAAGCCAGTATCTTCTTCACTGGGCATGTCCAACGAGGAGCTCGCCATCTCTGCTTCTTTGCCGCGCAGCTTCTTGGCGAGGAAGAATCCATACTGCCTATCGTCCACGCTGTATCGCCATGTTCCTACTCGGTCGACCAAATCTGTACTCTCGGAGGCGGTAAGACGGCCGATTTCGCCGGTGCGTTTCCATTGCGGATCAGAATGTAATGTTGCGAAACAGAACCAATAGGTCATTCGGTATTTCTTGAGGTCGGCATACGAGAATAGGATGAAATGGGAGAGAAGAGAAGGGATTTCGTAGATGGTGCCATCTTTAATCGCCTCCCAAATCTGAGAAAGTCAGTATACGGCAGACAGGAGGTTTAACCAAAGGAAAGAGCGCGTACTGTTCGAGCAGCAGTTCGGAGCATTTCATTCCTGTCCGCATTCTTAAAAGCGTCCAAAGTGTTCATGTTCCTAATTGTACCTTCACCTCTAACAGCGTTCGCAGGCACCCTGAATTTGTTACAGTCAGTCTCCAGAGCTCTAATGCGCCGTCCGCAAACAAGCAACCTTAGCTGCGCGTCAGCGCAGGAGGTACTCACTGTCGGCTGGTAAGGGCGTTAGCCAGTACCTGCATCTTGACACTATCATCTGGAGCTGCGCCCGGCCGCGGCTGATAAACCCCAAGAACCGGTCGTGCAGAGTCGCTCAGCTTGTCGTGTTCGAGCTTTGAAGCAAACAAGGCCGAATAGAAGGGCAGTTCGATCTCTGAAGAGAACGTCGCAAACTTGAGGGCTGCCATGTTCCGTAGATCTTCCTCGGTAAAGTCAGGCGACAGATCTTGGTCGCCGACCGTTATGCGACTCAGAATTTGGACACTTGGTTCTTTTGGTTCTTTTGGTCAACCCGTTGTGTTCGATTAAGGTGGTGTTTCCAGCAATGTGAACGACTCTGAGTTATGCTTGCTAAGCTTCGTCGAGGAGGGGTGAAGTGGGAAACGGCGAAGTGGGGCAACTACTTTAACAGTTGCGACTACGGGGGATGCGGGAAGGATTGCCTAATGTGGTTGCCACTTGTGCTTTGAAACTAGTATCACAAAACCTACAGAGAGTGGACAAGATAAGGTCTGTATAAATGTAGAGGAATAGCAGGACAGCCGTGCCGTTGCCAGCACAAACTCTTTGACAGTATCACATGGTGCTCGGTGAGATATTGGAGACATCTGAAAGTGTCATACCACCAGGGGGAGGGATATTACGGATCTGATCTACCTTATTCTAGCCTTCTTTAAGGCTAGGAGATCCAAACTGCGCATGAGCAGCTCCGTCATCTCACATCCGACCGCAGCGCGACTTGCCGAGGGATAGCGGGAAGCCTTCAGAGCTAATACCGCATCTGGTTAGGGGTGTTAGCTAAATCCGTTCCGCTTAGGGAGGACCGCAACGGTTGAAGTTCGGAAGGTTAGTGGTTGCTTTAACGCAAAACGACGCGTTCGCGACTTGCAGCATGACATGGGAGTTTTCTCTTCAGTGCGAGCTTCACTGAAACGCAACGTGCTGAGAAACTGATAAGCAACTAACCCAAAACTAAAGGCAAACTCATCATTTCTGAGGCCTCTCAAACAACCAGCTGCTGTCTTTGCATCTGAACCATGCTGATTGGTATTTGTGGCGGTAAGTCCCCAAACCCAATATCCGTCTTACCACCAGCCACTTACATGAGTTGCAGCAAAATGCGCCGGTAAGAGCGCCGTAGCTCAATACCTCATAGATCACCACGGCTTCACAAAACTGTACCTGGAGCAAAAAAAGGAATCCCAAACTGGTGTACCAGAACAACCGTCAAACTCCGAAGCAATCCCAACAACACTTTCAATACACCAACCCTCGGCCACTCCAGCATCTCACACCTTCCCCACCGCCACGGCCCTCCTAGACTTCGTCACCAAATCCTGGCGCTCCCGCTGGGTAACAACCGAGATCCACACCGAAGCCGTACTCGATGCTCTCTCCCGGCGCCCCTTCTTCATCCTTATCAGCGTCGACGCGCCCCTCACCCTCCGCTGGCGCCGTCACCAACAACGCTCCTCCTCCCTCTCCTCCCCTTCCTCCACCACCACCGCAGCATCCCCCCCCATCTCCCTGGAAGACTTCGTAACCCAATCCGACACACACCTCTACTCCCCTTACACAGGTGCCCAATCCCTCATCTCACGCGCCACCATCCGCCTCCTCAACACGTCCTCCTCCCTAGCACACCTCTACGCCACTCTCGGCAAACTGGACCTCACCAACCCCGACCGCCTGCGCCCGAGCTGGGACAGCTACTTCATGTCTCTCGCCTCCTTAGCCGCGCAGCGCAGCAACTGCATGAAACGAGCCGTGGGGTGCGTGCTCGTTGGGCGCGAACGCCGCGTTATCAGCACAGGTTACAACGGCACACCTCGAAACCTGGTAAACTGTGGGGAGGGTGGTTGCGCGCGGTGCAATAGTGGCGAGGGGAGCGGGGTGAGCTTGGGGACGTGTCTGTGTCTGCACGCCGAGGAGAATGCGTTGTTGGAGGCGGGGAGGGAGAGGATCAGGGAGGGGAGCGTGCTGTATTGTAATACATGCCCGTGCTTGACGTGTAGTATCAAGATCGTGCAGGTGGGTATCAGTGAGGTGGTGTATAGTCAGGGGTATAGTATGGATGGGGAGACGGCGGAGGTTTTCAAGACGGCAGGGATTAGGCTGAGGCAATTTTCGCCGCCCGCGAATGGGTTGATACACCTGGAGAGGTTAGAGTGACACTCCAGAATAGATGTGTACACCGATTTCCTGCTGCGATGAACCGACAGCTCAAGAACTCAAGAGCGAAAGCAGTAAAACGTAGATGAGCCACCACGAAGAACAACAATAGCTCCTGTCATGTGGGCCATACAGGAGGCGCCTTTCGCTAAAATAGACTTCTTCAAACCACGCACTTATCCGGAACATGGCCATAAGTGTGTTGTACTTCTTAACAAAGTTTGGAATTAGAGAAATTAGAGTACAGCATAAAGAGCATTGATCGACAGTGGTCCAACCTCCTCCACCAACGGAACTCAACGAGATATTGGTGACTGTAACCCAAATCAACCAAGCCTCGAGCCCTAGATGCCAGTAATGGGTCGGTCCAAATCTCTCAAGCTAGGTTTTCCCACGTGTCTCGACCGGGTATCGTAACTTCATTTCCCGGAAAATGTTTGATCGTCGTTGTGAACGTAGACAAATCGTCTTTCCTCCCGTCGCATTCGTTCATCCACTCCACTCCACTCCACCCAACCAAGTCCATGTCTAGTTGTTTGTCGAACGCTTGGCCTTGCGAGCAGAGATGCATTTCGAGATCCAAAGTCCTATCAGACCGACGGCGACAACGAAGACAATGCAGAAAACGACGACGACTCCGGTCTCCTTCTGGGCCCAGTTCTCGCGCTTTGCGATGTGGCTGAGAGTGTTGCGGGCGACGAGGGCGGTGTTGATGGCAGGCATGATGGGAGGACTAGAGGTAGAAATTTAGCTTTCGTACTTTCGATAATGTGGTAGAGTATAATGAGAGAAGCTGTAGTGCATCCAATGGATGGACTGCAAGGCGGGATTTATCGCCCAAATCTTTTGATGGGAGCAATTCGCGTAATAAAAGGCGCATCGAGCTTGCAGGCATCTGCATCGTGAAGCGATGATCAACAGCAACGTGACTCCGGCGTCTCCGGCGGGTGCTACTCTCGGCAATTGCATAGAGGTAATTGCAGACCAGAGGCAATCGACCGATGGCAGGCGGACTGAATTTGAGGAGAAATTTCGCGGCATACCTTGGGGTGAAATAGACTCGAACGTCTGGTTCAAAGGGTCGTCGTGAGGGTGATGGGCGGCGACTAGTGGAGCTGAGCTCTGTTTGTTGTTGTTTTGATTAGGCTTGGAGTCGAACAGCGCACGCCTTAGACAGGACCTGTAGAATCGGGCAAGAGCGGGATGGATGCCGGGCGCAATTGAGATTTGTACAGGACGGGCGAGTTGAAGGAAGAAGTAAGAAAGCAGACAGCAGGTATATTGCGGCGACGGGGAGAGGAAACAATATGTAAGAGCTACGGACCGAGTAGCTGCGAGTCAAGACCTCAGGAAACAAAAAAAGCTTGGCCATACGGGAGACGGCACTGCGGAAGCAAACAAGGCTTTCGCTGCGCGAATTTTCACAGCGGACGATGCTCAGTGCTCCCCTAGCAAGGATATGCTTAGAACGGTGGATAAGGTCCGCTGGGAAATTGACATGACAATGTGGACGGCATAGCAACCGTCGTGGGCCGGCTGATGGATCAAGTAGGCGATATGAGCGAAATACCGAACCGGAGACTTACCGAGATCAATGCTTGACGTCCAAAGTACCAGTGTTCGATGGATAGACAGTCTCCCTTTTCAGTCGGCAAGGTTGACCGAAAAGGTAGCTTTGGAATCAAACTACGAAGTCGAGTCACGAGTCGAGTGGATGTGAGTCGGTCTCTTGTCTTCTTGCCTTGAGAAAGCGGAACCCCAATTGTTTATGGCGACGATCCAATGGCCAAAAGCCAATGTCCGAGCTCCATCAGTCTGAGCAAGGATGACACTAAAGCAATACCTTGTCTCCCTTCAGCTTCGTGCTTATCGTTTGTGTATTATTATTTTACCTGCCGACAAGTTGAATGTCCGGTCGATAAGATTTTTCATGGGGATATGAGTGAAGCGGTCTCACGAGTCAATTAGTGAACATGTAAGAAGAGCGGATGGTAACAAAAAGCTAGGGCATTGCACATGTTATCCTCACTTTAAGGCCTAATTTGATAAGCCTGGCGGCAAGTGGATGACAAGTAAACGGCGCACTCGGATGGAATAAGTACCAACGTTGTTCCAGTGTACTTCAGTGGAACATCGGGCTAATCCAATATCAATCCATCTTTCGATGCGCCGTTTATTTGTCCGAGGTTTTCTGGGGTCCTCATCCTGCTGCGCTGAAAGCTCCCAGGCGGCTTCGCCAAAAGCCGGCACGCCAACGTCACCGACAAAAGAACCCCACTCTACCCACTCGGCAAGCAGCAAGCGAGGCGCGAGCGCACTGATCAGCTGAGCCTTGGCCTGGTCGCCGTCTTGAGCCAATGGTTGGCCATGGGCCTTCTGACCTTTACCGCCCCGACGATTCGTTCAGGCGCAGCAGCTCTTCCCCAGACTTGGCGAATACTGGAGAGAGTGAACCAACCCCCCATGTTTCCTTATGTCGGCATTCAAGGGCTCTTTTCTCATCAATCATACTATTAACGCGCTGGCATAAGAGAGATGTTTCTCTCATTGGACAGAACTTAAAAACCTTCAGTTGGGAGGAGGGGAGAAGCTGCTTTTGGCATTCCCGAGGTTCAACTTCGGACTTGGACATATGCATTGTGACGCGTGATCCGAAGTCTGGGGAAACCACTGGAGAGGACACGCAAGACTGCAGGAAACTTATCTTCAAAGTTGACCCAGAGAAACAGACAAGCTTCGTCAGGATAAGGCAAACCAGTTGGATATGGGCATTTGCAAAATAGTATATTCCCATGGTTATCATCACATCGTCTATCACAGCTATCTCGCCGCTGTCCACCGGCTGCGTCCCCTCGCACCACGCCCATCTGACTGCCTCACAACTTGGCACTCTCCGCGACTGACCCAATCTTCAGCTTCTCGCCGTATTTATCCATGACCTTTTGTCCGTGGTACTTCCAAAACTGTTTCGTCGAATCTTTGCCAGCCATACGCTTCAAGATCTTTGGGCCACCGGGGTGTTCGTCGATGAACTCTATCGGAAGGGGGCAAACTGTCAGCGAGAGCGCATCTTCACACGACGCAGTCGCTGATGGGTTCGCGCTTCGAGTTCTACGATAGAGCCGTAGGAGACGCAGCGCTGTCAAACTCACTTGTGACATCGTATACACCGTTATCAATAATGATCCAGATGCCCGCAGCGTCCGTCTTGTGTTCCGCAACGTCCTTTGTGGTGTATGTTTTAGACATTGTCGGAAATGGATGCGCCAATCTACGATGGTGTCTTGTGCGGGTCGTTCGGCAGGTCGAGGTAATGGCTCTCTCTGTTAAGCAGTGCAAAAGTGATATTATCGCCGGCAAGCTTAGGTATAGTATTCACTGGTGAAATGCAGAAGTAATTACTCTTCTGTTCGACCGAAGTCGACCGCCACGAATGTCAGGAGTACAATGCGATTGACATGGACCTCGGCACGCATGGCCCAAGCAGGGATCTATGGCATTTGGATGTTAATTGGGTGCTCAGGTGCGCGGCGCCAAGGTTAACAGCTACGAATGTACCTCGGCCACTATTTGCCCAATTGTCCGATCAGAGAAGCAGCAACTGACCACAATTGTAAGGTACTGAAGTCGAATGACATACTGCCCATATTATTGATCTCTCGTAGTAATAGGTATGTGAATAAGTGGGGGTTTCTTAAGTCTCAAGACTCAGGAGGACTATAAGTGCGACTCATACAAAAATCCCGAACGTCTTCCCAACGGTAAAGTCCGACCCTTTATATAAATCTAAGACTTTGCTTTCGACATTATGACTGTGAACTTGGATCTATGTAAACTGATCTTACCAATTGGAAGAGTCAGTTTCCATCACGTGGCCACGCTCCATGGCTCTTTTGAAAGCATCAGCAAACGAAGAGATGCCTCGGCAATCACTCAACTGTCTCTTGTCTAACGCCTTGGACATCCACCGCTGGATATCCTCTATGCGACTACGGTTCTGCATCATGTTAGCACGGCAGTCTCCTGCTAGAAATCTGTTGCCGAGCAATTATGTTTTACGTACCGAAGGATGTGTGCTCATCCATTGCGGTGGGGCTTGTTGGGTCAAACGCTCCATCCTCTCCCAGAAATGCAGTGCTTCTTCCGGATCATAGCACGCCTCGGCCATCATCATCAGACCGATGTAATCAGCCTCTGACTCCTGCTTCCTCCCCATGGGCAGCGAGAAAGTCAGACCTAGTACGGTTCCACCGATCAATTGCGTGAGGAATGTCGAACCTCCAAGGGCCATCTCTATGATGCCCATGCTGCCCAATAGAATGTTCACCCCAATATTTCCCGACATGCGCTCTGCGATGTGCTGCGCGAGGTTGTGTGCGATTTCGTGTCCAAGTACCGCCGCAAGGCCGTGTTCATTCCGTGCAACCTTTAGAATACCACTATACACGAAAACCTTCCCGCCCGGCAACACAAATGCGTTGACCTGACTATCGTCGTTGATGACTCTGACCTCCCACTCCGCATTCGCCATGCCGCTGACGGGAATCAACCTCTTCATAACCCTCTTAACCATGCGCGTGCGCGGGTCGCCCTCGGACAGGAACCCGCCTTGCTGTTCAGCATTATGTATTACTAGCTTGGCCTCCCTCTGCGTGAGTTTCTCGACTCTCTCCTGACTATAGCAGTTGAAGCGCTGCCGCCCGCTCACGGGGACCGTCTCGATGTTGCTGAAGTAGAAAGCAAGGGCGCCGGCGAAGGAGAGCACCGCGATGGTGTGGGTGCGTGGCGAGCGGGCCATGCGGCCGAAGCTGCCGTCTTCGATGAACGGTTTCGCATTGCGCAGTTCCTCGTGAGGGTCTTTCTTTGGCCATGGCTTGCGGAGCAGGAGACTCGTGTGGGAGAATGTTCGGACTTGGATGCGGCTCAGGATCGGGGATGGAGAAGAAGCGGTTCGCGGTGTGCGAGGAATGTTCGGGGTTGGCCGCCGTGGCACCCGTAGTGAAGGCGCCCTTCGTGCAGCAGGAAATGCAGAAGAGAGGAGCCTGGAAGGGCCGAGCATTCGAAATGTCGACATCCTGCTCATGCTTGTTGCGGAAGTGCCGGTAATAGCCTTACGAGGCTACCTGGAGAATATTCCAGATAGTGTCAAAAAGGTGCAAAAGCGCTGCATCGCCTGCCTCGGCATCAGAAGACCTCCATCGGCAACAAGAACTCGAAGTCATTCGAGTCTTCGTCAAAGCAGGATCGCATGCTAGACTAAATATTCGGCACGTCGCCGTCACTGCTGACAATATGCAAGTCACTATCGCGAAGTAACACCCTGAGTTGTCGGGGTCATCCCTGCAAGTTTTATGTAAGACGAGACCTTGAGGCTTGGCACTACACCGTTGTCGAGTTGAAGTAAATAAGCCCGTACTACAGTACTCCCCTCTTGAGATGAACGATCAGAGGCACAGTTGAATTGATCACTATGCTCATTTTTGATGTACCCTTTCTCTTTCAAAACTCCATTATCAGCCTTGAAAAGTCGTATAACGATTCTCAAGTACATAGCTTACATATTGAATGGGGTCTCTTGAGTTTACAATTCAACTTGCTCAAGCTGCAACAATCCATATCTCAGATCTACGATTCCTAATATAATTCCGTACCCTGCACAAACTACATCAACTTCCCTTCTTCCCTTTCACAATCACCAGATCTCGCTTCCAACGAAATCTGGCCATGGCAATACCCAAATAGCACCTGCATAGACGTCATATTAAGCTTTACTATTCCTTGGCCTTCGAGGGAAATTGCAAGCGCATTTAGCCTAGCGTGCGCCCGTTCTATGCTGTAGCCGCCCGTGTATTACAACCGGCTGATGCTTAGCAACTAGGCTGCGACGTTGATGTTTAGGGGTTGCCTCGACCATTTACGTGAGCATTGCGTCTTTGTAGATGCCTTTATTATGTTCATTCCAAATGTCGATCTCGAATGCCATCATTTTTTTCTCCAACGACTTACATGGGTAGTCGCTGAGACAACACAGAATGATGAGGACAACTTCCCTCGGGCTTCTCGCCTGCTGAATCTCGTCTTCATCAGCACTCAACGTCTCAGTCCCAAAAACCATACAAGCCGGCGTCGAGACAGAAGTATCCGTCGGCTGACTTCTGGCGCGATCCCTACAAATGGGAGGACAACAAACCCGTATGCTACAATCCAACGACAGATAAATGCTCACTTGACTCTATATATGAGCACTACCGGCTCTACCTCTGCAACTATAATTGGTTGCTTTTCTGTAATTATAGAGACTTGTCATTTGGATAGCTCCAGATGCTGACACTAGTCCAGGCGTCCTAACCGACTACCTACCCACCGGCAACACACACCCCAGCATATACGACCTTTACCACCCTCGTCCACATCACATATATAGGAAACGCCACAGAGCCCACGGGCCCCGATCCTCATTATCCACATAATACCAAATGGTATCATCCAAGCTCAAGCCGCCTTCGCCGGCGGCGGCGTCACAACCGGAATCGCGTTCGGGCTCCCCGAAGCCAAGGTATCATCGCTCTTCTCCGTGTACAACTTCCCCCTGTTCTCCGAACCCGACCCGACTCTAGTCTCCTCACTAATCTCGCGCTGAGGGTGTCCCCGCTCCTCCGTGATGGGTGCCAGGAGCTCATCGGCCCCTTTCCTCACCATCCCTAAAGACCTGGGGCCACCTGTGAGCGACTACGCCGTGACCGCCATCGAATTCAACGGGACGCAAATGTACCTGCCCGACGACGGCATGGCGCGATCGTCCTACTTCAGTCTAACCGACACGTCGAGAACGAACTGGACCTCTGGGAGGAATGGGGCGGCTGGATGAAACCACTGACGGTGCCGTGCTTTGCGGATCCGTACGGAAACACGATCAAAGGGTCTACGCCGAAAATGTTCGAATGCTGGAATGCATGTCCCGGGATCAAGGCGGATCCGGTGGATCCGGACCTTGATGGGTGGGATTGGTATGTTTCTGGGGATGCCGATTTCGCTCCTCATCTGTGGTGATTCAGAGTACGACGTCCGGGAGGGCTACGGCGACGGGCACGGCGACGGATTCACTCATAGGCGGCGAGAGTCCAAATGAAACTTGATCGCCAGCAACTAGAACGGCGACCTCAGCGATTCCGGCAACGACCACTTCGTCATCCGCAGCTTCAGCCCGTTTAGTTCACTTCCAGAGACCGATCTTGGACATGCTAGGGCTGGTGGGACTGGCCATGGCCGGAAATCACTAGATAGGCTTCTTTGGAAGGGGGCAAAACTCTCAATTCCTGATCTGAGCTATCTAGAAGGGGTATGTGACAAAAATTAATAATCCTGACGTATGCAACAACGCTCCCTAATCCTCAAAGAACTTCACAATCTGCTTCAGGTCTTGCACGCCGACGCCGCGGCGCGGGTAGCAAATGTACACCTGCTCGCCAAGGGTCCCAAACTTTTCTCTGAACGCCGACTTCCTGTCCAGTCTAAGACTCTTGACAACAACCTCGTACGTGTTGGCCAGGAACTTGGCACGCACGCCGTGCAGGTATGCGCCGCGGGTCAACTTCTCAGACGCGCCCACGCCAAAGGTGACGGGTCCGTTGACACACGACATTGCATTCTCGACGAGCACTTCGATCGTGCCGTTGGGGGCGGCAGGGAAGTCGAGAGCCCATTTCAACTGCCAGCCGTTGCGCCGCGCCAGCTGGGCCAACACTACCATACCGAATACCTCGCCGTCACGCTGGGCGGCAAAGTAGCGCCGGTGCTCCTGGTCGACCCAGGGGCGGACCTCGGTCAAGTGGACTTGCTTCTTACCCTGGCGGGCGGCCTTCCATTCTTCAATGGCTTTGTCAGTGCGCAGCATGAAGTCGTCGTCGGGATGGACTTCATCAATGTCGATGCCCTCACGCTCAATTCGGTTCAAGTCGTGCTTGCTGGGCTCGATGCGGTTGTCCGGGTCGACGCGTTGCTCCTCCGTGCAACTTAGCGTGCGCCATTTGTGGTTGCGCCCAAGAATGTGTTGCACGGTGTCTGATACCAACATCCACACAGGGATCCGTTCCAGGGTGCTGTAAATATAATCGATAAATGCAGCAATGACCTCTTCATACTGGCTTTGGTCACAGAGAGGGTCACCTGTGATCATGACAAACTTTTTGTTTTGCATGGCATATCCGACAGCGGCGCCTGAATGGTGACGCCAGATCTGGAAACGTTCATCAAGCCAAGAAGTGTTCGAGGCGTCTCCGTAATTGGCAATGAGCTTCTCGACGGGAGGTTCTTCGTGGCAGTGTTTTGTCGTATCGGCTTCGGGGTGGGGAAGACTCGGAGCTTTTGCGGGGAGGGACTTTGGATCGCGGTGGAACAACGAGGCGTGCCTGATGTCCCCGAGCTCCAGCAGCAGCAAAAGAATCCGCTCCAAGCCAATGCCAGCGCCGCCGTGTGGGGGTGGGCCCAAGTCGAATGCTGCCAAGTACTCCTCCATTTCGTTCTCATATATTTTCGCTGCTCTCATGCTCTCACGAAGCAAGGCAGCGTCGTGGATACGTTGCCCTCCTGTGCATATCTCTTGGCCCCGGAGGAAGATGTCAAATGAGTTGGTCCATTGGGGGTCTTCCGCTTTGTGAGTGTAAAACGGTCGAGCATTGGCTGGGAATTTGTCGAGGATGTATAAGTCCGTGTTATACTTCTCCTTGATGAGTTCTCCGAGACGGATCTCGTCACGGGTTGACAGGTCCTCCATAGCAACGTCTCTTCCATCGTCCCGAAGCATCTGGATACCCTCGGAAAATGGAATGACCGGGGTTTCTTCAAGGAAAACCACATCCTCGCTGGGCCAGCGCTGGCGCACAACGTGGATCTCAGGCATGGACTGGGCTGCAGAAATAATTGCCTTCAAGACTTTGTCGACAACAACAATCAGCTCCGCGTAGGAGTGCTCAAGTGCCATCTCAAGGTCGAGACCAGTGTATTCCGTCAGATGCCGATGGGTGTTGGAGTTTTCGGCACGAAATACAGGCCCGATCTATTCAATTAATGGGTTAGCATCAACTACTCGCATGGTACGCAGTGGGGTCGCTCACCTCAAAGACTCTCCCCAGATCGGCGGCAATGGCTTGCTGTTTCGCCAACTGAGGACTCTGGGCCAAGAAAGCGGTACGTCCAAAGTAGTTAACCTTGAAAACCGAAGAGCCGCTTTCTGTCGCCGCTGGCTGCAACTTCGGCGTGTGAATCTCGATGAAGCCTTGGTCGTCTAGCACGTCACGAAACTGACGGGTGATCATGGAGCGTATACGCAGGAGGGCCTGGTTGGAGGGGTGGCGAATATCGAGCACACGCGCAGAAAGTCGTGTATGCATTGAATCCGGGGGCTCGTAATTGGTCCACCCCAGGTTGTTTGCTGAGTTTACCAAGTGAATGGAGTAGATATCGACCTCGACATCAGAGTGTGTAGCTGAGCGGACCGGCTCTACTGGCTTTTTGAGCGTGCCCGTCACATAGACAAGAGACTCGGGGTGAAGACGTTGAGCCCAGCGTACCATGTGCGGCGTAGTGTGAGCAAGAACGCCCTGGATCGAGTGGGTTTGGTCGCGAAACAGAATGAAGTCGAGCTTGCTTGAAACACGGCGCTGGGTGAATATCCTGGCACGAAACTCGACTTCCTGGCCCACAGACATCTCGCCAATTTCGGCAATCGTGGAGAGGTCGTGGGCTTCCACCAGTTCTCCATAGCGTGCCCGCGTCTCTTCGCTTTCGCTGGCCCTGGCGCTTTCATCTTCGATGCGCCATCGTTTCTCGATCTCTGCCTGCTCATAGCTACGTCGTTCCTCTTTCTCCTGCTTTTCCAGTCGCCTGAGTTCGTTGCGCCGTGCTGCCTTCCCTTTCTCTGAGAGGGCGTCTGTGCTACCATTCGTGCCGTTTGGCTTGAGGGATTGCGCAATGCGCGAAAATGCTTTTGGCATTGAGGGCGACATGGTGATGAGCCCAGCGACGAGCCTTCAACACCTTGGGAGCCTCGGGACTACACTGGACAAGGTAATAAACACAGAAAAAAGATATCGAAATCTGTAAAGCCCAGCACGGCAATTCTGAAGGCAGGTGCTGGCTCATACATAAATAAAGCCAAGGCAAATACCTGATCCTTTTCCGCTTCCGCGGTTGTGCCCGCTTCCACGGTTGTGCCTGCAGCGTGGCGCCATGGCGAAATGTCAGTAGCGAATACACCTGAATTTTTCGAGTATGCTGTACGGATTTCGTCATAGTTGTCAACGTCACATATTAACGTCACTATTAGATTCGTACAGTGGAACCTGAGGATCTGGTCAACAAGTGGAGCTGAACGGAGGTGTTGGTCCTGAACTATGCCCAAGAGAAGCAGGGATCCGCTGACTCCCATGACAACCCATGAACCTGCACACCTTTGGGACAACCAAGACATTCCAAGACGATACCCGTCTGCCGGGGTTCTGCTGCCAAGGCAGTTGCAAATTGGAGTAGCCCGTGGCGTTGTGGCGCTTACATATGGGCACGGAGTCGTCATATGCGCTGTGACGTCGCTACTGTGGCTCAGTTATACTTGGAAACTGCTCATTGTCCAGACTGATAATAGGGTTTCCCCGTCTGAGGAGTGAGTGTCACTTATCTTCATATTAGAATGATGCGCTGATGCAGACATGGTGTGAATCATACTCTTTTGAACCCAACACCACCGCCAAAACAACATGTCAAGTTACGCCCCAAGTGCTCTGGGAAGCGCAATACCCGCCCCTCCAATAGATGAATCTGCCCCCGGGGAAGACTATGCGAACCCATTGCAAAACGGTCCGCGATGGGCTCTTTCCGCTCGCGCCTATGCCCTCCGTTCGGGGGCTACTCTCGCATTTGGTATGATGAACTTATCATCCCCATCTCCAAACAAAACGATATGGCTTGATTCAACTCTCGGGGAATGGAAAGGCAAGGACAAGATCCGAGTAGATATTTGGGACCCCGAGCCCCCTAAGCGGGCAAAACTTCAAAGGTTGAGTTCCAAGGCTTCGATGTCGTCCAGAATGAGTACAAGATCAGCACGGTCTAAATCGAGCTTGCAGTCATTGCGGTCAAAGTCGAGCTTGAAGTCGCTCGGGTCAAAGTCAAGCTTGACATTGTCACAATCACAATCGAGCCTGAAATCAGACAATGGCTCTACTTCTGCGGCGAAAATGGCCAGCTCGTCAACCCCAGCAACACCAGCGACAGAAACGCCAGAAACGCCGTTTCCTTCAATAACCCCAACGAGCCCCAAGCGGCCCGCAATCATCAACTTCCATGGAGGTGGTTTCATTCTCGGCAACGGGACTGACGATCAGCTTTGGGCTGCCACCGTCATGAAAGCCTGCGGTGCTGTCGTTCTCTCTGTAAATTACCGGCTCGCCCCAGAATACCCCTATCCAACCCCAGTCGAGGACTGCGCCGACGCCATCCTCCAGATCTGCCGGCGGTCAGAGGAACTAGGCATTGACCCTGATCAAATTATTCTCTCTGGATTCTCAGCCGGTGCAACCCTGTCTTTGGCGAGCTGGGTTCTCCTCCAGACTCCTCAAAGATGGGGATACCAGTTCTTGGGCGTCCCACCAAAACTCCTCGGATTTGCACTCTTCTATCCCTCCCTCGACTGGACCGTCACTCGGCCCAACAAGCGTCTCGCTTGTGCGAACCCGGACAACACCCTGCCGAAAGGTATGACGGACTTGTTTGACGCTTCCTACATCTGGCCCCCTATCCCCAGATCCGAGCGTTCTGACCCTCGGCTTTCGCCCGGCCTCATGACTGATGACCTTCTCCACCGGTTACCGCCTGTCAATCTGTGCTTGTGTGAGTATGACATGCTGCTTGCCGAGGGACAGCGATTCGCGGAACGACTAAAGGCACAAGGCAAGGAGGTCTCGGTGCGTGTAGTAGAGAAGGAGAAGCATGGGTGGGACAAAACGCCTACACTGTTCGCGAAGCAGAATATTAAGGTGGAATACGCACACGCAATTAATGTCTTGACAGGTTGGCTTGATCGAGAGAAGAGCTCACGATTGAACGTCAAGCTATAAGAGGAACTGCATTCAATCCAGGCTGGACCTGGGAGTTTTTGTATGGATATGTTAGAGTTTCTGGGCAGTTGGCGTTGATAATGTATGAATATTTTGGGTTTATCGCGTCTTCTGACTTTAATGTGACTTCAATGGGGTGAGCCAAATTTCTACGGTTAATACGAATATCCAGAGTATCAGGGTAATAATTTGGCGGATGTGCCATAACCGCACATGAACGTACTCGACTATGGCACGGTGGTGGCGTGCAACAATACGCTGACAAATTGCGAAAATGATAACATGCCTCCCTATAACGACATCATGTCAGTAGGTTTATGTAGTAAAGCATATCGTGAATACCGTTGATGTCAGCTTGCCATGGTCCAATGAAGCGACTGCGCCTAGGGTCTTCCCAGAGTGGCCCAATAGAGGACCTCAACTCAAGCATACAATGCCGAAGACGGGATGACACACTGTTAACTTCCTACGTTTGTCTAGGTCTACAGAATCTCAGCCCAATGACTTATGCGACTACTATTGTGGAACCCGAACGTTTAGTTTTACTGGAATACGTCAGGATATCTCAGAAGTCGTGGATCAGTTTTAGCATTCCAAACATAATTACGGGCATTGAGTTTTAGAGAGGGACTAATTATTCGCGCTTTCTCTACAGGTATGTTATTATCCATTTTACTCGTGCCCAGTGACCCCTTTATAGATATCGGAGACGTAATTGGCCTTTGAATGATCACCCATACAGTTAGTTTCACTTAGGAGTCAATACCGCACGTGTAGGGAACTAATACCTCTATCAACCCCTGTCTGCTTTTGCATCGTAAGTATTTGCACATGTAAAATATCCTATTGGCTATTTACATGATTTTTGTGAAATTGCAACTTCTCTCCACTATAGTAGATTGTGAGCCAGCACCTTTTTGCACCTGGAGAAAAAGTGCCTCAAGCTTCCCTTTATAAATAATTTTTCACTGCCGGTCTAACGTAAAATTCTGGCTCCTTCGTCTCGAAGCCCGCCATAGTCCCGTAGATACAGTCTTTCATCCGCTGCTCATCCTGCTCTTTCACCATAGCAGCATTGTATGGCTTGTCTGAAAATGTAACAAGGCGGTTGCCCGCCTCGGTGGTCTCGCTCAGATATATCTGGCTTCGTGCTCGAAGCAGCCCTTGGTCTGTCGTGTTTCGACGGATACTAGCAGTGACGCCATCGAGTATTCTCTGGGTCTTGAAGATCAGTTGCTTCCACTGCAAATCAGGTCAACTGATGGAACCGCAACCCCGTATCAACGATGAAGTCGTTGGACGTGATTGGACCATTTTGGGCGTCCGAGGCTCAGGGTGGATCAAAGTCAAAGGGTACGATCGAAATATTCGTATGTGCAATTTTTCAACTCTTGCTCGTAAGTGAAGTATTTCACATGAGTGTTTAGGTTCTTGTTGTCAGAAATATGGCTGGACAACATGATTGTCCTTATACAACAGGCGGGGGCAAATCTGCCAGACATCTAGCTAGCTGTTGAACAACTGGCACGTTGGCGCTGACTTCCACTGCTTTCAATCATCTTTATGAGGAGCAATCATGCCATCAGCCTTGATCAGTCGACAGCGTATGATCGAAGGAGGCGGTGGCAAATTACTTGATATAATAGACAGTAATCTCCAAGAGGAAATGCTCGGGGCTCTTTCGACCCGCTACGGGCTGTTAATGACCTCGCAACTCATGCAGTGACCATGCCATCATCTGTAACTAGGCAGGAACAGACACTCAGCCGGCAATTGATGTGATGTAGCATAACTGAGTATAACTCATCGCCCAAGTTCCTGTTCGCGGACATGCATGCGATCTCTAAAGTGTTAGTAAGGCGTTCCAAAGACAGGCCATAATCGAAGGTTGGTATTAGTGGAAGTAAATGTAAACCTGGCATATCAATTTCCCTGTGCTTTCTGTCCATTTTCCCGACTTGTCCGTGAATGGCAGATTGGGTCTTGGTTGAGTTTGCCTCTGTGGCGACCACGGCAACTCGCACACCGAAAATCGGTTGTACCACAGTCAAAGGGAGAATTCGGGTCGTAAAATGAAGGCTTTTCGTTCCTCTTCTCATTCCATCTGCATGGAATGAGATATTTAGGCTGTGTTAGGTGTTTCTATCACGGTCAGCCGTTTCTGATTGTGGGCCTCTACTATATGTTCCGATTCTAGCGGGCTTCTGTGGATAAAGAAGCGAGAGGCTGCGCGCGAGTATTTGAGTTCTCCTTGACTTAAAGCCTTGCTTGGTCAAGGTGACAGGACCGTCAAGTATATAGTGATAATATAAGCATCATTTCGGTGAGGTTGGAGGTTTGTGCCACCAGATACATATGATTTGTTCATTAAATGAGGGAATTGGCAGGTGGCAAAGTTCATATGGCGTGGAGCGACACTACAATTACGCATCAAAGTAAAGGTTCAATATGATTTTGATGATGCCGATATGCGGGACTGTTTCCGACCAGAGACATGCTTCACATGAGCAATCCGCCGGTGCGATAAAATGGCCTTTGAAGCCCTTGGGGGTGAATTTTGGAAAGCAACCCACAAAGCCGGAAAGGGGAAGACCAATTATATGGATTCCTAAGCAGCATTCTTCAACAAGCGTGCTGTTATCACTATTGTCCCACGTCAAGAAAGGCGTAGACGACATAAAAGATGATAGGTCTGACGAAGAACCAAATTCTGTCGCTGCTAATCAAAGCCAACAGACGGAGCCGGCACGGAAAATAAGACTAAAATGGTACACGAGGGACGAAATAAAAACAGAACCAAGAGTCGGAAACAACAACGAAGGCACACAGACTTGAGGAGGTTATACTGGAAAGCCATCGTAGTATTGAAGACGTAGATGGACTCATCAGCGACTATCTGATGGCTGTCAGTGCACTAGTACAGAAACTCGGGAGTAGATATAGTTAATACCCAAAAGAAGCCACTTGAATAACTGTAAATGTTATGGCAATAAAATCTGAGTTATGTTAAATGAGCCCAACCAGCGTATGAGACCATAACCATCTGAGGGATGAGATGCAGGGTGGTGGTATAGGTCACTGTTGAGCGAACCTACCCTGTGCGAGCCCCCTGTAATGCACAGACCATACATAATGAAGAATACCTTCGTCTCCCAAATCTGCTCTATCCTGTTCGCAAATGATTTCATTCAGCCTTTTCCTGCAATAGAGCTGACAGCCCTTTTTGCATGAAATCGAAGTATTTGATCTCGGAATAATGAACGCTTCATATAGCGTTTTTGAACCAGTTTTATTCAACATTGGCCAGGACTTGGACCATGGGAAAGCTTCTCAGCACCGCTAACGTAACTCCTGAGTCACCCCGCATGAATCATAATGTATCACTGCATCCACCGAGTATTCACACCTGCAAAAAGGGCTGAAACTACCCACACAATGCTCTGCCACCATCCGCCGAGTGGACTCAGCTCCAGAATTGTCTGGGTTCGAGCATTGGTGATCTTTTATTGGTCCAAGTTGACTCTAAATAGTAGCTGAAGAAGTCCAAGCGTTGGAGCTGTGCTCGATTCTACTATAAACCTCTGCAATACCCGTCAAGTATTGTCTTTCATCAACTGTCACACCAGCCAAGCTCCTCTTTCTGTGAGCAGCAGATTTCCCAGTTGACATTTCATCGTTATTTCCACCACGTTTTCAACAACAGGACGGCTATATTTATTTCCCCCATTATGGCGGCCGCGGAAGCTTCACCACGGACGAAGAGCGTCTCATTCGGCTCACATGACACAGCGTTATGTATATTCCCCCCACGACACCTGTGGGGCTCGATTGACAGGCTGCGGATGCTGTATGACAAGGCGTTCGAAAAGTGGCCGCCTCATGTGAATCTCATCTATCCCTTTGTGGGAGTGGAGAGCCTACCAGCAGCGTCAGATTTAATCATCTCACACTTCCAATCGAAAAGGGCCGCAGCGGACTATGAGGAATTGCGTGTCCGTCTAGACTGTGTAGGTGTATTCCCTCATCGACAGGACAACACCATTTCCATCTGTGAAAAAGAGGAGGAGAACCAGACAATGCTGGAAGAAACGAGGAAGGGCATTATGGAGGCTTTAGGACAAAAGCCAACCCCTTGTCGCATGCATATGACCCTGGGCCAAAGCCAAGATCACAACTCCTTCCCGCACAAATCTCTCTTACACAAGGCGTCTTTGCTGCCTGCCATTGAATGGGAGGTCAACGAGCTCTGCATTTTGGTACGGGAGAGGACGCACATCAACGACAACGCTTCGAGCGAGATGAAACTTTGGGGAACGATCGAGCTCAAGAACCTAAGTATCTCTCGGATCACGACACCCGTGGGGCTTTATCCCGCGGACAAGGAGCAAATACATCGCCACAATGACGACGAAATGGGGACAGAAAGCTGTTCTCTGAGCTGGAGGCCGTACGTATTCTCGAATGAATCTTTTCGCTTGTATACGACGCCAGATCAACGCAAACCATCTCCGGATTCACTGAAGTTGGCAAGCTACAATGTGCTGGCTGAGTTCCATCATCCCCCTTCTCAATCACGATATGCCCTCATTCTCAAGAACCTGCAAGAACATTCTGCGTTATCAGATGTTCTGGTTCTGCAGGAAGTTACCGACGACTTTTTGTGCTATCTTCTGAGAGATGGCAATATTCGAGGATTATATCCCTTCGTATCGAATGGACCGCCTGATCAGTCAGATGTGGACCCGCTGCCTAGTCACTTGAATGTGGTCGTGCTGAGCAAATGGTCTTTTAGTTGGGATTGGGTCTCCTTTCGACGACACAAGGGATTCATTGTGATCAAATTTGACGACATTGGCAAGGCCGAAGGCGATTCCTTCATTCCCTTGATCCTGGCAGCGGCGCATCTTGCATGTGGACTTACTGACGGCTCAGTCGCGGCGAAGAAGACGGAACTCCAGTCTATTCTCAGCTATCTGTCCAATAATTACCCACAGAATCCATGGGTACTGGCAGGCGACCTCAACATTACCACGAGCGCCTACACAATCGAAGCAGCGCTGAAGAAGAAGGCAATCACACCACAAACAGCCAAGTATCTTGTCGATCTGGAGGAGATGTTGACTGAGTCGGGACTGGAGGATTCGTGGGTCGTAGCTCGACTTGACAATCTCGACTCCACGGAGCTCGAAGAAAGCCGGCAACACCTCCAAGAGGCCTTCGAGGGTGAACAAGGGGCTACTTTCGACCCGACTGTAAACGAACTTGCCGCGAGGATTGTTGGGAGTAGGTTCAACAACCGGCCACAGCGGTATGATAGGATTTTGGTCAAGGCACCCGATCTATTCTTTGTGGGCGGCTTCAATATGTTTGGATTCTCCCGTTGTGAAGAAGACGAAACTGCGCCAGAGAATACTTATGCCAGCGACCATTGGGGGGTCAGGTGTTCGCTGAAGTGCACGGCTGGAACTTCGGAACTGGCAGAGGAAACGAGCAAGTTACTTGTTCCAGTGCACCTCAAATCAGCTTCAGAAAGTCTCTCGGACATGTCCAATCTGAAGTCATGTTTGGTTGATTGCAATGTCTTTCCTTCCAACGCCGATATTACGAAGGGGCAGCAAGCTCTCCAGATACTGCAAGATGCAATCATGGGGACTGACCGGGACAGAGCTGCTAGCCAAGCCCGGTCCAAGCTATCCCTTGTCTTCGTACCAGTCGGTTCCTATGGCCTTGGTGTATGGACTTCCTCATCTGACATCGACTGTCTCTGCATCGGCCCCGTCAGCTCCAAAACATTTTTTTCTCTCGCCGTCCAACGACTCCGCAAGGCTGCTTCAAAGGGCGTCGGCATCCGTGTCCTGCGCCGCGTCAACGCACATTCGGGAAGCATGCTTGAGCTCGAAATTCAGGGTATCAAGATGGACCTGCAGTACTGTCCCTCAGCCTGGATAGCCGAGACCTGGCCACAAGCCTTGCGAATACCCGCCAACAACCCAGCATGGATCCTCCCGACCCAGATTCTGTCGAAACTGAAGCCTACCCGCGACTTGCACTACCTGCGCCGCACTCTCCCTGACCTCGCAGCCTTTCGCATTGTATACCACCTGATCAAGACGTGGGCCAAGCGTCGCGGCATCTACGAAGCTCGGTTTGGGTACCTGGGCGGGATCCACATATCGATTATGCTGTCTCGGGTCTGCAAGCTTCTCGCTCGCGACGCCAGGTCCGTTTCTGTGCCGGACATCATTTCGACGTTCTTCAACCATTACGCCCAGTTCGACTGGAAAAAAGACATGGTGTTCGATCCTTTTTTCCATAAGCGCCTTCGCTATGTGAGGACGGCGAGGGAGCCCATGATTATTCTCGGGATTCACGCGCCAGGTTTGAATGTGGCGCATAGTGCCTCTTTGCCGTCTGTTAGGACTATTAATGAGGAATTTCGACGAGCGGACAGGCTTCTGTCGGATGATGGGATGACTTGGTCTCGATTCCTTGGAGATATTGACAACTCGACTGCACATAGGCTTGAAGATGGAGCCTCCGACTTCTTGAAAGCCTACAAGAGCTACGTCAGGATTGATGTCCAATTCTGGGGCACATCCCTGGGAAAGGGAAGCCAATTCGTCGGCTGGCTGGAGTCCAGGTGCGTCATGCTGCTCGTCGGTAAGTAAATTCTTGCCCCCACCACAATCTTCACCGACCTGAATTTCCATGCTGTAGATCTCAACCGCCGACTTCCGAAAATCCACGCCAGAATCTGGCCTGTACGGTTCGTTGGCCAGGAATCCTCCTCCTATCAGGAAGAAAAGGAATACCAAGGCTACTACCTCATCGGCCTGGATGAGTGGGAGACGGCCAATGGCCAGGAAATGACGAAGGACGACCTCAAACTCGCCCTCGGCTCGCTGCAGACCGTCTTGCAAATTTTCGAGGGCCAGATCCGGGGAGATGAAAAATACTTCGATTCTAAAACGTCATGGATGAGCGCATCAGTGGTCAAGCAATCCGAGCTGGGTAGCCTACGACTTGACGGTCGGGAATGGGGTGAATACACTATCGGCCAAGACGAGTCTGAAAGCGATGATGATTCAGATGAAGACCATACCACTCGGGACGACGACAGTGAAGCAGAAACTTCAACGACCAAGAATTCCAAGAAGGTCCCTAAGAATGCAGTCATCAGTCCGGTCTACGAAGGCAAGCTCCGAACGTCGGCAGATGTGATGAATCGCCTGCGCTGGGATCCCAGCTTGAATAGTAGTGATTACCTCGTAGGGTATCTGGACCGGTTTTTGGGCGTGAAGGAGAGATCGTTGGATTCGTGGAAGACTGAGCAGTCGGACGAGGAGTTCATCCCACAGCATCGAATACTCTATTTCAAGCAACGTAGTGATGGCGTGGTTGTTTGGGATAGGAAGGCGAGGAGGGACGATATCTTTGGGAGTGGCGTGAAGGATTGAATGCAGGTTTAGTCGGTCCACCCAATGTTCATTAGTTACCTGTAGGGCGTTACGGGACTGCAGTGTAATTGTCGCATGTCGAAGAATCTCTCGCAGGTTTCACACTCGAATTCTGACCAGTGCCTACGAGCATTCATGTGCTGCTCGACTTCACGCTGGCTGTTGAAGTACCGCTCACATATGTCGCACTCGAAGAGAGGGATGTCGTGGCTCGTGGCTCGTGGCATTGAGAGGCTTCTTGTGGGAGTAGAAGCTGTTAAACCAGCCACCGCAGGTATCGCACATGAGGAAAGACCCCATCTGTAGGAGTGCATCTGATGGGCACCCGGGAATTAGCTGGATCATATACCGGTTCACAGAACTGATTCAACGAAGAGATTGGGATTTGGACGAGACGATTTCCAAAATTTAGGTTTCCCAGAACGGATGATGACTTCAGGGTGGACGACGCCGCTGCCCCCAAACCAGACTGCATTGCATCTTCTCAAACTGAACCTCTTCTAAGTCACGCAAACTTTAGAACTCAAAATAGGAAGACAACAACCAACTGTAGTCGTCCACGACAAACGCCACATATTGTGAACGGTTGGCCTCACTCCAATCCTCTCATCGAGATAAAGCGCTCTTTCCGCTGTTTCACAGGACACCCTGCTTCGATTTGACTAATGCTCGAAGTTTGAAGCGCCTGGATTCTATAACAAATGGTGAATAAATGGCTCAATTGAAGCAATACGTCTAGAAAAATACTTGGATGTTTGGGGCATGACAATTAAGTACGCATTGATGGGCACCAGGAATGCAGTTCTGTCTGATCTATGATATATAAGATACAAGTTGGATGGCCATGCTTCCCATTTTCTTATTCGAAGGTGAGGCAATATTAATCCTCCATTGCCGCTTTTTCATGTGCTGTTATAGCAGGTATTCTCAGGAGGTGGCGTGAATTATATGCCAATGGCAACTGACTGTACGTGGATAGAACCAAGAGTCAAACAAGTAGGGCTGTCACCAGAGGGACAGGCTAGGCAGAGCATCGTTTCTCGCAGGCAACATCTCAGTCAGAGGCTCCGTAGACGGAAGGAAAGCTCAGCGTCGTTCGACGAAGAACAGCACACGGTGCAGCTCGGTGGACTCTTGATGACTGCCGTCTCCATCGTAATGGAATAGACTTGCACTCAGGGCCTTGGAAACCATGAAAGTACAAGAGCAGCGTCGACGACATGTGGTATGTTATCGAATAGCCCCACGTGCACTGATGATGTCGTAAAAAGATGGAGCCCTTGCGATGTTAGGCCTGTAAGTTGAGCTAAGAGAAAAAACATAATTTCAACGACAAAACCTCCTTGCCTTCAACCATTCCAACTACACCAATAAGAAGCTGAATAGAGGCTGCAGCATCCATACTTTTATGCAGGGGACTGGACTTACACCAAATATCATTAACCCTGGCGGATGCATTGCCAGTGACATCCGTCGATAAAAAAGCTCGGTGGGACCACAGATGCACCCATCTCAACCGATTCCTTGAGCCAAGGGTGGTCTCATTCGCATCCACCTCCTACCCAAAGGCAGCGTTGCAAGCTAGACAGCACCGTATCAACTCCATATATCCGGGCCTCTCTGATCAACTGTGGTCGTCACGGATTTATCCTCTCCTATGGAAGGCAAGCTCGTGCGTGGGCAACGGGTACGACGGAATCCCTTACCCAGTGTTGCTTCGCAGCGTTACTTCCCGGTGCAAGGTCGTGGGGGGTTGCATACTAAAGGACGCTCAGGGGGACGGTTAGTATTGAATGGGGAATAACAGGAGAAGCAAGCAGATTATAGAGTTCCCGTCGTCGCTCAACGCGGCAAATATTATAATAATTGCTCTTCCTACTGGATCAAAAAAAGCTTTGTCCTTGCTTGTAAACATGACTGCCGGAGGCATGGGATCTCCATCCCACACTAATTTGTGGATTATACCATTGGATCGCCACGAGCGGGAGAGCTTATTGCTCGCTTGCGGGAGGGTGGGCCGATAGAGACAGCCAACGGCCTCTCCCCTCTCCTTCCCTGTCTCCTTGATACTGATCTCCAGATCATACAGTTGGTCGCCTTGTCGTCGGGTACATAAGTGGAGTCCATATGGTGGTGAGCGGCGGGTGGTCACTATGGGCAATCGGATAATGCCTCGGTTGAAGACGTGCCCTATCAGGGGACGACACGATGGCGGTGAGTAGTTCTAAGACGAAGCTTCGAGAAGCCATTTCTTGGGACTGAGATGCACCTGTCGAAGCTGGTCGTAGATGGGGACAATGCACATTTTTCGATATCTGCTGTTGAGGCGTGTGGACCTTCCAGTCACGGCCCAGACAGAACGCCGTCTTGTGATAAGAACGTTACAACATATGCCGCCGTGTCAGATCTTCCTCCAGAGGATTGGACGGGTTGTAACGTCCCGTTGACGTACCGTTACTATGTTATGGGGCACTGGATTGAGATGGTTCTATTATGATGTCACGGAACGGCACGGAAAAATGGGTGCCGTTGGTGAGAGAAGTTTCATCTCTTGGCAGCATTTGGGGGCCCCAATTGACATTGAAGAACTTTATGCTGTGGGAAATTCACCTGCTCTGAAAGGGCAGGGAAGTACTGCCTCGAGGATCAACGCGCCAGATAGACATTGGACCTGGGATCCTATTCCATGGGTGGCTGTGAGCAAGGAATATTCTTTGATATGAGAAGGGCTTATTCTTTGTGCTGTCAAGAATACTAATACTGTATTCAGGGTCAGAACAACTAGTCCGAACTGCCGTAATTTGACCCGACCTCTCCAGTGGCTACATGTATTGTCGGACCCCAAATTTGAAGACCCACAATCATGGTCTGTCACAAACCTACGAAGGTCGATGTCTCCATGCTTATCGACCAACGTCTATTGTGCCTGGGGTGGGAAACTAGGTCCGGCCATGCGAGAGTACTTAATTACTCTATTAGGAGAGTCGCTGGGTGTCACATGTGACGCCATCCCGAAAGCCATGACAGTAGGGAGAAGTTCGGGGAGACGCTCCACAGTATTGGCTTCTCTGAAACAACGGCGACTACTGAAGACTTGGGATGAACACTACCCAGCACCCCTCGAGCGGGGCCGTTGTGGGAGACTCGGAGAACTGTTAAAGTAGGCTCATGCCATTGTAGTCGGACGATCTTGCGTCAAGACTCACGACTAAGTTTGATGTTGAGTTGAGTTCCTCAAGTTAAGCCGAGTACCATCAACACGCGGTATGCCAATCTTAGGCGACAACCTGTGTCAACTAACGGACACCCGGAGATTTATCAGAGTCAGTTAGCTTTTACGTGTCAGCAGTAACAGTACAATCGTGCGTTGTGAGTAGTTTTGACTTGACCCTGTTGGATGGACCGTGTCCGCAGAGGGTCCGCCGGTGCAGGGTCCAGTGGATTTGGCCGTGCCACTACATGACATCTGAATTCAGTTGCATCGTTGGTGTCCACCTCGAAAGTTTTGATCCGCGCAATTGGAAATCCTGGGCATTGGGTAGCTGTTGGCAGAGGGCTTGGTGTCCGCTTCCGCTTCGGGAAGGAGGCTCAAATGGTAGCCAAACGACGAGCAACGCCAGATTACGCAAGAGATACGACAAGTCATGAGGTCTCCTGACATCAGATTAGCATATGCAAGGAGATCGGAGTGCGATTACTTACATACGGCAAGCCAGAGGTGCAGTGCAGATGGTGAGGCAAGGTATCAACCAAGGCATTAAACAAGGCAAAGCGGCAGCAGTCAAGCTGCAAGTAGGGCTTAACGGGGCTCGTCAGCCCAACCACGGCTAATGGCTTGGGAAATGCCGGCCAAGCAGCAATTTTTATCTCGGCTCAAAATTCCAACTAACGTATCAAACAATGGATACTGTCGAAGCGACGATTCATTGCTGTGATGACACTGCATATAGCAATGGCGAGTCGCGATGATGCGCCATGGTTCACGATGCATGATGGTCCGTCCAATGAATACCTCGCAACTTGGTGGGAAAAGCGATTTCTCTTGGCTTGCCGGATGGCACTGTTCCTCTGGAAAGACCCAATCTGGCATTCCATCAATGTTCACCGCCTCGAAAAACGATTGTGTTGACTCCCTGGCATCGGCTGTAAGTGGACCTTCAGAATTTGGTAATGCCTCTGGGCGAAGATAGTTGACTGCGACCCATCGTCCATGACATTGTGGGCAGGCAAGGACAGGCTCGAGATCCAGTTGCACGGGTCTGGGACCTCATCTGCCTTGGAAACGGCCTGAAGATCATGACGGCACACGACCAGTCATCGTCGACTCTCGGGACGAGGAGTCCATCACGAGTCCCAAATGCTTGCGCAATTGTGCTGATCTCAGTGTTTTGAGGTCAATCAATTCCTGTTTCACTCGGTGCCATGTTTCAGGAACTTATGGAACTTGAGAAGACTCTTGTAGAAGTTAGAAACACGGACCAACTGCGCGATCTGCTGCAGCAATGGCAGTCGCCCGAAGAGGAATACCAGATCCGCTCACATTCCCCCCTCCCCCCACTTGGAATTGGAGTTGAGCACCTGCACAAATAAAACTCCACCAGGTTTGGATAATTATCAATCATCGTTGTAATTCCTCATTTTCTCTTATTAACCCCACGTGCACAAGCCTTGGCCGCCTGGCACGCGGCTGGAACGGGACGAACAGCGCCGTCCCGTATTTTATTTTGCTCAATGCGGCGGCGACCATTTTTGACGGCTTAACCACACGGTATGATGAGTCTTCGCTTGACAACCGATTTCGCTGCGAACTTGAATCGCAGTGATGGGGATGGCGGCTTGACATATCCAATCACGTTACGAATCAGCCCCCAGATCCTTCAAGTATGGTGCCATCAAATTTGGGCAAGCAAAGACGGGTTAAGGGAACTCGAGGATTGGTTGGTGCGAGGGAACCGGGCCAAGCCAACTAGAATGAAGATTACCGCCATCGAATATTCCAAAAGGGCAGAGCTTACCATCATCGTGCAGCGGCCGACTGCTGACAATCCCCACTACTCACGTGTTGGTAGTATGTAACGATGCTTCCTGAAGCACCCGAGGAGAGTCCGTCGCAAGGACGAAAGGGAGTCTGTCTGACTGAAATTACCTCGACTGATGACACTCCGCCTGTCGTCTTCTCGCATGCTGATGACCCATCGCCAGTCCTACGATGACTTCCTTCCTTTCGCTTCCCGAGAATGGTGACTCAAGCAGGATCAGCTCAGCTGGCTTTGCTGCGCTTATTGCCAGCTCATCGGCGGCTGCTTCTTGATGGCTCAGTGCATGCATACAGCGAGGTTGCCTTACGGCCGCCTTCTTAGCCTTCAAATTTGAAACCATTCATGAAAGAGTATTCGCACGTCTACTACGTACGCGTCAAGTATTGGTTTCGGACACCCAGTAAATGGTCTACGTTCCTTATTTACAGGGCCCGGCATTGTAGGGTAGGGCAGACGACAAACCCCGCGAGTGTATCGTCCGAATGACAGACAACCCCAAGAACTCCCCAGTCTCTCCAAATTCCCCTTGTACCCATTGACGGCGGCTTCACCGGAATCCTGACTTCTCGATGGGGAGTGCAGCTTGGGGATAGGTTGCACCGTTGCACGCACCTAATAAGGCGGAGTCCTTCTACTCCTGATGAAGCAGGCGGTCGGCCTATCTGCAAGGACAATATCCAACATTGAAAATTGCGCTATGCAGGAGTTTAAGCAACCCTCGTCCAAGACAGGGGCTAAGAACACCAAGAACATCGTCGCTTCTCTCGTACCTGTACACCTGCAACGCGAGCAATATGTCGCATGGATGGCATCACTAATACCTGCAGCCACAACAAACCTCACCTTATTTCCTTCTCCCGCACGTCCTCCACCCTAGTCCAGTGTCTGTTTGGCCACATTTCCCCTCGTCCTGGTCCAAACCCCTCACCCGCGCTCAGCGGTCCCTCCTTTCGACCATTGGTATTAGTGGCAGATTTTTGGGGAAAAAGGCACAAGTCACACAACAAAGGAGAAAGGGATATCTCCAGTCTGATCAGCCCAGCCGTGACTGTGATACATGGTGGCTCCACGTCGTTGTATTTCAATGTCCTGTCTCTCGTGACCCATTCGTTGGTTCCACACCGCATTTCCCCATCGTTGACGCCCGACTTGGTGACATTACCTATCGCATGCCCTGTGCTTGGTGAGATTGCCATTTGTAAGATTTCTCAATTTTTTTTCTTCTCTGCCTCCCAGGCGCCTTGTCCAATCAAAGTTCCGTGCCACGTCTATACGCCTGGCATATAAAGTTGGTCTCATCCCAGAGGCTCTGCCAAAGTTTGGGAAAAGATCGCCAATTCCAACCTTGCGCTCAACACTCAGAATACTTAAACCTTTCATTCCCCCGTCCGGACTTTCCATTGATAGACTCGAGTGATCCAACTTGTTTTTCAAGTCCTGTTATCGAACCACTAGCACTGCGCAGCAACAACGCATATTACCCTCCCACTCTTCAAGTACAGCTCAACTATCAACCACAACAACACTTTCTCTCACAATGTGCGTCAAAGAGCACCAAGAACTTGTCAACCACTGTTGCACTTTCTGCTGCAAAGCCGTTGACTTCGGGACTCATGACTACTGCGGTAGTAATTACGCCTGCCCGAGATGTCCAAACTAAGATGCGTTCGGTGTCAGCTGCAAACCACACGGCAGCTCTAGAACACCGTCTAAGCTGACCGGTTTCACACACGTTGTGGGCGGACAGTTAATTCGTCCTTCACAATACCCACACACTCGAGGAGATACCCGGACGTCATGAGCCAGCCTTTTTCTTCAACAATCGCAGGCAGAGAAGCGCAGGGGAAAACAAAGCCGCAGACGCAGTGCCTCTTCCATCAGCCTGTGTTTCTCTCTTACATGGTCCCCTTGCATCTACCTCATTGACCCTCTGCACTGCACCGCCTGCAAGGCTGACAGAGGCGCACCAAAGAAGTACCAGCCGACGCCTGGTGTTACATTCTGCAGGAGCTGCATCATGCACCGCAAAAGCTATACACAGCGCGGAGACTGGACTGCAGCGACTCGACGCGTAGCACTTATCGCTACCATCGTCTCTCCACCGCCGCCCTTTCTTTCCTCATACTTTGCACCCCAGCCTCATGTATCCATACCTCGTATATCATTCTTTGCATAGTTCAGCAGTGCTGGGATTACTGGGATATTGAATCAAGTTGGACGCTTGGGACTGCCATCAGCGTGGGGACGGCATTCACATTGGCTGCAGGAACGGAGTCATTTTTTTGGCGCGAGGGATCTCCTTTTGGTCTTGTCGGGCTTTCCTTCCTCAACCCCCACACTTGCACCGCTTCTCCGGATCATTTCAGCTCGCCGCTGCGCACCTCGTACTTTGCCGGTCTGTAGCGGGGCTACGGTTATTAGTTTGGGGTTTACAGCGGGCTCGGGATCGGCGGTGTCCGTGTGATTGGAATGCTTTGGCTAGTGACGATTACGATTAGGATGGCAATGGCGAGAATGACGCCAGCTCTCTTGTTTTCTTTTTGAGACTTGGGGATCTCATCATCGGCCGCTCTTGCATTTGTGAAGGGCTTGGGCAATGTATGTGGGCATTGGGGCGTCATGTACAGTGGGATTACCCTTCGAGGGTAGCCTAGAATTCTTATCTTTCCTTGCCCGGCGGAACGGGGGCTACGGATGAGGAAGTTGTCTTGTCAAAATGATACCATTGAACACCGCCATTTGGTCCGTCCGCGTGGTGCCTATCAAAGAAAATGCCCGAATCCATGCTCGGCCTCACTGGGCTGCTCTCCTACCAGTCTCAGCTGTAGGCAGAATACAATCAACGGACGGAAACGCAGCATTATGTCAGCACAATCCGTCGCTCATGCAGGCGTGGTGCACACCTGTGGCAGTGGGACAAGAGCACCGAAGAGATGCACGAGTGGGAGTTGGAAATCGTCCATCGGACAACAACGTATGACGTGTGCAGGCAGATCAACATACCAACGTCAGCACGGAGATATTTACCCTTGCGGACCCCACGTCCAAAGATTATAGAAGACGTTCTGTAGCACCCTGGCAAACACACGCGTCACAAGAGACCTACCACATCAATAGTGTCCCTCCGCATGTCACTCATAAGAATAAGTATGCACTCCTCATTCCCCTTTTCGCTCTGTTGCTGCTATGATCCTGCGCGAGGCCCCCCAGTTGTTCGTCAGATTAGCGTGGTAGCGTGAATCAACACCCCCTGCAACGCCAGATACATGATTAAGTTAGTTCTTTAAGGTGTGCAAAGGGACCAGCATCTCGGTGAGATAAGAGGACCCAGAGTTTGCCCGCGGCCAGCGAGCCCTGCACTTCGAACGCATGCAGGATATGTTGGCAGGCATTTTTGTTGTTTGCAGGACGGACTAAAACCAGCAGGTACTTTGGTAATTATAAGATCGACCGCAGAAAGCCAAGCTGCAGCAATCCTGCATTTGCATGTCTTGGGCAGACGTTAACCAAAAGCTGGGTCGGGGGATTCTTATCTGCACCTTGACTAATGCAACTCGCAAGGCGTACGTGGTTGATCACTAAACCAATATCAGCCTTGGCGTCTGGCCCCCCCCCCTTCTCCAGCCGTGTAAGCGGCTGACTTAGAAGCTGCGAAGATCAACGATGTGGCTACCTAGTATAGTTGAGTGTAAGATGCGAGGGGACCCAATCAGCAATGGAGAGGTATAGCGAGGCTAGGAGACATGGGGCTATACAGACCCCACTGCGACTGATAATAACAAAGGAAGAGACGACCTGTAGATTCAAACCCTGTTGGGGACTGAACCACATATGCGCGCTCCTGCATTATGCCGCGACGTCTCTCGTGGTTGAGGCTCCTACGCTAGAATGCGACTCTACGATTACAAGGCTGTTCGAGGATTGAGTGGGTGGCGTTCGTTCACCTAGGTAGCCAGACCGGGCCCAAGGTCAAGTGAGGGGCAACGGCAACTTGGGGGTGGGACCTGACTGGAGACAGCTCATGCAAGTCGACCAAGTCGTCGACAAGAGCAGACGCCAAACACGGCAATTGGAGGCTTCCTAGCTAGATGCAACTCTAGTTCAGTTGAAACCGGTCTGGGGGCAAAGGCCAAATAATAACCAAACCTCGAAATCAGGCCAGTTTCCAACCATCACAGCAGCATTGCAGGTGGAAATGAGAGTTGTAAGTCTGACCGCAAAGGTCGCAGTATGCATACAGTACATATTATATTATAGCCTTGTATCATCTTCTATCATATCGCACAGCGTCGCGTATGTAAGTAGGTAGAGCTTAGTCCACAAGTACTAGCTCACCAAGTTGATTCCCCCCCGCGCATCTTTCTGCGCAATGATCTATCTTTCGCTGGTTACACCACAGTAAGCCCCTCGACCTTTGGCCTATGACCATGACTCCCGGTTGTCGTCTCCAATGGCCGGTCGGCCCGAAAGTTGGTATCGTTCGAATGCAAAACAGGGTAGCCTCCCGTGTCATCCATTAATACATATGCTGAGACAATAGCCCCCAAAAGTATGTAAGGCAGGGTGCAAGTGCGAAATCCAGTGGCCTGTCCTGGTTCTGACCACGACAATCCATCAAACTCGACAGCAGAATGCACACGCACTCGCGCTATTCGCCGAGTCATTTGTCATGATCTCCGGTACAGAGACTTGTAAGCCTATAATGACTAATCCTTCGTTGTGGCTTGATTCATTGTTTGCTTGCCTGCCGCACGCCTCTCCATGAACATCACCTGCAGCTTTCTGCAGCATACATCAACCCTGCATCGAAAGACTCAAGTTCCTAATGCTCGATTTAAAAAAATGATCTGATGATCGTCGTCAGCCTGCAGCAATAACGTCGCGTTACGTCTGTGCGTGCATGCGACGAACTGCTGTGCCGTATGCCAAGGGGAGAAGGGGAATCGCTTCTGGTTTAGCGAGTACCGACGGAGCCGAAATTCTCATCAAAATAGACTGAGAAAAACTGCCGAAATGGACGACTTGTCATACTTGACATACTTGCCTTTCCCCTTGTCGATTTCGTGGTAGCGGTCCCAGAAACGGTTGTACAGGGGCTCGAGCATCTGCTGGCAGTCCTTTCCAAACAACTGTCGGACCTCTCGCTCCATACTGTATGACTTGTGTTTTGCAACGAGGTCATCGAACCCGCTGTTGAATGCCTGGAACTTCCCCTTGATGCTCTCCTTGTCCTTGCTGCTAAGGCTCTTGACGATCGAGGCCGACTCGTTGGATCCGGAGGGCGGCCTTTGTGTCCGGCTGGTGTGGATAACATCAAACAGGTGTATTGACAGCTCCTTGCAGGCATCAGTGTAAAGGGCCGTGGCCTTCTTACGCCAAGTGTCCAGGACGCCGAGTCTGCCCTCCAAAAGTGGCGCCAGATCGGAATCTCGGACCATGCGTTCGATGATGGTAACACTGTTGGCGATGAAGACCCCAACGACAGATTTCCCCTTCAGCAGCATCCTTGCTTTCTGGTCAAGGGCCAAGAGCAGGGCGTCGATTGTATCTGTACAATAGTGCGCGAAGATCTCCTTACCGTCTGCGCCGGGATCGAACGATGCAAGGCTCGGAATGGTGTCCAAACTACGGTTTGCGGCCGCTACCGATTTCCATCCTCCGTCGCCGAGCGATATCATGATCATCGAGATTGGCCGCAGAAACTCTACCATTGTCTGCAAGCGTTGCATCGTCTCGGAAACAACAGGTATTGGGGCTCCGTCCGGCGGAAGGGTCTGCAGTAATCCCACCTTGCGCTTGGTGTCGTCGAGCAACTCGGCCAGTGATATCTTGGCCGTCTCGCGAACAGGTTTCAAGGCAGCCGCCAGCGTACCCTTGAGCTCACCTGTCCGCTCTTCGACCCTGTTGGCTAGGTTAGACATGATTTCCGTCACCTCATATGCGAGGTAGCAGTCTGTGTTCAAATGTGATTTGATGTGATTGTTGAGCTCCCGTATGGTGCGGGCGAGTTCCGCCAGCGGAGCTTGACAGGTCAACTGCAATACGGCCCCCCAGTCCTGTCTCATGAATATGCTGCAGATGTTCTCATACTCAGCAACACACGAGCCCTCTATGGCTTGGGCGTACATGCCAATTCCATTTGTGCCTGATCGGTAAATGGCATCCGGGCTCTTCTTCTTGGCCGTGTTGACACTAGCATAGGCAAGGTTGACCAGCGTTTGAGACAAGTATGGGCCACGCACTTCGGCGTAGATCTTGACTAGAGGGTTCTCTGACATGGAATTCCCCGCCACGTACGAGTTCATCAAGCTCAACCGGGCGATCTTGTCCTGAGATATGAGGGGGAATGGTTTGTCCTTGGTAATGAAATTCAGCGGCTCAACCGATCGCGGTGTCTCTCCTCTCAACAACTTGTCGAAATGATTCTCAAGTTGGGTGTTGCCCGACTTGATCAGGCGCTGGAGATCGGCCATGGTCTGTTGGTTCGCCCGCAGATTCGATGTTTGCATGTCCCCGAGAGCTTTGTTTAAACGCTGGATCGAGTTGAGGTAGTTGGACAAGCCGGCCTTGTCTGGGCCTTGGCGGATGATCTGCTCTTCGTCATTCTTGGAATCGGCAGGTTGTCGCAACCGCTCGATGGCAGTGATTACGGCATCTATGTCTATGGAGAGGCGTTTGTCAGCCGCTGCATCGCAACATACCGACGGTATTCTGAGAAACACTCACTGTTTCCTAGTATTTGAAGCTTCTTTGTTTCGCCATTCAGAGGTCCCGACACGTCGCGCACGCTCTTGCCCGTTGCCTCGAGGCGACCAAGACAGGCTTGGATCTTCTTGGTCAATTGGGTAGTCTTCTCCAATCTCGAATTGAGTACATCAACTTCTGCACGCGCTTCCTCGTCCGCGGCATGGCGGCCACTAGCCAGTCCGACAGCCATTGCAGATGTTGAGGTTAGGTGGTTTGAGGGAGAGGGTATGGTCAGCTGGTCAATCCGGTCGGTCGGGCAAGGAGCGGCGTTATGACGGCAGTTTTGACAGGGGGATGGACCTGGGCCTGCGCTGATGTGGCATGTCCACTGCACTAGGGACGCATAAATTGAAGTCTGCTGCAGCCACTAAAAGGCTGGCTTACAATGGATCAGACGGCCAGTGACGTCGAGAAACTGGGGAGCCTCCAACATCCTAAGCCCATTTTTGCACAATTCAAAGAATTTCCCTAGGATGATCCCTTGGGCAATTGTCTATTTGGGATGATGGAAGGATGGGGAATTCGTCTTAATGGTGGAACCAGGGGAATAGACAGTTGCAAATGTCCAGGGCGATCCAAGAGGGGCGAGGGGTCGATTTTCATGTGCAATAACAGATCAGAATCTGATCTAATACAGTATCTCCGGTTTTAGGGGGATAGGGGGACTCATTTCTTGAGAATATTCACTTACTTTGTAAATAACAGTCCACGGGTAATCAAGTTCAAGCTTCGAGTTGGGGCCAAGTTGAAATGTACTACTGTCTAAGCTTCTCAATCCCCACCGTTGTAAACTACAGCCTAGCACATTTTAGAACCCCCAAAATGGCAACGTCAATTCACGTGTTTTCATTAAAACCACCGCGAAGAAAGAAAAGTCCCCCACCACCTCTGCCCCGGCTCAGGCTCCAGCACCGACGCCATTCAGCACAGAGTCTTCTTCTCAAAATACTCGATGACAAGTCGGTTGACCAACTGTCCAATCTTCTCCACCTCTTCCACCGTGGTATTATACGGAGGAGATACGATAATGTGATCGCCATTGATACCATCGATCGTTCCAGACCCGGGGTAGACTGCAATGCCGTAGGGCTCAGTTAGACCGAGTTCTGCAATCTCCATGGCGACATTATCGGTGGCCGGGAATGGTGACTTGGATGATTTATCCTTGACAAACTCGATTCCCCAGAAAAGACCACGCCCGCGGATATTGCCAACATTGGGGTGGCTGCCCAGGAGCTCTTGCAACCGAGCTGAAAGCAGGCTGCCCATGTCACGCACATTTTGCAGCAGTCCTTCTTCTCGGACGATCTTCTGAACTTCCAGAGCAGCCGCGCAGGTAATAGGATGTCCTTGGTAAGTATGCCCATGGACGAAGGCCCTGTTTTGCGTCTAATTGTTAGTGGCCATTTGCAAATGAAGGCCATATCATGGCGAGGTAGGGACTTACGCGGTACCCTGAGAAAGGGCGTCAACGACACGGCGATTCACCAATACCCCCGCGATGGGCTGATACCCGCCACCGAGGCACTTTCCTATGGTCTGTATGTCTGGTACCACGTCTTCTTGTTCCCACGCATGCATAGTGCCTGTACGACCCATTCCCGACCTGCATTGCCCAAGGTCAGTTACTGCCGTGCTTCGAGTAGACCAGAAGCTTTCTTTTCTTTCAATTAGGCATGTCGACTTTAGGAAAGCAAACGTAGCAGGGGCCCGAGAATAGCTTACATGACTTCGTCAAGGATTAGCAAGGCGCCATACTTGTCACACACTGCTCGCATTGCCTTGAAGTAACCGGGAACTGATGGTACGCAGCCAAGTGCCTGTGAGATGCGTCAGATGGAATCAGCAAGGGAACACCGAATATGACCTACAGCGCCCACTACGGGCTCGGCTACAAAGGCACAGACAGTCTCTGGTCCAAGCCTCTGGAACTCCTTATCCAGCTCGTCGACCAACCGGGCCACATATGCCTCGTCGCTCTCGCTGGGATCCTTGTTCCGGTAGGCGAAACAAGGCGAAACCCTCGATATGTTATCCAGCAGCATGGGCTCGAACTTGGCTCGACGAACCACGTGGCCCCCCATCGACAGCGAGCCTAAGGTTGTGCCATGGTACGAGTGGTGTCGGGCGATGAACTTGGATCTTGCCGGTTCTGGGTCCGGGCTCTTCTCAAGGAAGAATTGCCTCGCGAGTTTCATCGCAGCTTCCATCGCCTCGGAACCTAAACAACGCTCAGCCTGTGAGTTCGTATGCTGCACAACGACACGCGCTTACCGGAATTCACAATATACGCGCGTGTCATGTGTCCGTTTGTCGAGTTGGTAAGCTCCTGGCATAGCTCCTCACACACGTCGGTGGTATAGAAGGTACTTGCGCAATAAGATACCTTGTTTAATTGTGCTACGATGGCATCCTTGACTCGGGGGTCGCCATGGCCAATACACTATGAAACACCAATGTCAACGATCGTAGTCTTTGGGATGCGTTGAATTCCCAAAGCCTTGTGGCGAGCTGATACATTCAACAGACGATGACTCGGCAACGGACGTAAACAACTCCGAACTCGACTTACAGCAACTGCAGCACCTCCGGAGGCGTCGAGGATCTGACGGCCATCTTCCAGATACAAGGTGCTACCTTTTCCTCTATACAGCCGGAGGAACTTGTTGTGCAGGTTACGATACAGTACGGCCGATGTTTCGAAGTCTGCCATGGCGTCGAGGGGTTCAAGAGTAGGTATTGCGAGGGATCGGGAGTTCCTTTCTTATCAGCGGAAACCAGTGGGAAGAGAAGAGGGCGCCTCTTTCCGGGCTTATATAAGGAAGGGTATATGCAACACCCCCCTAGCCCATCTGGTCCGAACTCTATTTCCAGGGATTCCCACTCTTCATTCCTAATTCGCCTCGCATTCATTTGGCCGACTATTTGCGCAGTGAAACCTCATAGGTACCTCAACAGGCTGTGCGCATTGCCCGCATTGCTCGCACTGCCCGGTTTGGTGGCTAGGAGCTTCGGCTCGGGACCCTAGAGAGGGTCGCTGCAGATTTGTATACTGAATTGGCAAGCACCCCGAACCGGCAAGAGTGCTGACTCACTGGCTATGGGTGGGTTTACGTGGAGCCATCGCATGGACATACGCAATAAGTGACCTATGGACGAGTTCGGATGCTGCCGCTGGCCACTGCAGGATCTAGTTCCCTACCAGTAAGGGAAAGCGCTGAGCTAACCAACAAGACAACATTTGTTCGATAATCGACTCATGCGGTTGCGGCAAGGGCTGAATTGGCTGAACGAATGCCAGACTCGGCCTGCAACACATTCCAAGGTAACATAGACATTCGTCGATCCCTTCACGAGGTCTTTTACAAGGTCTCTCACAAGATCGGATCGAGTCGAAGGCAATAAAACGCGATGTCTGCAGTACACCGGATCCAACGCTGTGCAATCGTGCTGTGCATCTGGATCCGAATCCGCTTCCATGAAATCGGCGGCATGGCAGTGGTCACGGACAGTAGCACTGGGCTATCGGCATCCCGAGTTCGGCAATGAGTAGTCTGCCTTCTCCATTTATGCCGGAATCCCACGTGTCCGAGCTGATATGGTGGCTGCGATAGGTTTGCATTGAAGAATCTGAGAGACGTTAGGTGCGCTTGGCTAGCCTATTCTATGCTAGCCCTCATACCGGGGAGAGTGGGTCGACTGGTTAATAGGGCTAACCGCTTCCCTGCTCAGACACAACCCCCCAACGGCGACTCCTTCGTCTTTCAAAGCCCGACACGGCCGATAGGAGGAACCTCATTCACATAAATCGACAAGTCACACCTAGGATGCATCGAATCCTCTTCCTAGTACATGGTCTAGAACATATATGCGTGTGCTACTCCGTCAGCTCTTCCAGGGGGTCACACATTCTTTGACAACCGCTTGTTCCATCAGGATCATCACATTTCGGGCATCCCACCTCCTTGGGAAGGCCGCCGCCCACCGAAAAAGCGTTGTGCCGCAACTGTGCCTCAGTCCCGATAGATTAATCATACCGGAGGCTTAGATCATGGTTGGTTCCGATGAAGACGACCAGCAACGCCGCAAAACTACAAAATTGACATCCCCCAAGTCGCTTTATTAGTGGAAAGGATACGCGAAGGATGAATCTACGCCGCTCTTGCTGTGAACATGTAGTGTGCCTTGGCCATGGTTGTCATTGAGATACACAAGGAAAGCATGATTGTAAAAAGAGCTGTCAAACTCGGTTTGGCTGAGAAATCCTTGGAGCTGTGAATGATGGCAAGTGATCCAATCGGGAGCAATCCTGCTATGAGGATCTTTTCAGCTCGAGTGACAACGTTGATCCATTCTCTGCTATACGAGGCGGTGTTGCGTAGGTTTTTCTTCGCCTTCTCCCCTTTGGCCTTACAGCTAGCAAGTTTGCACCAATTCTAACTAGTTGATTTGTTTTCGCCTCACCTGGATTCGTCTTCATCAAAGCCTATGCAATAGCCTCATCAGTTGTTAATAATCCCGGTTCGCCCTCGAGGATTCATTCATGGACCGTAAGTTGACACTGTCTGGATCCGACCAGATCGCGTGGTCCGGTCCTGCCCATGCAAGAGCCAGTCATTGTAATGTCTGGGTAGCTTTGGAGGCTACCAAAACCTGGTTCTCAGTGTACCGCCGGCGGGTTAGTTGACGTATTCAAGGAGTCATCATGAGTTCTCGACTGCGTACTTCCAGAGCTTATCAAGACTAGAAATCATGTTTATGATGGCATATTTGCCAGCCGAGGATGGACACCCTGTTCATGCTGCTTTGGCAGGAAATCCAACAGCCCTGCAACCCTTAGCGGCTCCCAACAATGCCTTTACCAAACCAACCTGTGGTCATGACGTGGGAGAAGTTTACGCGGAGAAAGACCAAATCATTAACATAACTGATGCTGTTTATCAGGGATGATGGTCTCTCGACATGGTTATTGTAGGATCAGACCAACGCTGCCGCGATGCCACCGCGTTGTTGGATAGTGCGTGTCCAGTCGGGAACCTGATCTACCTCGATTTCAGTCCGGAAACCACGCCGCTTGGGGGAATCGACCTCAAACATTATGTCAAGCATCAATCACGGGAGCCACTCGATCTGCATCCGCAGCAGCATCATGCTCCGTGCTCCGTTGGTAATATGGCACCAGACTACACGAGGACCGTTCCCACAATTGGATACAATACCTTGAGCCATGGTTATCCTCGGAGATAGGTGGATCCAAAAACCGATGCCTTCAACCAGATAAAGAGGATGCCGGTGCCGCCAGAGCATCTCGTGATTATTAAAAACGTACAAGAGGGCCACACCAGGTAAGTCAAGTCCTGCTTTGGCCTATCCAAGTAGTAGTGGGCCTAGGCTAACTCGCTCTAAAGAGGAACAGGCATCCGAGAAAGGATGCTTTCAACGGTTAATCGATGACTCAAACCAGTACCAACAGAATGAACAACAGCCGAAAGAGGATCTGTCGATGTGAAAATGAGAGTGAGACAAGGAGAGAAGAGCTAGCTACAAAGACATAGCATCGAGCCACAGATACTGAATCCCCTTTCTTTCACTTCATTTTTAGTTTATGCGATAAGTCGATGATGACAGCATTGCGATACCGCTTAACCATTACCAGAGATGAAAACAACTGCTTACACTCAATTATATTCTGGTACTTGGATACTTCATTACGTACATGACGTGTGTGAGGACTAGCACAGGTTGGGTATGGACACACTCCTTCGCTGTGTTGTACCTCTCAAGGTCCACGGGGGTTCTCTTGGTTATACTTCTGATTTGGCTACAACGGTAATCGGACGAATAGTAAGTTTTTGATTACCAAACCCTGAACGAGTTGGCCCTGATGCCGGCTTGAGCGGAATCCACACATCTCGGTAGAGCGGTTCTTGAATTGGTGCCTATGGATGAACAGATTGAGATGTGACAATTTCAACTGGTCGCTGCTTAATCACAGCATGAATTACCTACAGATAAACAAGAGATTGGCATTGGTCAAATACCAATGGTTTGTTTCACTTGGAGGGAAGTCCAGGCAGCATTGCACGTATGTAAGTATAGGGACTCTGCTGTATCGGGGTGTGTTTTAGGCGGGAAGGCGGGGAGCGGGATGTGGGTCCTGGCAATTAACAGTCGCCATGCAGCCACATGGAAGTTTGGATTCTGCAGGAACAACGAACGACGTCAACAAGCTCCAACTCGTGGCATATGATGAGAATTTGATTTGGCTGCCAGATCATTCACACTGCCCTGTGCTTGTAACCTAACCTGCTGGGCACTAAACACGAAACAACACTACATTGTCGTCCCGTGCTTACCTGCCTACTTGTACACAAACTTGACGAGTCATCCGTCGCCAACACTGACACAGGTGATCGACTTCGCCTAGCCCCGAAGCCCCTGCATCTTCTCACACATCCTTCGCCAAGCTAGAGGGAGACAGTCGCATTATCTTTCTGGCGCCCGTAGATTCACTCGCTTGCTCCCGGACAGCCGTGTGGGCTGTGGGTTGCATTCCGTGCAGTTAAACGCACTCCTAAGCTGAGTAGGATACAAAACCCCATCTACGTGCCCACCATGGCCCGTTCAAAGACGATACAACAAACCCCGCGGGATGGATTCCTTCCGGAACACTCATCGTCAACCGGCCCCAACCCTTCCGCCACTGCTCACCCGACTGAGCTGAGAAAGCGTCTGGTCACCAAGTCAGCCGTGCAACTGAGAGAGAAAATGGACGAATACCGCCCCAGTCTCGACGACTCCCAAGAGCGACTCGTAGCGGACGAAGAAGACGAAGCAGCTCGGGGTCCGGCATCATGGATGAGCCGAAATCAGTGGGTGGTGTTTGCTATCGCCAGCGGTGCCTGCGCTGCTTTTAATGGTGTATTTGCCAAGTTGTAAGTTACATATTTCACACCATCGGACTTTGGATAAATCATCTTGCGCATTCCGCGAAATGCTTGATATCCGACCACCATGCACATCTACAATCAGCAACTCACATGCCTTCCAGAACAACGAATGATCTCACATCGCACCTTTCGCAAGGACTCGCGAGCACTTTTGGACTAGTGGCTTTCGAGAGCGCCATCGAGTTTATTGTCCGTTGCGTAAGTTTTCCCGACACGCCCAACCCCCGGACGAACCTTGTTTTAACGGTCGGGTTGAGACCCCTCTACCCTTACCGGACAACATGAGGCCATTCCAAACGCCGGCGGCGTGGTATCTTTACCGTTACGCACGTGCGGATGCTTTTGCTACCAGTCTCAACACTATTTTAGGAAATGGGAATCTCCGTCGCACATTATCCTTAATCAGAGCTAACTTGCACATAATGCCAGATATTCTTCGGGCTGAACTTGGCTTTCAATGGCGTGGTAAGTTTTTGTCCCTCATTGGTTGAATTGAGTTTTTGATGCCTGCGTCCTTCCTTCGGGACGAACCCTCTTACCCTTCCCGAACTGGCCGAGCTTTCCGGGCACTTCTCTAGGCAACGGTTTCATCTCACAGAACCACCACATGGCTATGGTTCCGCTCGTACTGACAATCTCGTGCAGATGTGGACGCTTTTTACCAAAGCCCTGGCTCGTGGTTACTCCACGACTCAAGTGTCCATCATGAATACGTCGACTAACTTCATGGTCACCGCCCTCTTGGGGTTTATGATTTTCTCCGAGTCGCTTCCGCCCCTGTGGTGGCTGGGCGCCGCCATGCTCGTCGCCGGCAATGTGGTTATCGGTCGCAAGGACGAGGGCAGCCGCTCGGCGGCGGATGACGAAGAGGATGCCATATCCGTAGCGGAGTCGGGTGCTAGTGTGCGCTCGTACAGTGCGGTTCCTATTCCGCAAGTTGATGGTATGCTGCCTGTGGAGAAAGACGACGACGCGGATGAGGATGTGGCATTCATTGGAGATGTGGTCATGGAGCCCGAGGATAGGTGAGGTGATGCAGGATAGAGTATGTTCTGGTTTAAACAACTCTAGACTTGGATACCCATTGAGTTAGTTGGATGATAGACTTCTTATTTGAATTATATCTTTTTTTTGAAATTCGTGAAACGATCAGTAAAAGCCTAGGCCATAGCTTACATATGATACTAGCTACTCTGCAGCAATATTTCGTCAGTGGAACCCTCGTTCCATGGAATTCTGTTATGGATCGTGGAACCGCAGCGGTCAAATACGCGTGGAAAATGGCATGCTCTTCTTCAGAGAAGCAACGTTTCGATATGCATTTGGAGAAATGGTGCCCAAGTCGTTGGCTCACATCGCTCTAAGAACGTGGCTCCCGCCATCACTGGATTCTGGCAAGAATCGCCAAGATGTATAAAGTACGCGATGCATTCATCTTATTCCATAGCCTGAAGAGATAAAACAAGACATGACATGAAATAAGCTATCTATTCTCTAACTCCACACCGCCCTCATCATCCAAGACATCCTCATCCCCATCCATAATCTGTCCCGGCGCCCGTCCCAGAGGCCCCTCTTCCGAGACACTGCCCAACCGAATCCTCCCACCACTTGCACTCAAGACCTTGTCCGAAACCCAGCCAGCGGCTATTAGTATCCAGCCCCAGACCCGTTCGTGTCTCTCATGGATATCACTGTCCTCGCGCGGGTTCTCCGCCGCCTCGACCTTGAACTGGTACTTCAAGCAATCCTTGACCGTGACCAGACCCGCCAGCCGCCCATGTTGCTCAATCAAGATGACGCGGGGGCCAACCTTGCGGAACAGCTCCATGACGGTCTCGAGTGGCAGGCGGGGGTGCACGGTTACGGGGGTGGCGTCGACGTAGCGGCTGAAGTCGACCGACGCCGATGACATACCGAAGTCGGCGTTGCTGAAAGTGACGGTGGGGGTCATGGGGGTTACGGCACCCAGGACGGGAGGGGAGAAGGCGCATTTGGCTTCGGGGGAGATGGTGATCCGGCGCTCGCGGCGGAGACGGTCGATGGCGTAGCGTAGTTCGGTGCGTCCAATGTAGCCAACAAGGACTTTCTTGTGCTGGTCTTCCACGATGGGAAAGCCTTGGTATTTTGGTTGGCTGAGGAGGTCCTCAACAGACTGCAAGGCCATGCCGTGGACGGGGATAGCGACCACATCGTTGGTCATGACGACTTGCACCGGAACACCAAAGTTGTGCTCTTCTTTGTTGTCGAGGTAGGGGAAGCCGCTGAACCAGATCATACGATCTGCGATACCCCCTTTTCCGAAAAGTTCGGAAACAGCCTTTGTGACTCCAACGACAATCATGGTGGGAAGAATGTATGTAAGAGCGCCAGTCAGCTCAAACATGATGACCACCACCGATATCGTGATGTGCATGATTCCACTGAGAGCAGCCGCAGCGCCTAAGAAGGCGTATGTGCCCGGAGTGATACACGGCTCGTCAGGTACGCATGCAGAGAAGAAGACGCTCGTCGGGTTGGCGTCATGGATGGCCTGCACAATGATGCCAACGGTTCGTCCGAAAGATGCGCCAATAGCCATCGACGGGACGAAAATTCCAGCTGGCACTTTGCAGCCGTACGATATGATGACCAACAATACCCTAATCACCGTTGCAACGACTAGTGACATTATATTGGTCCATCGTTTGTCGACGTCGCAAAGACCCTGGTAATCCTCAGCCCCTTCGCATTCCAGAAAAAGAATCTCCATGCTCTCGGTCATGTCAATTCGCAAGAACGCATTCGGGTAGCAGATGATGGCCGTTCCGGCCGCCAACAAAGTCGCTTCCAGGACGGCATACTTGGTCAAGTACTTTTTCCGAAACGCCTGGACCCGAAGGTTCCATTTCATGACAAAAGCGCCGTACAAGCCTCCGAAAATGCCAAGCACAATGTAGAACACGACCTCAAAGAAGTGCCACGACCGGTCGTACTTGACTTGGAACATGACAAGCTGACCTGAACGGAAGGGGTTCATTGCGGCCAGAACGGCAGTGGCCACCAGAGCACAAAAGTAGCTGCGCCACATGGTCTTGAGGGGGAAATAGCTCGACATCTCCTCCAACGAGAATAACACCCCACCTATTGGGCTGCCAAATGCGACCCCAACTCCCGCAGCCGCGCACGCACTGAGAATCTCTCGGGTTTTCGAAGCATTGTACTTGTATTTGTCGAAGAGCCGAGAGATGACATTCCCAGTACACACAGCATAGTGAACGCTGGGCCCTTCTTTACCAACCGACAAGCCCGAGGCGATGGCGAGTGGTAGTGCGATCGACTTGATGATCAGAGTCCAAAGGCCCAGGAACCCCTTCATAACGAAACCTGCAATAATGCACTTGATTTCGGAGATGCCCGATCCAGCCGCATACGGGGCAAAAGACTTGACTAGAGTCGCCGAGGTCAATGCGAAGACAGTGGCAAACAAGATGTAAAGGATATAGTTGAAAGGCTCGAAGCCCGACCAGTGAACCCAATCATCGCAGCCATTATCTTCCCCCCAGCAGCAGAAGTTCTCGTTCAGGTAGAAGGCCGTGGTGCAGTGGCCCAGCTTGATGTCGGATAGCCACTCGGTGATTATATTGAGGAATGCGGCATTCAATCCGATAACGGCGCCGATCAGCGTCACCACGATCCATCCTTGTGCCGCGTCGTAGGATTCCCATAACTTGTACCTCCACGTCACTTGGCCTTCTTTAAAGAGGCCCGCCGTCTTGCGATGTCGTACTTTTCGACGTAAACGTTCTTGCGCGGCATCTTGTACCCAGTCTGCAAAGCCTACATCAGTACTTCGAGGTCAAGGAATGGGCGTACACATCGGCGCAAACCTATCGTGTTGAAGTCCTAGAGTTGGCGTCAGCATCGTACCCGGAAGCTTAACACGGGCTAGGATCAGATGGGTTTGCAACTAACCTCATATCTCTTGATCTCTGCTATTTCCTCCTCAATGCGTTCTACCGCGGGCGCATCGCGGCCCTCGCCTCGTTCGGCTGTAGATACGGCGAACGATAATCTCGAGCTCAGAGAAGGTCGCTGGGATAGTTGCGGGCGCGACACGGAAAAGGAGGTAGTTCGTGAATTCATGGCACAGAGTCGTCGACCATGTTAGCTCGGAATTCGGTACGTCCGGTACGCTTTGTTTGCGCTGGGCTTACTATCGATCATGAACATGGACGACTTCGAAGCGATGCCCTGTCACAAGAGTTCATCTGATGCTGGGGGCTGCAGGTGTCGAGATCTCCCTTGAGGACAGCCGCGACCTACCGTACGTGATCTCATTGGCCGGTACTACTAGAATCTCCATGTACTAGAGTGGATCGGGATCGTCTAAAATCATGCACGGCCCGCAACTTGCTGGGTGAGTTTAATGGAAGTCGCGTCTTTCTAACGTTTTGCACGCGTTAGCATTCCCTGAAGCGCAACTTCATATGCAATTGAACGACATACTGATTGAGGGAAGTCTTAGCCGCAGAGGTGAGTTTTTTATCTTGTCTTACATGTTCTTACTTAGTTAGGGCAATCAATCTATTCTTGGCCTATTCGTTGCTCTCCTTTGGGCGAACGAGTATGTATGAAATCAACCCGGCACCAAGGCTTGCCCTTGCATAATCTAATGACCCCAATAGAATAGAGTCTTAATTGGGAAGAGTCTATTGCCTGTGGATAGATGCGTGACCGTGTTCATCGAAGCCCCGACTAAAACCTCAACAGCAAATTCGGGCAAACTCTCGAGGTCACTTCTCACCGACCCCATCTTCGCCTCCAAACGAGCAACCCACTTGAGCGTTCCCAGAAACATCACATTTCAGCATCACCCCAGCCTCTCAGCCATTCAGTCTTTCATCCACCAGAATCGCCATGCCTTATAATACGACAGCGATTCCTCCTCGCAAGGAAGTGACTGGTCAGACGCAGCTGCCGTGTAAGTCAAATCGATGACAACAATATGTAAAGCCAATACTGACCCTGTAACATGCCTTTAGTATCAAGAGTGAAGAAGATCATTGCGCAAGATCCGGACATCAGCATCTGCTCAAACAATGCTGCATTTGTTATCACCATTGCGACGGTGAGACCCTGCGTCCTACAAACAGCCAGCCGCTCTATCACTACTAATTCATCATCCCACAGGAATTATTTGTCCAACACCTAGCCAAAGAGTGCCTAACCCAAGCAAAGCTGGAACGTAAACCCCGTAGAAACATCCAATACAAGGACGTCGGTAAGTTCCAACCCCACCATACCAAAACCGTCCACGTATCCCTGACATACTGTCAGCGAGTGCAGTGCAGTCGGTGGAGAACCTTGAGTTCCTGGGCGACCTGGTCCCCAAAACGGTTAAGTACAAGGACATCAAGGCGACGGCAGCTGCAAAGCGCGCACAGCTGCGCACCGGTCCCGTGCCCGAAGCCAATGAAGAGGCCCAGCCTGTGTCGAACGGCGGCAAGAAGCACAAGGCGAGCATCAGCCGCTCCAGCTTGAATGGGAGTGCGAACATTGGGTCGCTGCTGGGGGGCAACGGGGCTAGACGCCAGAGTGAGGAAGATGGGATGGAGGATCCGAATGACCAAATCGAGATGGAAATGCGGCAGGCGCGGGGGCAGGATGATGTTGACATGACAGGATAGGTGCGCTGATTCTGGTGTATACACATGACGGAAGTTTCCAGGAAATGGCCGCGTTTGCATTGAAGAATACGATTTTTCTTCACCACTGAGCATTGTAAATTGCCACTACTCAGGGGTATATCCCATACAGCTTTTCTGCGCTACGTGCAAGAATGCCGGACGCCAATTTTTGTGTCTGTTCTTCGTCATACATGGCTTACTACTCCATCTCGTCCACCACGTGGATGCCGGCAGGTACCCGTCCTTCCCTCAGCATGGTCTCTAATCTGGTAATCTCATCCAAGCTCGTGGCCTTCTTGATCATGTCCTGCAACCTTTTCTTCTCCATGTCCGTCAGTTTGATCCTCGACATCCTAGTCGAGAGACCAGTCGAACCGTTGGACGCCGAGGTGTCAAAGGTCTTTGACTTCACGCCCATGATCTTCGACGCCAACTCCGTGGGCTTCTCAGCCGTGCCAAACAATTCGGCCGCCTGTTTCCGCTCGGCGTCCTTCACCTTTTCGTAGTCAAGGAACCGCACGGATGGGCATCTCCAAAGAGTCCAGTACCGGTAGTGCTATCCAAAAGGCTCGTCAGCCTCTCCTCCTCCTCAACCACATAGTAGGTAGCCGGAAAAGGGTTGTTTAACTCACCTCCTTCTTCGTCACCGGATTGTCCCTCAACACCAAGTGCGTCAGCCGCGGGAACGAGCCCAGAGTGTCCAGATCAGCCAGCTCCGTCAGGTTGTTGGACTCGAGCTGCAAGTTGGTGAGGTTGGGGATCGACTTGGCGAGCGTAGGCTGAATCGAGGCGACGCGATTCCGCGCCAGTAGCAGCGTGCGTATTCTCGGCGAAAGCGCGAAGTTGCCCAGAAGCTGGATGTCGTTGTCGACAAGGTCTATCGCATCTTGCGGCTACAAATGCAGAGTCAATATATTGTCACGCGGCACATGGAGGGGGAAGGAGGAAGCTACGTACTCCTGCCACTCCCAGGTTCTCAATGGCGGGTATCCGATGTCCTGTTCACGCCCGGCAAAGGCTCGCTATCAACTCTGCTCTAGATCAAATGAAGTGTAGCATCTGTCCTTTTCGCACGTACCTCGTAGCTCGAGCTCGCGCTCTTTCAGCGCGTTGAGCCATGAGGGGGAGTTCTGGAGGAGCTCGACCGTGAGCCTCATGATGGGTGGGCTGGCGATCTGGCTGGGGTTTACGGGCTTGCTTTTACCTCGACTGGGGCTCGGATTGATCGACGGTTAGGAAACGAAGGCGGCTGTATGAGAGGCGAGGTGGAGCGGCTACGAACGTCGCATGGAGGTTGGTGACGGACGTGGGCGACTCACAAGGCTGAGCCGACCTTCACTGCTTGTTAAAAACTTGATGGGTCCTTTAAGAGGTGGGCCTGGTGGTGGTACTGAAGAACCACGGTTTGGTGCATTTTATTGCTATATGCATCGATCCGACAAACCCGCATCTTGCATCACTTTACCAACCTTATGAACGAAAAAGGTACCTACAGTTCTAAGCATTTATGTCTTCAATTCTTCCACTTGGAGCCAATCATACCTATTAGGGCATATATGTCTCAGTTCAGTTGCAATCGCTGCAACCCGTCTTGTCGGTACCTTAAGCAGCTATCATCACATGTTGTCTTGCTATAGACATGCTGGCTTGTTAACCACTCAATCCCCCCCAATCTATCCAGAACCAGCTATGGAAACGAAGAGTAACCCATCTGCCATGCTGGGTACTTATTGTCAGCAATATAATATGGTATGATTACCAGTTTAGACTATCAGTGGTGTTCAAATTGACTTTGGCCAGCCTGATTTTGTCAGCGGCATGTTGACACTACTACCGCCCGTTGCATCCCACGTCCGTAGTAAGCCCTTCGATGTACAAGTCCACCCATTGACAAATAGCAACCACGTCATTTCGAGACTTACACGTTACACTAACGTCCAACATCCATATGTCTGGTTTTCTGGTTTTGCAGGTAGCCATTACCCCACCCTCAATCGTTGTACCATTACAAGTATACAGTATATATATATGAATATATAAGTAATGGCCAAACTCCTCCCTCTGGCCTGACAGTTAAACTCTGTTTTAACATCCTCCACAACTATCCCGAATATTTCGTATCAGGTGTCTTAAATACGCTACTCCATCATAAAAATGCCTATCCAGCCCTTCAAAATCGACATCCCACAAGCCAAGCTTGACCGGCTCAAGGCCAAACTCGCAGTTGTCGATTTCCCGGACGAGCTTGAAGACGCTGGCTGGGACTACGGCGTGCCGCTCGTAGATATCAAGCGGCTTACCAAGTACTGGCATGATGAGTTCGAGTGGCGCAAGGCCGAAGTAGAATTGAACGAGATGCCCCAATTTACCACCAACATCAAAATCGACGGTTTCGACGCCATCGACCTTCACTTCGTGCACGTCAAAAGTCCAAATCCAGGTGCCATCCCCTTGCTCTTCGCCCACGGATGGCCAGGGAGTTTCTATGAAGTGCAGAAACTTCTCCCGCTCCTCCTTGACGGCGGCAAGGACAACCCGTCTTTCGACGTCGTGGCCCCGTCCATGCCCAACTATGCCTTCTCCTCCCGGGTCAAACAGCAGGGCTTTGGCGCTCGTCAGGTTGCGCAAGTCTACCATAAACTCATGGTCGATGTACTCGGATACTCGGAATTCGTGACACAGGGTGGCGACATCGGCTACTCCGTAACGCGGTTTATCGGTTATCTGTTCCCCGAGAATTGCAAGGCAAGCCATTACAACTGCCAGATAACCGAGGCCCCAAGCGAGTCTCACTTTCCGGAACTCTACAAGATCGACCAAGAGACACCATGCACCGAGGCTGAAATCAAAGGCTTCGAGCGCACGAAGTGGTTCGAGGAGGAGGGTAGGGGCTATTGGCATGAGCACGCCACCAAACCGCAAACTATCGGGTACAGCTTGACGGATTCGCCGGTTGGCTTGCTCGCGTGGATCTATGAGAAGCTGCACGACTGGACTGACGACTACCCCTGGACGGACTACGAGGTCTGCAAGTGGATCAGCATTTACTGGTTCAGCACGCCAGGACCGATGGCGTCCCTGGGCATATACTATGATAGCAAGCACACGACGGATCCCATGAGGAAGACTATTGGGACGATGTACTTGGAGCACGTGAAGATTGGGGCTACTAAGTTCCCCAAGGAGCTGTTTGTCAAGCCGTCGTTGTGGAACAAGACTTTGGGGGATCTCGTGCTCAATAAGGAGAGTGATAGTGGTGGCCATTTTGCTGCCCACGAGAAGCCGGATGTGTTGGCTGGGGATTTGAGGGAGATGTTTGGGAAGAATGGGGGTGCGTATTCGGTCGTGAAAGGCAAGACAGGATTCGCGTAGGCCGTTTGATTTAGATGAAACCGACACGATAGAGCAACATTCTACATTGTCTCCAGATTATTGTGTCTCATGCCCCGGAATGAGTCGGCGATTCATCGCCTGATGTTTTCTGATCTTGAAATATAGATCAATTCGTGGCCATGCAGCCGTCGTGATAACCCCCTAATTTCCCTTGTGTTCGAATATTTTGCGGTGTATTTTTGCACGCAATCAAAAAGATACAGAGATCTAGAACAAAAAATAAGGCATTAATTAGTGCGGAAGAGCTGAGTACTGTTTGTACCGTTTTCTTCTGGCACAGCAGCTGTCAGTGGTCCTGTCGAGCTGTATACGTAAAGAACCAGTACCAGTCAAGAGTTTGTGATTTTGCCCTTCGCCGGAACAACACGCGCCTACCGGGGTTTAAGCACAGGCGCCATCCAGAACGCTTTTAAAGTCAGTGGTACATTTTCCGCAGTCAATTGAAGTATTGTTCAAGGTCGTCGAGTAGTCTCCCGTGGCGCATCGGAAATACATAGCTCAATTTTGACCACGAGAAGTAGCCGACCTCATGATCAAAACATTCTCGACCACTGATCTGTCCTCTAACAGCATACATAATCTGAACCTCGCCATGGAGCAAAGAAAACCCCCGAAAAGACACATTGACGCAGACCCCAAAAATCTTGGCATCCTGGTGGCTAAACAAGATTACAACGTTGGAACAGCTGAGAGAACTTGTTTGACTCGATGCACCGGCATTCGTGGCTTTTGACACCAACGACATAGACCAAAGAGAGACAGCACCGACAAGCAACTGCTGCCCCGAAACTTTGTGCAAACTTCCCAAGTAGGCTGGATTCTTCTTCGAAGCCTCGATGTCACAGTCTCTTCCTTCCACGGGAAAGACTACTTCATCAACAGACGAAGAATATATTTTTGCTAGCGAGGCAGCAAAAACGCTGGGGAGATTAGTTGAGCGTTGCGCCAGAAAGTCAAGATGTGTTCGAGTCGTTAGAAGATACTCGCGTGCCTTCCGAACGGAGCGATTGGCGACTTGGTCCAAATGTACAGCGAGTTGATTGACCTGAAGAGAAGATCGAGAACGTTAATACCCAGTAGTCGCCCAGAATGAGACTCGAGTACAGCTCTTGCCGCCCTTGAATACAGCGCCCCGGACATTTCCGAGCTCAACGAGGATGTCGACACGCTGCTGACCATCACAATGGGAGCAAACAGAACATCCGAAAGACCAAATACTTCCAGCAGTTGAGAAATTTTGAACATAGGGTATTGTTCAAGCCAGGTAAGTAGCTACTTCTTTATACCACAAGAAAAACACGCCGACAACCGTACCACATGTAAGCGTGAACTAAGTGCGGTCTGTTCTAAGTTCTCGAGTTGTACAAGTGGTCTACGACAAGCTGCATGGGCTTAGCTCAGCCAGTATAAACCCGAAACTGATATGGCTCCATTTTCATGGATATGTAAAATCCATTCCTGCGGTTCAGAAAACTTTGTGCGACTTAGTCAAGTCGCTTTAGAGTGTTCCAAATTAATATATGGATTCATTTCGGAAAACCAATCACCGAGGTGCAAACAGAATAGAATATGATCAAAACTGACAACGATGGTCTTGTTCGAGTGAGAAATCACGCTTTTGACACGATAGATGGTGTACTTCGCAAACCGCTGCTGTCGCCTGTACGAGGCTAATGGGCTATCAAGCATATGACGGAATAACCGGCACACCAAAAACGGAACAGCACGGAATAGCTCGATATGCCAGTGTAGTAAACTGGTATAACGTAGTTATTCAACCTCGATGTGCTGGCTGTGATCCGTGTTGGTCGAGCCATGAACCGAAACACTCGGCATTCCGCAACAAAATCAGGAGAGCGAATATTAATCTTCATACGGTAAAGCGGAACAAACAGAGTTTGGGGTCATAGATCTTCCCTCGGAGAGAATATCGTCCATGATAACAGAGTTGTGTTGCGCTTCTCAATGAAATTGTCGTGGATATTTCAAAGCATCAAACTACGATCATCTACAGATGTCCCGCTGTCATTCCGGTAGTGCAACGGCTTTCGGCCCCTCCATGCCGGCTCCGGCGACTTGTACACGGAGGATGTAGGGTCATCGGGCCCCGGCTGAGGCGGCAGCGCTTGTGTTCTGACCTGTCGTCGCTGTTAGAAGCGCCTCAGCTTGGCGACAATGAGGCTGCTCGTAAGCCGTGATGACCAATTTTCTTTGTGGTTCGTCACACTTTAAACTTTATGCTTCTTGAGTTGACATTTCAAGTCTACTACTTAAGTCGTTGTCAATACTCAGCGAGCCGGTCGGTTCCCTAATTATGCAACTGCGTCCTCTCCCCAAAAGAGGAACAAAGTCAAACAAAAATTATTGGTATTCAGTTGCAGTCCGTTATATAATGGGCCAATTCTTGAAAGATGATATACCCAGGATCCGAATGATGGTTCTCGAGACTGACGAGCCGGTCCCGGATACCTTGAAGGAGAAGGGCAGGTTGAGCGATATTCTGCATCATCATTTCACCAAGGCAGGAGAACAGCATGACCCTCCTCTTGGTATCGAGACGGACGAGATATTCGTCATTACAGAGAAAGGAGGAAAGGTTCCGAAATCCGAGGAGTTCGAAGACATCCACTGTGTTTTAATCACGGGAAGCATGCACGATGCCCACGGGGACAACCCCTGGATTTTGGAGCTTCTGGATTTGCTAAGAGGTTGGACTTCGATTCCATGTCTTTAATGTGAAGCGAGCAGATAGCTAATTCATTGAAAACAGAACTTTACCTCCGCCGCCCCGACTGTACACTAAGCGGCGTCTGCTTTGGCCACCAACTCATCTGCCGCCTCTTCGGCGCCAAAGTCGGCCCCGCGCCCACCGGGGACTGGGAGTTGGGATATAGCCAAATCGATCTGAGTCGTGGGACGAAAGCTTTTCCGAATTTGCGAGGACGTGGTGTTCCTGTACCAAATGCACCGAAATCACGTTGTGGCGCCGCCTACGTTTGATTCGTCTGATGGACTCCTGGAGCCGGGCGCCAAGGTACACGTCTGGGGGTCTAGCAAGCATACGAAGGTTCAGGGGGTGTTCATTGCGAACCGGGTGTTCACTACGCAGGCTCACCTGGCGTTTGATGAATATTTGGTGCATAGGCAGATCGAGGCAAGGATTGAGAGTGGAGGGATCAGGGACTTGGAGCATGCAGATAAGGCTAAGGAGACGGCGCATTGGGAGCAGATGGGAACATGGTTGCGGCCGCCATCTTGAGATTTTTCCATGATGAGGGTAGATATTGATGAAGAGTTAGTTGGCCTGCTAGGAGACTAATGAGAGTGGGAGCGATGTGGTTTGATTTATCCAGGATCAAGGCCGCTCGCTGGCCCTTCTACACCGTCAAGTTCATGCAGAGGCAGTTTGAATATTCATGGAGTAATTAGCATGATGCTACCTTGGATGGACTATATTCATATGTCGAAGATTCTTCCCACTTTCCCAGACCTCTGTCAATCTTTCGTGCCTATCCACTATATCACCATAACTCATCGCTGTCGTCTCTGCCCAACACTCCCGGGATCTCCCCCAGAGCCCGGTGTAAAGGCGCTATGGGTATTCGGCATATTATCTGGCACACTCTCATTCACCAACTCGGTGATACTGAGTCGGTGGTTTCTTTTATTATCCGGGTCGTCCAATCCCCTTCCTCCAGGCTTTAAAGCATCCAGGATTCCTCCGCCTCGCGCCATGCTTCCAGGCATGCTGGACTCGACCATGGGCTGGTTGCCCTCGGCGCTGCGGTACGCTCCCCCTTCTCCAGTTGAGGTGCACGTGCCGGAGGCGCCGGAAGACGAAGAGCCCGGTTTCAAGATGTCTTTGAGCTTGGAAAGGACGGATTTGTCCTTTTCCGCAGAGATATGCTGTTAAAAAACTATCAGTTTACTTGGGATTCACAGGTGAAACGGGTACATGACGAACAGTCGTAGATGGTGGTCCGCCAGTCGACATTTTGGTGTTTTTCAATTCTTTGTCCTATTGCTTTTTCACTTGGTTGGGCTTGACATAGGTGGAACGGAGGAAAAGCCTTCATGACCACCTCCTACACCTTACCACTACGACGGTCACCCCTCAGGCCATAATGACGTCGTCGTCTACGCGATCCTTTAGAGTTTAGTGGAAGTTTTACAGGGTAGAATCGAGTATAAGTGCGGAGACGGGCACTGCCAGATGGACAGCAGTTTGCTAGTTGAACTCTATCTTAGGAGACGTCACTCAACTGGACTTCAATGCTACAATTCTTCACTTGCGGTACACACCTAATGTCCAGAGTGGTTACTAACTTACTACAGGTAAGGGGTAGTGGATAATTGAACTGCCAAAGCAACGTAGCCGTCCGGCCAAGATATAACGGACCTCGAGCGAGGCTCGGGATTATAGTAACATGAAGGTACAAGACTACGTAATGACCGACTGATAAACCCCATGCCGGAGATCCTATTTTTCTGGGACCGATGCGCGCCATGTTTAGATACTTGAGAAATAGGATACCGGCTGTGGGGATATTCTTGGGTTTGATTATGCGCCTGCTACTTCTATTACGTGTAGTTCGCCAACCAAGAGTGTGTGTCTTCCATCATCTGTCTTCTCATTAGTCTTCGTATTGATTGATTACATAATACCGCACGCCTCGTCTCCTTCGTGTGTCGTCAACTGGATCCCTTAATCCGAGCCATGGACTAAGTCCTTGCAGGGTTGATCCCCCTGAGCTCTTGTCCCTGGTCAAACCGCGTGTCTATCTCCGTCTTGACTCCAATACGGCCAGGACTGTACAGTATTTCCTCGCTACTGTTGTCCTCCAGGCCGCGTTCGATGTGTGTGCCGAAGCTGTATCCGTTGCCCTTTCTAGTCCCATCGATGCTTTGGAGCTTGACCGAAGTGTCCTGGCTCCCACTCTTGAAGATACTCCTGATCTTGCTGCCGCTTTGTTTCCCTCCAGATGAGTTTTCCATGCTGCTGCTGCCGAGGAGACGAGGAGAGTAGCGCTTGGCGATGGGCTTGAAAGAGGGTATCGATCCAGCAAGAATGCCGATGTTGATCTCGATGACTGACCAGTACATTGCGCCCGTGATGGCCCATGTTGCGTCCTGTGAAACCAGCATTTGGGGGATGTAGGTTATGCGGACGATAGAGGATACGCAGGCGCTGTATTTGGTTCATTGATTAGCCGCTGTAAAACTCGACACGTCTTGTTTGAAAGGAGTGGTGGGGGAACATACAAGAGACCGAGGCTTAGAATAATACCCAGACTAATCTTCGTTCGCTGCGGGACTTGCAGTCGCACGACGAGCTTGATAGGCAAAGTATATGTCATTAAGTCGGTTATAATGTTAACTACAGGAGTTTCTTGTCAGCGTCATCACGAATCCAGTTTGTGGGTACACAGTTCAAGTTTGAATGAGGGTTGATGCGTCTGATCTGAACTGACTTACCAGCAGCATTGGCCAGGTAGAAGGCATTGATATTGATACACTTCTTTTGATCCGAGGTAATCGTCACGACGTAGGCCGCTTTGACTGGCGAGCACTGGAATATGCAGGCCAAGACGTTTCCTCCGGCCTGACATGATACAACGCCAATCATGACGAATGCGAGGCGGCGTAATGTGGGATCGCCCAGACGCGAATAAAGAGCAAGCACGGACAGCTTGATAAACCCAATACAGGCATTATAGAATATTGAAGAGTACCAGACGGCTTCCATATAGGCGATCATGTTGTCGATGCCGAGAGGCTCCACGTCCTCCAGGTAGTGGCGTCCCAGGCCATGTTGAACAGCTGGTGAGTTCATTAGTCGTTATACCCAGGAGGGCTGGAAATAGACGGGAATTAGTCTTACCAATGATAGTTACGATCATGAATGCCCACGAAAGGAGCTATACCGGTTAGTATCCAACGGGCTGACATCGATTTTGTTTTGGGAGGGGGAAAGGGGGGTTGCATACAACGGCGACGCAAATCAATGCTAATAAATGTCAACAAACAGAACTTCAAGTGGGTTCAGACATCATAGCAACTGCACATACCGTCATCGGGGCCCAACGATTTCACCAAGAAGATGCGAGCCCATAGACGCAAGCTGATGACAAAGAAGGTCAGCACCCCAAACACAACAGCCACGGTAATCACCGTTGGACCCTGAGTCTCAGACATGGCGACACCACACTGAGGCTTTAATTTGTGGCGACGAAAATAAATGGCAGCCAAATAGTTGCGTAAACGAAAAAATGTGAAAGGAATGATGGGAAAGACCGACGAGGTTGAAAACTGCCCATCCGGAGAAGGTAGATAAAGGGAAACTTGGGAACTAAAGAAGCATACATGACTTTCGTTCGAGTCAAACCACTTGGCTCGGTTTGTCTAGCCTTGCCCATGGTGTAATACACGATATAGGATACGCCAGTCTGGGCAAGTATATTGGTCGTTACGTTTGTGATAGACGCAATAGGGGTTTACGAGTTGTCACAACCAAGCAAAGTCAAGATCAGCACATGCCGAGCCTTGTTACAGATATCCCGGCCAGCTGGACATGAGGAATGCAACTCTGACTCAGGAACCCCCTGGTTATGTTTACGTGTTCGGATTCTCTCTGTAGGAAGTTGATGAACGTCCAAATTGGATCAGTAAGACGGATTCAGTGCATTTTGGGCAACTGGCAGGATCCACATCACACGTCCCGAATCGTATAAGAAAAGCAACAACACGTCGCAGCTCATTTGCTCATCACGTCCTCAGACTCTAAATGGGGGACTATGGCGAGGGGGAAATGCCGGTCGATGAGCAAATTCATGCGGCAAAGTAGTGCGAGAATTACAGACATGTCATATTTTGGATTTGTCTCCTGCTCCACTTCTCTGGTTAGTATGAAATGTGTCCGGCGCCTGGTAGACGAGAAGACGAGAAACGCGCCAGGATTAAAAGAGGCACTGCAGTCGACGGGAGACCAATGGCATTATCCATAGGGAAGGATGAACCCCCACGTGAGCAACAAAGAACCTGTCACTTTTGGCCCAATGCTGAATTCTCTTAGAATTTGGCTATCACAATATTTGATGCGGAGTAGGTGGCTGTGGAAATGTGAGAATAGACTATGAGGAAGCAGTTGCGCATGTGAAGGAAACAAAAAACGAATATCTGATGACAGCTAGATTGAAATTAGCTTGCACGATCTCGAATAATTGCGGCGTAATATAATCAGGGTAGCATGCATTTCCGCAACTTACCGCAACTTACATTGTTTCTCTTGTGCCTCATTAAGAAAAGAAGTGGTGGTGAATCGAAGATCGCTGCAGGTGACGTCGTAATGTACCAAATGTTCAAACATCGAAACACGGCCGTTTTTGAAGGCCGCTGCAGTCTTTGGTAGGATTAGGATGTCATTTCCCCGGTTATGGGCCAACCCTTGCGGACGGTAGACGGGGACGTAAATCAAAAGGCAAATGAGTATGGTCGCAGTCATATCACCTTATACTCCTGGTGCGGTGTTAACGTCTTTTACGTTGGGGTATCGCGGCGAATGGAGCGGGGACTAGCAATTAACGTTCTACCTGGTCCAAGTTGCATTCATCAAGTCCCAACAGGCCATTCGTAATCGCCGTAATCCCCCCAATTGCAGTGTTCGCCATGCGATTTCCATGAAGTTGCTTTGGGGGGCCAACCTCCGTTGCCTAGCCCATTTTCCTCCGTCGTCCCTCGAGGGCGCCAGACAGGCCCTCCGGCAATGCGCACACTTACACCTCTACATGCGGATATACTACAGAGCCCTTCTATTCCCATTCCCTTTACCTTACGCCTTAGCATGAACCCTAATTACTTAACCCATATCGCGTTAAAAAAAACAAGAAGAAAAACAGAGCGTGCGTATCGATTGAGGCAGACACGCAGACTCGTGAGCAGAAGTATTATCCTTGTCGTGTCGGGGTACGGATAACCCTTACGTGGAGACTAGCCCCGTATTCTGTATTATCCCTTGTCTAGCGCCCGGGAGAGACGGAGGAAAATGGGCTTGACATCGAAGGCGGGCCAGCTTTGGGCTGATCCACCGAAGTAAGTCGAGTAAATGGTGGACTTGCCGAATCCTGTCACGACACTACGATACTTAGAGGTTGGCAGGGTCATCAATTTGCCCTCCTTACGACATATCCTTTTCTTCCTTCCCAGAATAGGAAAGCAGACCGCAGATCTTGACCAATACATGCGCGTGTCGAGAAACGTCAACAACGCTTAAAACGGCACAAGCAGGAACAGACGGGACATCTTATTGACACCCCAGCGATTATCGACCATCTTTTCTGCAAACTTGCTCTGATCTTGTCCTTTTTCTTCCTGGCTGCATTCCCCCACGGCTGGCAGTGCCGCGATTGGACAATTGCACCCAAAGGGCTGAGGTGGCGCAAGTCATTGTGTATAAGAGTCCTCGGCCCGAAAACCTCCATGGCCTATGCGGGGATTTGTGCGGTTGGAGACTATACTGAAATCCATTCCGAATGGGGCACGTGGACCCCGATAATCTATGTGGCCGATCATTCCCGCGAGCGGACCCCATCGTAGCTGCAATCACGGCTCCTACAACCGACTTCGTCGTGACTTTGGTCCCAGCCTCCATCTTGGCGTTTTCGCGTGGCGTTTCGGCTCAACTTGATGGCAAGATAAGATGACGGTAATGAGACGGGGTTTTGCTTGAAACTTTCCATTGTTTATCATACCACGAAGAGCCAGGATTTATAGGTTTATCGCAACTCGAGATCGGCAGTGAACCCTGCGAAAGAAACATACGACTTACACCGTTCCAGGCATGCAGATTTTTAGCGAGATGAGACGCCCAATTTTAAGCAACTAATCAACGTATACAAACTGTGTGGGCGGTCAAATACCCGTTTACTTGAGTAACGGCATCATCATCAACCTTCGCAACCCTGAAAACGATACGATTGGAAGACCCAAGTATTATGGGGGTTGTAATACGCTAACATTCTGCATGCCTGGAGAGAGGCGTGACTCCACATAGAACCACAAATAAACGCATGTGCTGATGGCGACGGTGCTTTGTTTCGGTCATGAATCCTCGGCCCCTGTTGATGCCTGGGTGTGCAACATTGACGCCTTGCTATAGGTAATTGCCATATTTTCATTCGTCCCCGGCCGGCGGTTCGGGTAATATGCCCTCGATAGCTTAGCCGTCGCCCTCTGTAGTCGAGTTTTTCCACAACTCTTGGATACGTTTCTCTTCTAAACCTGTAGATATAGAGGAACTCTTGCCTCCAATTGATTGGATCAGTCGCTAGCTGCAACAATGGCTTTGTTCAGTCTGGGCAACTTTGCCCTCTTGATCGCGGGCTATATTGTCTTCAAAGTTGTTTACCAAGTCGTATACTACCGTTTCTTCCACCCTCTGGCCAAATTCCCAGGACCTTTCCTGGCCAGTGTCACGAGGCTTTGGATTACCTACCACAACGTCAAGGAAGATGAATGCCACACATTCCAGGAGCTTCACAAGAAGCATGGTGAGAGACATATCCCGTACAGCTGTACCATCAGAGAAAATTAACAACCTGTCCAACAGGCCCCGTCATCCGCGTCACGCCCACCATGCTCCTCGTGAGCGACGCCACCAAGCTCCCCGAGATCTACAACCGCCAGGCCAACAAATCGCAGCACTACATCACAGGCAGCTTCGGCAAGACGGAATCGCTCTTCAACATGCAGGACACAAAAACGCATGCACACTTCCGCAAGATCGCCGCGGCCCCTTACAGCTTCTCCAACATCAAGAAGATGGAGCCGCTGATCGACATGCGCATTGGGGAATGGATCATGAAACTCGACACCAATTTCGCCAAAACGGGCGCCAAGTTCGATTTTGCGCCCTGGGCCGTCTATATGGCGTACGACATTATCTCCGAGGTCGGATTTGGCGCGCCGTTTGGGTTCATTGAGCAGGGCAAGGATGTTGAGGGTCTCATTCAGGGGTTCCATGACGGGCTGGTGCCGTTTGGGATCATGGCTAGGCTGTACCCGTTCACCAATTGGGTGAAGAGCACTTGGATGGGCCGCTATCTTGTCGCGAGCCCGGAACAAGACTCGGGTATTGGCACGTTGATGCGGTTCCGTGACAAGCTGATTGCGCAGAGGTTCAAGGATATTGAGGCTGGCACTACTGGTGGCAGGATCGACCTTTTACAAACGTGAGTATTCTTGAATTTCTAGGGGATGATGCTATCAGTATCTCCATCTCCACTTTTGTCAAAACCTGAGGCAAAGCTCACCATCATGCAGGTTCATCGAAGCCCGCGACGAAAAGGGCGAACCCCTCGATCTCGACTACATCAAGGCCGAGATTCTGCTGGTGCTTCTCGCAGGTGCCGATACCACAGGGACGGCCTTCCAAGCTCTAATGCTGCATATCATGTCCAACCCGTCCGTCTACGATCGCATGATGGCCGAGATCGACGAAGGTAACCGGTCCGGCAAGCTCTCGTCACCCATGCCACAGTATGACGAAGTCATGACCCACTGTCCTTACTATGTCGCCTGTGTACGCGAGTCCATGCGGTTGAACCCATCGGCACCGAACATCTTCCCTCGTCTCGCGCCGAAGGGCGGGTTGGAACTGTTCGGCAAATTCGTCCCTGAGGGTAGCGAGGTTACGTGTAACCCCTGGTTGGTGCACCGCGACCAGGCCATCTACGGCGAAGACGCAGAAGAGTTCCGCCCGGAGAGGTGGTTGGACGCCGAGAAAAGCCGCGACTACGCAAAGTACAACATGGGATTCGGATACGGGGCTCGCGTCTGCCTGGGGCAGGATATTGCCAGGATGGAGCTTTACAAGGCGCCGCTGCAGTTCTTCCAGACGTTCAAACCCGATATATTGAACAGGGAGGCGCCCGCGAAGTATTTAGTAAAGGGTGGTGTAAGTTACTTTGAGGATATGTGGGTGAAGCTGGAAAGACGGGCGGCGGTTGTGTAAGAGATACAGAAACCTTGATTCAGGGTTAATTAAATAGGCTTGTAGGTCATTCCAAAGCCACCTTTGCTCGATCCCTATGCCTCATTTGTCTTAGCTACGACCCAACAGGTCGGATGATATTGGCATGGCACCAGACTCTGCAGCTCATCCACATTCTCTGGCTCGCTTTGAATGGTTCTTCGCGCCGCAGGCTTAGTTCCTCTTTCCCTGTCAATTTGAGTCAGATTCCTCGACCATAGGTTCTTCTGTGAATAACGGGTAGTCCCGTCTTACCACTAATCCTCAAGGATCACTTTAACTCTGATTCGGTGCTTCATGCGGGACAGTTGATTAAGTTTCTGTTGGGCAGTCTTCATCGTCTCGAGAGCCTCGGCATCGGTCGTGTGTTTCTCGCGTCGTTTCTTGGCGTGCCTGAGCTCCCTCCGCCACTGCAGATACTTTTGACCCTCCCACGCCTTGAGTTGGCACGACAGGCAAATGTCAGCTTCGGGGAATGTCTTTGGTATGCGATGTATGTTGTCGTTGAAGAGGACTCGGTAGTTGATTGGATGACTGCAGCCGTCGTATTTCGTTTTGCGACATACTGGACAGCACTGTTGGTAGCTAAGCCATAGTTGGAGGCACTCGGCGCTAAAGATGTGGCCACAGCAGAGGATGGCTGGGCTACTATCACTGTACTTGGCTGATGCGTCGTGTAGGCCCAGGATCGAAGACTGGCATATCTGGCAAATGAGGTAGCCGACGTTGTCGTCGATAAATGTAGTTTTCGGGTGTGGAATGAAACAGGTGTCAGGGGTCGGGAGCATGTTTACAGATGAGCTTGGTAGAGTAAGTAAATTGAAAGGGTTTGTAGAGGTTAGTTTATCCGTGATAGCTTTAGCCGGTGGAGGTAATGAGAGCTACGTACCTTCCCATCGAGCTTTTTCTCGATGTGTGTCACCTGCCCCGTCTCAGCATTAGCTTACGGGTGAGATGGAACCACCCTCCCATTAGAGCGCCAGAAGCAACACCACCTCCGCAAGGGTTTCAAATTTATACCTTCATATCACTAAATGAAATTGCACTGGCTTGAACTTCCAGGTGTCGATCTCGTAAATCTCCCACTTTGGACCTCCTCCGCCGTCCACAGATCACAGACCAATGACGGTGTGTGTGTCGATTTTAGAGCAAAGACTCAACGTTTTGAAGATTTGGCCTGTTTCTTCCGCCTTGGCTTATATTGATACTACTGTACTTGCGTAGTGTGACGGAAGGCCGTACGACACCGTTCGCGACCTAGGATATAAAGTTTACCAGCTCAAACAATGTGAGGTGCACATATATAAGGGGCACTGCTTTATCGAACCGGAGCAAATTACCACCCTCGCCGTGGATGAACAGGAACTAAAAGCCCATCGTCACTTATTTAACAGTCATTGTACAAATCCCACCTGAAATTGACTTACATGAACACCATCTGTAATGACTACCTCATAAGTAATGTTTTTTCGCCTGGATACATCGTTTCAGGACGTTAAAGACAGACCATTGATATTTTAAGGTGACGAAATTTTAATTACATAAGTTTACAAGTCATGAGAATACATAAATTCTTAGGAATTGGCGAAGATATGATAGACTTCGACTTTTGTTGACCAAGGGGTGAAGCTGGATCCAAGATCCCTGTCATCCCCAGATTTCCCCAGATTCGCAGTCGCCTCGGCTGCCGAGGTGTTCTCCAGCCACTCATCTGTAATTCGTATGTTCTCCGCACTTGCATGGACACCCGATCCTTGTCGTCATCCAATGAGTGCCTGCTCACAGACACACAATTGTCATAGAAGAAGCGTGTTTACTAAGCATGATCAGCTACATCCAGGAGGTAAACGAAAAGTTGAAAAAGAAGCGGTATATCCTATAAGTATATGAGGCGGCTAAGATTGAGTATTGAGAACCGGGCTTCTGAAACATGGAATTCAATCTTCCCCCTTGTATTACATCCTACCTTTCAGAACTCGACACCTTCATCCGTGCCAAAATCTTACCTCTACAGCACAGGGATGACAATAACAGATTCTTCGATCACCGGCGAGAGACATCGCGGACACAATGGGACAACCATGGTCTTCCCGCGCCTGAGTGGGAAGATCTACTCCACAAAGCTCGACAACTAAGTGATGAAGCCGGCTTCTATCGCTTTGCCTTACCTCGAGCCTACGGTGGCTCGGAGTCGGCAGATTTGAATCTCACAATGTGCGCGATTCGATTACACCTTGCCAGCCACCCAGAATATGGAGGAGGGTTGAGTCTCGCCAACGATCTACAAAACGAGCACTCGGTCGTTGCGAACGCGCCGGACCTGATAATGCTGCACCACTACGGTACACCTGAGCAGCGTGAAATCTTCATCCCGGCCAGGTTAAGAGGCGACTTTCGCATGACATTTGGGTTAACTGAGATTCATCACGGAAGCGACGCAACGCACATGGACACGACGGCAAAACCTATCATCCTCGAAGGGGGAGCAAAGGGGTTCGAGATCAATGGGAACAAGAAATGGCAGACGGGCATGCACACAGCAACGCACATGCTCGTCTTCGCCCGCACGAGCGGCAAGGCCGGATCGGCCAAGGGCATCACAGCCTTCATCGTCCCCATCTCGACGCCCGGACTTAAGATCGAAAGTTTCGAGTGGACGATGAACATGCCGACAGATCACGCAACCGTCTCGCTCACAGACGTGCGTGTGCCCGCTTCGGCGACATTAGGGCCTTTTGACGGGGGGCTGGCCATCGCACAAACGTTCACGCACGAAAACCGCATTCGACAAGCTGCTTCGTCGTGTGGTGCGGCGCGGTACTGTGTCGACCGCAGTGTGGCGTACGCAAAGGAGCGGAAGACGTTTGGCAGGCCGCTGGCGAGTAACCAGGGAATCCAGTTCCCGCTGGTAGAGCAATATGCGCAGTGCGAAATGTTGCGTCTGCTGATTCTGAAGACGGCATGGGAAATGGATAAGCTGGTTGTGCTGGCGCGGGATCCGAACGAAAACCCGGATGGAGTTCCGTCGTGGGTGCTGATCGAGAAGAGGTTGGGCCATCAGATTGCCGCGTGTAATTTCACTGCGAATAGGTTGGCGACGACGGCGGCCGATACGGCGATTCAGGTCCATGGGGGGAATGGTTACAGTCGGCACTTGCCATTTGAGCATATTTGGAGGCATTTCAGACGGTATCGCATTACAGAGGGGAGCGACGAGATTCAGATGAGGCGGGTTGGCCGTTGGTTGTTTGGGTTGCAGGGATCTGCACTGCCGAAGTTGTAAGTAAATACCATGGTACGACAAATGTGACCGATGTGACCTCAAGCCCTCGCAACGTGCTGGTTGTTGGTTCCGCGGTACCTCATGCTCTCCCGAGATAGAAGGTGCCGAGTAAGGATGGTGGTTTGCTATGATGTGGCAGGGTGCGAAATAGCCAAGCGAACAGATGGCCGGGTATGCCCCAGTCGTTGACTCTTCATGCCTAATATCTTGACACCGAATCAAAGGTAATTGCCTCGCTGAGACGTAAGACTCGCCAGAAGAGTGACAAGACTCAGCCATGAAGTTGGTACTCTTGTAGTTGGGCAGGGTTCGGCAGCCCCGTGCTTACGCCAAAGTTACCCTGTAACGTCCGCCTCCTGTTGTGTTACCAGCTCCCACGTTTCGCCGCTAATTCAATTGTATCCCGTCGTCCTTTACAGCCGGGTAATATTGGTTGTACATATAATATACGTCCGAATAATCCAACACTCCCAGTATCCAAACCTTCAGAGTTTTCAAAGGTCGATCCTTAATTACCAATTGTCATTGGCAAGCATTGCTTCCTCGTTGCTTCTAGCGCAGCTCTAAAGCAGGTCGCATTGAATCCCGGCAGAACTCCGAAAGGAAGGTTCAAACTGACAAGCAGCTGCCTACCAAATACCAGCACCATTGACGGACAAGTCTGCACGCAATCTATACTTGATGCTTCTGTGCTATTTCTATCAGTACTCAAACGGGACGATAAGGGACTTGCAAGTACGCTTCATGCAAGTGCGAGCCCTCCCACTCCACCCCTTCGCTTCTGGCGTAAACCTCGGCCAAGCACGGCGCTGACATGCATCCCGTCCAACCTGCCGCTTTCTGCCCTCTTATCTCATGCGAGTTCTGTTACTCGGCAGAGCCAGTCACACCAAATAATGACATTGAAGGTACTTCGAAAGCCGTCAGCCCTGCAAGTGGAAAGTTCCATAATTAAGAACTCCACGGCCGTTCCTTGCTTCCCGTTAGTGCATCGAGCGAAAACCATCCAAACCTTGATCGACGTCTAGACAGGCTATTGCCAGCTGCGACAGCTCGCGTTTTGCGCTGCCCAAGTGCACATAGCCCATGTCTGCATGCCTCCTCGCTGCAACGTGCCCTCAAATGATCGACGCCTAGTTCTCCGCTGCGGATTGAAACCCCATTTCAAACAGACCTACCTATTTGTCTCTTTTGCAACAGGGCTTCAAGCCTGATTTGGAATTGGTAAATCCTTGATTCCACGAATTTCGCGTTCGAACGGAGAGGATCCACCTGTCAAGCCACCGCGACTCCCGGGAACCAGCTCCGATCCGGGCGTGCGGCCGCTCGCCGGCTTTATCGATTTGCCATACATAATGCCAGTCTACCTCTGCCACGGCTTCCGCTGGCACCGACGGAGTATCCAGTACTTCGTCGTGCTGAGGGACATCGACGATGCGGCGCCCGCCTGGATCGTGGCGCCGCACAGCGCCGTGGCCATCCTCGAGACCTTCTACGGCCTGTACGATTTTATTCCACCATCCACCCCATCTCGAGGTCGAGGTCAGATGGACAGCCTGTACCAATCCAAGTCCAATTCGTCATTCAACCAGTCGCCCACCGATTCTCCCCGCGGAAGCAAAATGGATGGCGATTTCGACAACGAGCGGAGGAGGCGGGATCCAAGTGCTTCTTCGTCTTCTGCCGGCGTGCGCAATCAATCGACGACTCGGTCATCGCAGCTCCCCAAACCAGACGAGACGCATCCGCTTCCTTCACTGCCGCCACCATCTCCTCCGGAGGACGACAACAATATCGCGTTCAACGACTGGTCGACCGTCAAGTTCCTAGAGGAATTCGATCCTTCTAACGAGACCGTGGCGTGCGCGCCGTGGGCGTACGTCGCTGACTATGTGGTCCGCGTAGACACTTCGAAGGGAGTGATGGAGGAAATGCAGCGCTACGAGGAGCGCATGAAGCTGGACAAAAACAAAGCCATGAGCGGACCGGGAGATGAGACAGGCCGCACGATAAACACTATGGCAAACCCAAACGCCGGATGGTTCGAAAAGCTCCGGGATAAACTGCAAAGGGGTGAGGAAATACGGTGGTACATTGTGGTTTGTGGCGATGAGGAGAGAGCGATACCTGGTGTGGATTCGGACGACGAGTATACCGACTCGGACGAGGAGGACGTGGTGACGACAATAGGAGATGGTGAAATGGAGGATCAGCGGGAGCAAGCTCGAGCCCAACCCATCGTTAAAAAGAAACTCGAGTTCCGGTTGCCCGAATTTGCGGACGTCGCTATGCGCCCTTTGAAGGTGTTGTCCGAAGAGCAGAAACCTCCTCCTGTCCCCGAAAAGGACTTCCCGCCGACGCCACCCCAACGAAAGTTGTCGGAAACCCTGAAGAACCCGCCAACACCTCCGCAGCAGCAAGTTCTTCCCGAGAAAAACTACACGACCACGTTGCCTCGCAAAACTCTCCCTATCAGGGACTATCTGACTGCAGGTCCGCGGCCGAATATGCCAGAGCAACCGAAGCTGTCGATGGATGGAGGGAGGAAGCCGAAGACTCCGAGGGTCGGCACGGGCATTCGGAAGCTTTTTGCGAAACGAAACGTTGAGAGTCCTACTTCATGAATGACCTCTGGATATGTCGAGGATATCTTTGATTGGCTCAACCTCAACGTAATCCCGACGAGTTGCCCGACGAGGCTTGGTCATGGACTATGCTTGAAGCGAGGCAGAGCTAGCCTGAAGTTGACAGGACAACTAGTGCGCCCATTGCAGTGCCGACCTTCTTGTCGGTTCGGTCACGTCTATCTGATAATGACGGACCGAAGAAGACGAAGCCGTGACAAGCCAGCGAAGCTTTGTTGTCACGGCATTGTTCTTCTGGAATGTGTATGCCCCGGTTCCAGCTCACAAGGGACCAAACACTCGAGATACCGGTCTCCTTCGAGGCCTTTCCAGGCCAAACTGCGTGCACGATAGTCGCGCCTCTGACTTGATGGAATGTTGCGAAGCTAACGCACGTGTTAGTAGATCTCGAAGCATGGACGGCATGTGTCAATTTGACGAGGCTGTTGAAGCAAGTACGTGGAACCGTAGAGAACGAAATAATGAGATACGCGAGGAACGGCATTAGCAAGGGAAAGGTGCCGTTAATGATATCCATAAGTTTTGTATCTCTACGTGGTTTTCGTTTCAATATTTCAAATATACTTTTGGCTACCTTAGACTTGCCAAGAATGTGAAGATGGCCTCGAGTCTGGTCCTGAAGTGTTTATAAAGTGTGGTATCTGCAGAGCCTATCACCTGCGATATAGATCCATCTTGACTAATATTTCACAACCTGCCGCGTTCTTGTAGAACTTGGGACTTAGTATCATACGTTCAGGAATATTTCATGGTGTCTGTTGTTAGGCAATGCCATCATTGGCCTCGGTACCTTGAGAAATTCTTTATAGCTGGCTTACCAACGGTTTTTTTTCTTTCTTCTTTTTTTGGCCCTGAGACAGAGCATAGATAAGTAATTACGACATATGCATTTGATGACTACAAAAATTTTACAACTTGTTTAGAATGATAACAGTCTGTCAAGCCAACAGCGCAAATAATACGGGATCATAAGATGACGCTACATCATCTATAATTTCTTCATAGAGAACAGTATTGAGTTACCAGAGTGATCGCGGTTATTATTCACCATAAGTCACTTACATTATGTAAATAAACTGTGTCATTGATAGCTACAGTATTCACCTAAAAGGATTAGCATGATAAAAGCATGACCAGAACAACATTATAATACACATAGTACATAGTCACAGTCAACCAACACATTGTAGAAGACCTGGAGTTGGGTAAAGGCAACATCGCGTGCAGTAAGTACACAGAACTATCTCCTTGAAGTATTAGTACAAGTCACAGGGTCACCCCATCAGGCAATAAAAGGGGTCCGAGCTTATTTAGATAGGCACTATACTTTGGCTACTACCAGAAGAGGCTCAAGGCATACAACTCTAAGGAGATGGAGCACTATAATCGAAACATCTCGATTTACAGTATAAATACAGAACTAGTGGTTGGAAATGGGAAGGGTTTCTTAGGCGTCCCCACGTGATTTGAGGCTATCTTTAACTCTTGCTAAGAGCGTTGGTTTGGAGTCAGATAGCCCACCAACCACATTCGCCGTGGCCTGTAACCGACCCACGTCACAGTTTCATGACTTTCTCGATGAAGAGATTTTGATTCTCTGTTGAACATACACAAGAGACAGAAAAGACGCTGGTTGGTATGAAGTTACTAACCGCATTGACCGCCTTTTTGCATGCACCCCCATTTTGCAGGGAATTTCTACGCCTCAACAACACGACGTCTCTCAATTTACCTCGCAATTGCTCCCTATCTACGTACAAAATGGCTAATTCAGTGGAGAATAGTCTGGACGATTTTGAGCAGCGAATCGAACGCGCTAAAGAGCTTGTCCGTCAGGGCTCTTCCCAGACCGTAGCAGCTCATCGGTACGGTATCAAGGGGACTACACTGTCCTACCGTATTCGTCACGGTAATTCGCATCGCGACGCCGCCTCAAGGCAACAAAAGTTGACTCCAGAGCAAGAGGAGGTTATCGTGAACTGGATCCTACACGAAGAAGTGTGTGGACGGGCTCCTAGCAAGCGTTATGTGGCCGACTTCGCTGCCGAAATCCTCCTTGTTCAAGGGGATAACAATACACTCGGCCAACACTGGGTGGATCACTTCGTTAGCCGCCATCCACAGATACGTACCAAAATTGGGCGCGTCGTAGATGCTAGCCGAGTTAGAGCGTCCGATTCGAACAAGATCCGAGACTTCTACACCCTCCTCGAACGCTTACGTACGAAGTTAGATCAGGTTTTTCTCCCCGAGACGAAGCCTAGGGGTACCGAATGGCGACTCTTTATCCTCGACGGCCACCAGACATATATTCATGCCGAATTTATGTGGAAAGCCTACTCGAATAGAGTCGCCGTGCTGTATTTACCCTCACACTGCAGTGACGATCTCCAGCCGTGCGATGTCGGGCCGTTCTCACCTTTGAAGACCTACTACCGCCAAGAGCTCAGGGCTTACGCTTCCTACAAGGCTAAAGCCCCAATTTACAAGCAACGTATGCTAGAAGCATATCTACGTGCCTCGGAGAGAGCCTTTACTACGGAAAATATTAAATCTGGCTGGCGGAAGACTGGTACATGGCTCCTAGGCTCCGAAGGACTAGTCGACGTATCTTGTGATCCTCCGCCTCATATATCACCACCTTTAGTTGCTTTTACTCCTCAGAAAGCGCAGCAACTATCTAGCCAACTACAGTCGATAGAGAAAGCCGAGGGCGGGGTATCTCGTAAGATTCGTACCCTAGTAGGCAAGGCGGGCAAGGCCCTTACACTCCAGGCCGCCGAGAATGCCAAATTACGTATCGAAAACGAGCAACTATATAAGGAACTCGATAAATACGCTCCAGATATACGCCAGCCCGTCGAGCCAGACCCGAATAAAGTATTCGTTAACTTATCAGCGATCCGAACAGCCCAGGACAAGCGAAATAAGCGAATACGGCCTATTTTACCGGATAAGCAGTTAGAAATTGATACTTTTCTCGAAGGAAGGGTCCCTCCTAAAAAGAGGGCTCGAAAGAATAGACCTTGCAAAATGGGGGTGCATGCAAAAAGGTGGGTGGTCAATGCGATTAGAGTCTTGCGTATCGGGGTCACACTAGGCCACGGAACAGTAGACAGAGCATAAATTTGACCAGAAGACACCCCTCCACAATAAGCGCCAGACGTTAACGTTTGTTCTTTGATGATTCTAGAAGAATTATCAATATTGGAGACCATTTGGATTTATTGAGTCAGTCGTCAGTCAAAATGCAGTTCGCAACACATGGACTTTTCTAAAGGTTCGTCAAGCACCAATGATAACATCTCGCATTACCCCAGTTTCAGTCTCCTTGTTCATTGCTCCATTTTTAGCATCATTTGACAATATTCTAACAGTAAGGGGGCTGGCCGCTACTCAGACGGCAAAGAGGGGACTTGCAGACTGGCACTAAGTCCCAAGTAACCTGTGGACCTTACTTCAAAATTCGTCCCATTACGGCATAGCCCCCACTTGATGGGGCCTTGCTGTTGATTGCTGATAGGCTTGCCCCGCCACCGATAACGCTTGATAAGGCCCCCCAAGTTGCTGCGGCGTGAAGTGCTCAAGTGATGCGTTCTGGAGACCCTACCCTGGTCATTATAAGGTCTGGTGGTCCGGTTGCTAGTTCATCCATCACGGCAACACATCGACCTGACTGGACTGACGCAAGTCATCTACTTCGTCATACTTGGATAACAAACGTCTCAGAGCTCATCCTGTCTCTTTCTCCACTCTACCCTACCTACGAACAAAGCACAGCTTTGCTCAAGCCCCATTTTGCATCGCTCCCCACAGACAGCCCACCTCCGTCCGTGTTCTTGACTCTCCGACTGCTTTCGATCTTGAATGCATGACAGGCAACGTCAACGATGAACCAACACCCCGCATCGCCGGCGGGACACCGTGATAATCAGCAGGCCCGAACTTCCTTTCCGCGCCCTGCGCCCCGGTGAAGCCCTCGCCACCATTCCGAGCGCCTATCGGAAGTGCCATCGCCGCCATGGCTTCCCTATTTGGCGTCTTCGACAAATCCAACCTGCCCAAGCGGCTGTTGCGATACGCGCTCTCCCGTCTTGACATCCTGGAAACCGATGAGCTGGATCTCGATAAGTTGGACTTGACATGGGGAAAGAACAACGTCTTTACGTTTCATGACGTCGGGATCAAGCTACAGGTATGTCGTATGGTTTGGAAGGCATGGCTCAGGGCATGCTGATACGGGCCTTGAAAAAACCAGAAACTCGAACGATTACTGCAGCTCCCGTCATCATTTAAGCTCCGGAAAGCGAAGGTTCTACTGTTGCGCATCACCATCCCCGCCGCTATATACTCGAGCCCCATCGTGGTGGAAGTGGACGGTGTCCAAGTGAAGCTCCAGGTAGCTTCTGAGGAGACTCTCAAAGACGAGCAAAAGCGCCAGCGAAGCAAGAAATCCGCCAAGGCCCATCATGACGAAGAGGTCGTGCCTCATCCGATCGATCTGGCCCAGTCGTTTCTCGAAACCCAACCTTCGTCCGAAAAGGCCGAGTTGCAAGCCGCTCTTGAAGCCGAGAAACAAGACCTGACGGCATCGATGGCGAGCAGCAGTGAAGATGGCAGCGAAGAGGATACTGCTTTGGGGTCAGGTCAGGCACTGTCCTTGCCTGTGTTCTTGGCAGACTTCCTGCAAGGCATCGTGGATCGGACCCAGATATCTATAAAAGGCGTCACTTTCGAGCTGGACGTCGAGGTCCCTCTCGAAGTGCAATCAAAAGTCCCCGAACCGGTTACCTTTCAGCTGGCCATTGATAATATCAATGTGGAGGGTGTTACTACTCAAGCCGAGCAAGTCGAAACATGCGATCGCCCAGCCGTGGTTTACAAAGATGGGAAACGCCACGTATCTTTGAATAAGATTCGAGCCTCGCTCATCTCGGAGGCCAACGTGTTTTCGACTCTTGCGCGGAGTCCCTCTATGCCGTCGTCTGTCACTACCAGCCCGCCTCCTACTATGCCAGAACGGCAGCCATTATCTAGAAAAATGTCCATGCCTAGATCTGTCTACGAGCCTCTAGCTGGCTCGTCCGACTTGAGCCAGAACCATCATCACGCCATGATGGACAGCGAAGACGCGTTTAATATCCCATATGATTTTCCTCCAAGCCAAGAACCGGAGGAATATGATCTGCAGTCAACACCATCTACCCCGCGAGCTCCCGCTACTCAAGATAGTCCACCTACAGACCCTCTCTTTCGACCCTCACAGTCATTCGTATCTCCGGCTGGTGATGCTTGGGCGTACTCTGGGAGAGATGTTCAATCTGCACCAGCACTTGAGCAACTGGGAGACTGGGGACAGACTTCTATTGAGTCGGAAGCGGCAACTGCCAGGGGTCTAGCCCCTGAAGTAGCCAGTTATGCATCGACCCCTACACCAGATGAGGACCTCGCGCGATCTCAAATGTTTAGCCACGAGGAAGCCGAGAGCATGTATATGAGCGCTTTCTCCCACGCGGGCGGCTCGGAAATTAACCCAGCTATGCCGGGATCCTGGGATTCAACCCCATCTAGCTCTGACAATTCGACGAAAGCACAGCGGAAAACCGAAGAAGCATTACCGTCGCGTGAAGACGTGCCTGCTGAGTCTGAAGTGGGAAATGAAACCGTTGAGAGCCCAAGATCACCGCCAGTTTTGACGCGACCCCTGAGTCCTGCCCTCGATAATGAAGACAACGAGGGCTATTCTGTGACCACTCCAGAGACGAAGCCGAATGATGTCGTTGCGACACCTCGGGGTCCTACCAGACTGGTCAAGGAGATCTTATCTCTCTCTGAAATCTCTGTGTATGTTCCCTCAACGCACAAAAACGTACCAGTGCCTTCGGCCGAAGAGACCTTGAGGTCTCCGTCCACGACCTCGCACCACCCGCTGGAACGATCCATCGCCCCCAATGTACCAGGTGCATTTTCAGTGCATGGTGGTGCCCATTCTACATTTTCCCCTATCTCTGCTTCAATGCTCACCCCAATGCCAATTTTGCCAACCGAAGTGCCTCAGGACAACTCCGTAGAAGTTATCCTCTCGCCGCTAGATGTGCGATTTGATGCATCAATCAGTTTCCTCTTGGCCATGGTTGTATCGCGCATCCTTTCTGTGCTCAAAGAGCCAAATGACAAGACAGCGCAAAAGGCCGAAGCGGAGAAGAAAAAAGTGTCGCCGTCCCAAGACTTAAAAATATTAGCACAAAAGGTGTCTATTCATTTTCTCGAGACACTGGCAGGGGTTGCTGATGCCCCTGAACGGATTTTGAACCCCAACCCTGCAACCTTCGGCACTGACGCATTACTCACCACCACCCTGCAGAACCTCGCATTCAATCTTTCGAGATCCGAGTCTACGACTGTGTCGTCTATTGAACTGGAGAAGTTCAAATTTGGTTATGCCAACGATGACATCGTCTCGTTTGATCCACGCCTGCAAATGCGAGCCTCTGTTAGAGATGCATTTCCTTCTGCGGGGGCTGATGTCTCCATCAAGGTCACACAATCTCCTGAATCGACTAAATGCGAAGTGAAGACACTGCCTCTGCACTTGATGATAGATCTTCAAAGATTAGATGAGACTTTCAGCTGGTTTGGGGGATTGAGCAGTTTCCTTAATATGGGCTCGTCAATGACCTCAAGCGTTTCACCTAGCTCCAGAAGTCCGACAAGGATAGCAAAGAAATCTCGAGGGGTGAGGTTCGACGCACCTATACGGGCCGATGACAAATCAGCAGCGTCCGAAAACAAAATCAACATGCGACTGGGCGGTTTCCATCTCGACCTTGTCGGAAAGGATTGTAGCGTTTCTCTTGATACAAGTGCCGTCAAGTTGGTCACTCGAGATGAAGGCGTCGGCATTGGGATTACGAAAATCCAACTTTCGGGTCCGACGTTTAAGAGATCAATGGGAGATCCGCCCATCAATGCCGATATCAAAAACATTCGTATTGAGTACCTGGTGTCGCCCAGGGATAACGATCTCGAGCGATTACTAGAACTCATTCTTCCGTCGAAACACAAGTTTGACGATAACGACGATGAGATCATGGTGGATACATTGTTGCGACAGAGACGGAAAGGGGCTGTTTTACGGCTCAACTGTGACAACATCGAGGTCAAAGCCGGAAAGCTCCAACAGCTACAGTGCCTCCCAGCACTTGGAGAGGAGATTGCCCGTCTCGGTACGGTCGCTAAATATCTGCCTGAGGATGACCGGCCGGGTATTCTAACGTTGGCCCTGGTCCGCAGTCTTGACATCAATGTTGATGTGGACCGGCGAATCGGCACTGTACAGACATCCCTCAAGGATTTGGAGATCGGGCATATAAACTTCCCTTCTTTGCTTGCCCTTGGGCTTGGTTCAATCGCCGTACGACGCAACAACACCGAGGAACTCATTGGCTCAACCTTTCCAGCTTCCACCAACGCGAAGCCAGGACCCGTGCTCACTTTGAGAATGATTCCCGACGCCTTGGAACCGGTTATCAAGCTCAGAATGCGGCATATTAACATCGAGTACCGTGTCCCCACCATCATGGATGCCTTGGGTCTCGCTGAAGATGCGACGCCGCAAGATTTCGAAGCTCAACTGGCGGCTTCGGTGGCAAATCTCGGCGAACAGGCACATATAGCCATCACTGGCAAACACCCACTGTCCGAATCCGATAAGGGCAAAGGTAAGGACAGTCCGGGCAAGCCAACAAAGGTAGACCTTGTTTTGAAGGATTGTCTCCTCGGACTAAATCCACTCGGGTTAGTCTCGAAGCTGGTCATTGTCCTCACAGATGCTCAGTTGGAGGTTGCATTGTCGAACGGAGACGATGTAAAAGCTTTAGGTCATCTGCGCAAAGCTTCGGTACTTCTGATCGATGATGTCTCAATGCTGGACTCTCCACCCACCGATTCGAGGAGTCGTCGAACTTCGAATGTCGCAACACCGCAAATTGAGGAACTCTGCTCAAAAGGTTATGTAGACATCTGTTACATATCCTCTGCCAACGCGGCTGTTCAAGTAGGTCCGAACGGGGATGACGGTTCCAAGTTTTTCGACGTGGAGATTCGTGATGATCTCCTGGTCTTGGAAACCTGTGCCGATTCGACGCAGACGCTATTCGCGATTGCGGGTGCTCTGGCGCCTCCAACTCCGCCATCGAAGGAAGTCAAGTACAGAACGCAAGTTATGCCTGTTCAGGATCTCCTAGCGTCCATATCGGCGGATGCTTTTGGCAAGGCTGAAGGCAATTTCGACTTTGACGATGATTTTGGCTTAGCGCAAGAGCTGGGAGGGGACGACTTCGATTTTGAGGAATCCAGTGATTCTGGCCCCTTGGACATTGATTCGAGATATTATGATGATGCTACACTGGAGGACCAACTAGCCGACGCGACAGATTCCATGATGTCTGAGCGTACAGCGACGCAGGATACCAATGACGGCGTTTTGCTGACCAGCTTCAGCAGCCAACCGTCGATGATCGATGACGATGAGGAGTTGATCATTCATGACAATTACTTCGGTACTGGATCGGCTATTCAAGGTACTGCCCACAGGTGGAACTCGACGAAGATGACGTATGATCAGTCAAATGACCTCAAGGTACAGAAGAGCCCGGTGACTGTACGCGTGCGCGACGTTCATGTAATTTGGAACCTCTTTGACGGATATGATTGGAACCGTACGCGTGACACCATCACGAAGGCCGTCGAGGACGTTGAAACCAAGGCATATGAGAGGCGTATTCGTACCGAGCACCCGCGCATTACGGCTGAAATGGACGCCATGATTGAAGAAGAAGAGACTGTTATTGGCGATTTCCTCTTCAACTCGATCTACATTGGTATTCCTGCAAACCGGGATCCCCGGGAGCTTGCTCAACGAATCAACCAGGAGCTCAACGACAACGCGACTGAGACCGAGTCAATAGCTACCACAGCAATGACAGCGACGCCAGGCCGTGTCGGTGGTAAACGGCCCAAGCCGAGGCTGAGATTGAATCGCAGTAAGCGACACAAGATCACCTTTGAGCTGAAAGGCATCAATATGGATCTCGTGACTTTCCCTGCTGGGTCGGGAGAAACACAGAGCTCGATAGATGTCCGCATCAAAGATCTTGATGTCTTTGATCATGTGCCAACATCGACTTGGAAAAAGTTTGCTACCTACGACCAGGACGCCGGAGAGCGTGAGATGGGCACCAGTATGATCCTCCTCGAGTTACTTCAAGTCAAGCCCGTTGCAGAACTTGCCGCTTCCGAGTTGGTGCTGAAGGTCACTACGCTTCCGCTACGCCTGCATGTTGATCAAGATGCCCTGGACTTCATCACGCGCTTCTTCGAATTCAAGGATGCATCCGCAAAGCCGCCAACGTCGGAGGCCGACGTGCCATTCATCCAAAGGGCCGAGGTGAACTCGATTCCGGTCAAACTAGACTTCAAGCCCAAACGTGTTGATTATGCAGGTCTCAGGTCTGGTCATACAACTGAATTCATGAATTTCCTCATTCTCGACGAATCCCGCTTGGTGCTACGTCATACTATCGTCTATGGCGTCAAGGGCTTTGATCGCCTTGGAAAAATGCTCAATGACATATGGATGCCCGATGTCCAGCGCAACCAATTGCCTGGTGTCCTCGCCGGCCTTGCACCTGTTCGATCCCTCGTTAATGTGGGGAGCGGCTTCAAGGACCTGGTTGAAATTCCCATCAGAGAGTATAAGAAGGACGGCCGAATTGTACGCAGCATTGGAAAGGGTGCTGCTGCATTCGCCAAGACTACGGGCACCGAGATCGTCAAACTTAGCGCGAAAATGGCGGTCGGCACGCAGTACATCCTTCAAGGTGCCGAAGGCATGTTGGTAAAGCAAACGGATGCCAGGGAGGGCGGTTGGGAGGATGAAGATTTTGACGCGGAAGAGACGAAGCAGATCAGCTTGTATGCCGATCAACCGACCGGTGTCTTTCATGGGATCCGGGGTGCGTACTCGAGTCTGGCTCGCGATTTGAATGTCGCCAGAGATGCCATCATCGCCGTTCCTGGTGAGGTCATGGAGAGCCAGACTGCGCAAGGAGCTGCCAAGGCAGTTCTGAAGCGAGCTCCGACGATCATCTTCAGGCCGTTGATCGGGTCGAGCAAGGCACTTGGCAAGACACTAATGGGTGCCACCAATGCGTTGGATCCTCACAACAGGAGACGTATTGAAGAGGTGAGTTTCCAGACAACGCTTCCTTCACCTAGCGCGGCTTTGCTAACAATCTCGCAGAAATATAAGAGGCACTGAAGGCACTGAAGGCACTGATGAGCTTCTCGGCAGAAACCATTTGCAGTTTGACCCGGAGTATGGACAAGCATTGGGGGGTTTCTTTTGTTGCCACAGCCTATGATTCCCTGATTGATGAAATGCATGATAGACGGCGAATTAGGATGGCATCCGGATAGAGCTCTCACTCACACACAAGATTGGACTTTTTGCTGGGTTGGTTAGTTAAGGGAATGGCGTAAGTAGCACACGACATGAGCAATCATCGACAACGAATGTGTGCATTGACTGTGTGCATCCGGTCCAGAACCAGAATGTATAACATAAACAACCAAGCTCAGCTTTACTTAGTGTTTTCAAAGTAATCTACAAAAACCATAAACTCTGCCCAACTCCGGCGCAATGAACCAGCCCCCTGGCCATGCGCTCCTCTAAACCCTCGAGGCCTCTTTTTTTTTCTATCAATCCTTGAAACATGCACACCCGTCAACCGCATCACTCGCAGCTCCTCCGCTTAGAACCCATCAGCAGGAATTCCCTTCTCTTTCTCTGACGCCAACCTCTCCTTGTTCACCTTCACCCACCACTTATGCGTCTCATCCGTCCCGTTATAACTCCCCTCGGCATCCACCTCATCCCATGGCTTCGGCGCCAAAATGTAATGCACATTCTTGACACTATCATCACGCCAAATCGGCTCGTGAACGCCCGGCCACCGCAGAGTCTTGAGCGCATTATAAATATACGGCAGCGCGACCCAGCGGCCCCGATACAAGTCCGACAGCAGGCTCTGGTCGGCGAAATCCATGTCCACGGCATTCTGGTCCATGTACTCTACAATCTGCTTAAAGACGGCCTTGCTCGGGTTCACGACCTGCAAACCGCCGTTCATGAAACCCAAGGGTCCCACGCTCGGGTCCGCAGCCTTAGTCTGCGCTTCTTCGGGGGTGGAGTGCTGGAACGTGAAGGCGCAATTCTGCGGGATCCAGTCCTTGGGGTAATGGGGTTTCTTGAGCGGGTTGCAGACACAGGCGTGTCCGGCCGCGAAAACGCGTTTCCCCTCGCCCTTTTCCACGACGGCGGGGTCGTCGAGTTCCAGGTCCATGAGCTCGTCCATGTTGCGCAGGACGAGCATGTCTGAGTCGAGCTGCACGACGCGCTTGTATTGCGAGAGGTTGAAGGGGGTTAGCTTCGACCAGCAGTCGTAGAAGCGCGGGTCGTTGCTGTAGTCTTTGCTGCCCGAGGTCGGGAGCAGGTATTCGATGCGTTGGGAGGGGATGCCGCGCGCGGAGAGGGCGGCGAGACCAGAAGCGGGGAAGGTGTCGGTGTAGAGGGCTACGAGGGGGTAGGCGGTTTGGTGCTTTTTAAGAGAGAAGTCGAGGGTTAGGAGGCCGGAGAGGTAGTCGTTGTTTGTGATGAGGGTCGTCCAGACTGAAGAGAGAGAGAGCGGTTAGTTGGTGGGTGGTTCTACGGAAGTGATGACCAGCAGTGGTGTGACTCACCTTTATCGGACTCGACGCCGGCGGCTTTCTTGCCGTCTGCCATGTTTGCGGTTTGGTTTTCTGGTACGGTTGTTCAGAAAGATGTAGAGATGATCAGAAGGGTTGAGGTCTTGGATCGGGGTTGTTGAACAAGGGAAGCTATTCCGAAGTGGAAGGTGGGGTTCGAGGGATGGATTACGAGTGATGGAAAAGCTGCAGCGACAATCAATTCAAGGCAGAATTTTACAAACTCACTTCGAGGACATGGCGCAAATATAAGAACATCGCCGTCACTAGTCCCACCTCAATGGATCCATAGTCTGCAGTTTTGACTTGTCGCACTCTGGAAGCCGCGTAGACGACAGTTTCGGACAATGCCCCTCCATCCATTTGACCCCACCCAAGGATGATGTGCTCCCTGCCGCCTTGGCGCCATTGGTTGCACTGATACTGCAGACATGTATACTCTTTGCATCTACACATAGCCAGGATCACCGACCCGAGTGGATTTATTTCAAGCCGCCACTCAGCAAGATACTCTGTCCAGTCATGTATCCCGTCTTACACAGCATCGTCACCACATTGGCGCACTCTTGCGGCGTCCCTAGCCTGCCCACCGGGATGTTGTTCACATCGCCCGGCGTGCCCCGGACCGCTCTCTCGTCAGGAATCATGCCCGTCTCCCCAATCATAGCCGGCGCGATATCATTCACGGTGATTCCCGACCCGGCCTGCTTCGCAGCCAAATTCCGCATCATGCCCGTAAGCCCAGCCTTGCTCGCCGCATAATGACACCCATTGATACCCCCTCCAATGGCCGCAATGGAACTGATGAAAATCACCCTCCCCCAATGCTGAGCCTCCATATGCGGGATGCTCAGTTTCGTGAGCAGGAACGAAGCGCGCAGGTTGATGTTGAGCGTGTAATCGAACTCATCCAGCTCGATGTCGAGGATGTTGGGGATCCGCTTCCCGTAGCCTGCGTTAGAGACTAGGATGTCCGGGCCGCTTTGTTTATGCGAGTGTTTGAGCTCTTCAAACAGCCGTTCGATGTCCTGCGCTGAACCCGTGTCCACGATATGCACTGAGATTTCGCGGCTATCGTCGTCACTTGCACCCTTTCCACTGGAGGTCAGTTCTGACACGAGCGAGTCTACCGACGCGCGGTTCTTGAAGCATGTCAGGGCCAGTGATGCGCCTTGGGTCCAGAGGTCGCGAGCGCATGCGGCGCCAATACTAAGGTACCGTCAACGATTGGTCGCAAGTCGGGCTTGAAGGTGGGGCTCTCACCCGCCAGAGGCTCCTGTTATGAGGGCCAGGCGTCCTTTAATCTCATTGTCAACTTTTGCCATTTCGCTGTTTGTAAGTTGTATGCTGCAAGTTGCAAGTTGCAAGTTACAAGTTACATGTTGAGTTGCAATTTCCCGAGTTGATAGAGCGGGGTACTGGGTGGGCCGACACTTCTATGTAGATAATAGTGGGACGTTTGAGCATTGCGTTCGAGGTTCAATTTTCTCTTGGTTGGCCACAGCACTCTTTCGCAGCTGAACGGCTGGCTTGATCACAGATCATGGTGTGTTGGTGGGAACTTGTGTATTATTTCTTTTTCTTTGTCTTCTTGGGTCGGTCGTGCGCTTCAGAACGGCTAACTAGAACTGTGATCATAGCTCTCGGGCTTGGTTCTGACCAGGGGTTGCAAGCCATTGGTCCAGTTATCAAGTTACCTCAACCGACCTATGCTTACACGGCAACATACATCACGTATTTTATATCTATTTGATCTAACACGTGTAATTCCACAATGTCTTCCTTCAAAGAGGTGATGTATGTGCTGTACATACGGTGCTTCCGACGAGCAGCATGGTACTATTGCGACTTAACCTTCAAGCACAAGGGCGGATTAAGTGAGCAGCAACAAGTTTCCAAGACCACACATTGAAGAAGGCTGGCGATCATCACCGTCAGATTCTCTACGATACTTCCAAGATAACACAATTTTGGCAAAAAGCCACCGTCCGCATCTAACACGACTGAGCCTGGAGATGCAGCCAGCATGAAGGGGTCGTTGGCTGGCATCCAATCGCTTACCTGACTGCCTTACCACAACTGCATCCTTTTAACTGACCAGAATAATGCTGTTCCTGGGGATGTCAAGGGTCCGTGTCCAATGACCGACCGACGCATTTGCTAAGGCCCAGACACATGTCGCTCAATCGAAGTAAAAGTAACTCTCTCATCAGACTTTAACCCTTCCATTAAAACATGGCTATTGATGACGGTACTCTTGCGTGGTCAGATCTTTACGACGTTCGTCTCTTGGTGTTGCCCACGTTGCCCTATACTGTGGGTATCGCAATCTATCGCCTATACTTCAGTCCTCTAGCCAAATCCCCAGGCCCAAAGATAGCGGGTAAGATATGTTGATCATCTCACCTTTAAGCATGAACGGCGCTAAATGGGATTAACCAGCTCTCGCCGCCCTCTTCTACCCCTTGCTCACTAGTCACGCACACTTGGCCCGATTGAAAGCTGAGCTGGAGACGGCAGTACCCGATCCGAACAAGCTCCCAGTCGCGGCCAATCTAGACGGACTGCCGTTTCTCAACGCCCCTGACGGGAAGAAAATTGGCATTCCGGCTGGGACTGCCATGGGCATGTCAGCTCCCCTCATTACCCGTCACCCGGATGTGTACGATCAACCTGACGAGTTCCGGCCTGATCGCTACATTGAGAAGCCTGGCTTGACCAAGTACCTCATGTAGTTTTCGAAGGGGGCGAGACATTGCATCGGCATCAATCTGGCATACCAGGAGTTGCAACTACTCACCACTGGCGTCTTTCTGCGGTACGACATGTATGATCCGACCAAGAAGCAGCCGGATGGCCCGACGCTATAGTTATATCAGACGGAGCATGATGATGTGCCATGTGTCGTGGTTTTTTTCTACATCAAGTAGGCCGGGGAGCCAAGGGCTTCAGCTTGTAATTCGGCATTGAAGGTTTTTTATTCACTTGGGACACATTTAGTTTGAGAACACTGTACTCTTTCGTTAGGAACGTTCACTATTGATGAGCTATGTGACAGATACATATGGACCCAATTCTCTTTCGAAAAGCATCTGCCGGAGATACACTGGAGTCTTCTGTTGGCAAAATTCCGAGCAGTTATGCAAATCGGGGTGTAGTATTTTATTTTCTCACTGGTCCAAAGCCTCTAGAGAATTTAATCGGAGGGGAAGCAAGAGCTTTGGGGTCAGTGGTGGGCCTGCAGACTTCCATTTGTTCTTTTCTGCTTCCTTTTATGTCACTTGAATGGCCTTCTTTCCTTTGTCTGCTTGTAACCAGATGTTTATCCTTGTCGCAACTCCATAAAGGACACAGCCCCTGTTACTCACCTTGTAGCCTAGTTTACCATCAATAAGTATCTTCCAGTGAGTGTAATGAAGTATTACCCTGTGTTTTATGCCATAATCACACCCAGCTCGAGTTATATTGGTTCGAAGCAACAATACTTCTAAGCACGCAGGCTGTCCTCTCTTGAGAAGAGGATGCACTAATGACCGTACTTGTAATCTGAGTTGGCTACTAGCTTCAAGTAAAAAATGTGAGGAACTATTTAGACCCGATACGAGACCGCCATCAATAATCCGAGGTAACGCCAACATTGTCATCGCCGGGCCTTGACTATCACACTTCAGGACAACCAAAGGAAGCTTTTATTACCATGCGCGTTACCATGCGCGTGTAAGCAGCCGAATAGGGAAGAGTCAACCACAAAAAAGGAAGGACTACCAATCGATGAACAAGAGTCCCACGTGCCATGCGAAAAACCACGGCAGGTCTGTGGAGTATGATAGAATCAGATTGGAATATCCCATTCATGTCACAAGTGTTACGTTTTTCCTCTTTGCTTTTAGGCTGTACGAGTATCCCCTTTCCTCAGCTTATTAAAATTACGAAACAGAACTCGTCAAGCGCGGCCTATGCGCCACCCTCCCCGGCTCATGCAAGTGCTTATGACTTGGCCCCCTCCTCGATTCATCATCGCGCGTAACCGCCACCGTCCTCACAATGCCGATTCCAGTCAACATCTCCTCGTCCGAATCCCTAGGCGTGAACCCATTACTCTTGATCTCCGTCCTCCCCTGGACACGATCTCCCCGGATATTCATGTCTTTGAGACCGTAGGAGCTGCCGCCGACGGACTTGGTACCATATACTACCGCTGGCACGATGCGTTTCCAACCTTGCTGGCCGCTGCTGCTGCTGCTGATATTGTTGTTGCGAGGGTAGTGGTCGCGCGTGGAGCTGAACTCGGGGGCCCAATGGCGGACGAGAGGCCAGAGGGCAGGGGCCGAGGCGGTAATGATGGCGAGGTTGCACTCGATGGAGGCGACGACGAAGCCGAGGGAGAAGGAGAAGTCTGGGTCTGTGTTGGCCCAGAGAGACTTGTACAGGAAGTAGAGACGGACTATGCCGGTGACGGTGACGCTGTTGTTCAGGAGCAATTGGTTAATCTCATCCATTCATACTAGTGTCAACAAAGAAGAAAAAGGGGTCGAAGAAATTTCAACTTACATGATACCCAGCATGAAAACTGCCATCAAGCCAATTTTCTTCTTGCGGCTCAGATTTAACCCAAGAACAATGTAAAAAGGCAAAGCGATGGCGACAAGATCTGTCAGGATAGTAAAGATAGCCGTCGAGACGGCAAACACGGTCGAATTGATGCAGCGGGCCCCCAAGTACGGCTTCCAGTACCCTTCGATGGGGTTACACTGGAACAGCACGGCAAAGAAGACGGCAATCATGAGGGCGGCGTTGAAGATGGCCGTGACCCAGACCACGATGCGGACGACGCGCTTGATGCCACCGAAACGCAGGATGAATATGAGCACGGACTGCTTCACGATGGCTAATATGGGGTTGTACACGGCGCCCGTGATGTAGGACCAGAGCATGCCCGTCTCGAAGTCGGCGTCTAGGGGTATGTCCCAGACGTGAATCCCGACATAGAGGAGTTTCATGCCTAGATCCCATCAGTCTTTTTTCCTTTTTGTTTTCCGAAAATGACACCGGCTAGTAATTTGGTGGGAAATACTTACAGATGATAGAGCCGACAGCGAGAGCAATGCTCAAGGCCATGGCAATAACGATACAGGCATCATCTGTGTTCGTGTCAGTCAGCATATGGGCGGATTTCCCTAAATGGGATGAATTCTTTCGACATACCCCAACCGAAGGTTTTGGTGTTCAGCCTGCTATACACTCTGAGCGCGACTACAAGGAGGGCCAAGGCCGGAAAGAAAACCTCGATGGCGATCCCCAGATCCTGGAGCCAACTTCTAGGCTGTGCCGTCATGATGCGGTGCTTGTCGATCTGTCACATAGGCACACGTACATATACGCACGTGACAACGAGATAGCATCTCAGCTCGATGGGCCCTTTCCTGTGGTCTCCATCAGTGAAGATGAGAGAAAGAAACTTGGATACATATATGGTCTATTGAAGAAACTGAGCAAGTGCCTGGATTGGATCCCCAGATTAATTAAGCTGCTAGTTCATCTTTCAGCCTGGAACTCTCAATAAGTCGGCGGCTGTTCTCAATCCAATGATCCATGTTGCAGGTGTGTTGTAGCCGAGAAACACTGCAATGGGTTTGGATGAATGGTCTGGGGAAATGCTATGCGATATTGGATGCCACAACGGCATTTGACAGGACTGCTGTCGAAACTTGCTCAACCACACCAGAGCTGTGGTGTGAGGCTCGCTACCAGTTTGCATCCGTCATTAGACGCTAGCAGTAGATAGTAATTGTCCTAGGGGCGAAGTCGTGTCAATGCTACCGCGACCATGGGTGACAGGCGGGAGCGACACTAGGGTGCGACCCAGGGTAGTTTCAGCCGGTGCAATTGTAGTAAAGAAAATACTTGGCATCGAAACAAGAAAAGTAGTTGGTTGTAGATTGGACTTAAAGGGTCTCTCGGCAGCAACGCGACTTGATGGCTACCTAACGCTATCATGCATGCATAGCTTGTCTGCGAGTTTCTGCGATGATGGTATACTAACCAGACCACAGTATCACTCTCACTTCTTTTTTATCTCCCAGACGTGTCGACATGAGACTGACGATTTATTTTGCGAGGGCACCTCACAATTATGACACAACCGCGTCGGGAGGCGAGGTTGTTGACCATATTATTTGATAACGTCAGTCCTACCAGACGACAGTATAAAGAAGACTTCTACGAAGCTCGATTCTCTGTGCTGAAGAACAGTATCATCTCCCGTGCAAGCACACGAGTCTAATCAACCTTACCTCCTCTCGCGTGCGCGGGGTATAGCATCGGCCATGGCTGGACCCAATGGAGAGACCGGTCCGGTACGGCACAGGTGGAGAAGACGGCACGGCTAAAGTGAACAACGGCTACTCATCTTTCTCCCCGTCTCGGTTATAATAAGGATGCTACCTTAACGTAGTAGCGGCAACAACCCCAGACCAATTCCCGAATGGTGAACAATATCTGCAGTGGCCAAAGTGTGGAACCATAATTCCCTCGCTATTGGGTACCTGCAAGCCCCTGGCCATGAGAGCAAGTCGTGTGCGTCGCCACCATGGTAGACAATGAATCCACATCCAGAGCTGTTCTGCCAAATCGGAAAATTGCTGGTTTGTGGCTTCCATAGCCCTTCCGTGGCTCTTCTCTACACGTGTGATGAATAATTGGCGGAATCAATGCGCGTGTCAGACGGGGCCAAACCCAAAGCTAAGCAAACCCCGGCCGGAGCCTTGGCTTTCAACGCACGCCGCAAAGCGGATAGACCGGCCGGCCGAATTTGGGGCCCAGACGAGTGAATTACTTCCGGGTATTATAGTCGGGATTACGGAGAAATCCAACTTCATCAGGGCGACATTACAGGGAGCGAACTTCGCCCCCGGGCCACATCACTCGAACCACCCGGTCGGTATGGGAGGCCCGTATAAGTAGATTAGAGGCGGTACCACCACAAGCCTCCCAAAGGAAAGGCAAGATGGTTTCACAAGGTCCTGGCAACGGTATTAGCCCCCACATACACCCCGGTCATCATTTCAGAATGCAGCATACGGGAGCCCTAGCTGTTTGGGCATTATGTCTGATCCAGTTGGCGTTTGGGCAGACTATAGATGATGGAGGTATCACTGTCGGTAAGAGGTTCTGCCACCAAACATAGCAATGATGACCTGCTGACACACTTACACAGACGCTACTAGCGGTACGGTGGCGCCCGCCGTTGAAGAGGTGGCCCCTGACTCGGCAGCGTCGGGTGTTGAATACCTGGACTACGAGACGGCCCAGCTTACGCCAGACGTCGTTGCCAACTTGACGAGTCACGACCTCACTGACGTCGAATTGTTCGACTTTGGTGATGAGGACGCTGCCGCTGTTGCTTCGCGGAAACGAGCCACCAATTATGGGCAACCGGACTGCAAGACGTTCCCGGGTGATCTGAGTTGGCCTTCGACTATTCATTGGAAGTTGCTCAATATTTTGACGGGTGGTGCTCTCATTAAGGCAGGTCAGTACGCCGGAGTCTTCGCTTCTTGTCTACGGGGACGTGTCCAGTTGACTTATCGCGCTTCGAGCGGCATGTTGCTCTTGGTGAAAGTCGTGTATATGTGAACGGCACCAAGTCACCCCATATCCATCATTAGAAGAGACATTGACTCACTCGTCATCGTTGAACAGTGCCTACGGCAGCTCCATGCTACAAGTCGTGGCCGCAATACAATGCCGTAACATGTGATGACATCACTGCTAAGTGGACGTCGCCCAAGTTCCAGTAAGTCTGCCCCCTAAAAGCAAACTTCGCCAGCAGCGACTGCACATCTCACGTCGTGTGAGATGAAATATGATCAGAACACCGCTCATGACAAGCACAGGCTGTCCCAGCCCGTCGGAATAGACTTTCCCCTTTTCGAGGGAGTGTCATGTATGCCTCCCACCGTTGCGCCTCCCAACTCGAACTGCACGCTTGGAGGCACACCGTCATATGTCGTCAAGGTCAGGAATGTGGCCCAGATTCAACTGGCCGTGAACTTCGCGCGAAATCTTAACCTCCGTCTGAATGTTAAGAACAAGGGCCATGACTTCAACGCCAAGTCTACCGGGGCAGGCTCACTCTCCGTGTGGACCAACTTCCTACAAGACATCCAGTACTTGGGGCCCAGCTACTCCAAGGATGGTCATAAGGGCCCGGCCTTCAAAGTAGGTGCTGGGGTTGAGGTTATGCAGATGTATGAGGCTGCCGATGCTTTGAACCTGGTGGTAGTCGGAGGTATTGGTCGGGTGCGTCTCCCACATCACCAAAGACGTCAATAGCGTGTGTTCAGGCTAACATGGACACAGACTGTCGGTCTCGGAGGCGGCTACATCGCCGGCGGCGGACACTCGCCCCTGATGTCCACATACGGCCTGGGCGCCGACCAAGTCCTCTCCATGGAAGTCGTCCTACCCAACGGCCGCTTCGTCTCCGTTGACGAAAAGTCCTATCCCGACCTCTTTTTCGCCCTCCGCGGCGGTGGCGGCGGCACCTACGGCATTGTCACCTCCCTCGTGATCCGCGCTTATCCCAAAACCCCCGTCACCACCCTCACCTACACCTTCGGCACCGGGCCCAACATCACCAACAGCACATTCTGGCAAGGAATGGACGTCATCTGGTCTAGCTTCCCACGTCTTGCCGACACAGAGCTCTACGCTTACTGGTCCATTGGTTGCGCGAGCGGCGGATCCGAATGCTCCTTCTCCATGGGTCCGCAATGGGCAAACAACATGTCGACTTCGCAGCTCAAAGCGCAATACGAGCCCGTTTTCGCGCAGCTTGCGGACCTCGACATCGCTGTTAGTAATGTGACCTACATCGAGTACGACGGCCTCAAGAACGCCTTCGACCACACCCTGCCCGCCAACACCGAGTCTGTAGGCGGGTTTACTTTCCACACGGCTTCGCGACTATTCCCACGAGCCAACTGGGAGGACCCCGCGAAATTGAAGAAACAGTCGGCTGCTATTCACGATGCCATCATGCAGACGGGGTACATGATCGGGTACAACTTCAAGTCAGGCACCAACCCAGCCGTGAACCAGAAAAACGCCGTCAACCCGGCCTGGCGGAACACGCTTTGCCACGGCATGTTCGGCGCCGCATGGAACCTCGACTCCACGCCCACCGAGATCGCGGCCGCTAACAAGCGACTCGTGGAAATCGTGCAGCCGTTGCGGGATGTGAGTCCGGGGGCGGGCGCGTACATGAACGAGGCGGATATCAATGAGCCGGATTGGCAGCAGTCGTTTTATGGCAGTTTTTATGATAGACTGTATGGCTTGAAGCAGAGGTATGATCCTTGGGGTTTGTTGTATGCCGACACGGCGGTGGGATCCGAGGATTGGTATATTACGGATCAGATAGATTATTTCCCGACGCAGAATGGGAGACTGTGTCGGAAGTGAGGGGGTAAGATATAATGGATTTGGGGTATATGTCTGGCAAAAAAGGTGTAGATTGTATGCATTGGGGTATCAATGCGCAAAATGGTGTTTGTTTAACTAGTACGCATGGGTATCAGAAGAAGACCATTACTTGCGAGGGAGACCGACCTCCAGCGCCTTTCAATTGATATTTACAAAGTTGCACCCGTTCTGCCTAAGCATGTCAGGATCATAAGCCGAAAGAAAAAATGCGAATATTGGCGCAGCTCATCTCCCGTGTTTCGAATCCTCCCGAGTATATTACAGAGTTTTAGCATCCTCGGTGGGCAGGTATCGAACCTAAACCCCCAACATTTCGCTGTATAGCTGTCGCCAAGCATTCTTTAGAAAGTCGTAGCCAATCAGGTACTATGCCGAGACTCAATCGATTACGCCTTTAGGCAATAGGGGACAACAATGTGGGAGAACTTTACAGATCATAATTGTTTCCTAATATTGTTTAGATGAGGTTGATCAAATGAGTAAAAATACTATCTTTACAAGAGGACAATGCTTGGGGCAATTCAACATGCAATTATTTTGAGGTCTTGACTTTGGCCGTCGTGAGACTTAACGCCGGTTCTCATCTACAGCAGAGAAACCTTGACAATCGTCCGAATCCGACTGGTGACATAGCTATGAATAGATTTATAATACCCGGGCATCTTACTGTCCCTTATTGCTCGGATGTTAAATTACATGTTTTCCCAATCGCTATCTCTGCGAATTTGATGCTGCGCCGATCCAGGTCCTGCAAGCCCACCAATAGAGACAGCGGTACGCAGAATGATGGCTTTGTACACCCGATACAGCAAAACCAATGTTCACAAAGGAATCAGGGCAACATTGCATTTTGTCATTAAATAATGCTCTTTGATCTCACTGTAAGTTATCACTTTCAAAGACGCTAACATAAATATTACCATAGGCAAAACGATCCTTTCTCTACTGAAATTGAAACGGTGTACAAAACCTTGTTCAGATCACCCCCTGGCTTCTGATATGAATACTTCACTGTGAACTCGGCCTACCCTGACCCCAGCAACTTATATGATTTCCAACTGATCACCAACAAACCAAAACGTTGACTCTACGAGCGAATATTTTACGAAACCCGCCGAGATGTTCCCAATCCTGATACTCTGCATCTTCCCCTGCGTCTTCTGCTGCTTGGTATGGTGTATATGCTGCTGCAAGCTCATTGAGCTTCTGTGGCCCATCTTGGCCGTTTGCATCATTCCCGCTGCGGTGATTTGCAGCTTCCTAATCGACCTAGCCATCGGATGGCTCTTTATCGGAGTTCTTATCATTTCGGGCGTGATCAATGACTTGCTGAAAGAGTCCACGAGACCGGCTTCGGCTGCTGAGCCGCAGGGGTAGTTGGGTTGCTGGTGAGGAGAAGGAAGGCATTGCGGATATCTAATTAAGATGGACGGCGTTACGGCATTAACATGGATTCAGGTAGAGTGTCTCTTGGATAATGAAATGCAATGGCAAATTCGGTAAGTTATCTCTAGGTACTCAAAATATCATATCAAAATCAAAACTGTCAATCATCATGTACATATTTACATATTAAATCAGTGAAGAACATACATAATATCGGATATCAGATATATTCTCTCTCATTTGTGTAGGTTTCTTAGTAGGTGCTCTCCCCCTGTGTTACAAGTCTTAACGTGGCGCAACATATGTTACTTTCTCCGTACTACAGTCACGTAGGCTGTAGTAAATAAATATAGAATAATGAGAGCCTGGTCAGTCTATGACTATAAGTTAAGATCGTCACGGAATACTGGGAAATGCTGGGCTTTAGTATGAGCCAATAGCACGACTACTTAGGAAAATACAGTAAGCTGCGAAGGAACCACACAACAAAACTGATGATCAAGGCAAGCATTGAAGCATCTATTGAATGAAACTATTAGGTATAAGTGTTGATAAGGTTGCTTGAGTTTTTAATAAGGCAACTGCCGAGAAAATGTCGCAATCCTTTACTCGGATTGTCTAAAGTTGCTGACATGACATCATGATACACTCAGAATGGCACTCTGGCTCTGTTTAGCTGTTTCCATAGTATCTAGAGTGCAAAATTATTTACTTAGGTATTTAGGCAGATGCATTATCGAGCGAATGCCTTCAGGCCTACAAAGCCATCGTGCCTTAACTTCTTCCATACCCAGGACGAACAACTCTTTGATGCATAATATTCGGTCATTGCATATTACTGCTATTTCTACTTTTATCATAGATGTATGAAACGCGTATCGTTTCAGCCACATTCAGGCATCAGCTATCTGGCGATTGCCCCGCAACCGTTAAACTACCCCTCCAAATAGTCCAGCAGGGGTGCCCTATTGCTTCAACCAAACCTCAACGCCAACTTGAATATTTGAATGGCCCGTAAACTACAGGCTGGACCTCAACCACCTACAACTCACTTGGAAACACCTTACTTGATCCAGTTCGAGTAGATATTTACGATGTCTCTGACACTTGAGAAGATCCTCGCAGCTTCGCCTGCCACAACCCGAGGCCAGCCAACACAGCTCTCATCCGACCCGAAGGGCCAGCGAATTGCCTATGCCGTATGTTCCCCAACTATCACCCCGCATAATTAGCTCGAAACAAGTGTATCTAACGGAATCTGTAGTCAGGCAAATCCATCTTCCTCCGCTCCATCGACGACCCCTCAGACAGCAAGCAGTATAAATCCCACACCGCAACCACGACGGTAGCCCGCTTCTCCCCATCCGGCTTCTACGTCGCCAGCGGCGATGTCTCGGGTACAGTGCGGGTGTGGGACGCTATGGAGGCCGAGAACACGAAAGGGGAGTACCACATCATCTCGGGGCGCATCAATGACCTAGCCTGGGACGGCGACTCACAGCGCATCATCGTCGCGGGCGACGGCCGCGAGCGCTTCGGCCATTGCATTACGGCGGACAGCGGCAACAGCGTTGGCGAGATCTCAGGACATGGCAAGATCATCAACTCGGTCGCTATTCGGCCAATGAGGCCCATGCGCGCCGCGACGGCGAGTGACGACATGTCCATGTGCTTCTTGCACGGTCCGCCGTTCAAGTTTAATTCGAAAGCCAGCGGGCTGCATAAAGGGTTCGTGTTCGCCACGGCTTTCTCGCCTGATGGGAATAGCTTGGTTACTGTGGGTGCGGACAAGCGGATTCAGTTGTACGACGGTAAGACAGGCGAGCCCACGAGGAATTTTGGCGAGAGCGAACATACGGGTAGTATCTTGGCTGTAAGCTGGGCACAGGATTCGAAGAAACTGGTGACTGCCAGCGCGGATCGAACCGTGAGGGTGTGGGATGTGGAAGCAGGCAAGGCTACACAGACATGGAAGTTCGGCGGGGATGCCCGTGTTAGTATTCCCGATCAGCAAGTCGGTGTCGTATGGCCGCATGGACGCACCGACGGTTTAATTATCAGCCTGAGTCTCGGCGGAGATCTCACCTACCTTAAAGAGGGCAGCCCGGAACCGATCAAGGTCATTCAGGGGCACAACAAAAGCATCACGGCGATGGGTGCCGGATCCGATGGCAGCGGACAATCGGTTTGGACAGGGAGTTTCAACGGACGTGTCTGCCGTTGGGATGTAGCTGCTGGTGCCGCATCGGCAGTGGATGGTCAGACGCACACAAATCAAATCGCACAATTCGTCGCGGATGCCGGCAGAGCATACAGCGTGGGCTGGGATGACACGCTTCGTATTATTGACGAGTCAGCCAGCACATATGTAGGCGAGGCACCGAAGCTTTCCGCGCAACCGAAGGGCGTCGCTGTCGCAGATGGCCGTGTCTTTGTCGCAACCATCTCCGGAGTTGAGATCTACGTCAAGGACTCCCTCGCCGGCAAACTCGACATTAACGATTCTGAGCCTACCTCCATAGCAGCCTCCGGGTCCCTAGTGGCCGTCGGAACCAACAGCAATGCTGTACGGCTCTACAAGGTCGATTCGAGCAACAAACTCACCCTTTCCGCGGAAACCAAAAACAGCCCCGCTCAGATCTCCGCGCTGGCCTTCTCCCCCGACGGTAATCATCTCGTTGCCGGCAACACGTCCGGAAAGCTGTTCGCGTACAAGACTACTGACCTTTCCCTCGTCACGGACCGGTGGTCGGAGCACACCGGGAGAATTATCAGTCTGGCGTGGAACGAGGACGGCGACCGTGTGGCCAGTGGTTCGTTGGACACGCACGTGTATGTGTGGAGCTTGAAGAATCCCTCTGGCCGGACCAAGGCGCTTAATGCGCACAAGGATGGTGTGAATGCGGTTGCGTGGGTTAGCGGAGGGAAGAAGATTGCGAGTACGGGTGGAGATGCGGCGGTCAAAATTTGGAGTATGGCGACTTTGTAAGGAGTCAACTCCATTTACAGTGTCAACAACCACTAGAATGTGTTATGATAAGATGATGCCGAGATCATGAAACAGCACTCGTTGGCGGTGATAACGGAACAAACTGGTATCGCAGTTAACGTCATGACGAGAACACCAGGCGATGTAGAAATGCGAGACGTATCAGAAGAAAGCAATCGGCTCTGTAGCCGTCAAACCAGCATATCTGGATATCTACCAATCCTCAAACGCCAAATTCGTGGTTGATTGCCAGGTCATGATGGCCAAATCCTTCCGGGGTACCCACGACTGTGCATACCTGCTATGGTGACCGGGTCCCGTCGGCAAGGGTGAGAAAAGCCCTTCTCTGAAATACAGTCCAGAAACGCCTGAAGAAGTCATGATCGATCTGAATTGCTCCAGTGCAACCGAGCCAAGTTCCTGATGCAACAACTCGCCTCCCTAATCGAGGCGCAATCCCTAGTAGAGTTGCGACTTGTACTCCTCTTCTTCCTTTTTGGTGCGGTGGACGCTATGGGAGTTCTGTAGGACCTCCTGGCAAACGTCCTCAAGACTGTAATATATTGAGTCCGGAGGCGGCTGAGGGGGCCAATTGGGGGGGAGATGCTTATCGATACGTTTGACAGCCTCATGGACGCGTCTACGACGCATGAATTATTAGTTACGGAGCAAGAAGACATGGGAGGAAAGTCAGCGAGGGGCATACCCGAGATGACCATGAACGAGGTAACCCTCTTTGTCCATCGCCTTGGCTAGTTGAACTTGGTGGTTGTCCATCAAGGTGGCGTTGGGGACCACGATCAGCCTCGAATTAACCTTCATAGCATCCAGAATGGTGCCGGCGCCTGCGAAGACAGTAAGCATGAAATGAAATTATAATACGTTAGTAGGTGAAATACCAGCATGCGAAACAATGATACCCATGCTCCTCTCCTCACCCCCATCCCTCCCATCACTCGGCGTGCACTTCACCATCTCCCCTTTCATATCATTTGTGTAGTCAAACCCAGTGATATCGATCCAATGGCTATCAAACCCCTTCTGCGGGCGGATCTCCTCAAAATACTTCAAGTCCGGACCACACTGGACAATGAGGCTCATGATCTTGCGCTCGGCGAGCACCTCGAGGAATTGGGGAGACAGCACCTCGGTGATGAGGTCCTTGAACGAGGCCGTCGCGCCGATGGTGACGAACATGGTGGCGGGGGGGCGACGGTCGAGCGGGACGGCCGCCACGAGGGCCGGGTCCTGGATCAGGCGCAGGTCATCGAGCGGGTTCTCGCGCGAGGCCATGAAGGCGGCGCCGAATTCGTGCAGGGGGTCGACAACAGCGTCTATGAAGAAGGATTTGGCGCGCTTGTAGTCTTGGCGTTCGCTCTCGCTGTCCGATAACTCCTGGCAGGATGTGGGTTAGCTACTGGAAGGTATCATGGATTCGCCGTGACGGAAGGTACGTCGAAGGGATACGGGGGAGTTCACCATCTCCAAAGTCCAATTGACAGCCGCGGGGTCCTGTCGTTGGTATCTGTGGCTGAAGCACAGCGATCTAAAACTGGGGTCTTGGCTTGTCGCGGTCTTGGCCAGTGCAAATGGCCAAAGTGGATTGGGGGATAACGTACAAACCCACCTTTCCGGCCACATATTGCAATCCAATTGAAGGTATTCGAAACAGTGTATTCAACGTACTATTATAGCTATTCAGGTACAACCAGCTCTAATAGAAAGCTGTGCTCTAGGGCTTCCTGAGGTATAGATCTGATAGGTTCTGACGCCTTAGCTGGGTCCAGTATTACCTGATTCCGACGTTGTACCTGGTCTCGTTGCCGTTCTACTTCAAGGGCTCGATCCATCGCTTCCTTAATATGTACAATGTTACCAAATCGTTCATTAGGCCCTAATCGTACCTTCTTACGTGGTTTGGGGCGTAACGAAGTTATAGGGTAGAGCGTGGAACGCCCCATTGGAGGGAAGCCTGGCGCTGGGATATCCCTTGATTGATATCGTTGAGAGCGCCTTGAATCGAATTTTCTGAATATCGAGGCATTGCATAATAATAGCCAATACCGACGATAATCTGTTGTGCCGAAGGTTGTTGTAGTTGGCAGATTAGGTGGCCAGAAAGGTGGGTAGCCGGAAAGGTGGGGTTGTACGTTAATTGGAGATAATTGGGGATGCTTGGAATAAAGAGTTGGAGGAACGCCCAAGAACGATGATTCGTCTGATGTTCTAACTCGGCCCCTGCAACTTCGAAGAGCGAAACCACCAGTAGCCGGGCCCGGATTTACTGCGCTTCCGCAGAAATTTGTCTTTTGGAGGTTCAATGCCGGCAGAGAATCGCGATATAGACAAGCTCACCATTGAGAGCAGAAAGCCATGGCCTCTGCTGTACAGACACTGAGGCTCTGTTTGCGCGCCTGCAGAACTGCTCCGGTTGCGCGCAGGTTCCCACCGCGCACCCTGGTGGCCGCCCGACCCATCTCGACGACGCCGATTCGATGGCGGGCCAGCAACACCGACGATAATGATTTGGAGGACGACGATACGGGGGAAGAGGATGATGAGAAAATGTACGAGCTCGAGTCGAAAATAACACAGCAAGAGACAAAGGAAGCTGAGGAAGCTCTAATGAACTCGGAAAAATTGGTAGCGGAAATGGAGGAGATGATCCGCGAAACCGAAAGGCTGCCCAAGAAGGCTCGAGACACGTTCTGGGGAGAGGAAGAGGATGATACTGATCTTATCGCCGAAGGAACCGATGATGATGATTTCAGTGAGGATGACATCATGAGCATGGCCCACGGCAAGCTCGAGGAACATCGCGAGTACAGAGAGTATGCCCGAATTGCTGCGTGGCAAATGCCGTTGCTGTCCAGTGAGTCACCATTACTTGCAATACTACACCTGCCATGTAGTGTGTCTTTCTGACCTTCCGTTTTCTAGAACTGGCGAGACCGTTCGTGCCCCCTACCGCTGAAGAGTGCCTCCGATTTCGGTACACGTCGTACATGGGCGAAGATCACCCGGCCCAAAACAAAGTCGTGGTTGAGTTCTCGCCCCGAGACGTGGGCCTCAACGAGGCGCAACAGCTCAAGCTCAGGAAGCTTCTTGGTCCGCGATGGAACCCTGAGACGGACGTGGCTAAGATGAGCTGTGAGCAGTTCGGCCACCAAGCACAGAACAAGCGGTATCTAGGGGATGTGATTGAAACTTTGATCGCGCAAGCCAGGGTATGCAAATTCCTACGTTAGAAGCAATAGGCGCTCAACATACTGACAATGAACAGGACCCCACCGACATGTTCGAGGACGTCCCCTTAGACACACGGCATCACAAGTTCAAGGTCAAGCCCAGGTTCCCCAAAGAGTGGCGCCTAACCGAGGAGCGACGCCTAGCAATAGAGGATGCGCGACAAAAGTCGTTACTTCTTGACCAGGAAAAGGTGGAAGCTGGAGCTCTCGTGGACGGGAAGGAGAAGGTAGAGCGGTTCTTTGCGCAACCTGTCCCAGCGATGAAGATCCCCGAACTAGTGGCCGCGCGTCTGCCTAATAGGCAGCCAAGACAAATCCCGAGAACGAGACAGATGCCATAGTTTTGAAGCAGGGTGGAAATGTATGATATGAACTCATAGGCTGGCGGCTGAGGAGGCTGTCAAAATGTACAAATGTAATATACATGTACGCGAAGGCTATGGGAGATATATCCCTGTCTCTTACACCATCATCGCGTGAATATATGGGTGCTGAAGTCACCAAACGATTGTTCCAGCTCAATGGTTGTGGATCGAAAGAACTGTGACGTTGGGAATTTATATTTTTGTCACTTGAGCTACACGAAAATAGCCTTGTATTTGGCCTTTCCAATTACTGAAATAAAACATGCCGTACGGGCAATGTGTTCGAATCAGCAATGCATATTGATATACCAGAGGCAAATTTGGTCGCGTCATATGCCGCGTACCAAAAATTACAAGTCGCAACTTCGGCAGACGCTAGTTGAGTCTAGCCCGATGTTGCTGTGGTAATGTTAGGTTTGTTTGGCATTTACTTTCTGTTGTTGAACAGGCAGCATGAAAATGTACAGTTAGAAATATGCATTTTTTAAGGGTATCGAAATTCATAATCATTAGGTCTAAAAGCGGCGTAGGTGTGGGACAGTACGGCTGGGAGGCCGACTGTCACCAACCGCCGTCATCCGTGCCAAAAATTCCCCAAGTGACGCAATGACACATCCTCTTGTAAACAGAAATACGAAACACAACCCGGCCACGATTAGTACCCAGGCTCCTCCAGTTTGTATATTCTGCATTACAAACCATCGAATAATGCGTCGTAGAGGGATTACGCGGAAAGAGAAAAAATACGTATTAAAGACGACGATGTTGTTGTAAGTTGTGTTGTCAACACGGAACCGATGGGGCATTGCTTTGCACAGCCCGCAGGTGCCGAAGGAGACGACGTTTTGTGGAGAGGTGGTTGGTCATTCCGCCCAAACGAAGCCACCAAAATTGACTGTCCTCGTGACCATTGGTTGATTTCCGCTAGAGTACGACTCGTGCATGAAGTATAATGCTTTGGTTGGTTGACAAGAACAACACCTCATTCTGGCGGTGGAGGTCGGACGCTTAGTACTTCAAAATGATGTACCTGGAGAGAATGTTAGCAACGATCACATGTGGATGATGTCTTGTTCACCCGAGTAAGAGAGACAACATACAAGGCATGGATGATACCCGGAATGTAACCCAGAATCGTCAACAGAATGTTGATTAACAGGTCAGCGCCGCACCCTCGCTCCAGGAAGACACCCAGAGGCGGGAGGATGATGGCAAGGATGATCTTGCAGATATCGCTAGCGGTGAAGGCCATATTGTTGACGTGCGGAGACAGTCGTGTTCAGCGAAGATGTAGTTTAGTGGTAAAAAGTCGTCGAGCGGTTATGAGAAGTCCAAGTTGTTGTAGTGAGACGTTTGGTTGCGAAGAAAAGAATCGAGTTGCGACGAAGTGATTGGGAAGTGAGGGGATGTGCCACTTAAATAGCACCTGGGCAGCTTGGTCAAATTCACCAACAAGGCAGTGCGAGTGATGTGATTTGACTGATCGATCGAATGCAGTTACAGCAGACCCCGGAGCACCGCGAGCCAACCCAAGTGCGTCATACAACGTCTATCAGGCGGCCCCGAGAAGCACTGGCCCCAATGCGCCTTGCAGGTTTTTGTGCATTCATCTCAAACTGGGAGGCCATCCTAGCTCTTTCCCGAGGCCAAGGTCTACCGGCCTGCACTTGCACTGGCAGCAGCACCATTCCCAAGTTGCCAGACTTGCAGGCGGCTGCTCTCTGTATGAATCTGATCTATTCCAAGGTTTACGCCCAGCCACGCGCGGATTCAGCTAGCTACCTTGCAGCCGGCGTGCACGCGCAATGGTCCGGGATTAATGCCATCATGGGTATTCAACATCACGTGTGCCGTTGGTTCCCGTCATTGCTGGAATGTCCCATGCCGCAATTTCGTACTGGTACCTGCAAATTATTTCGCCTGTTTTACCTAGCAGTGGCAACATCGGCCTCATCATCTCATCGTGTTTGCCATGCAAGAGCGAGCTGCAACTGTTAACGACTTTTGTACGTCACGAGCCTGGACACAGCCTGGACACCGAAAATCACCTTGACGCAGTCCCTAGTGAAAATCATCCCATGACATCATATTTTGTGGCATGAACTGTCATGAGCCACAGTTGAGTAGGGATACCAATTGCCGGCCAGCCGGCCAAGCTTTCGCCTTGGAGACAATTCCAGTCCAATTGGATGCCTTGTGGGTCTCCATGACTTGAAGACGAAGATTGGAGCTGGCAAGCTGAGAACAAACACTCCAACTCCAGCCACAATGGCGCAAGCACCGCAGCACGAACGCGCGGACATTACTCGTCCTTCTCCCAGTGAGGATAAGAATGAGGATGAAAGAGAAGTTGAAAGTAAACTAATACTTAGCTTTCTGACAGCAAGACGTCGTGATTTCGCAATCTCGGTGGCTTGTGGCACCGGTAATAGCAACACTCGTCATGAATCGTGATCAGGTTTAAACGGATGGTGGCCAACTTACCAAGCCCATCCCAGCCAATCTATTTTCTCTCCAGCCGCGCTTAACCTTCTCCAGAGTGCAGGACCTACATGCCGCAATGGCGGAATGAAAGTTATTCAGGCACGGCCGCCATTCTAGAGGTCAGCTGGGTTGTGGACGACCTTGAGCTGAAGCCTGTGCGGACCGTGGATCAGCTCAGTCCAGTCAGATTGAGATGATTTCCAAGAAGCGGGTATCTGCCGCCCTGGAGTATCTGTGCTTCGATACCTTGCGACATCTATTGTCGCCGAGTCAGTTTTGAATCATAAGAGAGTTACTTCGCATGGTCCAAATTTTTTTTTCCTCTTTTCGATTACACAAATCTCGGATGAAGGCAATTCAGAAACCATTCAATTGACACAAACATTTTGGGCCCACTACGCTGATGGATGGTCGAAAGAAACAGCCTTTGGAACCCAAGAATAGAACCACAGAGCCCATCTGGAGTGGACATTGGCACTGCCGCACACAGACAGCTCAATCATGTTTCGCCAAGCATGTATAGTCTCCAGGGTAGGGCTGTCTGAGTATTAGACTATTCAATAGCTTGGCATTTTCGCCAGGCTATGCCCAGTCACCCAGGCCAAGAATGGGTTTCATGCCGCTTAGCCGAATTAGCGTAAATGCCGATATTCCAGACTCCAAACGGAATTCATGTACGTCAGGAACCGAAATAGTTTCCATCTAGAGTTCCAATGATTCGAACAGAAAGCTCTTCTCAATTGATGCTAGAATGGACTCAACCACTCGGAATTATCACCGACGTCTCACGTCTCTGTCCAGCGCCCATTGGCATAATTGGCTACAGATCGGCAATCCGGCCACGAAACGACGGACTCCATAGGTCGGCTTGGTTGAAATTGGGCCTGGAAACAAGAGTACAATGACAGCAACCATGGACTAGGAATGCTGAGTGCGAATTTCTTACTAGTAATGGATCAGCTTCCCGGTATAAGTGCAGAAATCTGGAGGAATGTTGGCCAAGCGAATCAATCCTCGTCGAGACAAGGAGACAAAAGAGTACCATTAGTAGAACATACTTGTTTTATTGGTAGTGACGGCTAGTGTAAGGTAACGTAGGTGAAGCGACCGGCTTGAAGCGTATAGCAGTGTTAGTAGGTTATTCTTTTCCTTGCCCTTTTTTCGCATCCCAACCAGCAGGTACCACAGCAACAAGGCCCAAAACTGTCGGATGCTGATACCATTCATAATTTCGTCAGGCCGCCGTAAGCAGATGTAGCCAGAAACCCACAACTCCTCGCTGATGAAGGGACTCTTTTTCCTATTCCATACCCCGCCCTCTCTTTTTGCTAAATCCCGTACCGTTGATCAAAATAACCTTGGTTGCCCAATCTTGTACAGTTCCACGCAAAGTCTAATGATCTTGTCCGCACAAAATTCCTCCATCAATGCTTATGGCTCCGAAACTTGCCAAAAAACGTTCTTCGTCGCGGCGATTCTGCTTTTTGCTCAAATTGAGCTGGTTGTGCAGTTGTTGGTGAGTCAGGCTTGTGCGTAGACACGTCGGTACGGTCGATACTTTCATTACCGTCCTTGGAGTGTCTATCCTCCGTCATGTCGATGGCGCTGTCATTGGAGCCTATCGCACTCGACATGTTTCTGAATTGCTGCTCCATCTCGGGGGTGATTTTGCCGTAGCTGATGGTTCGCTTGTACTTGTTGTGGAACGATCTCCTGGATCGCTGAAGGGTCCTCGCTGGGTCAATGTCCTCAGCTGAAATGGACGCCCCCGGCGCCGTGTTGGCGTCGGGATGTCTTAACGAGGTGGTACGCCCAGCGAATGAGTCTGGGAAGCCTGTGATGTAATCTCGGCTCGAAGGCCGTCGGCTGCTGGTATTAGAAGTAGTGGACATGGTGAGGATGTCGTCGAAGGATTTGGAACTGTCGACGATTAGAATGTCAGGCGTTACCACCTTGCTGAATCGTGATCTTCTGGCCCGGTCATCAGAGTGGGGTGAAGAAAACATTATATGCAGTTTGCAAGCAAGGCAACCGGAATAAGCTTCGCGGCGGTTGGTGGCGGCGCCCAGAGAACTTGTGCTGCCAAATGACACAAGAACGGAAAAACACGTGGGCGCTATCAGGTAAGACGACCTTTGTCACAATAAATCCTGCGAGGTTTCGGAACTGGATTTCGAGATAGGGTTGGGTAAGACAAAGAAGGAAACGGCATTGACTGGATGCGGTCGTCTGTCCTCGAAATAAACCCAGTGCCCAACCTCCGTCCCATTTATAATAAGTTTTTGCGACTCTCAGACCATCGAGTCTAGATCTGGGGGACATTGTGTCTCGAAGTTACAGTAATTCAGAGAGGCCAACACATCGAAATTGTGACGGATATAACGGCCTTGTCCCTCACGAATAATGGGAACAGCAGGCGCAGCGACGGTAAAGGGACACCCATGCTCACCTGAGGTCAATTTGCCAGGGATTCGACCGGGATTTTCTTCGTCGATCGGATATCCACACAGTTCTCTTTTGATCGGCTTGGCGGCCTACCGCGCGCTTGGAGCGATGAAAACTGGAGAACGAAGTCGGATTATGCGGCACGCGCTGCGTAGCGGTAGGCGAAACCGAGAAAAGGTTTAGAGCGGGAAATTCTTCAGCGGAGGTTTTCTTTGAAGCACAATTGAAGCATCTAGGGGCTGTGTTTGGGACTGCAGGAAGTCCTGAGTCGGTGTGAGAACGTTGAACGGCACTTGAGGCAGGATGGCGACGCCCGAGTCTAGTACACAGGTCAGCCATGGGTTTGATGAGCTCCATAGTGCGATGTACGTCAATCATTAGATGCCATTTGGACTGCCTACAGCGCGGGGGTAATTGTAACTTCCCAGTGTAGCAATTCGCAATTGCCGAGTCCTATTAATGGTTTTCACCTATAGATAGGCGTCCCTGCGCTAGCACTAGCTTCCGAATGTCATTACGCCAATTCCCTGGTTATTGCGCTTGAGTCTCGCAATTGATGCATACTTGTGTACATTAGTAGGTGCAAATCACGGTTGTGCTCTTGTAGAGTTCACCAAGTATGATCTCATTGTCCCGCCTGCGCCGTTTATTCCATCATCCACTTGCCTCTATAGTCCACCTGATTCTTAGGCAACTGCCAGTCAGGCACTTAAGCCGCTAAAGCACCCTCAACGCTCGTTAGAACTTGCGGCCTCAATTAATGCAGGTAGCTATTAGCATCTCATCGGCTGTGGACAAGGACCGTGTGAATAAGCAATGCAAACACCCAGGTCACGAAGCCAGCAATTTAGGGGCTCAAAACTGATCGGCGTAGATATTTAAATGGATAAAGGGGTATTGCTCACTTGACCAAAAGAAAGGAGTAGTTGTTTATGAATCCCCTCTAATTCTGCGATTTGAGACCTTGTCTCCTGAGCAACAGTTATCACAACGGTCAACATAGAGATAACCAGCTGCCAGGGATAATCATGTTCTGGGGCCTACACCCGACATCCGGCTCTCTTTGTTGCAGCTGATAATAGCCAACAAGACTCCTCTTGATTTACCCACAACGCAGAAGCACGACACACGAACCTCGAGATCCACTCCGTGAAAGAATGCCGCCTCGGCCAAATGATCATCTGACACCAAGCGTGCCAATGTTCTGTATATACCAATCGCAGGCAATCTATGTACAGCCCCTGAGATCGACAGGAAATGCAAGCACCGAGGCTATGCAAACGGGCGACTATTTGATATCCAACATTGCAACCGAACTGATGAACCAAATGTCAAAATATCCAACCGTTCACTCGTACATACAAACCCAACGTTCTTCAAGCTCATGTCACTCTAGCTTGTATTTGACTCTCTCCGGCACTCTCCAAGATCAGACCTTTACAGCTTCTCCTTGAGGATGTTCTTCATCCGCCTCTCAACCGCATTCAGATACTCGTTGGTAGTGACGTAGTCCTCGCGAGCAGTGTTGCCACACGCCAGCGCCAAATCCTTGGTCATGATGCCGTCAACGTCAACGGTATCGATGCAGGCCTTCTCGAGGCTCTCGGCGAAGGCAATCAATTCAGGGGTATCGTCAAGCTTGCCGCGCTGAATCAGTCCTCGGGTCCAGGCGAAGATGGAGGCAATGGGGTTAGTTGAGGTCTCGCGGCCCTTTTGGTGCTCACGGAAGTGGCGGGTGACGGTGCCGTGGGCGGCCTCAGACTCGAACGTCTTGCCATCGGGGGTGATAAGGACCGAGGTCATAAGGCCGAGCGAGCCGAATCCTTGTGCGACGATGTCCGATTGAACGTCACCGTCGTAGTCTTTACAAACGAATTAACCATCCCATTCGCATCTCATGGTGGAACAAACAACTTACTCTTCAGGGCCATGATGTAACCACCAGTGCTCTTAATCATCTGGGCAACCATATCATCGATCAAGCGGTGCTCGTACCAGATCTTCTTGGCCTCGAACTGCGTCTTGTACGTAGATTCGTACAGCTGCTGGAAGATGTCCTTGAAACGACCATCATACTTCTTAAGAATAGTATTCTTGGTGCTCATGTACAGGGGCAATTCCTTCTGGAGGGCTAACTTGAAACTGGCATGGGCGAATCCGGTGATGCTCTCATCGGTGTTGTACTGCGTCTGCGCGACGCCGCCGCCGTTCTTGAACTGGTAAACCTCGATCTCCTGCGGCTTGCCGCCTTCCGGGGTGTACACCATGGAGACCTTGCCGGGACCGGGAACCACGAGGTCCTTGGCACGGTACTGGTCACCGAAGGCATGTCGCCCAATAATGATAGGCTTCTGCCATCCTTGTACCAGACGGGGAATGCGCGGAATGACAATAGGTTCGCGGAAGACAGTGCCACCAAGAGCGTTTCGGATGGTGCCGTTCGGGGAGAGCCACACTACACAACGCACGTTAGTAGTAAGTCAATGAAGTCTGACAATTTATGGTAGAAAACTGGGATGCGCCTCAGACGCATGGTGGTGCGGTGCGGTGCGGGGTTTGGGTGAGTGCATGAACAAATGCACGTAAGACTTCTTTCTGTGCTGCAATAGATGTAAGAGAATAAAAGAAGCTTACTTTGCTTCAGCTTGAATTCCTCGACACGCGCCTCATCGGGGGTGATAGTGGCGCACTTGATACCGACCGAGTACTTCTTGATGGCCTCAGCTGCATCGAGTGTAACCTGATCGCTGGTCTCGTCTCGGTACGGCAGGCCAAGATCGTAGTATTTGATGTCGATGTCGAGGTATGGGTGGATGAACTTGTCCTTGATGTTCTGCCAGATGATGCGGGTCATCTCGTCGCCGTCGAGCTCGACGACGGGATTCTTGACCTTGATCTTTTGCGCCGCCAAGTTGATTCTAGTGTGGTGGAAGAACGCCACAGGTACTGCCGGTCTAGCAACTCGAAAGCTCGCAGCACTGAGGATGGGCCTCGCAGCTCGAGAAAAAGTCGCTGGCCGCGCCGAACGAACGGCGGAGGCACAAAGGGTATTCATTTTGAGTGTGCTTCTACACCGGTTCTAGATAACTTTGTTGATAGGGAGTGACGATGGCGCTGGGCGCAAAATGCGGAGATACAACTGAAGCCGAGGGTGTAGCCGGTTAGCTGGGATCCGGGGAAGGCAGGACGGCGTGCAATTCGTCGGATAAGCCCCAGGATTTGGTGTTGCTCAACGCAAGGCGGCCGAGGGAAGCGCAGTTGATGCAGTACGGTGGAATGTGGAGGTTGCTCGGGATTGGGGCCTTTGGACTTGAGGTACGAAGTATCTCACAAGACAACCGATGTGATGATTCCAGATAGAAAGTAGCTAGACTTCTCTGCTTCTCGGCTCTTAGGTTAAATAAAACTGCAAATTGGAACAAGAGCTCCCCCGATCAACGGTGTTTGAGGGGTTTGATGCAAGCTGCCCAGTGTCAATCAAATAGCTGAGACACCTTGTGACAGGCCCCTCCGCGGGTAGTCATGGCAAAATCTTCGAGTTGTAGAGGCTAAAGAGGGGCTAAGCACGCACCGACAGCGCCTTGTCATCCCCATATTTTTGCCGATTTGCGGAGGATATTTTATTTCTACCCAGCCGGGATGAATTGGCCGTGGTGAACAAGATCGAGGGCGGTGTGTCATTGTGAATGCGCGGCCGTGTTGACAGCAATACGGAGTAGTGCAATGGTCCGACTTAAGATTGGTACTTGGTACTCTAACCATCGCGCGCTGATAAGCTTTGCCTACTGTAGAAAACGCGTGTTTTTGAAGCGGCACGATATTTTGACAGGCAACGGCGTGAAGTTACTTGAAAATTTGGATGCGACATTCAACGTTCGCCACTAGGTCCAGAACGTCAAAAAGTTAACCAAGCTATCCCTGTTCTAGCGCTCGTCTTTCGCAGCACTGCTATACTGGTGTTAAAATAGGATGTCATCAATAATTTGCATCCGGTCGAAGTACCATTCTATCAGGACCATGAGTGCCCAATGAAGACGCAAAAAATTGAACTGATGAATTTCTTGCGATGCTCTCTGAAGTAACTCTGTTCTCGTAACGTTTTATGATAGACGTCGGGGTTTGGGGCTCTTTCTCTCTTCCCAAGTTGTCTCTAGCAGATATCCCAACCAGCGCCGTACCATCTTCTTGTATTCGCAGATGAACTGCTGGCCGCCAAGAAGCGAGAGCTAGAAAGCTTCCAGAAAAAGAGCATGCTCCTTGGGTCAGCCGTGGTCAGCCTTCCAGGCAACCTTGCAGCTCCGCCTCGCTGACTTGCATGAACGTATCCTCCCCATTGCCTGCCTACCGATCAGATCAGGAAAAGCCACTCCTTTCCTCGCATGACGCCAACCCTCTTTTTTACAGAATAAAAGACGTTTTTCCACTTCTCACGTATCATTCGTACGATCAGTGTTATCCGTCCCACCGTTGCTCCCTGTTGCCATTCTAGACTCTGCGCCACTCAATGAACTTGATCCTCACACATGAAAACAGCCCGCCGAAGACAATGCCACCCTGGAAGAGGGGGGTAGATAATCGCCAATAACAACACTTGTTTTGATTGACCAATAACCTTCAGTTGCCCCCCCCCCCCCCCCCCTCAGTGTCAATCCAAGAACGCCAACGCTTTACACCGAAAGAAACACAACCGAAAGTCGTGAAACCATGATAAGGGTACGATGGAAAGGAATAATCTAAAAGGGAATGACGCCAACGAAGCCTGATGATAGAAGAGAGATCGACGGGGAAGGGCTGGCCAGTGTTTAGCCAAAACGAGCGCCAGTGAAAATTTGAGAAAGGGGTAGAACGGCGAGTATTCTTGTGGGTAGGTGTCTGTTTTTTTGCAATTTAGTTCGAGGGTTACCGATACCCTCTGATGGAATGGAAGGTCGTCATCCGGTGTTCCTCGTTCATATTAAGAGGGGGAGGAACAGGGAGAAAGCGCTCGGTATCATAGTTATGTCCACCAATAGCTCACTTATACCCCCTAAGCTCCCTCCTCCTCGTATCACAATGACTCTGACACCCCGGTGTGCCACAAGTCCATCCATCGCTGGTCATATTCCTCTGGAGGCACTTGGTGCACCTCCACCATCTACGCGAGAAGTACCGGTTCGCGAACCAGTCCGAACCCTCCTTCCCGTTCTTGCGGACCAGATCCTCAGAATGAAATTCGCGGTAATGGTCACGACAGTGATCGAGCCGGTGGAAGGGCTCAGACCGACGTTGGCACTTGGGATAGTCGCAGTAGTACGCCTTCTTATGCGAGTCTTGGCAGTGCCTGTGCCGGTAGTGCCGCTGCAGGTCCGCTTTACGCTTGAAGGGCTTGCTGTCGCAACCGCTGGCGAGACAAATGTGCAAACCTGATTCGGACGGGGAGCGGGGGCTATCGTGTGGTTAGCATGTATAATCGAGGCGGTAGGAACAAAATATTTGCGGATGAGTATATACCTAGCCTCGTTAGAACCGCTTTGTACATATTCATGATCCTGCGGGTAGTTTGAATAATATTGGTAATTGTCGTTTTGCGTGTTATAGTCGGCGGCTGGGTACTCTGGGTAGTCGTCGCCGTGGCTGACGCTTGGTGACAGGAGTGTTTGATAGGAGACGCCGTTCACGTCATAGACAGGCCAGTTGTTTACATTATCGGGCGGCGTATGGGGCGACATCGTGTAGTTTGTGTAATTCGAGTTGCTTGAGCTATGCGAGTAGTTGGAGCCGACACGGATCATGAGCTCGCCCGGTCGACGGTCTGGGTCCGCCTTCGTGTCGTGAAGGACAGTGCACCCCCCTGAAAAATTGTAAGAAGGCGCCTCGTGTAAGTGACACATAGTATTCATTGGCCCGACTGAAACGGGGGGCTGATGATGATGATGCTGCTGCCGTGACGTGGTCTACCGTACTGTTTTCCCGGTACTCATCGTGGGTAAAGGAGGTGACGACGCACAGTTATAAGCCTGAGCTCTGTCTATTCGCTGAGAGCAGACGGTCCCCGACTCAACTCCGAGGACCACTACCGAATACTGTATTGTGAGGTAAACTTGAGTGGAGGATCGGAGAGTGTGGGGTACTGTTGAGCCTCGATGGGATGTTTGCAAATGTGGCAATGGAAACTAGCGATGATGGCGGTGGGTTCGTCATCGGAATCTAACGACGGTTTGCTTGGAGATGTTGCGGGTTCTCGAGCTGCGCGGAAGCAACGTGGTAACTGGTATAAGTAAGTGTGACAGTCGCGGCACACTAACTTATAGATCGAGGCTCAAAAAGCACTTTTGCGTTGGCGATGAGGCTGTCGAGTGACCATCGAGGCGAGCTATTGCTTTGTTGTATAGGGGGGGAATTACTGAGTCTAGGAAGTGATCACCAAGTACATCCAGCGCAGGTAATCAGATGCAATAAATCTAGCTCAAGCACATTGGCCTAAACAATGCTAGCAATTCTAAGTATATCGCCGAGTTCTCCGCGTGAGAAGAGACCCGAGAATTGGCACTCATACACCGAGTCCAGGTATACCGGTGAGTTACAAGTGATAATCAACCATGCTGTGGCTTCCGTCTGCAAGAAAAACAGGATAGCTGCAAAAGAAAGCAAAAGCACCGCTCTAGGCCCTTCGGTTATGTTTCGAGTCGACCCAGTTTCACCTCGCATGGAGCACTTTTGGGGGTTTCGGTGAGACTACCCACTACGTCTACTGGAATGGAGAAAGTGAGGCTGTGGTGAGGACGCAGGACAACAATGGCCGGACATGGGGGTTAAACACAACGCAACGAAGCTTAGCCCTGCTATCCACCGGTCTAGTGCTCTTGGTTTGTTGCTTCGCAGTAATTAGGGCTGACAATTCGATAGGACGTGACACTGTGGTCACATATGGAAAAAGGTGAAGGCCAAATCGGGTTGGAGGGAGCAAGCAAGCTGGGATTGGTGAGTAAGACAGAGCTTTACTATGATTCGTTTGCCGCTGGAAGAAAACCCGGCAAACATCCACAAGGGTTCCCGATTGTTATCAAAAGATACTTGCGTGAACTCGCTACATCGTTTCGGGAATCCATGGCAATTAGGTACCTGGCGAGATAGACAGGGTGTCGTCTTTGCCATCGAAAATAGAGCAGTTGCGTGCAATCGTGTGCGGTCGTCAAGTGCTATCCAATAAACGGCGAGCAGCCGAAATGCATGATCAGAATGTCTGCAGTTGGTGCGTGAACATACCATGCATAGCCACCCACGCTTTGCAGCCTCAGCCTCAATATCCCATTGTGCCCGCAAGGCGTGCCAGTCCGCCTCTTAAATCGCCTTGCCAATGCGTCAATTTTGGGAATTTTGGGGCATTGTTTGTTTGCCTGACTTCCGTGCGGACGCAGGCGGTGCCCTGACGCAGATGTTCACCGGTACTGCTTTTGATATTGGTGGTGGGTTGACGAAAGTGAGGCTGCAGGTGCTCCCCTCCAACCGCACTCGGTCGAGGTCAGATCTTAACCCGATCCGCATTTTAAATAAAGCTTTCACCGATTTCCCTTCACGGATTGCCGAGGTGCGCCTAGGTGTGGAATGATGGCGACAGCGTATCTCATGAACGAGCCCCCTCATAGATGACATGTCATACTGCGGCAGAATGCCAATCGGCCGTCGACGTGTTGCTGCCTCGATTCAACAAAGGGGCCGTAACTAGTTGCTGCCGAATGAAAGAGTGCATAGTCGTGTCGCATCCCAGACGACCCATGCCAGTGTGCAACAGCATAACCAGTCAGGCAAGTTGCAAAGTGGTTCTTTTCTAGGGAGCAAAAGTTCGGTGAAGTTGTGATTTGCTTCTGCACAGGTCAGAAAGCAAGAAGGTAGGTTTACATATGTTTTTCAGTTATACTAAAGTCGTTGGGAATTTGGAGGGGTTGGGCCGCAATGCATTCCGCAACCGTGATAATTGGCTTAGAGACGGCCAACCAATATTTGTGCTACGTCTGTACAAGTCACGGCACCTTTCATGCATGCGAGATAGAAGTTGCTCTTATGTCGCCTAGAGTCTGGGCATGTCTCAGGAAGGCCATTATCGGTAGAAACCATCTCTATTACCCCAGCAAGCGCAGATTACGTCCCGCGACGCCACCGAGCCGACGGCACTGCACCGCATACACTGTAGCCTGATCTCGAGATGATGACTCCTGCCTGATGGTTGTCCTGATTTCACAAGCAACTGTGCCAGCTGATCATCGGCCGGACAGTGCTGACAAACGCTGGGACCAGGGCAGCACCAGATCCGGCGAGACAGAGTAGTTATGGTCTTGGTGGGTTTGTTGCGATAGTAGAGACTATAAGCTGTCAGAATTGCCATATAATGGCAAGATTTTGTCATCGGACTTCCTCGATGAACACCGCTGCCGCTTAAGCTACCGTCTTCACTTGCAACAGTGGGCTGTTATGACCAACCAACGCATATGAACTTAAGCTCCACATAGAATATCGAGATGGAGCGTGATATTTCAGCCTTAGTTCCGAGGTTCGAAATAGTTAAAATTCGGAGTCCAAGACAGTATACACGACCTCGCCACGTTGCCAGCGCTGAAGCACGCTCTGCCTTGGCATCGTATTCCCTTGGAGGGCGCGAATATCGTGTTAAAATTGTTGTTCCTGTTGGCTCCTGTTGAGGAAAAGTGCCCCCAGGGCAGCAAATAGTCATAGGGTCCCGTGTAGGCAACAGGCTGATACAACGACAGAAAATATATTATGTTTCTAGTCGCCTCACTTTGAATGCAAGTGGCTATTCCATGATAGTCTTGCCCAAGTGTGGATGTGAAGCTACCCGAGTGGCACGTCGCTCTTATTCGCTGAAGTTAAGATGCACAAGCCTCCCCTCCGCCCATACTGACATTTTCAACAGGGTGGTTGTGCCTGCTGTGACGGCGGGCGAAACTTGATATTCACTGTCTCTTTCCACGGCCAGTTTGACTTAGACACCGGGCCCTTGGAAAAATCCTGATCTCTTTTCAACTCAGTGGTCCCAGAGGTACTCACCCAGGCGGCTAACCGACAGCTCCATCAGGTCTGGGGCAAAGCAAGCAAGCTCAAGCTGCTGCTTTCTTGGCGATCTCTCGTCGACCCTTCGGCGTAGGTGGGCTATAGAAAGTCGTGTCTTAAATATGTCCGCGAGTCAAACGTAGCGGATAAGCTCTGAGTCGGACACACCATTTGTAGGAAACGAGATGGAGTCAAATGTAGGGGTTCTCCAGCCGCCTTGGACGAGTGATAAAGTGGGAGGCACTGCCCTGGAACATCCCGGAATATCGAGTATGATGTCAAAATGAAAATTTTTCGTCAATCGCAGAATGCATGGCGTCATACAATCAGAGAGCGATTCTCCAAAGGCTCGTTTGCGAGATTGGCCCAGGACCATTTGTCAAGAATGGAGAACAAATTTCCATTTACATGATCGTGCACGACATTCTCAGAGCGAGCAGATCTGATGGGGAGCCATTTCCATCCAGTGTATCGACGGATGCGAGTTGCTCGACTGCCGCTCGCTCGCTGGCAGATTCTGGAGGACGTGGTGAGAGGTGAGTGACAGCAGTGAGCTCAACGTTCGATGAGGACTGTCGAAGGGTACGCCTCAGTGCCGGCTTGTGAGGCCACCACTAGGGGTGCCTCAATTCTACCGATGACTGACAAAGGCTCTGCCTTAGTTGCGCTAACGACCGGCGAAGCGTCTACCGCAGTATTCTTCTTTGCAGAAGGCCCTTCTTTTCCACGGCAGTTCGTTTGGGCGACCAGTTCGCGATGCGATCTTTGCCAATTTCGCCTAATTGATGTACGATTTCAGGCATCCGTGTACGTCTTGATGCCCTTCATTTCTTTCTTGGATTCCAATACGTCATGCTTTGAGCGTGTAAACTCGCATGCGTTCGAGCTCAGTGTGGGGTTTTGTGTAAATTGTTTTTTCTCGACCCATCATGAATGACGCGAGTGTTGGCGGATGGCTGCTTTGAAAGTGTGAGTCAATGCGGGAGGGGAAAATACCCTTTTTGGCATGGTAATTTGACTAGAGCGGCACTTCAGTATCGGACTCGGTGCTTAAACTCTGCTGCCCGGGTCTTGAGCGATGTAACTGATTGATTCAGCAAGGTGGAAGCCAAAATGACGATAGTTCAATCTTTTGTTGGATTTCTGAAGGAGAAAATAAAGATCGAGTATCTAATGTTGCATATCGGTAACAACTACAAGTGGTAAGTAAAATGAGTATCGTGGACACACACCCGCAAGTACTTTGCTTGTAGGTAGGTGGCATAGGCCAGATTGTAAGAATGGACTGTCTCCGAAGAAATATTCGACCGCTTCAGTTTATTGTTGGAAGGAAACTACCTATCCATAGCCGTTGTGATTGCATTGGCCTGTTTCCGAGCTTTGTAGTGCACCAATAGGATGAGAATAAGCGAAACCTGAATTTGAAAAAACATATAGAAGTACTTGGTCAAATCACAGTTATCCGACTCGATGACAGCGATAACTCTGTCCACCAGGTTTCGGATTAGTTACTAGCCTCTACGACCCAAGAAAACGGAGCTGTTTATATATATGGCTCTTGTATCACGAGGCAATGGTGCAAATTACCACGGCCCTTAACGTCAATCTACGTACTGCTGGGCTAAGGGCCTCATATAAGAAGTAAAGAGCCAGGTAGTTGGAATCTCGCAGCCGGGGCTTATATTTTATTCAAGAGGAGAGGAACGGGGAACCGAAGACAGTTGACTTCAGCCAGGAAGTAGTCCCGACCTAGCGAATCAAGCGTATCGCGTGTTTATGTCGGCCTGTCAAAATCTGACTCAAAAGTCAACTGAACATGCACAGCAACCTAATGCAATAATGGCAACTCAGTTATGAGCAGCGTTAACGTGGGGTGCTGCTCCCCTCGGTAGTAATTTAGCATTATAACGTCGCAAAGCAACCACGTACTGTACGAGTAGGTATATAGTCTTCTTGTTGTGACAACCTGGCAGGCCGTAGTTCAGAATGCCGAAGTGCCTCCCAGATAGGTTACATTTGCCCACAACAAAATGTTTTTCTCCTTAAAGAATTTGGGTATATAACGGAGCGTCCTCGCCGGCATCTTCCAGCCGCCAGCCAGGAGACTTTGGCAGCATTTGGCTGGTTATCCCGATGGAAGTTCTCGCCAATGGTCCATGAATTGAGTTTCGTCCCCTTTAAACCGCCCCCGAATTCTTCCCCGAGTAATGAACTCTAGTATCCCTTTTAAGTCGAATGGAATGGTTTGCACATGTGTTAGTGCGGTAGGTATCCCATGTCTAGTGCACCCTGTTGCTCCTCAGAACAACTTCCAACTGCAACAGCCGAGCGATTCCCTTTAAATCATCATCAACACCGCACCAGCGACAGCACCCACCAAGCCGACGGCGACCCGGGCTTTGGCGGCAGCACCTGCGGTCGCAATGGAAATAGGCGGCGTTGTGTCCGCGGTTGTCTTCGGGACGGTAGTTGTGCTGGGATATGAAGAAACCGTTGGGGTTGCTGAGCCAGAACTGAACGATGACCCCACTGAGCGCAGTTCAAGTCTAAACGAGTTGGCCTCTGCGCAGTTGCAGACTATGAGGTATGTTAGTCGATACGTTCGTCAACAACCAAGCAGACAATTCCAGCTTCGACATCCAGATCAGGTAGTATCAACCGAAAGAAGACACGTCCAATGGTCCACTCCCAATATGAAAGCAAAGGAATACATAAACAAAACTACCCACCAGAAGTAACTCCATCAATAACAGCCTGGAAGCTGTTCGCCGGACACCCATTGGCGACGCACCCCTCCATAGCTGCGTACAGAGACGCCTCCTGTTCGCAAAGACACGCGAAATCCGACGCCGCGCAGCCGAATACCTCAGCCTGAGCCAGACAGTTTTGCGCACACCTGGGGACGGTGTTCTGGGCGACCGTCAAGCAGTTATCCGCCACAGCCTCTCGGACGAGTAGAGCAGCGGCGCCGAGGACCATTGACAACCTCATTTTTGCGGAACGAGCGACTTGGCTTGTTTTGTCTGATAACACCTGAAGCGCGTGAAGCTTACACTTCTTGTTCAGAGTGAAGAGAGTGAAAAGGTGTATGATGTAAGTCTGGGAGCGGGAGAGTGGGTGATGTAAGTCAAGGTTGAACAGCGGAGCGAGTCAGGTTAAGGTTAAAGATTGCTTTAGTTGAGTGTCCACGATATCGATAACGGGCAGCACGCGAGAGAGGCGGTATCAACAAGGCGGTACTCAAAGCAGTGTCAGGACGGTCGGTGCCTCCCACACGAAGGGCAAGGCTCGATGCAGGAGGGGGGTTTATTAACTGGCCCCCCGCCCCACAGGCAGAAGCTCGGGAGGAGATTTCACATGCTGTGCACACAACCACCACCCTTTGTTACCCAAGAGTATGAGATCATCTCCCGTACCCTAGACTGTGCATATGAGCACCCTTGATATTACTGGCATCAACTGACTATTATGAGCAAAGGTTGCTGGGATGAGCCAGGGGATGGCGTATTATTCGCTACCGGATGTGGTAGGTGCCCCTTGCGATGAGGGGATCTGATTGGGTGGTTTGCGCTGAGCTATTCCTGCCTGGTAACAAGCCGGGTTTAGGTGTGCAGCGAATTGGGTGAGTTGTGTAGAGGGGAAGCTGGGGAAAACAAAATCAACGGCGCGGAAAGTTGCTAGCCGCTAGAAGATAAGCCTTTATGACTGGGCCTTGGAATTTTCCCCAGGGAGACTAAATTATTCTCCATCCTCTTATTGCAGCCTGGTCCAGCCCTGCGGCGCGATTGACTTGGCGAGGCTTACACGATGAGAAAATGCGGAAAACATCTGATATTCCTTAACAAACTTTGCACAGGAAATTGGCGGAAAACCAGAGGGTAATCGGCAAAATTGAAGACTGGTGGTGTCTGATAACGTAAATACGAGTTCTGAAGAGTCGAAATCCTTCTGGGCAAATCCTGCCCAACCGACCAACCAATCCCATGTTCTGCCCACGGATTTGTATGCAAGCAAGGGCAGCCGGGCAGCTACTAAACAACACCAGTGCCCAGTTTCCACTCCATCCTCACAGGCTGTGATTTGGATGATTGGACCCAATTGGGTCATCAAAGTGATAATTTGCCGAGTTCCCAGGTGACGTTGTGCCACGGAAATTGCTATACTAACTGCTGTACATGGCGGGATGCTCTTGAAATTGTGCAACAACGTACGAGGTACCATCCTCGTGGATACAACGTGGACAGCCTCAGTTGATGCTTAAGTAACGGGTTGCAAGTACACTTTTATGGCGCATTTGGGTCTTTCATCGCAGTTCTCGAAGACTCGAATCACCTCGTCAGAAGGCATAGCTTTCGTTCTTCAGAATATCTTAGTTGATGTGTGACGTTCCGACTGCCTCGGATGTCTTAGTTCGTGTCACCCGACAAAAACTCGTGACAGCATAACCAACTCCAAGTGGCGGTATGGCATCTAGGTTTCAACCAATCTAGTTGAAGACCTGGCCAAGTTCACTGATGGCTGTAATTAGCTTGACGTTCATCTATTTGAAGTATTGTAATATCGATCGCATTGGGGAATGTTCACCAAAAGTCGTACTTAGCCAGGCGTCTGACGTATTTGTACAGTTGCCCCAAAAGAGCATCTTCGAGAAATTTCGCTGATTTGACATGGGCCAAATGATGCCATTCTTAGCAACCACGACCAAGGAAGATGCCCGTCGCTTTAGCCATCGACATCCATTTCATCCGCAGTGCTCTCATTTTGCGATGCATGCTGGTCATTCGTCTTATTGTCGTCGCCAGTGTCTCTATGTATCGCGCTTTTGGGAAGGAGATGCGGCCAGTGACTTGGAGTCGGCTTCGAAACTGTTTCTTCCTTGTTTGCAACAGCTTCGGACGAAGTTGTATCGTGCTGTAAATCTGGCTGTCTAATTGCACTGCTAGGAGTTTTCGAGCGGCCACGGGCTTCCCCGCGCGTAGCTCTACCTCTACCTCTACCTCTGGCCCGAGTTCCACGAGATTCACGAGCTTCACGAGACTTACGAGGCCCACGAGGTTTACGGGGCCCGCGGGGTTCGATGGGTTGTGCATTCTCTCCCCTACGCTGGGCTCTTGACGGTCGTCTTCCAATATGCTCAGCGGAATGGGCCACGACGGTGACCCGATCTGCCTCTGCCTTCCGGCTTTTGAGAGCGATTAAGCTGGCGAGGAAGTTTCCTTGGTCGACTCTGCTCTGTGGGACTCCTTCTTCCGGTCGGGGCACGACGGGGTCCCTATACACCTCATCGTCGCTGACCTCGTAGTCGTCCTCATCGAACATCACCCTGCGCCGTCGACGCTTGGTCTCCTCGTTGAGAGGTTTCAGGTCCTTCTCGGTCACCACGATCCGTGCCGAGCTGGCGGCGAGTAAATCGACTCCTTTGTCAAACAGCCGCAGAGCCGGAAGAGGGTTTTCCTCATCGCGCTGTGTCAACAGAAGCTCGGTCCCAATGTTTCGTGACCACTCGCCAGTGTACATGCGTCCCCTGTATGAGATGAGAGGGTCTGCGGTGTGAAGGTCGAGGATTTGCAGCTCGTTCGTCGCCCCGTTGTCTGAATCATCGTCCCCACCCCTAGGTGATCCATCTTCGTGAGCTCTTCTTCCGTCGTCCTCAGAACCTTCTCTATTTCTTAGAACCTGGTCGTTATCCAAGCTGCTAGCAAATATTTCTCCTTGCTGCTTCTCCTTGTAGCCACCACGGCCATTGGAGATGGTGTTCTGCTCCCGGGATACAAAATCCGCCTTGGAAAGATCCAAGGTCACGTAGTAAGTCTATGTGATGTTAGATATTATAAGGGCCAAAGCTGCTCGAGTATCAACATGGTAACCTCACCTCGGTCTCAGTGGTTGAGTACTCATACTCCCATTCCGATTCCTCGTCGTCGAGGTGGAGGTTTTTCAGGGCAATTGATGGATTATCGCCGTTGGTAAGATTTTCAGCGGGCGCCACAAAGCTAGCCATATTGGTGGTTGGAGGTGGAAGAAAGAAACATATGACGCCGTTCAACGAGAGATGAAGCTATGGTAATGTCTTCACAGAAATGATGATTTAGGTGACAGGCGTGATGAGAGCGTCGGCGCTTGATGCGAACCAGCACTCATCGACCGCGACCTGAAGAATTGCAATTTCCCAGCATGTCAAACAAGTGGTTTGATGCACCAAGGTACTTACCAAAAGTAAGATACTGACAAATGTGTGCGACTTGAAGATGCTCCTAGCCAGCGTAACTAGAAGCAATTATTGAGCGGTCAATAGCGGCAGTATCGATGTGCTACGCAATTCCCTGATGGCGGGGCAATCTAAGCACCCCTCCTCTATCATGGCCCGCCAGGAGCTATACGAAATTTCATTATTGGCTCACCCGGCCTATGCGAAATTTCCATGTTGACTCACCCGGCCTATGCGAAACTTCTTCGTTGACTCACCCAAGCTATGTGAAATTTCATTGTTGATTTACGCAACTGCCGACACCTTGAACCAAGCCATTGCAAGCCATCTTGATTCGACGAAGCCACCTGCCTCTTCCCGATCCCGTCTTCTACCTCTAGAAACCAGCTGAACTGCCCTCAAGCTTCACCATGCCGACAATCCACCTACTTGACTACGTTGCCGGCAACGTACGGTCGCTCGTCAATGCCATCGAGAAGACGGGTTATACCGTCGCGTGGATCACCTCACCAGAACAAGTCCCCAATGCCGAGAAGCTGATCCTCCCGGGTGTGGGCCATTTCGGCCACTGCATGTCGCAACTCGACTCTGCCGGGTACCTGCCCGCCATCCGCGCTCACATCAATGCCGGCAAGCCATTCATGGGAATCTGCGTCGGCTTGCAAGCGCTGTTCGAAGGGTCGGCTGAGGACGCGTCCGTACCTGGAATGGGAATTATAAAAGGGTCGCTAGACCGATTTGACGACACATATAAATCGGTGCCACACATTGGCTGGAACAGCGCCAATACCAGTAGCAAGAGTTTATACGACCTACGACCGACGAGCAAATACTATTACGTGCACAGCTATAAATGTCCATACGTCAAGGGCGAGCTAGAGGACCAAGGCTGGACGGTCGCGACGGGGACATACGGGGGCGAAACCTTCGTTGGTGCCGTGGCGCGTAACAACATAATAGCAACACAATTTCATCCCGAAAAGAGCGGCGTCGCAGGGCTGAGAGTATTACGAGCTTTCCTGACGGGCGAGGGGTCGAAATCGCTGGGACAACAAGTGACAGGCCCCGCACCAACGGGCGGCCTCACCCGGCGTGTTATAGCCTGCCTCGACGTCCGAACGAACGACCAAGGCGATCTCGTCGTAACAAAAGGAGACCAATATGATGTACGAGAGAAGGAATCTGGCAATGCTGTTCGGAACCTGGGAAAGCCAGTCGAGCTAGCAAAGAGATACTACGAGCAAGGCGCGGATGAGGTCACCTTCCTCAACATCACGAGTTTCCGCGACTGTCCACTAGCTGACGCGCCCATGCTGGAGATTCTGCGACGCACATCCGAGACGGTCTTCGTACCACTGACAGTAGGTGGTGGGATCCGCGACACTGTCGATACGGACGGTACCAAGGTATCTGCGCTTGAGATTGCCACCATGTACTTCAAGAGCGGGGCAGACAAGGTCAGCATAGGTAGTGATGCCGTGCTGGCTGCCGAGGAATACTACGCTGTGGGCCAGAGACTATTCGGAAACACTGCCATTGAGCAGATTTCCAAGGCATACGGAAACCAGGCCGTAGTCGTCAGCGTCGACCCCAAGCGTGTATACGTACCCAAAGTTGATGCGACGCGGCATGCCACAATTAAGACGGCGTTCCCGGGACCGAAGGGGGAGGGGTTTTGCTGGTACGCGTGTACCATCAAGGGCGGGCGCGAGACGCGGGACATGGACGCAGTCGAGCTGGTGCAAGCCGTTGAAGCGATGGGGGCCGGCGAGATTCTGCTCAACTGCATAGACAAGGACGGCACCAACAGCGGCTTTGATCTCGAGCTCATCACCCAGGTGAAGAACGCTGTCAGGATACCGGTCATTGCATCGAGTGGTGCCGGCAACCCGGCCCACTTCGAGACGGTCTTCCAGAAGACCACGACGGATGCCGCAGTGGGAGCTGGCATATTCCACCGCGAGGAGTATACTGTGAAGCAGGTCAAGGACCACCTGGCCGAACAGGGACTGGAGGTAAGGCAGTTCGAGGGCGAATTATAGAAATAAAGAGAGGTCTTATTGGACCTGCAAGACCACTACACCAAAACTACCAGCCTTGGAAGGACATACGTCCACCACCCATGGTACCACACAAGTCCTGCCTGTGGGACAGACATCGTTTATTTCTATGTATATAAGGTCATCATGGCCGCTGTTCAATTCTTGCAGGACTCTCCAGAGATCATGACCTTTTCAACACAAGACCATTTGCCTTCTAATCCAACAGGTCTGCCGGCTTCGAAAACCAGATGGCTTAGATCATCCAGAAAGCCTGGAACGAGATTTCGACGCATTCATTGTCATCCCCCGTAGAATTGATCCAGGCCTCAGAACGGCTCAAAAGTGGTCGACTTGAGATGAACAGGAGTAATTCTACATCACATTATCCCAGAACAAGAGTTGATTGCTCACCATCAGGTGACACGGGTAATTTGAGAGAATCTACTCGTATTTGCGAACGAAAACTAAGAGTTCATTACCAATTTCTCATCTCGCCGATTTACATTATTTTCCCTCATTAGCGTAACCTCGAATAACAACAAACAGCATGATTGTTTTGCAATTTGGTTTCTGCAAATTCCGTGTACAAGAGACTGGTGTGCCAGGAACTCCAAGTTGACCGTGACCATAATAGAATTACCCGCAACTTGTTCGTGTTGTACAGCCCGACATTGCCCAAAGTGCGAATGTCGTCATACAGTTAGTAAGATGGATCCAGAGCGCTAGGGTCAGCACTGATCAACCTTGCGGTCTGAAATCATTTTCGCCGCAGTCAATATGTCGAACGTTCGAAAATAAAGTGCCCCTAAAAAGGTGCCGGAAACGAACCGAAAGACCGAAATACCAATGCAATGGAAACCAGGCAGTACCGAGAAAATCGTCGAATGATACAACCGCGAGAACCGGAACCCCATGACATAGAATAATTAGATCAAATGTCCATCCCCATGAACAGCCAGCGATCACTGGTGACGTCCAATTCCTTGGCCCAGTGATCGAGCGTGACAAGTTCGAATCCAACCCACTGGAGACTCTTCATCAGTGCTTTGGTGTCATCTTGTGGCATCTGCCTGTCCAAACAGATGACGGTTTGGGAACATCCAAGTGGAACGTCGGCGACTTCGATCAGCGCGATGAGTCTGCGTAATTGTGAGCATAAAGGGTTGTAGCATGTTGAGGATGAACCAAGTACGTACGCTTGCTTCAAGTCGCGACCGACGAGACCAATGTCAAAAAAGGCGAAGAGTGTTTTATCGTCACCATCTTCGGTTATGAATGCTCGGAAACTTGCACCTCCAACGTAATCCCAAAATTCCATCCATCCGATCACATCGACAGCAGATTTGAGTTGACTGTCGCTCTTGAAAGAAGACGGAGGCGTAGGATAATCATCGGGCGGTGTCATTGGTATGTAAACACCAGCCAGGCCGGAGCCATTACTGGCCATGTTCCCCTCAACCTGGAACACGGTTTTCATGGTCTCGCAAAAGAATCTCTCACATTCTTCCCTGATCTGGAGCGTTGCCCCCCCTCGGCGGCCGCGGCTAGTTGCGTTATTGGAGCTGCGCTTTTTCGGTTTCAGAGCGAGCTCGTTCGTAGAAGTGAGTGCCGCGAGAGGGGGACTTGTCGGAGGTGATGGCAGTCCTGAGATAGGAACCTCAGGAATACCACTCGGCCCCTGTAGCCACGGTAGTGCAGTAGTGCAAGCCCTTCAGCGACGCTGAAGGGTCCACGATGTAGCAGCTGGCGAGGACATTTGCCTGTTGAGAAACCGCCTCGCCGTAGTTACTACTTAAATTATTATTATTGTTTTTCATTGGCGCCATGGCTCTTGAGTAACTCCAGCGTTCAGCGTTGTTGTTATCGATGGCAGTGAAGATGATTTGGGAGTCCGTGGTCTACCGAAACTTCTGCACAGTCTGTGCTTTGGTTTGTAGCTGGTCGCGGATATCTGATGAGTTTTTCGAGGCTGAAAGTCAAGGAGGTCAACGTGGACAGCTGATGCGAAACTGATAGATTCGCAGATTGGTGCTTTCGTGCAATGATAAGTGAGGAGGTGAGACAACCGGTCAGGAGATGAGGAGAAATTAAGGAATTGATTGTTTCTGGAAACGGCCTTTTGGCTCGCACGTGCCAAGAGTGGCATGGGTCCTTCCCAACTTCCCTTGCAACTTTGACTTCTTCAGCGCCACTAATCACGTGCTTGCCCGCTAAAGTTCGTTGCATCTCCGCTTCTAACGGCTTGGCTATCCAGACAATTTCCATCTCCAGACATTTCTACCAAGAACAGAACTTTCGCTGTAATACTTGCTATGACCAATGAAATTTCACTAGCACCCTTCAGACGGTTTTCTTTGGTTTAGATGTAACTGAGACCAGAAACAAACACGCGATAGGCGTGCCTCCCTTGGTGCCGAGCTGCCGAAAAGACGGTCTACACACGCGAAGCGGAAGCCACAGCGGAGATCCCTTGGAGCATTCTGGCGTTTTCGAACGTTCATGCAACCCACATTTTTGGTCGCAACGTCTAACAGATAGCATGGATATACAAGATTTATACAATCAGTGCACCGGTTCAGTTACTCGCTCTACCAGGATGGCTGGCTTGATGTGGCTCCGGAATTCTCGGGGTTAGTCGGCGTATCGAGTAATGCCAGTTCCACCCAAGTATTCTGTACTTTGACTTTTGTACTATCTAGAGCAGGAACAAGGCACGTCCTACGATACCTCTAGTCGATTGAGAAGTATCATGGGAGTCGAGAGATGACGGTGGTTTTATCGTACCAAGTCGATCTGCTCCGACTAAACCTCTTCTTTCGTTGTCTGGGTTGCATCCAGCATCCAGTACCGGCGATAGACCGGCTTTGCGTTCGGTTGGGGCATCATCGCATGCTTCCCTATTCTGACCTTAGCTATTTTATTACAATGTCATTGCTCAAACTCGACCTCTCTATGCATGTTCATATAGTCTATAAACAATCGTTACAGTCTATCGGCGGGGCTTTTTTTTTTTTTTTTTACTTGAAGCATGTCACCGCAACATGGAGTGGCGGATGTGAGATAGAGGATACCTACCCCTCCTCCGCCTATCATGCAGGGTTCCACCCACTATAATGCTTTCGACGCTTGGATCGGGTACCGATAAAGCTAAATTGGGTGCATGGTGCGGGTTGTGGTCACTTTGACAAGTTGGACCACACCTCCATTCATTACCCATTTCAACGCTCCAGTCAACAGGCAGATGATGCGACGAACACGAGGCCGCTCCGTGATGGGCGCTCACTAATATTTAGAATCCCCCGGTCCCGGCCTGCCCTCCCAACGTGATCCATCCAATGATGTCCATCTCAAGTTAATCTGTTTCAGCAACTGCCTCTTGATACTTCGAGTTGAACCATTCCCCTCATCGGGCAATGCGGAGCTTGTTCACATGAGCAGCTTGTCCGACAAGTCCGGCTGCAAGCAACGTAGTCCATTCTTGATCTCTTGCCCGATGTCTTCTCTACTCTTCTGAATATCTTATTCACGCCACGTCTCTTCACTCATTACAAGCAACAACAACAACAATAACAGCCATGTTGGGCCTTGACAGCGGGTCGCAGGGCTCAACCCCAGCCCCAGCTCCGACGCTGCGATTCCCCGTCTACCTCCTTCCCAGCCTGAACATCCCTTTCCGCCGGCGGCAAAGCTCGACATTAAGTACGAATGGTGCGAGTCCACCGAAAGAGAGCTCTATCCCTTCTCTCAGCAGTTCGCCGACTGACTCCGTACTATCAAGTTCGCTGGGAAACCCGGAGACGCCTTCAATAATTCCTTCTAGGTTCTCCTTCTCGAGGAACAGCCGTCGCGCATCAGTCGAGCCACTTGATTTGCCAAGAATATCGCGAAGCCAGCCCGACATTCTCAGATGCTCGACCTGCTCGACCGATCTAGCCTTTTCATCGCAAATCGTGAGCAAGGGATTCACTGGGCGGCACGGACGAGCCTATCTGGTTTCGCCGCCGGAGCAGCTCACCACAGGCCGGAAGGCAGCGGATCTGATCAATATCAGGGTCGGCAAGCCCGAGACCCGCGCCCTGGTGACAGGATCACATATAGTCGCCGACATCTCATGTGCGATCTGCCATGCCAAGATAGGCTGGAAATATGTCGATGCCAAGCCAGATTTGCAGAAATACAAGGTTGGCAAGTTCATCCTCGAAACGCAACGAGTTATGGACTACAAAAGCTGGGAAGATGTTGAAATCTCCGATAGTCATGATCTGAGCATGGAGCCGCGAGATCTGGCTGCCATGGAGGGTGACGAGCCGATCCTCTTTGATTCAGATGACGAGGACGAGTGCGAAGATGTATTCAGCGGGACATGGGATCCCGAACTTGCTGCTAAAAGACGTAGCCGTAAGGTCAACACGCGAGCGAAGCAGACTGCAGCTTGAAGTAAATTTGGAGCATTCAAGGCGTACTACTCGATGGTTATGTGCTGGCATTTGGGGCGGTTGTAAGGAATCATGGTTCGCTGGAATTATGAGGCAATCTAATGCCTAGTACCCTCTGCGCTGAATTTGGTTGGGATACGAGACTTTTGGGGAGTAGCGTGCTTATTGAGCAGCTCGTAATACTGAGCTACACGGGGGTTCTCTACCGTTTTGCATGCATCAGAATATCAACGATATCCTCTCTAATCCATGTTTAACATATTATCACAACTTCTACCTCATAGGTCGTCAATTGGTCTTTTATAGCTTCTGGGTCAACTCACGCTGTCGTTTCCATCTTGATATAGGCACGGCCTCTATAGTGGAACGTTTGCTCTGACGATTCCCAGGCTAGGACTATCTTCCCAACCAACTTTCTAAGACTAACAAATACGCCCTCAAATCTAGTCTATCCGTAGCAGAGCATCACATTACTCAGTTGCAACCTTAGAAGCAGCTTCCGGTTTGCCGTTCTGGCCCGTTGATAGTTCCAATGTGACCTAAATGGAAGATGTCAGCTTCCACATCTTGAGGGAGAGATTCGTGGTTTATTACAGGGCCGTCATTGATTAATGCAACTTCCATCATGGCTTGGAACACACCGTTCTTTACTCTTTCCGGGGTATAAATACCCCGTACCTTGTTGAAGAAGTATTCGTAAAGCCTTTTTGCCTCTTCTCCACCCATTGCTCCATGAAAGTCAGGTTTATTGCCCTTTTTCGTTGAAGCTAGAAGAGTGAACTGAGAGACTAGACCCAGTATCAGACCAGTGCCCATGATATCGGGTCACGGAAGTGTTACCTACCGCAGAGCACCTCTCCACCAATATCTTGTACACTCTTCTTCCACTAGAAGATATTATTTGTCAGATATCGTTCTTACACTTGGTCATATCTCACGGTTCAACCATACTCTTCCACCAGCATCGTCATCCCAGAGTTTCATCTTCAGCACCTTGGCCGCAAGAGAATCTGCCTCCTTCTCGGTGTCACCAGGAGCGACTGCAGCAAATACCAAGACTCCCTTGCCTATGGATGAGACAACTTCCTTCTCCACAGTGACGGAAGCCGACAGTACACGCTGCAAAATCGCTGCGAGAAGGCGCATGAACACAGAAGTTTTGCCTTGGGAGAAACACAAGCACCAACCTTTCATCGTGCCTAATTTGTTTATGTCTCTTGAGACTTTTGATAGAGCAACCCAGTGCAGCAGGGTTGAATATAGTCTCGAGTGCCAAGACAAGTTGGTCTGTAAATTTCGGGTTCCAGTAGAGCTTTCAGCACCTTTCTGAAGCTGGCAAGCAGGTTTCTTCCAGTCTGCGTAGTTTCTTTCTGTTAGCCGCTGCAATCCTGAAGCACCTGGCATCAAATCTGGCTAGCAACGACAAAGCGCGTCCCTTGACGAGACGTGCATCATGTGATGTAGATCGCTTGGAGGAGGGCGTTAAAGTGTCCAAATATGCCAATGTACCTTGAGCGTCCAAAGTTAAATAGGGACGAAGAACGGTCGAACAACTCCACAGAGAAGGATCAAGCTGATTGCAGAAAAGTCTCAATACGAATGGTCGTAGGCCACTGAATGCAATTTGTTCAAAATGACTCAAAATTCGCATCTGGGGAGGGCCGCGGTTCTGGGTTGCGATGACGCCTTATCGATATGTACTTCACAGTAGAAGGTGGAACACGCCAGCCAAGCAGCCACTATCCCCAGTCGCATCAAATCCAGAGGGCAGTGTCCACTCCAAATAGCTCCCTGAACGCCTGGCCTTCTACAACTTCAGTCTTCTTGCCTGCAGCTCATGCACCTCTAAATCAACGACCACGCAACAAATAACAGCTGTGTCTGGGAGCATATTTGGTTTCGCTCTTCGGTTGTTTGGAGAGCAAACGAATGCGCGCAGCCCCCAGGCCGTAAAGGTACAAACGGAGTAGGCGCGACCGACCCGAACAGCTTCACATCTAGATCTCTGCAACCGAACCTCGTTCGACCTCGCCCGCTAGGCACACAGATCGAGCCCTACAAAACGAGCGCCCATACTAGGCAATCGTCTACATTGAGCGCCGCGCACCATCAGTTCCGCACCGTCAGACACCAATACAGATCCCACCAATATTCACAATGGCGGCAAGGAAGCTGCAACAAGAAGTAGATAAATGCTTCAAAAAGGTCGGCGAAGGGGTCGCCGAGTTCGAGGCCATTTACGAAAAGATTGAGCAATCGAATAACCCCGCACAGAAGGAGAAGCTCGAGGACAATCTTAAGCGGGAGATCAAGAAACTACAGCGACTACGTGATCAGATCAAGACATGGGCCGCGAGCAATGATATCAAGGACAAAGCTCCGTTACTGGAGCATCGTAAGCTGATCGAAACGGTTTGTTTTCCTTACTGCTGGCATCAAGCGATGAAGTACAGAGCATGGAACTTGGCGGCTTACCCTGTTGTAGCAAATGGAGCGGTTCAAGGCTGTGGAGAAAGCGATGAAGACGAAAGCCTATTCAAAAGAAGGCTTATCAGCCCAAGCCAAACTCGATCCGAAAGAACAGGCGAAGGTGGAAGCTAGCGACTTCTTGGCTACCATGGTCGACGAACTGGAGCAGCAAATCGAAACCCTGGAGGCGGAGAACGAGCTGATACAAGCCACCATGAAGAAGGGCAAGAACCAAAGCACCAAGGCAGACCGCATCGCAGCCATCGAGCACATAATCGAGCGGCATAAATGGCATCAAGCAAAAATGGAACTCATCCGGCGGTCACTGGAAAACGGCGGCGTTGAGGCGGAACAAGTGACGGATCTGGAGGAAAGCATACGATATTACGTATCGGATGGTATGAATGACGACTTCATGGAAGACGAAGAGCTTTACGACGACCTTGACCTGCAAGAGGAGGAAGATGCTTTCGGCATGGCCCTGGACAACGACCGGGTTTCGTCGCAGGACACACAATCGATACAAGAAGACGTCCCGGAAGTCGAGTCGAGACCGGCTAGTTTGCCGAGCAAATCATCACGGAGTGCCGCCGACGCGATAGCATCAGCAGGTCGGCGCCCCTCTACCCAGCTCAGGTCTCCGTTACCAACGCTGGCAACATTGCATCATCCCATGGCGAGTACCGCTAATGGTAGTGCCGCAAATGCTGGCATGAAGCCGGCCTCGTTGCCCACAAGACCAGCGGGAGAGGGCTTGAAGTATGCTTCAGCCGCCGCTGCGGCCGCAGCAAGTGACAAGAATGGGCTTGGGATATCTCCACTCCCGCCGCCTCCTGGCGCCCTGCCGATAACGTCGTCTACTGGGATCTCGCCACTGCCCGTTTCCCAAGCTTCCAAAACGAGTTCCACGAGCTCGCCGAGTACTGCGTCCATACAACCCGCGCCATCAGAACCGAGCGTGCCTGCCCCTATCTGTACGCCTGCGCCACCAACGGCGAAGGTGGATAAGGCAGTCTCAAAAGCATCCGGTAAAGCACCTGCCGTGATCGAGGCCGCCGAGCCATCAAAAGGTAAGTCCCATATGCTGCCGCCTTGCGCCAAACATTTGCTGACCATTCCTGCAGCACCGCAAACAAATGGTGTAACGAACGGCGTCAAGCCTGTCGAAGAGAAGAAGGAAGAAGAGTCCATCTATCATCTGCCTGCTTCTTTGCAAGATCTGGTCGAGTCCTTTGAAGTTACGAAGAAACGGTCGCTTCCGGTAACTACGCCGTCGTGTCTGAGGATGATGCATGCTTCTCAAGCAAACATGCCAGAGCTGATCGATGCGGAGGCTCCCCGAAAGTATCGACCGGAGATCCCATATCCTTCTGCTTCAGCGTATCCCCAAGAACCGTTGGCCATCTTTGACGACCCACGACTCTACTCGCGCATTGACCCAGATACTCTGTTCTATGTATTTTACTACAAGCAAGGAACGTACCAGCAGTACCTGGCAGCGAAGGCGCTGAAGGACCAAAGTTGGCGATTCCATAAGCAGTATCAAACGTGGTTCCAGCGTCACGAAGAGCCCAAAAACATTACGGAGGAATTCGAACAGGGCACATATCGATTCTTTGACTACGAGTCCACGTGGTTTGTATCCCTTTCTTCTTTTCATTTCAGTTCATTTCCCACCAACATCTTCAATACTCCTTATGTGCAAGTGCCGAATACCGCATCCCTTTCAACCCGCCCCCCTTCCCCACCGCCCGTCATGCTCTTATTGCACTTTTCATGGTACATTTTCTGACTGACAAATGCAGGATGAACCGTCGGAAGGCAGATTTCAAGTTCGCGTACCGTTTCCTCGAGGACGACGTATAGAGACTGACTGGCCTGCAATGAGATGAAGCCGGTATGCCACGCAACACGAAATTCATGTTCGCGGCATTTTCGACCTCCTTGCTGCTTCGTCGCCTCAAAGAGAAAAGGGGAATTGTGGTTCCTCTTCCCCACCCTCTACACCAACGTCACAAAATGAGCATCAGATTCATGTCAACACAATCAATGTTTTCCGGTTTATTGGAGGGAACATGGACGGTTGACCGGCTGGTCAGGCGTATGGTCACACTGTCGTACATAATAGCTGTAACAATTCGAGAGCTTACTCGCTTTTCATCACAATCTGAAATGATCTGGCCACGTGATCGAGATTTTATTGACTTGGCTTCCGTAGGACAAAATGGGGCATTAAATGGGATAGCCTGCGAATTTCCAAGCTTTTTGTGAAGTGATGTTAGTCCAACTAGACATGGCCAGGGTACTTCAACTTCAAAACCAGCAGCGCATTTTTTACGATACATTATAAATCAGCTCCACAGGTTGGTTTTTCTTTCCACTCATACGACCACACACTGTAGATGGCCCGAGAGTCCGTCCGGTCTCCCATAGACAAGATGGAAATTTGGAGCAAGCGTGGAACGAACTTGAGTCTCTTGCAGCGACGCCATCGACCACAATTAACAAGAAGGTATGATCCCAAGCCAAGGTTAATATTGGCGTTAGGTGATATATAGTGAGCGGCTGTGGTCTTTTCAGCGTCTCCATGATCCGAGTAGTCTGCTTCCCCAAAGCCTGCCAAAAGCCAGTCAATAAATTCATAACTGCCTAAGAAGCAAGCCATCCTAGTAACAGAGAATCAAAAATATTCTAAAGGGTAGAGCTTTGGTTCCACGGCATCACCATTCCTGATGTCATGGCTCTATAAATAGTATTCAGTCGTGCTTATCGAGCTGCCATCGAGACAGGTTGGGTCGATTCTGGCATAAAGACAACCCCAACACAGCGGAATCGACGTGATACAGGAGGCCGAGTGTACATTCTTGGTTGCTTAGATATATTTGATGGAGCCGGCACAAAATGTAGCTGCACGTTTTCATGACATGGTGATCCTTTCGATACAAATGCTTTGCGAGTATCGTGCTTTGATCCCTAACCAAGAATCGCCCAACCCTTTAGAAGTCAGGCCCGATAGAGACCTATGTATCTCCTTGGGATAAAGTGTTGCCTGACATCTGTCTGTGATCGATATGTCTTGGTTCTTGCACAGGTCGTTGGGTGAGGTCTATATTCAGGCCTTGGTATTTCAGCTCAGCAAGAAGCGGTCAAGTCAGGACTTCTCCGAGTTTTTGTCCTCAAAATTGAGCTGGGTAGTATTTTGGCGAAGGTATCTGCAGAGGAACCCAGGAAGGGAATGATGTATGAATTTGACCCAATGATCGACTCCTATTTCTAATAAGCCTTTGCATCTACCCTTTACCTAGACTACTGCAGGACGTATTCTCTCCTTATACATGCCCAAACTGGGCCTTTCTTGTCGAAGGAGTCGAACAAGAAAAATTACCCTATAAGGGACACATCTTTCTGAGATGGACTCCCCAGTGCTTCAGGTGTGTCAAAACCACGCAGCTCCGGTGACCTTTGAGCTTCTGACAGAAGCATGCCGATCATGCGCATAACTAGGCCCAAAAGGTGTACGCAAATTTGCGGTATGTGTCATCCATTGAGTCTAGAATCAGTCGGAATCCTCGGGCTCCTTTGGTGTTTAAGCTGTGAAATTTTCAAGTAGTTTGATTCAATCCTCATTCACTAGTCCCGTCTTTATTGCCAAATCTTCAAAAGAAATGCCTGGAACGGACATGTTTACGCTGACCCGCCCAATCGGTAAGGAGTTCCTTTTTGAGCAAGTGATTACAAACATATTTCATCAGAGTTGACTTGCTCGAACCAGACTTCCCAGTCACATAGAAGGCGCCTGATCCCCCTCGAAGCCAGTCTCTCAATTTCGATTTGGGATGTAAAACTTGTGATATAGTTTCTCCGTCAGGATTAAAGGACCCAGTCGAGCGTCTCTGCTGCTGCTTGTGCAATATCGTTGAAGTGCTCGCGTACCCCAGGGAAGTTGAGGTTTCTGGTTATCATATGCTAGTTCACTAAAGACGTCACTTTCTCAGTGGGCTCCACGGCTTTCCGGATACGCTCTGAGAGATAATCTTTGTGTCCGGCGCGACTAGCCGTCTGGAGCTTCTGATCTACAGCTTTCAGGCGCTGTAAAATCTCCGTCTGATGAATATGGGCCTTCTGAAGCTGACCACACATGAAAACAACCTTACGACTAACATGGATAGATAGACTTGTGGCAAATCCCATGATTGGACCAGGGATGAGCTTACTGGTTAGCCGTGGCCAGGAGGGTATGAAGAACCCCACTGCGGACTTCGAGCTCATAATTCCCGCGCTTGACCTCACCTTTATCCGGTGGGCGATTTATAGAACTCCTTGAGATTGCGGGCACATTGGACAGCGCGTTCAATCAGGTCTAATACATTATAAGTTAAAGCAAGAGCTGATAGTGGATACATCGTAAAAATATAGATCAGATTGCCTCGATATTCCGAGGTCATGCTAATATTTGACTTATTTGGATGTTGGTTGAGGACGAGGTTGAGTGGAGCCACTCAGCCGCTTCGACTGCACTTGAGCAACTTTAACAGATGCCTCTTATTAGACAGGCACAACGGAGCGGCCATCTCCATTGCGGTGATAGGCTCTGTTAGCAACCATCCATAATTGAAAAAGACTGGTGGAATGGTACCCAGCATCACGACCCACTACCTTTAAATAGACGACCAGATTCCGTCAATATTGCCAGAGAGGTTACAGTTATATTATTCAGATTTCACTATTCATAGCATAACCTTCTTACAGACAGCCATGGAGTACATGAATGGGGATGTCTCCACAGTCATCGTATTGTGACAGTTAGCCATTGCCGTTTCATGGATACCTACTGAACCATGTCCATATTTGTCCAACCCCCGTTCTCGGAAACTTGAAAATAAAAAGAGGGAAAAAGAGGAGATGCGTATGCATATTTTGGACCCGTTTTGCAGTCACATTCGCTATATTTGATTAAAACGTTTCAATGTCTAAATAGTGTCATATGAACGATAATCTACCATGCCAGTATCTCTTACGAATCACATTCGTGTAGTGCCAAATCATTAGACATCTTTCCTACAAATATTTCAGCACAGAACCGAAAACTAATGCTGTGTTCACTAATATCATAACAAAATCAACAGGACTTCGAAACCATACCCTCGGAGCAGAAATCTATAAATCAAGGACCCACCCATAATATAGGCATGATATTGCTTCAACTTATGCTACAAATCGAAAAGGTTTTATAGGTACTTGGGTAGTCTAGCCGAATAGTCCCATCTCTACTCTCTTGTTGTATAAGTGACATTGTATACAAAGTACCATACTGATACGAATGAGATGCCTTAGCATACATTCGAAATTAAGATTACGGACCCAGGTATTGCACTAGAGCATCGCATTATATTATACTACTCCACTCTATATGTGCTATTTACTATCTAGAAACTATCCGCTGAACAGGTCTGTCATCTACGTGGACACCATGTCGTATTCAAGTTAGATTCGCCGATCTATATATAACCCTGTGGCTCAGTACAATAAGACAAGTTGTGAATGTCCGAGTCTCACAACCTACAATCAGACAGCGAAAGAGAGCGCCAACAGTTTAATTTGGAATTTAACTCGATATGCCAGATGGTCATTTCGTATATCTCCCGTAGTCCACGGGGCTGTCCAATGGAGATGGTCCCGAATGTAACATTCTCGGGCGTCGCTTGCACCATCACCTGCAGGGAAGATGCGACGACAGTGAACGTTGCGTCTAGGTCCTATCCACTTGTTCTTATGGCAAGGGTGCAGCGGTGGTAGATTGATACGAGTGACTGAGTGTGTGATGAAGAGTTTCTGGCCCGCGGGTCAATGTGGTGAGTTTGTCTCATTGCGAATAGTCAATCAACTAGGTTACATACTGGTAACTGTCAAGGCAATTCTCGAATTTATCCAAAATGGAGCTTCTCGAGCTCCCACTTATGCCAGCAAACAATGCTGCGATCACAGTCGTGAATCTCGTGAGAGGTCATGGAGACACAATTTAGCCATGCACGCACTGCCCTAGGGGTAATTACAAATAGTATTGTACTGGATATGTCACAGCATCTACCGGCTCTACTTCCACCCGCTAGCCAGGTTTCCCGGCCCAAAGCTAGCAGCCATATCGCACGTGATTAGGCTAATTCGATACATACATCCAACGACTTCACATGTAGCTTACAGAAACCAGGCGTGGCCCTCAACCTAAGTCACAGAAGACTGCCTCGCACTTTTAATCGAGTACTACCTACGGCCACATCATCCGGGTGTCCTCCGAAGAGCTTTAATTTGCCATCGTCGAGTTCTACCGCGAGATATTCCCCTACTCAGTTCAAAGATTTAGACCACATCTTTATCAAGACGGCCTCGCAGTACGGCACCCGCAAGCCCCACCTCCAGAGCAAGAGAGATGTTGTAAAGCACCCGTAGGAGGTGGGCCCCAGAGTTCAGCACCAAGGCGTTACGCAGGCAGGAGATTATCATGCAGGAGTATATCGTCCATTCAGGGCGGACGTAGACACTACTGCTTTAAACACTTATTCGAGGGCACCGATAAGGAGCTGGTCTACCAAACGATATCGGAACTCACCTTCCACATGGTTTCAGCTCAAAGACGATTAGAAACACTCTTATCATCACATATTACCCTCTGACGACAAACCAGGGCTGCATGGAGAAGCTAGTGAAGGAAGTGCGTTCCAGATTTTCATTGGCTGACGAGATAGCTGGCGACGCCACAGCACAACGAGAATATTTGAACGCAGCCATTGTGGAAGTACTTCGAATGTTCCTTCCCACTATCGGTACGGGTGCCGAGATAAGCGGCATCTTTGTGCCGTGTGGGCTCACTGTGGGAACGCATATACTATGTATGGACGACGGCCCATAATCTAAAGTTCTGGCATGAGCCATGGATAGGGGAAGGGTTCGGGGACAACAAGGAAGCCTCGCAGGTGTGTCTACTGGGCCCCAGAGGCTGTCTTGGCATCAACCTTGAAGATCTGGAAATGCGCATAATTCTGGCCAAGATGGTTTCCACATACGACTGGGAGTTGGTAAGCAGAGATATCGACCACTTCCAGGACAGCAAGGGCCGGTCGCTTTGGAAACTCCCGGGTATTCAAACTGCCTTCCATTCTCGTAGATAGGCTTCTGATCTTTCGTCTGGATGGTCGTTATGTAAGCGACCGCATCTTGGTCCCTGACCGATGTCAGAGTCCCAGCTTGGCGGGATGACCCGAGGTTGACTCGTGTAGAATCGTGCTTTGCATGGTGTACCCTGCTAGTGAGCTGACTATCATTATAGAGTTGAAGCTATCGACGCTGCTGGATCGATGGACTAGGCTAAAGCCAGACTCGATGGGATGTTTCCAGATGACTGACCTTGGGAGAGCAGGCCGAACTCCGATAGGCTTATTCAACTAGAGTTTGGAGATGGCAACCCCAAAGCTGGGGTTCCGGCCAGTGAGGTTGCTGGCTCCAGAGTGACTGCATGCGGCCATCTGCCGTGTGAACTTGCAACCATCTTTTGATGCAGTATCATCTCAGAAATGAAGCAACCGCTGAGGGGAAGCAGGAAGCCAACAGGTTTGGACTGGCGTAATCGGAGGCACGTCTGGTAAGAATCCAATTCGATAGCCTCAAGCTTGTCTTCTGTGATGCTGTGCGACTCTGTTGTATCACGGGTGGGAATCGACATTCAAATCCTGAAAGTTGAAGGGTCTGGACTGTGAAGGCGTCGCTGGAATGGGATTGCGTAGCTTGGTAAGCTTTTACGTCACCGTCCTTGACGTACAATGTGAAGCTCTAATATTGCCAGAAGCAACTACGAATAAGTGCGTTACCAAAGACGAGGATTGCTAGGGCGGGGTGTGACTTCCACCAGTGAGGTGAGCCGGCGACAGGGCGGGTCCAGTGTTCCCAGCCGCGTGAGCTATCGAGATTGCATTGAGAAAATCGTTTCCCGGTTGGAGTGGGAGCATGTAGCTATGGGGATTTGGGGGCCGCACGATACCCTAAGCTCAGGTGTGTCGTGTCACTGAGTTTGACAGATATCGGCTGGCATCAAACTAGACGGTCTAGCGGGGGACTGATGCGGCACCACAGCGGGAACAAGCAGACGAGCAGAAGCTTGGGATTGTGTACCTACCCAAGCCTGCCAAGTGGATGCTATCAGCTAGCCGAAAAGCATGGATGGTGATGGTGTTTGGGCTCCCAAAATCTCCAAGTTGTCGGTTTGATAGAGGTAGTTTCTGTATCCATGGTGACAATGCTTAACAAAGGGCAATAAGAGGATGGAAACGGATGTCCGAAACAGCAAGAAATACCCTATTCCCTGGCAGCTAATTCGAAGGAGCAAAGGGCAATTATTGATATGCTTGGTCGGTTAGAACAATCAAAACAAGTATGCGAGTCGTATTTACCCAGCTAGCATCGCTATGGTACATCATTAATGCCACTCTTTAACCTGCATGGCGCATGCGGAAACTTGAGTGCTTGAGCCATCGTCGAACGAGCAACAAGAGTCATCACCAGTTGTCCCCACCGACGGCATGATAAACGAAGCCCTTATTCCTGCAGAGAGATTTCACATGGTTAAAGCTGTAAATTAATTGCATGAATGTTTGAAAAGCCTGACAACTACTAACATACATGCACTTGGCCCCTTCCCTACCACTATTTTTTAAGCTTCCTGAAAGCGCCAGGTTGCTCAAGTTGGGAATGTTTGAAAGTTAACTTGGATTAGTTTTGACAACTCTTTGCCCGACTCCAAATTCCACACATTCAATCAATCAAAGAACCAATCGATTCTCGCGTCGTTGGGGTCATTTGATAGAGCGGTACATCCCATCCACAATCCCCACCTTTACGTAGCACTGGAGCAGCTGTCCCAGAAATTCCCTTGCACACTGGAGACACAGCCTGTCACAGCGTAGTACAGCGTGGCCCGTCTTCCGTCGTCACTCCACCACCTGCCCTGCACTGTCCTGCCGTCATCCCACTTTCGCTCTCTGAACGTCTTTCTTTATTTTCTGCCCCCCTCCTCCAACCCGACGATACTTCACGTCACCCCCCTAATAAAAAGCGAGCGACGAAACAAGTCTTGACCACCACAACGTCCACTTCGTTGGAGACACAAAGACCACACACACACAAATTCGCCCACGGCGAATCTGCGTAGCCAAAATGAGTCAACTCATGAAGAACAAGTTTGAGAAGGTGTGTAGTTGTTAACCCCGTTCCCTTCACCCCCACATTGGCACTGGGTTCGCTCGTTGGTTGCCCAACTTGCACTTTGGGATGGCACGGGATGGGATACCGCAAGCAGAGCAACGCCATCCAACAGCAGCGGCAGCACATCGTGTTATGATCCAGACCTTTGACCCAGCTCGATCGGCCTTGCTGTCGTTGTCTCTCTACCCCTCCTACCCATCCACCTGCGATCTCCATCTTGAACCTTGGGCCATACCACGGCCATGGCAACAGCAACAGCAACAGCAGCAAAAGTAGTAGTAGTAGTAGTAGCTAACCCTTACTCTCCACCCCCGCAGGCTCTGAATGAAGACCAGCTCAAGAAGCTGTACGGCGACAAGGCACCACTGAAGCAATTCCACGACAAGCGGCTCAAGACGCGCACCTACTTCGACAGCGGCGACTACGCTCTGGCCAAGGCGGGCAAGGGTGACGGAGTTGATGCCGGCGCCGTCGGCTCCCAGCACCCGGTCCCCGAGGACATACCCCACCTCAACTCGCCCAGCAACAGTCACGTCCCGGGCAGCAACGTGCCCGGCGCCAACAACAGTCAGCAGCAGCTGCCGCAGCACCATTCGAGCATGATCCAGCAGGCCGGCAGCCCCGTCAAAGAGAGCAGCTTCCTCCACCGCGAGACGAGCGCTGATGATGCCGAGGAGAAGAAACAGGCTGCTGAGGGAGGCGCCGGTGGGGCAGCCCAGGGGATCCCTATTCGGAAATGAGGCATGGGTGGAAGGGAAGAAGGAACTAGTGAAGATGACGTGAGTACAGATTGACGGAACGGTTTAATGGAGAAAAGCCGGCCTACGGGGATATGGACAGAGGGACTTCACCTACGTAATGGCGGTACACGGGAACAGGCCGTCTTATCTACAGACACCATGTGGCCTCCCTGAACCAGTCGCTTCTGGAGTTTATTGTTTGTGTATGTCTGATGTAACGCAAGTCATTGGAGGGGGCGATTGCAGATGATGCCGAGGGGCAGTCAATTGGTGGGTGCCCTTTTTCACGATGACTTACGAAGGGAAATAGTTTTCACGGCGTTGAGGAGGAAATTTTGGGAGGTCCAGCACCGTACAGGGACTTTATTTGATTCAGGACAGGTAGTCAATCATGGTGTCCTTCCTATCGACTTTCAAATGGGGTTCGTTCCAGTCAACTATCTTTATCGTACAGATTTGTTGCTACCGGATAAGGCATGGCTAGAGCAAGGAGACCATGATGACCACAGGTTCAGCACAGTCAGATTAGGCCGTAAAACAGAGTACTCTCACAATTTCGGAGGAAAGCCCAGAAAAGAATAAAATACGTTCAACTGCATGTGCGAACAAATAACACTTGGGTTGGTATCTCGAGGTAATTTTCGTTCATCATGCCCTTGTTTCGTCTATGTGCCATTGCTCACGAATCTGGATATCATATCCCAGCTGAACCTATCAACTCTATAAATGACCTATCCTAGCCCCCAGACCTGGTTGTTTATATGTCCAACGCCTTAACTGCCATTGCCTTGGCGCCTTCAAACGTCTTGTTCCCACCAATAAACCCAGCAGCATGGACGAATACGCCTCCAGGAATGCCCGTGATCTCGTCCAACTTGTCATCTCTAGCTCCTCTCCACGCTTCCGGCAGCGCCTTCCTGCTCTCAAAGGAGTCCATGGTCACAGGCACAGCCTGTATCCTCCACTTGGCGTCCGGTACCGGCTTCTCGGCGTACAGCACGTACAGCACCTTCTTTCCCGTGCCGTCGGCCTCCTCGAGGTTGTACATGTGGTCCTTCCACGGCACACTCTGGCCCTCGAGCACCATGATGCGGCCCTCGGGGTCATACTCGGTCCGCTTCTCATACGCCGCCTTGACGATATCCCGCGCCGGTAACCACGCCCTCGAGTAGTACTCCAGATCCCTGCTGAACTCCTCACCGATACGCTGACTCGCAGTCAAAAACTTCTCGTCCTCCGCGGCCTGCGCCTCTTTAGGGTCGCTGGGAACAGGGTCGTTCCAGTTGGGGTTCAACCGGCCAACCATGGCACCTAAATTGAACCCTCCCTCGCTGAACCGCTTCTCCAGCGACGCGGCCGCGATGCCCTTCGGGTCATACGCCGAGATGCCATTATCGTGCGCGTCGAGCGCCTCGACAAAGCTCTCGTAGATCTTGTTCCACAGCAGTCCCACATCCTCGCTGTCCTCGGGCTTGCTTAGCTGCTGCGCAATGATGGCCTTGCCGAAGTGCATGTAAACGAGCCCCGCGCTGCTCAGCTTGGTCGGCCGGCCGGGAAACGTGGTGCTGAATGTGCGTTGATGGTGGTCGTACCGGTTGGCCGAGGCGTCGTACTCTCCGCCTACATCGACGACGGTGTGGCAGGTTTGCAAGAGCGCTGGGTCGCGTGTGCGAACAAGAGAGGAGCCGGCATACGTGGGAAGCAGGCGCAGCATGTAGACGGCTAGGGCCTCATCGGCATGGAAGTGGCCGTTGTGGGTGCCAATGGTGACGCCCGTTGTCTTGAGGCGTTTTGCTGCGCTTTCGGCCATTTTTGCGATCAGGGACATGCAATGGGATGTAGTTTATGCGAATGTGTTTTAGATTGATTCGATTTGTCTGGTCAATTGTGGTATGGGGGATCTGGAATCTGTTCTGGTGATTGTGAATTTGCTTGCTCTGAGTGGTGTTACCCGGCAGTCTAGTGGATCAGTGCAGCGGGGGATTTGGGGCTTTCCAAACTTCGAAGTTCAAGCTGCCCCCAGCTAAGGGGGTGAGAAAAGGGCATCTGAAGCAAGGCTGGCGTGCAGATAACATTTGCCTGCAGCTGCTCAAATCTAGATATCACCACACCGAGCAAGGGGGCGTGTTTTTGGAGACGGAAACGCGACAACCTGGACGCCAAAAAGGACGATGCTTTGGCACAGGTCAGAGCCCAGTGGTGTGAACAATGGAATGATACGCTTCCTGGATTTGGGGGCCACCCAAATACCATCGTGTCATCCCTTGTTCCTACCTTTCATCCGCAATCAAGTTTGCCCACTCTCCACAGACGCTTGTCGAAGACGGCAGAGCAATTGATGCATCTTTTCCAAACTTTGACATCATGCATCATTGATTTTGATTTTATTTTCCATTCTAACTGAAGAGTCCTCCAATATCGCGACTTTGGGAAGCGCCGACCATCGCCGATTGTCAAGCAGCCATGGATGACCGGACAATCAAGGCAGAGCCTGGCGTCCGCGAGGATGTCTCCATGACCAATACGAAGCCTTCGTACAAGTCATGGAAGAAGAAGTATCGAAAGATGCGCCTTCACTTCGACATGCGAATGCAACAGAGCGAGGAACTTCATCGCCTAGAACAAAAGGCCATGCGTACCATGAAGCGTCTAGCTGTCGAAAATGAGTGAGCAAATGCCTTTGACCCGTCGCGCTGTCGGCCAGCATCATGCTAATGGGGACTTAGTCGCTTGATGGACTTGCTCTTGGACATCAACGAGTCGCCCCAGATCCCCCTCGAGCGTCGCATCGATTTGAGCCTCGACGATGAAGAGGATGAGGATGTGGAGGCGAAGGACCCTGCACAGCAACCCACCAAGTCGCTGCGACATCTGATTGAAGAAGTCCGTCACAGAGACTTTGAAGCCACGGCTGAGCACTTGCCTGAAATCCTGGAGCAGATCCAACCGAAGGACCCCGAGCTGTACCCTACATCATTCCTTACTGCCGAAGATGTCGACAATTATCTCGCCGATATTGACATGCGAATCGGTCTCAAGACCAAACCCACGATTGCAAAACCAGAACAGACCACCCCCAATACGTCGGCCGCCAACTTTGCTCTGCACAACCCTACTAGTGTCTACAACTGGCTTCGCAAACATGCACCTAAGACGTTCCTCCAGGATATGGAGAAGGATAAAGAGAAGGACAACGATCACGGCGAGAAGGGCGAAGGCGGCGGGAGACGGAAGATGGCCGGTACGCGCGGCACCAAGCGACAATCCGCTGCAACCCGTAAGGAAGTGGCGGCGGCGGCGGCGGTGGCAGCGGCTGCTGAGCCCATGGAGTGGGATGAGGAAGCGGCTTTTGACGTGTCTGCTACGGGGACTGTCAGAGGCAAGAGGAAGAGAGACGACGATGGCGGGTATCGTCCAAAGGGCGGAGCTAGTCGGGCTGCGAAGAAGCGCAAGAGCGAGCCACGTGCTCGCAAGTCAACATCTTAGGAAGATGGCATTCGCAGCAGAAGAAGCACATGAGTGGAATGTGACGAGAATACGAGGGACACCGAGCACTAGCCGGCCTGGACTACTCTAACAAGGTGCATGGAGACCCTCCCGTCTGCCGTACGACTATTTTAATCAAGCTGATGGGTACAGAAGCTGTGTATTCTAAATTTGGGCTGGGAGCGATAATAGATAGATGGTCTTACCCCAGAAGGGGTAGCATTGGCACGAGGACATCGACATAGATGAACATATTACATAACGTTGAAGGACGCTTAATGCGAGTGTTACATCTGGTTCGCGAATGCACTATAGTCAAATGCATCACGGATGATTTTCCATGCCACCAGGATTCGCCCATTTCTTTTCGTCATAAACAAAGCCTTCCGAGATCTTGCATGCCTACATGGAGACTTCTTTAGTAATGCAACACAAAGGGGCTGGTCATATTTACTCGTTTCAGTTGACCACCAAACAGTTCACATAATTCAAATTGTTAGCTAGATCTAAGGAGACCCACAGGCTATCCTCTACTAGTTCCCCCTTTAGGAAATGTATCTTGATGGCACCGGCCCTGCTCACATTTATGAAGTCACCAAATTTGGAACGGTCAACTCTGATACTAGCACGGCCACTATGCTATTGTCAGAATATAGGGGGTATTCCCCAGTACCTGCAAGATTGTAGTACTTCGCAGACCTTCACGGTACCTCTACAACTACCAGCATATCCTTGTAGCGCTATTTCCAGTGCACCCTAGTACCCTTGGTGAATCAGCACCGACGAGGCAAGCGATACTCCAATACGCAGTGCTATGCAGAGGTACCTCTGTGCGCGAAGCTATCAAAGTCGGTCGGAATTATCTCCACATTACCGATGGTAGTCTAGTGACCGTGCTAAACTTGGTTATACCGTCATTTTACAGAGTATAATGGCAATCGCAGAGACTTATACTGTGGTGGTAAGTTTTTCGCCACCCTGACGTATCGGCCCATATGTAGGCTTCTTAGCATTGGTAGCTGATATAAGACTGCATCATTTTCCGGATTTTCCTTTATTCATCTATTAATTTATGCGCATCCCGCTAGCCTTAATCACTGCCTTATAGCGCTCTAGTATTAAGGCTGGTAACTCGTATAAATAGTTATTTAGTAAAGTATACTAGGCTTCTTTCACCTACACCCTTAGTTAACTAAAATAAGGCTTCTTCATAAGGTTATAATTATCTATATAATCCTTAACATAATCCTTTATCTAATTCTTGTGGGGTCGCATTGGTACCAGCATTCCGGCTACACACGAAGGTGAAGTAGGGAAGTATAATTGGGGGAGAAGGTTGTCACGGTGAGCACAATTGAAGAGTCAAAACACTCTAATGCACTGTATTGACTTAACGATTCTCGACAAGGAAAGAAAGAGAAACTAAAACAGGCTGGCTCACATCTGAGGATCTTCAATCCCGCCTTCAGATGGCCCAGTGCTCCTACGGGTCCACAGCTAGTGGGTTTCGTGGCATCGTGACACCGGCCATCACATAGTCCACAAGCGAACGGGTCACCCAACCGAACGGGTCACGCCCATAGCAAAAAATAGAACTAAACTTCCTAACTTTACCACGCAACTAATTCTCGATGGATTCTGCTCAAAAAGAATCTCAATTACTCCTTGCAACTCAGGCTATCAGAAATGACTCAACACTTAGTATCCGACGTGCTGCAACAATCTACAAAGTCTCGAATACTACTCTCCAGGCGCGTCTTCAAAAACGTCAATCACGTCGCAATATCGAAGCCAACGGTCGGAATTTAACAAAACTAGAAGAAAATACGATTATTCAAAGGGTAATTGAGCTAGATTCGCAAGAATTTCCTCCCCGGCTAAGTGCTGTTGAAGATATGGCAAACTGACTGCTACGCGACTCGCATATCACAAAGGAGGACTTTCTTCCGGCATTTTGCGACGCGTTCAAGAAGAGCCTGACCGAAAGTAATATTCGTGCAGGCTTTCAAGGGGCTGGGCTTGTGCCTTTAAGCCCAGATATTGTTATTGAGAAGCTGGATGTGAAATTACAGACTCCAGCGTCCTCCCGGCCCCCTACGCGGGAAACCCTTCCTTGGGCTTCTCGGACGCCAAACAACCCAACCGAGGCTACTTCGCAATCCGAATTTACTAAATCTCGAATTTCCAGGCATCAAAATAGCTCCCCGACGTCATTTTACGATGCTATCGATCAGTTTTCGAAAGGAGCGCGGAGTATTATGCATAAGATGGCTTTACTCCAAGCTGAGGTCGTCGAACTTCGAGAGGTAAATGCTCTAATTAGCAAGCGGCGCAGGGCCAAAAAAACACGAGTACGGCTTGGAGGATCACTTAATTCACAAGACGTACAAGATCTTCAAGATCAAAAGGACGTTGCGCAGCAAGTACAGCAGGAAATGCGTGGAAATAGCGCTGGATCAAATCGTGGCCAGCCACTTTGATCCAGCCACGGCAACGGCGCTGTGGTGTATGCGGGAAGACCGGGATAATGCGCGAACCTGTCAGGTAGAGATAGAATCATCTGGGCAAGAGTATTCTGAGTATTTTTAATTGATTTACGGCGTTGTGGTTGCGAAATCGTGTTGAATTCCATATTTTGCTAGTTGGCGTGACCCGTTCGCTTGTGGACTACGTTATTACACGTTATGAAGTATTAAATCGATGCGAGTGCATATGGGGTGTGAATTGTTGTATTGGGAAAGGATGGCCAGGTCAGCTATTCTAGCCTGGCAGAGCTCTTTTATAGCTCTTTTCTATCTTATCTATACCTACAGGGTAACACCCCATGGAGTCACGTATCAGTTTCGCTATTACTGGGAAAGATTATTCTATCCTGGCGTATAAAGACGGTACTTTAATGATGGCCTTGGTAATCGCTGATGGACCACTGTTTGGTATTCGCACACTTGATAATCTATATCAGTAAGAAATCCCAGAAAATGACCAGGAAAAAATCTATCGATGGGAAGAAAAATAGAGGAAGATACCCATCGCCCGGAATATCAACAAAGCCGGTCAGTTGTCTGACTCTAAGCCGATGGCGAAGCACACCTTCATTGAGATATTCAAGAATTGCATGTCGAGAGAGGGATACGTGGGTGTTTCTAGCCAATCCGTCGCTTTCTGGGTAAACGTGTTGACGGTAGGTAACGGTCATATGTCCTTTTTCTTTCCGCAGTACTGATTAGTTGTTTTCAGAGCACTACACTGAAATAGAACGATCGCAGCATATTTTGCACACAGATCCTCGGGTTTTTGGGCAGAGCTATGTTGCGAACACGTCATCTGTGGCTGGCAAAGACGTCTTCCTGTCGCAGAAGCCCGACAACACTGTCCCTGAGTTTTTCCAAAGTTTTGCCATGTTTTGTGAGGAGGGCGCACCAACAAAGTTACCTATGGCACTTGAGCAAGTGCTTCTTCAAGCGCCAGAGCTTGTTGAGTTCGACAGTCAGGCTACTCATAGAACCCAGTGAACGAGCGAAAGAGCGTGTCAACCTGCTCAAACGGTTGTATCGAGCAAGGCTAGCCTCGTATCGACGCAGTGGGTCAGAGATAAGCGAGACTGGAAAGTCTTAACCAAAGGCAAGATTCAGGATATATCATCAACGGATGCAAATGACATGATTCGAGTCTTGCCAGAGCAATCCAGCTTAGCTGAGAAGATGGGTCAGCTGAAATCTCTCAGCAGCACCGAGACCCAGGAAGCCACGCGGAACATGTACTCACTACTCACACGGGACTTCACAGTATTCTATAGACCTGGCGTAACTCTACGACGTCACAGAGCCTTGTACTGAGCAGAACATAGTGAACAGCTGCCTTTGAGTAGTCATGTCCTCAGTAAGGTCTTCTAGCGTTTGATATGATCATGCTGAGTGAAAATGCGGTTACTTGATTCCTATGGCTGATTCTGTTCTCAATTGAACTATAGATCCATGCTATGCCTTGAATGAGGAGGTCTATATCGTGGTGGATTTCCTTTCCTGAAGCGGGCCTAACCCATCAAGCCGCAGCATTTGGAACACGGGACCAAGAGTTACCTGACTCTAAGCCATGAGTTATGTTTAACCCTCCAGGCAGGAGCTAGCATAGCCTTTCCTAATCCCGGTTCATGTTCCACCGCTAAATCACTAACAGCCTTCTCACTCGGGCTGAAATATGCATGTATCTTGAGTTTCAGTCTGTCCTATTGGTTAACTCTTATATGTAAGGAGAAGGATGTAGCATTGATGATACCTTTCTATATAAACTTAGTATAGATGTAGCGGTACTCGATAGGATCCCTACTATCTCACAAATGGCGTCAATTATGCCTGTAGCTCACCGGGCAAGGTTTTTGAGGGTCATCTAACTGATATTCACGAGAATAGATGAATATCGGATGACGGAGACTTATCTAGGACACCAGCACTAAGAGACATAAGCATTGAGGGACGTTTCCGGCTGTAGTTGGCGAGGGAAAAGAGCTCAACAGGGCCAAATTGTCATATTTGAAGGCTATGCACAAGTTGCCATCTACAGGGTCTCTCCTAGTTACGCAGTCTGAATATCGTCTAGCATAACAAGCTTAGGGCTAAACCTCGATTATCCGGTCCTTTATAACAGGCCACGATGGCTACTAACATTGGAGCGCATTAGTTCTATATTTTGAATTCAAACTGCTCTGCGGCTAACTCCACCACAGGGTTACCGCTACGTATCTGTTCGAAGTCTATCTCATAAACCAGGTGACTCCTGCCTCCCCGTGAAATCGCAAGTTGCGTGTGAGCCACTTCATATATCTGAAGCGTGAACCACTTGAATATACGATCATTCTTTTCCACGCTGTCCTCCAAATCAATATGTTGCTTTGTGAGCTAATGCACTTTACTAGGGCCCGAGAGCCCTTGCCGCAAAGTATTCGCCTTGGGGACGCCACAGTGTCGCCGGTAGTCTCAGCGAGGTTCCTAGGAATCTGGTTCGACCGCAAACTGACGTGGCACGCCCATGTTGAGCGTGTTAAAACAAAAATGGCAACTCAAAAGCTAGCCCTGACAAAGCTAGTCAATATGTCGTGGTGCTGCGATCTTATACGGGCGAGGCTGTTATATACGGTGGTTATCCGTAGCGCGATCGCCTTCGGGGCGACTGCGTGGCATACTATAAGTGAGGAACCGGCAGGGCCAGCTAAGAGCCTGATGGGGATACAGAACGAGTGCCTCCGGGTAGTCTGTGGCGCCCACAAAGCGACGCCGGTTCGCCACCTGGAAGCAGAAGCAGCAATCCCGCCACTAGACCTCTATCTTAGTGCCCGGGCTGCTAAGTTTGAAGAACGGCTACGGCTTAGCGGGAAGAGAAATCTGCTTCGCAGCGCGAGCGCTAAAGCGTCACATATACTCCGGCAGGATAGGCCGGCGAAGAGGAAGCAGGCGTCGCAGCTACTCCGACCGGCAGGGTACACTATGGAGAAGGAGGCCCGGGGCTCCGAGTGGATGAGTGAGGAAAAGGAGGTCCCGGCTGCCCTCCTCGGCCACTGGAGGAAGAGATGGCTCACCGGAGCAGAGCATCACGATCGCCAGCGACGCGCTATAGCTGAGGAACCGGAGGGCCCTTCGATGCAGATACCGAAAGGGGGCAAGTATTTCGGCCTGAACCGACTGGAGGCGTCTACGCTGTGCCAGATCAGGACGGAAAAAATAGGACTAGCAGCCTTCTTATTCAATACAGGGGCTTTTGGCGTGTACTCGCCGCTATGCCGCTGTGGCGACGCCCCTGAGACGGCAGAGCACGTAATCCTCTTTTGCGGGCTGTTGGAAGGACCGAGGGAACGATTACGGGCCGCTATCGCACCACGGCCACTATACTCTCGCAGAGACCTCGCAACGGCAACAAGAGAACCAGTAGTTAGTGGGACTATTGTAAGGTGGCTGCTAGGGACGGGTCGGACAGCTTCAAGGCCCAGATAGCATCGATCTTCTCAGGGGTGACTTTGTTAGTAGGTTGAGAACCAACGTAGTATGGTAGTGAACGCAACGCAGTCGCCAATAGGGCGAACCGACGACGCAGCGTATGTATTTAGTCCAGCCATTAGGGCACGGTTTGACATACGGGAGTACTAGTAGAGGTACCGGGGGCTTCGAGCCTACGGCGTATTTAATAATAATAATATATGTGTGCATTTAACTTACTTGTCCGGGGTTTCTAACTACTACGTATGTTAACGTGTAATAGGAACAACCTTAAACGGCCTATAGACTAAACTCATTTAAGATTCAGGAATGTCGGCTGCTCATTTGCCATAGGCTTACTCCAGAGCATACCTGGCACCAGTATCAGAGACTACTTATTTACAGACGTATGAGAGTGCACGGTGGCACATGTGCACATGTGCATTTCGGGATAGGTAGAATTACGGAATCGGGGTATTATTTCACGACGATGTATGTTATTTTGTTTCAAAGCAATTGGAGAATCTTTCTCGTTACGATTTGCTCGTTAAATCAACTAATGGAAAGTGATCAACGATAGCCTTCTTTAATTAACTGTAGTGGAACCTCATATGATAGTCTGTTGTGGTAGGCCAACCCTAGTTGGCACACAAGGCTTAAGCGGCTACTTGCATTGACCCACCAGGTCAATAGAGGAATTTTTGGGCGACGATGGCGGACAGAGACTGCCTGCCCATTAAGGTTGGGTGCAACTAACAGTGGACAGGACAGTAGCTCCAGAAGCTAATATTTGAAGGCCGTGCCGTAGCAAGTAAGTGTTGCTTCGATAGGCTTCCGAAAAGAAGCATCCATTCCCACACCATCCAGAGCCGGTAGATGACTACCGAAGTCGCTGTAAGAGTTCTTTTCCAGATAATAAATCTTCCATCTATGACATTTCTCACCTCTTTGGCAACACTATGTAAAGACTATTGGCTCTCCTGAACCCTGCCTTAAATGCACGGGCCACAGTAGACGGGGACTACTTGGTATCGTTGCAGTTGCTCTTTAGTCTTTGCGGCTTCCCTTGCCGCTTCGGGTTGTTGGTTTTGAGCAGGTGTTTCCTGAGCTTTGGCGACCTCCTCTTCGGCCAGCTGCTTGTGTCTCTCGTCTTGCAGACTTTTGTGGTATTTGGTTGCCCTTCATAGGTGTGTGCGGAATAGGTGAGGTTCAACTACCCACTGGGGATCATAGAGGTTGGTTTCTTGACTTTGCGCTCTCTCTGTACGTCTCCTACCAAAGAGGAATTCTGGGCCAGATAGGTGTGTTGTATTCGTCAAGATTCTGATTAAAGGCACACTGCTGGTAGATGTGTAAAAATGACTGAGAGCCACCCCATTATCATGTACACACCCTGCTGTTTCCCCATAAATCTACTACCAGAAGCAAGCGCGCCCACACTACCCACGTTACGTTGTAATTTCTGTAGTATGTTTGCTTTGTGCTGTTTCAGCTGGTCTTCGGGCAGTTCGTCAACTATTGCAAGTAGTCTAGCATAGACTTCCACGGGCAACTTCGTCACTGAGACGTTTGTCGGATAGTTTTCGATGTATTCCAATAATTATATGTAGTTTTCGATATTTTCTTTGGGAATGCTGGTATTGATAACTGTAACAGTAGATACTGTGTAAGGGGAGGCCAGGCACAATCGTCAATTCCTAATGCCAGTAGCAATTAGATACAAAGAAACAAACTTCCCCCTCTGAGTTTTCCTTGTGCCCTGAGCATTATTTGAGGGTCCCAGAAGGTTTTGTTGAAACGCCATCGGGTCGTCATGATTTCGCCCGCCTATCCAGGCGGGCCCGATCGCGACCTTCTAGCCCATCCTAAGTCTAGCTTGTGACAATAACACTTACTGATGGTAAGGATCGCCCATCATACGATGTAAAGCAAATTAATAGAAAATTTGCATGATGATGCGTGGTCGAACGAAGTTGAGGTTCTAGAGATTATGGGGTGAAAGTTTGCGGGGATAAAGTCAAAACGCTGATGAATGTGCTCGCGATGATGTTCTTGTTATTGCTTTGTCTATATCAGCACAATCTACTTTGCAGTGATAGTGCAAATACTAATGGATTTACCTACAGCCACGGGCCATGTCAGGCTCCGAGGCTGCAGAGGCAACCCCGCCCAGTTCGGAGCAGGAGACGAGGGCTACGTGCCTTCTTTGTCGCGAGCCTTGTGCGAATAGATCCAGTTTGACGCGGCATCATAACCGTAAACATCCACAGAAAACCTTCCAACAGCCGTTCCCCTGCCCAGAGTGCCAGCGTCCCGAGCTAGGACATCACAAGGAACGTTTCCTTAGGGCAGCACTGTCTGCGGTACACGGTTCGTTCTTCTGTGGATCACCCTCCCAAACAGTAGATCTTGCTGAGGGAATTGTTATCCTCCGTCTGTTGAGGTGGTTCTCTATAGTGACATGTTGAGGCACGTTTGTTGATTTAATCAGAACGAGACGGCACATTCTTCTGTGTACTACTCCGGTCATCCACTTTGTTATTTAAGCCACCTGGGAGCAGTCCAATTCCAAGTAATCACCATCCCTATCTGGAGACACTGAGCACCATTTCTTTCCCCACGCCGTCCAGGAGAGCTAGTAACAGTTCTTGATTAGGCTTCTCGACGATGGATGATGAAATCTTGAGGCTGAGGCGTTTACTTCAAGAAAAACAACAGAAGCTCGAAGATGAACAACGACGACGCGTAGAGGCCGAGGGCCGTGTGCTGAACGAGCAACGCCGACGCGAAGCAGCCGAGGAGGCCGCCCAACCATCGCAACTACAGACGCTCCAGCCGTACCTTGAAGCCTGCCACTCACTGAACCTTGCCATTCCCATCGTGACGGATCCCTCCTCGACTACGCAAGGCGACACGACCAACCCTACCGGCCGTAGATTTACTCAAAGAATCGTCCCATGGCGCGACTTCGCGGCCAGGCAAGCAGGCGTCTGTAACCGTCTCGCGGCCGGCCGTTCATTCTCATCACGGCCTCTCTTCCCGGCCCCTATTCAGCTCAAATATGTCAAGTCCATGCTCTACCCCATCAGCAGTGAGATTGGGTTCCGTATTTTCGAGCATGAAACGGTCGAGAACGCTGTCCGGACGTTGTTTAGCGAGGCATATAGCGACCCAGAGCTTCGGTCCGCGCTCGACCTACAATGCACTATCACGTTCGAAAGCCACACCAACCTTGGGAATAATAACGAGACCACCTCCCAGTCTATGGAACGCATATCTATCAGCAGTGATAATACTGCTGTTAAGCCAGCAACAAAGAAGAAGGTCGCTAAAAGGGCTTATGGCAAGGCGATAGGAAAAGGCAACCGAGCAGATCAGTTCTGCATATATAAGGATGAACAGGGGCGACGCGTACCCGTCATTGCTATCGAGTACAAGCCACCACACAAGCTGGGTCGAGACGAGATTATGGCCGGTCTCCAGTGGGAAATACAGCCCGAGCGGGACGTGATACACAATGACGGCAAGGGCTATAACTTGATGTTGACGAGGCTCGCGGCCGCCGTCGTGACCCAGCTGTTCTCCTATATGATCGGCAAGGGTGTCCAGTATGGGTATGTATGTACCGGTGAGGTTTTCATCTTTCTGTTCATTCCCGACGATCCATCCGTCGTCTACTATCATACATCCGTGCCAGACCTCGACGTGCGAGACGACGATGATAACAGGCTTCATCGCACTGCCGTCGCCCAGGTATTTGCGTTTATCCTCCAGGCCGTCGGTGCTGAGCCGCCATCTGAATCCTGGCACGACGCTGCCGCACAACTCAGTACCTGAGCTGTTGAAGTCGACGACGTGCTGAAGGATATCGAACAAACACCAGAGAAGAACACTCGGGGCAACCCTCCGTACAAGGCGCAGCGCTGGAAAGGTTTCGAGCGGTCACCGACCCGGACACGCTTCAGCTCCGGCTGCAAGCCACCGGAATTAAATCTACAGCCCAAGAGCGACGGAAATTACGATGACTATAATAATGATCATAAATCGGGTCCGGCTTCCCCATCACCTAATCAACCCCCCTACCCCGGCAAGCACACAGCCACGTCAAGGACTCAGACTTCTAGGGACCGAAATCAAAAGCAAACGGGAAAACAGAAGATCCAGGACCGGCCATTCTGCACTCAAAAGTGTCTTCTGGGACTGGCTCGCGGTGGGCTAATTGATACGGCGTGCCCTAACATCGCAGATCACAAAGGTCAACATATCGATCAGCCTGAATTCATCCGGCTTATCCGCGCCCAGCTCGCCACCGATCGTGGTCGCGATGCAGACTGCGCGCCGCTTTATCTGGCCGGTGCGCTTGGAGCGCTCTTCAAGCTGCGGCTATCTTCTCACGGCTATACACTGGTGGCTAAAGGTATGAAAGATCCGGATTATAGTCGCTTACAACATGAGCACGCCATATACAAACAGCTCCAACCAATCCAAGGGGAACACCTGCCCGTGTGCCTCGGCATGACAGACCTGGTCCTACCGTACTATTATGACCAAGGACTGTATACAAACTTCCTATTTCTCAGCTTTGGTGGGCTGCCGCTGGTCGAATGCATCAACCAGATCGACAAGTATGACGTCCTCGATGCCGTCAGAACAGCCTACATGAGTATGCACCAATTACGTGTCTTACACTCCGATGCAGAAATAAGGAATATTTTGTACAACGTACAAACTAAAAAAAATCATGATCGTAGATTTTGAGAGATCGAGATCTGCTGATCGTCAACCCCTGGGCGTGGTTGGTCCTAATATCCTGACAAGCAGACGGAGACGTGGACCAAAAGAGCAAAGTAAAGGCCTCTTTGAGAAGGAACTACAGTTTGTCTTAGGGAAGGTTTCAAAATATATCAATTCACGTAAAGGCGGGTCGATCGTCTTGTAGGCACAATCCTCGGCTTGAGCTTACTAGGCGGAAGCAACATGGTATTGTAGTGGGGTACGCCAGGGAAAATAGGTTACGGAACGGGAAGAAACTTTATTTTCTCTTCTTTAAGAAGCATAGCGACGGAGCAGGACACGAATCCTCTTCTTATTACCCTTGTCGGCTGGTGTAGTTGGTCACTTCGCTGGTAGATAAGTCCCGATTTGAGCCTCGCCCACTTTTTTCGGTGACGAGTCGCGGGTTCGAATCCCGCAGCTGACACACAAGGGGGTTGAGTCAACCCTTACGGCGCGCTGCCCACCTTGTTGACTTCGCCTACCTAGCGATAATAGGGAGATTGGTGCAGTTTAGGATTACGAGCATCCTAGCCAGTTAACTGTCAAGTACTATGTCGGCGGAATATAGCTCGACAGCCGGTCCAGTATTCGAATCGTTAATCCGACCCCTTATCGGACCCCCTCTCGCCGCGATTCTTGCGAGCGTCTAGACCACGTTACGGTCTATCCACTTGAGCGTATGGTTGAGATGTATACGCTCGACGAGAACCCCAATTAGCAGATATTACGGCTTGTCGCGACAAAAAATAGTCGAGCATCTTCTGCACATCAGCAGCATCCCACCCCTGAGGACGAATTTAAGTGCCACATTACCACACTTATCGGTAGTTCAGGCAGGGGTTGTAGCACAGACTTAGGGAGGGACAGGAGGTTTAGTAGTCGTTTGGCTACAAGTTTACCTGTATAACCGCCCGACGCGGCTTAAGGGCCCGCTATATCATCTATAGCCCCTTAAGGGAGTACTTGTAGAGGTACCGAGGGTTAACACCTACGGCGTATTTAATATTTATTTTTTATTTATTTATTATCCTTAATTATCTTCACCTTCACTTTTCAGTTAGTTTATCTTTACGTTCAAGATCCTATTATTCTGCTTTTATCTTATTCTTAACGACTACAGAGGCCTGTGTCTTGCCCTGATCAGAGCAAACCAGTACTAGTAGTAGCTTCAGTTCGACTCCCAGAGCCAGACGTCCTGTTCTGAGAATTATCCCGTCGCTAGTCTCAGAGGCATATCAGAGGCACATCCGACCAACTTACGCACAAGACTTGCAAGCAGTACCACGATCTTCGTCTGATCAGACCAACAGATGGGATCTATTAGTACTGGAGCCGTCTGTTCAGTGTGTTAGGTGGTAGGTATATCCTACTGACCGCCTGACCCCGTTTCAGTATGTATATATGTTTCTCAATCTATAAGCCGGGCTCGCATAGAAGGAAGCATATCATAGTTTATAATGAAACTGTCAAGTAATACCCCTGATGAAGCATGTCGAGCGGATCTTCTGATCCTCTATTAGCTGGTAGTCTGGTACATAAGACTGGCCAAAGCTTTACCCGTCGGTACAGGCAGTTCGGCCTAAGCTTTCATCGTGCAATCATCACAGATTCTACCATGCTGTTTCCATGATCTCCGTAGTACTTTGACCCCAAAACCTTGGTGGTTAGGATCGTTACGCGCGAAATGACAATATGACTTGAGTTTAACAACGGAATGTTTACATTCAAATAGGAATTCTTCGAAGTCGCACATTTGGTGTAAGCTAAGTGTTATCATGCGGCTCGGAGGTAAAGATATGAGCAAGACTTGACCGTGATTGATGACCCGCAATGTTCCTGTTCCTCCTGAACTATATTTGGAGATTTCTAGACGTTTGCTTCTTTATGTTTAGTTGCATGTTGTAAATTTTGTGACTGATCCTTCCGTTAGATACTACTCGACTGCATCGTCGATGAGGTGCCTGCAACCCGTTCATAAATATTCCCGGTTGACAGGGAGCCTAGCCACATATCTGTGTGTCTGGGCCTATTCAACAAAACTAGTCAAGCTGGACGATTATGTTTTGGCGTCACTTCTTTTTGTTTGTCTTCGCCATCCATGCCTAACCTTGTTTTACTTCCTTTTACTTGGGAGAAGCACAAGCACAAGTAGCCACTTTTGGTTTTAACGGTACAATGTGCCTAGAACATAGGTCGGAATATAGTAGGGGTGACAAGCAAGGCACGTTGGGTCTAGGAATTCTCACAGTACCATAATAAAATATTTCAGAGGCATGTAACCATGCTCTACATTCTTTCGACCGTACATATGCCTAAATCATATGCGCTGGGTTTTCGGGCTACATAGGCTAAAGTATCTCAAAATATCGGTGGATACTACGACCCAGCTAAATGACTATACCTTGACGCTCAAAAAGAAGCTCGAAAAGAAGCTTGAAAGGTATCTACGACTAAATAGAGCGCCTGACTTGGCTTTATCTGCAGTGTCTGTCTATGAGCGCAGCGTCGGTCTTATCTGCACGTTGCGGCTGGATAGCTCTCAAAATTGAATTTCCTCTTCGCCGTATGAGAGAAGTACACAGCAGTTCAAGATGCCACTATAGTACCTACAGAGCCTCAGGGTTAATATCTTCAGGGGGGCCTGTCAGGGGTATGTTGAGGATTGGAAATCATTCAAGCAACAGGAAAGCTGGCAAAACCCATCAATGGGCACGAGCCTCCACACCATCTACGCATATAATGGACTTGCAAACTCCTAAATCTACTGATACTGTTCCTTCCTATCGGCCTAATCTGCCTGACAGCCCCGATTGCGAAACGGCTCATAGCGGCGGTTGAGAGCTTTGCGGCCGTAAAGGCATGATGCCTCCGTCCGAATTCGAGGGCGTTGAATCTGTCGACTCGAAATTGGTTGCTCCCATTTATACAGCTCGGAACACTCCTCCGGTACGGCCAGGCTGGCAGCAGATGCTCCAGATAAGCGAGGAGGAAGACTAGAACCAGGAAGTTGGTACATAAGTCGTGAGCCGATGGATAGTTGTTAGAATTTCAAAAATTACGATGAAGGCCTTGGTTGTTGAAAACCATAGCGGCTATTATAAGTAGAGATGAGTGGCAATGACGTCAATTGCGACACCCATGCCAGCCAGGGTGTAACGCCTATGGGTGTGGGGATGGACCCCAGGTTGAGCTAGACGGAGAAGCAATGCTATATCCAGTCATCACCGCCTGTGGGCCACTAAAGATTTTGTGACGAAATCCCAGACGCCCGCGCCGTTGGTGGAGGAAATGTAAGCGCTCCTGCACGACGGGAACCCCTGCGTGCCTTGGACTCTGTCCCTCTGTCCCCTCTGTCTCCTGTGTCTCCTATATCTCCTGTGCCTCGAAGCCAGAGTCGAACGCAAAGGGGCTGCAATCATGGTTTCTCACTTTCATATTGCCAATCTAGGTGAACCAGGGAAGTATCGACTCCAGAAGGATAAAGCTTTTATAGGCTTCTTGGTGCCTGAGGGAACCCATTGGGCGAAAATCGAAATACACGTGCAACCATTCGTCTTGGCCAAGGTGCGAGCCGAACGGTTTACTGTTTGCCGGCCGTACACTTTTCCATGCTGTAAAGACGCGCCATCGACGGCCATCGTTCATGAACACATTACCAATTTTTATGCAGGTCTTCCTGCTGGCGATTGGATCAATGCCGGGTAAGATAGCCGGGCAACATAGGATAGCTTCTAAGGTCTCTGGCTTGACTTGTGGGCAACAACGAGATGAGATTCTCGCACACCTCAAATACCAGTGGGCTGTCGAATCCCAGTCGGTTATCAAGGATAACTAACAAAATGGATCAATCAAAACACCCGATATGATGGCCAGCGAAGACGCTTCGTGCAACCTGACCAGTGGCTGTAATCCAGCAATCAGATGGTTACGTTAAGTGATCTAACCTTCAGTGACAGATAGGTAGTAAAACGGACTGACACTTGTAATAGTCCCACTAAGCCCTGTCTCACATGACCCCGCGTACCGCCCAAACAAAGTTCAATAGAACAGCACTCGCTCTTGAGTATCATCAGTCGCTAATAAAACTCGCAAATACGTTAGCCATGGATTTACCAGACATGTCCATCACTCAGATGGATTTTGTAGCAGCTTCCTTTTTCGAGGCCCCAACTAACGCCTCGTCTACTCCACCACAACTACCCACACCGGCTACAGTTCGTAAGGAGTAGGAGGCATAGGCGTATCCTAAAGCCGTCAGGTTTGATGTTTGAATCTTATAGTCAAATTTGGGGATTCTTGTTCTATTAGGCTCGAAGAAGCGCAAACAAGGCAAGCGATCCGTCAGCTATTCCCAAACAACGAAGTCCCTGTACCCGAACTTTTTAGGTGGAGAGTTGATCAAGGTGAAAACTTCATCTATATGTGCCTCGCTGAAGGCTTGACGTTCTGGGAAAGTTGGCCGTCGCTTACTCAAGCTGAGAAAGTGTCACTACGTGATCAGTTGAAACAGATAGTTGCAACTCTAAGGCGACCACGGCAGAATCCGTTGACCCAGTTTGTCGGTACATATTCCATATACCTTTGACTTCACGTAAATACTGAATTTAGCTCCGGCTCTACAAATGGCGGGCGGGTTCAGGACTTTTACTCCCGCCTCGACTACGAGGCCGGTCCTTTTGCTACAGTTAAGGTCTTTCATAACTGGGTACAAGATGCCGCATTTTGGTTATCACCTACATCAACAAGACCCCCGGATCCATACTGAGCCTACCTTCCTGACACATGCGATATCTGCTTAACCCACGGGGATCTTAACCTCGGGAACATCATAGTATCAGGTACCCCTGGATCATGAAAGATTGCTGCTATTTTGGACTGGGAACAGGCAGGATGGTATCCTGAATATTAGGAGTACTGTAAGGCGCTCGTTGCTGAGCGTTATTGGCATGAATGGCGTGAATCTGGGTGGTCTGAGACCTTCATGAAACCTTACGCAGATGAGTCGATCACCTTCTCGGAGTACTGGATGTGGAGGCGCCCATGATCCTTGGATTCGTTGTAGATGTGGAAAATCGCAATATGTACGGAGCTATCCATACTAAACTTCGCTCTATATATTCCGTCCCCCCTGCCCAGCCGGCCGAAGTCCTACCTCGTAAGTAGGCGGGTCGCGCTGTGCCTGTGTGAGTTCGACGGCCTCGGGGCTGATATAGTTTTTGGTACGCAAGTGTGAGATAATCTGTAGTCCACTCTTGACATCGCCTGTTGGAAGTCTGGCATTGCTAGTTAAAAACATGTTGAGTATAAAATCCAGGCGTCCAAAACTCACATCGTCGACTGGGGCCATGAAGTTCTGGCTTATTCCTGGAGCACGGATTTTGGAGGGTTTCATTATTCAGTATTCCTGTAGCTTCGTTGTCCTTCGCCTCACCGAACAAGCCCTATAATAGTGCACAAGACGGCGCTAAAAGGCAGAACCCAGGATGTCCGGGGCGCTTGGGTAGGATGGCATTGATATGATTGATCAATCACAGTTGCGAAAAGGGATATTGGACAAGGCCTCCATGAGCGGTGGGGCTTGAAGTTGGTCCCTATGTCAGCTATCAGGAAGCCATTCAAGGGTTCGGTTACCCGTACTTGTTTATCGCTATAGGTCAAACAGTTACAACAATTACAACAACGCAACCGCAAAGTATTTTCACATAATACGTGGCCCGTTGTTGGACCATGATGGCCAATATAGCCGCGTTGCCGGCTTAGCAGGCCGCTCAAACAGATCATGAACTTAACAGTGCCCCAGGACTATTCCCCAACATGCCATATAACTTCTGGCCGTCTAAGAGCATCGATCATTTCTACGTACATAAGGCCATTATGGCCACAGTGCAATCTTTTGAATAGCTCGAGAAGACATGGATATACACACCTTCAGAGCACACAATCTGTACAATCAGTCCGATTCCTGTGAAGAGACTCCGGAGACAAATTCGAGTTGAGAATTGGCTGTTAAGTAGCCAATCAGCAACCTTACGTTATCTTCAAACTGGTACTGGTCGCAAAAGTCGGTCCTATTCACCCCAAAATTAGTACTGGTTGGTGGGATCCGGGCGGTTGAGGATAAGGGGCTTTCTGGGGATTCTACGGATGATGCGCAGCCGATTTTTAGTTTGCAGGTTGCGAAACAGGCGTACAGACTGGGTAAGTGGTTGGAGGCTATCGTAGCTGCTGTCTGAGTTGGCAACTTGGGGCCTGTGCAATAGGTTGGGGTCTAGGACAGATGTTAAGAATTGATAATGATTTACATGTTTATGAGCACGATGAATAGTTGTCTATAAGCATCCATTTCGGTTATGACACAATCTAGGGTTGCCATCATTAAACCAGTCTAGAATCACATGGGGTATTGTTCCAACACCGAGCTATGCCATGTCGACAGGCTTCTCTTCCTCTTCCTCGCCACCTCTTACTTGGCCCCATTCATGACTTCTCTCAACATAGGCCCGATCTGCTTCCGACCATCCTTCACTTGGCCCTGCTTCCAGCACCTCCTCCACCCTCCCTCGCCCTCATCCCCGTCAGAATCCAGCTTCCCATCATCCCAGCTCTCTAACTCCAGCTCTTTTCCGAACTTCCTCTCAAACTCCCTCGCAGCAGGAATCCCCGCCGCCGTCCGACCCCAAACTAGCAACTCCCTCTGAAACACCCCCTCCGTCCGAAAAGCCGTCAAAACCGCCACCAGATCCACCTTCTTCTCCTCGGCCCACTTCCCCAGCGTCTCGACCAAGGCCTCCTCCGCACCCTCACCCGCCTTCTCCACCAAAAACCTAAAGTCCTGCGGCGCCGACGAAGTGCCCAGCTTCAGCGCCCCCTCATCCCACTCCTTATAGTCCTTCCGAAACACGTCTCTGAGCGACAACGATGCTATGTCCTCTTTAAGATGCGAGATGCGCGTCCAAAAGGCGCTTCTCTCATAAATGCCATCGTCGCTACTTTTCATATTCGCGAGCTTGTACTCCAGGTACTCCACAGCGCCGACGTCGTGCTCCGTCGTCTTGTTCTTGTCTGTGAGGTTCGTCGTGTCGACCAGAATGGGTCCGAGTCCCAAATACGCAAGCTGCGCGTCGATTTGCTCGTCCGTGGACAACGCATCCCAGGCTGAGCGGCAGTGTTCTGTGACTAGGCTGGCGCAGCTGCCTGTTTTCTCGATGATGCGGGTCGCGCTGTCGCGGGGCACTTTAGATTCGTCGGCGTGGTGGTCGATGCAGCCCACGACCCTACTGCCGTAGAGCTCGCCCAAGGAGCCCGTCATGGCATTGTGGTCCACGAGTAGCCATTCGGTATCCTCGGCTTTCAGGGCCTCGGGGTGGGGGAGCTCGGTCAGGGTCAGGATGTCGGAAGGGTGCGCAGCGGCGGAGCGCAGGACGGAGGTAAATTCGGGGCGCAGGGTGAGATCATCGCGGGGCAGGTTGCAGAGGGGGACGTGCAGGGCGTGAGGCGGGGTGTGGGTGCGTAGGTAGGCTAGCAGAAGGGCTGAACAGAGAGAGTCGAGGTCTGGGGGGTAGATCAGCCAATTGGTCAAGTTGTATAAACCAGGGGGTGGTGCATACCAGCCGACTCATTGCCCACCACAAAGGTCACAGGCGCTGTTCGTTTCGATGGAGGGGCTGTAAGTGCCGCGCGAGCCGTTGCCAGGAATGCCTGTAGCGAGGTTCGGGGGGGCATGCTGGCCATTTGGTGTTGTTGATATGATTGGTTCTGGGCTGGTTCCATGCGAAGTATCGATTGCCAAGGATATATAGAAAACTGTGACTTGCTTGGATTGACAGAGTCGCCAGTTGGAAGCTTTCACATGCCCCGCCAACATTGTGAGTACGTCAGAGTAAACCGTGTTACAACGAACGAGTCGGTATTATGCATTTAAGCCGGTATCCGGCTATACGACATCGATTCTAGTCTGCCAAGACCAATAGACCAATTTGATGGCACTCAATAGCAACTCTTTCCGATGCAGATATAGCTAGTTGTGTGATCACGTTAAAGTAATCCCACCCACTGTACCTACTCGTACACGGCATTCAACTGTCGGCATGTGGCAAAGCTGCCTAAGGACGGACGGATTTTACTTTCACCCACCTTCTCAAGTATGAAGCTTGTACAGCAACGCACCTATTTTATGAGAGGGGCCATATCGATTTGTAGAGAGGCAGCCGGTTGGTGAGACTTGTGTTGGTAAGGACGAGTTAACTCTACATTTCAACTCAACTGGATTATCCACTGGAAGATTTGTCAGAGAAGCCCGATAAATGAATAAAATGTGCTAGTAATCTAGCTCCAACCCACCTCAGCCCTATATATGTATGTGTCGTGATCTCTGAGCCCCAGACCTGTACGAAATGTGCCGCTGTCAGGTAAGGTCGATATGGGGTCGTTTTATTTTCAGATCGGAGGGCTAGTTAAGGAAGTGTGGCTTGGTGAAGAGGGGTGGGTGGACTGGGACGTGATCCCGATGGCGTGAAAAAAGACGGATTTGCTTGAGTGGGAGCAGGTTGGTTAGTTTTGCTCCAGATGGGCAAAGACGTGAGGCGAGATAGAGGGAATAAGAAGAAGAGAAGATACCCGTGGATCTATACAAATGAAATAATTGAGCGTATGACTTTTGTTTTACCCTACTTTCTTGCCTGGATTGCATTTCGTTTGGCCGTTTCCAACTTAATATACGAAGGCGTAAATTTGTCTTCCATTGTCTTGAAAGTCTATTATCATTATTTCAGAGACTCAGAAGTCACATCTTGAGTAGTAGAGTACTATACTTGGAGGTACACCGGAATCGCACGTATATGTAAATGAGTATCTCACAGAATTATACAGTATGCAATGTTAAGTTGCTGTTGTCCACGGTACCGCCGGCGGCGGGGGGAGGTTCCCCCAGGTCCTGTACCTTTTTGTTCGTCACTTGGAGCTATCTTCATGGTAATGAGATAGTTGGCCGATTGCGCAAATTTTGACCACAACGCACTGTGTTCAATAAGGAAAGACCCCCTTACAGAAATTATTGTTCTTACGAGCCCGTCAAGCATAGGGACGATGAGATAAAAATAGGGGTAGCCATAGAAGTGGAAGACAACGCAGGGGGAAGAAAGGGATTACGATAGAAGAGGCCGGCTTCTAGACTTGAAGACCCTCGCATCTCATTCGCTTAGGTACTCTATGCCTTGCTAGGCTGATTGATATACAAGATGGAATCTGGCGAATCGACGTTGTGCCAAGTGTACCGCAAAGGGGAGCAGCTGTCTGAATCACAAGTACACGACTGTACCCCTTTGCAAACCACGGACGGCATTTGTACTGCATCGTCGCTTTAAGTAGCACACCCAATTCATATTCAAATACAGGTTCCATTCGGTGTGCACCACACTATCCTACGTCTATTTCTTCGTTATGCCGGGGGATCCTCCACCTCACCCACACCGTCCGTCTTCACCTTCGCCTCAACCTTTGCCTCAACCTCCACCTTCATTATCGATCCCATTATCCCCTCCTTCGACATCCTTGCCTCCCACTTCTGACCCCACCCCTCCAACCTTTCCAGCCCTCTCAGAACCGCCAACGGGTTGAAAGGTCTCCAGCCTTACTGAAACACAAAAATGACTCCGGACCGGTCGACCGATACCGTCATGGTGTACGGCACCTCGAGGACGATCACGTCGAGGATGGAGTCCAGATGGCTTCTAAGCAGCCTGGCCTGCTCGGCTGAGATTACAGTGTGCCGCGGTGGCTTCTCACGGCCCTTCTTCGCTGGCGGCGTTACTGCTGTAGGTGAATAATCGCCGCTGTTATTCTTATTATTGCCGCCTTTTTGTTCCCCACCGGTCGTTGAGGATGCAGAAGCAGTACTCTTGGGCATGCGCTCCACGTTCAGCGTCAAGCCCGGGTTATTGGGGCGATATGTGATTTGTAAAGACGGACTTGGAGTCCTCGTTTGGTGAGCCGCTGAACACGCACGACTGCTCGATGCGATTCAGATCCCAGAACCTTAGTTGCTTGTCCGCAGCCCCCGTAATAATATACCCATGCCGCACGTCGCGCTGCTCCTCCATGGAAGCACTCCCAACAATCATAGCCCTGATGCAACGATCGGCGGCACTCGCAGACGGCTCGATGTTAGTCGCAAACCGACCCAACATACCCTCGGGTTTGTCTTCATCAACGTCCCAGCCTACGTAGTCACGCGGTCCGTCCTTGGACGAGGAGCCAGTGGCGCGGTATATCTCCCGACACGTCGCCTTCTCGATATCCCAAACCGTCACCTCGGCCAAGCCCGTCCCACCCGCCACACAGACCCATTTGCCCCGGCCCCTACTGGGGTGCAGAGCGAGGCGATATATGGGCGACTTGCCCGGGATCCCCCAGCTTTTGACGCGAAGCTTGAAGCGAAGATCCCAGAGATCTAGCACGCCATGAGAAGTACCCAGGAGTAGCCAGAACCTCTTACGATCGACTACGAAGCAGGTTGGCGTGCCGTGATGGACGGGATTCTCGAGCGCGTAAAGGGGTGTCATGGTACGCAGGTCGATAGCAACCACGCGTGAGCGAGTTGTAGCGAGGAGGAGGACGGAATGAAGCTCGAGCTTGAAATGTGTGCACCAAACAGCATATTCCCCTTTTGGTAGCTGGTACTCGCGGAGAAGTCGGAGTTGCATGTATTTTGTCGATGACGCCGACGGACTGGCAACGACTTTCACAATGTGTACAGTGCCATCCGTCGAGCAGCTCACGAAACAGTGCGTATGTTCGATGAAGCAAAGCGCAACGACCTTGCCGCCGAGCGGGTGCTTGTGCGTTTGTCGCGCGCGGTGAGAGACATTACGCTCAAGCCGCGACGAGTCCCACACTTTCACTGTACCATCGTCACCACCGGTTATAAAGAACATGTGATCAGGAGACGCAACGACGCGATTGATGGCCCCCGTATGCTCAGCAAAGGTTGCAACTAGTTTCCCAGTGGGCCTCCAGGCCTCATCTACTCCCTGTGAGGTGTGCCTAGTGGTGTTTTGTCGCCGAGATGGTGGCGTGACAAGAGGGCCAAATTCAGCAATGTCGTGTGGGTAGTTATCGAAGTACATGCCGTCCAACATCTTCATAATATTGGGATCGCTGCCTTCGTAAGAATGAGCCACTTTCCTCTTTGGCCCACTTTCACCGTTCTCGCCTATCTTCTCCGGGAGTGTTATCCTCGGTGGTGGATTCTGAGCAAAAGGCCCTTCAACCTGCCCAAACGCGTTGGTTTCCGTGGTCCCGGTTTCGGGAACAGATCTGTTGCTGTCCTTTCGATTCAACAAGTCAAGTGCACTTGACTGATGACGGATCGCACGGCGGGCTGAGTAAGGTCGATCTTGTGAAGACGTTTCGTCGTCCCTAACTGACGCACGTCCCCGCGAGGTCGACGATGCTCGTCTCGCATCGTCAAAGCTCGCACGGCCGCCTGTAGGGGATGACGGTTGGGTGTGTGTAGGCGATAGTGAAGCCCTGCTTTCTATATTCTGCGGCGATACAGCACCGCCTGTGCTGCTCATCCTTGTGCGGTGGCTGTTCAAGGCAGCTCGCCGCCGTCTGCCTACTGGTTCGTCAATGGTCATCGATGCATCGAGAAGAGCATCGGCAATGGTATAAGGACCTTCGTCCGGACCCGCTTGTGTTCTAGGTTGCTGTGTAGGTTCGCCGGGAGGCACTGTTTCGTCGAACATGACATTCTGTATTTTGGTCGATTTGATGGTTCGCACATTCACGATGTCGCCGAGCCCCTTTGATGGAGCATCCGAAGCCAACAAGTCTCGACCTCTCATTTGACTGAGTCGCCAAATGAACTCTCTTAGAACAAGAAGCTTGAACTCGTCCTCTTGTGCCATGCCATGGTTACGCAACCGTGCAAGCCACTGCTCATCTTCATCGTTCTTCAACACCTTGCTCATGAAAATAGGTTGCGACTCTCGCGAGGACTTCATGGCTATGCCTGTAGACCCCATGTTGAACATGGATTGTTTCTGTTTCTGTATTGCCTTCCAAAACAAGCCCTTCTCGGCTTTCTGGGCCCACACCAGAGCCTGATCAAACACAGTTCGGGATAACGGTTTCTTTAACGCGTCGAGGAGCCCAAGTTCGGAGAAGTCAGGGATTATGGCGCCTTTCAGGAAAGGCTGAACTTGCGGCAATATCAAGCACCTGATTTGCGCGGGTGATAGGAGCTTCGCCGCGCTCGACAAATACTCTGCTGCCGATTCTCGGATCCATAGGTTCGGGTGCATGGTGAAGCGACCCACCACATCCACCAGTTCCCATATCTTTGGTTTGGACAGCAGACCGAGCTTGGCCAGCTCTGCTAAAGAATGCAGCGCTGCTTGCACAACATGCTCCTCAGGGTCCGTCAGAGCCTGGACCATTAGGGGCAGGTTAAATTCTTCCAAACTTGTGCTGCCGAGAAACGTAGCAATACCGACAACCGTATCGAAAAAGGCGCATTTCAGCATCCAGTCTCGATCGTTCAGGTAGGTATTCAAGTGAGTTAGTAGAATATCATTCGATTCAGCACTTCCAAAGAACATGCAAAGCTCCGGGACTGAGCTGAGGAATGCCCGGCGAACCGATGCGTCCGAGTCTTCGACCAAAGCTTTTGCGTGCACCTCAAATAGTTCTACAAGCTCCCGTTGCGCGTTGTCAAACAAATTGTCAAAGGCAGCATCATCACTCCCGGCTTCAACCTCGGGATCAGCGGCAGAAATGGATCCTTCCGCTCTCAGAATGGCAGTCATCTCCAAAAACCTAGAGGCTGTCGTTGCTAGGCTCCCCAGACAAGATGCATATGTAGCCCTGACTAAAAGAGTTGGCTCTCTGCGCTCTTTTCCTAGAACAGGCTGTCGGGAAGCGCCTGACAGAAACACCTGCATCCTGGGCATGATGTATTCTGGCAGGACGTGTGCATTGACAGGTGTGACGACTGTCACCATGGCCAGAAGCTGCGTCACCGCACGAACCGCAGCGATAGCCACGATATCAGAGTCGTCATTGAGCAAAGTCATCAAATAGGGAAGGACTCTGTCCAACTTGGCCTCGTCTGTCAATCGTTCCGAGAATGCCAGCAAAACGTCACATGCTCGTATCTTTGATGCTGCCCGGGCCGTATTACGGAGCGACCCAGCAACCAATGTGAGAAAGATCAAGGTCCCATCATCCGCAGAGGGTTGTGTTGTGATAGATGTGTAGTGCTCATTGTTGGGTATGTTGAGCCTCACCGGGAGAAGGCCGAGTCCTAACCTGGGGGTGAAATGTGACAACTGTGTTGAAGTCTCCTTGGTATCGGAATAACCCAGGAAGTACGAGATCTTATCGAAGTCGTAGTAAACCCGGTCTATTCGCTCATCGGCTTCGCCAAGGTTCTTCGACATTCCCGAGATGGGCGCCCGCCCAGACGTAAGATCTGTAACCGACTCCATATACTGATGAAGGGGGTTGTAGAAATATTCGGGAAATACCTTTCCCTTGTAGACATCCAAGTACTGTTCAGCACAATACCGTTTCTCAGGGTCCAGCGCCACCATGCTCGAGAGCATTTCCCGCAGGCCTTGATCTGGTATCCTGCTAAGATGCGAGATAACGGGATCATATTCGCCACGGCGGTACTTGTAAAGCTGGCTGAGGTGGAAGATGGGGGTCTCCAGGAACAGTTCTGCAATAACACAGCCAGCACTGAATATGTCCATGGCCCAAGTAATCCCGTCGCTGTCCTCTGCATCCTCCCCAGGGGCAAGAAATCTTTCTGGCGCGATGTAGCATGTCCGGCGACTTGATATGTCGAAGAAATATGAATACAACGCCGGGTTGTTGTCGGGAAGGCGCGAGGGCTTGAAGCTACCGGTGAAGTCAGACAGATAGACCCAGTTCCAGGAGGTGACGAGTATGTTCTCCGTTTTGATATCTCCGTGGTAAACATCCCTGGCGTGGCAGTCGCGCAAAGCGCATAGAAGCTGGAAAGATATCCATTTCTTCTCGATATCCTCCAGGAAGGGTCTTGTGGATAGGCGATCGTATAGGGAGCTATAAAGGTACTGTCGAATAAGATAGGCGTTCATCTCGGTCTCGAAGGCGCGCTCGTAGCCCAGGGCGTTTGGAACGTCTCTCAGTTTGTCTCGTTCGACTTTCTATAGGTTTAGCATATGAAATACCTGGTCTGAAAGTAAACTGTTACCTACGCAGTATCTTGTTGCCATACGACTGCAAGGACATGGGCGTGTGGGGCTTTACAGTGACCTTGACGAGGACTAGACCATCGTAATTCCGAGCTCGGATGCTTTTCATAAAGCGAGCGCTTCCGAGGGACCTCTCGTGGACGAGGTCTGACAGTTCTGGGACGTCGATGCCGGCAGAGCCAGCATACGGCGTCGTGAGAGAGTAGCTCTGCCCCATGATGGATGCCGAGTTCACAGGTACCAACGGGCCTACCTGGGAAGTGTGCTTGCCGGGTCACAGCTCATCTTGGACCTACCCCTAAGAACTGTCGCTTGCACACGACTGTCGGTGTTCTAGGCCTGTTTCAATTAAAACAACAATATCTGAGTCGATTGTGGAGAGGACAAGGCAGAAATGCGAGGCTGTGATGACATAGAGGTTCGCTGCGATTACAGGCTGCAGCACCAGCAGCTCAGCAGCTCCCCGTCTAACCGCAAGTAAAGTTGGGGGCTGCAAGTGGGATCCACTGTTGTGCACGGTCCATCGATCTACTATCAGGTACGTACCCTTCCACTGAACTCAACCTTGAAGCAGCACCCACTAGAACTTGAAGACAAAGAGTTTCCTAGAGTGAGATTGTTTTCTTGTTAAAATGATCGAGTAACCAATTACTTACTCAAGTAGCCATTGGCCTGGCAATCCTCTAAACTTGCTGAAGGTACAATAGTCAGCTCTAAATCTACAAGCTATGAGATGAGAGTTATTTTGAGTCACTTTGGTTCACTGATGCATATTCTCTTATTCTTTACTCGCCTGTCAGATCACCACTACACCATCACCAGATCCTCGGGTTCAGCACCTAAAAATATCAATGAATACGTAGGTTCACCATCCGTTCGTGCATCTTAATTCGAACTATTACAACACCTAGGTAATGTTAAGTTTCCTTTGCATCATTATTGAGATACACAATGACATATTTACCCTGGTCCAGGGTCCGTATCTCTTGGTCGTGGTCTATATACTTACCGAAACATTATACATCGAAACACTATGTCCCCATGGTAATTGGCAGATCGGGCTGATTTGAAAAGTCTCTCTGCAGCACCTTCATTCAAGGAACCGGTACTTCCCGTACCATCTTCATGTAACCCATGGTCCTTGCGAACCCGGTCGTTTGTTCATATACTTAATTTCGCCAATCGAGCTGCGCCCACCTCATTGGACTCCATGGCCTCCCTCTGATTTAGCAATCTTGGAGAGTTTCAAGGTTGGGTGCTGAAACTGTTTCCAGAAAATCCCAGGCATAGCTCACCGCTGATCCTGGGACGGTACGAAATGTTCATCACCAACAAGTGATTGGAAGCTAACTTTCTCTGCATTCAACTAATTGAGATGTGGCAGTTAAGATATTGACAGGGGCCCCCTTCAAGACATCTCTATGCTCGGTAGCGTAACAGCTCTCCGTGGCAATCGTGAAGACATATCCCAAATCTTCAAGCCTCGTCCCCTTGTCTTCAAGTATGTAGGTTTGCAGGTTGCATGACGTACAGCTTCCTCTCTTATGAACCCCCAAAAGTCCCCCCTTCGAAGCCGAACGTAATCACGCGGCAAGCGGCCCTCCCCGACACCATGCGCATCGAAAAACGCTTCTTGCTGGCCAAGTGGGTATATAAAGAACAACGAAGTAAAAGGGGAGGGCACAATGCGTCATCGCCATATTAGGAGTGATCCAATCGCGTCTCTTCATTTCGTCCAGCTTGCCGCTGATAAGCTGCAGAGCACAACCGTCGGAGTAGAGGCCAAAAGCTCGCGGTCCAAGTCGTGATCCGAGGCGAAGCGGTCCGAAATGAATTAAATTAGGTCGTCTAGAACTGAAGGCATTAAGCGTGTCCGCAAAAATGCAAACTGTCGTATCTATGTGCAGGTGAGGGATTGTGTGGATAAGAGCGCAGCACAAAGTCGCAATGCTGTAAACAAGATCGGATTGGTGTCGTGAGGTGGTCCACGGCCGAGAGTGCAAACCAAAAGCCCTGAACGCCGAAGCAATGCGAATAAAACACCGCCCTGACTCAGGACTAAATCCAGAGATGCGTGAAATACCAGGTCATCATATGGCTCAAGTAAGTTGGCTGCCTTGGTGGGCGCTGGATGCGGTTTCTGTTGAGCCGTCTCCCTCTATGGTTTTCCTCCAATGTTCGGGCAGGCACACGCAAACAAGCGGGAATGCTTTGATCTCACCAGTGACTGGAGGAGAGGTATCACGTCCACGGCCCGACGTGTTGGAAACACCACTGTCCCTTTGAGCTTGTCGTCTAGCTTCCCATTCATCAGCGTGCTCCTCCATCATGACGCCTGTAGCCCAGCCATCATCCCATATGCCAACCACCTTGAGCATGTCGCCGCGCTCCAGGGCGAACTCGTCTGCGGCACGGGGTTGATAGGCCCAAAGAACAGCCACGCGATCTCCGGGGTGAATGTCGTCTTGTGAGTAATAGTCCTTGAAGAATGGCAGCTGCTCAGACTGTTGGCTGGCAACCCCCTGAGGCGACGACATTCCGCCAGCACTAGTGGGGGACTGAGCATCCTCACCAGCCATTATCGAGTTGCTCGACAATGAGCCATTCCTACGGCTTGTTGGTGGTGGTCGCAAGACACCCATGCGAGTCTCTGATTCGGGACTGTCTCCAGATATGGATGATGAGAGATTATCACCTCTCCTTCTTCCCGTCATGTATCCTGCCGCCGCGCCGGCAGTAGCAGCGCCTGCGGATCCCCCTCGTCTGGACTCTCCTCGCCTGGACTCTCCTCGTCGGGAATCGCCGGGCCTCGAGGGTGAATCTCCCGAGTGACCCTCCAGTGCAGACATGCGTGCTATCCTCCCACCAGGAAGAATTTCGTATCCTTGTGGCGGAGTCGGTGGTGGAAGCTGTGTGGTTGACTGCCCTTTCCTAGAAGGCGAGGGTTGGTTGAAGATGCTACCCTTTTGGCTGGAGTTCCTGCGGCGTGCCAACCTAAGACAAATGAATACGAGGAAGGCGAGCAGGGCAACACCAATCACTGAACCCACAACGATGCCCGCGATGGCACCGCCGGACAGGCCATTGTTAGTATTCCCTGTGGCAGGCACAGCAGTACCTGTCGCAGTCGATGTCGCAGTAGCAGTGAAGGTGACCGACGGCCTAATGCTGGGTAACACCACCCCGGCACACCGGGTCTCGGCGTTGGAGTTGTAGCAGCACGTGTCTGTGGAATTGATCCCCCCCGACGCGCAGTATGTGCAAAGACCAATGGTGCTATTGCCGTATCCGCAATTGAGTGGTTCATTATCAATTCCGTCGATGCAGTTTGCAGTCGAAAGTGAATTAGCTGGCAGAGCGCAATTCGTGAAGTCGGCTCTTATCTGACTTTGGTTGTTGCTGCTGGGATCCGAGCAGATATTGCTGTCCGCCACGACGTACGCTTCACTCTCGGCAAATTGAGCCTTCTCATGGTCAGTGATTTGAAGGCACGAATCAGACTTCGACCAGACTCACGCAAGATTCAGCGCAAAGTGGCTTCGCAGCTGTGCCAGACAAATCGCAATCGTCGATTGAATTTTGAACAATGGCATTACAAATGACCGAGGTTGTAAATCGTGCATACAACTCAGTTGTATTGGTGAGATCGACGTTATTACACCCGAGTAGTGTTTGGTACCTGAATGATGACTTAGTAAGAGCATAAGCTCGAGGAGATCAGAGTCCACTCACTTCTCTTGGACATAGCTGGTTTGGACAAACGAACTCAATTGTTCATCAAACGAAGCGGTATCTGAGACGTATTGGAGGAAGGGGCTGCAAGCGCATGAGTTAGGGATAACCATCGAACATCTACGTGAGTTTCACGCCAAGCGCAACTCACTATAGTCCCACGAGATAGTCGCTGGTCGACACGTAAGCCTCCTGGAAAGCTGAGCATTGCGTGGAATTCGACAATGTGTAGCATTCGGCCGTGACAGTTGGCGTCACTGACAAAAGCGATAAAAGCAGCGCTCCTGTTGTCGTTTTCCGGTAGTTGCCCGTCCGCCGCCTTACTGTGGGTCTCGCTGACTTCGAACCTGCCACTACCCTTTGACTGCCGGATACCCCCAAGTCTGCCATGGCAACCCCGTCGGAGGTCCAATTCTTGCCAACGCTTGTGATCAGTGGCGCGGTGAATGCATGCTGATCTGACCCTATCATTGCTCAATGCCGCATGCTACTCAATATCGAAACTTGCGAGCGGAAGCTGTCAGATGGTTGTTGGCGAGGTATCGACAACAAGAGCAGGGTATGCTGGTTGTTGTTGTTGTTTTCGGTGTTTTTTTTTTCAGATGTTCGGTCTGTGTAATAGTCGTTAACCGTAGCCGTAACCAAAAATCTCTTGGCAATTGAGTCAATTGAACCAAAAAGAGGATGTGGAATGTTGTTGTGCGATGTTGACGACGTAGGTGTTGACTTGAATTATTAGTTGAAGTAGAGGGTGAAGTAGGCTCTGTCGGGTATTTCAATAGGTATGAATGAGTGGCTGCAGTTGGAGAAGGCAGGACTGGAAAGAACGTGGGTCGCGGGCGGCAATGACAATCGGAAGCTCCCATAGGACGACGGATCAGTAGGTCGGTCGGTCGTGGTTGACTTGCTGCGTGTGTGGACTTTCAATGCACGATGCTGGATAGGACAGGACCACCGCACGCATTAGACACGCAGCTGCTGCTGACGGGTGGGATGGGGCGTATGTCCGTTGGATTGCTCCAGTGGTTTCGAAGTATGTATATATTTGGGACTAGGGGCAGTTTATACAATACTCGAAAAGAAAAACCACGCGAATCATGAGGGGAAATAGCAAAACAAGAAACAAGAAAGAACGTAACGGGTGACCAGCGGTGTGGTGCGGCAGTGGAACGGCCGATCTGGATGGGAGGATTGAGAAAAGAGGTCGAGATGGCAACGGGGGCGACGGCAGGAGAGAGAAACTGGAACGAAAGGGCGTTTCCAGCGAAGTTTTGGAGCGGGTGTCCACTTTGCTTGCGCACCCGACTACGAAGTACAATGCCCAGCTGCCCGGGCTGGGGACGCTGCAGGCTATTGCCAAAAGCTGGTGCGCACATCGAAACAGGCCACTCATCAGCCAGTGGCCAGCCCTCGCAGCGATTAGGAGCAGACAGGAAGGCCGGGGGGCTGTTCCTTGGCTATTCCCGCACAGAGTTGCGACTCCCGAGTTCCCGGCCAGATAGCACCTTTTCGGTCATGTACTCGTACCTGATTAGCGATTAGCAGAGCTCACTTGCAACTCTGTTAACGTGAGAAGCGGGTCGCCGAGACCCATCTAGCTTGAGACTCCCTTGAAAAAGTGAATAGCAGTCGCTGTGGATTGAGTTGCAACCATTACAGAACACTGCTAACGGCTCTTCGTCCACCGCAATGGGCTTCTCAAATATAACAGATGCAGTGAGCCGGCGCAGGTACTTTCACTCTAGCCGACCGGTTCCTGAGCTTAGCCAAAGGTACCCTGGTCGAGTATAATCGCAAGCGTTGCGCAAGTCCAGGGGTCTGATAGAGCGTGCACCCACTTCCAGCCTGGGTTTTATCAGAACTGGGTAACGTGCCTGATGCATTTGAAATTTGGTTTTCAACCACATCCAATAAGCATCAGCCCAAGCTTTGCAAGGGTCCAGGACAGCAAAATTTCCTCCACCACAGGAAGCCTGCCTTTCCCTTTCTCTGTAGCTTGCTTCACTGTTGGCAGTTTATCCCGTCTTCAGCTTGTCAAATGCCTCACGAAACTTCGAGTGTCATCCGAACAATCCAACGGCGATGGGGTAGCAAGTGCGTTCACATCCCTTGTAGTATTGTCTTAGGTTCGAGAGCGTACACTCCAAGTTTCGCACCTTCTACCTCAATTCCCCAGCCTGGTTGGACGAATTTGACAGATCACTATGGATTAATTTGGCCACTCAGTCGACCACAGTATTGGGAATGGGGTCAGACGAGGCTCGAGACCCTCTGCTGCCTTTTCTGTCATTATCAGCACGGCTCAACGCCAATTACTATGGGGCTTCCGCGTTGTCTTAGACAGTGGCTGCAGCCGTCGCACATGGCAAATGGGGCTGCCAGACAGCTAAATGGGGACACACCACGATGCTTTGGTCTCTTCTTCATTCCCATTTGTTCCAAACTTGAATGCCTCGTAAGGTGTTGTCATGCATTGAGTTTGCGAAGAGTGCCTTCACTGAAGTCAAATATTGCCTAACGATGTTGGATCTTGGAATACTTCAAAGCAGAATAGTAGTCGTATTTGGCGTCGATCGAACTACACCGAGCTAGTACTCTTCAGGAAGTGATACCTCTCTTTGGACTGATTCATAAATCCTTTCGTCATCAAATTGGCTCGTCTGAAGTCTTGCCCTCTCACAGTGATTGGTCGACAAGCTCTTATTTGTTGATGATGCAGGAGCTCGCCTGCAAGGACCCTCGTTCCCAGCTCGAGCGCAAAATTCCCGATTTCTTTCAGGCAGCTGTTTTGGTTTAACATGAACGGTGTCTGTGAGATGATGATGGCCTTTGTGCAGAAAGCTCACAGTCATGGCCAATAAAGGAGAAGGTCCAATAAATAGCACGTCACAATTGTCACAATTACGTTCTTCCATGACGGCCCTCCGTTCGTCTGAGCCAACATAGAATCTGGGTTTTTCTAGGCACTCTTTATTGCGCTTCAGAACCTGCTTGATTAATCATGCCAACGAATATGGACCAAGCATTATCCATGTGTAGAACGAAGAAGCGCGACCACATTTTCCCCGGCCATATCTATCTTCAGACACTCGGAAAAGAGGTATGAACGGCTTCAGACGATGAATTTTCGGCGTACGCTGAGTAGGTATAACATGGAGGAGCATGTAGTTTAATTCCGCTTGCACCACCGGCAGTCGGTCTGTTGTACCAAACACTCATCCATCATATCGTTTTACCATCTACCGAACCCCTTCGCAAGTACTGATCACCTATCGCCGCAAGCTGGCGTTATGTGTTTCAACCCGACTAAGAAAATGGGTTTGCAGGCTAGAGTCTCGTTACTCGTTCGAACGTGCATGTGGCATACACCGATGCACACGTTTCTCCCAGCCACCGACCTGCATCAAACGGAGGCAACTGCCACAAGCGGCTTGGTTCTGCCACAATCCAAAATAATTCAGGACTTCCAGTATGCAGCTTGATGATCACTGACAACATGCTGAAAAAAAAAATTAAAAAAAAGCGGTAGCGGGTCAGAGCATTTATGAATACCAACCACCTTCCACGACTTATGGTTTACAATACGTCTAGATATCCTAGTAATAGTATAGAATTATCGTAACTCGTACACCTCCGACACCCGGGCATCAGCCTTTTTGCATGTCGGCAGCATCCCAGTATAAAAGCTTTACCCTCTAATACTATTTTTATATCGTAAAGAGGGGTTGCAGGTGGCGTTACCCGCTTGCGCTTCTCACTTGCGCGGCGCTTATCACTACAGAGTACCCATCGTCTCCACGAAGCATCATGCGCTTTAAGCATTACATTGGGTCGGGTAATTTCCCCCTTGGACCAAAGCGGAAACCCAGAATACAGAATCATACACACTTGTATGATTGGATATCACAAATTCAAGCATGATAGCTGCGTCCGGAGAAGTGCCATCAACTGGACAAAAGGAGACAGGTTACTGGTAAACCCGTTATCAAGACGGTCGATTGCTATGCATTAAGCCTTACGTGCGGACCCCTGATACTCCACTTTCAGGGTCTCAACCGAAGCTCAAGAACTTGGGACCATTCTGTCATCCACGTCGCCACGTTGAATATCTACGATCTCGTTCGGCAATTACAGCGAATCAGACAGCATTCGAAAACGTCGATCATGCGGTTTGGAGGCATATGTACCGTTCGTTAGATTCGGGGTGGGTTCACCCCTACATACACCACCTTCGGCTCGTCGGTTTCGTGTTTCTTGATTGCGTTCCAGGATATTCTTGTCCCTGTGATGCAACCTCACGCGGCTCACTATTGATTGTATGATGGCTAAACAGAGCTCTTGTCTGGTAGACGACCGATACTATCTTATCATCGTGTTGCATGAATTTCAGCTTCCCCTCAGCAGCTGACAGCTCATGGACGGACATAGGAGTTTCAGCTGCTTACATCCTTCCCGAAATGCGGGTTTGTCTCTTCAACTGAAAAACCTCAAAGAAACCGAGCCGATGCTGTCTGTCGTTGTTGGTATATTATGGAAGATTGTTGAAACAGGTGCATTCTTCAGTTCCAGCTGCCCAGCTAGCCAGACATATGTACGTGGTAAGCGGTGAATGTCTCACCAAAAAAAGTTACACGAACTGATAATCTAGTAGAGGGATACCCCTGTTAGGTTTTGAAACACTTCGATGTGTTGGGTCTACAATTAGTAGCATGGCATCTGAGGAAATGCTCGATTTGTCGTTGAGGTAGCGGTACGCTGGCCAGGGATCATTCTTATCACCACGTTGCCTTGAGGTAGCGGGTAACGACTACAGCAAATGACATGACATGGGATGCGCGGGTATTAGCTACTGACGTTGGTCAGACTTCAACTATCTCTCGACCATTCAGCTCCAGCGCTCCTGATTAAACTGGAGTAAGTTATATAGCTGTGTTGACGAGTCTAAAATAGGTCCAGATCGAGTTACTATAAACTGCGCAACTCTAGCGATATTATGCTTGGAATGCTTTTGATTCAGTCTATCAGACATGCTACTAGGCCATTTTTATCGCAGCTTTTTGGAAATCATGCCCCAACCAGTGTTAGAATTTCGATTCTACTGCTACGTAGGTCGAGGCAAGTCTATGTTACGGCGGACTTATAGTCCATGGTATGACTAACCTGTTAGACCGGACCAGCTTTACGTATTTGACATATACCCCTACAACAATTCCGCTCCATCTTTAGTAAGATACGGCAGAAAGTTTGTGATGCAGTACCTCAGTCTTTCAACGAATGACCAAGGTTTTCAGCTAACTTCCAGCTCCTTTCTTGAGGACACCAACGAAACCAACTGATCTCTAAACAAGAGAGACTTCTCGAATTATGATATTATGGAAAGTGCAGGCCTGGTATCTGCTTGAGGGAAGTGCCTTATGAGATTTGTTACTCTTTTGGAAGCAAAGGCCCTGTGAAACAGCACCGGTACATATTCTGGTTGCTGGAAAGCACAACAAAACACATTAGACATTGAGGAAAACCGGGTAACAGGGACCATATGATGCTTCATTATGTATGAAGCATAAAATGTAGCGGCTGAGTGTAGCGTTGCTTCTATCGTCCTTTGTGTCCTCGTCTTTCAATAGCAGGCCACTCCAGGCATTCTTTACAGCCACCAGATCTTGAAGCACAGTGCTTTAATGTTTGAAAAGGCAATGCTTCTCAAGCTCATGGGATATACATGACCGAGTGTTCTCAATAACGAATGCGATGTCTCACACCGAGACAGCAGGATACTATATGTGTACAGGCCGTTGTTCAATCCAGAAGCGAATTTAGCGTCACCATCCACCAGTAAGGGGGATGAGATGGGGTGTTGGCCTATCAGACCAACAAGTTTATGTCGTAGTATGCGACGTTGGTTTGCCATTGGTCGTGTACGCAATCAATTTTGAGAGTCACGTACAAAGCCATTGGACCTTCAGCCTTGACAATCGGTTCTATCATTTACCATACACATCTCCCCGATCATTACCATCATTATATGCCGTGAGGTTGTGGGTGTTTGGTCTCCGTCATCATCTCCGCCCCAACCCCTTCCTCCCGTTTACCAAGATGTCTTTAGGTACTAGGCGGTGTTCGCTTTTCATATCTTAATTTTCACGGTTCACTTCTATGTTGCTGTTGCTTCTTCGTGGATAAAAGTAAAGGATATGCCCCTCTTTCCTATCCAATCATTGCCCCTTGGATATCGAACTCTGACCGCACACCCCAGCTTTCTATGAGTCCCGCCGAAGCTGAGTCGTGGCAAGCTTCAATTTTCAATTGGGGAAGGAGGGATACGGAGCCAGTATTTTCAGCTCAGGGGATGCATAGGGACGCCCCTGAATGCATATCACTTGCTCAGAAGACAATGGTGTTCCAAAGCCGCTGGCATCCAGGTCTGCGAACATGGTCAGTAATGATCGCGATTTAATACAGAGATCATGTCGTCCTATCAGTACCGAAAGTTCACGAAAGAGGTTTGACAGCAACGCAGGGAGAAAAGAGGAGTAGAAGAGGGGGACAACAAAAGCACAAAAAATCCCTCCATCTCTCTTCCTCATCTATCTCGACCGTCAAATGTCATGAGGACGCATCAGCAGCGTGAATTGGTACAGAAACTGAACCTGCGTTAACAGCCAGCAATATTAACACCCGATCATTGTAACACTCGTAATTTGTTTAATCAGTCTGATGCCGCATAGTTTGGGACTAATTGGAGGGGCGCCAGTCACCATGGTGAAGTTAAACTGGTGAGGGCAAGTTGAGGCGGTAAGGTTTTTGAGGATGGCCATAAACATAACTCCGAACGTGGCAAATGCGCAAGTCGAGGGGCAACCCGACCTTTCGAAGTTGATACCAATCGCGGGATCATGTAGCGCTCGAACTGTACGTGTTATCTATCCTATGGTCCATTGGGGCAAGAACCAAGTACCATGTAAGAGGGCCCTTAGCAGTCGATCCAATGGCACGTATTGGAAGCAAGTGCAAAAGTTGCAAATGTTCATTGCATCTTGCGGCGTCCATTTGCATGGCTCGAAGTCGTCAGGGTAGGCAATCCAGCAATTTGGTCGGGTCGGCAAAAAGATGCGGGTCAAGATGTGAAGGCACGCTGAATTCAATGCCTTCAATTCCCCATGATCCGCACAATATGTACAATGTGGTGTTTCCGGTCGCCCCGCCTCGCCTCATGATGAGGTCTCGTTCTCCTTCTTCGCCTTTTGCGCCTTCTCATGTTCGACGATCTGTTTGCTCCAACTGCAGGATTGACATTAGCTTCATTCCAACCCCTTGTCGCCATGCAGAGCTCTGGGGAGACTCGTAACGTACTAGCGACTTGGGTAGAAGCGACCGGGCTCGGGCATCTTATGTCTGTATTCGCGCTGGGCGCTGAGGTTCCATGTCAAGGCCGTGATTCCAATGATGACGGCAGTGAATACGGCGGTGTTGGCTTTCCAGTTGGACGGCTGAGCGTACCAACCACCGGATGGTGACCAGACGTGCTTGGGGTACCTGGATTGAGGTCAGAATTCAAGGTTGTTTCGCGGGGCGATGTGAGTTGAGCTTACGGGACTCTTGGACCGCCACCCTGGTGCGGATTAGCGATAGTCATTCATTCAATCAATCGGGGCACTCACCATTTTGACCGAGTGTGCTATGAATTGAGTCTTTTCGGGAATTGATGGCAATTGGCTTCCCTAAATTTAATGAATGTGATGTAGCTGTTCCTGGGTGGTCGAGTGCAGGCGCTCAAGTGGGAAATGGTTGTTCCGGTTCACCTCAATGTATCTTGCATGAGCGCACGGCCGTTTTGGTCCCTTATTGGAGCTCCCGACAGCAGCTTCCAATAGGAAACTTTTTCTCGAGCAAGACTTCGACACGAGACGCCAGATACCCATCGTCGACCTTTGGTATTACGATTTCTACGGCAACATATCCGAATCTCAACGCCGAGTTATGCGCTGGGGGAGGGACTATAGTTGCTAAATATGAAGAGAGTAAGATTAGAACGGTTATCGAGCCAATTGCTGGCTGCCCCTCCAGCACGAACCATATCGGCATCTAGATTCGCCAGTAGAGCACCGCGAGCATCGACCTCGTCACCCCGCCTCCGCACGACAGCATGTCTCCAGATACGATGCCAGTCGACGACAGTTTCGCCCGATCTTATTTACGAAGATGAGTTCATACAAGAAGACCCCGAGGAAGTTGACCCGCGGACACTGCCTCTTCCGTCACCGCCCCCTTCTCGAGCGCAATATTCCGCAAAGCTGGCAGCGCTGCACGCCCGTCTCTCGTTATCTCCCAGACTACCGTTAGAAACATTGGCTCGCGCCCTCATCGACCCGTCCGCCGATTCAAACACCAAGTTCAACAACACAAACCTGGCCTACCTGGGCGCCAGTCTCCTCCAATATCACACCTCCGAGTTCCTAGTCACGAGATACCCACGTCTCCCTCTCGCCATCACATTCGCCGCCATGAAGGGCTACGCAGGCCCCGAGGTTTTACAAAGGGTCGCTCGCGCGTGGGGTGTGGAAGCTGCAGCCGCACCAGGAGAGGAGGTCGACCCTGGTTACCTACAGTTCGACCCTTTGAGGCCTACGGTAGAGATGAAGAAAGGAGGCTACGTGCGAGCCGAAAGCGCCGAAATCGCCCGGTTCAAGTGGCGACGCGGTATGAGCAGCCGTGTCACGTACGACAACGCCTTCGGCGAGATGGTGCCGGGCCAGGCGTCCGTGTCCAACATGCACATGGCCGCGGTGAGCAACGAGCACAATGAACGGGAAAAGATATTGAGGGACGCAGCACAGAATGCACATGCCAACTTTGTGCGGGCCGTCGTGGGCGCCATCTACCTGCACTGCGGCCGGGAAAACGCAAAGAGCTTTGTGAAGTCGCACTTCCTGTCGCGCACGCTCGACCTGTCCAATTTGTTCGAGTTCAAGGTGCCCACGAGGGAGCTGGCACGACTGTGCGCACGCGAGGACTTTGAGGCGCCCGTGGCAAGATTGGAGAGCGAGACGGGTCGCATGAGTAGGACGCCCGTGTTCGTTGTGGGCATTTACAGCGGAAAGGACAAGTTAGGGGAGGGAGCTGGGTCGAGTCTGGACGAGGCGAGGGTCATTGCCGCCCAGAATGCGCTCAAGTCTTGGTACCTGTACAGCCCTGGTGAAGTGGCCCTGCCGAGTGATACCTTTGCCGAGGATGCGGCGCCGTGGAAGCCTGTGTATATCGACATTGGAGAGATTATCTCGTAGTCAATGAAGACTGGAGAAGAGGAAGGAGGTCACGGGGAGATGGACATAAGAACTGTCTATCTGTGTACGAGGATCTATCAATCTCTGCAAAGGAGAGTGTACAATTGTGCGACATGGCCACGGCTGGACAGAAGAATTTGGTCTGGCACATGTCTGTTTGTCCCTCATCAAAAGTCAAACCGAAATGTACCATAACACACAAGAAAGGGAGGGCATGTAGAACATAAAAGTAGAGAAACCCGCTCCACGAAATGAGTGTACATATTCTGTTGGGTTATATACAACCTGGTCCTGTTCAATCGATTATCATGTACAATGCCTTCATGTCAAGTACCAGCCCATATTTGATCACGATTCGTCTGACTTTGCTTACGTAGGATAGAGCAGCGCTGGTCAGGGTGAACGTGACAATAGCACCCGCCTGCCGTGGGTATCATCCTGCTCTCTTCGATCTATGTCGCGCATCTACAGTGCAAATTACCCATCTACACTCTACACCACCAAACACATTTTAGCAGCAGTATCATCTAGCAAAAGGGTATTCCCACTCACTCACCCACTCACCCCGTCAACTAAAATGATCTCCCTCCCCCAGCTTCCCCTCAATCCCCAATCTCCTCAGCCTCCTCCTCCCCTCCCTCCTCCTCTCCTTCTCCTTCTCCAGCCTCTGTTTCTTCTTTCGTTCATAAACAGCCCTAACACAAGCCCTTATCTGCTCCTTCCCTTCATCGAAATTCGCCCGCGCCAACGCGACAACCTTGTCCACCTCGTCGGGCGTGTAAACGAAATTCCACGTACTCATATACTCGCTACTCGCGGGATCGACACCTTGCACCTTCTCATTCGCGACGAAGGGCAGGTAGGCGACCGCGATCCCCGCATCCGGCTCCATGAGCTGCCACGTCGTGTCGTCGCGGAGGGCCTTGGAGGGGGGAGGCGGTTCCGAGGAGCGCTCTTCCGTTGTGCCGACCCAGATGGTGCAGTAGCCGAGGTCGGAGTCCTCGGGGTGGGACTGGTCGTGGAGCGCTTTGCGTTCTTGTTCGGAGGTGCTTTGGGGGGTGGCCGGATCGTCTTTTTGCGCTTCGCGGAGTCTGGTCTCGGCTTCGGCGGGGGAGGCGGCGGCGGCGGCTGCGAGCTCTTTTTCGGTCTCTTGGGGGGTTTCGCCGGATTTGGGCCAGCCTGCGCCGACGGGCCAGCCTTTGATGCCGCGCTGGCGGGCGTAGCCGTCGGCAACTGAAAGCCAATTTTCTGTCTTGATGTCGGCAGAGGCGTCGAAGGCGACGATAACATCTACATTTCGTCCCGGCCGCAGAAGGGGGTATATTGGCAGGTTGTTGGACATACCCGCGTCCATGAGCTGGATGTACTCATTCTCGTAAATTTTGGTCGGCGTGGTGAAGCGGAGCTGGTCTTCCATGCCATAGACAAAGTTGGGCACCTTGGTCGGGTCGATGGGGTGTACTTTCTCCAGATCATCGTTGCGGCCGTAGATCATCTCGTCAACGGCACGGAATCCCGAGAGACTTTTGACAAGAGGCCGGATTTCCCGGTAATAGTGGCTCAGAGTTGCGCAAAATGCACTTCCAAAAGTACCCATCAAGATCGGCATGCGCACTTCTGGCAGATGGAAGCCAACCTCCTGCGGCACATCGACCCCATTCTCGAACTTTCGTCCCATAGCCCAAGTAGGGATACCAGCATTGAATTCCTCACAGAAGAACTCGTAGGGGGTCACCTCGAACCATTGAAACCAGGCCTCCTGCTTGGCCAACTTCTTAGCCTGCTCGGACGGTGAGTCCTGCGTCACGGCGCCGCCTACAACTGGAATTTCGTGTCGTACAACCGTGTATATGGGCATTGGGTTCTGCCCGTACTTGATATAGTCTCTCTGGTTTGAGAGCTTGAAGTCGCGATCATTGACTTCCAGTTCACCCTTAGGGACTAGTAGTCTTGCCGCTAGGAGGATACCATACACATCCACAAGTCCAAAGTCTGCGTTGGAATCGCCCCGGAGTTTCTCAACCATGCTGCTCAAGAGAAGCTTGTTGGTTGGTGCCGACAAGACAGATGAGAATGCGATTGGCGGGTAAGCGATGTGAACAGCTATGCGCGCCTTCACATGGGCAATGAGGCGATCAAACCGGCCGTTCGTGATGGATGAGTTGTAGAGTGTTTGGAGCCAGCATGAACCGCTTACACCGGCAGTGTAAGTCACACAGTCGAACAGCCCATCGTCTTGAGTTGCAGCGAGTGAGCCTGCGCTCGCGACCAATGCGCGTAAGCCCCCGCCCGAGCCGCACATGGCAATGGTGGGCACGTCGTCGGGATGGACTTCTTTCTCATCTAGGCCGAGGTACCTGGCCAAGGCAGCAGTGGCAACCTTTTTCCGCCGTGCCAGATACTCTTTCTCATCGTCGCATAACTCATCCGAGACGCGCACATTGGCCTTGTACTGAATCTCAGGGTTGATAAAAGGGTCATGGGCCTCATTCCAGATCTCATCGGCCAGCGATCCAGGGGCCATGGACAGTTCATGTTGCAATTTTCGAATGTACATGGGCAACGACTTGGACCATTCTGGCACTATCATGTCGACGACGCGATCTGGGATTGTGGACCATTCGATATCTGTCACCTTGGAAAAACTTTCGAAATTGCCGGTAAAGGACGTCCAAGCCGTCGGTTGTGATTGCGTCCGGGACTGGGTCTCTTCATCTTCCTCAGTCCTTTCTCGTTCTTCAATTTTCTCTCTGACTTGTCGTGCCTGGCGGAGTTCATTGCCTGGGTAAAGCAAGTATATGAGCAAGCCACCCAAAGTTAGAACTGCCGGCGTGACTGCAAGAGAACCTTTACCAAATGCTGATTTGTTGCGTTGTTTCCTGGAGGAGAAGAAGCCACGAGGAAACTGGCCTTGCCGTAGTAGCCGGATTCCCGCCGCGGTGGGTGTTAAACGCAGAGGTGGCATGCGCATCCTCAACGCCCAGTGGGAGATTGGCGCTAGTTGCAAGCTCCTGTGCCTGCGGAGCGGTCTCACTCGTTCCTGCAGGGCAGCAGGTCTCATGGTCGCGAATCCAGAAGTGCCTTGCTGGTGGGAGGTTGGGAAGAGACGAGCATAGCTTCAATTGAGGCTGCCTGAACAAATGCCGAGTTTCTCCAAACTTCCGGATTTCAATCTACCCCAGACACTTCCGGACTCCGGACTCGATGCTCCGCCGTTTTTGAAGTTCTTCTTGACTTAGAAAACAAGCTTCGCGGCTTTACACATCGCGATCATTCGACGTTGACATCATGCCTCGTTTGATGCTTATCTTTAAGATGCAATGTCTGACATGCAGGATTGTGGATAGCCCCTGTCACAAGTGCCTGCCTTCAAGTGAAAACAAGCTTGCAGGGGTATGGTATTCACTGAACTCCAGACACACATAAGCTTACTTCAACGACATGTCTCCCATACCACCACACAGCTTATGCCTGACTTTCACAACTCCAACTCGAAGTCGGGGCGATTGAGTTGACAGTGTCAGAGCGGTTCTCTGGAGCCATAAATGTTGTGGTATGCTGGTGAGCTGGAAATGGTGTCTTAACTTCCCAGCGGAATTGACACTTCGTGCAGACAGGAGCTGTCGCTCACTTTCAAAATTCATCCCACACATTTCAGCAACTTCAGTGCCTTACTCTGATACAATTCGTTCAGTCGTACATGATTAGTTCTATGTAGGTGACAGTTGTCTTTGGAAGCTTTCACTTCGGGCCTCAAGTACTCATGAGGGTTGAATCCAAGATTCGCCCAGGTTTCTGATGTCGAACAGACCAAAGCTATCAAAATTGAGTCCACTGACTTCAGGAGTAGAATCTGAGTGGTATGATTCTAGCTACCAGGAGGAGCACTTCTCCCAAGGCTCAAGTAGTGGTATTGGGTTCATGACGATTCGTCTTACTCGCCACCGAGAACTGCAAATACACTTCGACTTATATCGCCTTTGAAGTGACCCAAGTTATTTCATGCCGAACAGACACCTCTACCTGTCTTCCTCTCTGGTACGTAAGCCGCGAATAAACCTTAGTCACCAAAATTGGGTCTCTACTGCGCATCAAGCCTCCGTCAGCTTACATGAAACCGGCCCACGCTTCCTTTGACTTCAACTTTTTGGTTCGGAGGATTATGCGCACTCAGCATAACCAACGTTTGACAGCTGCACATCGACCAAAAGGGCAACAAAGAAACAAACTTCTACCAAGTACCCTAGGGTATTTGAATAATGATTGGCCCTTTCCGTATATGACAAAAACGGCTTGTATGCTGTTCTCAGCCCTACGACCATGAATGCCGGGTCCGACTTTGAGAGATCAAATCACTGGACTACTTCTAATTTTCAGCAAGTCATGCGGTTGCAAGAGTTTGATCTTTGGTTACTCCTCAGCACCCGTCGCCCTGCATTGGGTCTTCATAGCAAACTGCACTCGCCAGACCACTAGGGCCAGGTGGAAAGGGGAGGGGAAAGTTAAGCATCAATATTTCTCGCATGTCCCATCAATTCGGCTCGTAGCTGGTAGCTCCCTCGGCTCTGATAGGCTAAGCCGTGGGACGGGGTCTCCGCTTCCGCTATAGGGTGAAATTTATCGCGTTTTCTTGATTCTTGAAGATACAGGCGACAGTTCGAACGCCAGACAGCGCCTAATCCCTCGCATCCGATGATCCCCATGCGGTACTCTCCATCTTTGCCGACTGTATCCGCTTGTCAGCATTGTACTTGCTCCTAATGGACTTGTGGGTCAGCCACGATTACGGAATATCATTGTGCTTGAATGAGAGACACCGGCCCTGCAAGGCTACCTTGGGCGAATTCAACGTGGACCAGTGCGACAGACATGGCCATGTATCTACAAACACAGTAATACTACGAGTGTCTTAAAGAGGCTTTCTCCAAAAGCCTTGTAAGATGCTTCAATAGGCGTTGGAAATCATCTCATTCGGTTCTTGGATACGGCTGGATCCTCATAGAGGAGAGTTTCAGTACATGACGATGACTGATTTAGATTCAATAGTCCTAGGCAATCACTAGGATTGGCCCTCACTCTGGAGCCTGGATTCGCTCGTACTGCTGATGCATAGCTGTGCCGTGCCTACGTCTGTCAGTTTCAGATGGCGTCCCCGGACAGCTGCTTTGAGACCATGGTTGGAGAATTCTCGCTGACGAGTCTCTCACGCTGTGGCAAACCTACCGTTTGAAGACTAGCAACAACTCCGTGGCTGTCTCGTGATGAATCCTTTGGGAGACTGGTGGGCTTTCTGCTCGGCTGAGCGGCTGAAGAGCCGGCGAGAGAAGTCGAAGAGTTAGAAACTAAGTGTGTAAGGGTCTCTTCGAAATGTCTATATAAGTGGCAGAACTTGTCTCTATTTCTTTCTACTCAAGCTCATCACAACATCTTCTACTAAACTCGCAGCATCATAACCCTACACAGAAAACACCTTTAACCGCCCAAAATGGTCCAGATCGCAACCTTCATCATGGCTCTCGCCGCCTCCATCACTGTGACTTCTGCCACGTGCACCCGTGCCTGCGTTCCAGGCCAGAATTACTGCGGCTACTCCCTCCTCAGCGAGTACGGTAGGCTCACCCAGTCCTTTCATCCCCGATCACCTATGCCGTATCATTGATTTTAAAGTACAATAACTGATGATAATGTCTTATCCGCCAAACAGGCTGCAATAAAACCGACCTCCGCAACACCAAGGGCGAGCAGTATGACGACTCACTGTACACCTGCGCTCCCGACGCGCACAGCGCCGACGAAGTCGAATGGTGCCCCGGAGGTGCCGGACACTGCCAGCCACCTAATCATAACACCTGTGACGGGGTCAACTTCTGCTGTGACTAAGTATATTGGGGGTTGGTGGATGTCCGTGCCCTTGAGATTGGAAAGGGGGGCAATCCGGGTTGAATGAATATGCGGTGGAAAGTTGGGGCATGATGATTGAACTAGGGGGTTTTCTTTTTTACTTTCCTTAGGTACTTTACCAGCTTGGCCAGTTTTTCGCTCTTTCTAGTACATTATATCGATAATACTCAGACTCTCATGGCACTAAAATTTGTTGCTGGTCTTTTCGAGATTGCTGCAGGCTGTGGATGTTTTCATTCGTAGCAACTCTCATCACGTGGACCATCCAGAGACCTCGAGTACTTCGGCATGTAGCTTTTGGGCGATATCGAGCGTTAATTGTCTGTAAACTATGTGAAACTACTCCTGTGAAAGGATTTCATTTCTGTGATATATTAACTTGAGAATGGGGTCGCGACTGACGGTTGTGTTGCGATAAAACAGTCAAATACGAAAGGGATCTAAAGCTTGCCTTAGTCAATGAAGTAATAAAACTTCCCTTGCACTTTGTAGCCTCATATAGAGCTAACACTGATTGCACGCATTGAGCGGACAGAGTGGAATTCGGCCTACCGCGGTGTAACTCTGCAACTCGGGATGTTCCCTACCCACGTGGCTTCATTAACTCATCCATGGCTTCGGTGCCGTCTGTAAGCTTTACGTAAATCGAAAATTTGTGTCATGCGGTATGTAAATTCGTTCTTCGGAAATGAGGCTATGGCAGTTATGCTTGGCTTTGATGCCAAGTCCTATTGGTTACCAAGTTGCGTGTGTGTGAGGTCCTAGAGCTCAGCGCTGGTGAGAACTTAGTCTACCAAAATTTGAACTCTTGTGGCTCTGGTCAGCTTCTTGCGACTATCTAGGTAGAAGTAGGAACAGTATCACGGGAGCGTTTCCGCTAAATAGGATCATATTCATACAGCCTTCTCAAACAAACTGTTCTAGTGGATGCTTAGAAATTTGATTGTACAACAGGAAAGGATAAGGACAGGATCGCCATGCGCATTCGTGGAACCCTGCACTCACAAGGTGATGCCGAAGTTCGTACAGTACACATCGTGTCCCCTCGTCATGTTTGCCTATGTTAATAGTATTGCCAATAAATTAAAACCCCCAGATGGATAGTTGTGATGAATCTAGGATTCGAATGCAAGCCTCAAGAATCACTACCGGTCGTATTATAACACAGGAAGTCGATCGCAAGCTGTCTCGCATACTTCGGTTGATAATTACTCCTATGGGGGATGACCAGGTTGTCTTCCAGTCCCATGCATGCACCCTTTATTTGTACATCCCAGAATGAAGACAAGTTGAGAGTAAGAGATCAACAGCACCCTTTGCAACGACAACAAACTCGGATTTGTGGTCAGCTGAGGTATAAGAGGATTATTTTTCCATTCCATATTCCTGTCCGACTCATTGCCACCAGTGGCAGACCGGACAGTTCGAAATAAAGAATCCTTTTACCCTAACTCCTAGAATATCCAGAGTGATACTACCGATTGCGAGGTCGAGTGCCGTTTTTTTGTCGCTTTGGCGTTGCTCGTACAAAGACTAGGCAATCATGCCCAAACCAAGATGCATTTGTGCCTATTGTAAAGAACACAAGCCATTGATGGAGATCCATTGTGTTACTTACCCTCAACGAAGCCGTCATTGTCTTTTATGATACACATCTCCTTTGAGCCCGTCGCAATGACAAGCCATTGTTTCGCAACTCTATAACTTCCTACCCAAACCTCACATCTCCATCTGAGCTCAGCAGCCCAGACACGCCTAGCTTCAACGCGACGACCACAAACAATCCTAAAGGGCATCGAATTATATACCACCCCCACCAAATCACCAACACAACCCGCAGCCATGGTTTGGTACGTCATTGCCCTCGCTGTGTTAACCCTCGCCCTGCTCGGCATATTCTTGTACCTCCTACGACTGCCCTCTATCAACAACGTGCAAACCCCAACAGAAACATCGAAAATAACCACAAAAAGCCCCCACCTCCCGCCAGTATGATCCTGCCCCAACCCCCTCAGCACCTAGCAGCAGCTGCTGCACAGAAAGCAAACGCGGCCTCCACGCTTTGGCGAACACATCCTTCAAACGCCTATGAAGTCACTTTGGCCCTGCTCGCCCTGTGTATTGTTATGTCTCCTTCCCGTCACGGCCGAATACCTGACCTGGCTCTTACACGGCATCGCCACGAAATCGAGGGCGCCGTTGGCCACCATGGGCAGGGGTTCTGGATCGAAGTCGATCACGCGCTTGAGTACGTGCAGGAGGAGCTCGACCTGCTGGAGTGGCGAACGCGCGAGGGAAGGGCGAGGATCGTGCGGATTACCATATTGGTGGGAATCGTTTGGGTGTTGTATTGCGTTGTGTTCCAGGATGGAGGGAACAGGGCGTGGGAGTTCGTTTTTCCTACGCCGCAGTTGACAGAAGTAGAGATGAGGATTGAGAGGTTCTTTCGTGAGACACAGCACCTGCGGCCGAGGTTTTCGTTTAAGTAATGGGGAGAAGGTACGTATCGGGTAGGTATGTAGGCTCTGTTGTCTATTTACTGCTTATTTCTTGTTGTTGGGTAGGTTATTTGAAGGACAAGTAGATACCCCTACGTATATAACCCAAGCCTGTTTTGATGTTCCAAATGGAAAGTTCAATTGTCACGAACCTAAACCATTTGCTTGCCTTCCAAGTCGTGATGAGTGTCGCCATAAAGGCGCAACCCAGCACACCATACCTGTCCCGAGACTCAAATACCGTCATGTCTTCGTAAATTCATCACCCCTCCCCCCAAACGCCCTCCTCAGCCAAACGCCATATCCTCATCACTCTCCTCACCGCCTTCACTCCTCGCCTCCTCCTCTTCCCTCCTCGTCGCCTCAGCGCTAGCCCCCAACTTCCTGACCCCTTCCACGACTCCCAACACAAACCCCCTACTCTCCGCCAGTTCCATGGCCCCCACGCCCCTCAATCCCACCACGCCCCCTCCACCCTCCAATTGCGTCGTGCTGCCCCTCATCTTGGCCGCCCGCACCTCCTGCAGGTCCCGCAGCAGCGTCCGCACCTCGGCTGCGCCGTGTATATCGTCACTCGCGTGCGCCAGCAGCGTCTCCGACAGCTCGAGCCAGTGGTACGGCAGGTAGCTTGACGGTGCGTCGGCGGCGCATGATGGCAGGAACGGCGGGGAGAGGACCATGTCGCCCGGTTTTGAGTCGCCGTAGGGTCGCGCCATACCCCGGCCATCGGATCGCGTGACGGGTGGCGGAGGTGGGGAGAAGCCTTCCGGGTCGATGTTGATTTCGTGGTGGATTATCTCGGAGAGCGAGGCGGGGTGAAGCCACGACGGCGGGACAATGTTTGCGCGTCTTTGTTTCTTGAGGAGGAGGGCGAGCCAGAGGGGTAGCTGTGCGCGGTGAGGTGGCCGCAGTGTTGGGATTTGACCCTGGAGAGCGAGAAAGTCTTGTTAGCGGCCATGTTGGTGGTGTAAGTGGGATGCGGATGGCGGGGTTGATTTACGCTGAGGAGTGAGATTGACTCGAGTCTTTGGCGTGGAATAATGGTCACCATTTCCATTTCACAGAGGAAAGCCACCTCGGTTGGCACGAGGCCGGGCGGTAAGGGAAGCGCCATCTCACAGGCAATCGGTATCGCGGTGACAATGTAGAGCTGCGAAGATAGATGTCAAAGACGCGACACACGCGACAACGCGATGCGATTAAAGTCAATTCAACAATAAATTGAAAGTTGGACCAGGGGTCTTGGCGCCGTAAGGCCTGTGGCGGTGCAGCTGGATTGCGGCGTTCCAGACTCGCAGCAGGCAAACAACAGTAGACAAGCCATGGCTTGGAACAGTTGCTCAAGTTCTGCACAGACAGCTGGGGTTTTGATTCCTAACCTTGATAGCTGAGATTTCCACAATCCAGTGTTGCATTTTGCCATGTCAAATTAGCTTGACGTAGGCCGACCTTTATCAACTTGATCTCAACTCCGAGATCCTCAGCGGTCGGCTACTTTCATCTGTTGTACGACCATATTGACATTCTCAAAGCGCTCATGAGGCAAAACGAGCATTTCGTACAGAGCTGATTTCGGCATCTAGATCAACAGGTTTATGAGCCGCAGCACGGTGAGGGCAGCTTTACGCAATGCAACAAGTAGCTTGCTGTCGACCAAAGTAAGCGTCGTCATACACTCCAAGTGCTAACTCAAGCGTGGTATCCTCCATTTCCGATTTATCGACTCGGGTTGTCCCGATGGAGCGGAACCCCAGCGCAGCAAACCCACCCTGGAACACACCCCTGAAATCACACAAGTCAACGGAACCGGCTCCAGGACTCAAACCAGCTTCCCGAAGAATCCCTCGCTGCACTACAGATAAGTTTCATTTGAATAGAACCAGAATGGTCTATCTCTATCTCATATATCTTCTCTCACGAGCTTGCCTATAGCCTCCCCCCTATCCCTCATGCGGCGCCCGTATCCTCCCCACACAGTCATCCTTCCTCGAAACATAAATCCCCTCCCTAACCTCCCCCTCAATCCCACCCAACGCCCCCGTGGTACAAAACCCCAAAAGTCGCTTATGCCGATCGGACAACCTAGCCTCTACGTCCTTGCGCAGCGACAAGAAATTGTTCTCCTGCTGTCTGATAAACGACCTCATAAAAAATATCAAAATCACGGGCCTCTCTCCCTTCTCCTCCCGATTCGGTCCCGTAGCATGCCAAAGCCGACTCTCGAACACGAGCGCCGTCCCTGAGGGGCCCTCTGCCGCCACCGTGCCATCGACGGTGAACAAGTCATCGGGAGCGACCTGCCCCAGGTGCGAAGAGGGGAAGACACGCGTCCCACCGTTGCGGTTGGTCACGTCCTCGAGGTACCACATGATGTTCAGTCCGAACGCCATGTCCCGAATAGGCGGCTGGATAGCAATTTGATCCGTGTGCAATTGCATGGGCTCGTTTCCCGGCCGGGCGATATTGGCGCTGTAGCTGTGGATCAGCGCGTGATCGCCTAGGAACCACGGCACGATATCGTCGATGAGCGGGTGGTTGAGCAGGTCGAGGAACTCGTCGCCTTTGTTGATTAGAGTCCAGATGCGCTGGTTGGGGCCGTTCGGACCGCCGTCCGCTCGGGCTACGCCGGCGGCGCGCTCGCCGGCGGCTTGCTCTTGCACGGCGGTTTTCAAGATGGAGACTTGGGAGGGGGTGAGGGCGTTCTTGACGAGGCCGTAGCCGAATTCTTGGATGTCGCGTTTGACTTGTTCGATGTCTTCTGTTGGCTGGGGGAGACGGGGGAAGGCCACGGGTGTGACTTTCTTGGGGGGGCAGGGGGGGAAGGGGGTCAGTAGGTCGCCGAACTTGATGGCTACGGGGATGTTGCCCTGGGGCATCGAGGCTACGTGAAAGAAGGCATCCTTGAAGATGCCGTAACGGGGCTCAAGCTTGCCCTCGTAAAATTGCACGATGTACTCGGGCTTGATGGTCACCTTCGTGTCGGGCTCGTCGGAGCAGTCCTCGAGGAACTTGGCTTCTCCTGAGCGGGCGTCAACGAAGACTGGGGTGCGGTCGCCAAAGGTCAGCGAGAGGAGCGCCTTGAGTTGGCCTAGGACAGGTAGTTTCTCTTTGATGATTTCATGAGCCCGAGTGATGGTGGCATCTGCATTCTTTGCGAGATCTCTGTAGGATTGACCGCTGAAATCTAACCCTGGGGTGAGTGTTGGACCAGGGGCGACGCCTGCCATAGTGATCAAATTGGTTTGATAAGTGGCTGATTGAAGAAAGTTCTGTCAATTGAAAAAAAGATCGGAATCAAGTGGGAACTGAATGGGGGTTTGATGTAAAAAATGAGTGTATGATAAAATGTCGTGCTGGTGTCCAACATTCTGAATACTGACTCTCTATACTCTGCGATGCTGCAGATGCCGATCTGTGGGTTCGCAAACTCTTGCGGCTCGCCCATATCTGACGAGCTGCATATGCAGTGATAGTGATCAAGCTGCATCAAGTCGTATCCTAGTGGATCGCTAATCGCAATCTTGAAAGGCTAACCTAAGGCAAGGTCCTAAAATCTTATCCTGCGAGTTTTGTGATGATAATCTGATGCCTGGCCCGCTCTTGCACTTCAGCTATGATTGACGCGTATTTCCTCAGAGTGCGAGAGGTTTCGAAATACCCTGCTTGCTTCACCGAGTCTTCAAGCATGCGTGCATATCTGCAGTGGTTGATTTGATATCAGACGCATCGAAGTCCAAACCCCTCACGATGTCATCAACACAACCTATACTACCGCATTGACCACCTTTTTGCATGCACCCCCATTTTGCAGGGTCTAACTCAATCAACCTAAATACTTCGTCCATATTATTTATATACAGAACATACTTAATTTAAGTGTCCGAAGACTTGGATATATTCTTTCGAGCCCTCTTTTTAGGAGGGACCCTTCCTTCGAGAAAAGTATCAATTTCTAACTGCTTATCCGGTAAAATAGGCCGTATTCGCTTATTTCGCTTGTCCTGGGCTGTTCGGATCGCTGATAAGTTAACGAATACTTTATTCGGGTCTGGCTCGACGGGCTGGCGTATATCTGGAGCGTATTTATCGAGTTCCTTATATAGTTGCTCGTTTTCGATACGTAATTTGGCATTCTCGGCGGCCTGGAGTGTAAGGGCCTTGCCCGCCTTGCCTACTAGGGTACGAATCTTACGAGATACCCCGCCCTCGGCTTTCTGTATCGACTGTAGTTGGCTAGATAGTTGCTGCACTTTCTGAGGAGTAAAATCAACTAAAGGTGGTGATATATGAGGCGGAGGATCTGGTGTATGAGGCTCCGGAGGATCACAAGATACGTCGACTAGTCCTTCGGAGCCTAGGAGCCATATACCAGTCTTCCGCCAGCCAGATTTGATATTTTCCGTAGTAAAGGCTCTCTCCGAGGCACGTAGATATGTTTCTAGCATACGTTGCTTGTAAATTGGGGCTGTAGCCTTGTAGGAAGCGTAAGCCCTGAGCTCTTGGTGGTAGTAGGTCTTCAAAGGTGAGAACGGCCCGACATCGCACGGCTGGAGATCGTCACTGCAGTGTGAGGGTAAATACAGCACGGCGACTCTATTCGAGTAGGCTTTCCACATAAATTCGGCATGAATATATGTCTGGTGGCCTTCGAGGATAAGGAGTCGCCATTCGGTACCCCTAGGCTTCGTCTCGGGGAGAAAAACCTGATCTAACCACCTATTTGCGATAACTTTACCACCCCAGCCCTTACTCGTCGTAGTGTATTCCCACTCAGGGATATTTTGGTCTGGGAACCACTGTGCTTGGACTCTCTTGCCGGAAAATACGCAGACAGATGTACCCCGTTGGGTATGCGAAATGTACTCTAACCAGGAGCACCACGACGAAGCGTCCGACTTTGATACGCGTACCCGGCGTGAATTAGACGTCCCAATAACCGTACCATGCCCAGATTCCCCCTCTTGGACACCTGTCTCATCCATATGATACTCGTTGTCGGGTTTGATACGATACTTCGTACGTAAGCGTTCGAGGAGGGTGTAGAAGTCTCGGATCTTGTTCGAATCGGACGTTCCAACTCGGCTAGCATCTACGACGCGCCCAATTTTGGTACGTATCTGTGGATGGCGGCTAACGAAGTGATCCACCCAGTGTTGGCCGAGTGTATTGTTATCCCCTTGAACAAGGAGGATTTCGGCAGCGAAGTCGGCCACATAACGCTTGCTAGGAGCCCGTCCACACACTTCTTCGTGTAGGATCCAGTTCACAATAACCTCCTCTTGCTCTGGAGTCAACTTTTGTTGCCTGGAGGCGGCGTCGCGATGCGAATTACCGTGACGAATACGGTAGGACAGTGTAGTCCCCTTGATACCGTACCGATGAGCTGCTACGGCCTGGGAAGAGCCCTGACGGACAAGCTCTTTAGCGCGTTCGATTCGCTGCTCAAAACCGTCCAGACTATTCTCCACTGGATTAGCCATTTTGTACGTAGATAGAGAGCAATTGCGAGGTAAATTGAGAGACGTCGTGTTGTTGAGGCGTAGGAATTCCCTGCAAAATGGGGGTGCACGCAAAAATGTGGTCAATGTGGTTAGATGATATGATTGGATTGGCAAGTCCTATCTCAAAACCTGCCCGATACTAAGTCAGACCCAGATGCCCAAGGCTCGACAATCATTGCTTGTCTTGATATGTCGATTTCGACAGCCAGTCTCAATCTGCCAAGTAGCTTGATTATAACCCACTCCTGGATAAACTGGATGCTAAAATGGCCGGAAGGTTGTATGTAAGCTCAGGGTTCGAGAAGATCAGGACCCGTCTTGTCGAAAGCAGAACCATGGAGTGGTCTTGTGACATCCAGAAATATTGAAAAAAAAAAGCTTTGCAACTGCCGTCATCCTTTAACTTGGCAGGCAAGCAGGTAAGAAAGGTGATCGGGCGGGTTTCTGCTATCAACTCATCTAGTATACAGCCATGAGTTGAGGTGTGTCGTATCGCTGTAATCTTGAAGTGATAATTCCATGGTGGAGTCTCTGCTGACAATTTCCACCCTGTTGAACAGCTCTCTCCCCCTAGGCTTGACTAGCCCGGAAATGCTGGTAAGATTTTTTGTAGTAGGATTATCTTCTGTCTTGTCATGTATGAAATCCGAACCTGGATCCATAATATACTAACCCTCGTGAACTCAAACGGGAACTACCACCCGGCCCCAGCTCAGATCGACCTGCTGTGGCGCGGCAGGCAGTTGCCTGCTTTGAAATAGCCCGATAAGGCTTCCCTGAAAATCTTTATACGTGGAATCTCCCAATATATCAACGGAAAGCAGCTCCTCCAATCGAGCGTCAACGGTTCCAAAGCCCGCATAGACGTCCATGCAGGTAAAGATACGGCAGACCGTGAAGACACACTATTGTGTTACATGTCAGCATCAAATTTAATTGCAAAAAAATTTAATTAAACGCAACGGTTGATTCTTGCTCGCCGTTCCAACTACCATCAAGTAGTCATCAAGTCCTTGGTTGATGGCTGTCATCCTGGCTCACATCCGTAACGTGACGGTTATAATAGAGGTGACTATGAGAAAGATATGCCCAATCAAGCAGTTCCCACGGATTCAGGTTGGCGAATACAATATCCCCCATCTTATCAAATGACTTCTGGGCTGTCGTCCATCTTGACTGGAGCTCGGATATGCTGGCTCAACTCGGCGAAAGGTTGAAAGCGAACAATTGCCTACACACGTAACTTTTTGGGGAAATATTAACAGGAATAGTGAATAAATGGAGACAAAGAAAGCACATTGTCGATACTGAGAAAATTATTGTATTTTCTTTTCGCATTTCTTCTTTCCCTAGACATCTCACCTGGGTATCCCACAAGGAGCCTTAGGTCACACGTCCCTATTTCTGACTACAGGAGATCAGTCATCACAACTCTTTATTTCAAGTGGTAGAGAAAACAGTGATCCCGACAGAGAGGAAGACCGCTGAACAATCGCGGCATGCGGATGCGGGTAATCAAAACCCTAAAGTCCCTGCCATTACCGCAGGCACAGTATCTCAGGGCACTTCATTAGCTTTCGGATCTCAGACAGCTGTCGTCTGGCGACGTGGGAATGGAGTTTTGTGCTGTTATCAAACTAAGTCGATTTCTGGTGGTCGTTGAATCTCCCTTTCTTTTTAGTACGAACGGAATTGATAATGATTATGTTCTAGGTGACTTACGCCTGACGCGTTCCTTTCATTAAATCTAGCATCTATTCAACGCTATTCCGAATCACGAACAAGAAACTATACGGGGGTTTCCTTGAGAAGTCAAGGTTTGGTCGGTAAATAGTACGACGGTCGGCGTTATTGCTGTCGTCGCTGTCTGCAGGCCTGTGGCTTTCAACTGGGACAAACCTCTCGACGGGACCCGCACAGACGTACGTATGATCACTGGTATCAGTTACGTTATATCCGTCCTTGCCCTTACCACCGACTGCACCTGTTCCATCACTCCCTGCTTTGTGGTTTACAGTCTCCAGTGAAATGACGTGTCAAATGGTCAGTGGCGTCAATCTTGGCACTTGGAGTCTTCATGAGTGCAGCAACCCTCGTTCGACTGCCATACCTGAATGGCATTCGACAACGACTCGGAGAGTCAGAGGAATCATCACCCCGAAATATGGAGGTGGCGGTGACTTCGCATGTTAGGAGCAAAAGTATAAAGAGACAGGACAGCGAACCCAGATCAGGCTGAGAGGCACGTATTTCGAGGTATTGAAAGGCTGGGCATGGTAGTGCGTACGTGGGAACAACCACCCAACCTCCGCCCGAAAAGATTGGCGTTATGACGAGGATTGAGAGTCAAACGGCAAAACGCGTGGGTGGACCATCTGGATTGTTTTCATTCCTTTTTGCTCATCAAGTACTACGTAAGCCGTGGATGATATCCTAGACTCCATGATCTAAGTGAAAATTCTGATCGGTCGTTGCAAGGTGTTCGGGCTGTTGAATCGAAGACCGAGATTCAGTTCCGAGATCTGCTTCAACTCCGTTTCCGTCATGTCAAATGAGCAACATTCCAAGTTCTGCTTCAGTCTGTCCACGTTGTTTGATTTCGGGATGACGATGATGTTTCTCTGCGTGCACCATCTGAGAAGAATCTGGCCAGGGGCCTTGCCGTACTTCTCCGCCAAGCTCTTTACAACACTCGTCTCGAACAGAGGGGTAGCGTTCTTTGCCGTGACATTGCCCAACTCAAGAAAGGACTGAGGTCCGAACGTAGAGTAGCCGGTGACGGCGATGTTGTTCTCTTGGGCCATCGCAATGAGCTCTGGCTGCGTCAGATACGGGTGATGCTCGATCTGGAGGACCGAGGGCTGAATCTTGGCATAGGACAGCAGATCATAGAGGAGTTGGGTGTGAAAGTTGGAGACGCCGATGCTCCTGACGAAGCCGTCCTGGTTCTGCGGTGTCTTCACGAGGTCTTCAAGAGCGCCCCACGTCTCGGAGATTGGTACTTTCGCCAGTGGCGTGACCTTTGTCTGCTCCTTATCACTCCAGAAACACGGCCATCGGAGCGTCTCGAAAGGAATGAACTCTAGGGCAATGGGAAAGTGAATGAGGAAGAGGTCCAGGTAGCCAAGACCCCAGGCCTCGTTCTCCAGCTTGGCTTGTTGGAGTGCATGCTCCCGCTTGTGGTAGTTGTTCCACAGCTTCGACGTGATGAAGAGGTCCTCTCGTTTCACCAGTCCCTCATCGATAGCTCTTCGGCATCCTTGACCAGCTTCGGCGCTGTTGGTGTAGTCCCAAGCACCATCGAAGTGACGGTAGCCTAGCTTGATGGCATTGTAGACTGTGTCAGCGCAGCTTTCGCGTGGAACCTTCCAGATGCCAAAGCCGACAACCGGCATTTCCTAGAGCAGTTCTGTGAGCCAAGAGTCAAAACATGGAGTATAATGAGTGAGCTTACATAGCCCGAAGCGAGCTTGATAGATGGAACGTTCGCCATGTTGTCCAGAGGAGATCGTAGATTGCTGTCAAACGTCTAGAGAATTGGAAGTTCGCAGAAGAATCTTGAGGAGGGGTTGGTAGTTAAAAGCGCTTGACTCGAAAGCTTCGCTCCACCAAACGAGGGCTGAAACGCTACTTCGACCTGCACTTTCCGACATGAGGTCAAGTTGTTTGCTCCGAGGCGGGGTTTGTGGAGTCATCTTGTCTCGATTCCCCAGACAAATAGTGCAATTGACTCAAACGATATCAGCTCCAGGGACATGACAGTCAATCGATTGATCTAACTCTTAGAGTCCAAGAGCAATTTTCAGAATTCCAATCACTGATGTTTTAATTCTCAAACTACGAGGAAGACGTTAAGAAATTGCAATCCCTATAGATTAAGGCCGAATTAGGCAGGCTCAACCGCCAATACCCCCGCCTTCTTGGAGAATGTTGGAGAAGCGCCAAGATGGTGGGGCAAAGCGGTATTACTTGCTTGATTTGTATATCCGTGCGCGAAGCAACTGGCAGCACCACACATGCACCACAGGTGAGATAGGCTACTATAGTATGCTATTTTTTTGAGACTTCCACGGGCCCACTTGCCCACGTCCAACACTGCCGTCCACCACATCATAGAAAGTCCTATAACAATTATGACGCGAAAAGATCCGTGTTCGACGCAGTAACTTCACCATGCTCATTCATCAGGCCACAGCTCACTCTCACTCGCTTTTAAACAGTCAGCCAGCCCACCGTAGCTGGGCTCTGCCATCGTCAAATCGAGTGATATTCAGCGACGAGCCACCGATGCTCAGAGATCAAGCGAGGATTCCGCCATGATCATTCCAGCAGCTCGCTCTGTAGTGATCTCGTCTTCCTTCATGGCGCTGCGTCTCAGAGCACTGTCATGTGGCCCATCACATGCGTTTCCATAGAACGGGCCACCGTCGAAACCAAGATTGAGGTAATAGGATGACGGCAATTCAAGGTGCTTGAGGCGAGGAAAGAGTTTTAGGATTTCTAGGTTATATTGCGTCATCCATGCCAGTTAGCCATAGCCCCTCCTGATTATCTAGAATAACATAATCCCACTTTCAACGAACCTTGGTCTAATGGTATCTTTGTCCTTCCTTCTTGCAAGTTCTGTAACGGAAAACTGACATTTAACAATCCGGTCAATTCCAATTTGGTTATGTTGAACATATCGTAAAGGACATATGGGATTTCTGTTGGAAGGACGGAGCTCGGAACTAAGATCACACAGGGAGTGATGTCGGTTTAGAAGATGGTTGAGCCAGTTTTTGTTATCTTCAATCTCAGGATGGCGTGAGTGAAGGACGACTTGAGGCTTTTGTAAAGAATATTCACTCCTGGAGAGTTTAAAAATATATTGTGGTGATCACTACTCTAGCAAAATTGTTTTGGAAGCGTAAATGGCGAGCAAAAGGAGTTAAGGAGTTGTATATTGCGATGCACTAGATAAGCAAATTGAGAACAATGCAATTGTAAATTTGAGCATTTCAACAGCTGCAAACATATTTTTTAATGGCACATTGTCATTTTGTGTCTCAACATCTGTCCTGATGGAGGAAAGGGCGTCATTTTGAGTTGGGCGCAAGTAGAATCACGTCTGCCTGGCTGCCTAGAGCCAAGTGGAAACATTCCAAGAATTCTACTGTGTGTCGAGCCCATGTCATAGACCTTCTGGAAGAAAAAAAACTTGATGATTTGGTTACTCGGGCCTTGATAGGAAGGTAGAGACAGTAGCATTGCCTCATATATTGAACTTCCTGACTTCCAGGTATGAAGAGGAGAGTTGGGCACACACCAAATAGGCGATATGTCACTTGTGGTTGGTGTGATGGACGGACTGTGACTCGCAGTAGCTATGCCAATCACATTGGGATGTCTCACCATCAGTTAGCGGAACAATTAAATTTTTAGACAGGAAGGTGGTTAGGATTACAAAAACACTTGGTAGTACAAATGCAGTATATATCTGCCCGTCCTTGGGCCCCCGAAGTGCGCAACCTCGTATAGAGTTCTCCTTATAAACCAGATCCTACCATGCGCACCGCTGTCTCTCTATTCCATGGAACAGTATATCGGCAGCGTCAACCACGACTGGCGGTGCGGTAGGCCCTGTCGTATCGCTTGGGCCTCTAATGTTGACTTGCACATCACTTTCGAGCTGTAACACAACCACCGTATACACTACGGCGGATTCCAACGCTTTCTCTTCCATTTGCGATTGCTTGCCTTTTGGGTGGGTTCTACCCGATTTTTATTCCCCTGGCGTACGTCCAAATGACTAAATGGCCGCCTACTAAAATATGCGCACAGTGTTGATACTACCATTGGCTGCTTTACGTAAGTTGAAATTTGTCGCTGTCGAGTTATACTTCCTTCAAGAGTAGGTTAGTAGTATTCCATAGACAACAGGTTTTTGCCTGTGGTGAGGACATCGCAGACAACCCATTCGACTGCAGTTCAGCTTTCATGCTGACTCTCACTTGAACGAACTTCATCGGCCAAGAGGATCTTGCTTGCCAGCTACAGCAACATAACGACCAGTAACGGGGCTATCTGTGCATATAGTGTGCAAATTCTAGCCGTCGAACCGATGTCGGTGTTATCATCCATATCATTTTTCACACCGTCGACGGAACCAAAACCGTCCCCTCCTGCAGGCTTCGGAGGCCGCGCAATCGCAGGTATCGTCTTTACCGTAGTAGTAGCGTTTGCACTCGTCAGAATTGCTGTTTCTAATTGTCTCGTCGGCAGGATCAACGGATAGGGAATTAACAACAGCAGAACTTGGACAACAAAGGTGTGGGTATTAAAACTGGATGAATGGTCCACACTGCCTCATCCACAAAGACGTGGGGACTATATATGCCTCCTGAAATGTTCGCCTATGATCGTCATGTGCAGGGTACACAGGTGCAAGATCTAGGAGAGTGTTTGCAGTATGCTAGCGCGGGATGTACTTCATGAAGTGCCGAAAATATATAAAACAGCCAAACCCTAAGGTATGGCTAGCGATCTTTATTCTTAAAGACAATGGAAGCCTCAAAGTTCTACCTCAAAAGGTGCTGAAACCTTGCGGTCGATCTCTTTTACGTATACGTGACTTGAGTGCCCAATGGGCGAGTCGGGTAGCTTACCGAGCATAGTTCTACACATTATGCTCCGCAGAAGCTAACAGGCTTGCTACTGCTACAATTGGACGAAATATTTGCTGAACTCTGCCAGCATGGTTTCAAGTTCAGCCTAAAGGGCCGTTCGCAAGGCAATCCAATATCAGATTCTTGGCCGGAAAACACAAGAACGTATTGAGGGAAGTGCAGGGATGACCACATTGACACCATAAACGCAACCGACTGTCTTCTGCTGTTGAACTGTCGGGGCTGTTGCCGGGGCTGTTGCCGGGGCTGTTGGTGATGACGTTATTCAGTCCTGACCAAAACGCTGTGAAATTGCTTGACATTTTCAATCTGCTGTCACTGGAGAATATCCCTATTATGGATTTGGAATACTGCAGATGATATCTTGCGGAACAAGGCCGCGGAAGGTGTCTTGAAGAACTCTTACCGTCCACATACAGTTTGGCTCATTTGACGGACGTTGATATCATTGCGGGGATTATCGGCTCTCCGACAAAGCGATGCGAACGGTACTGACTGTGAGGGCAAGTGAGCCCTGGAACTTCCCATGCCATTTAAGCTCATCGCAACGTGCCGACTGGCTGAGACAAGTATGTCATTCTGAAACACCACAAACCTTGTAATCGGCCAAGAGGAGTGTATTTGAGCGCATGCCATTAACCTGGAGCTCAGGAGAAAATACTACCAACTTGGGTATCATAGCTCATTACCAGACCATTTCATGTCCATTACCATTTTACCATTACCGGGGGCGACCCAACAATCTTCTAGCCGTCAAGATGAATACGCCTCCAGTTTTACCATACTTATGCAATCGTCCAACAGAGGCTTCTCCACGGTCAACTTATGAAGGCGCGACCATTTTCGTCTTCATCATGCCCAACTCGGAGCTCTTGGCCCACAGTCCATCAGGCTTTTGTCGATAGCACATCAGCTTGCCCTCATCTCCTACACTGCCCAAGATCTGACCATCATCGTCGAATCCAACCCTCCAGACGGGCGAGCGGTGGCTATCAAGCTTAGACAATTCCTTGACCTTGTGTTCAACCAGTCCCGGCTGGCCGGTCGCATTGCGCTCGGCGTGGGATCCCGACTTGTCGATCTCGGCTCTTATGCCTGAGAGAGCGTGCGCCTGTCCTCGTTCCTTTCGGGTTCTCGCGGCTGCCTGATCCTCATCCTTCCTATCCTTCTTTACAAGGTCGGCCGTAGACCACGATCTGCCGTCGTCCTTCGCAAAAGGCGTGTCGATTCGGAACACCCTGACGAACCCGTCTTGGCAAGCTGTCGCAATAATGTCGTACCCGCGGAAATTTCCCGGTGCCCAGGCAACATCACGCACCAAACCCGTATGTCCGGTGATCTCGGCCGCAAGGTAGAACTCCTTCTTGCTCGTCACAGCACCGAAGCTTCCAGCGACGGTGTCGCGAGTACGGAAGATTCTCACGGTATTCAATCCAGAAACCACCAAGCTCAGTGCATCAGTAGGTACGCCAGCTCTCAAGGCGGTATAGCAGGGGTCGGGATTCGGATCGAAGCGGACCTTGAAGCAGGTCTCCTCGCCACGACTCGGCTTGGGCAGCGCCTGGAACTCATCGATCTTGCCGTAGTCGGCCAGGGACTCGGGCTCCTCGCTCTCGTGGACAGTGAGCATTCCATCGGCATTCAATAGTGCGAAGTACGTGAAGCGCGTCTCCTCGTTGTGCTTGATCGAAAATGATCGGTAAGGGTATTTGCCAGATCTTGTCTCCGAAGCGGCTTTGCCGTTACTACCACCGCCACGTGAACTAAACCGGCGGCCTGGCGCAGCTGTGTCGTCTTCGGCCCAGAGTTTGAATCGGCCTTCGATGCCGAGCGATGCGAGGATGTTAGGGTAGATTGTGGGTGCTAGCCACTGGAGCTATTAGAGTCGGTCGGGTCAGCTGTCTGTCTGGTCGGGAGTCGCAAGCCATTAAAAGGGCAATTGAGGTCACTTCACAGTGGAAAACTCACCTCTAGAATCTCTCCGCTGTGGGCATCCCAATGATCGCACATGCGCCATATGCCGTCTTTCTGGCGGTTGAAGACGCGGATCTTGCCATCGACCGAGCCCGTCGCGCATCGGTCGCCGTACGCGTTGAATGTCACGGCTTGCACCACGTCGCGGTGTCCATGCGCAATGAGGTCGAAACTAGTGCTATCGTCCATAAGGGACGGCACACTTTCTGGGGGAGGCATCCTCAGCTAGGATACCAGCATAACGACTGGCGGGATCGGTGAAGTAGTGGGCGTGTGATGACTTCATCTGGGTTATTTTGGCCTGAAGGACTTCGACCTGCACCTAATTACGTCGCGGGGTAGCAGGCACGGACCTACACTGTCCGAAGCTACCCATCATCAATGACTGTGACATGTCTAACCTGCGAAGGCGGTCTTTGTGTAAAGGTATAACTTGTTTCTACACATATCTCCTTGATTTCCATGCGCCAATTCATTTACTTGCTTTGAAGTATCTCTTGTTGGCAGCTCTATGCTGCTATGCTACGGTCCCATGGAAGTCTCGTACCAACAAGAGTAGCCATGTACAGACCACTGATACAGTGTTCACGTCCTGTAAAGTTCACACAACCCCCTGTCATTATTTGATTAACCATCAGCTGAGGCGGGCTGGGTGGTGTCATTGTAATATTGTATTTCTATCAAAAGTCTCCTCCACTAGGTATCACAGGAGTTGATGGAAACTGCACCATCTCACATTGTAGAGGGATCTCGTCGTTTCTGGCGGATCGGTGCCCGCGGATGATGTAGGGCAATGCCAATGTAGGCTCAGGCATAGAAGACGGATAAAGAAAAGGCCTGAGCTTATGTGTTATTAAGTTGGAGGAAGACGCTTAGATTTGCATTTACCACAAGAGTTCTATATGGTCTCACGAACTCGTCTTGCCTGTGGCCATTCCCAATAGAGGTCATTGACTCGAGGCTGTATTCCCCCCTTCCCCCCCAGGGCATGATGCTATAAAGAGAATCCATTGAGCATCCATTGGGTGTCTCAGAGCACAGACCGACCACCTTCAGGACTGGGGAAATATCTTCGTTTCCCACATGAACTTGGCATTTGAATTTTCATAGTCATCAAGTAGAGGTAAATACCAGAACAACAGGTCAGGTTCCCAGTACGGAACTCATGTCCGCGTATAATTCTGGATAGTTGCCAATTTGACGGCGGCACCAGGGCCTTGGATAGTTGCCAGCGTAGTATCGTGGTGGTCCAAGAAGGAGACACAAGAGGAAGTCGCGGTCAGGTGCTCAGTGCAGGTTTCGTTGTAGCGCCCTTAAGGTAACCCTAGTCTCTAATCCGTCTTTGTGGCGATAGCACGAACCACCAAACATGCAAAATTTGTCAGGTAATTGCCCAGTTCACTTCAAATATAACGAAACATGTTATTCTTGACACTCCGCTTCATGGATACGGGCTGTCCATCCTCATACTCGACACCAGCATCTCCACCTTCGCCCGAGAGACCTGACATCTTTTCCTTCATCTCCTCGTCAAGTTCCGCCATGGTCTTCTTCCGTTGCACTACCTGCGGGGATTGTGGTGAAGTTATATCTTCTGATTTTGATGCATCCTTGCTTGGTTGAGTTTCTTTAGACAAATCTGGTTTGCCACTCGCGAATCGTCTGGGGGAGCGCAATGCAGCAATGACGGGCAAGTGCCCAGAAAGGCTAAAGCCACGTTTGGGGGCTCTCTTAAGCATCTTGACGCGTTGAATAGTAGGTGTAATTAAGCAGATAATATGATATAGGATGAATATGGTTTGAAGACAGAATGTGGATGTCCATCCAGTCTGTCGTCCACTGTAGCTATGACGTACACTGTCTGCAACCCAAGCTGTGCCCCGCTATTGACGGAATGTGATGTGGGGATGAATGTGTAGATGGATCGCTCACAAGACCCGTCTTCTCTGAAAGCCCCAATGTGGTTGAGGAGGGTGGGTGATTACGTGCCAATATTTCAGTTCATTGTCAACACCACAATTCAATTAGACTACGTGGAAGTCTTGGGCATCGTGGTATGCTCATTGGTCGGGTTCTCCCTTAGAGCTACTCGGACAACCATAAATTAATGAAAGATTCGCAAAGTTCTAACCAACATCAATCAACCTTTGCTATTCGTTGCGGAGCGTGCGAGCGTTACCATCAAGTCAGAACTTTTTGTCGATGTGGCAGTTGGAAGAGACGTTCCAAGACGATCACACAGAGCAGCATCCGTTGTGAATGATCGCGTGGGCCCCTCTACCTTGGTCTTCTTTGTGGCTTGTGTTAACTTCCCAAAACGTGTAAGAATCTAGTCCGGCCCTTAAGAACGAGCTCGTTTCCTCTCTTGTTTTGGACGTACCGGGACCATTATAGAACCCAGCAGCCATCAAGAAGCGGGTGACACAAGTCTTCTAGTCCGTCTTGGTTACTTTGCCAACGAGGAACATGTTCCATCTTTGGGCTGCGATCAAGCTGTTCATATCATTCCAGTTTATGCTGTGGCCTTCGTTTCTAAGGATACTGTATAAGAGTGCTAGATTGGAGACGCCTCCAATGATCTTTTCCGACGTTATATCGGCATATTACACCACGCTTTGTGCGGCATGAAGAAGTGCGCCGCACAGCATTGGATGACTATGCAGAATATTAAAGCCTTTGTAAGGACTGGTGCTACCGCTTGCATGTGGCTGCTTTTCCATCTAGATTGAACACCGAGCCACACAGTAGAAGTGAGCTTGGTCCCTTTAACCTTGCTACCCGTGTATTCACACAAAAGTCTGGACAAAGCCTAGGAAGATTGCTACAAAAATTGTGTAGCCCTCACCATAGCATACCTAAGGGGTTTGTGAGGCTTTATTTTTTATTTGCAATGCCCCTGAGGCAAGATCTAAGTGATTTCCAAATCCGTGATACTGACCAGAACCATGCAATAGTTACCACAGCAATGTAATCTGATATTCTATAGTAACCGAACATCGCATAGCGACGAACGCCATTGACTATCTGATTATGTGGTGGATGGTTTCGAAAGCTAACCCTAATCTTCCAGTTATGTCAATTTCAACTTACACTTGTCCCTATTTCAGTCCGAAGTTCTTTTGCGAATGCTCACCGCCACCTCCGAATCCAAGAACCTAATGTAGAGTCGACACGCATTACGATGTACTGGCTTGAAAACATTGAGGTTTCACAAACTGTACACAGCCTTGGTCTCCTTTGTAAGACTAATCCACCTAAACTCCGGATTTGGCATATTCCCCAAGCTGATGAGGTTGACAGATGTCCCAAGTCATCATCCAACCCTCCATGGCTGCCAGCTTGAGTCGTTATATTTGTAGCGCCCTTATTCCAAAATTCTCTTTCATCCTCAGCAGCCTGGTCTGAAAGGTTGTCACGGCTGTGCGACTCGAGAGACTGTTGGGTGTCGACTCAATGTGGTTGACTATTTGTACCTGCGGAGTAACGAAAGGGAAAGCTAGGCTTCTTGCATAACCTCTGATGCGATGGCATGATCGACGGCAGGTAGTGTGACAAGCGGGTTGAGAGCTGGGACGAAGGCACAAATGATTCCGGAATGGATCTCGAGGTAGTCCCAAACACTACCAATGATGTCTTCTTGTCTGACTTGCATATGTGGTGGGACGATAGCGTGGATAGGGATGAGCAAAAGCATATGCCAATCAAGAAACTGGCGATACTTAGCGCCAGCATGGACACCATCAACGGGACGCAACTCCAAGTGAGACTCAACTCGCATTGCAGTGTAGTATGGCTACAATTGAAAATAATCAGGAGCAATACATTACCCTGTATCAGCTGACTATTCCAACCAGGCCGTAAACATCCAAACGGAATGACCATCCTCGTCAGAGTCTCAGGTGAGAGACGAAGGTAGACAACTGGGTGAACGAGACGGCAGAGGAGTATGGCAATGTCATTCCTAAAACGATCTGCAATATGTTAGTAATCTCTTTCCTATTCTCTACTCCTGGAACTAGATCTACTAGCAGAAATGGCGGGCGATAGTCAGACATGCAAACATTCCACAGATCAACTCCGGCGCCGTATTTTGGTAGCTGAAGTGACATCAGCAAACGTGACTGGTGATTTTGGTCGGCACGACTCACAATTTAGGGTGAAGCCAAAGAAAGCAATTAAAATAGCCATCGAGATAAAGACTAGGTCTTCATTCGTTGTCAGCTGGTTTCTGTCCGGATTATCAGGAAAAGTCGGTGCCACTCACAATCATCCCCCACCTCCATTCCATTTAGAACCACGTAGATTCTCGTGAACAGCCACAAAGCCAATGACATGAAGGCAAAAACTGTCGTCACTACTCCGAAGGCAGCAATATCCGACACAGTACTTCAATGGTTTACAGGATTTCATGTAACGCCCACTGGAGTGTAGTAACGTAAAAAGATTACACATGTTTTACAATGGTCTTGAACTTGACAACGAGTTAATCAAACGGGGATTTGAAGATTTTAACTAGTTAGTTCTATTGGGACCCATTGCGGGAGGAGCCACACCCTCGGGCCGTTATTACCCCGAGACGAATTCCCGATCATCTGGGCTCGTCACCCGCGACTTCCCATAGCAATATCGTCGACAACGTTGTCGCCTCCAGAGGTACGGAAAAGGCTCCTCCCGCAACAGCTTCCCCTCCCACCACAAACCCGATTATGTATGTACTTCTGTAATAGCTTCCCTCTTAATAAAAAGAGTGCCAAGGGACCCATCTGTGGCCCCTACGGCGGTATAGGCCTCTAGGACGCGAACAGAACGCTCCTACTAGCGTAATTGCTAGTCGAGGCCTGCACCGCCCATTAAGCCACAGGTGCCCCTGCGGGCCAAGCTTTCATCAATTGTGCCTTCCTATTCGAGTATAGCAAAGGGGGAATAGAAAAATTGGAATAAGGCCAGCAGTGAATTAATCTGGTTAGCTGGTTGGAGAGTACAGCTTCCCCTCATTCCAGCGGTGGTCAGCACAGAGCACTTCCTGGCATTGTCACCAATCTTGATATGGCAGACTTGACATACTCGAGCCGTAGTTACTTCTGTGGCTCGAAATCAGCCAGTGCATGAACTAGACCCTTGAACCACACCCAAAGTACTCTTTCAACAGTACTGAACTTTTCCTGCCATTACAAGACGACCAAATCGTGGATGTGAGTGTGAGCCCCATATACTAAGGTGTGTACTTGCAGATAGAGGCAGCATCATCAATGTTGCGATTGCCTGTAGTATTCACAGCTCGCCCTACTATAGTGGTTATATTGCGTCGAAACAAGGACTGCTTGGATTGACGAAGTGAGTTCTTTTTTCTTCTTCTTGCCTTGTCTTCCTCTGATTTCTTTTCAGTCAAGTACAGGAACTACTTGTAGGAGTGTAGATGCGCCGCGTTCGAAGGAGCCGCCAGAAATATCCGGGCCAACTGCCTATGCCCGGGAGGAACTCGATCACAGATGACATCGACTCCCTTCGAATTACCAGATGGGTTATTGTACCAAGCCAGGGGAAAGTAATTGCCACAGCTCTATCGTCGGTATGCAGAGGCCGAAGAGATCGCAGCCTCCATCCGTTTTCTTCTCCGCGACGAGACGAGATTCGTCACCAAAGCTAGTTGAGCTATAGACAGGGGTGTTATAGGGGTCACTCGCCGGCTAGGTGGCATTTCAGGGCCGCATTACACGACGTGCAAGGATAAGTTGCTGTGTCTGGGAAGAAACTCCACACTCTAGCTTCGCGGTCCCGCGGCAATAATATACCAGCGCCTAAATTCCTATCGTAATTGGCTGCACAACTCTTCGGTTCAACGTACCGGGACCCCAACCAGATATCCTTGCTCCCAATACGGCTGTCTCTGCAACATGTATATATGTACATTTAAGTTGCGCATTCGTGGTGAACTCATATGTTTGTAGACAAAATCGAAAGCCAAAATATTCAAGGGAAAACAGCAATTTTTGATCATGAATAATTCGCAATCTAGCGGCGGTCCAAGCCAGAATATTGACTTGAACGAGGAACAGCACATGAGTCAATTCGGGATCTCTATCAATGGCTTCTGCCTGCAAGCTGAGGGCAACAACCCCAGTTCCCCAGGCCGTATTGCAACGTAGGTTGCGTGATATGAAGTAGGTTTGGAGAGAATAGGCTGTTAAAAGTTTTGTCAGGGGTAGCACGATTTCGGACCCCGACTTCGTTTCAGAAGAGGGCGGGAGAACATTTCAGTATTACAAACAAGGAAGTATGTCCTCCTGCTGACCGGAAAGGCTTTGAAAATTCATTGATAGGTACTTAGAATATTTTCTGCCGAATGATGGTGTAAGTATCACCTTCTCTGGCTTTCCAGTCTGAGCGAAGATGTGCTTCAGTGTACCTAACCCATATCTAGGTTGAACAGAATCGTCTAGGTATGTTGATATACCACTTATGCCACCTAAATGCTGATAATCGTATCCCCAGACTTACAACATGAGATGTTCCGTATTCTCCTGGATGGTGCGCTTGCTGCGGCTCCCATTGTGAACCCCGGATACGTATTGGATATTGCCACGGGGACAGGTCTATGGGCCATTGACTTTGCCGAAGAAAACCAAGCCTCGCGGGTTATTGGAACCGATCTGAGCAAAATCCAGCCATCGCGGCTCGACATCCCGAACTGCAGCTTCATCAGGGAAGATTCCGAGGACCCGTGGGTCTTTCCTTGGAAGTTCGACTACATTCACCTGCGACAGGTCTGCACGTGTTTCGCCGACACCAAAGTGGTGATTAAACAAGCCTTTGATAACATGAACGAGGGCGGATGGATCGAGTTTCAGGATTCAAGTGTGCAAATCATGTCGCTTGATGGTACAACACAGGGCACGCGTATTGAGAGATGGAGCCAGCTCAGTACGTAGTCAAACGACCTGCTGCCTCACCTCCTCACTGCAGGGAGCCAGACACCTTGGAGCCTCCTGTTTCCGAGACCTGGCTTCAGAGTTCTAATACTCGTGTCATGACCAAACGAGCATCACGCTGACCTTAATATCACAGTGGGTCGGGGATTGATGGCTCTAGGAAGAGACGCAAACAAGGCGCGTTTCTATAAGCAATGGCTCGAAGAAGCTGGTTTCGTCGACGTGGTTGAAAACAAATACCCGTTCCCAAGTAAGTGACCCCAAGTCCCTCTACACAAACCTGGCGACTAAGAGTACAACTATCTTTAGTCGGTCCCTGGCCGACCAACCCAAAGTTCAAGAAGCTTGGAAGTTACAACCTAACCAATGTTCACGAAGGATTTTCGGGCATCTCCTTGAAAGTACTCGCAGCAGCCGGTCTGTCTGGTCCGGAGACGGATGAGCTTGTAACGCAGGCCCTGGAAGATGCTTCGAATCCCCAAATCCATGCCCTTTGGCCCATGTGAGTTACCAGGTCCGTTGATGGATATCAATCCTTTCTAACAAGTCATTGCCATTTGCAGATGGATCGTATACGGAAGAAAACCATTCCCATGGGAAACCAAATATTTTCCTGCGCGACCCCCGAATCTCCGGATGTGGCCATCTGAATACCACCCAGGCCCTGCAACGTAGTCTCCACAGAGTGACACGGCAGCACCAATTTCCTGAGACGTCCCTCAACCTCGCAGACTGGCAGTAGCCACCTCTGTCGAGTTCATGGAATAACCTCTGCTTGAATAAGTATGTACTGCGCCCACCAAGGAACAGGTCTGCCTGTATTTTGTTACAATCTATACATGATGAAAATAGATGAAAATGTAAAAAGTTGCAATCATAGTGGTCAGTGTGGCAAGCTGAAGTTGCTGTGTTAGGGATCCCGGACTTCATGCTGCGCTGCGCTGCTCTCTATTGGAACTGACAGTATCCCGTGACTATGTATGTATCATGAAGAACATATCTCTCCATAATCACAACATTAAGGTCATTCGACCTCGATTAATATTCGATTCTTTGTTCCTCGGCGCTGTTGGTGCTCGAGGTCGATAAACTACTAGCATCTTGCCTAGGTGAATAGAATTGAGCAGCCTCGGTTACAAAATGGAACGCTAATATATTAGGTCTTCCTGGGTATAAGCGTACCGAGGCGTACAGGTTGCCTTTCCTCGCTCTCCGCACATCGGATATGAATGCTCATCTAACGCAGTCAAGCTACCTTCTGTACACCAATGTTAGTTGAAGGCTGGCTTGAAACGCTTGATGATATCCTCAATGATGTATATTACCCCAAGAAACATAACACTAAGTCCATAAAGACGTTATTCTTGGTGTTGTGATGGCTACGTGGATGGGTTGAAGAATTCCTTGGTAGAGTGTATAAACTCGTGCAGATAGAGCCATCGCGTTGATGAAGTCATGCGCATACTCTTCCTCTGCTTAATGCTCAGCCCATGTATCGAGTAACTTTATAGCCAGCGGCACCTACATCTGATGTCATGACACTGCGCTCTCCCAAATCCACTAGAAAGTCAACGGGTACCTTTTTCTAATCCTCTCTCCAAATCTATGAATGAGCACCGGCACCGGGATCATGGCGACACAGAGAAACCCCAGTAGACTATTACCCCAACCCTATATATGGAAGTTAGCATACCCCCTCGTTAAAACCAAATATGTAAATTAAGTCATGAGCTAGAATAAATACGTACCAGCCCCAAACTCTTAAACATAGCCGGCCCCGCCAGCGGTAAAAACGCCGCAATGATGCTCCTCAACACCGTGAAGGCCGCCAGGCCGCTCGCCGCATAAGCCGAATACGCGTCAACAATGTACGCCTGGGCGGGCATCCAAATGCCGATAACACCCACACCCAGTGGGAACAGGCCCAGAACCGGCACAATCCAGCACACCTGCTTGTCGATAGCCCAGCCGTACCAGAAGAAAGTGATCGGGGTGATAATGGCATAATATATCATGAGCGGCAACCGCATCTCAGGCTTGAAAACGCCCCCGTTGGCCTTCGACAACCGGATGACGGTACTGTCCGAGAGTACGGAGAAGGCGAGGAGTCCGGCGAAGAAGCCAAGGGCGAGGGCGATAAAGGGAAGCCCGGCGACTCCCGGGCTCCACCCATATTGGTTCTCAAAGACGGGCGAGATCGTGTTGAACATGAGGTAGACGGTGCCGTAGACGAAGGAGACGTAGATGGAGAGGATGGACACGATGGGCGTGAAGACAAGGATCTGCAGGGGACGGGTGAGGCCGATGCGGAGGACAGCGCCGCGGGAGAGGCCGCGTGTCTGCTCCGTCTCGTAGCGGCTTTCGAGTTCGGGTCGATTGAGCTCGGCACGGAGCGCTTTGACCTTGCGGTCTATGAGGACGCGATGGTTCGTCTCGGGGAGGAGGAAAAATAGCAGGATGGTGCAGATGACGGATGGGATCATGACTATCCAAGGGGCCCAGCGCCAGCCGATCGAGCCCGCAATGAAAGCTGCGAAGTTAGCACCGACTCCTATTCAATTTCCTGAGAGGCCTGCTCTGGCGTGAAGAAGCAGTGCGATGGGACGAACAGGTATTTTGGAAGACGGGGGACTCGATCATATGAAAAAGGCAGCAAGACTTCTGAGCCGGACATACCTCCAATAACGGGTCCGAGGGACGGGCCTAAAGTCAAGCCAAGGGTCCATAGCGACATGGCGAGTCCCCGTTCCTCTACAGGGAACATATCTGCGATGATACCTATGAAGCGTCCGAGGTGAGCAATAGCCAAACCATAGAGCTCAAGAAGTTACTGACCTCCCCCAAGTGTCATGCATCCACTACCTCCGACCCCCGAGAAGAAGCGAAACACAACCAGACTGCCCAAGTTTGGCGCGAGGGCAACGCCAATGTGCCAGAGGCAGAAGAATATATTCGCTGTCGTCAACACGACCGCTCTGCCGTGAATCTCAGACAGAGGGGCGAGAAAGAGCGGCCCAAACGCATACCCGAGTAGGTAGATGGAGACGGGCATTGCTGCCAGGGTTGTCGACGTGACGCTGAACTCCTTGCTGATATCTGCGATGGCTGGGGCAAGGATGGAAGACGACAGTGGTGTCATGAGACTGACGAAGGCGACCAGGGATATGATCCAGCGCTTCCTGTTAGTGGCATAGTTGAGTGGCATAATTGGGTCGTCCTGGCTTTCCCACCCAACTACGCCTTTTTCGAGCTCAGACAGGGGCAAGGGGGCAGCAGTTAGATGGTCCTTTCGGCTCTTCTTGCTTCTCCTGCTTGCTCGGCTGCGAAAGGACTCGACTCTTGCTATCTCGTTCTGACGATTGTGAGCATCTTTGGAAGATGGTCTTGCACCGAGTATGAGTTGGAGATCAACTTACTTGTGCGCTTTCTATCTCGACGGCCCCCTCGCCTTCCGAACTACCCCGTGTCGATTTCTTATCAGAATCGCTGGCCCTTTCATGGTTGGCGCTTGAGCGTCGAGAATGATGCAGGTCTTGGTCGAATGAGACGCGAGCCAAGGCATCGGCTGGTTGGTCACCGCCGACTTGGGCTTCGATGTCTGAGTTTGTCGACATATTTGACTGAACTCAAAAGGGCTGGTAACTTGTGACTAGAGCCTTGCGCAATGCTGGGGTATGCCGGACAGCTCAAAGTAGATAAATTGCAGACACAACGAAGCTGAATTGTCGATGGTCACGACACAGAGGTTAAGGCTCGCAGAAGAAAAGCAGACAAAAGGTGAAAGTGGTTGAAGCCACCCAGGCTGGGAAGCACCTGCCCCATGTACAAGGGCTGACCAGAATTTGGGTCGGATATAAATTGCAGTCACTCACTATCACGTCCGGAGCCAACAGGCCAAGCCAATTGCAAAACCTATGGCCCCCAATACGTCACCCTAGGGTCGCGTTGCTAGACTGGGTTAGGCTTATGGATCGTTCCCTTCCATGGGGGCAGATCTGTCACACTGATGACTTTGGCCATGGCACCCGATAGGCAGGGATGCCAGACGCCTTTGCAGGTGTGTGGATGCACCAGAATCACTAACTGAAATGTAAGACAAGGAATGGAACCGTAGGCTACAGATAGCTGCATGAGTACCGTGAGCTAACGACAAGAGAGAACTGTAGGATTCGAGGCTGACCTGCGCTTGCATCACACCTCGAAGTGACAACACGACGTTGACGAGCATTTGGACCAACGAAGTACGCCTTCGTGAGACCACTAATTTAACAGCAGGCAAAGGACTCAAATAGTGACCAGGGATGTCATTCCTGGGCAGCAGTTCAAATCCTAGATGGCAAAGTGTAGCGATGATGATGAGTGACAGACCAGGCCGAAGGTTGAACTTGTTGGTTGGACGTTGAGGCCGATTCTGATCGACACCAAGTCACGCTCAATCCTAGCTTGCGGCCAGATGGAGAAGAGGAGCTGGGAGGAGTTGAGACAATGTGACAGTATTTACAGACACCGCACACTTGCTCAATTCTTTCAAAATGCAATGGCGAAAGGTAGTACAGAAGAGTGCTGACCACTCGCGTCGTCTCCAGTTTTAGCGCCATACTAAGATCCTCACACTGTTGGTACTTACTTGGAACTTGGTAGCACTGCTTCAGATGAGCTTGGCGATCTGATTACACCACTCACAGGATTTAAGATGGTAGCCCAAAATACTTCTGCATCCTACTAGATTTTAGGGTTCGTTAGGTAATCACGCCCTTGCACATAAGAATCTGCCATGTTAAGGTACTGAAGGTCCTACGCAAATTGTATGCGTAAATTAGTAACTTAACATGGTCCACTTCCATCCACGCTAACATTTTGTGCTTATGGCGCTAACAGTAGCTGCTAGCATCCCGTTCGACCCCACCCCCGGCAAGATGCCCGAATCATGCACGGACTCTCTTCACGACTCGTAATTCGAGGCTGCTCAGCCTTGTTGGATCCGCAAGGCCACGAAAGCCGATCCATTATCGATACCTTACCGGGTTACAGCTTTCTCAGCAGCCAGTCCCGTCCACTTTGTTTTTTGCAAACCAAAAACCCAATCACCGACTTTCTTGCACTGAGATGTAGCACACCAAAAAAAAAAAAGAAACTGCCAGCCACGATGTCGACTCCAAGCACAAAGCCGACCGATCTAACGCGCTCTGAGACACTCAGTCTCAGCGCCCTGGCCCTCGTCTGCTTCACTGTCCTCGCCAATACATTCCAGGGTGAAGGCGAACCCCTGATCGCATCGCTTGCCCTCAGTGGTCTTGCCTTCGCAGCAAACTATTCTATGATCCGATGGCTGGGACCATCTTTCATCAAGGCCGGGCTGAAAGGTCGTGACATGGCCAAGGTGAATAACAAGTATGAGCTGCCCGAGTGCATGGGGGCCATTTGTGCGGTCGTTTACCTACTGGTGATCATCATCTTCATTCCGTTCCCTTTCTACAAGGACATAGTGGTCGCTACTAGTGGTGGTGGAAACCGGGATGTCGTCATGAACGTCGAGTACGTGCAGAAGGGACGGCTGTTGCACAAGTTCCCGCACAGCAAGGTACGTATCATCGCTATAGCCTTGTACATCAACCCATTGTTCTTCAAGAGGAGCATCGACACAGGTGGTTAACAATTGCACTACGCACAGCTCGCTTCCTTCCTTTCGGCCATCATCTCTCTTCAGTCGATCACCCTGCTTGGCATTGGTGACGACCTCTTCGATATCCGCTGGCGGCACAAATTCTTCATCCCGGCCTTCGCCTCGATCCCGCTTCTTGTCATCTACTTTATCGACTTCGGGGTTACTTCAGTTGTCCTACCCACCGTACTACAACCGTACGTCGGTCGCGAACTACTCGACCTTGGGTTCCTCTACTATGGCTACATGGCCGCCTTCTGCATCTTCAGCCCCAATAGCATCAACATTCTGGCTGGCATCAATGGCATTGAAGTGTTGCAATCCATCGTCATCGCCCTCCTCCTGGCCTTCAACGACGTTCTCTACCTCGTAACCCCGTACCCGCACCCAGCAACCGACAGCCACCTGTTCTCGCTGTACTTCCTATTGCCATTCCTCGGCGTCTCCTTCGCCCTACTGGCCCACAACAAATACCCTGCTCGAGTTTTCGTCGGCGACACGTACTGCTACTTTGCGGGTATGATTTTTGTGGTGGTGTCTATTCTGGGCCACTTCTCGAAGACGTTGATTCTGCTGCTCGTACCCCAGATCTTCAACTTCGTATATTCGGTGCCCCAGCTCTTTGGTCTGGTCCCCTGCCCGCGCCACCGACTGCCCCATTTCAATGCGCGAACCGGACTTCTTGAGCCGAGCGTGACCAAGTGGGGGGACAAACAGCCACACCTTATCATCGAGTCGGTGCTACACTTGTTGGGACGGTTGAAGCTACTGCGGGTCAAGGTCGACAATGACACGGGCCGCATCCTCGAGACGAGCAACTTCACCATCCTGAACTTGTGGCTGGTGTGGCGGGGTCCACTGCGCGAGGATCGTCTAGCGTGGGAGATCACGGCTATGCAGACGGCCGTGGGCCTCTTCGGCTTGTTTATCAGACACCGACTCGCCCTGCTGGTTTTCAGGGAGGACAACTGGGGCATCGGAAGCGCCGTCTAGACGACTGTTTCTCTCGATGATTTTCAAGTCTGTCCATATAGTCCCATGTGGGGCCCGCTGTGGTTCTAGAGAACAAAAGTGGCCTCAATAGACTATTTCAAGACCAAAGGCATGATGGTCATGTTTCTCTGTAAGGCCGCTGTTGGTATCGCTCCTCGCCCCGGAACCAATCTGCTAATATTTGGGTTTCTGCCTAGCAAACAGAAACCACAGCAGGCAAATTGATTCATCCCGCCGAATCTAACCTGGAGGCTGAAGGGAACACGCAGCACAACATTATATCACACCATGATAATGAGTTACTTATCTCTCAGTGCCGGCGGTGGATCAGAATTTGCAAGATGGGTTGCGATAAGAATACTTGCATTTATGAGTCCAGGTCTTCCACCTTTTCAAGAGGAGTGGGAAAGGGAGATAACCCCCTTTTTCCGTGACGCACTTTCCACACTAGTTGGTCACCTATGAGATGAGACGACGGGAGGTCGTCGCATGTCTATACCCCGTGAACCTATAGACCAGCATACCTACTACTGATGGACGACCGAGTGGCGCCCTCGTACGTATATAGTTGTACATAGCTGTGATTATTGAGAACCCAGAATTGGAAGTTTGATGGAAGTTCAAAATCTTGTGCATTAACCTCGCCAAAGCTTGTCTTCCAACCAAGGGCATAGGTGTTGTATCATTTTCCGACCGCATTGCCTGGAGTCGGCAGTGAAGTTCAACATCTCTTCGGTACGCATGGTCCTACTTACCTGGCGTGTCCAGAAAGCGCCGGTCCCACTACGATGTCTATATGTCATACTTACCCAATCAGCACAGTTCAACAATCCATTTCCGTTTCACAACGCTATTCATGTCACTTTCATAAAACCAGGAGGAACAGCGAGGTGCTTTGCTTCCAGTGAGTAGCTGGTTCATAATTGCTTTGGTCTTGGTAAGGATGCACGCGTGCATGGAGAACAACTCGACTCGTCAGGTCGGTCCTCAATCCAAGACACTTGCTTTCCATCGGAAAATCGGGATTGTTTTCTTGGTCAACCCTCGACTCCAAAAGCCATAATGGTACAAATAACACAGGGAGGCGGCGACGGCGGCTATAACCTTTCCGAACTCCATTCTACAGTTTTCCCCTTTCCTCCATTGTCATCAATGCCCTTGACCTCTTCCTCCCCGTTAGCCGGGAGTATGTGGTGGGTGTGTACGTACGTGCCTGCCTTTCCATAACACCAAGGGGTATTGACCGCCTCCGAACAGATCCGAGAAAATCGTCTTTTCCCAGGTTTCATGCTAAAGCCAGTGTAGCAAGCCGTCCTGGATAGTAGTAGTAAACAAGGGCCATCAACTGTATAAAATGACGAAGGCCTAAACCTATTTCATGAAAACCCAATCAATCAGCCCCTTTGCTGCCCAGCCAAACCCTTATCAATCATCCATAACGCCAGACGCAGAAATCAACGCGGCCTTGACAGCGCCAGCCAAGCCCTCCCGCTTTTATACGATCGATCCGTCTGAAGGACAAGCGGTGTAGATTTGAGAAGAGACCTTGAAAGATGCCGACAGAGTAGCTGCTAAAAACATACCCTTTAGTCGCACACATCTACCAGGCCCAGCTCTATATGGTACAAAGAAAATCCAGCACCGTAATTCTGCTGACAGAACTATACTCATCATGGCTCGGCGTTGTCGACTGGCACTGGATCCAACAGTGGCACGTCAGTATTCGTTGGTGATTTAGATTCATCCGCAGCAATACTTGGCGGCTTGAGCGACGCCCCCACCGGCTTCGCTGCAACAGTCTTATTCATCCTGCTCTTGGTGTAATCACTCAGACTGAGCTTCTTCTTCACCGGACTCGGGTGAGCTGGGTGAGAAGCAATGCCATTCATTGAGGTTCGGCCGAATGGGCTTGGCAAACTGCTCGCAGAAAAAGCTGATTGTACCGTTGAGGCCGTTGCCGATAATGGTGTTGTCGCAGACACGGCGGTTTTCGGACTATTCGAGCTACTGAAGGCAGGGACAGGCGGCATTTGAACTCGAAGCTCAGGCGATTTAATCTTGACAACCAGTGCGTCATTGAGAACGACGGCTGGAGAGGGAATGTTCGGAGGAGAAGGCAATGCTGCCGGTACATCCTTCATCGGCGTATCAACAACCGGGTCTGTTCCACCAGACGGCACCGGACTGCCTTGAGTTGTACCAGATGATGCGAGTTGAGCCGTTTCGCTTGAAGGTAAGTCCAAATCCATCTTAATCATAGCGGATGTCACTGAAGTTGGCGAACCGGCTGATGGCTTTCGTCGCTGTTCCTCGTCTGCTCGTAGGCGATGTCGGTTCTCGAGCAATCGCTTTGAAAGGGATACCACACGCCGCTTTGGCTTTGCTGATTGGCGGGTTGGGCTGAACCATTCCCCATCTACAGGATCCGTCTGAACAGAAGCATCGCAGTACTCTGGGTGGGGGCCTTCGGATGAATTGCGTGACGGAATTGGCATGGAACCAAGCCTAGATGTAGTGTACTTGTTGTGGTGACCCGCAGTATATGGTGATGTGGCGCTTGAAGGAGATCCAGATATGCTTCGGTTTGTTCCAGCATCAACGTAGCGACGCTCTGATGTTCCATTCGGGAGACCTGGGGTCCGGCTGACAGAGTTGCGCGATTTCTGTTTCGAGGTATTTGAGCTCACTGTACCATCCGAAGTTCGCTTCTTCTTTCGTGGTGGTTGTTGCTGCTCCATACGGCGGAAGGAATCCTCAACCATGGCAACTTTCCGTTTGTCTCTGTCAGTGGGCTCCGTTAAAATGCCTAACGTGTCAAAAGACCCTTGTCGTGCTGGGGTCATGTCTCGGCTAGGTGGTTTACTGCGCGATGATCCAGAGTCATTCTCCCCGCCATCATCCCCGTTGCCCTCGCTAGGAGCACGGCTATTTGTAGCATGGCCAGTACTTGTTGGAGAGATAGTATGCGTCTTTTGTTTCCTAGGCCTCTTTCTGCTTGAGTTGGACTGGGATTGCGACCTGAGCAGGTAGTGCCGGTGGAATTGTTGAAATGTGCAATCTGACCCTAGATCACAGGCGCAGCCTCCGTACTCCGAGAGGATTTGATACAACCACTGGGAGATGGTCTGGTACAATTCGAGGTCGTTGACGTCAAACTCAGGTTGAGAATTAGTTTCGTCGTCGCCCATGCCGATGAGCCTCAGCATTCTGTCTCCATCCTGTTTGGGGAGTCGGAAGTCCCACGGGATGGTTATTTGCTGGTTAGGTTCTATTCGACGGTCGCTCACCAGCCAGAAGTGGTACTCGGAGGGTTCGGAGAGATATGTGTCCAATACAGCGTTGGGTTTGCAGCTTCTCCGCACATAACGGGCAAGCGAGCCTTCTTTCCTCGTGTCAATATACAATGGTAACATAGGATGGAAAAAGACGAAGGGAAGAGGTGAGCTCAGGTCCGCCCATCGATTGTCGGGATTTTCGCAGTAATCCTTCTGGATGCCAATCTGGCCGTTGAGTTCCACCAGTGGAACGTCCTTCTCGATGGCGTACGGTGCGGTTAGATACTGCCATTGTAATTCTCCATCGGCAATGGGCTGTTTCTTGTGCGCCACCACTGGCGTTCGCTTGACCGAATCGATGTTTGCAGGCAGGTCCTGGAAGACGTCTTCGAACTTGCGGCCGGTCTCCCGCCACAGTTTTTCACGATCTCGAAGCCAGAGGGATATGTGGTTTGAGATAACGAGGCTCGCGAAGGAATTTGAATGGACTATTTGGAAATCGCGGTCGTCATTATACAAGGAGAGAAAAGCGCTCGAATAGTCGTGGATTTCGAGGTCGGCAGGGTGGTCGGGGGGCGTCGTAGCCGGACTAGGAGGATGCCCATGAGGGTTGCCATTCTTCTGGCCGCAGGAAGGACTACGCTTCAGAGCCTGGGAACTAATCGGATGGTTCGGTCGGTGTGTGCTTTTGGATTTCTTGTGCTGGTGAAAGAGTGTGTGATCATTGTGTTTCGTATTTGAATCAGATCCGCTGTGTCCGTTCAGTTGAAGGTCGTTGGGCTTAACCTTCTTCTTGTGGCTCTTGGATGGCGGCCTCTTAGGCTTCTTCTCCGATACACCCTCGGTAGTGGGCTTGCTGTGTCGCAACCTCTGTCGCTCGATAGCACGCTGGCGATCCAGCAGTCTAGGTTTGCAGTCGGCACACGAATGAGCAAAGTCTTCGCGGTAAGCATCCTGGATGTTGTGGGGATAGAAACATTCGATGTGTTGCCATGTGTCGCACGTTTCGCAATATATCGTGTTCCCGTCATCGTCAGAGTAGTTGCAAATACACTTGATGGTGTACGGCTCTTCCTCAGCCATCTCGACCTTATTAGAGACATGATGCACGATGGAAGGATTTGATTTGGGACTGAGGGCGGTCGTCTGACTCGGAGCCACGATATGCGTTGACAGCGAAAGGAATTTTTCTGTCATAATCTAACAAGACACCTCGCGAGGTGGTTTGGGTGTCGGAGGGTTCTGTTGAAGAAGTGGGTTTACCGTCGTAGTCGGGAGAGCATGACGAAGCCTGGCTCAACGCGATAACGGCTTCCAGAGGGGTCGAGAGCGAGATGATGCCGTGATGGGTGACCATCCGTCGAAGTCGTTGGGTTTCGTAGATCGTAGCCGCGGTTATGCTGTTTTCCTGCTCGTGGTCAAATTGTACGAGGTGTTCCGATCGCACTCGAGACCGGCCTCAGGCGCGCGCACAATGGTCGACAACAAAGGACACGTCGAGCACGAAAGGAAACTCAGATGTGCAAATTGAATGAGGCAATTGAAGCGGTTCGTCGGGCTGGGAATACCCAAAACAGAGTATGCCACGAGACGAGGCGATGCGTGGAGGGCCAGAAGGAGGATTTGGGTTCTGATCGCGAATGGGTGCGTGGCGATGGAGACGACGAATTCTAGATTTGGAACGGGGAAACTTGCGCCTCGACACAAAATAGGCTTTGAGCGGGTCTCAACAGAGGTATCGGGGCGAAGACTAACAAATTCGAGTAATTCAAAGAAATCGCCGGTTCGGACCAAAAGGAAATATTAATTGCGTCAAGGAGAAGTCTTCGTCGAAATCGAAAAGGAGGATGAGGAGAGAGTCGAGGAGAGTTTGGGTGGGTGGAAAAGACTTGCGCACTTGCAGTGAGCGAGCAAGACGAGATTGGGCGGAGACGAAGACTTGCTTGGTGCACTCTGGTGGTGCTGGGTGCTGGGTGCTGGTGCTGGTGCATCAATCAATCTGGGAGGGGGGACTTGCTGCGGTAGCCGGTAGCCAGTAGCCCTGGAGGGGGAAGGGGGGCTGCCCAAAGCTCGCACCAAAGGCAGAAAGCTGCTGCTGCTGCTGCAGTGCGCTGAGCTGCAGTGCACACTCTAGCTACCAGTGCTAGCAAGCAGTGGCATAATGAAAAGGTGATTTGGGTAATGAAGATGATTTGACCTGATGAAAAAACCAACAAACCTCGCTCACCTGTATTGTATCTATTGTGCACTATCGTGCACCAATGAACTTTGAGTCGGTTATGTCGTTGACTTTCAGGAGGAAAGTCCACCAAGCGGCGAGCTTGGTGGTCAAGTGGCAGCAACGATGCAGCAGCTGCTGCATCAGAACCGGCTTGGGTGAAAACAAGGCAAGCGCGAAGGCGGAGAGGGAAACAAGAAAGCGCCGCTTCAGTGTCTGCGACTAAGCCACTCACTCACCCTTTCCAAAGGTTGACGCTAATCCCCGATTGGACCCATTACCCAGTGCAGCCAGTGAGCGCAATGGGTTTCGGCTGGGTACGTCGACCGAGATAGACCACCTAGCGCACTTTTGCAGCAGGCAAGTCCTTCCTGCATTATGAACCCTGCCATAACGTCAACGGCGAGGCAAAGCCCTCCACCACAAAAGTCGTGCCAAGGGCTTCGAAGTTGGAAAATAGGAGGAGGGTGTCCCGATGTCATCGTCAGCCCGACTTTTTGGTGTTGATGAGATAGGCTTGTCCGTATGGCTTTTTTCTTTTCGAATCTCATCGGGAATAGAGAGCAGCGTGACGGTTGAGCTTCATGATAACTCGATCATAAGTCGGACGGTATTATCTGACTCGTTTCGCAGAAACGGCGAAGAACAGAAAATGAAATACCATGTAAGCAAAGCAAACAAGTAAGTGCGGGTGATGTGCTACTGGCAGTTGGCCTCGACCTGATATCAGCGCAAATACGACAGTATGGAGGAGAATTTTATGTTCGAAATGACGAAACTGTTTGCAAAGGTAGACAGGACAACGTGAGCCGACCATAGCTCCGCCCAGACCTGAATCACTTGATGACTCCGTGTCGACTTGTCCACGCGCAGTGGTACAGTGCTAGCGCTATCTCTCAACTTGTCCGAAACATTATGCCCAACGGGGGGCTCCCTGCTCGCGCCATGGTTGAGCTCGACAAGGATTGCACGTGCTACTCTCGGCGAGCTGTCGCGAAGTTGAAGATTTGCTTGGATGCCCAGCAAGCCAACACCAATCAGCCAGCCGACCAATATCTTGAAAATGGACACACTCTGGTCGCGAAAAATGTGGTGGCTACGCAGCCAGGTCGAGCCCTTGAATGGTCAAACTCTGATGCCGTTTGGGAAACAATCGGCACATGACATTCCCGGGAGTTGTTGAGCAGGATCCGCGACAGACACAGCATGTCTGGTTGGCTAGTAGACCAGTGGCTGCCTAGCTGCCTAGAGCGGCACAATCAGGTGCCGTGTGAAAATTTCTGTTGGTGTCCCCGATTATGCTGCATATCAGGGCGGATTGTGCTTATGCTGCTACAGCCTCCAATCGCCGCAAATAAATTGAGGGTAAGCCTTATCGCTTTACACTTCGCTTTGTGACGGCAAATTAACCTGGGCCAGCAGGTGTCAGAAATAGAAATATAGGCGATGGTGCAAACTGAACTTGTCGACACACGAAACAGCCATTTGGCGCTATCCTATCGCTCTCCCAGGAAGACCCCAACTCCAAAAGGGTCCAAGCATTGCAATCCCTCTGTCGAATCTCAATGCAAAAGTGGCACAGCGGTGCTGTCTCCTCCCAGGCCCTGACACTATTCATCGGTTGTTGACCGCTTGATTGTTGGTGACACGCAAATACAGTGTGTCGGAGATCAAACTACAGCTCGAAGTGAGGGGAACTATGCCTGTCAGACAATGCTCGTGCTGTTATTTTCCTTCCCGGGATCCGACCAAGAGCCGATGTTAGGAATCCCACGTCTTGACCAGTGAAAGGGCGAGGTGCGTCGGGTGTGGGATATGCTGGAGCTGCATATGCGACATCCAATCATTGTCCAGGAGGAGATCGCGAAATATTTGCGCACTGGAACGACACATCCGGGATGGTGTCCTTTCTGGCAATTCCTCCTACCAGCTGCTCTCATCTGGCAAGAGGAGCGGAGCTCAAGCTATAGGCCGTTCGTCAGTATTTACCGGGACTTGGAGAAGTCCATGCCAAGGCTTTTCCAATATCCGATAGGCGCATATGAATTTGTCAAATTCCATCATAATTCCCATTCCGGTTCATTTGACGCCAACAGTGGTGTTAACTTCTCGACACACACTGACTAGTTCCCCACATACCATATCAAAAATCACCAAATCTGCAGATCCAAGCTTATAGCTCATGTGCATGTTACAATGGATTTGGCAGGCGGGCTTTGCTCATCCACGAAGTTGAACGCCTTTCTGCTACCTGGCTTAGATTTTTGTCATGACACGATATAGGTATGATACGTGAGAATACCACTCACGGTACTCACTGCCGTTTATCTGTGCCTGTTCCAATGAAATATCGAGAAACGTGTCTTCGGGCTCAAGTAGACAGACATCAGTCAGTGGAAGTAGCTTGTTCATAAGGGTGACAGCATAGCACCTTCCGATTCATCCCAACACGCCAGATGTATACACATAGCTTCACCAATCGTATTCTTCCCATGCCGATGCTCCAGGCGCCGTACACGACGAAAAAGCAGAAAGTAAAAGAGATCAAAAATTACGCCCCCATACGCCCGCAAAGAATCGTCGATCAGGAAGCCGCTCCGCGATGTGCAATACAGGCGCCTCCTGATGGTTATCCCCATTTTCTTGATCATAATGATACCAGGACAAGTTAAGTTTGACATGATTAAAAAGAATACAAAAAATAAAATAAAATAAAGCCTGAAAAGTTCGTGAACCCTCGACTGCCTTAAGCAGGTACAGAACATGGGTATCACGTGATGGCTGATTGCGAGACACTTGCGCTATACCGCTTTTGGAGAGGGCTTGCAAATTGTCTGATTGGCTGATATCAAGCAGAACTGCATGATTCCGCCTTTCGGATTTACTATCAAATGTTCGATTTCCTGATTGGATGATCTGGACGATGCTAGAATACCTTATACAGATACAGGTCGATCCAGACCAGAACCAATGGTCGCAAGCAGTAAACAGCGACATAAGAAAGGGTACGCTCAGTCGGCGTCAACTGATTGTATCATTGTTGCTGTCTCTCTACAATAGTGGTATTGTTGCGTGCCCCAGGCACACCAGCTGGGGAGCTGGGTGTAGCGCTTGGGCCAATAGCTGCCCATAGATAGCCCTTCCGTAGCTACAAATTCTGCGAGTTACTCCTAGTAGTATATACTTACCGCTAAAATAGCTCTGTATTGCCCACAAGCATTGCACCCTGTGCTAATCTTGATATCCGCTTGCAAGCCTACCCGGAAGCGAAAGCAAGGGGCGTCCAGATTCATAAGCCATAACTCCGAACTTCATTCCTCGCCATATGCCACGAGATTGACTCGTAACCAAGTGTTGTTGTACATACGGAATCAGCCAGTGCCGGACAGCTAGCGGATGTAGATAATGATATGAAGCATGGGCCAAATTAGAGTTGATAACATCAAAATGAAGACAGCTTCCAATACTCGGAACGGAAAGGGATAATTACTGTTGTCTACCAGATATTGGTAATGTGAGAGAATCTTGATACCATAATGGTTTCACTCTGCATTGATAATTATTGGTCCTTGCCAATGCCAACAGAGGTGATTAAGTCATCAATACTGCAGGTATCTACACAAATCTGCTGACAGAGAAGAAAAATTGCTCCTTGGGGAGTGGCCATGGGTTCTCCTAAGTAGAGAGACGTAGACGATGTCGAGGCTCAGAAATACCGGGCAGTTTCTACAGAAGATGAAGAGTGTTCCGAAGTACAAACAATGCAACAAAACTTGAAGGTGACCTTGGCCTGATCAGGCTCCCCAGGCTCTCCAAACTGCGTCATATATATTGATCCTGATCGATTCTAGATCAGTATTTTACGCACTCATCCTCGCAGTGCAGGACTCTCGCCCAATAATAAAATTGCCATTCCCCAAAACACACCGTATATTATCATTGCAGCAACACCACCAACATGTCCTTCGAAGACCGAGTAATTTTAGATCTCAGACACCGTCTGCTCGCCATCCTCCCCGACTACGGCCTCGTCTCACCCGCCCTAATACTCCTTGCGGAACTCGCTAGACGGCTACAAGGCGAGTACGAGGGGACCTGCGGCTCAGAACAGCTGTACCGCCTGGCCATGCTGCGAGAAACCGCGCTTGCCCGAACTACTCATGAATCCCACAATATCGATGAGACGATCTGGAAGGCATTGCTAGACGAGGTATGCCATCGAGTCTTGGAAGGATCGGGGGAAGCTCACCACGAAGATTACGATGACTACGCTGAAGGGCCGCGGGAGGAATTACTCTTGCCTTGGCCGAGAGGCGTGCCATTTGAGCAGATTGTGAGGGCGGGCGAGAAATTAGTGAAGCACGGGCGTGAGAATGGCGAGTGGATAACTAGGACTGCTTCTAGAGAGACATCATCGCGGACCCTCTGTCCACTAAATGCGCCTACTGGGGGCGATTCTTCTCTTGCGGAGATTCCACTCCTAGGGGCAGGAACGTCGCCATCGGTGCCCATAATATCAGCAGGAAAAAGCTCGACAACCTCGATCCCCAGTGTTCCTTCCTTCACCTACGCGTCCCAGCCGGCACGAGTCCAGATAAATGGTACGTCCATCGCATCCGAGATCCAGTGCACACGGTTTAACATCAGCACTAGTCGCTGCAACTATCGATCCTCTGCGTACCAGCATTCACCCTCGGTAACACCAACACCAACACCAACGCCAACCATTCCAGATAATACTCAATCGCTAATCGACTCGTCTTTATCGCCATATAACCCTCAACCACGCGGTAACGGGCGCCAAGTCCTCATGAACTGGGTAGGTGACCGCGAGCCGATGTGGGAGCCGTCGAGCGAACTCCAGCGGGCGAGTGGACCGGCGGCACTGTGGGAGTTCGAGAATTAGTATGGGATGCGCAGTATAATGATGTACCAATGAGGGTCTATTTTAGGGAGGAGTGAGCAATAATGTGATGCTCGGCTTGATTTGGGGGTGAGGAGAGGAGAGATTGGAACAAGGATGGGAGGGGGAGGGATGAGGCGATGGAAAAGGTTGGAAAGGTCACTGACTAGAGATCTGTGCAGGAAAGGGTAGGACGGAAATACAAACAGGCCCAGGCTTCATCACGAGGCTCGTGTGTGATGGCACTGATAGTAATTCATTAGTCGTGGTCTTGTTACGCAATGTCTATTATCAAACTACCAACACTTCCTTTCCGGTCTAACTTTTAAGTCTCGCCGTCTATTCTACCAAATTATCCTCAAGGAGAGGTCATGAACTCCTCGACTTCAATATTCAGTGGTCGGACAAGTGATGTGGATAATTGTGATTCTATACTAATACCGTCGATATTATCTCTGATGTGTGCTAAAGCGTCTCTATCCTATTCCCACAAGGTCAGACTGTGGGAGCTTCAGTCCAAAACGCCTTCCCAAAATCACTACAGCCTTCGCCCAATCCTTCCAAGATGAAGGAGTACCTCCATCTGTTCGCCCAGGCCCTGCCCAGGATCCCTACGACGCGGCGCACATGTTGCTTGCGTTCTCGTGACTCGATCTGCCTCCGAAGCATTCGACGCGACTGTGTTCTCCATGATGATGATATCCGCAGCCTTTTGCATATTAGCAACCGATCTTTCAACCTCCAGGGAACGTAGAACTTACCTTTTCCGCAACAGCATACACGGCAGCCTGAATATGCGCCGCCGGGATCAACGGCATCACCCCCGCGTCCACCACTCTCAGGTTTTGTGTGCCGTACACCCTCAGCGAAGGATCCACCACGCCGCCTTTGCTGCGAGGTAACATGGCAGTCGTACCACTGGGGTGAAACTCTGTGGTGATGCGTCTTCTGACTTCCTCATCAAGCGCGGTCTTGTTCTCCACTTCGTACGGGCCGAACCCAGGGTCAGGCACTGGCAGCAATGCGGCCATTGGAGGTGTTTGAACCAATTCGGCGTTAAATTGAATGCCGAGGGATATGATATCGCAGTCCAGGTGCTGAGAACAGTAGCGTGGGTCGACTTTAGGGTAGTCGAAGATGGACGAAGAAACGGCTTCCACGGTGCCCCGTGAGAAGGGTTGCATGTTGCTCACGGTCAGTTGGCCCCATGATGTTGACATGAGCTCGTATGCACCACTCTGGTTTCCTGACAATAGTGACAAGATGATTTGAAGCTGCTGAGAGTAGCCAGCACGGAGTGTCGGATCATATGAGTCTGGGAGATGACCAGTTGCGTTCATCGTAACTTCTTGGTTAAAGGCTTGCAGATCCTGACTGTTCATGACCCATTTGAGAGCCGGGAATGCGACGGTATTGACCATCGGGGAAGTCCATGGACCTGTAATTCTCAGGTTATTAGTGCGCTGTGCATGAAGGATAGCACAAGAGAGGTACCTGTTCTGTTTGCAATGTATTCTTCCCGCGCTATGCGATCAAGAGTGTCGTTATTGTTGACTTGCAGCCCGGTCATGATAGTTGGCGACGTGTCTAGTACGATCAGTAAAAGATCCACGATCAGGAACAGCCTACCAACAATTGTAGAGCACCTGGACCATGGGGTGGTCCTGGAAATTTCTCCCCACTCCCGGAAGGTCGACAACAGATTTAACAGTCAGATTACGAAGAAGATCCACGGGCCCAAAGCCTGAAACTTGGAGCAAGGTGGGCGAGAAGATGGCTCCTGCAGCCAATATGACCTCTTTGGAGCAGCGAACGGTGTGTCTTTCAGCTGTCGCATTGGCGGCAAACTGCAGAAACACGTGAGGTCAGCAAATGTAGCTTGGGAACATGAGACTCGTACCTACCTCAACACCAGTGATCCGAGTCACGGCTGCACCTGGAATCCAGGTCGAATTTGGGTACAACACATCATCGTGGAGGATCCGTGTCACGGTCTGGCCTGTCATAAGCTGCAAGTTCTCTCGCGACATGACGGGTTCCCAGTATGATGTGCGCGCGTCTTGGCGAGACTGATTGTTAGCAGATATGGAGCTGGGTATGACTGCCGCTCCGGCCGCCACGCCATCATTTAGTTCGTCGATGATGGGCACACCAAGTTGTCGAATTCCATCCAGAAAACTCTCTTGAGGTAATCCGTAAGCTTTACACCATCAATGACATGGCAAGGGGACTTACGGGACTGGTTGTAGAAGAACTCTGGGTATGCCACTTGAACAGGGCCGTGAGTCCCATGCGCTGAAGATACCGGATGTATATGCAAGGCATCTTGAAGCGACTGATTCACATCTGTCGAGTAATTTTCGGACTATTCCAGTAATTAGCGATTTGTTGATTCAAAAGCGCAAGATGTATATTTGCTGACCTTCAGAAAATAGGTGATAAGACCGTCCCAACCCCATCCTGGATTCCCCAAAGTTTCCCAAGCGTCGAACGTAGCGGCCGAGCCTCTGGTCCAACACAGGCCATTTATAACAGCACTGCCGCCGACTACCTTGCCTTGTTTGTAAGCCCGACGGCTGCCGTCAAGGTAATCTTGCGGGACGGTCTCAAGTTTCCAGTCGTAGCGGTCGGGGTAGCTGAAGCCAATATGTTCAGGAACAGTTACGTCCTCACTTCTGTCATCTCTGCTCCAAGTCCACTCATCAGCTTCCTACGAAAGAAAAGCATCGCAATCTCCGACTCTCAACTCACAGCTTGCCAGCTTCCAGAATCAAGACGGACACTACTCGAAATATCAGCAGTCGACCTAACGTCCAGCCTGCAGATGACTCACCATTGGGATCCGAAGACAAGCGATTCGCGACGACGAGACCTCCAATGCCAGAACCGACGACGACGTAATCAAACGTGGCGTCCAGTGGTAGAGTCCCGTTGAGGTTGTTGATATGTATACCCTGAGCAAACGAACATGCGAGCAGCGCGAGAAGGGCAGCAGTAATGAATAGCTTCATGTTGTCGAAGCTACTCTTGAGGTGGAAAAACATTAAAATTCACGCGTGGGATGAGAAATCACATGAATTAGGAGGTAGAGAGGGGAGGTAATCGCGCTTCGAACGAAGAAAGACGGACTAAGGAGAAATATAAATAATTAGAGTACCACTCGAAGAATCGCCCAAAGGGATGCGGATAAGTGTCTGTCAAGTCGTGTTGGTTGTGCAAACCTGTGTGCTGAAGGGCAGCCGGGTATTTCTGATTTTTTTCGCGACACCTGCGTTCTTACCTGTACGAGACCGTCTACTCCCTTTTGATGTACCGTGATCAGCTTCAAGGACCCACTCCACCCACTGGGAAATAAATCATAGCTGGCGAATGTTGTGGTGACCTCTGATGCCTAAAACACTCCCTGTAAAAATCATTGCCAACCCTTTCCCAGCTGATAAGCTCGAACTGTTCAGGACGTGGATTCGGGTTCGGCACCAATGAACAAGTAGCCATCTGCATCTTTGTTCCGAAACCGTGGCTTTGGTAGGCCGCTAACAAGGTCTTCAATAGCAGAGCCAAACCGAATCAATATGTTCTCGTTGAAGGCCTTGTGTATGATGGCCAAGCCGAATGGCACACCTGCGCCATCATGAGCAATTTGAATTCCCAACAACAGATCACATACCGTTTGTGTCGACTCCCACCGGCATGGTAATCATAGGATATCCTGCGCCGTCAATATCGTTGTCACACAATACCAATCCGAATTTTATGAGTGCTTACCAGCTTGGGCCGCAATTTGCACTGCAACTCCATCATCCCCTTGAACCGGTACCAGCAGACCGTCCAAACTCCCATCTTCATGCAAAAGAGCAGCGTTAATGCCTTCATCACGAGATTTGCGGCCAACATAGGCCAAAGCAGACCAGTAGATACCATCTTCGACCCCTTTCGAAGCCGCACTTTGATCCAAACTGTCTTGCCCCGTCGGCCATGCTGGATGGGTTTTCGGAATACCTCCTTCGTCTGACGTGTGTTTAATATTGTATGCTATCACATCTTCGGGGCATTCGATCCTGTTCAGGTTTGTGACGAGGTCATCAAGGTAACCTTTGAGATCGTTGTAGAAGTCAACTTTCACCACCGTGTATTCGGACTGCTCTGGGTGACCCCTTTTCGATCCAGAGTCCCTTATCAGGGGTTAGCAAAGCGTTTAAAGTTTGAGGAAATATGCGAACGCACCAGTCCCAACAACCACCAGGAGGTACCGTTTCCTCTGCACTGGGTATATCACAGCGGCTGATAACCGTGGCTCCGGCATTTTCGATTCTCTGTATCAGAGAACGGTAAATAGCATACTGTGACTTCTTGCCCTCATCTAATGCTGTTTTTTCCCAAATGCGCTTCCATGGTAAGCCAAACTTTGCCCCTTTCAAGGCTTCTTTCCCACAAACATCTGAGGAGATACGACCTGGTGTGCTTTCTGATTCAGGTTCATCACATATGGCATTCAAGGCAATCGCAGCGTCTGCCACTGATCTTCTGAATACGCCCACAATATCGAAATGACGAGACTCGGGGATCACACCATGACAAGATGTCAGTCCCAAGGTAGGTTTGATGCCCACAACTCCATTCCTATCGGCCGGGAATATTACCTGAATGAACTTTTATATTAGAAGAACACTTTAGACATGTGCCATACAGACCTACGCTGCCGTCGGTCTCTGTTCCAATACTGAACGCACACATGTTTGCTGCAAATGCGATGGCGGATCCTGAACTAGACCCCCCCGGGTGTTCAGCTAGGTTATACGGATTCCGGCTTTTCCCACCGCGGCTAGAATATCCTTCGGCACTTGTACTGTTAACAAGTAGCATAGAAACCTTTCTATGAGTAAACTACCTACTAATACGTCGATCTCATCGAGACCCACTCTGACATATTCGCATGTCCGAGTAGTATGGCTCCTGCATTGCGCAGAAGCTGGACGACATGTGCATCTTCCGGGACTTCAGAACCGACAAGCACTATATATATACATGTATCAGTCCAAGTAATCCGTCGCACCACTCGCGGAATTTGACTTACTCTTGGATCCCGCTGTGGTCTGCATCTTATCTTTGTTAGCGATGTTCTTGCACCCCAGGAGTCAGCCCCAAAAACGACCAAGAAGCTTACAGAACCTACGTCTTTGACCAAACAAGGTATGCCATGAAGCGATCCTCGGATCTTTCCATTCTTGCGTTCTTGGTCCATACGCTCTGCTATTTCTAAAGCATCCGGGTTGATCTCGATAACGGCGCTACATATGCTATCACTCAGCAGCTCGCAGCGTACTCCAGACAGTACAGTATAATGTTGGTCTATGCAATGTCGAACACGTCTTACCGCAACTGATTGTTGAGTCTACGAATCCGCACGAGGTAGCATACTGTGAGATCCCGGGAGGAGAACTGGCCATCATGGAGCCAATGCTGCAACTGCTGGATGGTGGCTTCCTCAATGTCTACGCCAGCACATTTTGGCATCTCAAGATTAAGAGTATCCATGTGATTGGCCTTTTTTCAAACAGTAGAAGACTTAACAGAAGAGAACTCGGAGAGTCGGAGAGGCATGAGCTAACCTAGAAGACTGGGCAGTCCATAAAGGTCGTTCAAATAGGGTTAAACAACAGTGGCTTCGGTAACCCCTCTTTTGGTGTATCAGAATTCAAGTGGCAAACATGAAGCTCTCATTGCGACTCCCAGAGCTGACATATGAGGCGCAACAGTCATATAACCACGTCGAAGAAATGTTCTTTGGTGTAGTGCAAGCTGGTATACGGTTGCATGAATACGTTGCAATCCTGGAGGGATTGTAATCTTGCGCAACGTACTGTAGTAGTAAGAACCAGGAACCAGGCGGGGACGCTACCCTATAGCCGCATTCAAGGGGCGTCCGATGTTCGCTTTCAGCTGTTCCAAGTTCCTGCTCGAAGATATATAAACCACCTATCAGGAGGCGAAAATCACACTTGACGTTGTATTGCAAGGATTTATTTCCTCCATTAAAAATAAGACGGGGCTCGCGTTGCGTCATACGGCTAGACATGTTCCGAAGTCGAAAAGTATTTTTCAACCTTGGCGATTCCGCAGTGTCCCTGGTTGGTGTGGTTCCTAGTTAGCTTGGGCTGAAGCTACGCTAAACCAATTACGGCTAGTCCTGGCCCAAGGTAGTGCTATCGGCCTTATCGACTGGCATTGACTTATGTAGGTGGTGTTTGCCGACCAGGGTTACTTATCAGATGGCCATCTTCGACAGTTTGCGATCGGGAGTTGTTTGCAGATTTAAAGAGAAAAGTGTGAGCATGGTCGGCTTTTATTAGGAGCGCCCCATAAATATTTGACTAAAGTGGCGGGTTGGTCGGCTGAACTAGGGGGTCTATGGTCACCTCAACTACAATCACGAGTTGTTCACTTTCAAACTTTTATTTTAGACTGAAAGTCACGATGGGCTGACATTTTGCTTCTTTGAATTTCGAGTTGAACATTGCAAGTCGCAAAATGCTTTATGCAATATGATTTTGCGAAGGACTGCCTTGACGAAGGCCAGTTCTAGCTTCAATGTGAGCTCCAGTCCTTCAATCCCTGAAACCAAAAACCGACCGAAAGAAATGTCTTTTCTATACCCGCTCATCGGTTTCTTCGGAATATTTGCTATGCATTGCCTGACATACCAACTAGGCACCATTTGGAAAAAACTTGGACAGAGGTTTCGGGACTACGGCGAGCAATGGCGCACAGCCTGCATCGCCGCTTACAGCAGCATCTGAAAATGCCAGTCGGGTTCGGATGTCGATAGCATCGAAATCACGATTTGCTTCGATTTCTGAGTCGCAGAAGCAGAAGAAAAGCCAGGATAGGGTAACTTAACTACCCTCCTTGATAATTTGCCGATGCTAACGCCATCTGAGGACTTTCTTCTTTCCGTGCTTGAAACCACCGTCACTAAGCGCGATGCTCGTGCTTACATCAACAAATTTGTGCCTTTACTCGAGAGGAAAGGCGCCACCAGCTTCAAGCAACAAGCATTCCAGTCACGCGAGAACTGCCCCAAGCCTAACGCAATCCCCAGTAAAGCTCATTTTACAGAAAATGTTCTTTCGAAAAATATCGCTACGGCCGAGGTCCTCCATGGTCCGAAACCGGAGCCCGAGCTTGAAGCACAACAGGAGCCCATGTACGTTGCAGTGGTGAAATTTCGAGCCCCCCACGAGGTAGACGACACAACGCTTCTTGGTGTGGGGAGGACTTTGGGCCAGCTGCGAAAGCTTGGTCTTATCAGTATCGTTGTTGTTGATTGCGATGCTGTCGCTGGGAATGCCGTCGAGCAGCGCCGTGTCATTACTCAGCAAGCCGAGCGTATAGCCATGGCAATCGACAGCTACGATGAGCCTGGTGCTAGAATTGTCGACTCTCCAATTACGATCGGAAGCTCAATTGGCAAAGGGACTTCTCCCTACACCTCAGACGATCTATTTATCAGCCAACCATACGAACTCATGAATTCACTCCAGGAAGAGCTCATCCCCATCATCCCCTCCGTCGGGTACAAAGAAGACACCTGCACATTCAAATGCGTAGATGCAAACGAGGCTGTGATTGCACTGGCAAGACAGCTCTCCGGTCTTCAATTCTTGGGCCAGCCAACTGAGGATGCTCACATCACAAAGCTGCTGAGGGCGGCGGAGGTGTACAGACTAATTGTCTTAGATCCTGTTGGAGGAATTCCTGCAAGAAATCGTGCAACGGGCCGCTATATGTTCCTCAATATGGCGCAAGAGTTTGACGAGGTTACCAAGCACCTGGACGTTCCAGCGTCACCAGCTGATGTGAGGTCAGCTAATTACCATCACCTGAGAAACACAGAGCTGGCCAAGAGGGTGCTATCTTTATTACCACCCACATCCTCGGCTGTCATTACAACACCACAGGAGGTGGTGAATGACCGAAGGCCAGACAAGGACGACACGGTTGCCTTCGTGGGCACCCGACGAAAACTGAACCCGCTGATCCATAATCTACTCACGGATAAGCCCGTACAGTCATCCTCATTGCCACCTGGACGCTTTCGTCCGGTCGTAACAGCCAGCGGGGCGCCGCGAATTGGCTCTTTGACGACGCTTGCTAAAAAGGGAATGCCATTGACGATATTTCCCAATCCTCAAATTTCGCCTTGGAAACTACCTCAGCCTGGCGAGTCGCGTCTGAGGCTAACGGATTCATGCGTTGATCTGCCTCGGCTGGTGCACTTGATTGATGATTCGTTTGGCCGCAAGCTGGATGTTGAAGCGTACCTGAAGAGGGTAAATGAAAATATTGCAGGCATTATCATTGCTGGAGAGTATGAGGGCGGCGCCATCCTGACATGGGAGAAGCCATTCCGTGAAGATGGATCGGAGACGATAGACCCATCCAGAATGGTGCCTTATCTGGACAAGTTCGCGGTGCTGAGGAAGAGTCAAGGTGCGGGTGGCGTGGCAGACATTGTGTTCAATGCCATGGTACGAGACTGCTTCCCGGAGGGTGTCTGCTGGAGAAGCAGGAAGGACAACCCCGTGAACAAGTGGTATTTTGAGCGGTCGCGGGGAACGCACAAGTTGAGCGACATGAATTGGACCATGTTCTGGACGACACCGGACTTGACACTGGATGAACAGAAATACCGGGACTATGAAAGTGTCTGCCGTGGCGTTGAGCCATCATGGGCAGACAAGAAACATATTCTCGATTAGACCAGCATTAGGTAACGGGATAGACAGCGCAAGCCCGATAAAACGAACACGACTGATACCCACTCTCCAGTGTGTTACTATGTAGTAGCTTCCAAACCCAGCATAGCATGCATTTGTTTTGATCTCCACCGTGCCTCTCGCCACTCTACATCAACTCCTGCCGTACAGCAGACTTAAAATATGAGCCTTGCCGATACCCTGAACCCCATATTTAATCAAGGACGGAATACCTCTCCATCTCATCGTTTCCATCAGGCACAATTTTCAGCCCCACCAAGATTGATGTCATCGCTGCACAGAGCTTGACCGTTGCCCGAGCTCAGCCCACATACAGCCATAACTAGATCCAAAAAATCATTTAAACTCTTTCTCCGATCAATGGGTATAGTGGGATGATAGGTCTGCTCCCAGACATACTCTTTGCAAGCAACACCAACGGGAACAGAATGCAATTTGTCACAATCCACGGAGGCTGCTTGGTTGGAAATGATGGTTTCCACTTCGAAAACGGAACAACATGTTTGGAAATGTTTTATAAATACACACAGCCATGCCATGCATGTCTTCCACAATTATGTAAAAGTACCACACGCCAACAAAGACGCAGTCAAGGCATGACGTGGGGATAACAGCAATAGAACGCAGAAAAGGAAGGGCAATGAGTGATAATAAATTGAAAATGATCCAGAATAGATGCATTTCTTCAAGAACCTACCATGTAGCACAAAGAGAACCAGACTAGTTGACTAAAGATGCAACGGAACTTGTTTTTGGTGGTGCGGGTGGTTGCCAGTAGAATGTTCCAGTACCGCCTCGAAGTTGCATAGTCACTAGGCCGCCAAGAGATCCACGGCCCGGATAGGCAACGAGGGGCAGGTTCTCTTCTGGTCAGGCTTGATCAAAGGCGGGCGCAATCCAACGCATCAATTTTCGCTACCACTGCAGACCACCACTACAACCTGCAAAAAAAAAACACGACGAGATAACCTCAAGCAACGCGATTATTTTTGCATTTCCACCACCGTCGCATAACCAACCTCGTAGTCTACCACTTTCCAGACAAGATGTCTGTCGTCGGTGTCGACTTCGGTACCCTCAACACCGCCATCGCTGTTGCGCGGAATCGAGGTGTTGATGTTGTGCGTAGATACCACTGTGCCCATTCCTGTTGTGTTCTTTGACTGACCGATTTTCCACTCCCAGATCAGCAATGAAGTGTCCAACCGAGCTACTCCGTAAGTCTACCTACAATCTCTACGGCGAATCCACGGCCGTTATTAGAAATCTTGCTAACCTCCCCTCCTCAACAGTTCCCTAGTGGGGTTTGGTCCTCGATCCCGCTATCTGGGCGAGCCGGCAAAGACACAAGAGATTTCCAATCTTAAGAACACAGTCAGCTCCCTCAAGCGCTTAGCCGGCCGAAGCTTCAAGGACCCAGATGTCGCCATCGAGCAGAAATACTGTTCTGCGCTCCTCGTCGACTGCAATGGCCAGGTCGGCGCAGAGGTCTCGTACTTGGGCGAGACGAAGAGGTTCACTGCCACCGAGCTGACGGCCATGTTCCTCAGCAAGATCAAGCAGACAGCAGCAGCTGAGCTGAAGCTGCCTGTGTCAGACCTCGTCATGAGCGTGCCCGCATGGTTCACCGATGTCCAACGAAGGGCCCTGCTAGACTCTGCTGAGATTGCTGGCCTGAAGATGCTGCGCCTCATGAACGACACAACCGCCGCGGCCTTGGGCTACGGTATCACAAAGCTGGATCTCCCCGGCCCCGAGGAGAAACCACGTCGGGTCGCCTTCATTGATATCGGCCACAGTAACTATACGTGCTCCATCGTCGAGTTTAAGAAGGGCGAGCTTGCCGTCAAGGCGACTGCCTTCGATCGCCATTTCGGTGGCCGTGACTTCAACCTGGCTCTCGTCAACCACCTACAGAAGGAGTTCAAGGGCAAATATCACATCGACATCAAGACCAACCCCAAGGCCATGGTCCGCGTGGATGCCGCCGCCGAGAAGCTCAAGAAGATCTTGTCTGCCAACCAGCAGGCACCCATAAACATCGAGTCGCTCATGAACGACATAGATGTCACGGCCATGATTACACGGGAGGAGTTCGAGGCCATGATTGAGCCTCTCCTCCAAAAAGTCACGGTTCCGCTGGAGCAGGCCCTCGCTGAGGCTAAGCTTACGAAGGATGACATCGATGTTGTCGAGCTGGTCGGTGGCTGCACTCGTGTCCCTGCCCTGAAGGAGCGCATCCAGGCTTTCTTCGGAAAAACACTGTCTTTCACTCTCAACCAAGACGAAGCCATCGCAAGAGGCTGCGCATTTAGCTGCGCCATTCTCTCGCCTGTCTTCAAGGTCCGCGACTTCGCCGTCCAGGACATCGTCAGCTACCCGATCGAGTTTTCTTGGGAAAAAGATGCCGACATCCCCGACGAGGACACGAGCCTGACCGTCTTCAACAGGGGCAACGTCCTGCCCTCCACGAAGATTCTGACTTTCTACCGCAAGCAGCCCTTCGATCTCGAAGCCAGATACGCCAAGGTCGAGGATCTGCCTGGTAAGATGAGCCCCTTCATTGGCCGGTTCTCCGTCAAGGGCGTTAAGGCCGATCCCAAGACCGAGTTCATGATCTGCAAGCTGAAGGCCCGCGTCAATATCCACGGCATTCTCAACGTGGAAAGCGGCTACTTCGTCGAGGACCAGGAGGTGGAGGAGGAGATCAAAGAGGAGTCTAAGGACGGCGACAAGAAGGATCCAGATGCTATGGATACGGACGACAAGAAGGATGACGGCAAGCCCAAGACACGAAAGGTGAAGAAACAGGTACGCAAGGGCGACCTACCTATCGTGGCTGGCACGACATCTCTCGACACAGCTGCGAAGCAGGCGGCCAGCGAGAAGGAGTTATCCATGGTCATGGAGGACAAGCTCGTCGCCGATACCGAGGAGAAGAAGAACGAGTTGGAGACGTATATCTACGACCTGCGTAACAAGATCGATGAACAGTACTCCGAATTTGCCAGTGAGGAAGAGAAGGAGAAGATCCGAACGAAGCTGACAGAAAGCGAGGTAAGATTTCCCGAAATTACGCGTTCTGGTTGGATCAAGTATACTGACTGCAATTGTAGGACTGGTTGTACGAAGATGGCGAGGATGCCAGCAAGGCTGTATATATCGCCAAGATGGACGAGATCCGGGCCATGGCTGGCCCCATCACGCAAAGATACTTCGACAAGGTCGAGGCCGACCGCCAAGCGGTGCAGGCCAGGCTCGACGCCGAGAACGCACAGAGGAAGGCGGCCGAAGAGGAGGCTCGCAAAACCGCTGAGCCCGCTAAGGACGAGCCCATGACGGATGTTGAGCAAGCCCCCGAGACGGAGGCCAAGGAGTAAAAAGAAAAAGAAGAGTTTAGAGCACACTGCGGAACGGAACGTAATGCTTGAAATGAGTTTCGGGGATCGTGTTGCTGATGTGCCCGGATGGATGGATGGATAAACAATAGATAGACCCCCCACCCCCCGGAATGGATGATCCATTATGAATGAACACTTGCGTTAACGATAATTGACCGATGCGTTCCTTGGTAAAATCAGTGGATGTAGGGCTTGTTGCTTGCCAGTCTCACATGACTAATACCCTGTCCAGGCACATACTCATCACCTATGTTCTTGATAGCTGCTATTTTCTCGATATTATATTATCATACTAACTACAGGTACAACATGACTAGAGCCAGAGGATAAGATAGAGCAGAAATCAAACCCTAACACCATCACAGCCACCACTGCCTTGAAAGTGGCCTCGTAAACGAGCCATCTAGAGACAGACCCTTCCCTGCCTCCTCTACAGAACATAGATATATCCTTTATGTACATTTATACCTCAGCGTTAACCACATCAAAGCTCTTTCACCTACTTCAGCTTCAACAAACAAGCATGCATTACTCAGCGATTCTAGCATGACCAACAGCTGTGGCAAAAAAAAGTCCGAGTATCCATCTCATCGATGAGGTGTTGGCCTTCAAGATAAAGCCAATCCCGTTATCAAAGTCACTTCATGCAGGGCAGGCTACGAACGCCATGCTTTCAAGGAGCAAACTAGGTAGTTCCATGGGACGTGGCATTGCACGTCGTCAGGAAATGGTCAGGTTCTCTGCTTCTATCTACCCCTCGATCGCTTTCTATTCAGACTACTTTATTTTCTATTTTTGGCTCCGCTTAGTAGAGTCTGCATAGCACTACATAGGCAATTAGAGCCCACATCATGGGTTGAACTTTTGATAGAAGAAGAAAGCCAGGCCGAGGTTGAACGCTTTGCAACTGGAAGTATACCGTACTAGGAGTGCGATGACTACTTGTATGCCTACCGAGTGATAATAACTAGCCTAACTCCCTTGATAGTTAATACCCTTTTGGTAAGACTACGCTACTAGTACCCAAATAAGGAGTGCACCTCATGACTACTTCAACTTCACTTATACAAATATTGACTATTACTGAAGCTTCCATAAGCCGATTTGATAAATGGATAGAAAATTCAATCGAGTACTGGATTCATCGATCTTTTGAAGGTGACATGCAATCCCACGTCAGTAGAGCCGAACTCCGTAGGCCGTGAAATACCACTTTTACGATACATATAGCCACGATGGTTTCTTAAGTGTTACTCCAAGTATTGCGCTCTACGCTCTAGGATGTTAGAATACCGCGTTATCAGTACATAGAGGAAAATATGCTGAGGTTATATCAATAATAACGGCCTATCGTAGTATAAATCTGCCTAGAAACATAAAGCGACGTAGCAGAAATTATCTAACGGTGATAATAGTTAGAGAGCCCGAGAAGTCTAATGTTACACGCAAAGGTGGTCAAAGATTTGTGAGGTTGTAAAAGCATGACATTCTATCTAGTCCTATGGAGCACGAAGGTTGGACTTAGTCCCAAAGGGCTAAGTCACGTGGTAACCTTGGTGGTCTTAGCAAAGCCCACCAAGGTTGCCTAACATCTAAACTCAACCTAGCTAGCGAGTTTATCTAGCCTAGGAGGCCTCAATTGTCGAATATTGTAACGGGGTAAGGCCGGACATCAGGGAAATAGGTTACGGGGCTAGGAGAAAGTTCATTTTCTCTTCTTTGAGAGGCACAGAGGCAGAGTAGGACACGAGTTCCCCGTCTTCACGCATCATCATCCTCATCTTCATATCATCATCTCCTTCTTATCTATATCTTCACCTTCGCTTTTCAGTCAGTTATTTAGTTATCTAGTTATTCAGCTTATCTTTACGTTCGAGATCCTATTATTACGATACGAGTATCAGAGGCATATCCGACTAACTCACGCACCAGACGTGTAGGAGCTTCGCTCTTATAACCAGTACCACGATCTTCGTCTGATAAGACCAACAGATTGGATCTGTTGGTCCTGGAGCCGTCTGTTCAGTGTGTTAGGTGGTAGGTATATCCTACTGACCGCCTGACCCCGTTTCAATATATCCTCAAGAGGCTCTAGGCTATACTCTGACGTATAACTAAGCGCGCGCTTATAATTCGCACTTACAGAGTAATATAGCGATATAGCGGAATTAGGTACGAATGACTTTAACCTATTCGTCTCTCGGCACCCCGAAGTTCGTACTAAAGTAGGCCGTAAGCTAGCGAATATCTAACTTACCTCTTTTATACCAAAAACAGCATGATGGTACTTTGATATATAATACAAGAAGTACGAATAGATTAAGCTAGAGAATATCGTTAATATTAATACTGTCACAGTACTGGCGATTACATAGTCACAGAGTGTTGTATATAGTAGTTAGTAGTGTAGTGGGGTAAGGCCGGACATTAGGGAAATAGATTACGGAGCGGGGAGGAAGTTTATTTTCTCTTCTTTAAGAAGCACAGAGACGGAGCAGAGCACGAATCCTTCATCTTCATCCCCTTTAATCACCTCTTTTCATCTCTTCTATTCTACACAGTTAACAGTTATCGTGCTATTTTCCAGTGTGTGCAATTCAAAGCTTCTGTTCATGATTCACTTATACGTTCAGGCATAGTTTTCAAGAATCCATCCATCTCTCCCGCTTTAGCCTTGACAACTACGAGGAATTGTGAATTGCTCTGATCAGAGCAATTCAACGCCAGTGGCAGCTTTGCTTCAACTCCCGGAGTCAAGAGTCCTATTCTGAGAATCACCCCTTCGCTGAATACAAGAGGGCACATCCGACCAACTTGCGCCCAAGACTTGTAGGAGCTTCGCTCAAGCGTCCATCGCCATGATCTTCGTCTGATAAGACTAACGGATGGGATCTGTTGGTACTGGAGCCGCTTTGCCAGTGTTATAGGTAGTGGGTACATCCTACCGACCGCCTGACCCCGTTTCAGTTCAGTAGGACCAAATGTCAGTGATCCAGGGATATTCAAGATCTTTGGTCTATTGGCCTAGGGGCTTGGTCCTCCCTTTGACAAATACGAACGACACGATAGCTAACTTTGATGAGTATTTATTTTGCCACTTACTAAATACAGCGCTTAATAGCCTTAGTCTAGGGTATTATAGTGCCCAGTAAAAGGCCTTAATTAAAAGCTCATACTATGGCTAGTACGTCTGAAACAGGCTACTAATAGATATAAGGAAAATAGAGCCCGCCTAGTTACATAAAGAAAAGGGGGAAAGTTTCCTTCTCATAAGAAAGATATTATAGGGATCAGATGATTGTGCCTAGTCATGTTCTTATATTTTTTTCTTCTGTATTCATTACACTAAGCTAGGCGACGTAGCAGAAATAATTAAAGAAGGAAATAGCTGCATAAGGAACGAGGTCATGTACTGTTTTGTAACTAAATAGTCTCTACCTTAGTAATTAATATAAATATCTACCTAACTTACAGGTAATGTGACAGGCTGTGCCTGATATGGGATCCGGAGCTGCAAGGACCGTGCGTCCGGATCCACCAAAGGAACCATCGAGGGCATACAAAACATAGTCCGTGTTCCCGGGACAACTCGCATATTTTACTTTCCTCCTCAGTTAGATAATTAACAGTATTTGGCCATGTTGAGCTGTATAGTTTCGCAGTGAGCCCGTCACAGGTAAGGCCTATTACGCCTTAATAATTATACCTTGTTATCCTTTTTGTCAGAGAACAGAATGCCATAGGCACCAGTGGGTGTCAGGACACTGAACGCAGGACACCGGCGGGCCGCCGGAGGGGTGTTTCGGACAAAAGACTCCCGAATCATGATTACAATCTATGTGAAGCTTTGGGATGACGAGAGTCAAGATCCTTGGCATCGCCGACCCTGCTGTTATGCCGGGTCCAAGCGGCGGCCTAGCTATCTATATAAGGACCATCTCGAAGTAGGATAGGGAAGGAGTTGTCAGAGCCACAAGTGTCATCCGAGGCGGGCCGGCTTCCACCAGGTAGGAAGCCGTTTGTGGCGGCTAGAGAGCCGCTTGTGGCGAATGAGAGCCGTTGAAGCCGTTTGCAGCGGATAGGGAATCGCTTGGTTGCAGATAAGGAGCCGCTGTCCAAGATATTGGCCGAAGTCGGAGGAACACAGACATACGGAAGCAAACATCCAGAATCCAAGAGAGAACCTCGGCTGGCTATAAGTAAGGAGTCGAGACGGAGGAAGATAGAGAGGGCAGAGATCAATGCATCACCGTGGGCACCCCTACCTGAGACCGCCAGTGACCACCCGGTGCTACGTAGGAGGGACGCCCGTTACTCCCCATCACTCTGTACTATTGCCTTCGGCCTAGCCGTACCCTGACACTTTTCTATATATTCTCTATTACTTAAATACCCATTAGTAAAACCTACTACCATAAAAGCTAGCCCGATAAGTAGTCTTCCTGTAAAATCGTAAATAGCGTTTATCCATGTAGGATGGTAATCTAGTGAATACTGTAGCGGGGTAAGGCCGGACGCCAGGGAAAATAGGTGACGGAATGGGGAGGATCTTTTGCTTTGATGAAGGAGGCTTGTGGCTGCAACTTTCTTTTCGAGGAAGGACCCTTTTTAATGGCTTCTTCATCTTTTCGATTCGACAAGCAATAGTCAGCCATCATCGCACTCTTTTCAATGCATGCAATTCAGAAGCTTCAGTTCATGATTCACTTACACGTTCAAGGGATAGCTTCTAAGAATCCATCTATCCTTTCCATTTTAGCCTTGACAACTATGAGACATTGTGTCTTGCTCTGATCAGAGCAATCCAGTACTAGAGACAGCTTCAATTCGACTCCTAGGAGCCAGACGTCCTATTCTGAGAATTATCCCGACACGAGAGTCTCAGAGGCACATCCGACCAACTTGCGCACAAGACTTATAAGAGCTTCGCTTTTACGGCCAGCACCATGATCTCCGTCTGATCAGACCAACAGATGTGATCTATTGGTACTGGAGCCGTCTGTTCAGTGTGTTAGGTGATAGGTACATCCTACCGACCGCCTGACCCCGTTTCAATACTAAATAGTATCAAATACGATGGATTACCTGAAGATTGTTCCTAGAAGATTCCCACCGGGTACGTGTTCTTTCTGTCGGCCTCGTCGGACCATAAGAAGGCCACATAGTCTTGGAGACTTTGTGGGATTGCTTGGAAGCCCTCCTTGTGCTTCAGAAGCCGGATAATCCGGTCCTTAGATACGGAAGCCAGGCAATATCTCACCGGCGCTTCAGGTGGAGTGATACGTGACCCCATGGGGGTTACCCTGTAGCTATAGATAAGATAGATAGATAGGAGCTATAAAAGAGCTCTGCCAGGCCAGAATAGCTGACCTGGCCATCCTTTCCCAATACAACAATTCACACCCCATATGCACTCGCATCATGGAGTGAGAGTCTGGCCAGGTCGCATCTACCCGGACCACGAATCATCGGAGATGAGCTAGTAATTCGCGTTAAATAAATCATATATTCGTTTATGTAAGAACTCTGGGAAGCTGTGGTCTCAGGTACAGAGGGGTAAGAGGCGGGTAGGCGCGGATTGTAGTATTTAGGGACCCCTCGTGGCCAACTTGGGATTGGTCTGTCACGCACCTTTATAGTGCCAATACAGCACCCAATACTCGGAATCCGACGATAATTAACAATTCGAATATCCAAAACTCCATCTGCGGGCACTGCCTCTCAGCACATTCCCCGGTGGTGGGCTGGGGGGACTTCATGGACCAAGTGACTGGGGAGGGTTCATGCAGACCATAGGCGCCCACTAACTTCCTGTAAATAACTAACTCTCCGAACCATCTTGACTTTATTGCATCGGAATGTGGTGGGTTAAGAGATTTGTGTAGCCAACTAAGTGGGTGCGAGGCCACAGAGCCGCCCACTACCCTTCCCTCTAGCGGCAAATGGAGCACGACTACTGAGATCCGAAGCCGATTCAAGGTTTCGTCCCGGCTGAAAGTAGTTCCAAGAGTCTTCTCATAGGATCTAGAGACGCTTGGAAATAGACGCGGATGATATTAGTACACTGCTCTTCATTACCGCCCTCAAAATAGCCAAGATGCACTCATTCAACCCCAGAAATCAGCCACACATTCCCCGCCTTCTCTTCGTCGGTGATAAATCAGGTCATTTTGTTCTCCGAGAAGTCGTTTATCCTCACATTCCTGCTGTGGATTGGTTCATAGTCAGGGCTAGAAAGGCAGCGTCCGAACCTTCTAGATTCTTTTCGGCCAAGCTTCGTCGTTAAGGTTCATGCCCTGGACGACTTGCTCAACTGCGATCATAGTCACATCATCACCCGTATTCAGGAAACCCTTAGTCAGTCCCCTCAGGAGCGGTACCAGACGAGGCAACAGCAGGTTGGTAATGTCCTCTTGGCCGAAATCCGGGATCTCCTTGCTGATGTGGACTTTCCGGTTTGCAAAGGTCAGGATAGGAACTTCCTCAATGGGATCTAGGTACAAGAAAGCAGCAGGAAAGATCATGATAGTTTGTAGCGGATAGGCCCAGCATATCGTCTGCACACGTGGGAAACCCTCCGGCATTGCACATCGAAACACCTTGATGTTTTAGTATAAGACGGCGGCCTTGGTCGGCGTCAAGTTCATTGTGATCATCTTGCTGTGGATTGCCTTCTGGTTAACTGTTGGATGAAGTGTGAACATTGGTGGCAATGGTGCTAATATTGATAAAGAAAGGGAGTGTGGCTACCCCATCCGTCCGTCCTGCACATGCCAATAGAATATGTCCCAACATACCTAGAAAGTTCATTAAGCGCCAAGGATCGTAGCTGTACATCTGTATTTATAGAGAAGTGTAGATAAGAGACTATTATATTAGTATCCAGTTAGTAAAACGCTTTTCCTAAGCTATGGAAAGTAGCTCGGACAGTTGAGTAGTTGATCAAAACCCCTTTTCCTCTACCACTCTAGTTGGGACCTAGGAACCCCTTTACATATTTCAAACTACTCACACCACAGACATCCCGAGAACTTCCACGGAGTGTTGACTTGGACATATCCTGACTTAGTTGAAGAGGTGAGCGTTCGTAAAATCCTTGCGTTCCCTCTATAGGATAAAAGTATGTCTTTCTCGTTTACCTGGGTGGTAGATGTTACAAAAGTACTCGCATATCGCCATCTCCCTCCGTTTGACTGCAAAGCCCGCTCGATAGTAACATAACTATTTGAGTGCATCAGGGGATAAGCGCACCTGATGACACCTGATACTTCGGAAGCGGACGTTAAGGGTCCCGTGACGAAGCTCATGTACTAGGGGGATAATGGCTATACAGGTCGACAGAGAAACATGCATTAGTATGCCGATGACGATGAAATACATGCGGGAAGCCTATTCACATTGAATTGTTGAGGCGGTTGTTTTGGTACTCTCGCGTGCGTCAAAATTCTGCAAGATGTGGAAATCTAGCTGAATGCGTTGGACCGCTTCACTGGCCACTTGATCCATAGCGTGTGAATTTGAAGGAAAGCAGAATTTAGTGTAGAAGATGCAAAGCGTCAATGATTGATTGTCAGGTTTCTAGATCAGGTCATGTACCATAGTTTGATTGTCACTAAACTAGGCGTGCTATTCTGTAGGGAAAGGGAACCGCAAGCCATGGATGCAGTCGATGTCGTGTCTTCCACCCAGAGATCTGCCATCCGCTTCCGATTTGCCTCGTGAAGCCCAAACCAAGTACCGTCGTGACATTGAAAGGAGAATCGTCTACTTCAGCTTCTTCTTGGGTCGGAGCTGGTTGGTGTGACCGCACTTGCGCTTGCGGCAGTTGGTTGCACGGGGAGGGAGACGGGCCTATATCAAAAGAGTTAGCTACAGCGTCGACGGCGAGGGGATGGGAGGCAGAACTCACGTAGCACTTGCGGCAGATCATCTTGTCGCAGTTGTACTTGCTGGCGAGAACCTTAAGAGAGGGCTCGATAACACCGCCACGCAGACGGAGAACCAAGTGCAGGGTGGACTCCTGTAATTGAACATGTCAGCTTCCACTGTCCCTCTTGGGGGATGGATCAGAGCCGGGCTCGAGGCTTTCTAAGAATCCGCGACATCCGTAGACACAACAAGATCATTTAATCGGCATCGCGATCATTGTCCCCACGCACCTTCTGAATGTTGTAGTCGGAAAGAGTACGGCCATCCTCAAGCTGCTTGCCAGCGAAGATCAGGCGCTGCTGGTCTGGGGGAATGCCCTCCTTGTCCTGGATCTTGGACTTGACATTGTCGATGGTATCGGAAGACTCCACCTCAAGGGTGATGGTCTTGCCCGTCAGGGTCTTCACGAAGCTGTCAAATCACACATGTCAGTATTTTTTTTTGATCGTTTTGTTCAGCGCTCGTTTGTGGGTTTGGGGCGATCGAAGAATTGGAGGGCTCACATCTGCACTGTTAAGTATCATCGTTAGCATAAGAAATTCAGCATGTAATGGAATTCGGGGCACATTTTCGACTCACTTTTTGCTGGTCCTCGCGGTGGTTGTTGTCGATGAATGGTGATAGAATGATATTCAACTCGCCTCGCAAAATCCGCTGTGGGGGGTCAATTTCGAAGGGAAGCCGCCCTAAGCGGCGTGGGTCATGGATTTGCGGGTGTGGCTGTATAGTTTTAATCGAAGGGCGGAAAAGATGGGTAAAAAAACAGGACATCAAAGCTGATTCGTCAGCTGTGTGGGCCGCAAACTCATGAAATCCCTCTCTGAAGGCAAGTACAGCTATGAAGCCTCAGGATTGAGCTGGACTGAGTTTACAGGCAGAGGCGAATTTCTTACCGTTCAAAAGGTAGGAAATCGTGGCCAACTGCTCAGGACGGGGCGCCTCCACTGTAGGTTCTGGCTCTGAAGACATGTCTCGCAATACTGAATTCACAATGGCCACGATTGCTCCCTTCGCAACAGCCGGGCCGAAACTGCTTACATGGTTAACATTCCTCTGTTTGCAGCTAGTTGAAGTTGATGTTCTGCATTGGAAGGTCTACTCGAAGAACATATTGTTCCTAGTAATAATCTGCTTCCGGTGACCAGTTGATTCGAACTCACTGCTCAAGTAACTGCCTTCCCTTCGCCTTTCCGATCCAACTCTGCCTGTTCCTTCCGCCTCTCTTTCTCCCTCTCCAAACACCACAGCTCCAACCGCCTTTCAACTTGAGCGGCAGCTGTCACAAGAGTCCCCAATTGTATCGTAGCCAGGTCCGCCGCTGTTTGGTAGAAGACCTTGGCCACCTCTGGCAGATCCTCCTCTGTGCGCCAGACAGGACAGAAGTCTCGCTCGAGCCGTTGCGGCTTCCCTGTTTTCTTGTCGAGCTGGTCTGGCACTGGCTCAACGACTACTATGCCTTCATTGACGACTCGGTACCGTTCCTTTATCGTCACATCGTTCTCCGGTAATAAACGTTTATCAGCTTGCGACTGGCTGTCAGTGGTGCCGAACCTACTGGCCTGGAATGGCCTTCGTATAGAGTCAACAGCCCTGGCTTGTTCGCCGTTTCCAATCCACATCTTCTCGAACCAGTCCATGTAGTCGTCGAGTTTCGTCTTGTCCAGTGTCAAGGCTTCATTTGCTGTGACCCTGTATTCGGTGCCTTTTTCCAGCCCCTTAGTACCGTCTCGTTTTGTCCTAGCATGCTGCCATTCTTTCCAGTTGAGCTGCATGACTCTGGGATCATTGTGGCTTGCTGGTGGCCGCTCAATGCCATCGAGTGGGTGGAGAAGCTTCGTAGCAACCACGACTAATGTCAGCAAAAACACTTCTGGATTGTTCATTGACCGAATGCGTTTCTTAGCCCCGGAAAGGGGATATGAAAAGTCTGCTTGTAGCATCTCGGCCAAGCATTTAACTGTGAGGTAAATGTTGACTATCCGTTATCAGTACTTGTCAACTGGAAGTAGGCGTTGAACTCACGAGGTAGAGTCAACTCCTCAATATAGTGGACCAGCATGGGAACGTAGTTGAGTGCTGGGAACTTAATCTCGAAGTTGAAGTTGAAGGATATGGCCATTTCCTGGACGGCAGATAGGAGCTTGCCAGTTTTGATGTGATCCTTGACCTCTAAAGCTCTGTGGTACTGCGCTGGCAGACGATCTCGTACGTTTTGAGGTAACGAATTGACCTTTAAGTCGTTAGTATTCAGTATTCCATATATGTAGTCCATTTGAAGGAAGGCCACGGGGCAAGCGGGGTGATAAATACTTTGGGTCTGCCGCAACTTGGGAGACACTTACTACAGCCAAGAACTCCATATCCCCTTTTTGAGCCCAAACCTGAAAGTCCGCTGTCGTAACTGGCAAACGCATCGTCAGACACCCCAAGTAGCACAAAGCCAGAGTGTCCATCAGCTTAGGCATCTTCCACGACCTCCCCGCCTCGGGCGCCCAACTCCTCGTCGAAACGGACGCCGCATCATCCTCACTCAACTCCGTCCCCGTATCGCTCTGCGCACTGAAAAAGCTCTCCGTCTCTGACTCGGGCCCCACCTCCTTCCCGCTCTCTCCCTCCCCCCTCAACGGCAAATTCCTCACCCTCAAATCCCAAAGCCCCTTCACAACCGCCTCGAGTTCCTGAGGCAGCCCCTTATCCTTTACCAGCCACCATAGCTGCCTCCTGAGAATAAGCTGCAACACCTCGAGATACAGCTCCCTACCCGCGGCGCCCTCCAGCTTAACGGCGATCCGCTCGCGCCGTTCCCGTTTCTTCCGCGTCACTTTGCCCGTTGGGTTGAAGTCGTCCTCACCCGCCTCGTGCGAAGCGAAGCCTTCTAGCTGGTGGCCGTTGCGGCAGTAGCGCAGGCCATCTTGCGCGTACCAGTAGCGCGCTGAGCATTCCTCGCAGCGCTCACCGTTAGCGAAGCGGTGATATTTGGATGGTGCCATGTTTCGTTTTGCGAGAATGTCGTTCTTATCACAGGTAGCTTGGGTTGATCAATCAATTAATCAACTTTGAAAGCTTGTCTCTCGTGTGACCAATATAAACGTCAAGGTAACTTGGTGTAAGTTGGTGCTTTGCTCGTCCTCATGGGATCCACATCGAAGACCTGGAAGCGACTTTGACCATTTCGTGGGAACGGTGCCGAATGATTCTCCACGATGGCTGTCCGCGACTCACATAAGATCCTGTCGCATTTAAACAGCTGCTAAATGCAAGACAAAAGACTACAATGTTGCGGTGCCGAGTCTTTGAATATTTTGGCTGACGGTGGAGGTTTCGTCGTTGCAAGGTTTGACTTTGGAACAAAGACAACCGTTGTACACGAAATGGTCCACCCTTGAATTTCGAGTCAGACGGTCGACGGGAATTAACCGATTCACCCTTTGATAACAGTTTGAGTCTACCATGCATATTCACATTTGCATATCTTTCCCATAAGACTCCTATCTGGAGGACTCGGGCATGACCAACATATCGTCTACTTGCGACGATTGGCATGGTCAAATATTCGGCTACGTTTTCACATCAAGTCACATCGTTCAAATTGTAAGAGAGATACATCTTGGGAAACTTGTGGATTCTACGGGCCAAGCATGTCGCCGCCAATAAGCTTCAGATTTCCATATTGTTTGTGCTGTACGTGTCGTAAGACGCGGGGAAGGCGGCATGTCAAGGAAAACGTGGAAACTGTGGGAGTGATTACGACCACTTCATATACCCAGCAGAAACAAGTGCATGTCCAGATAGAACCCTTCTGCGTAACGACCAAAAAGGGGAGATTCCCCAGACATCAACGATCAAGCAGCATCATCGAAGATATCCACCTCACGCAGTTGACATCCATCTTGATAAAGGCATCATTTCGTCAATGCTAATCAACGAAGGTTGTCATCGTCGAGCTTGCCTGGGGGGCAGGTCGCTCAGTTCTGGCGGGGAGCCTCCTTGGCCTCAACAGCCAACTGCTCACCCATGGCAGTAAGGATAACGACGTCTGGAAACGAAGCATTAGCAAGCGAGTCAGAATGCCGTGATATTTCGAGAGCCAACTTACTGGTGTCCTTCTCCTCGGTGGTGAAGAGACGGGTGATCTTGTCGCCAATCTCACCATCGGGCATCTTCACGTCGTCCTTGGTCTCTCCGTCCTCGGACATGAGGGAAAGGAAACCATCGTCAGCGATGTCAAGCTGTAGATAAGAGGGTCAGCCTGCTGCTACGCGTTTGTAAGGTTCACCGTAAGTAAACTTACAAGCTGATACTCGCGGCGGGAGACGTTGGGGACATCCATATTGTGGGTGGAGGGGCAGAGATCCTCAAGCTTCTTGCCAGTGAAGATATCGATGGCTACCAGATGGACCTTGGCGTGACCGTGCTTGCCAGTCTTGGAGGTGGACATGTCGACGATCTTGCAGGGACGGTTTTTGATGCAGACGAAGCCGTTCTTGCGCAGGGCCGAGCATTGCATCGGATACGTGGTGGAGGCACCGGCATCGGCCGAGTCGAAGGTGTGCTCATGCTGCAGAAAATATGTGTCAGTTTAATGTAATTGAGAAAATTCAAGGAGCATTTCGATAGTCGTGATGCGCTGACCAAGGTGGCGGCGGAGGGAAGCGACAATTGTGTGATGCTAAAATGTATCGCGGGGCGCGCGCTATGTTGGTGATGGAAGATTGCGGGGTGATTTCTACTCCCCCTCCTCTCCATGACAGTCCAGTGCGCGCGAGAGGGAGAAGCTATGGCGGGCTGCTTACCTGGGCGTCGTCCGCCATCTTGAAGGCTTGAGGAGCGAATTTGAGAGTTGGTCTTGGGTAGGAAGGAAAGTGAAAGGATGCGACGGTGCCAGCAACTTTTCCAACACCAAAAGTTGAGAATGAGGGTTGAGAAGAAGGGTGGACGAGGGAGAGGAGCAGAGGATTTTTCTTTGGGATGCCAATTGGATGCTCGAGATTTGTACTTGCAGATGTGGGGCGGGGTTTTCGCAGTATCCAGTGTGGGCTGCTGGCTTCCTTACCAGAGCAAAAGCCTGTGAGTTTTGGCCCAGAACAATTCGCGTCTATCTTACGTACAGGGGCCGGAGGTCTCAGCCAATTCGCCTCCGTGAATCCAGTGCCAGACTTGAATTTTATTCTTCTTCTTAAAGAAAGCTTCGACGAACCACGGACGGCTATCTCAGCAAACTCGTCACAGTCAGGACTTTAGGAGTTCTAGGGAGGCATCTGTTTAGTCAAGGGAGAGATAATAATGACCCTATCTTGAATTACCTTATCATGCCACAACAATGCGTGTATTACCTCGAAGTAATCACAGTCAAATTGATTTGAGGCGACAAACTCCAGGCAGACAGGCAAGATGTTGTGCATCACAGCTTGGGACATGGGGTGGCTCCCGGGGCATTGCGACCGCCAACACTTGCGAACAAATTGTACCTGATGATTGGCTAGCACACTAGCGCTAGATTCAGGGAGTGCGCTTTCCCCTTTTGCGTATAACTCCTGCGTATGAAGGAGCAGGGAGGAAGGCTGCGCTGCCTCGCGACGAGCTTTGGTCGACAGTTAGAAAGGATTCCATCAACTTGAGCAGCGTGAATTGGCCAGCTTAATTGCACTGTTGCTTCAAGAGCCTCCAGCATTCACCTGCTGACGTCGACCTGGTAAACTTCGTAATTGATTTGCTGTTGTCAAACACCTGACCAACCCGCTTAGTTATTCCCGGTTCATTCCAACATGTGGCTCGATCGGCTGGCTGGACAAGCAACATCGCCGTCCACCTCACAACCGGGAAGCCGCCCATACTCCCCAGTGCCTCCACGAAGGTCAGCAACCGTGCTCGGGCCCTATATCACGTCTCAGCAACGCCCTGGAATCACTCCGCGTGCATCTTCACTGTCGCTAGCTTCGAACGATTCCTCGACGTCCTCCCTGTTGGCATCCCAGAAGCGAGCAAATGGGTCTACATTGAAGCAGTCAACCACAACATACTCTGGCCCAGATCCTCTAGAGGTCTTGAATGCGCTGTTGGCTGAAGATGGTGAAGACACAGCCCCTGGATTTCAACCAAATAACTCCGTCACTGCTGGTGATCTAGAGCTGGACTTCGATTTCGGGGGACTGTCACTACGGGAATTGGCACTCTCCGAGGATATCGAAGCAGAAGGCACTGATGTACATAGATCTCAGACAGTTGAAGAATGTACGTTTACCTTGTCTGCATCCATTAGATGTTGTTTGGCTCATCCCGTTGCCCAGATGAACACGACAAGACCAAATTTGAGGACTTACACCAGTCGATACGAACATGCGACGAAGTATTGAGCTCAGTTGAAACGAACCTCACGAGTTTCCGAAACGACCTCGCCACCGTGTCTGCAGACATAGAAACCTTGCAGGCTCGGTCCACCGCTCTGAATGTCAGGCTAGAGAACCGCAAAGCGGTTGAGAAACGACTTGCGCCGGTAGTCGACGAGATCAGCGTATCCCCCTTGGTCGTGTCCAAGATCGCAGAGGGACATATTGATGAATCATGGGTCAAGATTCTGGCAGAAGTTGATAAGCGAGCGACGACACATAAGAACAACGCAGCAATATCACAGAATAGTAAGGGGTTACAAGATCTTGGCCCATTGCTGGAAAAATTGGTCCTCAAGGCGATTGAGAGGATACGTGACTTCCTCGTGTCTCAAGTCAAGGCTTTGAGATCACCACATATCAATGCACAGATCATCCAGCAGCAGAACTTCCTTCGCTTCAAGGATCTATTTTCGTTTCTGCACCGGTACCATGCGACCCTGGCCGACGAGATATGTCTTGCCTACCGGAACACAATGCGCTGGTATTACCACAACCAGTTCACCCGGTACGAGTCAGCACTGAAGAAGATTAAGCTACACTTGCTGGAAAGGACCGACGTTCTTGGCAATGAAGACACATCACGCAAAGGCACAGTGCTGTCGTCCTCCAAGATCTCCGGGCCCCCACATGACGCCTTCAACCTCGGCCGGCGTATCAATCTGCTGAAGACGAAAGACCAAGCGGCTCTTTCTTCCTACCTCGCGGAAGAAGATCAAAGCACGCATTACCTCGAAGTGCCCTTCCGCAACTTCAACCTAGCCCTCATCGACAACGCGACAGCAGAATACACTTTCCTAGCCTCTTTCTTCTCGCCTGCCCTGTCTTACTCCGCAATCTCCCGTCATTTTACCTACATCTTCGAGCCGACGTTCACTCTAGGTCAGTCATTGACCAAATCCCTGGTTCACGATACCTATGATACCCTCGGCCTCCTCCTGGTCGTTCGCCTAAACCAACACTTCCAGTTCGAGCTGCAGAGGCGCAAAGTGCCCGCCGCAGACAGCTATGTGAACGGCACGGCCATGCTGCTGTGGCCCCGCCTTCAAGTCATCATGGACTCCCATTCCGAGTCGGTCCGGACCCTGACCCACTCGCTTCCCACGCGGCCACCTGCCAAGTTAGAACAGGCCAAGCTGTCCACCGCCCCGCACGTCGTGACGCAGCGGTTCGGCCAGCTAGTCCACGGGATCCTGGCGCTCAGCACCGAGGCCGGGGACGAAGAGCCGGTCGTGACAAGTCTGCGTCGGCTGAGGGCAGAGATGGAGGCGTTTCTGACGAAATACAGCGGGGCGTTTGGGACGGATAAGCGGAAACGCGAGAGGTTCCTTTACAACAACTACAGTCTGATATTAACCATTATCAGCGATACGACGGGCAAGTTGGCGGAAGAAGAGCAGGAACATTTTGAGGTACTGAAGAAGGCGTTCCAGGAGGATGTGTCGTAGCTCCACTAGGGGAGAAATTGTTAGACTAGATGGTCCAGACTATGGTGCGAAAGAGTTGTCTTGGCATTAGAGACATGTGAGATCAAGCTTAAGATTCCTATATGCTCCCACAACGGACCACAGAATGGCTTGGAAACCACCAGTTAACACCGCGGATAGAGGCAATTGTGAATAGACTAAATCGAGGACCTCGTCAAGGCGAGACACTTTACCAACCTCAACCGATGCCACAAAGTGCTGTGCTGTAGAGCTGTAGAGCATTGTATATGAAACCAGTGGTTATGTGTATTCAAGCATGATGCTGTTGGGTATATTCGCTATAGTACAAGCATCCAGCTCGACGTCCTCGTTGCAGTAGTAATACAGCGCTACTGAGTATCAATAATTCTATTTTCCAGCCGTTCAAAATGCCCCTGTACCAGCCTGTCCTACTCCTCTTTCCGGTATGATGCCCAAATCCGTCAATTTATCATAATCATGTCCACCGTAACCATGGCGCAAGGTATGCCCAAATACCCGGCGATCTCCGTAGGTACACAGCAGCGACACCCACAACAATCGCCAAAGCCATGCCTCTCGCAGGCTTGCGATACATCCAAAACGTCCGCACCATCTTCTCCCTTGTATCCGCCCACTGCAGCTCCCTCAACTGCCGTTCGAAAAACCTCTCCCCGTCTCCCATACTCTGCGCAGCGCACGTCTTGACGTCCCGCGCCGTCTTCATCACACTCGCCTTCGACACTCTCGGCCACGCGTACAGCGACTCAGGCGGGTGCCTCTCGAACAAATTCCCCGTCTCTTCAATAAGCTCTTGAAGTCTCAACGGATGCGGCAGCTTCGACAGAATAGAATGCAGCATCTCCGGCTCGTTGGCGGGTGTATAGAACAGCTCTTCCCGTCTATTCAGCACGATCTGCGCAAACATGTACACACTGAAGACCTGCTCGCGGGCGAGCAGGGCGTCGAACAGACGCGCGATGTCGCCGTACGATTGGATGTCGTGCGCGTACATGGTTAAGGTGCCCGAGAGAGCGAAGAAGGGCTCGGTTTGCGAGAGGTGCCGGTAAAGGGATGGGTCGACGGCGTTGAGGATACAGGGGATGAGGCACAGTTGGGCGATGGCAGGCGCGAGGTTGGGTAGCATGAAGTCCCGGATGCGGAGGGCCGAGAGGCGGGCTATGGCGTGGGCGCGCAGGGAGACGGGGAGGACGAGAAGGAAGACCTGACAGATATCGTGGTAGCCTTGGAAGTAGCAGAGGTAGGGGTTTCGCCGGAGGGTTTCGACGATGAGGTCGGAGAGTTCGGTTTTCTTGAGTTCAAGTTGGGCTTGGGATTGGTCTGGTGTTTGCAACGTCAGCTTTGAGGTGGGGGTCAGAGGAGGTGCTATGTCAAAGCAGCAGCTCAGATTGTGTTGAGCAGCAGCTTCGTCGGCGGGGCGACTTAGGGGCTTCGCAAAGCACGTACGGTCAGGATAGTATATGAAACTCCTTTCGACATCCAGACAAACTTGGTGCTCGTCCCTGTGCCGCGGCAGTTCCCTCCACGACCCCTTGCCTGAATTGGTATTCTTAAAATTGGACTCGAAGTGCTCGGGTTCTGTAGATGCGCCGCCTAACGTCGATGTCTGATTATTGTATTCGCCGACACCGTTCGGGGTATCAAGGCCCAGCAAGACTGGCCCTTTACCAATATTCCCATCAGTCTCACCGCAACAGTAACAAGGGATTATAGTACACAACGAGCACTCACATGCCTGGCATCGAATGGTATCGGAAAGAAACCCGCCTTCGGACAATGCCAGATCCTTCAAATCGTCGATGTCTCGCCGATTACACGCGTCGAGAATGACGAGAGATTTCGCGCGGGATGCCTCATCCTCATCGTTCTCGGACTGCACATCCGACGACCGGGATGTGACAGTCAACCTAGCGCTGGATATTATGGAGGAACCATCGTCGTCGGGCTTCTCAGCACCAGGACCCTCCCCCTCCCTGGTCATCCTGACCTCCTTGTCCGTCGGTGACGAAACGGGGTGTGGTGGGGTGACGCTGCAAGTTGATTATGCCCGGGTTTCCTTGTGGCTAAATGGGTATATCTCAATGTAGTTCAATATGCTAAATGTGCTCGCCTTCGAGTGTTGTCGCTTGTCTGCAGTTACGTGGTTGCCTCGTTGGACCAGGGGTTTTCTTGGTAAGTTCCGTACCATGTAATTAGGTATCTTCGTACCTGACGTAGTGTTGGTGGGGATCAATTTCCTCGATAGTGTGCGGCGCGGCCCGGCCGTATTCCTTTACCGGACACCACTGGCTCGAAGCATAGAACACGAAGTCCAGGATGAAAATGCATATTTCCGGGTGAGTCGAGCTGTGGCGTTCATGCACTGCGGCCACAAACACAATCGTCATTATCCTTTGTTCGAGCCAGCTGTCAAATGTATGCGTCAGAGCACTCAGAGCAGAAGCTTGTCGGCGAAGTTGCACGCGCATAGAACACGGTGCTGGGGGCTGTCTGCTGTGGACTGTTCTCGGCGACGCCAATGATAGGGATGTCTTTGGAAAGCAAAGGTACTATGCAGTAATTGGAGTTGAAGGTCGCCCGACGGGCTAACAGATGACAGAGACTCGAACATGTAGCCAAAGGACTTATAGGGCAAGGGGTAACTGACACACATCCAATCATTTGCATACGTGACATGCCGCTTGGTGGATCTCGCAGCCATCATTATGACATAGCAAACCGCATGATACATATTATCCAAACTATTTGCCGAAGATGCTAGTCATTCAGTGTGGTGGTGACTATGCATACGCTCGGGTTACACAACAAGTTGAGTAATCTAGCCAACGGCTCAGTATCAATGTGTGAACCTTATGAACTCTTACTTACTCCACCAACACACGTATTTACTTACCAAAGTAGATATACGCAAACTTCGCAAGGTAGATTATATTACCAAGTGACTAAATATCGCTGCTCTCGATCCGTCCCGAGTTGGGGCGGTTGGACTATCTCGGAGACGGCTGTCACAATTGTGTTTGCTTCAAGAGACAGGGGTACTAAGTATTGTAAAGTACAAATATATGACATTCGCAATTGAGGCGTTGAGTACTGGCCTAGATGTATCTAACTTGGTATCTCAAACTGTGCTTGCTTTTGTTTTAATATTTGCTTTTGCTGAACTCTACTCCTCCAAACTTGTCATGTTTGCAGACCGCTTAATATGAATGGCATTGTGTTCGGATGGCTCTTTGTCCATGGCCCGTGCCGGGAAGACTACCATGGCTGAGGCTCATATATCAGACCAGGGGCGGACTTAATGAGAGAAGTTCGTTATGAAGGAAGATGACCAGAACGTGCGGCAGTTGATGTCATCTTCTTAAGTGCAACTTGTACAACTTTTAGTATCATTTGAATAATACCTCTCGCAGCACACAGCTCTCCCACCCTTGAAAACTCTACAAAATGATAGTCATCTGTATGGATCTGAGACAAGCAGTGTCGTACATACCAGGCAACCTGAAAAGCCAATTGTGATGACAAGTGGCCGTCCAACGTAACGAGCGACTAAGATCGATCGCTTGCATTGCCCGGCAGCTGGGCCTTGACAGATCCAATACGACAATTAAGCCGTACATAACCCCACGATCGGATAAAATATTTGTTTGATCGCAATACACTCTGGTTTTGCAGGACAAATATTGTACTCCAAGCGCGAACAAGAATGAGGTGTGCCAACCAACCGTCTCGGCGGACAAGGGACCGACCAATTGACACGAATTGTGGCAGTCTTCAGTGCCCAACTGTAATCTGCAGTCCAACAATATTCTGCGCCTTCGTACTCGTTGGTCACAATGCTTATTGCCACTACATGCAGCTTGCAGCCACTGAGCCGTGTCTTGTCCCTCTAAATCTGGGGGCCGACTTCTTCAGCACGTACTGCTGCGGCTATGTCGCTATGGATAGTGCATACTCATGCAATGCTGCCATGCAAGGTTCTCTAGCCCATTGGTCGCCGATTTCACCATGGGAATACTCCTTCCAAAGCCTTTTCCACAGCTCCAACATCCACAGGTAGATGCTCATTTGGCCAAATGACTTGTTTGCTTGCTTGAAGATACACGACTGCACCCCAGTTGTTGGATGCCGAGTAAGATACAAGGAAATTTCTCCGATACCTTCACATGCGTAGCATTACCAAGCATTACTTTCACTGGCCGGGAAGCCCGATCTCGACACCCAATCTCACAGGACGTGACATGATACGTCGCCGCATAATTGTGATGCCTTAACAACACCGCTTCTTTGGGTCTGGGAGCCGCGCTTGCACGCTTGCACATTCAAGTCAATCCAGCACCCCGGTCCCTGGGTCACCATACCCAGTCACAGACAGCTCACCCTGCCGCGAGATCCTTCACCAGACTTTATTATATTACCGTAGCCCCTTGCGTCCGCAGTTACGAGGCATGTAGTTCGTCAAGTGAGAGCAGGTAGCCACAAAAGTGGCTATTCGACGTACTTACTTGTAGACTGTTGGGCCCCACCTCGAAATATTCTACCAATTTCAACTCTCCCCCGCATCTTTGCATCGCAGCTGCAGGCTATTAGATCTGCCTAAAATACTTCCGAGGTCATGCCCTCCGACCTTCACGACAAGGCTGATTGTCTTCATGACCAAAGCCAATGCTGAGCCTTTTTCGTTGTCCTCTCCATCTGATCAAAATCAAATCTGGTCTGCTCCCCCAACAAACCGAGTTGAGGATTTTCTGGAGCTGCATCAAGCCCGCATGAACGCTCCACTCATCTGACCCAAAGGAGCCAGCCCACTGTCCACTTCGCAAGTCTGCTTTGGGGCTCTCAGGTTGAGCAAACATTCAATCCGAACGATATCAAAAACCTGGGCACTAGACCACAATCATTTGGCTTTATACACAACTCCAGTTGTCAGACATGCAAGATCGAGAAGGCCTGCATTTGTACGCTTCCAGACGACGTGCCCGAAGTCACCCCTGTTTGCTGACTGATTTCCTAGCTTCCCCTTCTTGTAGCCATCCAAGACAGCGGGTCAGAGACTGTCTGAGATGTGAGCTTCTGTGTGGGCTGACTTCCGTTCTGTAAGAACGTTTAATCTTATGGTCTTGTGCCTCGAAAGCTTTGTGGCAAACTATTCTCATTAGCCTCGTGCCGTGTACTTTGAGCTGCTGTTGTGACAAGCATTCGGTACAACATCCACCCCAAGACGCACTACCAGGCTGCCTCCAACCCGCCCCAGTTCCTCCACGACCAATGCAGCATCTTGTGTGTCAACTATGATCACCCGAGATGGCACTCCAACAAAATGTTTACGAGAATGGCGGATGGGTCACTCGAACACTTACTCCTCAGGAACTGTTCCGTGAGGCAAGAAAACCCAAGGAAAAGCAAAGGAAACAGCCGTTGACGCCGCGATCCTATGGCATACTCAACAAGACCGTCATCGATAGCCCTGTGATTCGCTGGGTCTTGCCAGTGCAAATCCGGTCCCCCCGTAACAACGATGTTGCCTTCATAGGGGTGAGTCTATGCCAGTTTCCTAACTCTTGGTTTAACCTTTCTTCCAAGTGTATTTGCAAATAGGATACATAATCATGTCTTCCTCAAGCCGGGGCAACAGAGTTTCCAACTTCATGGCGACTGTGTGTTTCCACATCTGTCGTCGATATCCACCAGAATCACGAGGATTCCCCAGCTCGACATGTGTGCCAACTACACGATACTGATTTAGCAATAGGACTCATTTGTTCAAATATGCGAACTGGGAGGGGACTACCAGCTCAAAGAGGTTATTCGAAAGCAAGACTTTGGCTCGCGGATTCGAAATGCTCGAGTCATTGGGTTATCTCGCGATTATCCGGGGGGGCACGACAGTACCGACAAGCTGAAGGTCAAATCCAAGCGGGATCTGGATGATGACATTGACATGTCCGACTCCTCAATAACTCATGATCAGTTTCCTCCACAGCTTCTGGCCCTTGTCCTAGAGCATGGCGACTTGGTGTTCCTTTACGTTACGGAGGGGCCCACTGGCGAGTTGGAATTCAGGTCTGCAAAACAAGAGATCGAAGTTGCGCGCATCAGACTTCCCGGTTTCCATATGGTAGTCGACCCAAATTCACGATACTTGACGTTGGCTTGTTCAGAGAAACTGTTTCTCGTATATGAGCTAGAGTCTATGGAAACGCTCCGCGATCTACACTCACGCGGAGAGCCCTTCAAGCCAGTAAAGTCCTGGAAAGCCCGAGCAGTCAGAGGCACTATCTATAGGATCGAGTATCTCTATCCTAATCCAGACAATGAACGCCACATCATCCTCATGCTCATCATCATTCAAAAAGGGGTCTCGCGACTGGCAACATACGAATGGGAGCTTGGCGACCAATTGAAAGACGCATTTAAAGAAGAGAAGCATGGTCATCGCCTCGATGTACAATGGAGTATGCCGCTGTTGGTGATTCCACTGACCATTCAAAATGGCTTCTTTCTGGTCACAGAGAGTCAGATGGGCTGCTGCCTCGATATTCTCCATGGACAGATAAAGATTGAAGCGATAAACATCGGAGAACAGCCCGAACCCACCGAGCAGCACCGAGGCAAGCACACTCCACTATGGACTGCATGGTCAAGACCTTGGAGGATAGCTGCATACTATCGCGAGAAAGATGTCATATACTTGGCTCGAGAGGACGGCATTATCAAATTTCTAGAATATGACGATTCGGGTTTGGATACAGATCTCGGGATGGGCTCCGTAGACTGTAATCTCGACACAGCTTTTGCTTGTCTTTATCACGCATATGGGGACGTATTGATCACCGGCGGTGACTCGGGACCTGGCGCGATTTGGAATGTATGTTAGCAGCGTCCTTACCAACTTGCTACGGCTAATGCGTGCCCACAGATTGAAGCGAGGGAAGTCCCAAAGCGGATTGGAACGATACCGAATTGGTCCCCAACGGTTGAATTCGTAACCACGAGCACAAGAGCAAACCGGAAGTCCTCAAAGGGCAAGGAGCGAGCCGATGCAAGAGGGGATTTACCATTGCAACCTGATAGGATTTTTGCATGCTCTGGCTGCGGAAACGGCTCCATAATCGAATTCCGATATGGTCTCGAGGCCAAGGTTGGCATGGAACTTGATAACGAGCTCCCTATTCGTCAGTGCTGGGCATTGCCTGCTGCAGGACCGAACTTCCAAGAGTCCTTTCATTTACTACTCGCGCTGCCGAACACTTCTGTCATTCTACTAGTCTCGGGTGATCTATCCACTGGCAGCGACTTACCTCAAGAAATCGTGCCCTATGATCTGTCATCGAGTACATTGGCTGCCGCGGATTTAGGAGGCGTGGTTGTCCAGGTCACAACGAGTTCTGTCACGATCATATTATCGCCGACCGAAAGGTACGTATGCACTTGTCCAGCGCCGCCGTGGAATCTTACTGAGACGTGTTCCAGCACCCGCTATCTGTCGCATGAGCTCAGCGCCGGCTTATCTCCAGTAATTACCCATGCGGCGGTGAGAGATGACGCCATTGCCGTAGCACTCCATACTGGAGCACAATATGGGCTCAGAACTCTCACCGTCGACAGACTCAATATTAGCTATGGACTCCTGTTCGAGGTGGAGGGTGAAGTAACTTGCGTTGCTCTAGGCAAATTCGCTGGTAACGTGACCTTGATAGCCGGACTTTGGAAAGCTGATGGTCCTACGCTGGCGTTCTACCCCCGGGGTGATTTGCAAGAAACCTCACCGCTTCCACCAGTAATTTTGGATCTATCAAAGGGTGAGCAAACGCGCCACACAACCAGCCCTGTAAATTCAACTAACTATGGCCTCCACAGTTCAACATCCTGGAGAACCTGCTAACGAGACCAGCGAGTCCACGGCATTTCTCGAAGCTATAACGAGCATCGTCATCATTGACGAACAGCCTGGAGAGATATCCCTCGTCGTTGGTACGAGAACTGGCTATGTCCTCACATTAGTTGTTGATGCTACGGCGCCTCATGATTACCGAGCTCACTGCGATAGACTAGGCCCATCTGCGGCCGACGTCTTTCCACTTAGTACAGGCTTTGGGACTGGCTCGGTTCTCGTGTGCTGCAACTCAACAGTGGCGGCGATGACGGGCTTCTCAGCACGTCGACAGTACCGCTTCGAGGAAATTTTTCGTGTTTGGGCCACTGATGACGACACCTCACAGATGCCCGCACCAGCCTTTCACTCTGTTGCCCCAATGCACTGCAATTTGGAGAATAATGGTAATAGTTCCCTCTTGATGATAGCCGGGACGACCATCTACGTTGCTGAATTGCAACCCAAACCGAAACAAGTCCCACGCTACATGAATGTACAAGGGACTCCAACAAAAATCATGTACTCTCGTACACTTGAGGCTCTTGTTATCATCCTAGTCTCCAAAGATATGCGGCCATCCTTACACTTCCTGGACCCTGACACTGGACTGGATTTGTCTTATCCTACCAACAAAGGACAAGAAGTCGAGTATATTACCGGTCTGGGCGAAGTGGATACAAAGGTACTGTCACTGATGAATTGGAGATACCAAAAAGGCGGTAACACTTGGGAGTATATCGTCATCTCCACTGTAAACGAGAAAAAAGAGAGCAACTTGCTCGTTATCACAGCCGAGAGGGGTGATCCGGTGGGTAACCCGGATGGTCCACCTACAGTCCGTTTCTTCACCAAGTGGAAAAGACGCCACGATGAACCAATTTGGTCCATTGCAACCGAAGCACAAGGTTTGTTCCTTTGCTCGGGGAACACAATACTCTACGAGACGCTTGATGAAGAAAGAAAACTGAGAAAAGCGAAGGAGCATGAGCTTTCCTCTCCGGCAGCATGGATGGAAGTCGTGGATGGTCGGCTCTATGTGGCCACCGCGAGGCATTCACTCGAGATTCTTGACTACAAGACCAGTTCAGCAGATGACTCGATGGCTCGACTTTACACAGATACCGAGACAAAAGAAAGTTTGCATTTCATTGAGATTGGCAACTTCGCCAACAGGGATGATTACCAGTCGGTCACTCTGTTGTCTGATTTGGCTTGCGGTGTCTATGGAATGTGGGCAGTACCGCACGATGGGAGATTCTTTCTCATATTCCAAGCTGAGCTCCAGGTTTCGATTAAACGGTTTACACGCGGGCACACAAGGCCACCATGGGATCTTTTTGGTCGAAGATTGCAATATGGAGCCATGAAAAGCAGCGCGGACAGATCGGAAATCATCGGAATTGGCATCGAGGGCTCCCTGCATCATTTTACCCTGCTTGATTTGGATGCCTGGAGACTTCTCAGATTCATCCAGAACATAGCACTCGTGTCAACCTCGATATGCCCGTTCAAACCGACTTACAGGACTCCTACCGACAAATACGTGTTGGGCAGGGAAGAAGACGAAGACGAAGACGACGACGACGACGAAGAAGAAGAAGAAGAAGAAGAATGGAATCCCGAGCCCCAGATGCTGCCCAGACTCAACATGCATGTCGACGGAGACATTCTTCAGCGATGTCTGAGTCAGCATGCCCTCGAAGAACTCATATCCCAACCAGAACTCATCACACGATTCCGACAACTTCTTGAGGCCCTCGATGGGGGGCTATACACACAGTCTCTCCAAGACTTGAGCGGTTATTTTGAGCTCTGCTATGATGTACTGAAATACTACCTTGCACCGGTCCTCTAATAGATCGCCTCCAAACCAGCTTCATGGTCGTGGTTCTTCCAGTAGCACGCAGTTGGAATCCTTTAAAGGCTCATGGACTGTAAAAGCTACGAAACGAAGAGCGAGTCCCCTATACCTACGTCGAAGTTAGATCTTGGGTGGCAATTGTTGTTTCGGGGTAGATGCTCTGGATGAGCCATGTTGTCGTCTGAGTAGCGCAGACGATGTAAAGTAGCATTGAACTGTACTTTGCTTCTAAGCATTGTACGTGTCGACGGCGAGGTTCGGTCTTATTGTAGTTAAACATGCTTTTCCCGCCCATGTTGTGTTGTCAGATTAGAAATGAATAGAGTACATACAAGATGAGGTGTGACGACTGAATAGTCCTAAGTTGCTGCCGCTGTGGGCCACTTAAGAATGTGTGATAAATTGCGATGTTCGTAAGTACCCTTATAGTTGGACTCCATGATTGCCACTTTCGAATACATACCGGTTAGGCTCTAGGTTAATCAAGAACTTACCTGTTCCATCCTTGTTGTTCACTCTGTTATCGGTGTAAGTGATATCGATAACTGAGGCAATGGCGGGGCTTCACATTCGCTTAATTCACAAATACGCTCAGTAATTTACATAGAGCTGCTCCGCGTGACACTCCGACAGATAGTGACTGACGTGAGGCAAAGGCTGGGCATTTCTGCTTTGAACTACATTAATAGACAAGAATCCCGACTGGACTCTTTCCTCCCGAGTTACTCGGTCAACCTCATATGATATCTGCCTTATAAGCTAGCAGTCCTTCTTGGTTCCCGTGAAGGTCTATGCGAGTGGGGCCCACGTTAATAACCCTGCAAAATGCGGATTTAAGTGTACCCCACATCACCGCCGGCGACAATCTGCAACGGTACCCCTCCAGCGACACCAACTCGCCACAGGAAAAGTTACTCAACTCTAGAGTCTATCCTTGCCGAAGCACTCCCAAGTGTTCTGGAGTGGGTTTTTGTTTTCAAAGTCGGACCAATCTACACTTGTAAAGACGACGACCACAACAGATTCGCAATGGCGCCCAAGGCAAAGAAGGGCAAGAAGGCAGCTGACGATTGGGAAGCCGACCTAGGCGAGTCCATCGCACCCACCAACGGCGATGCCCCCGCCGCTGCTGCAGATGGCGAAGAGGCCAAGGAAGGCGAGGCTGATGCGCCCGTCGGTGGCCTTATGGCCATGATGAAGAAGAACCGTGAGAAGCGCAAGAAGAAGGGTCTCTCTGAGGACTTCGTCGACGAAGCTGCTGCCGCGGCCGCTGCTGCTAAAGCCGCTGAGCCGGTGGAGGACCTGACGGCGAAGGCCCCGACCGAGGCGAACTTGGACGACGAATTTGCACTACCGGACAAGAAGGGTAAGGGCAAAGGAAAACAGCCCGCTGCTGCTGCAGCACCGGCGTCGAAGGCTGCCGTTGAAGAGACTGGCGAGAGCGGTCGAGTACTCACCAAGGCCGAAAAAGAAAAGCTGAAGAGGGAACGAGAGAAGTTGAGGAAGAAGGAAAATGTGAGATTACTTTGAAAACAGTCGCACAAATTCGTCCTAACCAGCAGTTACGTATAGGCTGCGAAGAAGAAGCCAGCCGTTGCTCCCAAGGCCGAGGCCGCAATTCCCGTCGTCGCGGAAAAGAAGGAGGCCGCAGTGGCGGTCCCTGCTGCAGAACCTGCTGGTGGCAAGAAGGGCAAGAAGCTGCCACCGCACCTTGCCGCGATCCAGAAGCAACAAGAAGAGCTTCGACGGAAACGAGAAGAGGAAGAGCGACTCGCCGCCCTAGAAAAGGCCCGCATCGAGGAAGAGGAGAAGCGAGATGCCGAAGAACAGGCGCGGAAAGAAGAGGAGAAGGCTCGTAAGAAGCAAAAGGAGAAGGAGAGAATAGATCAGCTCAAGAGAGAGGGCAAGTACATGAGTGCTAAGCAAAAAGCCGAGAAGGCTGCGAACGAGCGGAAACTGCAGCAGATGAAGGCTGCCGGTCTCCAAGTGGGCCCTCAGGAGGGTGAAACTCCGAAGAAGAAGCCTGACAACCAGAAAAGGGGCAAGAAAGCCAACCAAAAGGTATGGACTGCCAGCCAGGTTAAGCGGTCCTTGTAAGCAATCACTAACGCGATGCCAGGTTGATGAGGAAAAGGCCCTGGCGGAAGCCGCTGAGCGTGCGAGGCTTCAAGCTGAAGCGGCTCTGAAGGAGGCCGAAGAAAAGGCCGCCAAAGAGGCTGCCGAAAAGGAAGCTGCTGCTAAAGCTGCCGCGCAGAAGGTCGAAGATGACCTGGAAGATGACTGGGAGGCTGCTGCTGCATCTGACAAGGAAGATGTGAAGGACAGCTGGGATGCCGACTCCGATGATGAAAAGACACAAGCCAACGGCAACGCAGTACCAAAGACAGAAAAGTCTCTACCCTCGAGGCCGAAGCCTGAGAACTCCGACTCTAACTCCGAGTCTGAGTCCGAGTCTGAATCTGAATCTGAGGAGTCTGAAGACGAGGAGCAATCTGCAAGAAAAGCGGCCGAGGATCAACGAAAGAAAGAAGCTGCCGAAAGACGTGAGAAAGCACACGAAGCCGCTATGGCAGCAAGGTCAAAGGACAACCTTCGATCACCTATTTGCTGTATTCTGGGACACGTCGATACTGGCAAGACTAAACTGCTCGACAAGATTCGCCAAACCAACGTGCAAGAAGGCGAGGCAGGTGGTATTACGCAACAAATTGGTGCTACGTACTTCCCAGTGGAAGCCATAAAGCAAAAGACTGCTGTCATCAACCGTGATGGTAGCTTCGACTTCAAGGTTCCTGGTCTGTTGATCATTGATACCCCTGGTCACGAGTCTTTCTCCAACCTGCGGTCTCGTGGCTCATCCCTTTGCAACATCGCCATTCTGGTTGTCGATATCATGCATGGTCTCGAGCCTCAGACCCTCGAGTCGATGAAGTTGTTGCGTGACAGGAAGACTCCTTTCGTTGTCGCACTCAACAAGATCGATCGCCTATACGGCTGGAAGAAAGTTGACAACAACGGCTTCCAGGAGAGTTTGGCCATGCAAAACAAGGGTGTCCAGAACGAATTCAGGAACCGTCTTGAGCAGACCAAGGTCGCTTTCGCCGAGCAGGGTTTCAACTCGGAGCTCTACTACGAGAACAAGTCGATGGCCAAGTTTGTGTCATTGATTCCCACATCAGCCCACACTGGCGAAGGTATCCCTGATATGTTGAAGCTCATCGTTCAGCTGACACAGGAGAGGATGGTTGGTTCTCTCATGTATCTCTCCGAGGTTCAGGCAACCGTGCTCGAAGTCAAGGCCATCGAAGGTTTCGGTATGACCATCGATGTGATCTTGTCCAACGGTATCCTGCGGGAAGGCGACAAGATCGTTGTCTGTGGTACGGAAGGGGCCATTGTAACGAATATTCGTGCACTTCTCACTCCAGCGCCACTTAAGGAACTACGTGTCAAGTCGGCATACGTACACAACAAGGAGGTCAAGGCCGCTATGGGTGTCAAGATTAGTGCCCCTAACCTTGAAGGAGCCATTGCTGGCTCTCGACTCCTGGTTGTCGGACCCGATGATGATGAAGATGACCTGGCGGATGAGGTTGAGGGAGATCTGAACAAGCTCTTCAGCCGTGTCGAAAAGTCCGGCCGTGGTGTCACAGTCCAAGCATCCACCCTCGGTTCCTTGGAGGCTTTGCTCGACTTCTTGAAAGACTGTAAGATCCCCGTCGCCAACGTTGGTATCGGACCTGTTTTCAAGCGCGATGTCATGCAATGCGGTACCATGCTGGAAAAGTCTCCCGATTACGCCGTCATGCTTTGCTTCGATGTCAAGGTTGACAAGGAAGCGATGCAATACGCCGAAGACCAAGGCATCAAGATCTTCACTGCGGACATCATTTACCATCTCTTCGACAACTTCACAAAGCACATGGACGAACAGCTCGCAAAGAAGAAGGAAGAATCCAAGATGCTTGCTGTCTTCCCCTGCGTGCTCAAGCCCGTTGCAGTTTTCAACAAGACCGGCCCGATCGTCATTGGTGTTGATGTCGTCGAGGGGAGCCTGAGGATCAACACCCCGGTTGCTGCTGTGAAGAACAACGCAGCTGGCATCAAGGAGGTGATTGCCATAGGCAGAGTGTGAGTCTACATTTACAATGCCATAAGCTTGACCGAGATACGGAAGCTGACTGAAAAACAGAACGTCCATCGAGCGAGACCATAAGCAGATCCCCATCTGCAAGAAGGGCCAACCTTCGGTAGCCGTGAAGATCGAGATGGGAGGCCACCAGCCCGTCTACGGCCGCCAACTGGAGGAGGCCGACACACTCTACAGTTTGATCTCCCGTGCCAGTATTAACACCCTGAAGGAGTTCTACCGCAAGGACATGACGCCAGACGAGTGGCAGCTTATAATTAAGCTGAAGCCGCTTTTTGACATCTCCTAAGTTTAGATAAGAAGAGTCTCGACCTTGCAAGAGAAGAAGTAAAAGGGACTAGCTGGCTCGCGAAATGCTAGAGAAAATAGTTTAGGGCATATGCATGGATGGATGTATGATGGAAAAGGCTGGCTCTGCATGCATGGCTTGTATTGTTGTTATTTTTGCTCTGTTTTGGGGCTTTTCTTTATGGACGAGAGCGTCGCCGGCTAAGGGGAAGGAAATCAATCTAGATTGTGCCGACAACGTTAGAGACGTCCCGTTTTCTTGCTCCTAAAGTTGTTTTGGTCGCTCCCAACTCAATTTCTCACCAAATCCAGGAGGTAGATTAGGCGTTCGCGTTTGTTTTGCACGCAGCATTAATATCGATGGGGTTCTTCACTCCGCACACGTTGGTCCTGTTGACGTGCTTTGGGGGTTGGAATGGTCAGTACGATAAGTGGAATAAGGAACAGGTAAGCTGCCTCTTGCTTTTACCTGCCGAAGTGGGTATTTATACAGCGAACTTCAAGTGGTCGATCATGATGGTTTGGATCGAACAAGTACCATGGGCTGTCCCCATTCTGCACAGCAATAAGCTTGGGAACCCACCAAAACCTCAACGACTTCACTTATACAAATCGTCACCATTTTCGAGGCTATTACAAACGAATCATATGTTCACATAGAGGAATCCAAGGATGTTGAATTCACCAAGTTTGACAAGGTTTTGGTAACCCGGCGCGGCAGAAAGCTGCTTCCGAAAAGGGGTGTATTTGCAGGCAGCCCCCGAATACCGTAACTTAACTTCCTCGCATTTTTTCTACTGTATGTATGGGGATTATTTAACATCAGTGCTTCAAGATGCTTATTGTCGAATGAGTACGAGCTCCAATTATTTGCCATCATAGCAAACATCCCGCTTTGCCCAGACGTGACGTGAAAGGGCAGTATAAATCGGCAGAGTATAAGGGCTTATATAGCGTGATGGTGCATGCATTCCGTTCTGGACAGCTACGTGGGGGAGTTTCATCCCGCATGCTATAGCTTGTGGAGTGGAGTTAGTTAGAAAGCAACCCAGCGATTGGATGAAGCTTGAGGTACCAGCTGAGCACGTAAAAGATGCTGCTCTCAGCTGGCGCCCATAGAGGAAACGGGTGTAAGATCGTGGATTACACTGTCGAGTTTATGGGGCTCAAGAAATCCACCGTTAATGAAGACCATGTGTAGCTTGTTCTAAATCCTAATATGAGGCAGTGACTCGAAATGGGGAGACCCAGTATAGTGAGACCCGGCATTTCTGGAGTAGATCTTTCTTGGAGAAAAGAATTCCCAGTTTTACTAATTTGCTAATGTGCTGCCTTGTCGAGGTACCTTGTTTTTCTCTGGTCTTGACGTTGAAACGAGTGAACACGGAGCGTCGGGATTTGGACTGGCGTTCCTTCCTACCATTAGCATGGCAACTCTGTTGTCAGTGAAGTCGGGGTGAAGTAGCGAGGTATGAAAGTCTGTTGTTTTAACATGTATAATCAGAAGCAGCCCAAACCCAAAGATTTGAAGCAGGCCTTCAGGAATAAAACCAACCCTACTGATAGGTTAACGAGATGCGAGGAAGGCGACCTGGTTCTAGTCGGGTTCGCCATGGAAAAGAAATCAAGGTGCTCTTCAAGGAATGTAATATTGTGATCCGGTACTTTTCATTATGGTTCAATCTGCAGCAGATTATCAGTCGGCTGGGTTGCTAGGAGGAAGACAGTACCCCTTCCAAGAGAAATTGATCTTTTATAAGGCTCTATGTGAATGCCTAGAAACTTGCAGCAGGCTATTAACCACCTTGTGCCTTCACTGTTTGACCCATGATGCGACACAAGTTCTGGCTAATACCCCTCAAAGTGAGCACGACCTGGGCTTGAAATTCGAGAGAGCAGAAGCGGACTCAGGTTCGAAGAAGGAAAATTATGGATGATCCCGTGAACCCAGAGGAAATCATTATTTCTGAAATCTTTGTTTGCACTCTTTCAAGCCTCATCCTTTCATCGCATTGGTCACTACGACAAACGGTCTTTGCTCCAGCACGGAGCTCAACGAACCCAACGAAGTGTGGGACTTCTGCACAGTGTATATAATCACTGGGATTAGTTGGACCAGGAATATCATCATTGGTCGTCCAGTCTGGGTTATTCAAGGGGAATTGCTTGTGGCAATTGCCGTGTATATCTCCCCAACGCCGGCATTCTAGAACAGTTCGTCGAGGGAAACCGCTTGAGACCACGGGAATCTGGACGAAGGCTTCGAGTGATGGACATCTCGAACTCTTAAAAAGGCCCCCGACCACAAATGAAGTGAAGGCTCCTTGCCACGGAGAAAAGCAGATGAGACAAGAATTGTTAGATGCAAAAGCTGCGTGGGAAAAGGAGGTCTGCTTCGGTTCGAGTGGGAACATGCGACTGGCGGCTATTTGGACTACTGCGTGGAATGGCAAGAGCCCATGTCAAAGAAAGAATATAATGCCTGAAGACCAATAGCGGTTTGGTGCCATGAGCACAACGTTACTACTACCAGGCAATATTTGAATGGCGCGTTTAGAGGTTGACAAGTCCCACAGTTTGACACAGGCTACCTGGAAGCGAGCGCTGACCAGGATCCTGGCCCGTGCGTTTCGGCGGCTGCGTGGCCTCAATTCGCCGTTGACGAGCAACCGCATCAACCAACTTACAGCCTCGAGCTAGGCAGCTTTGAAGGTCGCATCGCAACCACATCTCACGAACCGGTGAAGCTCCAGACGACCAACCAAAACCACCGAGTATCAACCAAGATGTCGGGAGCAGGCTACGATGCCGTCGTAGACGTCGATGACGAGGTAAATCTCCCCAGCTCGATAGCTCAGGCTCTCGTCAGCACCGTATCGAGAGCTGCGAGAGCTACAGGAGCTTGAACTGATGATGCATTGCCTACAATCCAGGGCGACCTCGGCCACACCGACCTACAAGAAGACCTCGAATTCCACAACTCCAACTTCACGTCGAACCCTTCGGTCGGCGGGCGCAGTAAAGTGAGCAACGCAGGCGGCGGCGGCCTTCCGCTCCCCGCGACGACAAGCTCGAGCTCGTCGAAGCGCTACCTCTGGACGCTGTCCTTTTACGCGCAGTTCTTCGACGTCGACACCTCGTCGGTCCTGTCCCGCTGCTGGGCGGCGCTCTACCCGCGAGCGAACTTCCTCGACGTGCTCGAGGGTAACGCGGACTTGTATGGGCCCTTCTGGATTGCTACTACGGTCATCTTCATCTTGTTCTTGGGCGGGACTATTAGTCGGTATCTAAGTATCAAGGGAGACGAGCCGTTTCGATATGATTTTACTTTGTTAAGTGGTATGTGTCATCTCCACCCGCACAGTCTTAATCTCTGTCTGCAAACAGGACGAGTTCCTCAAGTTGGAAGAGTCCACGGCTCACGATGATGTGTACAATTACAGGCGCGGCCGGTCTGATCTACGGCTACACCCTCGGCATCCCCGTCCTCCTCTTTGGCGCACTCCGCTACTTTGGCTCAGAAAGCGCCAACCTCCTCGAGTGTTGGGCTCTCTACGGCTACGCGAACCTGATCTGGATCCCCGTGGCGCTGATCAGCTGGTCTCCGATCCAGATTCTCAACTGGATCTTCGTCGGCATCGGCTTCGGGGTCTCGGTCGCCTTCCTGCTCCGCAATCTGTACCCCGTGCTCAGCGCGACGGACCGCCAGACTAGCAAGGTGCTGCTAGTCCTCGTCGTGGCGCTGCACTTGGGCTTGACCGTCGCCATCAAAATCTTGTTCTTTGCCGCGGGTAGCCCGGCGCCTATCAAGGACGCGCCGCCGCCAGCGGAGCCGAATCCAGTGGATGGAGAGGGGGACGGTGCGGCGCAGGCTGTGAGTATGATGATGCGCTTCCTGTTTTGAGAGGTGAAAAGTCCTAAATACGGCCATGGAAGAGAGCATGAGTCTCGTAGAATGTAGTTGCATGACCGGCGTTTTTAGTGGATGCGGTATTCGATATGTATACTAGGCAGTATTTGCATGGATATCAGCCTCATTACAGCTAATAAGTATCTCGGGCTTCGGTCAAGCTCCAGTCCCAATTGCCTTGACTTCACATTCGCACATAATTCCCCCCCTTCATGGTGACCAAAATGTCCTCATCACCGCTCAACCTTGCCCCCTTTCGCCGCCCAATCCAACCAGCTCCCAGGGTATTCGCCCACCTTCTTCCACCCAGCCTCCCTTGCAATTCCCGCCGCCGCCCGGGCCCTCACCCCCGCCTTGCAGTAAAACACTACCTCATCCTCCTGTGCAGGGCGCTCGAACCCAAACCGGTCCTCAAACTCGTCCTTCGAGATGTGGAAGCTGTCCGGCGACGTCGTGATGGGGATGTTGACCGAGCCGGGGATCCGGCCGGATTGCTGAAGCTCGCCGGGCTCGCGCGTGTCGATTATCGTGGCATTGCGTTTTTTGGAAGAGGAGAGGGCCTCGATCTGGCGATTGGGTATGGTTGTTAGCTGTGGGATACTGTATAGTCGAGTGCGCTGGCGAAAGCGGCGCAGAGAGTGGGAACGGCGGGAGAGGGCGGGAAGGGGAAGGGGCAGACACACCTCCTCGAACGTCCAGATCTTGGTCCCCATTGCCGACTCAGACGACCAGCGGATGCCGAAGCGCTGTCGATGTTGCGGTGTTAGGGCGAGCGGGCGTCTGAGGGGCGTTTGCGCCGCTGCTATCGAGAGACTACGACGGGGCGTCGTACGGGTGGTCAATTGCGCAGTGGTGCGCAGAGCAGAGCTCATTGCGAGGCGTTTGGTCGCCATTATGGACGCAGGACTGTTATCGTACCGAGTGATGTTGTCTTGTTGTGAGTGGAGGGTCTCTCTGATAAGGAGCGGAGCTATGTATCTGGCAGTATGGGACCCGAAACTCAATATTGAAATGACGTGGGGTCCAAAGTTTACTTAGTGCGATGGAATTAGGGTCCCCATCACTATACGCTATATACAAGTCCGATCGATCAGCCCTATAGAGCTTAAATGACATCAGAATTAAGTATCTGAACTGGTCGTAGTATTGCTCTATTATTAATAGGGCTTGTCGCATCTCTAGAGTCACACATTCGGGGACGTTTTTGGCGACTCGAGTCGAGACGCCAAGAAACCTGTAAACTGTAAACCCTTTTTGCTGGTATCTGAATTTAGGGCAATTGGTATAATATATATAGATAGATTCGGTCTCACACACGGGCATCTACTTCAATTCATCAGCAAACACATGAGGATTGTACGAGGATTTTGTGCCATGTTTTGATTAAAATTATTCTATTGGTGGTCTTTCGTCGTTAATGATGCTGACGTACTACGGGCCCTTGGGCCATCTTTCCAGTCTTGATCTCACGACTCGTCCGCCTTGGCTTGCGCCACGACATGTAATCTTGAAGGATTACAAGCTTCATTCTCAGCTTCCATCGCAGCCACACATTTTTTCTTCTACCACTTTCTCTCCTGAAACGTCAACGGGCAGTCATCCTAATCTGTCGTTAGCGACATATCAAGCACTTGAAGATATCAAAACTTACCTTAGGGAAAAGGGTGGCGAACACCTTGATTTCTTCCGAGATGGGGGTTGCGTGGTGCTTCCAGTCCAGAAGCACAGACGCCTTACCAATGGCAAGAGCCAGGTTGAGCTGGGCGTACTGCTGTCCGAGACAGTAGTGAGGACCAGTGCCGAAGACCAGGTAGTTTTTGGAACCCTTCACCTCAGCGTCGCCGCTGTAATACCGATCAGGGTCGAACTCGTCGGGGTTCTCGTACACGTCTGGGTCGCGCAGGGCCATATACGTGGTGGGAATGACCATGGCGCCCTTGGGTACGGTGTAAGTGTCGGTGATGGGGAACGCCTTCTTGACCTTGTAGGGGACCATGATGACTGGAGGGCGCCATCTGAGAAGCTCCCGCACAACAGCACGGGTGTACGTCATCGACTCAAGCTGTTCCAGAGTAACCCGGGCATTGACATCGCCATTACGAACACGGTAGTTCTCCTCACGGACCCTGTCAAGAACGTCGGGACGCTGGGCGGTAATCTGGAAAAGCCAGGTGGCAGCGCTGCTTGTGGCGTCTTGGGATGCGAAGAGGAAAGTGAAGATGGTTTGAGAGATCTCCATGTCGGTGAAATCGCGGACGAGGGGAGTCGGCTTCTCCAGACCTTCGGTGGAAAGACCCTTCTCGGTAGCCTCGCGCCATTTCTTGGAGTCAATCATGCCCTTGATCCAGGCATCCATGATGCAGGTAATGTCACCACCGGCAGCCATGCGAACCTTGGCCTTGGCGGCGCACTTTGCGAATTCGTCCATCACCATGTCTGCGGCCTTCTTTCCATACCAGGTGCGGGTGTATGGGACGATGACGGGGAAGTTGACCAACTCCAAAGCAGCCGTAACCAGGTAGTAGTCGTCCGAGATCTTGGTAATGGCCTCGTCCGATATGTAGTAACCGACGAAGGTACGGCACGATGTCGCACACATGAGTTCACGGAACTGGTGCATGAATGGCACGGGCTTGCCTCCGGCGTCCTTAGTGATCTCGACGTACTTCTTGTAGGCCTTGTCGTAGACATCCTCCTGACGGGGCAGGTAGCATTCCAAGGCCTTCTGGGTGAAGAGTCCGTTGAGACCCTTCCGGTAGTCGACATGCTCCTTTCCATCGAGAAACACCCAGCTCTTCTCGCCGAGGATCTTGGTGGCGATGTCAACGACACATGGCTTGGCGTACGCGGGAGCGTTGAAGATCTTCCGGGCCAGGTCACGGGTGGACGCAATAACGACAAATCTACGCGGCGCAACAGGTCAGCAGACATGCGCCGGGGGTATTTTTTTTTTTTGGAGGCGGGTACCTACTTGTGGAAAACAGAGACGCAGCTGAGGGGACCGCTCTGCCATTTGGCGAGGTACTCCTCGAACTTCGGGTTCATGGACTCGAGGAAGGGACCAATGAAGGGCTGCTTGAACGACGGGCCGACGATGCAGCCCTTTTGGGTCCAGTAGCTGACTAGAACACACGAGAATAGTCAGTATATGTGGCCAGGGCATTTCATCAAGACTTCGAGACGAGGAAGTGTCGAGGGCGTTGGGTGCGCACCTTGATCGTACGCGACCGCAAGAGCGAGAACGGTGAAGAGCCATGTGCCGACACCGGCACTGGCGATCTTGTCGACGACATAGTCCAGCTGCGGTGGCAGGGCGACAGCCGTGAACTTGTCAGCCAGCGGCGACGTGAAGCTGGTAACGTTCGAAGCCATGGCCGAGGCTCTACTGGACGGGGCCAGGGGGTTGGGTATCGCGGTGCGCAATGGGTGTGACCACTGCTGATGGTTTTACGAAAAAAAAAACGTTGGCAGGCCGGTGAGTGGATTGTTGCAAAAAGTATGGTCGATCCAACTGGGTGCCGGGTGCGATTCCTCTGCGAAAAAGCCGCAGGCAGACTCTCGATCAATTTATCATGGAGGGGGGGAGCGAGGAGGGAGCCAGAAACGGAGGAAAGAAGAAGAGGCACTTCCTGAGCAGGTTGGCCCGGGGCGAAGAGGGTTTGAAGAGTTGGCGGAAAGGTGAAGACAGGGCGAAGAGACGAAAATTAGCTGGGCAAAAGATCGATTATCTATGCAGATCCAACCCAAGGGGTGAGTGACCCGGGTCAAGGATTGTAATGACCCTTCTTTTCCTTTATCCACTTCGGGATCGCGGAGAAGGTTTCATAAATAATTTCCGGGCCGACCCTCCCTTCCTTGTGCAATCCTCGCTCGCCATTCAACGTTACGCCGAAATTGGTTGAATTCCTTGTTCTGCAATTGCTACAAATGGACAAGCCGGCGCTTGCCAATTCTACGCAGCCTCGGTGTTTTGGCATGAAGAAACACGCTTCCCCACCCCAACGATAACACCGTATGTGGGAAGCTTTGATTCGTGTTCTATAAATGTGCGCGCCCCCGGTTCCAACACGTTCCGAGCCCGTGAAAACACGCCATCTTCGTCTCGCGTCCTACCTTCTTTGATGGAGACGTTGAGCTGAATTGAGGAATCCAGTCGATATATACTGCAGGTGCTGACTGCGCCCTTTAATAATTGCCCATACATCGCGGGAGGCACTCGACACAGCTCTAATGACGTCGTCTACTGAGGGGGTTGATGCCCAGGCTGGAGATGGCCTATCGATTAGACTGCGAAGTATGCGCATTGATCCGAATGCCAAGACTAATGTTCATCTTGACATGTTGACAAGCCATAAGAAGCTTTTCGGGATCTTTTTGCCCTGCTGCCGCGCCGAACTCAAATTATGATTGACGACCGTGCCTGCATTGCCTCGATCCGCATTCTTATTACGCACATGGTTGAGGATCGATTCGACTAAATTCGACTAATTCCATTTCGCATCGTGCTACAATGATCTGCAGTGGTGTGATGTAGGGCGACCGGTGCAGCAATTTTCCTAGTTACAGATGAATTGGCCAATCAGCAAAGCCACGTCCCTTGATCCACTACATTGCTTGTCTAGATGCAGTTCGAATACGAATACGGTGCATGTGCCAAGCGTAGAATCTTTAGAGGAGTTGTACGGTGACCCGACCTCCGACTCTGGGACCAGATCCGGTGAACTACTACAAGGACTCAATCTGCCCAGGTGGCTGAGGCTCAATGGACGGCTTGTGCTTTGCATCTGCATCGTGTTGCAGCCAGGTCAAGCATGATCATGTCGCTGATTGTGTTGTCCACTGAGTCGAAATCCACATTGCTACACTTACACCTCTTTTGAGTGTCCGAAATAAGTAGCCATATCCACCTCGTTTCTCTCGACAGTAGTTCACTCCATGCTGTGGCGCAGCGGGTTAACCAATTTGTAAGCAAGATCAGGATACCAACTAGAACTTTTGTATGCCATACGAGAACTACTATGAATGACCGTGAAGCCTCGATCATCCCTAGCCATGCGGCAGTGGCGTGTGGTTGTGGCTTCAGGGCACTGTCTCATGCATCGTGTAGTCGGGAATGCCAGACTACTTTCGTACGGGTTATGAATCTGAGGAGCTTTCACATACCACATGTAGATGAGCCCCAAGCTGGACTACAGGACTATCACACGCCGTTATAAATCATCGGCCAAGCACCGCCGACCTTCCCCGGACCTTGAAGTTGGATCCGAGGTTCATATATCGTTCCTTGCAGTCTGAGATATCTCAAAGTCTTCCAAACCACTCCCCGATAGCATCTAGGAGCGGCGTCGTTTTATTAGATAGCGGAGATAATCGGACTTCCATTTCTCAGCAAACCCGCATAGCAAACTCGCCTCGGTATCGGGAGTGGCTATACTGGTCTCCCATCGGATCCCTGAACCCATACTTCGCTTTGCGCAGAAGAGAAAGCCGACACGGCGTGGTGTTGTGCCCTCCTTGAACTATTGCGATGATCAAGAATATGGCTCACCGCTTCGATGCCAGCTGCGATGGACAAGTCAGTGAACCTGCCCTATCAGTGTAGCCAACGAGAGATCGATCCGGGCTTATGAAACCACAGTCTGACACGTTGCGGCCGGAGAGTAAAAATAAATACACGCTCGAACCCCGCGAAATTCAGGTCCATCGATACAAGAGCATAGAAACGTCATTCTACGACAAGGAAGCCACAAAAGCTCTACATGATGCCAAGTCTGCGGAATTAGCAAAACGTATTTGTGCATTGTCTGATCTTGCGTCAGGGGTATTGGTGTTTTAGCGAGACAACAAGTGATGACATTCAGGGGAACGCATCACAGGGCAAGCTAAAATGAACAAGACATCCGTGTGTGCGACGAGAAGAAAGAATATCCCGACTGACAAATGAAACCCGATATTAGCACAGGAGCTTCGGGTGTGCAAGTCTTCCGCTATAGAGTCCGTTGCGGCCCATCCTGCTGGCACGAACCCAAAGCGGGCAACATAAAATAGTGTGGACTTCGCTGCGATTTCCATATCGATCACTTCCTTGCCAGCGACGACATGCTACTAAGATTAAATCTTCCGCAGGAGGCGGACGAGTTGAAGGAGGCCATGATAAATCTTCAACGTGAGACTTGCCCCTGGTCCCATTCCCCAATACAGACTGAGTCTCCGTGCCAGTGTCAAAGACCTCACCACTTCGCCCAGGTCTGGCGGCGCATTCAAATAATCCATCGAGAACCCTTAACGGTATCCGGTGCATGCTAAGTTCCTGACGAGGAGATGTTGATCACGCGTTTCGACCCAGCCACGGATGTAGCTAGGCGGCTACCGTATTGCGCTCTCGAGGATACTGCGCATGGGGCAGTGAGATTGCTGGAGAGCATCGAGGCCAGAGCCTTAGTTTTCTCGCTATCTAGATTATCTTAGGACAGTACGGGCTACAAGGAAATTTGCAGAACTCATTACTCTTCTTGGAGGACTGTTGTGTAGCTAGGTGTAAAAGTAACATAAAAGTTCTCAAGGCTAAACCAAGCCATATGCGCCGTCATTCTTTTAACTTCCTCGACACGGCTTGCATTACCTGAGTGAAAACCCTATTCTCCAAAATACCAGACGGTGTCCACGGGTATAAAAAGGCGGACAAGGACAAGTCATATAGGTAATCGACGAGGTGAGATTGGGACTCTGTTGCGGAAAGGGGTATAGCAGAGTACCAAAGAAGGGCGATGCGACTGACACGTAGCTTCCACGATTGTCTTCGTTTTGATACTTGATTTGCGGGAGTTAAACTCTCTATATTGAGAGCAATAGCTCACGATGTTGTTTCGTATGCGATTGTATGGAACTAGGGGTATATTCATGCAAGGCGACGCTCTCGTTATCCCTGCAGGTTCTGCTTGCCTTGACTTGCTCCATCTGTATGGCATACTTGTGACATAGAGCATAGCCACATGATGTGTACACAAATGGTCAGCTTAGAATGTATCATCCAGTATGTCCTGGTTCATCTTTACCATAGTCGGGCTGTAGTCAGACGATTCGCCGTACTCAGGGGCCGCGCCGGCAGTCATAAGTATGTCTTCGACGATGCGCTTGCTCGCTTCTCGCGCTAAATCCTATTATTAGCCATGACCCTTCCCAACAGTAGAAAAGCCGGCTTACCTGGCGTCTGCATCAACTTGCTCGGCGGTAACGCAAACTGAATGGTCTTTGGCGGGCTCATCCCCCCAAACAACACGCTCCCGGTATCCTCATCCTCATCACTATCCCACATAATCTCATCCGGATCTCTCGCCAACTTTCCCTTTCCTCCATCACTTGCATACACGTCCCTCGTCTTCCTTGCAGTACCCGGTGTCTGCACGCTAACTCCCGGAGTCCTCGGGCCCGCATCTCTTAATCCCCTTCCTACACCTGAAGCTGCTCTTCCCAACCCTCGAGGCGCCTTCAAAGGGGACATACCAGCACTATATAAATTCGTCCTCAAAGTTGGGGCCGCGATCTCCGGCGAGCTCTGCGGACTATCCGCCCACAGCGCCCTCCTCGTACGATCCGTCTTGTCGGGCGAGATATCCCGCGCCGCAAGAGCACCTCCACCTCCACCGCCGCCCTTATGTGGCGTCGCTTGGATCCGGAACGTCCTATCCAGAACGCGGTGGAGCAGCGGGTCTTTGCTCCTCCCATTTTTCGATTCTTGCGTAGGGGTCGGCGCCTCGAGGATGGACGACGAGTGAGGTTCCATCGACATATCGGGTAGGAGCTTGGTGTGGATCTGTGTGGTGTCGTCGTCGTCGTCGGAATCCGGGAAGGCGCGGCCGCTCTTAGCGGTAGGGTCCCGATCTCCTTTGAGTTCACGACGGAGGTTCTCGTAGGGCGAGTCTAGGTTGGCGAATTGCAACTGTTGCGGGCGGAGAGACTTGGTGGCGGGTGGTCGCGGGGTGCTGCCAGCTAGAGAACCGTCGTCTAGCAGCGAATCCTCGACGTCGCGGTGCATGGACTGTTGTTCGTGATAGGCTGACTGGTCTGCGCTGCTGTCATCGTGCCCGCTGGGTGTGTAGTCCTCCGAAGTTGTGGTGTCTGTGAGTCGCGTGGTCTCATCAGCGGCGGTGGCATCTTCATCGTTGGCTTGCTCTTCGTAGCCGGACAGGGACACGTTGGCCGAGGCTTCAAAGAATTGCTTCCAGAACTGATGGGCAGTGGTCAGTCAGATGAGATACAAACGAATCCCAAGAGCTAGATAGCATGACAAGTACCTTGGATGCCTCCCACACATTCTTGGAATGCTCGCCATACTGCTCGACGAGGGGCAGGATGCTGGTCGTAACGATGCGATGGGCTTTGCTGAAGTTGCGGTCAATCTCTTGCAGGGTGAGCGTGATTGACTGCTCAAGCTTCTCGAGTTCTTCTGTCAGAGTCAAGTTTCTTGCCGAGCCCGCCCGAGACATGATGACGGCGACGGTGTGCTCGATTGGTCTTATGATACTGAAGTTGTACTCGACCGAGGTTCTAAAGAGTTTACCGTTTTTGGTGGGGTTGAAGATGCGCGGGCGCGTCCGATACGCGATGCGGGGTTCAGTACATTGATGCTTCAGGGGTTGAAAGACAGCTAGCTACTTCCTAGACATGCGTGTCAACCTTGTTGATGTGGTAAATTCCTCTTTCTGAATTTGGGTATCTCTAATTCATATTCCTTGTCATCATGGCATCGATCCACCGTAGTAACCTGACATTTCCAAATGCAGCAATAATCGGTCAATCGTGTTTTCTTCCTTCAGGCCTGCCTTCCTCTCATCGATGGTGGCTTCGTTCTTCGTCTGTCTCAAGGTGTGACCTCCTTTCTCGCTCATACCCCGACATACCGTAATGAATACTCCAACCTTTTTCTTGAACGCGGCATACAGTTCTTTTGGAGACGCCGTTCCAGACTTCGAACCAGGCTTGCCATGCGCTTCCTCCCATGCTCTCTTGGAAAACCGGAGTATCAGGGTGAAGATATCCTCCAGCAATTTGAGCACAGGTTGCTGTCGCTTTCGTAGAAGCAGCGTATGCATAATCTGGTCCAGCACTTGCTCATGATATTCCCGCATCTCATCAGGGCTGAGAACATGACGTGATTTGGCATCAGTGTCATCATTTTCCAGAGTTGACTGCACCTTGTCCAGCCAGTCTTCAAAACGTGCCCACGGTATACCAATACCCGTGTCGAAGAAGTAGGTTGTAATGCTGGAAACAAAATGTTGTGCTTCTATTCGGAATCGCAGTGATGTGTTGTCAATACCCCGCCATTGCGACGTCCTGGCACTCGTGTCTCGGAATAGCTCACTGACAACGTATAGCATTCGAAGTACTCGAAGCAGCAGCTTGAAGATCCTGTCGTATTTAACCAATATCACTGGAGTCATAATAGGAGTCAGAGGTGACGGCGGCTTGTAGGATAGCCGTAGGAAATCCAAGGCCTCCAATGAGCTCGGGTCCATGCAGCGGTCGATCTCCTCGTCTGACAAGTCCCGCACAGCAAAGCTCAGATGTCTAGGTAGGTCACTGATCTCGCCCGACGGGTGCCTTGACGAGCCATGCCCAGATGGTGGCAAATAACTTTCTGTAAGTACACCCATTAATGCCAGTCGTAGCTCGGAGCTAGCTGGAGGCCAGCTGTCTCTTCCCCCAAGGCGAAGGCCCATCATGCCACCATATCGGGTCACTCCAGCTTGGCGTTCTGCAGTCTCGAGTTCAGAATCAAAGAGGGAATGAGACAGCCGAGTGCAGAAGAATCCGTTACCCAGCAGATGGAATTCCCTTTGTAATGTGATATGAGCTCGTAGGTTATGGGCGCTGAATAGGAGCTTCATGTATTCCCTGTTGACCAGCCGGGCCTGAGCCTCGACGAGGGGGCCGAAAGTCAGAAGAGGGAGCAACGACCAGTGGGGAGTCAAGGCTAGGCCCGCCTGTTCTGTACCTTGCTTATTCTCAAGCAGTCTGTCGAGTAGCAAACGGGACAGACCGCTTTCCTCTATGACCGCAGGAAGAGGCTCATTAAGTTGCTTGATGGATGCCAACAGGTGTTCGACCATGTCGCTTTCGCCTCGGCCGAAAAGTTGTAGCTCATATGTTATTTGGGATTGTTCTTGTCGCATACGCACATGGCTTTGCTCGTCCGATCGATCTAAAGGGCGGCGGACGAGTTCAAACAAAGACATTTCATATTCATCCACCTCTTTTTGCATCCCCTGAATGGAATTCCAGTCGAAGTGCCACGCGAGTGCTGGTGACTCACTGGCTCTGTGATTATCTGCATAACATAGCGGGTGATCTGGGAGATGAGTGCGTAGTAGTCGTAAGTTCCTGCCAGTCTCAAACATCACTCGGGTAATTTCCTCTGGTACGAAGTCTGGCATACGGTCATGGTCGAGCACATAATCAGGCTCCTCAATCTCCAGCCCAAAATCGTCCATGAAGGCCACATTCTCGACCTTCACGAAACTTCGCCCAGGACCATCCTTTGTGATACCGATCCCTGATTCGGGCTTGGTGCCTATCCATTCTTGCGCAAAGTCCGCCCATGGTTTAGAGACTCGGGCTAGAACTTCGCGCATGACTTCGCTCAGCAATTCATTACCATGTTCCAGTGCTTGCGTCTCGTCGAAAATGATTGACAGCAAATGCTCATCGTTTATAGCCCTCTCGAGTTTCGTGATAAGTGACTTGAAATATGTCAATATTGAATGTACCGGTTGAATCATCGATTGAAGCTGCAAGAGTGACCTGATTGTTCGAGCATGGCTACCGAGTTTGGTTTGTATGGCGACGAGAAGGATGTCGACAGCCTTTGCAAGAGCAATCCTCCCAGGAGACGGATGAGTCTTGTAGGTGATCCACACCATAGCTGAAAGAAACCGAGTGATATTTCCGCATGTGATACACAAATTCTGCAGGCCTTGTAGGACATCTGCGGAGTATCCTGAAACTCGCATTTGGTTCAAATCTGGAGTGAATGATGACCTTTCACGGTCCCATACGAAGAAAATGGATGCCCTGCCTAGAGCAAGTGCAAGCAGAGAAGCCGTGTACGGATCAGCTTCAATGGCATTATGGTCGCTGTTCTGAATCTTCAGCGGGTCCTGTGGCGAACTCAACACGGCATCATATATCGTAGCACCGGCTTCCGTCGCGAACAGTGCCGGAGCCGGTGGGGTATCCAGCATAGTGAACCCATCCCAGCTCTTGAACTCGGCACGAACGTTTGGAGTAGCCTCGTTCGATATCCAAGCATCGTTGAAGAAGTCGACAGAGCGCTGACCAGCCTTTCGGGGAAGTGGAAGTTGGAGCCTAGCGGTGTCATCCTGCGATATGGCTTGTCCATCAAAATTCAAAGTGGTGAGAGCAGCTGGCAATTTGAAGAATTCGTCGGAAACTACTTCAGTAGTGCTAGACTCGATGGTTTCCCAACAAGACTTTTCTGAAGCCTGGATATCGAGGTCGAAAAACTCATTCTGTTTCTTGTCAAGAGGGTCTAGCCAACGGGAAGATTTCCAGAAATTGGAGATTCCGAAGATATCCGTGTCGTCCTCGTCTGCCATTTTTGGAGGTCAATGGGATATGGCGAGAGCTTCATTTGGGCCCTCCTCATACCTGCTTCAACGCCACTTCCTCATCTGCTGGGTGATGGTGCGATTTCGAAGCAATTCGTTGCGGACTTTAAGAGGTAAGACGCGAAATGAGGAAGTCGCGTCTCCACCTGTGTGCTCCCCGCGCCCGCACTGAGATCTTCAGGGTCATGGCGTGGACTTTCTAAGCTCTGGCAAGCTCCGTCAGCTTGAAGCTTCTTTCAACATCATACCCTTACTTTGCGACATTGTATTATTCGGCAGATTCTTTAAACTTACATCTTGTTGAAGCTATAGACGAGCACACTATTCTTTGAAGCACATGCTAGACCATTCACCTTCTCAATTGCATAGCTCTACCACCAGGTCATCCACTCCCTTGCCAACGAGATGGGCCCCAAGCGCAAGACGGCCAGAGGTAGCTTGGCTGGTACTTCGACACCCAACAAGACGCCGACGCCTCGGCCGGATGACGATGCCATGGATATCGATTCCCCAGCACCTGCAGAGACCCCACGAGCAGCCGATACTCCCACTGCGGCCATACATAACAACAACCCGACACTCGAAGACGTCACATCAGATCCCTGGACAGACGATCAGACTTCGTCGCTCTACAAGGGCATCATTCGCTACAAGCCCACGGGCATGCATAAGCACTTCCGCATAATCGCTATTTCCGAGCACCTGCGAAACCATGGCATCAACGCCCATGATAACCCGCACACGCGCATTCCCGGCATCTGGAAGAAGCTCAACGCGTTATATAACATGGACGTGATCGACGAGCGGGACAATGCCGTCGATGCCGAGGACGAGAAAATATGGGAGAAATACAAGGCCTTCTCGCTGCCGGATGAAGAATATTATCAAGACGAGGCATGGCGACGGCGTTTCCACGGTCCAGACTCGGTCGCTTCATCGCCGCCGCAGATAGACTTCTCCATGGGATCCGAGTCGGGGAGGAAGCGCAAGCGGGGTGCTGATGGCTCTAGTGCGGCTGGCAGTGTGGCGAAGACTCGCGCTAGCACCGTGGACGATACCGAGGAGGACATTGCCAGTAGTCCTGTAACGAAATCCGCCCGCGGCGCCCGAAGCCGGAAGAGAGCGGCCGTGAAAGCCAAGACCGGTAGTACCGAGCCCGATAGCGACGAGGAAGAGGGCGACGAGGACGAGGAGAACAGTGAGCCCGAGGATGCCGAAGCTTCTTCCACCACCAAATCCAGTAGAGGCGCCGCAAAAAATAAAGGCCGTGCGAGGGTCCAGACAACTTCAACTAGAAGGAGCCGAGGCCGTAAGTGAAGTACGCAGCTCTCTGCTCGGAGCAGATCCATGAGGCGGTTTGATCAAAAGCTATACTCTGGAATGAATGCGTGTGGGCTTTTGGCACCTGGGATCTTGGGGCTTAAAAGGATTGTGATACCCAATGGAGTGATTCGGTATTCTCAGGGGCTTGTGTTTTGGTATAAATTTCCTTTTTCCAGCATTGCATTTTAGCGGTAGTGGACTCGGCGTATTTTGACGATGAGTGCCTAAATAGATTATCATGAAATATCGTCTACGGCAAACTGTGGTTGATAGTGAATGTTTCGCAACCTGTACGCATGCGGGCTGGAACTTTTCATGGACAGGATTGAACCAACTTGACCTCTTCTTCTCTTGCGTCGTCATTTGCCTGACTATCTCGATGAGTATGCTAATGTCTGCATTACAGCATGCTGACCATATACGCAACGAGCCAAAGGTCCAAAAAAGGCCATTTTAGCAATCTGTTACTACTCGCCAGGCCTTGACGACATTAACCCCAAAGGCAAGTAACCTAACCAGGTGGTTGCGAATCGAACATATATAACTAGTGCGCGTCTGCTTTCATCTCGTCCATTCCCTCACATAGCCATACTTCAGTAACTATGATCAGCCACAGAAAATCAGGACACTAATATCACAAGAAACGGACAAATCAAATTTTGGAAGCTAACCTAGCTTCTAGATGTTCGCCTAATGATCGAGGTTCTTCCCTCCGATAAGCAAGATGCAAATCCCGCTTAAGTGGCAGCAACAATATCCAAAAGATCATATTTCAATGCATCCATCCATCCATCCATCCATCCAGCCATTCTTGAGGCCCAGAAGCTATATGCAGACTGCTGTGATAAGAACTTCACCTGCGCAGCTATTTATTCCTACTCCCTACTCCCCACTCCCATTATACGTGCTCATGACAAGACTCGAAAAATAATTTCCAACACACCATGGTATCTCTAAAAACTTACCTCGTCATCCATAAAAAGGAGCTAATGATTAAGTGTTACTTCCGCATATCCCCCAGATCCTCGGCGCTCTCGTAAAACACGCTCTTCCGTAGCGGACTACTCGTGTTCCCGCCCAAGCCCTCTTGCTGTTCCTGCTGTTCCTGTGGTGCCAGACTTTGCCCGTGGACACTCATATAGTCCGTTGCGTTTTGCTCATCCGCCGTAGGCGGACTGACGGGCAGCAGCGGGCTGGGAGCGCCTCCACCCTCCGGGCTCATGGGCGCTGCGCTGACGAGGACCGGCGTCGGGGGAGTGCTGGGCACTGTACCGGTCACTGAGCTCACGCTGGTGTGGTCTTGGGAGACAGTATAATTGGACTGCGAGAAGGCGGAGGGGTTTGTGGGAGTGCTTGCTGAGTGGGGAGTGCGGGCGAAGTGGGAGTGTTTGTTTATGATGTCAATAGGGCTCAAGCCCGTGTCGCCCAATTCGGCAGGGGAAGATGTGTCTGCGGCATGTTAGCTACTTGGCTTTCAGGAGTACTGAGGTATAGGCAAAGGAAGGCAAATCACTTGCCCATTAATTCAGCTAATGCCGTGCCGGACATTTCATGAGGCCGAACACTCGCCATTTCGGGTCCCTGGCGGGCATCGGGGAAGAGGCGGGCTTGGTTATGGGGTTGGGCATGTTCGATGCGGCTCTCCACATCATCCGAATTCATCGCCGTGTCGTCCGTTGTGACAGTTGGAGCTTTGTTGCTATCCTGGCCCCGAATCCATGAGATAATGCGGTAACCATTTTCGTCTGTACCTCCTGCACTCATGCCGCCTCGCTTCAGCAACTTGCGACGACGGTAGACCAAGATGGCCACGACGAGAACCGAGATGAAGACTAGACCGAGAACAACACCCAAGACTGGCGCGACCCATGGCTGAGTCCCTCCGCCTCCACTACTGACATCAGGTGGATGTGTTATGCTAGCGATCGAGGCGTAGGGATAGTACGTGGTAATCTTGGAGGTAGGGTACGGCGTGGCAAAGACGCTGGCCAGCTCAGTGGTCGCCCACCCTATCGACAAGGGAGTCGTCATTGTGGCACCGCCCGTTTCTGTGCCACCAATCGTGGCATAGATCGTTTCTGGAACACCGTACGGAGCCCAGCTAGCTGGATCATACGAATCCACCCATTTGCCCTCAGTGAGGTTGAACATTTGGATAATGCCGCCCTGCAGACACTGTTGCGTATCTACGCCCTTAAGCGACGCATAGCCACCAATGACCATCATCTGGTCAGGGTACGGCATGACACATTGGTGGCCAGCTCGAGCATGAGCCGTACGGCCCGACGATACCTTGATCCAAATGAAGGATGGGAGCGACAGGATCCACACATCGTCGTTGAAGTCCCCATTGGCATGCAGGCCATCGTACCCACCGTAGTAGTAGATATTGTAGCTCGAGTAGTCCTGGGCAGGAGCTACAACAGCACAGCCTTGTGTGAGCTGTCCCGGGCCATCTGTGGTGTTTTGCTTGTACCACTTGTTACCCGCTATATCATAGATGTCTATTGTTGACATGAATTCTGGGCTTTCAAGTCTCTGTAGCCACAGTCAGCACGGTTCGTAGAGTAGAATACTTTCAGTTGACTTACACTTTGTGCTTCGTTCTGTGATAACATGATCGGGTTGTTGAAGTCGGGATAGATGACGCCACCTATGGCGACAAGAATACCCTGTTCCCCAACAGGTACCCAGACTAGGTCCGGATTCGCGCGACCCTTGATAGAGGCTGGCAGAGTGCTGTTACTCCATGACTCCTCTGTTTGCGTCGCCATATCCAGGGTGATCAGGGTATTGGAAACATTGAGCGGGTTGAGCGACTCGTTGGATCCGGGGTAGTAGATAGGCCCCCCGGACGCTGAGCGCATGCCACCAAAGTACCAACCCTTATTTTCCGAGGGGCTGCTGGCAGCGCCACCATAAGTGATGTATCGAGTTACGCCATCATCCAAGCGCTCGTTCACGAAGCCCGGGAACCAGGACTCCTTTGGGGCTCCATACTGGAATAACTGGTAGCCAAGAACCTCATCTGCGTCCGGCGAAGAGTACACGTCGGTCTCTCTCAGCAAACCCCCGTAGAGGAAGAACTCATTGTCGTTGGCCAATATGGCCCCATCGTAATAGTTTGGCGCAAAATTGTTTGCAGCATTTCCGTTTGGCGCTTTCGATGTTACGTTGAGAACTTCGCTGATGTTGGCACTGGTGTTGAAAGGCGTGCTAAAGTTCAAGGTGTATATAAGCCCAAGAGGATTGTCTGGAATAATCATCATTAATTGCAGTACCAGTGAGCAGAGCAGGGATGATCTACTCACTGTCTTGGGTCGGGGCGCCATATGACCCGTCCGCCATGCCAGGGGCCCAATATAGATACCCTCCGTCGATATAGACTGTATCACGAATTTTTGCAACTATTCGCCGCGTGAGTATTGAATTTCATAGAGGGCGATGGTCCGCGGTGATGGTAATATGCCATATTCCTCACCTCGCGAAGCCTTCCATGCGCACATGGTGGCATTGACTTGGTCGTCCGCCCATCCTGACTGTTGACCTTCGACGAATGCAGCGAGGTAGCCAGCAAATGCAAACCAAGATATCCTAAACCAGAACATTGTGTATACGATTATTTCTGTGTAAACTGGTGGAGATAATACAAACAGAGAACAAAGTTGTGAGATGAGCTGAGCAGGGAAGGTGAGGCTCACTCCATCACATGGGTTGGATGCAGAAGATTGCACGTCCTGCTAGAGGGGCTCGATGGCAAGGTTGCAACAAAGATATCCAAGTCAACGTCTGGGATGCGATGGCATTATCCGCAGGCGAATATGATTTGTCAAGGTAATGTGGTTAAGGGAACTTTGACCACAAGACTGCGAGACAAAAGCAGCAATGAAAGACGGATCCGGCGGTCTGAAGAGCTCTTCTCTGTCTGCTGAACGAGAAGAGGAGAGCTTCGCCGCGGCGTCCCCGCATCAAACAACGACCGGGAGTGGCAAGGGATGGATGATGGATGGAGGGAACGAAAGGATTTTCCAGAAGCCTCGGGTTGGCCAGAACCCGTCAATACCTCTAAACCAGGTGACAAGCGGGTAATATCTTATGCTGCGTTCTACCTGCTGATCGCTGCAGGACGGGCTGGCCATTGCAGATTTCAACGAAGCAATTTCGCCGCCGACACGCAGGTCCAGAACAATGGTTCCAGAGATCTGGTCTGAGACTCTTCCCACCTTCAATGTGCGAGCCTCGCAGAAGGGACAAAAAAAGCACGACAGGTGTCTTACTATGGCTGAAAACAGCTAGAGCCAGGTCCTCGGCAGTATTCCAAATGTCAGTGAATATACCTTAACCTCATCTCTTGAGGTACAACTTGAGCCTCGACCAGCTTTGAGTTGATTTCGTCTCTGCTATCGATTTTCAATCTGAGTACCCTGCCTAGTAGTGGTCGGTCACACGTAGAAAGAGGCTGTGAAGGACCAAGATAACGAACACTGCATCAGCAGCAAGGTTTAATAAAGTGCAATAAACCCGGGCATAAGCGATGGAAAAGCCTGGTCAGCTGCGGAAGAACGTGGATCACAATGACTAGACGGCATCGACTATTTGTCTGCAAGCCACTACATAAGAGTATAAGCATCGCGAATCCACAGCAACTCTGCCCCAAAAGAGACCCAAGGAGAGGCGGGTGCGGCTTCCATCGTTCGTACTGAGGCCTGAGGCAAGGGCGGATTGTGCAACACCTGCTTTTGATGGGTAACATCGGGTGGCGCAGTGCGACTATTGTATTTGCATCGTGGATCCTATTGGTGGAGTGGGTTGTCCGTCCTGCAGAGATCTGGGTGTTGGTGTGATGGTCTCGCGACCTGTTGCGTACGATGTTAACGAAAATGAGAGATGGCCAAGGTACATAATATCGATTGAGCCAAATAAGGTCAAGATCGTCGAGATCATAGTGAAAATGGCCTCAATATCTCCAATACACCGCCAGTAACGAAGCTCATCACTCGTCTTTAAAGTTTCATTCGCATTCTGCAGATAGATAGAAAGGGAAGTGGAGGTCGAGAGGTAACATCTTGATCAGGGAAGTTCTGCGCGATGTAAAGCATCTGCAGCTCGTGTCTTCCCAGTGCAACAGCGCCATAGAAGTCAAGAACTACCCACGCCAGCACTAGAGCTGCGCTAGGCCCTACCCGCCGCAGCTACCATAAGGTGGAACCTCTGCAGAGGAACCAATGAGCGGTTGACAACATCGAACCTGGCGGCTTCTTTCGTACTTTAGTGCGCACTAGCATCTGAGGCTGTCCGCCTCGACTTGGACACCGTCTTTTGCTATTTTTGCATCTTTCCAACTTCTCGGTCCCGTCACTAAAACCGTCGTTGGTTACTAGTCCCCTTGGTTGCTGCAGGGTTTGCCTGGTAAGCTTCTGTCAAGGGTGTCATCCTGCAATCCGTGATTTCTACCACCATCGACATCTGTCCAACCACCCGGCTCGTTCCCTGGAGAACAACATGGCTGACAGCTCTGTCTTTGGATACGACAACAAGGCCAATAAATGACTACCACCCAGAGCTACCCCGCAGCTGGGGGATACCTGTGCGTGAGCACCCGGCCAATATCGACGAGGAATTTGCGGCCACCACGAACGCCCCAAGATGGACCTGCCCGCATCTTGTACCTAAAACCTACCAGCGAACCCCAGGTTGCGATGCTGGCTCTGAAGCCCAATTTCGCTTTCCCCGACATTTCGTCATGACGTTGCACGGCTGTTTACTTTAAAGTGTGGTATAAAGCACCCGCGGGGGGGGGGGGGGGGGCAAACTTCTGGTCAGTGTTATCACTCGGCTCCATGCCACTGTTCCCGCCAACGGTCATACCCACATTGCAAGGAATACAGCTCGGCTAGCTCGCCCTAACGAGAAATATTGATTACTTCAGATGAGGCCCAGAGGGGCTCTAAATGTCCCCACCTTCCGAATACTGACAACACAACGTGTAATGGTGTGGGTATGGCTCTGGCCGCCCAGGAGAATCTCACGCAACTACAAAGATGACAGTAATTCTTCATTGGACCATGGCCCGGTGTTTCTTCTGCACAGAAGTGCACTTTTCGTGATCTGGCCATCGTAATTCGGTGCCACTCAGCCGTACGGGCCGTACAGGCAGTTGAAAGCTGTCGGCTTCGGCGGGTGGAATATCGGGGCACGACATAGATCCATGTCCATCCCGACAGCGTCAGGGTTTGGTTCTTTTGGCTGCATTCCATTCTACTTGGCTACCGCTCTTAATCCTCGATCCAAGCTGCCCTCTGTCGTATTCACGATTCACCCGAGGACGACAGGAAGAACTGCCGAGCCTGACTAGAAAATTCTTCACTTTCACCCGCCTACTTCGACTTGTTTCTGCGTGAGCAGTGGATGCTGTAACATAATTTGGATAGAACGCGTTCACCTTCATTCATTTTCTCCCTTCACGCCTGCGGGAGATAGATGTGGTTGTCTCTGGTCAGGCAAGTGTCTGCGGCTCCCAAGCCTGACTCTTTACCTCCATGGTTCAAGCTCTCGAGATCGTATTTCTGCAACTGACGGCATGATCCGCATGTTTTAACCGCTTGTTACTGTATCCATGTGACGAGTACAAGGAGTCCGGACAGTGGTACTATGGTACGTGGTCAGTCACCCTACACCTGCATCGTAGTCCGGGATCGTAACCGGCAAATGTGTTTTCCACTAGGGGTTCCTGGTTACATTCTGTGTTCATGGATACCGCTTCTATTCAACCTAGACGAATCCCCTCAAGGATCTGCAAGTCCAGACAAGCCTAGCTCCGTCTTCCCAGTGGCATTATGTTATGTTTACGCTCTTCTTCAGCCTTATCCACCAGTCCTCGCGCGCAGTTTTTACCATCCGCTGTCTCTAAGTATATTCTGTCCTTCGCTACGTAGGTGATTGTAGGTGGCTTGCCGTTAGGACAGTCACAAAAGTGCCTCGTCGCCCAAGTGTCGTCGACAGCTGGTCAAAGTGCAGTTGTTTACAAATACTTTCCACGTCAGCCAGGGACTGCGCCATTGCCTACTCCGATAGCTCGCACGAGGTCGAGAGACTCGGTCATGGCTAACGTCCGGAAGCAGCTCACCCCACAACATACTTAAGTTAGCATACAAGCTGGGAAGGAACATAAGCTGGTCTAGACAGTCGGTTTCCACATTGAGTCAGCTTCCTGCTTGTATAAGACGAGGCGCTCTTTGCATCGACATTCGCTTTGTACGACTCTCGCTATCTCTTGAACCACCCTTCATCGGTATCAAACGAACTCCGTGAGGACCTACTCACAGTACAATGCTTCCCACAAAGCCGTTGTGGGCCTTGCCGGCTCTTTCGTTGGCTGCACTCGCCGCGGCAGACGTTCAGGAGAGGGATTCAAACGGGGGAATCTACAAGAACAACACGGACTGCTACCCTGCGACTGTGACGGAGACATCTGTGAGCACCTGCTATGAGACTGTCACAGAGACCTGCACAGAGACTGTACAGTAAGTTTGAATCCATAAATCAAGAACTGCTCGAATTCAGCTGACCTTTGGCAGTGATACTACAACTTACCTGTGAGTTCCGCGGTGCGGCTTTGGCTTTGGCTTCGGAATATTGACTCACTCAAAACAGAGACACGATAACTCTGTTTACAACAATCGATTACTTCTCCACCATCACGGACGAAGATACCACCACGTATTCCTCCCACGCCTGGGTTATAGTGTCAATGGTGGACTGACTGCGACATTAGGACAACTCAATATATCACGAAGACGACAACGTCCAGCGAGACATTCACAACGGTGCGTTTGGACTGTTATATTCTCTTGTATGCCAACTAATAGTTGCGCCAGTCATACCCGTACTATGTGACAATCTGCGCGGGATCGCCCGTTACGACGATCTATGGCTATGGCCACCCGACTTCAGACAAGAAGTGTGTCGTCAGCACTTCTTACGTCACTACCACTAAGGTCAGTATCTCGTGCTCTCTCGACTCACTCGAAGAACCATTGACCGAGAACCGGTCCGTCTGGGTCGACGAGTATTCGCAGCGGGAATAGGTTTTCCTGCGACTGCATCTTGCTAGACACGGAGCGGTCACTAACTGAAAACAGACCGCCACAAAGACCTTCGTTACAAGTGTGCCTACGACAGTGCCTACGACAGTTCGCATCACGGTGCCAACGACCAAGACTACCACAAAGAAGACGACAGAGACTGATACGACAACAACGTAAGTTTCCCTTTTTGTTATTTCCACACGACCCTTGGGCCAACTGTGGCAGTAAAGGCTACCCGTGATGGAGGTTGTTCAAACGAGGGACAACAAGTGGAATATAACAACAAGCGGAATATATACTGTTTTTAGCATAACCTGCTGGGACAGTAATTCTCCTCGTTTCTCCACTGGCAGTTAGCTGCTCCCTTTGTTTGCTCAGAGACCGCTTTTATTATTGACCGGCGGGTTTATTTGGGATTGTCTTGAGTTTACTAATGCGAATGTGGCAGTACGAGGGCAACGACGACGACGACAACCTACACCACTCTAGTTCCCACGACCCTCACGTCTACTTATACCTCTGTGACCACCGTCCCCACAACAATCACGGTGGATCATACTAGTATAACGACACGCTGGGACACGACCACGTAAGTCAGGTCTCCGAGTTCATCAATCAATCCCCTTGCTGCCCTGTGTCGGGCGCATAGAGATTGCCAGCGGTGCTCCGTTTCCCCTGAGATGCGACACAAGTTTTACTAACAATAAGTTTGCAGCTACTCGACTGTTTCCACTCTGACTACTAGTGTCCTAGTGACATCTATTGAAACCTACGTAACTACTACGACGGAAGTTTTGACCAGTGCGACTACAGACACTACAACGGACACGGTGACTGCCACGGACACGAAAACTACAACAGAGGTCTCAGTTTCTCCTACGACCGATACTGAATATATCACTGAAACGTCGAGCATTACATACACTACTACCTCGGTAATATCTCTTCCTGGATTCAGCACTACAAGTACTGTAAGTAGTTTCAAGGTTCCTCTTTGCCATTTAGAGTAAAGTGATCCGGGTCTTCTGCTTATATTGCTCAACATATACAACGTAATTACTAACTGGCTTCCTTGCAGTATGTAACGACGGAGGTTCTTACCACAACTCTGCCTGCATCGACGTCGTATATCACCGACACTACTACATATACGACAATCTCAACTCTCCCAGGTACTTCGGGAACGATCACAATCATCACAACCGAGCTTATTACTCTACCGGCATCGACAACAACAGAAATTACTACTGATGAGGAGACGTCGTTTATCACTGTGACTTCTCAAACTACTCACACAACAGTTTCGACTCTTCCGGGCTCCTCGGGGACAACTACATTTGTAACAACGGAGCTGCTTACGACAACACTGCCTGCGTCAACTGTGACGAAAACAACTCAGCTTCCAGGGTCTTTAACTACGTTATCAGGATCCACGCTCACTTCGCTCGTTACCATCAGCCAACTGGGTACAACATCTGTTCAGACCACTACTGTAACAGTTCCACCCCAGACAGTCACCTTGACAACTTCCATCATTGGGGACTTGACAATATGTCCAACCCCGACCAATGCGGCAGGATTTGCGATGCCTACTTACGATGCCAAATCCAACTTGACATGGGGTTGCCCCCCCGGTACCGTTTGCAGCCCGCCTTTACTGGGTGACTGCAACTTCTGGGCCGGTCCACCAGAGAAGGAATATGTTTGCGAGAGTCAGGCTTACTGTATTCCGTCGCCAGGATATACTCCGGTCAGCTGGCCGGAGAACAGCACTGGTTATTACCCTCCAACAAAAGGTTACTTCAATCTCCCGCCACCTGCCTTCGGGCTGAGCTACGACATCTTCGAGGAAGAATTCATTGTGAAAAAAGTCATTGATGCGAACGGCCACAAGTCGAAGACTACTATTACAACCGGAAACTGGGAATCACAGACCGATATCACGGAATACCCGCAAACTACTACTCTGAGTTACGCAAAGCGTGGTTATGCCGCAGGCTTCAGTCGACTCTCGAAGCGGGATTTGACAATCCCTGCGCTATGCTACGACTTATGCAATAATGTGAACCTTGAAGGGCAAAGCAAAGGCAAGTCGTATGAGTTATTATGTGCCGATGGAACTGCTTTCAGGAATGGTTACAACGCCTGCCTTGAGTGTATTAATGCGCATACAAACGACCAGGCCAACAGCGGGCGTGCTGTGGATAATCAACTCAACCAGTTCATCACCTTTTGCGACTTAACAGCGGCTGAGACAACTCAATCAAGTTCTGCGGCCGGTCAAGTCACAAACACATCACCAGCAGGTTCGACGGGCACCGGACAGCCCACACTAACGGAAACTTCCATCATGCCCATTACTTCAACCTCGGTGCCTGCGACTACTACCGCCTCCTCGACCACTTCATCGGAAACATCGGCCACCGAGGAGACGACCAGCACAGACGTGACCAGCACAGACGCGACCAGCACAGATACGACCAGCACAGATGCGACCAGCACAGATACGACCAGCACAGACGCGACCAGCACAGATACGACCAGCACAGACACGACCAGCACAGACACGACCGGCACAGTCGCTACCAGCACGCCGAGCAGCACCGAAGAAACCACATCACCCACTGCAAGTGAGACCGCACCTGGATCCTCGACTGCGACTGAAGTCTCCTCTGCGGCGGATACCAGCAGCGGCTCGGGTGGTACCACTTCGAGGGTCGAGTCAACAACCGCCCCGGGCACCACGGAGGAACCTACCACCACCACTTCCCCGACCGGCGGCTCCTCGCCCACGGTTTCGCCTACAGAAACAACCAGCGTTCCGGCAACTGTTAGTCCGGGTGCCGCGTCTCGACTCCACAATCCATCCACCTCGGCATCGTTCCTCTTCACGATCCTGGCTCTCATCTTCGCCTTCTAATTCATGCCATTTAACATTTCGATTGATTGGGAAATAATACCCACCCACCTCTTTCTTCGTGACAATCCTTTGATGATTTACGACTTTATTCGACTTTCATGACACTCCTTGTAAGGATGAGACATATCGCATCTTCGGGGTCGAAGCATCACACGGTGGTGATAAGAGCGGCTCACACACACTCCTTTTTGGCGGAGCATTTCAATGGTTTTAGACATTTGGTTTTCGGAATTTTGGATTTGGATGATACCCAACACATGACGATCCTTACGAGAGAGAGAAAGAGAGGCGAGTCCGCCAAAGCCGAGCTGATGACGCATATTATCAGGAAATAACTTTTTGCATTTCACTTCATAATAATGTAATGTTTTTCTGTTTCTTGGGAGAGAGAACGCATGGAAAAAGGTTGACATTTGTTGGTGGACTTCACACTTCAGAGTAGACATACTTCTTTGTGATTAATATTCCATGCCGAGGGGAGCGGGTGAAAGGGGAAACCCCATCCCATCATCCGGCACATAAACATACCATTTTGGGAAAGTTTGAGGAAGGGAAGGGGAGGGGAAGGTGATACTACCTCATGATTGACGGACGGTACATATAATAATGGAAGTGAGAGATTTTGGGTGACTACCTTACTATTTGTCGTTGTTGGTAAAGGTGACTAACCAACTACCCTTTGATGGATAGGAAGGTTTTCAGTGGAGCACTCGCATATGTGCGGATGAGCGTAACTTGAGTGAAAATACTGGAAGTCGTTTCGTATTTCCCTCCTCCCTCTGGATTGAGAAGGGGAAGTATGGTGAAAATGTGAGGTGCAATGATGAAATTGCTGCCTCGACCGCCGATCCTACGTATGGCACACGGGTGGTGGTGTCTCGTCAGAGAATCTGAGCGAAGACGTCAAACAGTGTGAAACGGACCAGATGCTGATAAGAGTGAGACGTTGACTGATAAAGAGACCAGGTAGCACTGATCATACCAGGGGGTCTAAGAACTACCTACTGCACCGTACTCAAGCAGAATATACTATAAGCTACAGTGTAAAACTTCTTGTCATCTCACGACAGCTGAATATTGGCAGTCGCGAACTGTGTCTGACAGTACGAAATATTACTATTTGCGGTACTTACTAGCCATTTAGTGGTTGTCTGGCGAACAGGCCTATCTGTCAGCTGGCACCCCGCCACTGCCGGCGCTGTTCAATGCTAGCGTCACCAGCATGAATCCTTGCTGCTGCCGCTGCTGGAGGAGGCAGTGAGTTGGCTGCATGATTTGGATTGTTGGAAGCGCCCCATGGAATCTCGAGAAACCTGAGGTGCACATTCTTTCTGTGTAAGAAACCTTTTTGTATACTTCAAGCCTGCCATCTTCGCACTTCCCAGACTACATACTGCCTCAGCAATCTGACCAAATCCGCGTCTTCCCCAGTACGTCATTTGCGGGTACTTTGAAGGGACAGCCTTGGTGGGGTTGTGAGCTCGACAACGCCACTTGGCAAGGACCGGACGTCAACATTTCCAAGCTGCACCAAATCCTCTACATCTTCACCACCCCCACCCACGCGCATTTTCTCAAGCATCCCATCTGTAGAAGCTTGAGGAACGGAAAACCATCAAACTGGGGAAGCGCAAAATCTCCAACGGAGACCTGCCTCTGTCCCCGAAGCGAATCACGATGGTATGTTGACTTGCCGCTCCGTTACGGGCCATCCTGTACCTTCGCTTTGGAATATGTTTGCCTTGAGCTCAGCTGGACTTGATCTTCCGCAATCGACTGAGTTACACGGGCACTCAGGATGTCCAAATATAGTTATCGAAGGCCGCGACTGACACGGATCTCCCTTTACAGGACACCAACATGACGTCCCCCCCTGAGGTTGACCTGGTCACCCGGCTACAGGTTGACGACTCTCAAATCGGCACCCACGAGATCGACGAATCCCTCTACAGCCGACAGCTCTACGTGCTGGGTCACGAAGCGATGAAGCGTATGGGTGCGTCCAACGTGCTCATCGTTGGTCTGAAGGGACTCGGAGTCGAGATCGCCAAGAACATTGCTCTTGCTGGTGTCAAGAGCCTGACCCTCTACGATCCCACACCCACCGCCGCCGCCGATCTATCCTCGCAGTTCTTTCTCCATCTCGAAGACATCGGCAAGCCTCGCGATGCGGTTACAGCCCCCCGTGTAGCCGAGCTGAATGCCTACACGCCCGTTAGCCTCCACAAGTCCTCCGGCCTGTCCGAGAATCTGTCGCAATTCGACAAATACCAAGTAGTCGTCCTGACCAACACGCCTTTGAAAGACCAGCTGGTTATTGGCGATTACTGCCACTCCAAAGGTATCTACGTTGTTTGCGCCGATACTTTTGGTCTGTTTGGCTCCATTTTCTGCGATTTTGGCGAGAAGTTCACCTGTCTGGACTCAACTGGCGAGAACCCTGCCAATGGTATTGTAGCAGGCATCGATGAGGAGGGGCTGGTCTCCGCTCTTGACGAGACGAGACATGGTCTGGAAGACGGGGACTATGTCACGTTCAGCGAGGTGGAAGGAATGGAGGCCTTGAATGGCGGAGAACCCCGAAAAATCACTGTCAAGGGCCCTTATACCTTCTCTATTGGAGAGGTTTCCGGACTAGGCCAGTACAAGCGCGGGGGTCTCTACCAGCAAGTCAAGATGCCAAAGTATCTGGATTTCAAGACCATATCAGCCGCCATGAGGGATCCTGAGTTTGTCATGTCTGACTTCGCCAAATTTGACCGACCTCAACAACTCCACGTCGGGTTTGAAGCTCTTCACGCTTTTTCTCAAGCACAAGGCAGATTACCTCGGCCTATGAATGAAGAGGATGCTACTGTTCTCGTGGCATCCGCCAAGGCCTTTGTTCAGAAAGAAAAGCTTGAGGTTGAGATCGACGAGAAGCTCATCAAGGAGCTCAGCTACCAGGCTACAGGAGATCTTAACCCCATGGCCGCGCTCTTCGGTGGTCTCACGGCCCAAGAAGTGTTGAAAGCCGTCTCCGGCAAGTTCCATCCCATCAAGCAGTGGTTCTACTTCGATTCCCTAGAATCCCTCCCCACTTCCACCGCCCGAACCGAAGAGCTGTGTAAACCCGTCGGCTCGCGCTATGACGGTCAGATCGCTGTTTTCGGAAAGGAGTACCAGGAGAAGTTGTCCAATATTCGACAATTCCTTGTGGGAGCTGGAGCTATCGGTTGTGAGATGCTGAAGAATTGGGCTATGATTGGGCTTGGTGTCGGTCCCAAGGGTCAGATTACTATCACCGATATGGATTCTATCGAGAAGAGCAACCTCAACCGCCAGTTCTTGTTCCGACCAAAAGATGTGGGTGGGATGAAGAGTGATTGTGCGGCGAATGCTGTTGTCGCAATGAACCCTGATCTGACGGGCCATATTATTTGCCTGAAGGATCGAGTCAGCCCGGAAACTGAACATATCTTTAATGAAGATTTCTGGAATGACCTGGATGGTGTTACCAACGCGTTGGATAACGTAGAGGCGAGAACTTACGTTGATCGACGATGTGTCTTCTTCCACAAGCCCTTGCTGGAGAGCGGAACCCTGGGTACCAAGGGTAATACTCAAGTCGTTCTTCCCCGCTTGACCGAGTCTTACTCCTCTTCGCACGACCCCCCCGAGGAGTCATTCCCCATGTGCACTCTGAGGAGTTTCCCGAACAAGATCGAGCACACAATCGCATGGGCTCGTGAGCTGTTTGAGGCGTCGTTCGTCAAGTCTGCCGAGACCGTCAACCTCTACTTGACTCAGCCTAACTATCTGGAGACAACACTGAAGCAAGGCGGCAATGAGAAGGCGACTTTGGAGACTATCAGAGATTACCTGGTGACAGATAAGCCGCTAACCTTTGAGGACTGCATTATCTGGGCTCGAATGCTGTTTGAAAAGCAGTATAACAACGCTATCCAGCAGCTCCTGTTCAACTTTCCCAAGGATTCTGTGTCGTCCACTGGTACCCCATTCTGGTCTGGACCAAAGCGAGCCCCTGACCCGCTTAAGTTTGACCCGAACAACGCCACTCACTTTGGATTTGTTGTTGCTGCTGCCAATCTCCATGCGTTTAACTACAATATCAACACCAAGGGCATTGACAAGGGCAGCTATCTCAAGGTCCTCGACAACATGATTGTGCCTGACTTCTCCCCTGACTCTAATGTTAAGATTCAAGAGAAGGACAGCGACCCGGTACGTCCGCAACGTATACTGTCTGCGACGTATGTACTAACTTGATATAGGTCCCGCCTGCTAACCAGGGTGCCTTCGACGATGAGTCCGAGCTGCAGAAGATCACTGACAGCATCCCGCCCGCTAACAAGATGGCTGGATTCAAGCTGACCGCCGTGGACTTCGAGAAGGATGACGACACGAACCACCATATTGATTTCATCACAGCTGCAAGCAACCTACGCGCCGAGAACTACAAGATCGAGCAGGCCGATAGACACAAGACGAAGTTTATCGCAGGCAAGATCATCCCAGCCATTGCCACAACCACAGCATTGGTAACGGGTCTGGTCGTTCTGGAGCTCTACAAGATCATCGATGGAAAGACCGACATTGAGCAATACAAGAACGGATTCATCAACCTGGCGCTGCCGTTCTTCGGCTTCAGCGAACCCATCGCGAGTCCAAAGGTGGAATACAAGGGACCGAACGGCAAGGTGACGCTCGACAAGATCTGGGATCGTTTTGAGTCGGAGGACGTGACGCTGGACGAGCTCATTGCCGACTTCGCCAAGAAGGGCCTCAGTATAACGATGCTAAGCTCCGGTGTTAGTCTACTCTACGCGTCCTTCTTCCCTCCCGCCAAGCTCAAGGAGAGAAAGAGCCTCAAACTCAGCCAGCTGGTTGAGACGGTGTCGAAGAAGCCTATCCCTGAGCACCAGAAGGAGGTCATCTTCGAGATGGTGGCTGAGGATGTGGATGAGGAAGATGTTGAGGTGCCCTATATCAAGGTCAAGATCCGGTAGATGATTTGTTTGGTCGCTGGAGGAGAGAATGGAGCAAGCACTGGGAGATGAGTAGTCGCACGAAAAGGGAGGCGGCCGCAGAGTAGACTCTGTATCCCCAATCAATGAATAAAGTAAAGGTATTCACACCGATTTAGTACCCGAGTGCGCAATCATACGACTCAACTATGGCAGAGGTATGGATAGTCTCTTGTGCGTTGTCCGCCTATGACACTGCTTGATTGGCGACAACAACTTTTACACAGATAACCCAAACCGACTTACTTACCAGTAACATACGTTTGTTCAACTATGGTCGACATTTCTACCGAGCCATCCAGGCGGTCTAAACTCAAATTCTGCCATAAGTGGCTTCATTCCGTACCGATAAGGTCATGTTTGGGTAGAAATGTCGATCGATATCAACGAGCTCTCCCCGCAGAGTTTTTTATCCTTCCAATATGTAAGTTAACGAGGTCCTCTTCATATCTGGAATCTTCATGACCACTGAAATGAAGGATTAAGGTCGGTAACTTTGGCATGGTTGAGTGACTCGACAATCGCCGCTTTCGCCGGCTCCAGTCCTCAAAACGTCCCGTTCGTCACAACTCCTCTACAAGGGAGCCCGTTCCTCATGGCCACGTTGTAGGGAATGTCGTGGAAATCGGCTCTTCCTACCGACACAAACCGTCGAGGCATAGTTTTGTATGCGTCTACTACTCTGATCCTGACGGCGACCCGCCTTCTTCATCGTAATAGAAGGACCTGTACCTCTTCGCCGACTCTCTCATCCAAGAGCTCGTCTATGTCGAGAAGGCTTCCCACGTTATGGCCATCGATTTGGAGAAGTATATCGCCTTCTTTGATCCTATTGAACGATGATACCTCCGAAGAACACGGTTCGCGACAGCTAAATCTTTTGCTGTCGGGAATAACCGTCTCATATTTTTCTCGATTGACAAGGTGACGCGCTGGCGGCAGTCGGAATAAGAGCACAGCTCAAATCGACTTTTTATATTCCCCCCTGGCAACCGGTTTTCCATCTATCAGGTACTGAATAGCACGGACGGCCCGATGAAGTGGCAGTAAGTAATCTGTTGCTGTGCCCCCATCCCACCGGCCATCATCGCGAGCACATTGCCATGCATGTCATGTCCATCATCGGGCTGCCCAAGCATCCTCCAACCGCCGATGCTCTCGCTTGGTAGTAGAGCGTATTAAAATCTTAATATGCGGCATTTTGTAGTTTTCTTCCCCCCCCCCTCTTCGTTTATTGATACGCATCACAGATCAGGCGCGGCTACATCATAGTCAAGTGTCCGTGACGCATCTGTAGTAGTAGCCCTTATCTCGGCCTGATACTCATTAGAAAATGCGTCTAGACAGTGTTTCTTTCTGTGTGATCGCGCGCACGTCATCATTGCATTCCATTGCTCTCATCTGAAGCTGCCCCCTTCTCGACCGCTGTCGGCGCAGCTTTCGCGCGATTGCATTTTTCATTCTCGTGCTTCAGGCCGTACTCCATCTCGAGTTTTTCTTGCAGCACAATCTCATCTTCGAACATGGATAAGAGGAAACCCACTCCCACATATGCAATATATATCTGAAAGACGCGTTGAAGGGCCTGGGAGTAGACAGAGCGTGTCTCGGCCTGGATCGCGGGTGGAAACTGTTTGACCTGCGCAGCCGATGCCGAGACATAGCCTCCTCCGCTGGCCATCATCTGAGCAGTCGCAGAATCCAAGATCTCATCAAGCAGTTGGCCGATCCGGTTGTTGAAGATACTCGCAATCGTGTTGGTAATAGTTAGGTACTTGGCTAGTCAATGCTCAATTAGAGAAATAGATCGAAACCAGCGGATATACTTACCGCCCTAAGAGAAATCGAACCGGCTAGCTACTGTCACAGCTCAACACTCTGTTACAAGCGCGTATCTCTATGTGAAGTTGTGATGTCTCCAAATCACCAGTCAGCTGTGCGGCTGAGCTTGCCCGAGTTGTTATCAAACGCGTTTGTTGTCAGCAGTTCGTCCGATTTCTTGGGCCCTTCGACGGACTCGACGGTCAGCCGAAACACTGTCTTATGCCAGAACTCTTTCATCCACGGTATGTGGACGGCAGATATGCTGATCTCGCTATTAAAGAAAGGCTCGGCCCGGGTGTCGTAACCGGGTCGATCAATAACACTTTCCGCCAAAGCCTTGGCGAGGAGGTGAGAGGGCGGGCATAAAACAGGAAGCTTCTCTTCGACGAAGGGGAACCAAGTAGGCACCAGCTCCTTATCATGTGCGTTATAAAAGCGCAGGATGACTTGCATCGCAAGACGATCTCTGCCGCCGTCGCCTAGCGGGTCGTGCAGGATCCAGAAATCAATATCTTCCCAGCAGAGGACCTTGTATGCCGCGCCCGTCCTCTTTCAGTCCGCCGCAAACCTAGCATTCCTTCGGGCGTGGTTGGACGTATTCGTCTGAGTTGTTGTCGACATCGTTATAGGTGTCGAGTTCTTCGTCGCACTCTTGAATCCTTTTCTTCACAGTTTTGAATTGGGCGTAGACCAACTCTTGCCTCCGACAACCCGTCGACATGAACACGATGCGGATGAGAGCATATTGAGACGATCAAGTCCGATCTTGAAAGTGATCGTATCCCAGAGCCAGCGGAAGTACGCAAGATAGGTGAACCCCGAGGGGCCGAGGTGTAAGTGACAAGCCTTACTTAAGCACCTGACCCAGGTGACTAAAAGTAGAATGACAATCAGACAGGTTCTACCCTACATTAGATCTGTGCCACGAAGTTTCGCTGGATTGTAAGTTTGCCGAATTCAATCCCGTCTTGAAAGCTTTCTCGACAGGCGAGGAGCGTGACCAAGACAACGCGACTCAACCAAGTCACACAAAAGGATAGTAAACCATCAATTACCTATCTTAGTCCATCTGATCAGATACACTTGCAATATAACAGATAGTCGCGTATCTTTTATATGATAGGCAATGACTGTATTATCTTGTTCTGTCTCCATAGTTGTATGGTCGAGTCGCTGTGGTTCGAGCTGCTCTCCTCCTATGTAGACATGTATAGGTCGTGAGCCATCATAGACATGGCTTCTCCGGCTCTCTATAACTGTGGACTATCGCTTATAGATGGCCAAGTGTCTGTGCCGTGGACACGTACCTATCTAACATGGCATTCATTATAACCCCTTGTATCTAACATAACATGTGGATGTCAAAGGTCTTCCGGGGTAGGCTGTCCTCCCCGTACTATGTATGCACCCGTTTCCCTTATACATAGTAACAGAGGAACGAGCGCACGTACTTATAACCCTTTCCCTCTCTTCATTAGTTTAGTATTTTTCAACGGAGATGGACTTATATTGTAACTTCGATTCCTACTCGCAGTACCTCTGTGCCTCGTCAAACTATTATCTATCTTAAATCCCTTCGTGAAACTTGTCAAACAAGCATGTACAGAAGGCGGCTAAGTTCATGAGGTGTCAAAAGCGTTATTTAAGCCTTAGAATACCTCTCTGGCTGAAGAGCTGCGACCTGGAAAGGATATCGCGTTGCTGTTGGTCCCTTCAGCTAGAAACGCCGAAAAGCGGTTGGCTGTCCGATCAACACTCAAACTGGTAGACGGAAGTTGGCCCTTGAAGCCTAAAATGAGAGGCTTCAGCCAAAGCGTTGCCGTAAGCTTCCCATGGATCCTAATGAGCGGTTAATGCAGATAGAGGACATCATTACACATAGCCAGCCAGATGAAGATGTGGACGAAGTAATGGAGCTAGCACCGCTACGCTTAACTCGCAGCCGTGCAATCTGACGCCTAACTCGCCAGAGAGAGTAAAACCAGCATCATTAGATAGCGCTTGGAATCATCTACAGGATAATCTATTAATTATATTGATTGCTTAATTATCTATTGAATGGTCCATAAGTAAATGTAGGGTGTTTATGTGGGGAAGATGTGTGAAATGTATGTGGTCGATGTTATCCAAAGCGAATAATTATTGAAAAGGGAATAGAGCACCGTCTCCATCTTCGGAATTCAACAAGTACTTTCCCTACACTTCATCCATGCCGCGGTAGCGCCAGTATTAATAGTGTACAAGGATAACCACCCCTCAGTCATTTTTACTGGAAAAGGGGAGTTGCACTCATAGGATGTATGAGAAAATAACCAAGTATGCGTGTACTGTAGAGAAATAGAGCTGACAGACGCTGTAGTGGCCGCACTGCGGACTTACTCGAGGGCTGCATACCCCACGCCTACAAATAAGTAAGTAGCCGTCAAATAGTCATATTACTGCCGAGTCTACCCCAGATACGTCCGTCTGGTTACCCGAACCGCTGTTTACCTACTTGTACTTATGATTTCCTTCGTACAATGCTCGAGGTGAACTTTTCTGTGGTTTCGTACCCCTGGTGTTGGATATTGCCACCTGGTAGGAATTCTGCCAGGTGATAGGTAGTCCATGACGGCTGGCGATATTTCTGCCGAGAACACGAGGACGACAAGACAGCGAGTCTCAACCAAGCAATACAAGAGCACATGCACAATTAACTCTCCAAATAATAACCAGTATAGAAGTAACGTGCGCAAGACCTGGCTCAAATCCTTGATGTCCGGATCCACACATTGGAAATACCCCCTAGAGTTACCTGACAGGATGGGTGGATGGAATTTCTAGTCCTGACACCGAGTCGACAAATCAATGCAGTATTCTGGACCAACACTTGTGTGGCGTACGTGTTTCCAATCAGCAGGAATCACTCACCACACTGCCGCTCGATATCACGGGCGACGAGACCCTAGCCGGTACCAACCAATAGGATGTGCCGGGCATGATTGAGCAGCGTAGGATGATTTACACCACTCCAGCGCATGGTCCAGTTGCAGTAGGATTACAGAACTTCAATTTCATCGAGATCCCGAGGGACGGCGCCTCGGGATGCCTACTTTTGTATGTATTGATTGGTTGCGCTGTTTACGACTCAGCCGCATATTCTTCTATCAGGAAGCCGGGCGCATAAACTGCGGGTGCGTTACGGTCCTGTTCTTCTCGCTATTCCTATTCCTCCTCGCTCTGATCATTATTGCTATTTGATGGACAAGAATAAACAGGGCGAACGGTGACACGGTATTTGTTCTACATCTCGCAACCAACCACAGCGACCGGCTGGGCGGGGCCGTAAGTACACGGCTCACATCATCGCCGGAATTATGGATCTGCCTAAGGCTAGTGAACTCGGCGTTCTGGCTGTTTCTGCGGCGGTCATCATCCTTACGACGTGCTGTTGGCTTGTTAGCAGGAAACCATCGAAAGCTAGCAGGAAATCCTCTGAAGATAGCAGGACTTTTCGCGTCCGCAACGTGCCTCTCCACTGGAAAGCAACCGATTTGCAGACCTTCCTGGCAGAGCATAGCAGCCCCACCGTTAAGTCCATCGCTACCGAGATCCACAGTGGTTCTAACACCGGCACGGTCACCTTCAAGGACGTCCCCCTCCCACTCCAAGCAAGCCACCCCTGGGATATACCGTTGTCGCTACCATCCGAAGACCAGCCTTTCCGCGACCAATATCTCACGCTCGACGATGGTTTCCTCGGCATCACCACCCTCTACAACCCTCTCCCGGAGGACCACAAAGTCGAGTAAGCAGGCCAGTCTTCTAGAGTAGGATTCCGCGCTAAATATATTGCAGTGTTATCGCAGTCTCTGGTCTTGGCAGTCACGCTTTTGGATCGTTCAAGGAAAGGGGAACTGATTTCATGTGGTTACGAGACGCCCTTCCATATGATGTCACCTCCAAGGACACAGGCCGTCCGATGGCGCGAATGATCGTCTATGGACATGAATCAACCGTTGAGCAAAGCAAGAACATGCAGAACCTGGAGGATATGTCAACATCGTTTCATGATAGCCTGCTGGCGCTGGCTAGGGCTCCCACAGTACGACCGATTATTTTAGTCGCCCACAGCCTAGGAGGGCTGATCGTTAAACAGGTATGTTCTATCTGAAGTTATGCGTATAGAATCTAACAATTCCAGGCCTTAATATCACTGTCCAAGTCGAAGAACGAGGACGATCTAACGCTTTTTCGAGCAATGTATGGGATAGTCTTCTTTGGAGTTCCACACGATGGCATGCAGATCAAGTCCTTGATCCCCATGGTCGGTGACGGGCCGAACCGTTTTCTTGTGGAGTCTATCAGCAGCATCAATTCCCAGATTCTTAGTATCCAACAGCGAGAGTTCTCCAAGGCCTTAGGCGGGCAGGGCGACTCGGAGATTATCTGCTTCTACGAGACACTGATGTCGCCCACAGCAAGAAAAGCACGTAAATATATATCTGTTTAACGAAGATGTACTAATATAAAATAGGATGAGTTCGGTGAATGGAAAATGATTGGACCATCCGAATTACTTGTCACCAAGTTCTCAGCGACGCACTGTCGCTCATGGGAAGTTGGCCCGGAGCATATATGTGCCGTTGCTCGCACGCATTCCGACATGGTGAGGTTTCGGCGCAATGACCACGAGTACGATAATGTTCGTGAGAGGCTTAAGGGCCTTGCTCAACGAGCGCGTGTGCGAATATCTGTATCTAATCAAACCTGTACGTCCTAGTAATATTTTAGCAAAACTTATTCTAATGGCTTCAAGACGTCTCGAGGGATCCTCAAGCCAAGGATTGCTGGCGCGACCTGTTCTTGACCGACCCATTAGAAGACAAGAACAACTTGAAACGAAAAAAGGGCAGTCGTGCTCCAAACACATGCGAGTGGATCCTCGAGACTGAAGACTTGATTGCCTGGCAAAAGTCAGGTCCGATCCTATGGCTATTCGGGAATCCTGGGACAGGGAAATCAATCATGTCGATATTCCTTGCCGAGAATTTGTCGGAGTTCTCTACTACAGAGCGCAAGACAATCATGTACTTCTTCTGCGATTCGAGTTTTGAAAAGCGCAAGACTGCTACAGGAGTCATTAGGGGGCTTCTCTATCAGCTCGTCAAGCAGTATCCGGCGCTACTTAAATATGTACTGCCACAATACCACGAACGCGGGGCAGACTTGTTCACGTCATTTGACGCTCTCTGGACAATATTCATGAACGCCGTCGCAGATACAGCCACAGGTCAAAAATATTGCATTATCGATGCCTTGGATGAGTGTGACCAAGAGTCTCAGAATACGCTGCTGAGGCAGTTTCAGGAGTCGTTCGACCCTAAGAGCTCTTCAGGCCATACATTGAGCATCCGCATGTTGATAACCAGTCGACCATATCCAGAGATTCGCGAGTACCTCGGGGGGTTTGCCAAGAAAGACTTGGCTTCTTTTCCAGAGGCAGTACTGGATATCAGAAAATTTATCGAAAGCAAAATGGCAGACCTCCAGCAAAGGAAAAGCTACACAGACAAGGTAAAGGAGAAGGCCGCACAGTTACTGGAGACAAAGGCAGAAGGGACCTTTCTTTGGGTCGGCATGGCCTGCAAGGAACTTGATCCAGTCGCTTCAAAAGATGCCGTCAAAATTCTGGAAGACTTGCCACGAGGACTTCTACAACTGTACGGGGATCTTCTTAATAAAGCCTTCAAGTTGGAAGGTAAGAGGCAGACAATCGAACGCATTTTGAACGTCGTCGCAGTTTCTTTACGACCGTTGACGATACTAGAGCTTGCGGAAGCTTGCCAACTACATCAAGGGCAGGAAGAAAAAGAACGGGTCCAATTTACGATCGAGGAAGTGGAATCTTGCCGCATGCTAGTGGTTGTTCAAGATACGACGGTCGTTCTACTCCACCAGTCAGTCAAGGATTTCCTATTCGAGTATGACATCAAACAGTTAGAGGCCCATGCAAACCTCGCATATCGATGCATTGAGTACCTCAGCACGCAGTTTCATTTGGAGGAGGATGATCTTGCATCCGACAGGTTCCTATCATATTCGACAGATTTCTGGCCTGAACATGCAAAGAGGGCAGATTACGTGTTCCATGTCAAGGACGCGCAGGCTGAATTCTTTAGTCTTGACTCGAAATATCTGGAAGCTTGGCGAACTCGATATACTAACAGGGGATTTATGGATCGTCGTCTTCCGAAGGATTTCTCCATCCTCCATATAGCTGCAATGTGGGGAATCCGAAGTATTGTCGATTACGTCCTGAAAAAGGGACTTGGTTACGAGCATACATCAGGAGCAGGAATGCGACAGAAAATGACAGGATTTGACGACAAAAACCACGCCGATAATGAGAGAGTAACACCACTCGAAGTAGCAGCATATTCAGGGAACAGTACGGTCATTAACTGTTTTTTAAAATACGCAGTAGAAACAATGGAGATCAGGGAAGCAGTGCTAAATGCTGCAGCTAGAAACGAAGGTCAGGGTAAGAAGGTATTGAGATTACTTCTCGACCGGAAGGGAGACCAGATCACTATTACGGACGGTGTGGTCAAGGCTGCAGCTAGAAACGAATATCAGGGTGAGGAGGTATTGAGACTACTTCTCGACCGGAAGGGAGACCAGATCACTATTACGGACGGTTTAGTCGAGGCTGCAGCTGAAAACGAAGATCAGGGTGAGGAGGTGATGAGACTACTTCTCGACCGGATGGGAGACCAGATCACTATTACAGACGGTGTAGTCGAGGCTGCAGCTGGAAATAAATATCAGGGTAAGGAGGTATTAAGACTACTTCTCGACCGGAAGGGAGACCAGATTACTATTACGGAAGAGGTTGTGTACACTATTACAGAAAGCTTCGGTCAGCAGATTGTAAGACTGCTTCTCGACCGGAAGGGTGACCAGATCACTATTACGGACGGTGTGGTCGAAGCTGCAGTTAGATAGCCTTTTGGTGCAAAACTGTATTATGGGACTTCATCTCATACCTAAGGGCTACCGACTTGATGAACCCAGCTGTGTTGTGAATAGTAAGCCGAGTAGGGGAGACAATGGCGTTGGCGGTACTGCGCAAGGTCTCGTCCCATAGGGACGAGCTGAATTCATTTCCATCTGTATGAACTTTTTCCATCTTCAAGCAGCTTTCCTAGCAATTATTGCTGTATTTATGTCCAGTAGAAGAGAGAGGCAGAAGAGTTTACTGGCCTAATATAGGGAACTATTTGAACCTTTATAGGTCGTTCCTGCTTAGTGTAAATGCGTGTATTGGCTCCTCGGTTTGCTCTTATCCCGCATCAAACCTGTTTGAGATATCTCAATTGTCACGCAGAGTCACTCTACCAAAGGTGGGGAACACGAGCTGATTCAAACCGTGTCGGAGACGATCCAGACAAGCAACTATCCATGATGCTAGTGCAGTAATCCGCACATCGATATCAGTCTTGCAGAGCACGTTACAATAAAATCAACGATAGTCAATCTCGGGCAGCCACTTAGCCAGTTTCCGCATCAATTGCACCCCGGATCTCCTCTCAGTGGAAATGGGCGATGGAGAACGCCCTATGGGGACTAGAATTCCCTTTGAGAAAGCACTGCATGGGAGTTGCTTTGATATTTATACATCTGTCGCCGTCGCTGCGTCATTCTTCCTAGGCATCGCTGCTTGGTTGCCTCATTGAAGTCCCTCGCTTGTCTGAAGCCTACACTTGGTACAGCTACTCTAATATGTGATCATACTCAGGTATGATACAAACACTGCCACTCTGCTTACGAGTCTAACCCTGTTAGGTCGAGTATTCCTACGACCACCTCCGGTTCCTCGTCTCAGGCTGGTGCCCCCGTTACGAACGAACACACCGAGTGTGACCACAGAACCTCAGTGCCATCGAATTCAAGTAGTCTTCGAATTTTTTCGACGGGGTTCAGGCTGACAAAGCTTTTTATTTGCCACTTAAGGAACGACGAAAAGTGCAGTAAGTCAATAGATCCTCGACCGAAACAGACCTTTAATTCAGTGAAATACTATGTATTGGCGGATGAGGTTCATCCTTCTACACCCCACTTCTGACAGGGGGCTATTAGTGATGACTTACAGAGCAATGGTCTCGGCACGAAAGCTAATACTCCACTTTACGTCAGGATTGGTGATTCCTGCCCCGCGGAGCTTCCACAAAGCACCATGGATGATTCGCGACCATTGTTAGAGATTACTTACCACGCATTCGGGAAGTTCTGCTTAGTGTGACAGTCAGCAACCACACTAGAGAGCAGTTCGCATGTGTGCTTGCTGGGGATTTGTCGTAGGGCAGAGTAGGTTGTGCAAAAAAGGTCCTGGCGTCCCACCTTATCAGACCCCTCATCTGAAGCTTGTCGTTCATGACATCTAGAGCGCTTTCTCGTGTTGCGAAATCGTCTGGGTTGAGAAACTTCTCGTTATCCAGAGCTTCTTGTGGTCGATCATCTTGCTTGCCAGCATCGTCACCTCGTCCTGAATCAGTATTCGTAGCTCCGAGCTTGTGCTATTTGAGTACGCAATACAGAATGGTGAGTAAACAGCCATGGACACTGTCCAGCTTTATACATAGGATCACCACGACTCTTTGTTCAGAGCTCTCGGTTTATCAGTTGTTGGAAACCCCAGCTAATAAACACTCAAGTCTCCAACCGCTTCCAAGATCACGGAGTGGGTCAAGCCGGGCGACAAGAGTGGCGAGTTCAAACGGCAGGCAAGCTCGTTCCGCAACTGGATCTCGACGGAATCGGGCGCACAGTTTCCCCCTGAAAAGGGCCGCTATCATCTCTACGTCAGCTACGCATGTCCGTGGGCCCACCGGATCCTGATCGTGAGGAAGCTGAAGGGACTGGAGGAATACATCAGCTTCTCGGTGGTACATTGGCATATGGGCGAGAAGGGTGCTTTCACCCCTACCCCCTATCCCCTGAAGTAGCTTGAACTTCGAGACCTGAAACTAACACAAATTCTTCCTTTTACCAGGCTGGCGCTTCCCCAACCCCCAGGACACCGACGCCGAGGGCGAAAACGTAATCCCCGACCCCATCCCAGGCCACAAGTCCTTCACCCACCTACGCGACGTCTACTTCAGTGTTGACGCCAACTACGGGGGTCGTTTCACGGTCCCCGTGCTCTTCGATAAGATTCAAAACACCATCGTCAACAACGAGAGCAGTGAGATCCTGCGCATGCTCGGCACCGCCTTCAACGACCAACTCCCCGCGGAGTACGCAAAAGTCGATCTATACCCTGAATCTTTACGAAACAACATTGACGAGACGGGCGAATGGACCTACGATCTGATTAACAACGGCGTCTACAAAAGCGGGTTCGCCACGACGCAGGAAGCGTACGAGCGGAATGTGACAGCGCTGTTCGAGGCGCTGGACAAGGCCGAGAAACACCTCTCTTCGATCGCCACCTCCAGTTCCTCCAAGGGACCCTACTACTTCGGCGAAACGCTCACCGAAGCCGATATCAGGCTTTACGTAACGCTGATCCGGTTTGATCCCGTCTACGTCCAGCACTTCAAGTGTAACATCCGGGATATTCGCTCGGGCTACCCGTACTTGCACAAGTGGATGCGGAACTTGTACTGGAATGTGCCCGCGTTTAGGGACACGACGAATTTCTTGCATATTAAGAGGCATTATACTCAGAGCCATACGCAAATAAATCCCCATTCCATCACACCTGTGGGGCCAGTTCCGGATGTGTTGCCTTTGAGGGAGGAGGTTGCTATTGTTGGAGCGAAGATTTAGGGGTTGAATGGAGAGGAGAGAGGCCAGGGAGAGGCTGCTAGCGATTGTTAGATAAACTGGACAACTGGATAAGACTCTTCAATACAATCTTAACCCTCACAAAGGACTCAATGTTAGTTTCAACATCGTTAGGAACAGCGCATGATAAGCTGGATTCCAAATGCTTACTCCCTTTCCCTCGAAAATCTTGAACTACAGCGTTAACCCTCAAAGGACTTGATACCAGCTGCAAATACCACAACAGAGCGAAGAGGTTTCACGACCCTCACTAAGGGTTTGATATCAGCTACTCATGCTATGTGTGAGCTGCTGAGCTGTGTAGCATATGACGAGACGCATTTACTGCAACTCCAACTCTCACAAAAAGTATCGATATCAGTCATACCACGGCAGGGCGGCCTCGCTAACAGTTCATTTCGAGATTCCCCCGCCTGAAGGGCATTTCAAACAGCTACACATATTATGACAAGGGTGGTAGGTGAGTGATGCTGTTGCGTTGGCGCAGGCACACCAGGCGAATGTTCCTGTGACGCCGGATTTCACTGCAATTTTGATCCTCACGAAGGGCGTCCATTTCAGTTGTACTACGTACTCCACCATACATGCCAGCGTGTCGCTTTTGCTTCACCACCATGTTAACCCTCATAAGAATATTTTTATTAACTTCACCAGGAAAGACATGCCACGGGGAAAACGAATATAATGCGATCTTGCCCCTCATGGAGGTATTGATGTGAGGTACAGCATAGCCACGCTTGGCCCCTTCACTGCAATATTAACTCCCATGAAGAGCATTGATACCACTTTTTACACTATGACTGGGCAACTAGACTGTCTGAAGAATTACCGTGTGGCAAAAACACTTGACCCAAATTTTGACGATCGTGGGTGAACTCAGTTGCGGCATAGCCTCGCTTGGCTGCTTCACTGAAGGAATGCCACGGGGCGAACCAATATGAAATAATATTAAATACGCCGTAGGTGTTAACCCTCGGTACCTCTACAAGTACTCCCTTAAGGGGCTATAGATGATATAGCGGGCCCTTAAGCCGCGTCGGGCGGTTATACAGGTAAACTTGTAGCCAAACGACTACTAAACCTCCTGTCCCTCCCTAAGTCTGTGCTACAACCCCTGCCTGAACTACCGATAAGTGTGGTAATGTGGCACTTAAATTCGTCCTCAGGGGTGGGATGCTGCTGATGTGCAGAAGATGCTCGACTATTTTTTTGTCGCGACAAGTCGTAGTATCTGCTAATTGGGGTTCTCGTCGAGCGTATACATCTCAACCATACGCTCAAGTGGATAGACCGTAACGTGGTCTAGACGCTCGCAAGAATCGCGGCGAGGGGGCGTGCTGCGCGCCTTCTATCGTGAGGGTCCGATAAGGGGTCGGATTAACGATTCGAATTCTGGACCGGCTGTCGAGTTATATTCCGCCGACGTAGTGCTTGACGGTCGACTGGCTAGGATGCTCGTAATCCTAAACTGCACCAATCTCCCTATTATCGCTAGGTAGGCGAAGTCAACAAGGTGGGCAGCGCGCCGTAAGGGTTGACTAAACCCCCTTGTGTGTCAGCTGCGGGATTCGAACCCGCGACTCGTCACCAACCCAAGTGGGCGAGGCTCAAATCGGGACTTATCTACCAGCGAAGTGACCAACTACACCAGCCGACCAACCAATATGATATGATCTTGCCCCTCATGGAGGTGTTGATCTGATGTATAGCGTAGCCACGCTCGGCTATTCCACTGCAACAGTAGCCCTCGCGAAGAGCACCAATACTACTTACTTACTTGCACTATGGCCGGGCGACTAGACTCTCTGGAAATTGCCATGAGGCAAAACACATGAACCAGTTTGAACTGTCGTAGATGAACTTAGTTGCAGCAAAGCCACACTTGGCGGCTTCACTGCAAAGTTAGCCAACCCAGAAGCTTCACAGCAAAATTCAACTCTCACGAGGCCGCTACGTTATGCCAACCTTGGAATTTCCTCTTGATTACCTACCCACCAGGGCTTGCCTATGGCGACAACTTTGAAGCGTCGAAGTTGTGTCAGACGGTTTTTCTGCGACTGCGATGGTCTTGAACTAGGCATGAATACTCCTAATTTATCTTGCCAGGCCTAGAAGCCTGCTATCCCTATGTATTCCAGGCTTTGGCAGACCGCCAAGTCAACTTGGTAGGCTTCCAAAGTGGCTGAAACTGCATGAATAGAATACCTCAATGTGTTAGGAGTCTATAATAGACCACTCCGCATCCCGCTACGTACGAAGGGCCCGGGGTCATATGCACCAATTGTATCCCCGGACTCAGCTATGTCATGAACCACATAATCAAGTAGAGGTTTACACGTCATGGGAACAGGTTTACAGCCTTGCAGCCGGGACTCGAAGACTTGGTATTAGAAGTTTGGGTTATTCAACACGTTCTTCTCCATCAATGCATCCACTTGGACCACCGCCTGTGTGGTTGTGCCCGCGTACTTGTACTTGGAACTGGCACCGAAGATTCCTGATCTGGTCACCTCCAGAATTCCAAGGGAGCGAGGTTGAGATCCTGACATGATAGTGCTGTTACATGTACGTTTAAACCACCCTTAGTGTCACAGTAGGACTAAGTAAGTAGCGGTGCGAATAAACCATTGTGTTGCTGTGATATCTCACGATTACTGGCAAGACAACAAGGAACCTCTCATGACCAGCAAGAACCGTCGTGCCAGGGTCTTTCTAGATGGTGGAAGCCTTTTACCACCAAATTTTCCGCTGCGGCAGAAAAGGTTTAATAGCTCCCGACCTCCATTGTAAATCTCTTTCATCCAATGTTTCATAAACCGCTGCCGCTCCGCTTGGTCTTCTGGTTCATTTTGCTTTACTTTCCTCCATCCGTGGATTGGAAGCTTGCTGTTGACATACCAGGCGAAGACTTTGACCAAATTTTGCAATATCTCACCATAGATTAATGAGTTCTTACGCTTTTTACACATTCCACCGTATTATCTCGGTCCAGTTCGGCGCCATGACGTTGAGATGTTCTTCCTGACGGAGTCGAATCTAATATGGTGCTGGTGGCTGAGTTCCTCCAATTCCTGCCTGTTGATGTTCGTAGCTGGAGACTGCCAGCCTGCAAAGACTAATTTCATTTGCTGTTGGGTGACAGTACGGCAAATGACAGGATATCTGAGAGCTTGACTGACCCGCATCGATTAGGCTCAAGACATGTGTCCTTGGGGCTAGCAGGTTCCCAGGTGTTCCTGCCTACCTTGCAGTAGGACAGGAAGGCAGGCTCATGCCTTCCATGAGACTTCTTCCAAGCTCTCCGAGGTTGGCAGAGATATGTACATAGGTACAAGTAAATCCAACAGGCAGGCACGCCCACTTGCAACGAACTAGAGCTGCAAGATTTAGTATTGCCATTCGGCACAAGCTGTTACGAGCTTGACATGGGAAGGTATGTACTGTCAGAAAAGGTCGTGCAGTACAATGACCCAACCATTGTCCTAGATCTGGCTTTCAAAATACATGTTTCTGTCGATAGGGTGCGGCCCATTATGAATTGGTCGGGCAACAGCAGCAAGTATGTAATTGCAACTAGGACGAACTCTAGTCACACAAGGCCGCGATTGTATGACAAGAAAAAGGGGGACAGCGAAGAGGACATATGATACTGAAGCCAGACAGGTCCCAGCTATTGATGCAGAAGATCCGGACACTTACACTTATAGTCACCTGTGCACACAGTATGCAATCTTGCAGGGCGCCATCACCACAATTTCATACACGAGACTGGCCACAACTCCGGCGTAAGAGTCCGGTAACGAGACCTTCGACTGGCCCTTCGACAGGTATTTCGCACTATAATTGCAATACACCGTCCAAATGCCCAGCGCTATTGTAGTAGCGCTACGGCATAGTTGAGCAAACGCTGCATCCTTTGTCTAGCCCAGCGGCATGGTATGCAAGGTCATCTTTGAGTAGTAGTTGTTTAAACAAGTTAAAACATGCACAACAAAAAGAACACATGACTATAATGTTCCCTTGGTTCTCGAAAACAAACGGTGGGCTACTAATCGAAGCTATGAAAATGAGAGGGTGCGCCGCAATAAACAAATCATGGACTGCACTAATCACCTAGCACTTCCAAATAACAGCGAAACTGTAATTACAACAGTAGTGTCTGCTATAAACCAATATCCTTCTATGCGGGCAAACACGTGCAGAAAGGTATCCAGGAGGCTCCAGCATGAATCAGTGGGTATCAGGAGAAAGTCACAACACTGGGACGGACACACATAATGATAATGTAAGTTATGTTTACTCTTCAATGTATCCAACATCCAACAAACTGGCAATACAGCACAGACAACATACAAACTCCAATGTTTCCAATTCCCATATATCTCCACGCTCCCTTTCTTTGCGGATTCAGTTCAGATACAATGACGATATAACTATACCCCACCCCACCCGAACCCAAATCCCCGGTATATATTATGCTGGCGCTCTTCTGCTGGCGCTGCGGTTGTTGGTCGTTGCTGAAGAGCAAGGAGCTCTTCTCTCCTTTCCATCCGATTCTTTTTGGTAAACCCCATCTGACCGACCCATCTGCTCCAGTGTCAGGCCAGGAGAGTCGTGTCGCCAGCTGCGACGCATTATAATATATAAGATTTAATGAAATATATTTTTCATTCATATGCAGAAGGTGTAACAACAAGTTATCTACAGCTGGCCAGACAAGAGTGCTTCGGTCGCTATGGGAATTTCATGTTAGCATGTGCCATCAGATGCAACGGGTAGTAATAGCGGTAGTGGCAACTTACCAGAGTTGATATAAGCTCGCCTTGCATCAAGAGCAACACCGAAACGACGTTCCAGCTCCTGCTTAATGCCCTTCTTGGTAACCGTCATCAGATCAGCCGTTCGCAAAATCTCACGGATCTCAGCTAAGATGGCGTCGTCGCTCGGCATGCCAGCCAGATTGGCCATCTCCATTTCGGATTGGCCGAAGAACTGGGATCCACCAAACTGGCTCATCCGGTTGGCAGCCGAGTCGGTGTGAGCTAGCGACATACGGGAGGTGTCACCCATGTGCTGCATGTTGTAAGGCGGAACAACACCGTGTGAGGAGCCATTGTGGCTCGGGGCGTACCCGTACTCAGACGTGGCAAGGTTGGGCTTGGTGGCGTAGCTGTAGCCAGAGACCTCAGAGCGGGCATCATCGCGAGCCGTTTGCGCATCCCAAAGCTCGGCTTGGTATTCCTCCCACTTCTTACGCGGGATCGAGGCCGGGTCAAACTTGCCTTCGTCGGTAACGACAACCTTCTTACCACGTTCACCAGCCACAACACGGGTGTTACCCCAGTTGAAGTCGTCCATGTGCCAGAAGGCGTACAAGGGCAGACCGAAGGAGAAGACAGGGATGGCGAGCACGTACAGGATCATCCAGCCAATCATTTCCCACTTGCGACGCAAGATGAAGATAATGGCCTGCAGACCGTAAATGGCTCCCAACATGATGAAAGCCGTGATGGGCACGACCGTGGCTTTGGTAACAACCAAGACAATGAGGTACGTAATGTAGACGAGCGTAACGGGTTGCACAAGCGTCGAAAGCAAGTCAATAAAGACGATGAAACGCATGCTGAAGCAGCAGAAGCCACAAAGTTGAGCCAAGGGCATAAGCTCCATGAGGTTGTGCACCGTCGAGTTGATCCATCGTCGACGCTGTGAGAGGAAGACGGCCCACGAGTCCGGGGCAATGGTCCAAGCGTGAGCCGCGAAAATGTACTTGGTCTTGTACGAGTTGTGAAATTTGAGAAGGAGCGTCGTCAAATAACGATCCTCACCGAGATGCAGCAGGTTCTTCATGTGCAGTGTGTCCACACGAATGGTGGAGTAACTGTCGACCACCTCCCGACTGACGAAAAGCGGTTTCCCGGAATCGGCGGCGCGGATACGGTACATGGAGAAACAACCGGGCAAACAAGTGACACTGCCAAACAAGCTTTCGAAAGCCTTAGCAAGGTTGTGCGAAATGTAGTACTCGTACACTTGAATCATGGTGACGAAAGACGACTTGGCGTTGGTCAGCGCCGTTTCACCACATACAGCAATGAGCCTTGTATCGTCCAGGAACGCGGCAACCATGCGCGTGGCCGAGTCGGGTGCAACCACAGTATCGGCGTCAATTTGAAACATGAACTCGTAGAAGGTCGGATTAACGCCAATGATGTTCCGGATCTGGTGATACATCTCCAGCTCGAGTGGGCTCATGGAGAGGTTGTAGTGAACGCGATTGAGGAAACGCATGATGATCATCTGCGAGTCTCGCTTGCCACGGTTTCCGGGACGCGACACCTCCGACGGCTTGCCAACCTTGACGATGACCAGAAAAGGTACGATGTGGCCCTGGACTTCGTACAAGCCAGAGTATACCTTGCCCATGTTGTGCTGCTTGAGGCCTTCGCCGAGAGATTCGAAGCTGAGAGGTTCGGGATCCACCGTCTCGGACACGCCAAGAATGTCGAGCACGATGCGGGGCGTCGGTCTGTCGTTTCCTTGACCAATAATCATTCCATCACAGACGATGACGAGGAGTTTGCGCTTGTCGTCATATCGCATGCGAGCCGCCGAATCAATAGCTCGTCGAAGCGACTCTTCGTCTTCAGTGTATGCTGGGATCTGGCACATGATGAACTTGTCCAGATTCTCGGGCATGTTCTTGCCTCCAAATTGTAGAGCTGCAAAAAATTTGAAGCCAATAACGCTGCAAAGCAAGACGGAGACGGCCAAAATCAAATAATCTGCAAACTGGCACTTTATGGAGTTTCTCGTATCCTGGTCTCCCACGTAGAAGAGATTGTCAAGACAGAGCTTCTGACGCGCTCGCACTTCCGGGGTTAGGGCCAAAGAATTCCACGTCTTGGTTACATCCTGGCCAGCCTTCTTTTGGAAAAGGTCAACGACAGTTTGGCTCATGAAATTGGACACATCCGGGTCGGTTGGTTCCGCAACTCCATCGGGGACGGCGACGTGGCGGCCACCCACAATGTACTTGGTTAAGTCGTAGACACGGCCATTGAGAATGGCGATGGAATTCTTGTTTTCTGCGAGCGACTTGACGTATTCAGCAGAGTATCCAATGGTGCCCTTCTTGAAGTTGGACTTGAGCTCCCGCATCTTCTCGGCGAACCAATCGGGACGCGGGTCATCGGTGTAGTAGCGGAAGTCGTGGTATTTGGAGTTCAAGTCCTGGCTGCTGATGACGCTCGTCGACCCAGAAGTGTTAGTCGACTTGTAGTCAAGTTGGACAGCAGGATCGACCTGGCCATCGACGCCCTGGCAAAGAGCCGAAACCTGGACAGGGAACAAGGACGTAATATCCAACCCGGCGTACTGAGTAAGCTGCTTGGAGGCGATGTAAGGTGGGTAGTGCGTGGGGAGAAAGGCCTCGAGGTCGAAGATTTGACCACGAATGGCCACGTATGAGCCGTCACTGCCGGACTTGCCGTTGTACGCCGATAGCTCATCGGAGCTGAAGACGTTTTGCTTAGGACAGATGAGCAGCGGGAAGACCACCATGAAGAAGGCGGCGAGGAGACAGGTGAGCCAGATCATCATGTTGATGGCTAACTTTTCTCTCCAGGCTTGACGGACGTCCTTGCGAGGCATCCTGCCCAGCCAACGAATCAAGAAATCGGGAATGAACCACGTCAAGGCCATGCACACGAAGACCCAGCGCTTACGGGTTGGACTGTCCCGGTACTCCTCGACTTCAACAAGCGACTTCTCATTGCCCCTTTCCGCCATCTGCTCCCTGGTGTCCAGGTTCTTGAACATGTCACCTGCGCCGAGGGCCGAGGCGCCAGCGTCGGACCGAGCATCAGCATCCCCCCCAAAGTAGCCTGCTCGTGTTTTGTCACTATATTGAGGGGTATTGCCGACCGACAGGAGACGCTCCTTGGAAGCACCGAATGGTAGGTCGCCGGCAGACGGCGTTATGCCATCACCAACTTCGGAGGGATACCGTCCAGATGCAGAGCCGCCTTCACCAAGCTGGGCAATCTCCATCCAGCAGCGCTCGCTGATGAAGACACCCGTTGAACCAATTTGGATCTCATTACTGGCCCATTGCCGGTCATGGACCACCATTTCCACCTTCTCGCGCTCGCTGCCGACCAAGATGGTGTCGACATCGGCAAGACCAAGGAATTCGCCAAAGGGAAGGAACAGACTGAAGTCGGCTGACCGCAGACGCTGGCTGATCTCAGCGATGCCGAAGGTCTGAATTTGGGTCCGAACGCATTTGCTGTCGAACTGATTTGCAATGCGTCGGTCGTTGGGCTTCAGACAGAATACGAAGTACATGTTGGTGTTGGACGCCGTGAGAGACTGCTTGACGTTTTCAAGTGACGAGAGGAACTGGCCGGATGCACCTTGCTCGGAATGGCGGGTGTTTGAACTCTTACCAGTTTCGCCAGTGCGACCTTCCGGATGGTTTTCGCTGTCACTGCCGAAGTCATCCACAGATTGTTGCCTGCGCACGCGAGCCGTTCGCGCAGCCCTACCGTTTTTTCTAGACATAACACTGGGCGCTCGCATGGGCTTAGAGCTGACCGAGGCTTGCATAACTGTGGTTCTCTCATGCGGGTGCATGACCGTCTGCAAAGCCTCCTGTCCGAACAGGCGGGTGACAAACTCACTCTTGCTGGACTTGATGAGGTTCATCAGATCACCCGAGATGACTTCGCCGTTCTCTTCTACCAGACCCTTGATGGGGTATTCCACCTCTCCAGCAAAGTGCTTAACAGTAAAAGTGGCGGCTGTGTTCTCCGTGAAGAAATTGCTTCCTGGGAGCTTGGCCTGAGCGGAACTGACGTGAATGGCAGGGTTCTTGCCCTCGAACCGCTTTCGGAGACTCTCCAAGAGTTGCATATCAGTTCGATGGCGCCGGGTCTGGTCATCCAAAATGCTGAGTAAACCATTTCCAGATTTGAGCATGCCCTTCACAGCGTCCGAATTGTCGAAGTAGCTTGTTGCAGCGACCGTAACTTCCTCAGTTTCCAACATGTCTGCCTTGCGGTCGAAGAAGTTTTGGAGCGTCATGTTGTAAAGAGTTTCGGTGGCGGCGTTGTTGAGAAGCTGGTCGAGGGCCGAACCCGTCGATGATTGTTGGGCGAAACCGGGAAAGTCAATAATGGAAATGGTGTTGGCGATGGCCTCTTCGGGAGCGCAAATCTTCTGGTTGACCGTCTCGATCACATATGCGACCATGAGCGAGTAAAGTGTTCGTGCAAGCTCATCGGCGTTTGCCCGAGCTCCAATAGGGTCCAACATAACAGTCACCCTCTCCCTGTGAATCATCTTGGTCTTGTAGCCCATGGTTGTCTGCAGATCTTGGGAACTGACACCCAGGAACGCCGCAATAATGCCTAACACATCCTTATTCTTCACAGCCGTTACCGTCTGTCCGCCTTCGTGGGAGAAGCCGCCACTGTCGTCTCCCATGGCAGTTGTGCTTGCCGACGTCTCGAACTCGAGTTGGCCAATGTGCAAGATACAAGCTAGAATTTGGCAGATTTCGGCAATCTCGCTCCTGGGAAACTCGAGCTTACGCAGAGCCGTCTTGAACAGTTGGAAGCCATCGGCATCATTGATTCCGACTTTGAGCTGCGTGGGGTGGCCCAGGTACTTCCACCGGCGATGCCCCGCGGCGTCTCTGGGTGTGTCGATTCCAAGATGGGACTTCTCAGCCTCGCTTGTCCCTGCGAGCAAGTAGTACAGAACATGAAAATTGCGCTCTCCCGTGGGAACATCGGCAATTCTGCTCCGTTCCAGACGGTGATCCAACAGTTTTCCTCCAATGAGAATTGGATTCGTCGTCGATGCTGTGTCGTACTGCAACTCGTAAAACAGACCAGCCTTGGACGCCGTAGGAGTCGTTGCGGTTTTGGTGGTGGTCAAAGTGTCGAAGATATAGGCCGCAAGCGAAACCTTGGAAGACAGAGGCGTTGAAGACTTATTCAAGAGCGAGGTCAGGAGATGGGATCGAATCGTCGTCTTTCCAGATCCGGATTCACCCCTGAAATTGAAGTCAGTTTACGGGAACAAGTCACGAACCAAATTCGATCGACTTACAGAAACAAAACTGCCTGGTTTTCCGTTCGATGTCCCAATCGAAGGAAAGCCCTGTCGGCCATGTCCTCAGCGCCCGCCATAGCGCTTCCTTCTTTTCCGCCATCGAGACCTTTGGTGGAGGTCGTGTAGGTGTTGAGAGACACGAGTGCATGTGAGGACAATCGAGCAGTGGGTATCGAAACATGGAAACGACTGGCGAGGTGTGCCGTTATGTTCGTGTCGGACTGTAGATGCGTGGGCAACGAGGGCAGCGAAGGTTGAGTATGGGCGCCCCCACTGCCACCCATGGGCAGATTCAGAGCCATGTTGTTGGAAGCAAGCAGTAAATTATCAGGCGGGAAGGAGGGATTGACGATGCAAGATGTTGTTTGCAGGTATCGTGAGCGTTAGAGACGCGAAGGCCCCTAAGGCCCTTCAATTCGTATGCCGACTGCGGATCGTGGTTGATGGCGTGTAAATTCTCTGGCTGTCTCTACTTTGGTAGCTAAAACCCATCCAATTCGGTCCAGTATGTATGTAGCGTTGGAAGCGAGTGTAAAATTAAGTACAGCAACGAATGTGGGATACAATGGAAAAGATAATAATAAACAAGAGAAACGCGAGAGCTTGGTGATGCTCTTCTCTCCCGCAACGTTTACTTCCCAAAAAGTGTAAAATGGGGTGTACTCGAACTTGAGTTCAGTCGTGCAACAGGGAAAGGGACTGTTGTCTTTGGTAGCGCTGCATTCGAGTTTATTTTTGTACGGCGGGCCGCAGGGGCCAGGTGCGCATATTTATTCCTCATGCAGCTCATACGAAGTACTCTGGAGAGTGGCACCAACACGGAGCTAGATCCCGGCACGTTCTCTTTGGTTTACACTACGAAGTATGGATCCGTGGTCCTCGACGTGGTGTAAATTGGCCAAGTCGGAATCACCATTGCTTCGAATCCATTACACTTGTGTTGCTTTTCTAGAAACGACGTTCACGTTGCATTTGGTATGACCTCATTCAAGTTGTTTGCTGTCAGTTGTGCTGAGAGGTTGGGATTGATTCCGGGTACGCTGAACAAACAATAAATTGCCTTCAGTCCATTGGCGCAAATCTTTGGATCCCCAAGCTGGCATACTCAGGGGTTGATGGAAATGCGACGATATTTCATTCTGTTTAACCTCCTCTACCGCATTATTGATATTTGTTGAGATTGAGGACACGGATTTGTCACTGTCTGGAGTCTTGCTATGCAACTTACTGTAGTACATTCAGAAACATTACGGAAGCTCGAAAGCCGCCCGAGGCTTGGATAACCGGAGCGGAAATGTCAGGGGAGTTACCCGTTACCTTTCAACTGATGATGCACAGTTTGGACGGATTAGACTTTAGACCAAGACGAGGTATCCTGTCTCGCCCAAGTTGAAGCTGCAGCTATCACGTTATGCTGCTCCAGATCAGCACCGGCAAATGCATCGTAGTATCAGAAACCGCATGATCAGCTCCAAGTTCCGGCGTGGAAGCGAAAGAGTCCGACAAGGATGACTAGCCGCTGACAAGAGCGATCCTGCTTGTCCTTAGTAGCAAATAGTAGGGAACTCTTGAAATCACAGCCTCGAAGTTGAAAAGAAACCCCCAAATCCAAACAGTGACTGCAAATAGCTCGAGGAATTAAACAAAACCAGTCCGAAAGGCTGTGTCTTTGGCCTGGAAAAAGACAGTCATTTTTTAGTGGCCAGTTCAACAGTTCATGAGTCTGCTGGCGACTTGCATTTGTCGCATGAGCCCTCCCGTTGGGCGGCGTTCTGTGGGAACGCAGCTAAAAATAAAGTTGAATACGACAGGGTCACACCTGCTTCCGATGGGCAACGGGCTTCCCTGCGCTCTGATCGTGGTGTCACGAAGTGACACCCGACAACGAGAACAGGAGAATTTGAGTCTTGAGCCAAGGTTGCCGTTCCATCCATAATTCACAATTATTGCATTGTGCCCTACCAATCAACAATGCCATTTACTTGTCTATTCATGGATTGACTGACCCTGAGCAAAGCTTGGCAGAGAGAGGCAAAAAGACGCTTGATTGACCCATGAGTTTCACTCGTATTGTTGTTGGCCCGAGTTAGTGGTGCGGCCATGCCCGTGTGTGGGCAGTGAGGCAGTGAAAAAACCCATGGGAAGTTCGAGAAGGTCATCGACCTTGGCACTTTGCAACTTGCAACGCATCAGTGATCAATCTGATGTGCCCACCGCCCATCAGCCCATCAATCGGAAGCCAAATTGGTCATCGTGTGGGTAAGTGCTCCAGTCTCGCCCCTTCGTATTCCTTCTACACGAACATGGCCGATGCCAGCTTTTTATGCATAGAGCCTCCACAACAGCCAGAGCTGAGTGGGGAGGTGCGGCTGTTCCAACCATGAGTTGGGCGCTGTGGTTGGACAAGGTCAGAGAAGAGCGTCTCAGGGGTTGGACTGAGGGTCAGCGCGGCCTCAATTCATTCGCGACCGCGCCTCTACCCAGCTCTGCCCCGGACAGAACAAAATAGGCAGATCGACACTATTCTAATGCCGGCCGAGCACCTTAATTACTTGTGCAAAATAGTCTTTTGGGGTTGGCGCGAGTGCGCAAATGGCTCTAAAGCCCGCCGTATTCCAATTCGCCTACCCAGCTACCCGCTCCCTCAGCAGGGAACAGTGGTGATCACCCTGAAGGTCGTTTTCGATCGGTTTTCAGAGTAGACAGAACAGCGAACCTCATTGTCTCTTCCCCAACACCATCAAGAGTCTCCCTTGCGGCTCTCGGGTTTCTTCTCCTTCTGTATCTTGCCATTGTGCTATCCAATTGTGCTATCCAACCGCCTCACTCGCTTTGGCGGCATATAGTATCTATCGTTTATAATCGTCTTCCTTATTACTTCCTGCACGGCGAGAAATAGGACGGCAGCGTTGAAAGTGTTGCTCGGCGACCACCACCTGCAGCCTCTTTTTTAGACTCCCCATCACGTAACGACACACTCGCTCCCCTCACGATTTGCTCCCATACTTGAACTTTATAAACTGCTCGTTGCTGCCTTGAGCGCAGCGACTGACTTGGCCTTGAGGAAAGGAAAGATTGGATACACCACAACATCTGCCGCGTCCCGCTCAACTTGACCAAACCAACGTGATTGTCCGTAAGGACACCACGACTCAATTGAGTTGACAATGGCCAATTCACAAGCCCGTATGTCGATGTATTCGGTAGCGTCCGACTCTGGGGGACCTCGAGGACCTGGACCACAACCCTCCCAAGTATCAACGACGACACTTCTCAACGGCATTCACAACATCTACCTTTCCGCTCAGCCATATCGACTCGATGCCGGTACGAGCGTCGTCGTTAACACATGGCTAACTGCCACACAAGCCGGACCTGAAGGAAGAACAGGAGGGACGGTAGACCCTGCGCTGGGAGCTCGAGCTTGGGAACATGCTCGACGACGTGCTGAGGATGGATGCATTATTCTTGGGTTCGTTCTCATCTTTCGCAAATATAAGGTATTTCTATTAACTTGAAGTAGCTCCCTACACCCATCGGCGCCCTCTCTTCTGGCGCCGTTCCTTTTGTCGCTACCTCTCTCCATCCCGCAATCCGTGTTTACTGCTCTCGAAGTTCTTAGGCCCTTCATTCGATGTGTAACGCCTTACAACCCTTCAACACCCCGTGAAATCGGACTCGGTGCAACTTTGACCCTGAACCTCGCGGGCAACTTGACTGCAGCGACTCTCGCTCTGTCTCAGGGGGGAATAGACACCACTAAGGGCTTGTTGAACATTCCCGCCGAGCCAGGGCACCGAGCCTTTGACGTCTTCTACTATTTGCTTACTTCAGCATCCACTCCCGCCGAACGCGAGTTCCTGGGACTTAAGCCAGCTGCGAACTACTCTTTGCTCGCCAAATCGGGCACTTACGACCCTCCTTCGTACCTGCCTACTGCTGACGACGCTGCGGCTGCCGATGACTTCCGCACGGCTTTAAAGGAGATTGGCATCAAGGGGCCAGCTCACAGAAACTTTATTTCGACACTTGCCGGACTCCTCAAACTAGGCAACACCCTAGATTATAATGTGGACGGAGATGTTCTTGATGACATCTGCGAGGATGTAGGTGGACTACTGGGTCTCGATCCTGAGGTGCTCGCGAGGCAATGCAGCACCGAGGACAGGCAAACTCTGATTGGAGGGCTCTACGAGGCCCTTGTTGACTGGGTCATCTTCAAAGCTAATGTGGCGATTGCGGCTCAAATGGAACGGATTCGGGATGGTACAGAATCGTCCGACGGACGTGGCGCCCGTACGCCTACTCCAAACGAGGACAATGGCGACACTGTCTGCATCTCCGTCATTGAAATTCCCGACCCATCGCTAGGCAAGGCTTTGGCCATGCGTAGCATCTTCGATGATAGCACGGGCATCAATGCTGAAATGAAAGAGGACGGCGTCGAAGTAGTTTCTGCGGGAAGCTCTGTCGTTCGCGAAATGCAGACTGCTGTCTCGGACGTTGCACCCGACTTGGGCATCCTGACTGGCCCAGTTGCCCGGGAAAGACTGCACGTGTTGGAGAAGCGGGAGGAGGTCCTCGAGAAGGTCGGCTTGGCCGGCGAGGATGATGGATTCCTCAAGAAACTGCTGTTCCCAGTCAACGGACAGGGCATTAATCTCGGCCGAAATGGCCGCCTCGACCTGGCTTCGGTTTTGAGCTCGAGCCGTGTCTGGTATCACCTGTCGCTGCACCCAACTGACGAGTCTCCCGCCAGTTTAGCCGCCTTACCGTCCGTCACATCGGCGTGGTCTGCCGGAACCGTGTCACGGCAACTCCGAGCCTGGAGACTGCCGGAATGGGCCAACCGTCGAAACAAGAACTTGGATTTCACCGCAGATTTCGACCTGGAGGAGTTCGCCCAGCGATTCGCCCCACTAGGTTGCATAGATGGCCGGGACGGAATCGAAACGTGGATCCTGGAAAGAGGCTGGAGCAACGGTGAAGTTGTTGTAGGCAGAGAGCGCGTCTGGATGCGTGAAAATGCTTGGTGGGAAGCCGAGAGCATGCTCGACCTCAAGCCCACCGGCAACGTGCCCAGCATGGGCCACATGATGCTAGCTCCAGGCGGTCTTGAAACGGGGTACTCGAATGGTGGCAGTGGTTACTTCGGAGCCCCTTTGGCGGACCACGACACCAACGGGAGCCGCGACCAGCTGCTACAGTCCCGCAACCAGAGTCAAGTTACTCTCGGTCAGCACCTGGCTGGCCCTTTCATGGCCTCTACAGCTATGCGCAACGCCAGCAGTGGCGACTACGGTCTTGGCAACAAGGGAGACAAACACCATGACCAGGTCTATTATACGGCTGAAGGCGAGTTCATTGGCAACTTGGACCCTGATCTGGCTCAAGGCAAACATGTTGAAACCCAGGACACGAGCTTCACTCGCCGTATCTGGGTTGCTTTCGTGTGGGCTAACACTTTCTGGATTCCCTCTCCCTTGCTTAAATGGGTTGGGCGTATGAAACGACCTGACGTCCGCATGGCATGGCGTGAGAAATTGGTTCTGGTGTGGCTCATATTTTTGTCCAACGCACTCATCATCTTCTGGATCATCTGGTTTGGTAAATTGCTCTGTCCCAATATGGATAAGGCTTGGACGCAGGACGAAGTCGCAAATCACCTAGGTGAAGCCGACTTCTGGGTCAGCATCCATGGCAAGGTATATGACATATCCAAATTTTGGAAGCTCCAGCATAGCGACACAGATACCGACACGACAAGCGAACTGATGCTACAATTCGCTGGTATGAATCTCGATGGGTATTTTGTGGCCCCTCTCCCACTCACCTGTCCGGGGCTCGGCATTAAGGAGACGACGTACCTTACGTTGAACAACACGCCAACACTCACAGAGGGTGTCCACACTTCCGGGTACCTCCAGGCCGATACGACCACCAAGCTTCATTCTGACACGTGGTACCGCGACTACTTCCAGCCCAGAATTAAGGAATACTACCATGGTGAGCTTGTTTGGGACAAGGAGACGGTTAATTCGGAAGGCTCCGACGACAACCATATGTGGGTCATCTATGATGGCTCGATCTATGACTTGACGGACTACTTCAACACGATTGATTATTACCAAAATCTTGACACATACAATTTCCTGGATACCACCATGATCAACACTGTCAAGAACAACCCGGGCGAGGATGTTACGACGTCCTGGAACACCCATATCAAGAACGTGCAGTCCAATGAGACTGCGTATGCCACAGCCCTCAACAGTCTCAACTGCATCAAGGAGACGTTCTATGTTGGCATCCCAGATTTCCGTTATTCGGCTAGGTGCCAAGTCAACAACTATATTCTGCTCACTTTCACCATCATTGTCTGTTCAGTCATCGCCATCAAGTTTATCTCGGCGTTGCAGTTCGGGTCCAAGCGACGACCAGCTCCCCAGGACAAGTTCGTTATTTGTCAAGTTCCTGCTTATACGGAAGGCGAGGACTCATTGCGGAATGCACTAGACTCCCTCACAGCTCTGCAATACGATAACAAGAGAAAGCTGATCTGCGTCATCTGTGATGGTGTCCTCATTGGTGAGGGCAACGACCGCCCAACCCCCAAGATTGTACTGGATATTCTGGGTGTCGACCCGAAGCTTGACCCTCCGGCTTTGCCATTCAAGTCTGTGGGAACCGGCAGTGAGCAATTGAACTACGGAAAGGTGTATTCTGGCCTCTACGAATTCGAAGGCAACGTCGTCCCGTACATGGTTGTCGTCAAGGTCGGCAAAGAATCCGAGCAGACCAAGTCCAAGCCTGGTAACCGCGGCAAGCGTGATTCTCAGATCTTGTTGATGAGCTTCCTCAACCGGGTGCACCACCGAGCTCCAATGAACCCTCTTGAGCTGGAAATGTTCCACCAAATTAACAACATTATTGGAGTCGACCCCGAGCTTTACGAATACCTGCTCATGATCGATGCCGATACTTCTGTACGCGAAGATTCGTTGAACCGGCTTGTCGCTGCTTGTGCCAACAATGCTAAGATCGCCGGTATCTGTGGCGAGACTGCTCTTCAGAATGAGGACAGATCGTGGTGGAGTATGATCCAGGTCTACGAATATTTCATCTCGCATCATCTGGCAAAGGCCTTTGAGTCACTCTTTGGAAGTGTTACTTGTCTTCCTGGATGGTATGTGTTCCCAAAATCGCTTCCATCGCGTTTGTTGCATTTAAATTAACCCTACCTGCAGTTTCTCCATGTACCGTCTGCGAACATCTGACAGAGGCAAGCCTCTGATCATTTCGGATAATGTTATTAAGGAATACTCCGTTTGCAACGTGGACACGCTTCACAAGAAGAACCTGCTATCACTCGGAGAGGATCGATATCTCACAACCCTTATGACCAAGCATTTTCCATACATGTCATTCAAGTTTATCGCCGATGCATACTGTCAAACGGCCGCACCTGACGAATGGAGCATTCTCTTATCTCAGCGACGAAGATGGATCAACTCGACTATTCACAACCTGGCTGAACTGGTGTTGTTGAAAGACATGTGCGGTTTCTGTTGTTTCTCGATGAGATTTGTCGTCCTGATTGACCTGACGGGTACCATAATCTTGCCGGCCACATGCGTGTACCTCGGATACCTGATTTACCTCGTCGCGACCGGCACGGGCCAGTTCCCCTTGATCTCAATTATTATGTTGGCGGCCGTGTACGGTCTCCAGGCGCTGATCTTCATCCTCAAGCGACAGTGGCAGCATATTGGATGGATGATTATCTACGTCATGGCTTTCCCCATTTACTCGTTCGTTCTGCCCATTTACTCTTTCTGGAACCAGGACAACTTCTCGTGGGGTAACACGCGTATCGTCATTGGAGAGAAGGGCAACAAGCAGGTTGTGGCTGTCGACGATGAGGGCTTCGACCCCCGCTCCATTCCCCTGCAGCGTTGGGACGACTACGCCATGCTAAACAACCTGCCCGGCCGTCGCGGCTTTCACGCTGAGAAGTCGGAGCATACGCCGTTCGAGGACAGCTACGAGATGGATGACATGAAGTCAGTCTACTCCTCTGTGCGCCAGCCTTCGGTCCTCACTGGCCTTCACGGTGCCAACCGCGCGGGATCAGCCTTCATGCCACCGCAGAGCCCGGCACCCTTCGCTCGACCCCAATCCAACTTTGCTCCGTACTCTGATAACCCCATGCATCGCGGCTCCATGGCCTCCGTCGGAGACATCCACCGCATGCAAAGCCCATACCAAGACCCCTATCGCCCATCAGTGTCTAACCTGCGTGCCGTCAGCAATAATTCGCCGGCGCTCGATATGCAGCAGCGGCAATCTACCACTAGCCTGGGCTATTCGGGCGGCCATCGTAACCCCCAGGCTCAGCAATCCGTGACCTCGTTTGATTTCCAGAGGGGCACCGCAGGGCCCGATGACTACAGTATCACCGAAGCTATCCAGGGCGTGCTCCGGGATATTGATCTTGATACGTGCACTAAGAAGCAGGTGCGTGCGCTTGTGGAGCAGCGTCTGCAGACAGAGCTTGTCGGCGAGAGGAGGACGTTTATGGATCGGCAGATTGATAATGAGCTTGCTAATATGTAGATGGAGATGGTGACTCCAGTTGTTGAGTTGGTGTTTTCACGTCATATTTTGTATATACACATACATCTCACCAACCAACTACCAAAGTAGCCATCTGGGGTTCGTGAAACTTACTAAAACATTGGGGACCGGGCGTTGAGAGACACAATGATGTGTTAATCTTAGTACTAGGTGCGAGTGAGCGCCCTAGGGTAGTGCATTTTGAAGGGAGCTTCAGGTTAAATTACTTGTTTTAACAAATCCTCGGAAAGGAAAGGAATGGGATAGGATGCGTGGATTTTTGCATCACATACAGACGGTCTCAAGAATAGGATGTAGCTTTCTGCACTTTGCTTCCTACACTATGCTTCCTACACTTTGCTTCGTTCGTTCGTCCCGGTGAAGGCTCGTCATGTTCCGAAGTATGTTCACAGTCATTCACCCTTCTTACTAGCCAAGGAGCGGATCCTGGTCTTGTCTATACTCGAAAGTGACCATACCCCGGAAATGTTGATGTTGCCCCTCGGTTCAAGTAAGGCTTCTTAACCAGACAACTAACGCGTGGCACTTTGTGTCTCAATTTCATCCAATTTTCCGGTATATGGCAAGGAAAACTGAAGATTTTTCATGACATGTCGATCCGATAGGACTTACAAGTGCGTGCCACTTATTCCACTATGACCACAGACGCACTTGATCCATCTTCGAGACCCAACTTCGTTGGGTGAAATATGCCAACAGCAGCAACATGTCGGTACCAAGTTATCCAACGTTATTCCGAATACATAGCCCCACGATTGTTTTGCCTTCTTGATAGACTTATCAAGATATGGATAGCGTAACCTCAATGACGTCTCCCCTGTAGGGTTGTGAGTATTAAACCAGAATAGTCTTACGGGATGTTTTCACTTTCGGGTTATACGCGCATGTTATTTAGAGCGGTATTCATTGATAATGTTCACGTTGTGTTAATGTTAGGGTAGACTTGTTTAGAAGCTGCGTTACTACGTATTATTGAGGGCAGTTGAGAACAAGTCTCCTGGGCACTAGTCCAGCATGTAATTCCTCATTCCAGTTATTTTATACAACGTGTATATACACTCAGCGGCTTTAACGATGACATACTGTGTTACTTCTACTGATACCGTGGTCATTATCACCATGCCAAAGAAGACAACGTATAGTCCAATGTAGAGCGCCTTGCAATTAATTATGTGATTTCACATGTCTTCTGTATATATGTACGTCTATGTAAGTAGCGAATGCTCCCAACATACAACGCCTTTCAAACCTCTTTACGGTACGTTCACTCTTGCGCCGTATGCCCAAACGCCATGAACTCCCCAAGGTTTCTCCAGCAATCGATCCCACACTATGATAAAATCAATGAATCTTCCCCACGCCCTTCAATTTGAGGTACACATCACAACCCCAACCATGGAGGCTCTGTACCGCAATATCCCCACCGAAATAATTAGCATATGCTCTACTGAGCGGCAGCCCATACCCGAGCCCCGCAAGCGAGCTCCCGCCTCCACCAGCGCCAGAAAGCATGCTAGTGCCGAACAACTCCTCTTCCTCGGAGAAGGTAGTGAAACTGTAACCCCAAATTCGGGGGAGGATATCGGACGCAATACCGCCGCCTCGGTCTCGGATCCGGATCGTCACGCCAGGCGCATTGTCGTCAAGCGGCTTAATGGCCTCGCTCCTGAAAGCGCCTTTGTCTTCGGCGGGAGGACCGACCTTGACTTGCGGTGCCTCCGTGTCGGGCCGTTGGGGTGCAATGGTGATGACGACGGGCTCGAGGGTCCTACCCCTTTCCTCGACGGTGGCGCGGAAGGCGTTCTTGAGCAGTTCGGTGATTATGTATTCTAGGTGCATCGGGACTAAATCCGGGGAGTCAGCATTGATTTTCAAACTCTCAACTACTCGTAGTCTCTAAAAAGGAGGGAGGTCCTCGAGTGACCTACCATACGCAAAGTTTGTCTCTAGCTCCCCTTCAATAATCCACTTGGGTCTTATGCCATATTTGTACCTTCATAGCGCATCGTCAACAATAAAGCCAGAAGCGTTTTGTATCCAAAACTTACTCGCAGATCTCTGCCACATATCCAGCGCAGCTATCAACAATCTGAGCCGGGCAGAGCGCCGTGTTTATCACACCAATGTAGTGCGGGTGCTCGGGGCATGGAGTCGGACTAGCCGAGGGGTCGAAATGAGCCGCACTACTATAATGTAGCGCGATATGTTGTTCCGCAATGAGACGCGTACCGATGCGAGCACGCAGGTGCTTATCCAGGAACTCCGTCACTTGTTCAGGCGAGATGTATTTACGGGACTCCAGGAAGCCCTTGGCGAGAATGGGGATCGTGTCTTGGTGGGTTGCGACTAGTTCGGCGAGAACCGATGTGAAGGCGATTTCATCTTGGACGTTCGATATCGTGCGATGTTTCCATGGGAGGAGTGTCGACAGCGAGTGCAGGTAGTTGTTGTAGATCTTGTTGATGTTGGGATTTGAGACGACGATGAAAGGCAGGTTGCGCAGGGCTTGGATACGATGGGCGAGTCGGATCGGCAACAGGCTCAAGGTGAAGTTCGCTGAGGAGAAGAGGGCTTCTGTCGAGAGCGGTGGTCTGCCATGTTTCACGAGGTCTGCGAGGCTGAGGGGATGTTGGTGTTGTTTGCTTAAATCGGCGATCTCTCCATTCGTCACTGGGGCTGTCGTGAGTGGATTCCAATTCGGGGTTTTGGAGGAAGAATTTGCTGTGGCGAAAGTCGTGTACAATGCTGTTCTAGAGGCAATACCCAGGGGCGTTGAGCATGAAGCACGAGTTGCGCATAGTCTAGCTCGTCTGGAGGACGCTTGTCCAACGGGTATAACGGTAGTCGCAGGGACCTTCAGCCTCAATGACCGGTGTAACCCTCTCATGACTGGTATATTGCATTTAATATGCCCAGTCGTGAGATTGTCGAATATTGATCGAATCATGAGCACAAGTCGAGGCGGTGATGTTCTAAAAGTCGTCATAAGCCAACCTCAAAACAATCCAAGCTCGCTATCTTATCACCAAACATGCCGATCCAAGCCGAGATCGGTAGTTGGCTTGCCGGCAGGGACACCAATTCTTCTCGCCATGCACTTGCAGCTGGGATTGCTGCGAACCGATTGGGAATTCGCAAGGGTATCGCTTTAATTTCTACATGGAAGAGTAGATCAGAGCATCGTGATTACCATTTCACTTGTCGCAGTGTTGGGTCTCCATTTATCAAGTGGTGCCTTTAGGTAATACTAGCTCTAACTCCAATACCCCGCATCGTGGATTGCCCCTCCATCATTGTTTACATGTGCTTATTGAGTCTTGACCTCTTGGTCCAGCTCAACGGCCTTAACGTGTTCATGGGACTCAAGAGTCTGCACGGAGTCCTTGGGGAACTCAACACTGTAATGATGGAGTCAGCTCAGGGGAATGGTGGTCGATGGGGAGTGAATTCGTACGAGAAACCCTTGATCAGATTGTACTCATGGCCAATCTTGCCGCCCTGCTCCTCGGCGTGCTTCTTTGCGGCGGCAACCTGCTCAGGGGAGGCGTCTGGCTTACAAGTGACCTTGAAAATGTTAGTAAAGGGAGTAGCGGGCTACAGTTGGAGGGCGATCAACATACAATGTAGGTAGGCATGTTGACTGTGCGTGAAGTGTGAAATAAGTATCTATTTGGTCTTGAGTGGTCGTATAATTGCCGGGAATACTCTTGTGGAGAAGAGAGGATTTGTCTTTGTAGGAGTGGATAATGGACTTGTTTGGCAAGATGCGGAAGATGCGGAAAGACGGGCATGTGGTGTTCTTAAAGAGAAGAGGCCTCGAACAACTGCGGAAGCTGGCTGGGCGACTAGGGAATCGCGGCCTGACGCGGCGGGTATGAATACGTCATGCCGTGACTGACTGACACACCCACGAGCCCACACACACAGCGTATCGTGAGAGCCCACCAACCAACCAACTCCGCTTCCTAGAGTTTTCGAAGTATTAGTGACTGGTGTCAAGACTGCGATGAACCAAGTTTATTTCGAGTCATTCGCAGCGATTGCGTAAGGGCCTGCATACGACCAGGATACAGCTGTATGTATTTAGCACGTTATCTTTGCATTGCATGGCTCAGACAAAGATGCAAGAGGTTGCTACCCATAGGAAAAGCTGATGGACGCTACCTGGGAGTGGATTCAGGGAGTGTCTTGGCGGCCCCACCTGAGTTTCCCAGTCTACAAAGCCCCGCGATCCGAGAAACCCGGAAACTACATAGTACATGTACATAAAAAGGTCTTATCGATCTTATCGATCTTATCGATAAGCTGTGGATCAACATCCGTTCTCAAAAATTTGAAGCTTGACGATGTACAAGCGCAGAGGCCGTCGCAACTGTGGTGCTGGAATTTGCTGTTATTACCAAATTCGCAACCATGGACGACCAATCGCATAAGGCGCATCGCAAAGCGAAGGATAAGAAGAAGCCGCACACAGGAGGTCAGCCAGAAAACTCATGACCCTCACCAAGAATCTTCACCCTAACTTGTTTACAGAACGGAACCCCAAAGCCTTCGCCTATTCTAATCCGGGCAAGTTGCACAGAGCTGCCGCGCGATCCCACGATATCAAAGAGAAACGCTTCCACGTCCCTCTTGTCGACAGACTTCCCGAAGAAGCTCCTCCTCGAGTCGTTGCCATCGTTGGACCTCCGGGAGTCGGAAAGACTACACTGCTGAAGTCGTTAATCCGCCGCTATGCAAAGGAGACCTTGTCAGACCCGCAGGGTCCTATCACCGTTATTACCTCGAAGAAGCAGCGTCTGACGTTTATCGAATGCCCCAACACTCTCGAGGCGATGGTCGACATGGCCAAAGGTGAGCTTGCTTGGTTCTGAAGCCGTTCGATTGATGCTGACTGTTCGTTGAAGTTGCCGACATTGTCCTCCTTATGATCGACGGAAACTACGGCTTTGAAATGGAGACCATGGAATTGTTGAATATCCTAGCTGCGACCGGTATGCCTGGAAACGTTTTCGGCATCCTGACTCATCTCGATCTCTTCCGGAAACCCCAAGCCTTGAAGGACGCAAAGAGTACGTGCTTACATCATATCATCCCCTTTTTGGGCTGTCTCTAGGGCCGAAGACGTTTTTATTGACTCCAGAGACAAGAAGTACGTCACTGTTGCTAATTTACTCCTGTTTAGAACGTTTAAAACACCGATTGTGGTCGGAGCTGTACCAAGGAGCCCATCTTTTCTACTTATCCGGTGTTATGAACGGACGGTACCCTGATCGCGAAATCCACAATTTATCCCGGTTCCTGTCTGTGATGAAGAACCCACGCCCGCTCATCTGGCGAAATACCCATCCGTATACGATTATTGACTCAATGAGAGACATTACACATCCGACAAAGATAGAGGAGGATAAAAAATGCGATCGTACTGTTGTATTGTCCGGTTACCTCAGAGGCACGAATTTCTCCTCGGAGGCTCAACGAGTGCATATCCCTGGCCTGGGCGATTTCACAGTAGCGAACATCGAGGCGCTGCCCGATCCTTGTCCTACCCCCGCTATGGAACAAGCAATAGCAAACGTTACAGGGAAGAAACCCAGGAGGAGGCTGGATGAGAAGGAGAAGAGGATGCACGCCCCTTTTTCAGATCGACACGGTCTGAAAATGGAGGGTGACGCGGTTTGGTTCACCCGTGAGAAAGGTTTTAATTTCGACAAAGACAATGAAGATGTCGAGAGGGGCGAGGGAGAGGAGCTCATCATCGGTCTCCAGGCGGAACGACGAATTCTTGGTCAGACGGACGAGGGGATCCAACTTTTCCGCGGAGGCGAGGAGACCAAAACGGTCCCCGCGAAGGAAGACACTGGGAGAAAGAGCCAAAGGACAGCAAGGCTTGCAGAGAGGGATGGAGACGAAGATGAGTTTCCGGAAGATGAAGGCTTTGTCAGTGGCGAAGATGAGTTTAAGTCCGATGACGAAGTCGAGTTCAACGAGAAGAAGCTGGGCAAGGTGTTCCGGAAGGAGGAAGACAAGAAACCCGGCGAGGACGATGTGGCTTGGGCGGACTCTGACTCTGACCTGGGCTCTATATCGGGCGAAGAAGCTGAGGATTCCAACTCTGACTCCGAAGATGATGAGGATGACGAAGCCGGAGCACTCAGATGGAAAGACAACATGACTGAGAGGGCAGCAATGATGCACGGAAATCGCCCATCGTACCGGACCAGTGACCTAGCCCGCCTGATGTACGACCTGAGTCTTACTTCAGACGAAGTCCTTCAGAGATGGAAGGGCGAAACTGAAGAAGATGAAGAAGACATCGAAGCATCCGATGATGAGGAATTCTTCAATAAGGCTCGACAGGACAAGGAAGATGCTTCAACCGACGACCGTGAAATCCCTCAACTCGACTACGAGCGACTTGCTACTAAATGGTCGGACGCGGATAACATCGAGTTGCTGCGTCAAAAGTTCACAACAGCCACACTGAATGGGGCCAATGGTGATGATGATGGGTCTGAAGACGATGGCTTTGGAGACGAGGACGATGAAGGAGACGGCGAGTTCGTCGATCTTGAAGCCGAAGAACAACCAAAAGCGGAAGCAGAGCCCGAAGAGAGCTTGGAGGAAGCTCGTGCCCGGAACGCTCGGAGGAAAGAGGAGCTCAAACAACGTTTCGAGGAAGAAGACCGCGAAGGCTTCAAGAACGACAAGGCCATAGCACGCCGCGAAGGTGGCGATGATGCCGAGGAGTTTGGAGAAGACGATTGGTTTGACTCTAAGAAGGCTGAGCTCCAGAAACAGTTGGATATCAACAATGCCGAATTTGAGGCACTCGATGAACACCAACGAGTTGCCGTCGAGGGTTTCAAGGCTGGGAAATATGCCAAACTGGTCCTCGAGGGAGTTCCTGCAGAATTCATCAGTAACTTTGATCCCCGGACGCCGATCATCATCGGCGGTCTTGCACCGACGGAAGATAGATTCGGCTTTGTGCAAGTGAGGATCAAGCGTCATCGATGGCATAAGAAGATTCTGAAGACAAACGACCCTTTGGTAAGCTATCACTCTGGGCTTGATATACAACCCCTCTACTGTGCCTGTTCCTGTATTCCTGCTTCAAAGACGGCGTATGCTATTGATGCATGATCCGCAACTTTCAAACCCCTTCGTATTAGACATCGCTGACTCCCGTTGCTACAGATCATCTCATTGGGTTGGCGGCGTTTCCAGACAATGCCTATCTATAGTATTTCGGACTCTCGGGTCCGGAACAGGATGTTGAAGTAAGTCTATTATCCCATCGATGTATGAAATGGAGCTAACCATGACATAGATACACCCCTGAGCATAGTAAGAAATTTTCCAGTCCCCATACCATCTTGCCTAATTCAAGAGCAAAGGTACCCCAGTTGAACCGACTTGGGGGCCTTTGTTTTGATTTATGACTTAGACTTTATGATTTATATCATGATTGTCTGCTGGAGTAACTGCTGACTCACGCTATCTAGTGCACTGTTTTGCTCAAATCTACGCTCCTCTGGTAGCGCCAAACACGGGTTTCGTGGCCTTTAACTCATTCTCGCCTACTAATACAGGATTCCGCATCGCCGCGAGTAAGCATCAGTCCAACAGCCTGCTAAGAAGTGATGGGTACTAATACACGAAATCAGCTGGCAATGTTCTCTCGGTTGACGAGAGTACCGAAATAGTCAAGAAGTTGAAGCTCACTGGTGCACCTGTGAAGATTTTTAAGAACACTGCGTACATCAAGGATATGTTCACATCGTCTCTTGAAATTGCCAAGTTTGAAGGTCAGTTCTTGCAGTACCATATGCCTTTTTCACTTCCAATATCCCTCTCGAAACCTACCACAAAGAGTGTATACTGACCAAAAGCTTCAGGTGCCGCCATCAAAACGGTCTCAGGTATACGTGGTCAGATAAAACGTGCTCTGTCCAAACCCGAGGGCCATTTCCGAGCTACATTGTACGTGTTTGCTGCCAACTCTCAATATTGACACCTTAATCGTAAACTCGCAATGACTAACTCCCGTTACTGTAGTGAGGACAAGATCTTGATGAGCGACCTGGTAAGCCACAGCATATTTGATCAATAGAAACCTTGACTGATGACACGTGTAGGTATTCTTGCGTGCCTGGTATCCAATCCGCCCGCATCGCTTCTACAACGTTGTCACCAATCTTTTGGGTCCATGGCAAGGTATGCGTTTGACGGGTGAAGTTCGCCGTGATCAAAACATCCCGACGCCCCAAGATAAGAACAGCAAATACCGCGCTATTGAACGCCCAACCCGCCACTTCAACCCACTCAAGGTGCCGCGAGCACTTGCAGCCGAGTTGCCCTTCAAGTCTCAGATCGTGCGCATGAAGCCCCAGCGCCACCAGACGTACACGCAAAAGCGAGCTGTGGTGCTTGGAGGCGAGGAGAAGAAGGCAAGGGATCTAATGCAGAAGCTGACGACGATCCGAAAGGACCAAGTCGCCAAGCGCAGGGCCAAGAAGGAGGAGAAGCGGGTCGTTTTCAGGAAGAAGATGGAAGAGCAAGGGGAGCGAAAGGAGGCCAGAGAGAAGAGGGAGACTAAGGAGTACTGGAGAAAGGAGGGCAAAAAGAGGAAGACTGGGGATGAAGGGGGCGGTGGTAAAAGGAGGAGGCAGTAGTATCAGCAGGCTACTTTGCTTAGTTGTGTTGGAGACGATGTACAAGTCACAGTTATTAGCATCATCGGCCTTCAGGTTATAATAGACTTAGACACACATTACCATGGGTTTCGCCTCGTCGTTCAAGTAATTCAGCTTCGAGTAGATAAGGTGCATTCGTTCTGGTCTACAAGCGGCACAGAACCCCAATTTGAGCTCACCTTCAAGCTACGTTCTCTGCTATCCTCTCACAACTTCAACAGTCCCAAATATTCGAGGGTTTCTACGTCTTCCGTGATGAGGCCAAGCAACCTTCGGTAGTGACCATACAAAACAAATTCGTATTTATGCCTCTTTCTGGATAAGACACCGGTGACCACTTGGCACCATCAAGAAATACAGAGCCATTTCCATGTCTTTGTCGCTCATGCCCTCCTTGTGGGAGACAACGGCGTTTGGGAAATTGAGGAAGAAGCGAGCTGTGATGAGACGCAACTCGATGCGAGCGAGGTGGCGGCCTAGACATGCTAATCGTATCGTGTCAGCTCTGCATATTCAACTTCCGCATGCGTCCTACGTGAGTTATGAAAAGAAAGAAGAGCGCTGGAGAGCAAAGACAAGAGGAAGGAAAGCTTACTCCTCCCACCCCCACCAAACGGCATAATACAGTCCTTCATCCTCTGCGTCGTATTCTCCCACCTCTCGGGGTAGAACCGATACGGATCCGGGAAAGCCTCGACGTCCCGATGCAGACTGTACGCCTGCGTCGTGACCGTCGCCCCGCCGGTCACAAAGTGACCCGCCAGTTCACACCCGCCCGGCGGCACGATCCTAGGTAATCCGCACGGCAAAGCGGTATGCAGTCGCAGCGTCTCGTTGACAATACAGTTCAGGTAGGGCAGATCCCTCAGCTCGTCGTACCCCCAGCCCTCAGGGAGATTGCTCAATTCCTTGAGGAGTTTCTGCTTGATCTCGGGATGTTGACACACAGCCCAGACAAGGTAAATCATCGAATTGGCCGTTGTATCGCTCCCACCCACAATGAACACCTGTGCGTTATCCCGGATCTCCTTCTGCGTCCAAGTCTCCTCATGCTCAGCGTTATACAGTTTGCTGAAAACGGTCGGTTTCGGGTCCGTCTTCACTGCTCCCCCGCTCTCGGCATGATGCTTTTCTACCATCTTCCGATGCTTCTCCAACGCCCGCTCCGCATACTCGAAAGTCCGCCACTGAATCTCCGTCGCGTCCCTGAATACCGGGATCGGCAGCACAGTCGAGATCTTGGAAATCACGGGGAACATGCTCCTTAGCCCGCCGACGTAGCCCAAACTCACGAAGTCGTCCACGGACCGGTTTTTCCTCCCGTGTTCGAGGTTTCCGAACGATTCGCCAAACGTCAGCTCGCCGATCACGTCGAATGACAGGAACATGAACCATTTCGCCACGTCCGCGACACCACGTGGTCCATCGTCCTCTTCGCGGATCTTTGTCATGGCGAGCCGGACTTGGGCGTCGATTTGCGGCAGGAAGGCTTTCAGTCCTGATTCGGACATGGGTGAGGAGAGGAGGCGTTTGTATTTTCGGTGGTTAGCCGGATGGATCGTGTTGAAGACGCTGTCCGAGTCGGTGATGAGGGTGCTGTAGAAGGGGGACTTAAGAAAAGGTTGGGACTTCATGGTGGCGTTGTGGACGAGTTTTACGGCCGGGATGGAGCTTGTGTCGGCTTCGTAGGGGGATATGCGGACTATAGGGCCTGGTTGGGGGTGTGTTAGTGTCTGTTATCGTATGATAGAATGCTGGAGTGGCACGGAAAAGGGGTTGATTTGCCGTATTTCTCATGGAGGGCATGGACCCAGGCGGGATGCTTGGCCGTCATGACGTAGAAGGTTGATGGGAGGGTAGTGAATTTCGTGTACCATGGTCCAGGAATATTTCGAAGCGGGTTGGTAAGGCCTTGGTAGATGTACTGGAAACATTCGTTAACACTGGCCAGGACCGGCGAGGACATAATGAAATAACATAATGAGCGTTATGTGCTTACTGCGCCTACTACTGTGAAGACGAGGGCCCCCAAAATGGTTACAGGATCTGTCACCAATAAAGGCATCATGAGCTCGAGACTGATGTTCAGTCGTATAATTGATGGGATCACTTGTGAGAAAGACAACGAACAACTCTGTTTTGGTTTCAAGACATCATGTCCTTATAACTCCCCCAGCTCCCCCCGTGGTTCGTTCTACTTTCTTCCTTACCATCCATCCACTCTTGGAGCTTCAATAAAGCCCATATGTATCAACAGGTGAAACGAAACAAGCCAGAATCCAGGGTAATGTCCCCCAATCAAAGCTCTTTCCAGTTACCACGTCTGGATGTGACTTCCATGCAACGAACAAGCAACGGCGGGCCCCAGATCGCCAGCCTGGGATTCAATAGAACGATCTCCATCAGCTCTGACATTTGCGGATTCATCGTGAGCTGATTCATACACGTTGAAATGTTAAAAATCGTGATGGCGGGGTCTTTTGAGTTGGACGTCACCCTTGGCCGCTACGCAATAGGAGATTCCATGAAGCCGCTTCGGTAAAATGATACATTTACAAGCCAGATCGGAAGTAGAAGTCGTTGGTGGACACCCGAGCCAGCGGAAAGCCCGTGTTTCCCGAGGAACATGGGACGACGACCGTGGTTTCGTACCATTGGGATGGTGGGAATAGATAGACTGCGAGATGCACTTCGGAATTGTCCTCTATAGGCTCGCTACTAGGTTCATTTCTTGGGACGATTGCCCTTAGTAATCGTCATGCACACAGACTCGAGTTGGAGTCTCTTCTAGTTTTCCCTGTTGCTGAGTGCCAGTTGACGATGCCATGGATGCTTTGCAGGCGACGAATCCCATCCGTGGGTTTCTTCCCAGCTCTTATCTTCTGAATAATGGACGTTTGCGACTCTTCACTTGCAACATCGCAGTTCGGCCGTGTCTGATTTTTGGGCAATTTGGCCTCGCTAGTGTCCCTAACAGAACGGCATGATGATCCCAAAGCAGCTATTTAGGAGATCGGCTGAAGCTAAGAGCACTTTGCACTTGGCACAGCGACACTGGTTGGGCCGGCATGAAGTTTCCAAGGACAGCATGCGTTTCCCGTAAAAGAAAAGTTTCGGACGATTCCTGAGCATAATATGTCCATTCGTATGAAACCAACTCTATGGACACGGTGATCAAACGACCCAAATGAGCAACCCATGACCTTGGAACAATGTTGATTCCGCCACTCCGATATTCGCTTCCCTTTCCTAAAACACGACAAAATCACAAGTTAACTACTTTCAACACCAATCCCGTGTATGAGAAACTCCCATCGAGTTAGTGTTCCCCGCCACTCCCCTCGGCGCTGGCGACATGAAGGGATGGGTAAAAGAAGGCCGCTGTTGCGATTGCCACGTACACGAGGACGCACAATACACCTTCGAGGTAATTGGTCTTCTGATCCCGCAAGAAGTTTCCGACCGTGATGATGGCCAGTACTAACATGACCATGTCAAATATTTCAAAATTGAAGGACATGGGTCTATTCATGATCCAGCCTACGAGAACGACCAGGGGACCGTTGAGCATCGCCGTCTGCAGCGTTGCGCCGACGCAGTGGGAAAGGGCAAAGTTCATCTGGTTATCCCAGGCCTCATCGACGGCGGTGAGATGTTCGGCAGCCTTCTCGACAAGCGGCACAAGAATCAATCCCATAAATGGATCCGAAATGCCGTTGTGCTCTACCAAGGGCTCAATCTCGTTGACCAAAATATAGGCGATAATGGTAACGAGACCGACGGAGATCACCAGTGCGACGATACATTCCGTCAATGTGAGCTTGTCTTTCGCTTCGTCCTTTTCACGGTCGTGATCTCGGGCCTCATCGTGTTCGAAGATGGCGGTGAAGAGACCGTGGTGGGTACGCGTCTGGAAGAAGATGAATGTTGCATAGCCGATGAGGAGGAGGATCGCTACGGCACGCGAGATGTGGAGTACCTCTCCGTCGAGCTGTTCCGTGGTCCATGCCAATTCACCTCTCTCAACTAGTGGAGCCAGAGAGTATTCGTAAATGGTTGGAACCGCAAGAGCCACACCGCTGTAGATGGTGGTTAATAGTTTGGTGGCGAGTTGGGCTTGCTCAGAACACTTACGCAGTAAGAAGTAGCCCACTACCCGCTTCAGTGATGGCCTCGTCGAAGTGAGCGTCTTCCCGTCTAATACCAGAGGCAAAGAAACACATTCCAAGACACAGCAACATAGTCGCCAGGATCGAACCGAGGATAGCGGCTTGAATGACCGGGTAGAGTCTATTCGCAAGGAGGATCATGAACAAGACGATTTCGACGATGGAACCGATGCTGAGGCAATTCCGCTATTAGTCTCCGCCGCTCATAAATCCAGTAGCAAGGTTCGATATCGGTCACTCACGTGGTTTCAGTCAAGACGCCCAGCATGTGAGGCATCTTGCGTGCCAATTCCTGACCGGCAAATCCTATAAGGTTAGCACAAGGCACCATGGCGATATATGCCAAAGTGAACTTGGCTGTGTCGTGCCCTTCGACTCGATAGTAGACAGCTATGGCGATAGGGACAATGGGCCACAGGATATTGACGGCTCGGGATAGGAAGCAGGTGCTTCGCCAGATGATCCTGAAGAAGTGCAGCGGGTGCAGGCCACGACGTCCACTCTCTCCTTCGACACGGATCTTGGGCCCTCGCCTGCGCCTCCTCTTGGTACCGCTCGTGCCATGCTCAATGTCCTGGCGATGTCGTGGTAGGGTGGCATCGCGTGTGCCGTTGGCCGATATTCGGTGGTTCTTCTCACGGTGAGGGCCAGTCGATCGTCTTGGGTGTCTTGCCGACGCCATTTTCACAAGACTTTTATTGTTGTAGTTACGCTAGTTGGGCTCCAGAAAAGTCCCAGTGTGCGGGAATGGGAGGTTTTGTGGCTTGCTCGAAGAAGAAATAGACTATAGTCAAAGCAAGGAAACGAGGCCTCGACCAGTCGATTGTGAATGGCAGTTGGGCGGGCAGTGCTTAAAAATATCACTTTTCCATCTTGTTGAGACGAAACCAATTGTCTGACGATCGCGCTTTCCTATTGGAACAACACAGCGCTGCATCCCTGTAAACCAGGGAAACCGCGGCCATTGGCTTCCATTGGGAGGTGAGGTGCCTCCAGGCGTTCAGTGCTCCTGGTGGTCATTGCCACGACGACAATGGCAAGTTAGTGAGCATTCTACGTTGCTTGGCATACGTTTCACGAAGGGCATTCCAGGCCAGATGGCAGGTTCGCTCGAGGGATTATCCAGTCAATTTCCGCAGATTTGGGGTTGGGATTATTGCGTCAGTGTGCATAACTGACCGCCCTGGACCGTTACATTCCCGGTCTGGACTCTTCCAGTCTCGGGGGCTGATTGTATTTCTGTATCGACCATCGGACAACATGGTGACGAACGTTGCGCTACACGCAATAACATATTTGCGTTGAATGATTTATCAAATTGTCATGATGCACGACAGAAACACCAGCGAGACTATTTGCTTAGTTGGCACGGACAACCGCGGGCCAAGTCCACGAAAAGCTGTCTGATCGACGGAAAGAGCCCGCCACTATTTCGGTAGCCAATCACAGGGACAGTCGCTGCCAACCTACGTACGTAGGCCGTTCTTCAGCAGCCCGAGATCCAGGTCGAGAATCACCAAGACCCTAGGCAACGTGGGTGACGGCTTGGGAGAGCTTGTTTTGACGCGAATTGCTCTATGGCTGCTCGAAAACATGGTTTTGGTGTGAACTTTAGAAAATTGGTGCGCGGATTGTCCCAGTCAAATAAAGTCAAAAACATTCGAATGTCTTGAGTCATGCAACAAATTGCTGTGCTGGGGCGTTTCGCGGTTTTCCCACGACGTATACGAGACTCTGAAGTGGAGATGATCGCGCGACGCCGGTCAAGCCGACGACATGCCATTCCAAGCTCCAACCGCGAGTGTGCGACGTGCATCGCGCCCGTCGAGAAACTGGCCTTCTGTATCCCGGGTGCCAGCGGTCACCTACGATCCGTTTGAACTCTAACGGATCGTTGCCTTGAGAATACTTCGCCTTCGGCTCCCTAAGAAGGGGGCAGGCAAATCTGTCTCCAGCCCAACCTGTCTTCGAGTCTCACGATGCATAGCTTTCCAGCCGCAACTAGCTTCTTACACATGGCAATGCTTCATGGGATCAGTACTGCAGGTACGAAGGGATCGGCGGGGAGCTTATTAGTCGACATCGTGTTGTCTAGCCGTCTCCCAGCCCTCATCTCACAGCCCTTTCTAGCGAGTGTTGACGTCGATGAGCTTGGCGCTGAAATTGGAAAACTCGTCCATGAAATTAGCGAACCGCCTGGAATATGACAGCGGGAACTTGTAGATAGCTTCGACTCGGGCACCAACGGTGTTCTTCATCAACCTCACCCACATGTCCGGGTCGCGCTCGACGAGTATGAACTTGGCTTCCGGGTACACTCTGATATCAGCAATAGCCTGCGTCCGGTAGCTGGCGACCAGGTAGGTGGTCGCGTTGGGAAGAGGGGCACCTCGTAATCCCCGAGCCACTTGTCGCAATCCTCTCGTTCGTATGGGTTCCTCTCCAAACTCGCTGACGTGGATAGCTTCCTGACACATCTTGAGTTGTGGGACGCCTCGTGCCAGCGTTTTAAATGTGTGGTATGGACGGTATCCGAGAACCTTGCATGCTCGCTACAGCCCCAATGTACCCGATCTTGCCCTTCGGGTCGTCGTTTATTTGGATGATGTTTAGTTGTCACGCAGACGCTGAAGGTCAGAATGACGATCCTTATTGGGCTCAGGCGTTGGCATCATGTCTACGAATCGCGACAGTTTGGCGATATCAGACCGGAATCTTCTGCTAGTAACGCGCGACCGACATCTTTCGGTAGTGGAGGACCTAGGCAATGCCACTGTTTAACACTTAGATAATTTGGTTGCATTTCAGGACTGTGGTTATCTTCGGGTGTTGTGCGCTATCAATATGCAAGACCCTTTTTGATATAAACTTTGCCCAATAGCAGTTTCAGAAGGATTAGACGTTGAGTATAAATGCTAAATGTAAGTGGTATAGGTGGTATAGGTGCTGGCTGGCAGCTAGTAGACACTGGAGGTTTCTCTCCGCCTATGCCAGGAGAAATGGCTACCAGTTACCCTTGTTTGGACGGATCGATATCCACGCCCTAGCGTATCGGAGTGGTCGTGGCAGTACTTCCGCATACTGTTTCGGCTTGTTTCGCGTTTAGGGACCGCTTTGGCACGGCCATCTAAATCCGTTCGGGAATTCCGGGGTTGGTGACCCACGTCCACTTCCTGCGCCGCCACCTTCCCCGGTTCGTGAGCAGGACTGGTGGTTGGAAGATCCGGCATTTGAAAATTTTGCCGTGTTTCTGGCAGGCGTCACTACCAGTAGCGTCCTCCTGGTCAGATAATGACCCGGCCTTCCATACGATTTGGAACGGTCAACTGGATGTTTAAAGTAGATAAATCTACATGCAGAGTACAGCTCGGTAATTTGCTAGCACATCGTAATAAACGACTGGCAAAGATGTACAAATTCGCGTACTACGTAGATTGAAGTAGCCGGCTAGGCTCCGTCTACCACGGAGGCTTACATGAGGCCGCAGTCTGGGGTATGTGTTCTCTAGAGCCCGATAATAACCTTCGCGGGTAGGCCAAAGACTCGGGTTTATCCATAATGGGGATGAGTTGTGTTGCATTTACTGCATATCGTGTGTCGGATAATATGCCGGCACAATACGGGATTAGGTAAGGTAGGGAGCCCTGCGCTGCCAAAGCGTGAACATGCCCATTTGAGGCCTTGCAAGCACAATCATAGTTGCAACACCAGTAGCGATTATACTATCGAGGAACCAGAGTAATTAGGAAGGATCGAATTCTTTACGTTATTCATCACAGTAGCTCGGGAATTCCCCGGCATATCTGGCAGATATTTTCATGGCCAGAATTGCCGTCTTCAAACCAGTGAGACTTACACGCACTCTTATTTGCAGAAATGTTATGTTTGCGGATCTAGCTAGGCTCTGAGCTATCGCTACTCCATAGCGTTCCAAGGTGTATAAGATTTATTCAGGATTGTAAACCCTCTAATCCATTACACTTACCAGATTCAGGTAGCGGTGCCGCTTCCATTAGTAGTACTTACTCTCTCATTAAGCTACAAAGCCATCATGCTTGACTCATAGTCTACTGTCAGTCTACAACCCGAGTAAGAACGATGGCCTGAATCCACTAGCAGAAACATCAAAGCATTCACCTTCCACGTGGAATATGTCCATATCTCATCACCATCAATCCTATTTTGTCTATCCCATCTAATCTATGATACCCATTTCTCCATCCACCCACCCACTCATCTAATCGTCCGTAATTCCCGTCTCCTTCCCTTCTCGTCTTCCTTCAACCATTTCTCTAACCGCCCCTCCTAGCCTTAGTGTCCGCCCCTAGATAATCAATCGGATTCCTGCAAAGCGGGCACGTATTCTGATTACTGCTTTGGAACCACTTATACAAACACGTGCGATGGAACAGATTCTTGCACGTCTGACACTTCTTGTCGGGCATCTTCTTGTCGCTGCTGATGATGCTGTAGCAGATGGCGCACTCGGTCTGGCCCTTGAGGGCGCCGACAACGTTGCGTCGGAAGGCGGCGAGGCCGTCGATAATGCTCCCGCCCTGGGTCACACATGGGATGTTAGTGCTACTTCGATATCCTGGAGATTTGCTAGGAGGAAAGGGGGGATGCGAAAGGAGGAGGAGGAGGAGGATGCATACTGAGAATGTAATTACACCCTGCGTTGTTAGGATCCAGCTCTGCCACTTCTTCTCGTTGACCGCCACCCGATTAATCCCCACAACCGAGACACCCTCGAGCGGGTACGCAGGAGGGATTTTGATAGCGATTGCAGCATGTAGTTCGTCCACCTCATACCCCGCCGTCACCTCCTTTGCCGGTCTGCTGACCTTGACGAGCAGCTCCCTCTCATCTTCAGCCGGAGTTTCTTGTGTCGCCGCCCATTTGGCTACATCATCGAGAGATTCGGAAATGATGATGGGCGAGAAAAACCGGGTCATCCAGCCCTCGACCGCGATCTTGGTCTGCTTGGAGCGACACTCGATGAACCACGCCTTGAACAGCCCGGGTGCGTATTTTAGGACAAGGTAGAATAGGTGGATGAGGAGCCATTGCATGTTCCTCTCCTCCGGCTCCGCGTCAGCGAGCTTCAAGTCGTATGAGCGGATGTGTTCGACGGTGAAGTTCGCCTTGTCTAGATTCAAGCCTTGAGCAGCCGAATGTCCAAGGACATCAAAGGTGAAATTCATCAGGGGTCCGATGTAATTATCCGTCTTCAAGTTTTCCGCGTAATCGCTGCGGACTTTGAAGGAAGCTGCTTGGAATGCATCAAAGACCAGATGCCACGTGAGTAAATATGATCGTATCGACGTGGGGAAGAGGGATAAAGCCTCGTCAGAGTACGCCTCGAGAGTGGGAGCTTCGAGGAGAAGAGACAAGAGTTCATGAGGCAGCTGGGCGGTCTTCTTTTCGAGAAGCACATCGAGTGCAAGTTCCTCTTGAGCAGCAGGCAGGGCTTTGTGGAGGACAGTGAAGGCCGCCGTCTGAATAGCCCGCGAGTCGACAGCTACCAAGCCATACAGGTCCGACAGGTCTTGAACATGTTCCAAGGGCAGTTTCTCCACTTCTCTGCAAATAATGGCGTCCATAATTTGTAGAGGCTGGGTCTCCTTGTCGCGTGGAAGCTTCAGAAGCTCCAGTATAGCTATGGACCGCTTCTCTGAGGTCGATTGCAGCACATCCACCAGATCGTCATTCGGCTCCTCGATTGACTGAATCGTGCTCATCAGTCTGAGCGATGCGTGTATATAGGGGAGACGGTTGTTGAGCGGTTCTTTGCTATCTTCCGTCCAAAGGTGGATGCAGAATTCAACCGCCCGTTCCCAGTACGCGCCATAAACATCTTTGATGCACGGGAGTAGGTAGCGGAGACTGCGGCACACTTCAGCAGCGTGCCTGTAATCAAGGGTCTCAGGTGTTTCCAGCCAGGATGTGATTTGCCTAACAGCAAAGACTATGCGGTTATTGGCCACCGGCAGCAACCCAATTTCATAAATCGGCATGCATGCATTGAGCAGAGCCAGGGTAACCAATGATTTCTCGGACTGGGGGCTGGCGCCAGCAATGTCGCTCACCAGTCGATTACAGAAATTGCTGACGCTCTTGCCAACCGACAGCGATTCGCCAAGCCCAGTCATCAATGCCACGGCAGGAAGCACAGCCGTTGGGCTAGATTTGAGGACATCCAACTTTGCCATCCAATCTTCTGCGCTGGACGGGAACCCGTGGTTCTCAGTCAGACTTTCCAGTAAAGCACTCAACACTCGTGCACTATAAAGTCCTGACGGCGACAGTGACTTGGCCATCTCAAGCAGTTTGCTGAATACTCCACGGACGACAGGTGACTGGTCTTTCCCCAAACCGTCGCGCCATCCGCTAGCATTCGCCGCTAATGTGCTTACAACCTTCCGGGCAGAAGAAACCAAGTTTTCGGCGTCGATATTGGCTTCGTCGATGTCCAGGTTCTTCCAGATCTTCTCATTGTCCATAATGGTAAGCTGATCTGCTACAATTTCTGCTGTGACAGCTAGGTACACAACCAGGTCCACTTGCTTGTCGAGATGCAAAGTACCGAGCTCCAACACGAATTCCAATAGTTGGGCCGTGTACATGGCCATGCGGCCAGGAATGGAGCAACCGCTTCGATCCCGCTTGATATTTGCGGTAGAGGTTTCGGACGCCGTAGACACCAAGAAGTATGAGCTTCCGAGGCTACTTGTGAGCGAGAGAGATGCATCGGGAGCGTGATCTAGGAATACGGATAATTCTTTGTCCCAAATCTTCAGATCGGGCACAAGCGACCCGGGTTCCAGACCCCCATGCGCTTTTTGGACCTGAACTGTTTGTTGAACGAGCGTATCGATCCCCAAAGAATTCGGGCCGACATCGTTGATGTTCTGCCGAATGATTTCCACGAGGTTTGACTTGCCTGTCAGGGGGTGTTCCAATAGGGTACGTAGGGTGGGCACTTCAGGATTGGCGTTGGAGCGTTCCGAAAGACTGAGCAGGCTCATCATTAAACTCATGTGGGTATCTTGGTCTTGAGAAAGGATGCTGGGCTTCTTCTGTGCGATCAGCATTAAAGCTTTCAGCACCCCAGGACTAGCCGGCCCAGCAGGAGCTGTCAGATGTGCCGTAAGCTCCCTCGCCAGTTGACCTTCAGATAGTTCACTCAAAGCGTCAAACCCTATTGCGGCATTGAATAGGGTCCAGCCAGCCGTAAGAGTTCCACATGCACATTTGATGCAAGTCTCTACAATGTGCGACTGGAACCTAGATTCTTGACGAGCCAAAGAAGCGGAGGGTTTGCTCGCTACAAGCTTTGCCACGCCTTGTATTGCTCCCGATTCGTCCATATATGGGAGGATAGCTTCAATGGCAGTCGTCCAGAGCTGGACGAAGTCTTGCTCGCGGCCAGAGATATCACCCAAGGATATGATACTTGAGAATATGTAAGGCGCACTAGAGGAAACTAGCAACGTCTCCGTGGTCTCCAGGACCGAACCCTTGAGAAGTTGTACCAAACTATTCGACGCCGGTGTCTGCTTTTTAAAAAGCAACGAACTGTTTTTGAAAGCCGACTCGACAGTCGCAGCAGCACCAAAAGGTTTCCAATTTCTACTCACCAACAACTTAAGTCCCTCCTGCAGTAGCTCTAATGATGGCCCTGTTGGTATATCTGGAATGGGACGCTCGGTATCTGTGGTCTTTGCGTGTCCCTCGAGTATGAGGCCGACAAGAGCGAACCACCGAGAACCCTCATCTGCTATAGCCTTTTGGGACCTCTCATGATCTTTAGAAGCTTCCGGGAGCGAGTTTCTCATATGGGTCTTGTACTCTTCCTTGAGTCTTTCCCACTCCTTTTTGATTGCGCCCACAAGCTCGGTATTTGTTGACGTGGCAGCCAGCGTATAGGCTTTGATGAGAACAGGAAGTTGGGCACCAGAGGCCCATGAAGACCTCTCCGGAACCGGGAAGAGGTACTGCTCCGTCAAGGGGAAAACGGTCTCTTCAATGAACCTATGAATAGATGCCTCATCCAGAAGTAACTGTAGAAAGTGCTTTGCCGTATTTAGATAACACGTCCAGGCACTCACTGCATTGCTTCGAGGCTCTTCACGGCGTGTGATCCCTAACTTCATGACCTTCATGAAGTCTATGGCTCCTTCGATGTCGTCAGGGATGATACCGGAAGGAAGACTTGCCAACATTTGACTAAGAGTATCCCAAAATGTCACGGCGCTGCCCTGAGATCCTTTCTCCAGAAATATCTTTAGGCGTGATGACGGCGACTTCTTTCCACGGTAGTCAGATGTCCATATGGAGGGAAACTCTGCACTCATTGTGGTCAAGGCTTTGATGTAGTCACTGGCAGAGCCGCTTTGGGAGCTTTTCAGCCCCTCTGCAATGTACACCTTGCTCAGGCGGGGAAGCTCGGCTTCTACCGCATTACGACGTTTTCCCAAACAAACCAGCAGCAATTGGCAAGATAGCTTCCTAACAGTAGGGTCATTGCTTATAGCACTACCCCATGCCTTTTCTGCTTCGAAAAACTTGTCATAGTTTTCCTGGTGCTTCTCGACATCAGCAGCATCTAGCTTCTGAAGAAGGTTGAGGACCAGAGCTAGACTTCCGCCCAGGACCCGGTGGTATTTTGCTTCTGCATCATCCGTGCTAGTAGATCGTTCGTCACTGAGCGTGTCTTTCGTCTCTAAGATGGCATTCGAGGCATATTCCAATATCTGCGGTTGGCATCTTTTCCAAAACTGAGTGACCTTCTCTGGGGTTGTGAGGAATGAAGATAGCCCTTCGGTAGCATTACGGGATACGACTCGGTCCCGATCGAAAGTACCCGCAAGCCAGGTTGCAACAATTTTTGGCACATACTTTTCTATTCGCTTTCGTGCCGACTTCATCAACTCAAATTGCAGAGTATGAGATAATTCGCGTACGCGGCGAGAATTGTCTATTGATGTGCGAGGGTATAATTGGACCTGTTACATACATTACTAAGTGACACATGTATAGCATTCCGGCACAGAGACAACCCACCCAAGCTTCCAACACTGGTTCCTCGGCGCCGCCACCTTGTTCAAACGGATGCGCCTCCACATATGTTATGAGATCCTCCAGCGCCTTGGCCTTTGTTGTGCCATCTTTCTTGAGCAGGTTCTTGAATGATACGACCACGTTGGCATCGGAAATGGAGGAAAAGTCCGGGGGTTCTGATAAGTAAGACAGCGTGCTGCCTGTGGAAGTGGAAGAAAATGCGCCAAAACCGCTGGAACTGGTAGTCGTGAACACCTTGCCGCTGGCGGCTCGAGACTTCAGCTGTCGTCTACTCATGACTCGAGGTACGTGCTGGTCGGGTTACTTGATGTTAGAGTTGACAGAAGAGTAACTGGAGATGATTCGTCAAAAACGTCCCGCAGACGCTTCACAGGGCGACTTGGAGAAGCTGTTCTTTTAACCCCGCGATAGAGCGTTAGTAGACCTGAGGTGGAATGAACTAGTGAGAAAATTGAAGACAGGTATCTCTAGCAAAGCTGGCTTGATGAGAATCTGCGACGGTAAATTCCTGAAATGTGAATCCGCAACAGGGACTGCTTGTGGCTTGAAACTTGAATCTGGATTCGCAGGTGCCGTTTGATTCAGGCTGAGAAAGCAGTTTGAATAATGACGATGTCGTTCTAAGAAAACCCATTGAGTTTTACCGGGCCTTACCCGCAGAAAGCGCTTGCCTTCGCCGAGTCTAGTACTTCCCCCGCTGTGATCCAGCTGCCCCCCCATCAGGTCGGGTTGAACCGGATTCTCCGCATGGATATCACCCACAAGCGCCCAGCTAGGGTGAATCCCGTTGTGACTGCACTTGACCCGCCTCTTCCATCTGGCTCATTGCCTGTAATTTTCCATGGTCCTAGAGTCGCTTTCAAGAACCATATCGTTGTTTTAAGATGATGTTGGTTATTTGGAGCGGAATGAACTTATGCTCGCTGCGTTTGATTGACGAAACTTTGGTGGCTTCAAGCCAGTGACACATGTAGTCTCGGCCTATCGCTGCCCTTGTTACCCCGCAATCGCCCGAACCACTGGCCCACCGCTTGCAAGTCACAGGACTCCGGGGGAAGTAAAGGAGAGTGAGTGGTCGTAGGCCGTGGGGGCTGTGGAACGCCTAGACTAACAAGCACGGGCTACACCTTGTGTGAGGAGTAACGAGTTCCCCTCCAATAGCACACAGACGTCGATCCCAACTCATCCGACCTTTCTCTTGTGTTCAGCCTTCGATCGTGACTGTGGTACAAAGTGCCTCATGGTGATGTCAACCAAATCATCCAGCTCTGACATTTCGCCTAATCCTCCCAGCTTTCGCTCTCACAGCAGCTGACAGCCTACCATTCCGTGTAAGTAAATACAACTGCTCTCTCCAATGCTATTCCGAGACACGCGACACCTTCTGAGCACCCCGCACAGCACTTGCAACCTGCCACGATTTAGACCTCTCTAACACCACTTTGCTCATCTAGGAGGCGAATCTACCTAGCATGAAGCATTGTTCGGGGTCAGAATAGTACCTGTCACCATGTTGACCAACGTCGTCTCCCAAGCGGGTACACGGGCGAGCTCACTCCAGAGCAGCGCGTGTGCCACCAGAGTCCTTCGCCCGACTGCTGTGTCGTCTCTTTTGAAGGCGCGACACCCTCAACAGACCCGTGCATATCGCATGGATTTGTGGCCATCCCACTGTGATCCCGAGGCTCGAAGGGATACTCGCCGCTCCCATCGCAAGCTCAAGTACAAATATACCGAGTCTTTCAACCGCACGCTTTCGCGGGATCAAGATCATCCTGCTGCCAAAGAACATCGATTTTGGCTGCATTACATAGACCACAACTACTGGGCAGTCGCTAAAAGAGAAAACAACAGCAAGGCCGGTGGCTATGACACAGGGAAGCACCCCAGTGGAGATACTGCTGCGGGTAAGGATACAAGCGACCAAAGCTCCTGGCGGTCACAGTTGAACAATGTGGTCAACGAATTGTCCAAGCAAGCATCTCCAGGAGCAAAGAGAACGGTATCCCCGGCGGCATCATCAACGTTACGAGCAAATGCAACAGCCAACTCCGCGTCGATCGAGGAGGAGTACGTTATCGATCCTATCACTAACCGTAAAGTTCTGAGGAAGAGCTACGGCTCTGTTGGTGACGAGACTAAGGCCCCTGCTACGACATGCAAGTCAAACAGATCGATAAATTCGAATCTTGCCCCTCCTCAGGATGGGCAAGCCAGGACCCCCATCCATTCGAATGGACCTCCGCCAGCCGCTGAATTGGTTAAATATGACCAAGTTGAAATTGATCACATGTCGGAAGGTGCTCAAAGTTTGGACTACAGCACCACAGCAGACATGTTCTCCAAAGCCCAAAATGACACTACCCAAGCCCCCGTGATCGAAAGTGAAGAATACGCGTTGAACCACCTTCCACCTGAGGAAACAACCGAGGTGTACGACGATTTTAGCAAGCACGAACCATGTCGCCATGATGAGTCGGAGCTACCAACTACGAACCCAACCGAGAAATACAACGATCTCAACCAGTACAAGCCTGATAAGTACGACGAGGTAGACTCCACTGAAATTCCATCGAAACCAGCCTACGATGACTTGGATGAGTATCGCCCAACTGAATACAGCGAGGATCCTGCTATTGAAGAGCCAGCCCCAAAGTACGATGACCTGGACCAATACAAATACAAGCACCAAGAGGACGTTAAGGTTGATGAAACTGCTCCAAAGTACGATGATCTGGACAAATACAAGTCAGATAACTTTGAAAAATATGAAGAAGCACCAGAACCCGGACCCAAGTATGATGACTTGGAGAAGTACAATCCGAAAGAGTTTCCAGATGCTGAATCCGCAGAATATGGAGAGCCATTTCAACAGTACGGCGACCTGGAAAAGTACAAAGCGTACAGATATCAAGAATTGGGTGGAAAGGGTACACCGGATCAGGACATTGTGGGGAAGGGTTTGAAAGAATATGATGCGAAACTAGAGAACAGGGCACAGCTCGAGGAGGCCATGGAAAATCGCATACGAGCTTCTGACGCTGTTGACAAACAGGCTAGTGTGGATGTTCAGAAGTCTCGCCAGTCGGTACAGGACGAAAAGTCAACCTTGACTGATAACTTTGTCCTCGATTTTCCAGAAGAATTCGCGACATCGTGGTCGGAAAATGCTAGCTCATCCGAAGCAGGCCTTCAGCAGAAACTGGGAACAGATGCACGGGGCCATGACGCCTCCCCGCGAGCGTTGTGGACGGCATACGAACAAGGGAAGCAGACTGGAAAAAACAAGGCTTTCGAGGGTCTGTCATATTCATCGAGTTCAGAAGCGAAATTCTCGAAGCTCGAATCTTCATTGGATCGAAGCCATGGATGTCTAAGTCGCTTGGAAAGGAGAGAGGCTGAAGTTGACCCGTACTCAAAAGCTCCTCAAGGCTTGGAGACGAGCTACTCTGAGGAATGCGGCACATTGCCAACTTGGCCAACCTTTGTCAAAATGTACGGGAGTCTGCAGAACAAGGATATGGAAGACTTAGCGGCAGCGTCCGATACTGCCACTGCAGATACACCAGCAGGCAAGGAGGAACCAACCATTTACAAGATCCTCGCCTACGACCCGACGATGCAGAACATTAACATTGCTGAGACGACTTCTGTGGTACCTGATCAAGCATCACCGTTGTCACCAACCGAGGTCCTCCTTCGCTTGTCAAACCCGACCAAATTCTTTCCCCATTTCGCTCCTTTGCAAGCTGAAGGGTTCGAGATCGTCTCCGGCAGCGGCGATGTTTTGGTGTTCCGCAAGGTTCGAGATGCAGCAGCGCCAGCAACAGCAAAAGCAAAAGCATCCCCGGTCAACCCTATTGACATGATGGGAAAACCCACAGCTTTGCCCAACGCCGCTGCCTTCGCCTCGCCTACTGGGTTCGTCAACTACGACATCCCTCCCGTTGAAGAAGCGCAGACGCCGCCATTCCGCTCAATGATTGATGTGCAGCGGGAGGAAACAGTCTTTAGTGGGCCCAAGTCATTTTCGAGCGAGGGACGAAAGAAGAATAAGAAGAAGAAGAGGGGTCTGGTTAAGAGAGTCTTCATTGCAGGTGCCTCGGTTGCTGGAATTTCGTACGCACTTGGTATTGTCAGCCAATACTTCGTCACTGGGGGTATTGACGGCAAGGGGCCTATGGGCTTCTAAGTTGATGTTGGAAATGTTTATTTGCGGACAATCTGTATTGGAAGGATCTACTTTGGCATGAAGGAGTTATTACGGGACGGGGTGCTGGACTGGAATGGCTGAAGCGGAATATGGACATCGTCATAATTTCATCATGGGACTTATATTGGAAAGCGCGTATCTTAGTACCGGTCATATCGTCTGTCCTTACGTTTTCTATATGGCATTCTGTATAGTAGCCCATATATCGTTAATAAGTAACCCTCTTCTGGCGTGGAAAATGTCTTCTGGAGTTAGGCTTCCCCTTTCTCCAGCTGCAAAGGTGAATGGATATCAATCTGGTTGTATGAAATACAGGCACATAGAAATGTGAGATAATGGTACAAGTACAAATTTCTCTGAATGAGTGTTCCAATTACTTTTCTATGCCAATGTGCAATGCCGCCAATTTCCATGGAATACCACCAGCCTGTTTGTCATGCAATTTCCCATGCCACCCTATTCCCCAGACAGCGAAAACCGTATGACGAGCGAATACTAAGCCACTCATACTACGCAGTTCATCGTGTCCTATAACATACCTCGTAAGCCAAGATTAAACCCAGTTGCTCTTACAATAAGACTTTTGTAACTCTCCTACCCGATCCTTGCTTCCCGTCCTTCAGACTAAAGCCAACCTGAACCAACTAGCGATACCAACCCAACCAACCAACCGCTGTAACCCATGATTTTACATCCACCCAAACCCGAGAAAACAAGCAAGCACCATCAAACCCATAAACCTATGCCCTCTCCGTAAAGCCCGACGCCCCCGGTTTAACGCTGTCACTCAGGCCCGACATCTGCAAATCGTGCTTCTGCTCCTCCATCTTGTAACTCTGCTTGCGGTCGAGCATGGGCTGCCACGAGTCGGTCGAACTCATAGCGCGGGCAGCATCTTTTTCGAGCTGGAGCGAGGTTGGGCCTGCCGGGGTGGTGAGGGGGAGGTTGGAGGTGTCGATTTGGGGGGGTCGTTGAGTGGAGGACATTGTTAATGGAGTGGGTTTGTCTGTGCTAGGAGAATGATGTGGAATTCTTTGTCGGCAGGTGGACTAGTAGATAGTAGGTTAGTCAAATAAGCCTTGTGATAGAGCCGTAGGAGGGATGGTATAGAAAGGTGTTGACGACGGGGTTAGGGCCCCGCTCATATTTGAGATCAGTGGAGCTACTCGGGAACATCCATCGCGGGGTGTCAGGGGGTAGCTATCGGGTAGTTTGGGCTTCACGAACTTGTCTCTTCGGGTCCAGAATGGGGAATCAATGCAATTTCGCGGTAGGGTTGAGGGTGCGATGATGAGACACAGACGACCAAATGGTCCAATTCCAGAATGAAATATATCGGATTCCTTAGCAAACATTGACGTCGATCGACGCCGGTCGTCTCCGAAATACCATTTGCGTTACCACCCGATCACTCTGACCAATAGGATAAGGATAATGGTTTAGCTTCATCGCAGGGAAGGAGCTCGGAGTGCGGGGTAGCTGTGCCGATAAGCATGTTATCGGCTGGCGACGTCAGGAAATGATCTTAGTTCGCGATCTGCTTAACGTACCCCACAAGCAAGTTGGCCACTTTTTCTTGGCACCGTATGAATAACTTCAATAACTTAACTAAACTAAAAAATAATAATTCAAACTAATCGGAATCCTCTTCCTCGTACGTATCTTTATCATTCTCACAAGTACGAGCATTATGTCCGGGCTCTCCGCAGATCCTACAGCGCCTCGTACGACGACGACTTTCACGTATATCATCCTGTAGCTGCTGTTCAATATCCCGTTGAGACTGTAAGTCCTGAGCGTCTCGTAAACTAAGAGATCCTCCATCTTGTAGCTGTCGATTTTTAGTCCTTCGACGACGGCTTAGCTCTTGATTGGCCTTCCGAAGTGTAGTAACCTCATCCTCAAGTAAAACTAACCGATGCATAACAGCCGTCGCACCACGTGAAAATTGGTCAATAGCCGTAATTATTGTCGTCGGGGAGCTATTCTGATGCTGTACGATTCTGTTTTTAACGTATTCAGACTGGGATTGCGCCTCGGTTGGGTTATTTGGAGTCTTTGATTCCCAGATTAAGGGGGCGCCAGACGAGCTCCCAGGAGGTGTAGGCGTATGTAGCTTAATATCCAGCTGTGAAATCACATATTCCGGGTCGTACGGAATAAGTCCTGTCCCCCTGAAACCTGCCTGGATATTCGACTTAGTTATAGTCGTACGGTACGCCCTATAGAATGCCGAAAAGAAATCTTCCTTCGAGATATGGGTTATATGCGCCCGTATTAGGTCTTCAATTTCTTTGCCGTACGACCTTTTCAAAGCCCTAAAACAGCCTACATCGAGAGGCTGGAGCTTATGTGACGAATGAGCAGGCATACTAAATGTAATAATCGTATGCTCTTTGCAATATAGCTCGAAGTCAGTCGAGTGGTGGCTCTCATGCCCGTCGAGGATAAGAAGACGATAAACACCCTTCGTACGATCCTTCGTATAGCGATCAAAGTGCTGAATCCAGTCTACGCCTCGCTCGTTTGTTGTCCAACCGTTTTTAGTTACAGCGATTACCCAATCGGACGGGAATGGGCTATTCTCGTACCAGGATAAGAGGTGGTTTTGACCCGCGACAATAATATACGGCGGGATAGCCCAGCCGGACAAATTAACACCCTGGATTACTGTAGCCCATTCTCGATTGCCTTGTTGGACTGTACGAGGCCTTCCGCGTCGTTCGGCACTTGTAACTACCATCTCGGATGAGATTAAGCCCATCGCGAACCCTGTCTCGTCGAAGTTATAGATATCCGCCTCTTGGATACCATATTTCGCAATTGTATTTCGTACGAGCGTAAACCACGCGCGATACGCGTCAGGATCTTCGCAATAGGCTCGTTGGTAGTCGATTCTTCGATCAAAATGCGTCCGAAGGTCTGGTTGTCGTCGTACGAAGTTCGAGGCCCAGTTGACGCCGACGCCTCTAGCGCCACGGTCACGGAGCAGTCGGTTAGCCATAGCTTCAACACCATGGAGCCGGGGAGGAAATGATCGCGAATCTAGGTCAAGTATGTATTATACGACCGCTAACTCTTCTGATTCCGTAAGCTATGAGTAGATTGTCGAGTATCGCGTCGAGATAGTAGTCCGCGTTACCGGTTAGCTAGAGTTGTACGAGGGACATTGTAGAGTTGGGCAGCGCGTCGGATGCTTAATTCGGGTTTCGATTGAAGCGCCTGACACGCTAGAATCATGTCGCTTTCTTTCCAATTCGATCCCATCTTGGTATGTGTAAAGATGTTAATTAAAAGGTTGTTCGTACGGTGCCAAGAAAAAGTGGCCAACTTGCTTGTGGGGTACGTTAGTCGAAGTTCGCCAATTTGGTATTAATCTTTCTGCATGTGGAAGAAAATGACTTTCACGCAAACTTGGTGTGACACTGAGTTAAGTATTCGTCATATTTTTTTTTTACTTTCCGTCTCCTCGGCAATCATATACACATACTTATTCTTTTGGTGTTCGGACCTATCATTTTTTGTGTCGAGTTCCGTCTCTCGTTGCAAATATGCCGCCCCCCTCCCCCATGATGCGTCATCTATCTATACCTCAACACTATATAGTGGTGATGGTTGAGGGCAAAGCCGGTACTCTAACTTGACAAGTACCGAAGAGGAAAAAAAACAGGAAGAAAAAGGATATGATACAGAACGCCATTTGCTATGCAGAGAAACAGAACCACACATAAAAATGGTATAGTGCCAAGGCCAGAACGGGATGAACATGATGTGGGGGTATGATCGCATTTGTCGCACAAAAGATAATGCCTCCAAATGCCAACATAGAGGAATCCAGGGTCTCGTTCCCATCTTCACCATCTCCTAGAAATGACATAGGTCAAGGAGTTCTAGGTCGTTTCCAATAATATTGCTGCCAGGGGTTAGCTTGTACAGCTGTCGCCATATGGGAGGCGTGATGTTACCTTGTGTTGCTTTCTACAAGCTCTCAAGCTCGGTTTCCTCAGGCCGTCGGTTACGGCAAGGCGGCGAGATTCATCGGTGTCTCTCTCGGGGACGTAGTAATACTCACTCTCCAGTGCCTTTCCTGCCGCATCCTTGCCTGAGCGGGTGATGATGCCGATGCAGTTAGTGGACTCGATGATCCGTCGCAAGTTATGCTTGCTGAGATCCTTCTTCTCTTCAGCGGGCAGGTTGTTCATAATGCCGGACAGCGGGTTGGATGACAGTCGCGAGAATGCGAGTTGGTTCACGACATGGTTCGTGACAGCCGAGACATCAATGTTTTTGTTCAGGGGCTCCTCGGGTTCGACGGAAGGAGCGGCAGTCGAATCACCTGACAACATGCGCGATGGCTGTTTCGGAGAGCCTGTCGTGACTGCTGCGAGGCGATTTGAGAGGTTTGCGCCGAAGGGCCCGAAGGAATGGATGATGGGATCATTTTCCTCGTCTGGGTCGTTCTCATCCAGTTCGCTGAGATCACTCGAGAAGCTGTTGGTGGTGACCGTTTGTGCGAAGGATGCGCCCGCGTCGACAACAGGTTCCGGCAGGTCCTGTTCATCCGCACTGGTATCTTCATAGATTTGAACCGGCTCACTTGCTTCGTTGTTGGCCAACAGTGCATTCAGGCTGCACGACGATGACTTATTAATGGGTGTTGGCGACTCAGGCGACTTGACACGCGTCTGTCTTCGCAGGGGACTGGACTGCAATGACACGACACTGTTTCGGTGTAGTCGAGAACGCGGCGAGTCATCCCACGAGCTATCGGACAAGTTCGCGATGGACTCATGACCAAGCTTCTTAGGCCAATGCACCATGACCCGCGCGTCGTGTACGTCCAACATAATGTCCGCACTCTCGGTTTCTGACGTGAACGTGTCGCCCTTGGCCAGATCCCACGTTCTTCCCTGGCAATGCAGTTTCAGTCCGTTCCAACCATTGCACGTGATCTCGACTTTGTTCGGTTCCAGGGGCGCCGTGGCAGGTATATATCGCGCCTTGACATGAACACGCGACACGAGACGGTTGGCAGACAGTTGGTAATGGGACGAGTTACTGGAACGGCCCATGAGTAGCATCTCGCCATTTTCGTTTAGTTCGACTGACGGAACGGCGGATAGAGGAGCTCGTTCTGTCATAGACTGTGTGCGAACTAGGTTCGGTCTGGCTAGATGGGCATGTGGTGGCGACGACGAGAGTATGCCAGTGCTGGATGTTGGGACGGGCGTAGGATATTTGATTGCCCCAATGGAACCCCCACGAGCCTGCCTCTTAAGCGGGCGAGGCAACCCAGGTGAGGAAGACAAAGGCTCGAAAGGCGGAAGGAGTGAGGGAGCAGGCCGCTTGACGCCAGCCATGGTCGACATGGCAGAGGGAGCGGGAACGGGCGGTGGCAGCGTAGGTTCAGATACGGCCACGGCCGCGGCCAATCTGTTCTCTGGTGAGGATATCATGCTGATGAGCCAAGATGCATGTCAATACAAAACGAATTGAACAACAAGCACGAATAATTTTGTAGAGTTCGGCTCCTGAGAAAAATTGGTGGCACAGTATCACGCCCTGGCAGGTTTCCTCGCGTCTTGGGTTAGGTCGATTCGCGGTGCGCGTGTCCTCCACCTGCTTTCTCCACTCGTACTAGTGTAAGTCGCTCAGCCCAGCCAGCCTCTCGAGGTCTGAAATCCGAGTAGTAAAGGTGGAGGGACAGTTGTGACAAAAACCAAAAGAAGGGTATCAGCTTTGCTAGCAGACAAAGGGCTGAAAAGAAATGTCACGATTCCGTCCGGTGGAGATTTTTTTAAGAAAAAAAAGTGGTCTGCAGATGTGGTCTCTCTGGCCGTGAGGTCTAGGTCTGGCAGAAAGAGGCCTAAGGTAGAGAAATGGGCTTGGGCGGGTTTTAAGTGAGAGAGAAAAGCTCGGGTTCCAAAACGCGGTCCTCTAGGCGCGTCTTGACTAGTGCGCGCCGTGTTCCGGCAAGACGGCCTGCAGTGGAGTTTTTACAGCGGTGCTTCACTAAAGATTTAGAGCAGGTTGGGTAAGAATAGCCCTGCCAGGCGGGTAGAGGTTAATTTGATAGATTCCTCGGCTTGGTGGAAAGAGATTGCAGCTATACTGGTACAATTCTTCAAGTAAAATTTGACGTTCCGCCAACTGCATGATACTGAAGCTTTAGAACACAATAGAACATTCAAATAGAGCGTAGCATAACTTATTTGAGACCCCCGAGTCGTAGCTTTAAAGTATGTCATCGCTTTCCATGTGTCTTTGACCCCCGCTCGACGATGCAAGTGGGCTCGCAGATGGAGCAACTTTCACCGCCGCTCGGATCAGTTTCAGCGCCGCGGCTTCCTTACTTAGATAAGATGGATGTCAATTAAACCACCTGGTATCACGAACTCTACACGCGACGGGTATTAGACTCTGACACGACGGGACGGAACTATGCACTGCTGCAGTCATATTCAAAGTCAAAAGCCAAAAGCAACGAGTAATATTATTATACTTAGTTGGTATCATTGAACAGACCGAACAAGGAACAAAATTAAGAACCCCACCCAACAACCGCATCTGTATAGTGGGATCGGGGTGGTTCATGATGCCAACACCTCCGACCCGAGTGTTGGGTTGTTGCAGATCGTAGTGACTCCAATAATGCTTTCCAATTCGTCTCATTGGAACCCAGCCCCGATCCCCACGAACTGACGCTAACCAAGCCTTCCTGCGGAGTTGACGGAATCGGTGCGAATAACGAGTTAATTTAGCCGCCCCAGCGAGCTATTATCGAAATCGTGTCATGAATCGGAAGATCATGATCGCGTCCGACCTGGGAAATCGCCGTACTTCATGTTTTCATTATTCTTCAAAACGTCCCAGTCCCCAGAGGAATCATAGATCAACACTAGGAAACAATGCCGTGTGTCAAAACCCAAAGGTCAGGTAAAATATCCAGAAAGTCTCATCCATGTGCCATCTGCGTAACCTCGTGCGGCAACTCTGTTGCAGATTCGGCAGAAACCTGACAATTTTCGGAAGATGCACCAGCAACTCGGGCGGCTCCATAGCGACACCAGTCACGGCGCCGGATCTCCGGTTTCTGGTGATGCTCAGCGCAAGGTGGTCAGTCTCCACGGCCATTGACTGACCACTGGGTTTCTCAAAATGCTGCTCGACTCTTTCGGCCCTCATTCAGCATCATTATGTATTCGCTGCGTTTGCGGATCAAGAAAGCCATTGCCAACATAAAGTCGGTGCTGTACTTCTCCGAAGATGTATGCATCAATGGCTTCAGAATGACACTAGCGAGCCGCTCGGCTGTCATGCCGTTCTTCTCGGCTGCGTCCGCGATCTCCGCCCATACGTTCATCAGCAACTTGAAGATGCTCCTGCTGGTTCCTCGCAGACCGCCCAGCGCTTCTTCCCAGAAATCTATGCACTGGTCGGCGCGACTGCCGTGGGGACCACTGATGGTTGCCTGCCTGGATAGTGAGATCCACCGCTTCGCTATCGTTTCGGAGATGAGCGGCTTCGGCAGCTGAGAAAGGTACAGCAGGATAATATCCGCCGCATCATGCACCCCGTAGTTGTCCCAGTTGATATTCTCGCCGTAGAGCGGCGCCTTGCTGAACACCTCCTTGAGCTTCTGGACGCGGAAGCTGTCGCCTGGTTCCGCAAAGATGTCTGGTGCCTCGATTCCTTCCGTTTGCAGGAACACACAGCACTTGTGCAAGCAAAGGGGAAACTCTCTTCGTGAGGATCCGCTGCCGGAATGATGGGTTTTGGCACCACTCTTGGCGGCCTGCATACTCTTTTGCAGAGAGACCCCAAAGACAGCATTCGATCCTGGTGAAGGGGGTCCTTCGGGCTCTTCCAATTCCGTGTTCCACAGCGGTAGTCTCTTGATCGATGTCGACAACCTCCGACTGCCGCGCCGTACCAGACTTGCCTGGATGATGGGTGTCGACGGACGAACTTCGGAATTGGTCGACATGGATTCTGAACTCGACGGTTCTGAGAGAGTACTGCGCATGTGTCCCAGCATTCGTCCAAATCGACCGGGCTTGCTTTGCGGCGGGCGATCTGGCTTCCTGCCATCTGAACTGATTTCGGTGACAACTCCAAACGATTCTTCCCCATACCTGGCTATCGGAGGATCAAGGAATGGGGTGACCATAGACCTCCGCTGACTCTCGAAGCGTTTCAAGTCTTTGGGCGGGGGAGTAGGTGCTCGACTTGGAACATCCAGAATCTCATCCATCAATTGGTTCACCTCCTGGATATACTGGTCGGCCCCCGGGGACTTGGGCGGTGCGTCGTCGAATGCCGGGAACGAGGACTCGGACGTGACCTCAATTGCGCTATCTGGCGTGTCTTCCTCGTATACTCCGAAATAACCGCCATCTTCGAGTTCGCTACCACCGGTCAATAAGTTTGCATATACCCCCAATGTGGCTAAATAAACCCGTAGACTGAATCCGGTCCTGGTATGCTCGAATTCGCCGGGCAGTTTGGCTTGCAGCTGTGCCATCTCCTCGACAATTCTTATGACATCGTTGCTGACCTCGGCCAGCTGTTGTTCGTTCTCGATGCCATCGTAATCACCCTGTTCCGAGCTGTCGTGTAGATCACGGCCACTGGTACTAGCATGCAAGTCAGCAACGTGCTCTTGTACGACACGAGATTACACCCACGCTCCAACCAGGTCCAGTGCTAAGCCCATGGTTGCACGATGAGCTTCTAGAGCTGCCCTCAGCTGGGCAATCTGTTGCTTCCCGACGGCTATCCATTGTGCTCGTTTCTGCGTTTTCGATAAGGCGCTGCCATTGAGTGCTAAAAGACAAGCATCAAGCTCGCTGACGACCCTGTTACACTGCTCGAGGAGTGCAGGGGTTTGAGCAGCTATTTTGGAGGGCAGGTTGCCGGCATCCTCTTTCAAAAGAGTCAAGACACTCTGTAGCGAATGTAGTTCCCGTGAAATGGTGTCCAAGTCCGAACGGGCTTCGCGCACTTCTCTAACGAATTCATTAAGCACCAATGAGGCCCGCGAGATGGTGTTCCCGAGCTCGATACAATCGGTCGTGATGGAGCTGCCGCACCGATGCCATTAGCTGCCCCGTTCTCATTGAATCCGCCAAAGCAGGATTAGAGACACCGGGAACGTCAACTTACAAGGAATCCATGGTTGGAGCTTGTCTGGAATCTCGTCTCGGCCGCTACTTTATTCCAAAACACGGGATGAAGAGTCTTTAAAGATGCGACGACCGCGCCATCGACTTGGGGAGGGGGCTAAGACTCGAAATGGGAAGATGAAGATAATTCGCTGGCTCTCACATCCCGAGCGTGCGTGATGGAATGCAGAAAAGCTGAGCCAGTCACACACCGTCAAGGTGTCCTCGTTATGTTTAACAACAATCCTGAACCTGCCAAGGGCTTTGTTAAATTGCAGACAGGTTTCGTCTGGGCTCAGCACGTAGGGCAGCACATAGTAGCACGCAAAACAAGGTAGCGCATGCGCAGGGCTCTTGGGAGGCAGTTGCTCGCTGACACCCATGCCATATGTGGCCGGACGCACAAGTTTGATAGTTCCGATTATCATCTAACAAGGGTATGTACACCATCCCGGCCCTTCTTGCGACATTCCCCTGTACGTGAGGGCAGGCAAGGAGCCAGGTTTGCACCCTCATTCCGGTATGATACCACGAACTATTATCTGGCAAGGTGTGTTAGGCCCCCCCACAATAGCTCCCTGGTTTGCCACAGCACAGGTCCTGGCTTGGCAGCGCCGGAACCCCAAATTCTTCACAACTGCAGCTGCTGACTCGTCCAGCTCCGCTCCAAAGTGCAAAGCTGACACTACACCGTTCCTCAAGCCGGCTGTCTAGCGTACCACCCCAGCTTCACTCTACGACCCAATTGCACTTCGTCAAGCTGGCATAGAGCTTCTTAGTTGGGAAATACAGTCGAGCCTGCGTGACCAATATCCGAAGTTCCTAAACGACATTGGTCGCATGGGTTGCAGTCGGCTTCCTCGGCGTACTCTCCCTCGATCTTTGGCTAATACAATTCTGGTCTGGCCCGCCCCGACTGCCCGCGACTGTATGCCAGGTATACCATAGTAAACTCACTCCTGCAATGGATCGTCGACCTTGGGATCTGAACAAGGTGCCAACCCTGGTGCGCTACGGATTATTCCACCATCTCATTTGCATATGATCTGGCGAGGGACCCGCAACCGACTCCACACGCTTGATATCATGCGCGACCATCATGTGAAAATCGCTCCCATTGTTGGACGAGGTATGTAATGGCAATGCAAACATCGATGTCATGTCAGGATGCTCGGGAAACGAGGTGTATGAACTGGGGGAGGAGACGTGATGAGGGGCGTCACACACCGACATACGCCCCCGGCCTATGGTGCTGGGCTCGTCTGTTTATCTGGCATGCAAGGCTCGCTGCCTTAGGATGCTTTGCGATATCTGCACTCTCCGGTTCAATACAATCATTTTGATTACAGCTTGGTGGTAGTCTGAACCATGCTGTTGCATTTTGTGGCGATATTGGGCTAGGTACGGAGTAGTGCGACGATAACGACTCGAGCTGACATGGGGACAGCCGCAGGTGTGGCAGTTGGACTTTCTAAGGCGCAACACCGAGCCCTGGAGCTGCATCCGGTACTGGTTGCGAGCATCCTTGTGCCTCGAAGGATTCGCCCATCCCTACCATGTCATATTCGTTGTAGAACCGATTGATTATTGATTAGCTTGCAGTCAAGGCAGTCTACTGCTGTCAGTATGACATGCCTTTCAGCTATTTTAGCATTTTCCTCAGCCTGACAAAGTACCGGTGGACCCATGTGTGGAGTTAGCGCTAGAAGAGAGGAAGCTAACTGTAAGAGTATGCGACATGCACGTGCGAAGCGGGTTACTTACTGAGAGGGACCAAAAACTTGTGCAAGCTAGTAGCAGAACCAACCCTTGATACACATGTGTCTCTCACATCGCGGCATCGGTCCTGATGCACTCTGGTGAAAATCAAGCCACCGGCCGCAAGCGCTTTGAAGACGATCCCATTTAGTATCTACGTTGGTAGATGGTCGTCGTGGCGCGTCTTGGACCCTTCGTTTCGTCTCGACTGCTGCATCTCGTCTTCTGGTTCGGCATAGCCTTTTGACGATGACAGCCTGCCATCGGCCTCCCGGTCCAATCGCAGAGCTCGAATCGTCCGGTCCTATCGGTTGGAGGTAGTTCCTGGGAGACCGTGTGTAATGGACCGAAGCTTGAATTGACGTATTATAACCCGACATGCAAGCACTGGTGTGTTTCAAGCTTGTTCACCCCGTACCAGTTGTAGATCACATGTGGGAAAGTATGTCTACTTTGTCTGCTTTGGGCTCATCTGATGGGATGGATTCCCTTTTGCGGGATGTGACCCGCTGAGGCCTGTCAAATATCGTGGGGTTTACAGTCCGGGTAACCTGGTAACCCGGCGACTGGGGCATTCGACATGTGATCCACCACTTGTCCGACCAGGATCCAAATCTTCAAGTCATCTTGTTTAGTGACATGCTCACAACTTATTGGGCTTTTCGCGAGTTATCTGACCTGGCATAGGTATAAGAACCGGACTATCGTGCTTGAGGCCCATCATTGGATGATAGCTGCTGACAATTATTGCTGCAGGACGCACAATGGGCTTACAGTACCAGTGTTGAAGCCTTCCACCTAGTGGCTATGCCGTTGGCATCTTGCGCCAGTACTAAAATCTCGAGCATTTCGTGTTTAAAGAGCCCTTGGAAGTCCCGACAATCGGCATTGGTGTTTCTAAATGTGGCCATTTGGCCAGCCACGAAGTGCCTTCCAGATTTAGGTAGATGGGACTGGCTCAATATCAGGGGCACAGCAGCGAATCGTTTCTTGCGCAGAGAATCCGCAGCGCACTATCATGCCGCATCGGGTTATGCTACCTCCTTCATCGCATCGGAGCCGATATCGAAGCCTCGATTCATCCATGCCATCGGAGTAGGTCTTCCATCAACTAGAATAATCTTCGAGTTGATTAGTATCTTGTTCATGGTTTTGATCGTTGGCTTTTACTGCGACAAGTGTATTGCATTCGCGAGACGCAAAATCGATTTAGTGAATGTGCACGAGACTCGTCGTCAGAATATCTTATTTGGCTTATTTTCATTCCATTTAGTCAAGTTGAGCTTTCACGATGCATTTCCTCATTCTCGGTGGTACCGGTTTCATCGGCAAGGTGGCAGTCCAGGAAGCTATGGCTCAGGGGCACCGAGTAACCATGTTCAACCGCGGAACCAAGTCCATCCCCGAAGGCGCCAACGCCATAACAGGCGACCGTCTCGACGCCCGCGGGCTCGCCGACGTCTTGGGCCTCGCAGCCTACAACGGCACCGCTTTTGACGCTGTTATTGATACTTGGCAGGATGAGCCCTCAGCCGTCGGCAAGGCCGTTGACGCGCTTCGTGGCTATATAGGGCACTACACGTACATCTCCACTATCAGCGTTTACGACCTGCCCCTGGACCGCGACCCCTCTCAGCTCTACACGGAAGAGGCGCCGCTGTACGACGTCAATAAGCCCAATGCTAAGGACTCGGTCTACCAATTCAACAAACGCGCTGGCGAGATTGCCGCGGAGGAGGCAGCTGCTGGTGCTGTCCCCATCCTGCTCGCACGCCCGGGAATTATACTGGGTCCCCATGAATGGAAGGCTAACGGCGCTCGACTCCCGTACTGGCTAAATCGCATGCATCGCGGCGGTCCTACGTTGGCTCCAGGACGACCGGACGATCTCATGCTACAGTACATTGACGTGCGGGATCTGGTCAACTTCGTCATCGGGGCCGCGGAGAAACGATTGGCGGGTGCGTATAATCTCGTCAGCGAGCCGGGCCGCACGACCATGAGACAACTCCTCGAGACGTGCAACGAAGTCACCGGTGGCCGGGCGGAACTGAAGTGGAAGGAACCGGGGGAGATCATGAAAGTAGTAACTGACCCGGGTAAGGAACTTCCACTGTGGCTCCCGCCCGATGCGCCGGGGAGGGTGTATGTGTATGGGTGTGACGCTTCTAAGGCGAGGGACCAGGGGTTGAGGTGTAGAGGGTGTGAGGAGACGGTTAGGGATACGTGGGATTGGGTTGGGAGTGGGGATCCGATGGCGGAGGAGTTACGTGGGGAGGATGGGGGGTTGGTCATTGGACTTAGTGGTGAGAAGGAGGCGGTTTTGTTAGGGTGATGATGGGATGCGTGTAAGTGTTGGATTTTGGGGTGGTAGGCCAGTTTTACGTCGTTTGACGGATAGTTTGATGGGCTCGTATTGTGTCTTTGCGCGATTGGTGCTTCTTGCGGTTAAGACAAGACTGGCAGAAAAAATCAAGGTTGGTGTTGTGCGGCAAGAAATGGCCTGGTACATGGGCCATCTACTGGTACTTTTGGTACTTGCTACAACGTATGTTCAGGAGCACAGAACTGTCGACGACTAATAAAGGTCAACCTTTCACCATCAAATGTTCCAACTTTGAGGTCGAGGGTCCAGCTAGTGGGTGCTGTCATACTACTTGGATGGGAACCCCTGTCTGACCATACTCTAAATTGCAACCAAGGCCATGAGTGCCAATCGGCTAGTAGTTGAAGATCATGTGGTGTACTTGCAGTGTCTGGAGTACAACTTGTTCGGATGGCTCCAGCATATTATTGCAGATGGTTGGTTAACTTGAGAGGTGTCTCGCCACAAAGGTATCTTCTGATAACTCGCAGTCCGATTCCAGAAGTTGAGCAAAACTTTCAGTAGCTGAGAAAGATAGACCATAACGTATGACGAAAAGTACCTTCCATGAAGTTTCCAGCTGATGTTGTTCGATTTGTAAAAGGAAAATGCCTCCTTAATGGTCTTACTCCACCATACCTATCCATTCGCCTGTATAATTGATGGGTTGCCCTCGATTGACTCGGTGTCTACATCAAGGGCAATTTTGCGCATTATCTGCACGTACACACGAGTCTTCGCCGCTCTGAACTCTGGTTAATAAGAACAGTATCTCCTCAAGTTTTGGCATCGATTTGTAACTGTTCGGCATCACTGCCGCAGGTGGGGGTACATATGACTAGGTACTTGCCTTAACAGGGATTCTCATCTGGTATCGGGGTCTGATTGGCTCAAAATTTCGGATCGCGGAACCACGGCTACAGATGTTCCGTGCTCTCGAAATTTTTCTGAGAACTGCCCCACGCCCAATTGGATGGACGGTTTTGACGAAGTTCTGCGGTCAGTATCATCTTGACAACTCTCAAAACAACAAAATGGCGCCTTCAAAGGAAGTCTCTACGAGCTCAAATGCCATCGCAGGCATTGATGCTGATCAGGTATGTTCAACAGCGCAAGAAGACTGCTCCTGCCCCAAAACTGACCCTGCCTCGTCCAGACTCTCAAGGCCGCAAAGGCATTGTTGGCCCACATGAAGAAGACCTCTTCGGAGAAGGCCAACACTGCCGGAAAGAAGAACCTTCTTGCCAGCCCAGATGATGAAACCTCCACTGACGAGCTGCCCATATGGCTGAACCTTACAACCAAGCGTCATATCGTTGAGTCGAACCGAAAGAGCCTGAAGCCTGGGAAAATCGTCCTGCCGCACTCGTTGAATACCGACCCTGCCGTTACCATCTGCCTGATCAGTGCCGACCCCCAGAGAGCCTACAAGAACTTGATTGCGTCTGAGGAATTTCCAGAGGAGTGGCGTAAACGTGTCACCAGAGTGGTTGATGTGTCGAAGCTGAAGTCTAAATTCAAGACATATGAGGAATTGCGCAAGCTGTTCGCGGAACATGACGTCTTTCTCGGAGACTCCAGAATCATCAACCGGTTACCAAAAGTTCTCGGCAAGACGTTCTACAAGACTACGGCAAAACGTCCAATCCCGGTTGATATCCAGAAGCGTGTACCGAAAGTCGACGGAAAGAAGGTGAAGCACGTTAAGGGCGGAGACCATATCAACATATGCACACCAAAAGAGCTGGCTGCCGAAATTGCAAAGGCCGTCGGTACTGCGCTCGTCAACCTCACGCCGTCAACCTCGACCGCCATTCGCATCGGCTACGCTGGCTGGACCGCTCAGCAGATTGCTGACAACGCCAACACCGTCGCCTCTACATTGGTGGAGAAGTACGTCCCGCAAAAATGGCAAAACGTCAGGAGCATCTACATCAAGGGCCCGGAAACTGCTGCGCTGCCAGTCTGGCTCACTGACGAGCTGTGGCTCGAGGAGAAGGACATCGTTGCCAATGGCGAGGAGACCAAGAGCCTGATGAATACCGAGAAGGCGAATATTGGCAAGAAGCGCAAGTCGCTCGATGGCCCCGAGGAGACCGCACCGGCTCCCAAGAAGGTGAAGAAGGCCAAGGTCCCGAAGCTGTCCGAGAGCAGCGAAGATAAGCTGGCGCAGGAGATTGCGGAGCGGAAGTCTAAGCTGAAGAAGCAAAAGGCTGCTGCGAAAAAGGCGCTCGAGGTCTAATGTGAATGGAAATCCTGGACGTACATAGTGGATGAGGCGTTGGAGGAGTTAATCATGTTTCGCTGTAAAGTCATAGCACGGCGTTTGCAGAGAGGGAGAAAGCAAGTTGTGATAGACATGTATTATCTATCATTGCAATGTCGTTGGTTTGAACAGCTTTCACTTGTCGAACTCCTGATACCCCGTGACTGAAAGAAAACTTCCCCCAATACCAAAAGTTGCCGGTAATATTTTACAATTCGTCCATCGTCTCGGTTCCCCTCGGGAATTTCTTTCCAATGGGGCCAAGGAACTCCTTGAATGCAGCCTTGAGAACGTCGTCCCCAAGCTGCATATGACCCCCCGGCGTAGTCCTGAAACTCAAGCCCCCCTTGCGATCAAGCTCCCTCAGTCCCAACCAGTCCTCGGCGTACATCTGCCTCGCCCTCAATGGCGTAATCTCCGTCCCATTAACTTCCTCAAACCACGCCGTCTCCTTGGGTATAACCGTCGTGTCATCCTCAAACATATACATGGCCAAGTTCTCCAACTTGGCGATGTTCTCTTTGTACGTCTCGTTCTTCAGCGCGCGCTCGTTATTTATATCCGCTAGGAAATTCGACGCTTCTAGGTATCGATCGATGTCCGCCGGGTCGCGGAAGTACTGCGCCGGAACGAGCCGGTTCTGCACAAATTGGCTCCAGGTGTTCCCGTGTAGAAGCGCCATGGTGCCTTTGCAAATTAGGTCGGTAGTGCTGCACGCGCGGTAGTCCACGATGCCGTTATGTTGGCTGCCAAAGGTGAGGAGGCTGCGCACCGGGGGGTTGTTGCACCGCTCTACGTAGCCCCGTAGAAATTGGCCCCCCTGGCTGAAGCCCAGGGCGTCGATGGCAGGCGCGGTGGAGAGTATCGGGTGTGAAGCCAGATCGGAGCACACTTGGGAAAGCTGCTCGGTCACGTTGCCGAAGAAGGTCGCAGATCGGTCGTTGGATGGGGTTTCGGACAGTCGGATGAAGTATACGAAGGTACCTGGGTTGATGGACTCGGCGAGGGATCCGACGGACTGTAGGCCGTCGGCCGCGAAGTCGTCACCTAGGCCGTGCCAGATTACTAGCGGGAGAGGGGTGTCGTCTTCATCGTCGGTGGAGTACGGCGTTGCGTGGTTGTTATTGCCGAGTCGCGGGCGGCGGTTGATGGGCTTTTGAAAGCCGAGGGTGGAGGTTGCGAGTGAGAGGAGGATGGTGATGTTACGGAGAGAGGGCATTTTGGTGGTTAGTTGTACGACTGGGGGTTTCAGTGAAGATGTTGCATCTAGGAGAGATGCGTGGAAGAATGGTTCATCTGTTACTGAGTGTTATTCACTTATTGTTGAAATCGATGCGTTTGCCTAAAGGGAGAGATGGAGCTCACGGAGCTTGCTCATGACAGCAGCTAATATCAAGCTAGCAGGGGTCTGCCAAGATCTCTTGTTGGTTGGAAACAGCGGTAGGTCCCACAGGCTTGGCGTGCCTGTCTGCGTATAGCATCATTCCCAACATCACTTGTCCTTGCTTGATGAACCACTTTGAAAGTGCATCATGGTATTCTGGTAGGTTTCTGCCGTACATTATCCAGATTCAAAAGATTGAACTGACTGAATATGTCTTGTCACATCTGACTAGAGTGAACCATAACCAGTTGTGTAGCATTTGTGCGAAGCACCGGAATACCCATCAATCGGCTCTCCTGTGTCGAATCAAGCCAACAATATCAAACATCTTGGAATATTACTTACATATTGAACTTTCCATGCCTGGGAGAAGACTCCTCGACACCGAGGTAGCAAGAGCAAGAAGACTTACATAAACACATGAAGGCCCTGCTCCAGGCATGTCCCAGTAACAACGGTGGCTATTCTATCACCTTTGCTGCTTCTGGTGTGTTTGAATGGGGAGATTCTACCATGGCGTATGCATATTATTATTAGATGAGCAAAACTTGTTGTCCCTTGATATCATCGGTCGTATTCGGATCCTCATGATCGCCGTGTTCTCCTTCAGTGGGGTTTTCATGTCAGGAGATCAAGTAGCTTTGGGGAAACAGCATAACCAACCAGCTTGGGAATATCTAGGTGGTTTAGCTCAGTTTGTCATCCAGTTCCCGAATGATGGGTATCCATCTTTGGCGGGAATATATCAAGAGCAGCAACATGCCGCAAAACCCAGAGCGCGAATCAGTCAACATGTTGTTTCTTTCCTGGTAAGAAACCTAACTGATATATGCTTGATTCCAATACCGTATTCAACCTGAAGGACTGCAAACCAAATTAAACATGAATAGAGCCGCCGAAGCTGAATGGGACATTTTAACCCATTAGAAACGATGATGCTAAAGAAGCCACCCAACGTCTACCATCAAGCAGGCAATGTATACTTTGTTTATATGGATCAACGAGGTTCTTATGAATGTGTTGGACCAGTACGCCCATCTGGGACAATTTTAAGCTTCAAGAGTTCAACTCGAGAAGACGACCGAGAGGAGAACGTCAACCACTGCAATATACGCATAAGGACTCTTACCAGCTATTATTTCTGCTTTGAATTCTGATCCTTGGATCCTGACGGAATTGCAAATTCCACATCACAACACAACAAAGGGTGCTTTGCACAACTGCCACAACCTCATATGCACCCAACTCGAGAACGGGTAGAAGCAACCCACGAATTCCCTTGAACGCACCATTTATCACTCTGATGAAACTTCCTGGGTGATTTTCAAGACCGCTGCGGTAAAAGCAGATTTCCGTGAACAAAAGCTAGTCGTGGAAAGCACCAGTACAAGTAGCATCCGCTTTTTCTTACTCACCTGGGTGACTACCATCTGCCAACTTTACTTCTTACCTCTTTTGTTTCTGGAAAGCAGCAGCTTTTTCAAATCATCATCACGACACTGATTGAAAGAAAAAACCCAAAACAAAGTCTTGCGTGGATGGTGATATCTGAAGACTTTTGTCTCAGCTTTCCTGTCACAACTATTGCACTTACATGTGCTACACCGCCACAAAGCCCAAGCGTCCTGCATTGGGCAGTTAACATCACCGCCACATCTTTACGTCAGATTCTGACATCACCACAGCCACATCACGTGGTACCAATCTCTATACTGCCACAACGCCACAATGGTTCTACCGGAGAATAGCCGTGATGAGGCTGATGAGGTGCGAGCTCAGGCATCTGCTCAAGTTCAACCTCAGTTGCCAGACTCATCTGCACGTCTCCAGCTTCAAGTCGTTCCTCCAGGTGAAGTTACCCAAAGCTATACCAGGGTTGAAGGTCGCTCCGTGACCGCTCCTCGCCTTCCCCCAGGAGAGTGGCGACTCCCAAGTTCTGTGCCATCACTGAATCCGACCCACTATCATCCGACTCCGCAATTCCATCCTGACCATTCGTACCTGCCGCCGCCACCTGGTCCTTGTCATCCTAGGCCGCACGCATATCTCACAGCTTCTGCAGAGCCTCATTACAACGGGCCGCCAAGCTCCGGTCATCACTCATTGACGAACAGCACTGGCGCATCCTCACGAGCTGTTCACCAGCCGGAAAGCCGGCAGTCATTGACGAACAGCGCTGGTGGTGCATCTTCACGCATTGCTCACCCGGCACCTTTGGCGCTACAGCCGAACCCTACGAGAGTGAGCCCTACACAGCCCATTTACGGCGGTCCTGAACTTCAGCGGCGACACTGGGAATTGTCCGTTCGTACTGGTCCGCTGTCTCTGCCTTTTTCGCACCACCCTAATCCTCTGGCATCGAACCCCATCACACAAGCCTCTTACAGCGGCCCCCTTCCGCTCCAGGTGCAGAGCCTGCAAGCCTACCCGAATGCCAATAGAGGCAGCAACTACGACAGTGACTCTGATCTAGTGAGCGACACTGAATACGAAGACTCTGACGGTTCTGACGATTCTGACGCGACAATCACCCCTGCGTTGTACTCGAGTTCTCCGGCGGTATCACTTCAGCAGAACCCTGAGGAGCAGGAGAACAACTCAGCTATTGGCGACAATAAATCTCAAGAGGAAGAGGAACAGGAGAACTCCGAGGAGTTAGAGAAAGAAACTACTATTGACGACGAGGAAATTCAAAAGGGACAACAGGAGCACCCCGAGGAGCAGGAGAGCCAGCCTGCTACTAGCAACGAGGGCATCCAAGAGGTCCAACAAGAGATTCAACAGGAAGAGGCCCAACTACACCAGCAACCCGCACATAACGAGACACCTCTAAACATCTTTTTTATCCACGCACTCGAGGTCCCTACCGTCGATCCCAGTGTTTTCTTCGACACCGCCGAGTCTCTGCAAGACAGGATTCCTGGTCGTTTCTGCACACCTGATAGTGAGCAATTCTTCGGACTTCAAGCACACCCAGCAGACCAGGGTCCTCATCCATACATCAATGACCAGAACAAGACCACCATGGCTCCTCCCACGACCCAAGCCAGTACAAATGGCAATGATCCGGGTGCAGCCACGCAGGCAACTGTTCAGTACCCCCACCCTGGCCACGTCGCCTCGAGCAAGCAGTACATGACTGAGGATATTATTGCCCGTCTACTACGTGAGGATAGGTCAAGCTCCAAAGAGGATCAGTACAGAATTGATGGTGTAACCCTGATCGAAAATATTAGAGAAGCCATGCAGCTGTAAGTTTCAACGGGCACTGGACCATTGTTGCTCGATTGCTGACTTTCATTAGACCAGTCAAAACCTTTGATGCTGCCTGCACCTTCTACCATCACTTTCGCCTGAAGCATCGAGATGTCGATTACCACTATCAAGACGTGGCAATTGCTTGCATATTTGTCGCTTGCAAGGCAGAGGACACCTTGAAGAAGTCAAAGGAGATTATCTGTGCTGCATATAATCATAAGGACAATGTTGAGCCCAGAACCCAAGATGACAAGGTGAGATTACTTTGTGGACCAGCATGTACTTCTCTAAGTGAATTGCACTGACATCTACGAAGATGTTTGAGCAGCCTGCCAAGATTGCCATCGGTATTGAACGACTGATCCTCGAGACCATGTCCTTCGATTTTCGCGTTCGCAACCCGCAGAAAGTTCTTGTCAAAATGGTCAAGGACGTTCTCGCTGGAGATGGCACAATGGCGTTCATGCCCCTCGCGTGGGATATGTCGTTTGACATGTACAAGACATTTGTGCCGCTCAAGCAGACAAGCTTCACCATGGCCTTTAGCATTGTTCTGCTTACTTCGCGCATCAGCGGATTGGCTGCTGACAGGATCGATGGATTGGATCCCGAACATTGGCACACGTCTCGTGGTCGCGTCATGGAGACGGTGCTCGACTTACTTGACCTATACACGCAGCATCAAAAGCAGACAAGGCTTGGAGAGAAATTCGATCCCGCTAAGTTCATTGATGTTAAGATCCAGCTGAACAAGGAGATGGAGCGCTCAGGCTTGCCTCGATACCAGAAGCACTGGTGTGACAGTTGCGGATCTGATGATGGTGCAACTTCCCTGCTCACTGCTGCCTCCAACAACAGTCGCACTTCCACTAAGCATGGAAGAGACCAATTGTCCGGAACCAACCGCTTTGTATTCGATGCGGAAGAGGCCCAACGAGAGAGGGAAATTGTTGCACCGTACTTCGAGGATGAGTACGAGGAGCACGAGATCGAGGTCGAGGAGCCAATCCACGAGCCCCGCGAGCGGCCTCGCGATCACCGTGGTCATGGCCACGGACATGGCCACGGTGGTCAAGGGCGCCGCGGTCATGGTTCCGATGGATGGTACGGTGGCCGCGGGCGTGGTCGTCGCGATCGAGGACACCGTGGTGGCTTTTACTAAGCTCTGCGCCGTGTCTGGTAACTTCGTCGGTCTATGGCGGCTGTCACCTTTGATTTTCCCGACCTTCGATGGCTGATGTTTGACATCTTCACTGGTTTGCCCTCAAGGTTCACACACTGATCATTTGGAACCAAGCCTGCACATTGCAATCTACCCTGCCGTCCATGACTTGAGATTGACCAATTGGTCTTTTGTCGATATCAACGGTAGATGCCTTGGAATGAAGGTGTTTGAAAAGTCTTTAGGCGTTTGAGGACTGGAATTATTTTGTCACACACTGCACTATGTTGCATCGCATCTGGGCGGTGTAGCAATGGATTTGTTGATTGCACACTACGATTTGATGCATTACATCTGGAAGGCGTCCAGGGAAGGATGACTGAATGATACCCCCAAGAGAGGCATGTTTCGGCATATTGTTTCTTTGAGGAGTATTTGGATTGCAGCATTTGTTCGTCTGCGGTAGGACGACAGTTTGTTAATTGGCTTTCTTTGTCGTAGTTAGTTTGCATTGTGTCTCCGCTTTTCTGCGGTAGGACTGACTGACTGCGTGTCTGTCCATAGTATGGATTCTTCCTGTAATAGCCTCAAACTTCGCAATACGGCAGTGACAAGCATTTGGATTGGGAGACTTGGCATCAAGGCCATGTCCTGACGTCCGCTTTGAGGCCACGCACACACACACTAGCATACTTATAGAGTACGGAATGCATTGTTGACTAAACAATTATCCCGTGATTCGCGCTGCGGCATATTGGAATGGCTCCGTTCCGTAGCTCCTGGCATCCCAAACAGCATTCGGCTCTGTTGATGGTTGTGGTGTCGGGATTTTTAATCGTATGTGGTAGTAGAGGCCTTGGCTACGTCAGTAATTCTACATGCCAGCCATGCATGTGCCCAACCACGTCACCGGGGCCATGCCGCCAGGCGGAAGACGAGGTCGTCAGCCAGTAATTTGTTGAGGCTAAACGTGTGCCCTCATCCATATCCGTGCCGACATATGCCTTCTTAGTGTTGGTGATGTGATGGCGCCAGAGATGAAATCAGTATTGACGACTATAAAAGTGGACAATAAGTATAAAGAGCAGTCCCCCTTCCTTGCTCTCTTCCTGTCAACTTCCAGCCATGAATGATATACCAGCCTACATACCGAAAGATATCCCCATGCTATCATGTAAGTTCACAGCAGGTAACATTCCGACTGAAACCCGAAGACTACATCTTGGCTGATGGCACCAGATAGTCATCATCCCGATAATTAAATTGCTGATATCCATTTTGAGTTGTCGATACTGGCCGGCCTACGGGTATTAATCAGCGCAGGGGTTGGCTGTTCCTGTTTCTGTTCCTGATCCAAGCGACTGCGAGGTAGAAAAGGCGTAAAATCGCCCTTAAGACACGAAACATGACCACCTAGCCTAGCCTGTAATTACAACTTATTTCCTACCAGATCAAAATCCTCGAAAGGCGAAACATGTTCTCAGCCTGCATCGCCTTCTCTTTTGGTCCAGGCGTATTAGGCTGTCGTGACGACTTCAACTTCACAATCAAGTTCGAGCAGGTTGCCTTCTCTATATTTCCCTTAGCGCTCTTCATCGTGTTGTCCATATAAAAAAGAACCACTATCCTTCCGTAAACTAACCGTGGTTTATGCACCATTAGTGCAGTTTCTCAAGTTTATAGGCACGCCCCTCACTTCCATAAAGTTAAACGCTGCTTGCCAATTCCTTACTCCAGGACTTTAACTCAACGTATGCTACACTTGATTTAGTACTTCTTGTTCTCGTCGCAACCAGGTCCGTTGAATTCACCAACTTGACCTTGCCTCGGCTACTTGCAATTTGTTGCTGCAATATGCATGCTTCCACTTTCTTTCTTCGGCCATGGGGAGTCATCAAGGCCATCTATCTCTTCCCTACGCTTCTTGGCATTGATCAAACTCGCACATATTGGCTTGCTTCGGACATGCGGCCTGAGTTGACGAATAACGGTGTCTCCGCGGCATCAACGTCGTTGAAAGTCCTGACACTCGTCCTCAAAGCTCAGCGGAAGACCAGGTGGATTAATTGGGACATCAAATAATCCTACAGTCTCGGAGTATATTCTTGGTTGAATCGAATAGTTTTTACTGGATATGGGAAGGTCTTGTACATACGCGATTTGTACCCTCGATCAATGGGCGGCGCAGTTGTTGGACCTTCAAGGCTATTACACCAAAAGGTGCCAGCTTGTGGACATGTGGCCATCTACCGTACGTTATGGGCCAATATGATCATCACGCATCATCCATAGTATCACTCAATTTCTGCCGGTGGGCAGGCATCGTTCATTTCTACCTGTATAAGGCCCTTCTGGCCACATACCAATACTTTGAGGGCTCTTCAGATCATCATAATTTAATGCAAGACCATTTGCCCTGCGGTCCAATAGCAGTTTTGTATAAACAATTCCAGAAATATGCCCACTTCTCAAAAGTAAAGGCCCGCAAATATAGCTTAGCCATAACGCTTGCACGGTCAAACATGTTGATGGCCGTTCTGCTAAGAATTGCTTTGGTCGTCTTTCTGTTCTGTCACTCTTTCATGATCAAGGCTCACATAAATTCCTCGTCTACATCACGGTAACGCCGACATAAATAAACAAATAAAGCAGGGATCACAATCGCTCAGTCATCGTACATGTAGGATGGGAGTTGCCCCATGTATATTAACGTATTTACCCTCACAACATAGATATGAAAACAACGAAGTATAACTTTGATTTGAACGAGCAAGCACAGACCGCCTATCGTAATGTTTTTCTGAGGCAAGAACTGACAATGAGGCCAGTTTCGGGCTCTGTTATGCAAAAACATAGCATAGCCAAGACTGTTGAGTAAGCTAATTCGGGCATTCAGTTCATCCTTGAGACCGTTGACAAGAACTATAGAGGCGGCTTATAAGTAAAAAGACTTCGCGCGCTATTTCAAAATTATAGAAACTTTTACGCAGAGGCCTGGTCGAATTATTGAATGTTCATCACTCAATATCTCGGTCTCGTTCCTGCCTCTGGACTTTGCGTGTGAACTACCCATGGTCTCATAGTCCAGCTGCTGCATTTTCGGGGCCTGGATGCTTGGAGCCGAGATCTGAAAGTCGGATAATGAAGACCGGTGTACAGCATGCGGCATCTCCTTGCGTGGCAGATGGGTTTTAGCTCCTGGCCTTATTAAGCGACTATCTTCCTCTTCTGCTTCGCCTCTATCATTGCGTGCCGCTCATTCTTAGTCTTGGGGGTATTTGTGGAGCTTTGAGTCTAAATAATCTTTAACATATAAAGTAAGAGTATTAAATTATCGATCCTACCAGCTATTTTCCCTATTTGAAATACTTCGTAACTTTATAATGTTCATAAGCCTCACTTCACTAACTTCATGGTTCCAATCGAAAGGAATATTTGGGCCTGTCATACCCTCTGTACGTTCGTAATACTCCCATGTACTTGATTAGAACCACGGACTCACCTTCTTTATTCATGACCTACCTGTCAATAGTACAAAAAAGCAGTTTTGCCCTGCCCACCCTGGTGTCTACCATCCGTGATGTTATACCCCTAGTATTAGATGGCTGTAATATATAGTACCATAGTAAACTCGTCTACAGACTTGGACCCTCCTTTATCTTACTTAACAAGTCTCACAAACCCCCGGTCACTCCATGCCAAAGTGCGTTACCTGCATTCCTACAGCTCCTACATGATCAGGTGCACACCTCTACCTATTCGCAGCAAGTCAGACTTCACTTCTCGTGCGAAATATCAGACTAATTGTGCAAATTGTACTGCATTGAAAGTGTGTGGATTTCTTTAGATCCTCTTCAAAAGAGTGTGCTGTGGCCATAGGGGCCTTGTAGATGTAGAAATGAACGATGCCTGTCCTACAGGCAGAAATTGCGTGTTACACTGGATGGTTGTAATATTGGCAAATAACGTACGTTAGGCGGCCATATGACCTCACTAACTAGCAATTCGGTCGCAATGGCCTTGAAGGTCCAACACAACAGTCATCCAGGAACTTGTAGGACAGCCTTTTACTATAATTTGCTCGCTTAAGTGCAAAGGTCTCACGGGTATTTTAAGTACAGGGTGAAGGATGAGAGTGCTAGAGAGAAGTCGGCTGCCAGTTACCAGGTGGGTACCAGCAAGGTAGTGTAGGGGACTCAATGACGACAAGTTGATCGCTGTCCCTCCTCAAGAGACGGGGGTCATATCAGCCTATTTATGCGTTGCCAACCCTCGCATAGACTAGGTCCCAGAAAGTGACTGGCTTATCTGCACCTGACAAGAGGGTAGAGCGACTGATAAATATATGAAGGGTTGCCTCTGGACTCCATAGCTAACGAGGCATCGATCAGGCCATTATTCTTTCATGGAGGATTGTGATGTTGATTCAGCTAAGTTAACCTACGTCAGGTGTAACGGTAGAATGTTACCTATCTAACTAGTGTACATTGTTACGGAGTAACTAGGGCTCCGCCAGTGGACTGTGTGCTGTCGAATATCACGTGTGTCCAATCGAGTAGTCAGAAGTGCGTAAGATTGTATATGAATGAGGTGTATTGTTCTCTGTCCTCTCGAACTCCCGTTGCTCTGTCTTTTATAGATTCTTTAGAACATATCGGAGGTACGTTGTTCAGGTATCTGACCCCTAAGTGGACAGTAACTTTGGTGTTACTTTTGAGAAAAGGGGGCCCCTTCGCCTTCTGAACTTTAAGTGACAATAGTCTTCTCCAGTGCCATATCATTTCTGAACCTAGGAACCAGGTGCCCTATCTGACATGTGCCACTAGTCCTCTGTTATTCTTCAACTAGTGGCATACGAATAATATTTAACGGAACGCCTTTCCACCGAAAGGCTTGTAGAGTACTAAAAGTACGTACCTCTTAGGCTGTGCCTGACATGTATTGGATTAACCTAGACTTCCCCCGTCTCCAGAGCCCAACAGATTATTATGATACTGTTA